AACAAGCAAAAAAGCAGCAGCACGCAAGGCAAGGCATGACATGGCATCGAGGGTCGGCCCGTGGATGCCAACCATGGCATGGTCTGGCCGCCCGCACAGTAGTGTGCGAAGTTAAGGTAGTTGACCGCGTAGGCTCGGATTTACCTAGTCGATACTAAAGGTGCATATGTATAATACATACTGCACTGTGCGTCGCAGAGATGCACCTTCAGAGACGACAGGCAGAATCCACCGTTCTGACCGCCCTTGGGGCGAAAAGCTTCAAAAATAAATGCAACCACCACTTGCCAAATTGTATCCTGTAATTCGTAGGTATGTATGCACTGTCGTATTTTTGTATACTTTGTCTGGATCTGGATCGAGTGGCGCGGCACGCACCTTTACGTGTAAACATCCCCGCAAAATGGAAAAAAGAAAACGATAATATTTACGATATAGTTGGTCACCAAAAAAAAGCCATACCAGGCGGAAACAATAACATATATTTACCCTTACAGAGGTTACACATACCGTGCCTTGAGCTCCTTCACAAGACTCGGTCACGTTTAAATTGGACAACTTTTGGCTAACTACTACTAATAACCCCAAGCACTGTATAGTACTTTGGGAGACTAATGCCATGCCTAGAGGATCGGAGGATCGGAGGATGGAAGAAAGCGAACCATGAATGCCAACATGCAGGCACGGAAGGTAAGGCGACTGTGCTTTACATGGCATGAGGTACTACGTGCTAGGTATCCCAACAAAAAAGAGGGTTATTGGATGAAGTCTTGCACACCACCATCATCACGCAAATTTGGTTTTGTGCTCAGGAAGGCTTGGGATTGCCGCGGTCACAAGACTATAGCATGATTCTTGTGGTGTGTCTGGATACATAGATGTGGTCGCCGGCGTTGGCCCCTCATTGGTCTCTTTTCCGTTTTTTTTTGTTGCACCAGCACCAGCATCGTAGTAGCATCACATCACAACACCCTCTCTTTTTCTATCTCCCGGATAGAACGTTGTTATTTATCAGCCCGCTGGACTAGCGGTAGGTAGGTGGGAGGGGGGATGGAGCGTACCAATTGGGCAGACAGATCAGAAGGACCCCCCGACGCCGGAGCCCTGCGAGGCGACGGGTTCCTGTCACGTTTCTTCCCCTTTCTCTTTCTTTTGTTTTACGTAGTAGTCTTGTTTGACCAGCCTAAGAAAGACGAAAAGTCGCCGGGTACCTGAGCAAAAGCAAAAAAAAAGTGCGGTCAGCCGAGCAAACTGTCCCGTCTCGGACGGCCTGGGTTGGAGGGGTGGTGGGGGCTTCCGAACCATCACCGGCCGTCCCCCTCTCTCTTAGGGCCCGAAATCTCATGGGGACGGATACCAGGCATATCATTTTACTGCCTACCTCTTGTGCAACAAGCTGATATCTAGCCTCTCTCTGTAATCTCCATCCGGCCTGCTCGGCCCTTCGACGGCAGCAGCAGCCGGACCCCAACCTCGGCGCCGGCCACCTGAACTTCGAGTAGGCTGCAGCGAGCGGCATTAATCCGCTAGTTGTTGTCATATTATATGCTTTCCGCCTTTCTCAGCCTCCGAATTGTCGAGATCGATCTTGGCTTTTAGCTGCCGGCGGGCGGCCAAGTCCAATAGGTTTACTGCAAAGGACCATTTCTTGCGTTTTTGCGCGCGGACACACGTTTTGTACATACATACAAAATTCCCTTGCCTGCCTACATCAAAGATCCTCTGCCTACAGTACATACACCGTGCCTACATTACATGATGCAGGGTCAGCCACATGGTTTTGGTCTAGGGCCGGCAGCGGGCAAAAGAGGGCATCTGGTACGCAGTACACATATTTGAGAAAAAAAGGCATGTGCCACGACGGCGACTTGGGCGAGTGGCAGGTACCAGTATGTGCGCCCCGCGGCTGCATTTGAGGGATACCAAGTGTCCAAGACCTTGCGAAAAAGAGGGTTGCAAATTCTGACAGGTCTCCTTTCGTTCTCACGTCTCATTATCGACACCACGATAACTTGAGAGACGAGACAAGAGCGGAGCGGAGCCAGCAGCAAGCAAGTCAAAAGGTCAAAGAGCTCAATACAACCTACACACACACCCGCAGACAGACGCAACTTGAACGGAAGCAACTCAACAAGGCACTCGTAGTTAGGCGGGGGTGAGGGAGGGTACAAGCTCTTGAACGAAATAAACCTGTGTGTGTTTACGCGGCACTTTCCTCTTGTTTCTCTCTCGGCCGATACGACCAACGAAGGCATAACGAAAGGAGGGCATTTTGAACCAAAAGGCAGAAGAGAGAAAAAAGCTGGGGCGCAACGGCAGAGGAAGCCGACGCGGCGCAGCCGTCGTCCGGTCTGTGTCGTCTAATCCATCCATCAACCCCACATTGCGGAATGCCTATTCGCCGCAGTGATCTTCGCTGTCAATGGGGATGGGGCACCCCCCGCCGTCTAAGCCTAGATGGAGGAGTTTACGGCCATGTTCCGCCGTCGACCTCGCTTATCTCCCTTTTCCAGACCCGACGTTGCAGTTGCATGCATACAGGAGAAAGGTCGGAGCGTAGCCAGCCAGTCTGACCTCTTTGGCAGAGCAGACCAGGTCAGAGAGGTATCCGTATACTACCATGTATTCCGTACCGCATTTGGTGTATACTTGGTCCCCATCTGATAGGCCATCTCGACAAGGACTTGCAGTAATACCACACTGCTCACAGTGACCTTCCACAATGCTCTGCGGGTAGCAACGCTTGGGTTGATAAGTATAAGTGGGTAGGTAGGTATGCATGCGACGCTAGATAATCATGCTAGAGCAACATGGGATTTCATAGCAAACCAAAGGGACAGCGGCAGATGGATACCAGGTACGGATAACCCGCGGCGGAGTCTATAATATTAAAGATGCCAAGTCGATCCGAGGTTGGACCGTGCTCTGCTTTCATCGCAGGCCCGGCCAGTCCGGCCATCCGTTTTCCCTGGCTCTTAGCTTCCTGGGATCTGCGATGTTTATTCGAGACAGGGTGGATCGAAAACTCCTCGGGTCTTGGTTTTGTTTGTCCTCACGGGCCACATGGCGGGGCAGTCACCGGCTGGTTTGGTTTGGGGTAGGCCTGCCGTGTCTCCATACCCAAGCCTGTGAGGAAGGAAGCACGGGGTATCTGCGAAAGGCATTATTGGTAAGCTGAGAAGCCGAGGCCCCAAGGTGGAGGAGATCTCCAGATCGAATTTGCGCCGAAAGGCCAGCTGAGGGTCGCAGGGTGGAGCCTGCCGGGAAACCGGACTGTTTTTTTCAGCTTGTTTGGCCATCGACTTATTAACCACCTAGGCGGGAAAGCTCACGGCACTTGTATGTACGGGCTAGGAAGGTGTGTGTGGTGGTGTTCAAGAGGGAAAGGCTGCGTCTAGTAGTGTACATACATTTGCGTGATAGTGTCAAGCACGAGTTGATCTCCGGGCCAATCATGCTGTGCAGTATCCTTACGCTGACATCCTTCCGCCTTGGTATGCGGTAAGGTCGCCAAGGTGAGCTACGCTACGCTACAGTAGGCCGGGTAGATGCCTACGTCAGGTAACTTAACTTACATAGGTTGTCAAAGACTCAATAGGGACAGGAAGACGCCGACGGTGAAGCGAATCCTTGTGGATAGCTGTCAATCAATTGCTCGCTAGGTGTGAGAGTTTCTCTGCTGGTCGTTAACAAGCAAATAGGAGGCTAGAAGGAGGCATGCATGTTGGCAGGTCAGACGAGACAGAATCGCAACAAGAAAAAAGGCTCAAGAATTCCAGCCGCGAGTTTTGCGTGCTCTGCTTCTGCTCTGGTAACTGCATGCCATTTGAACTTGCCCAGGGCCAATTACGGAATAGTGGTACCCGGACCACTCTCTGCCCCTAGTGCAAGCCCGCATGGCAGGTTCCACCCGCACGATTTACAGGGGCCTTATCCAGGGGCGGTTTGGCAGGTACACTGTAGCATGTACCTGATCATGCCCCGGTGACCGATGGAACACATGCCCTCTTCCACGGCCTGTGCTGCATGCTTAGGGCCTGGCTGTGCCTTCCCTTTCATCTGAAACCCGTATCACCAAAGTGTGGTTATGGCGCCGACATATCCTATTTGCTATCGAAATGCACTGGTTCCCGCTTCCATCTGTTGCTTAGGAGCCAGGCGAAGAGAGATTGGAGACTGCTATAGGCTACCCTACCTACGTATCTAAATAGAGAATTATGCCGTTCTGGCCTCGTCGACGACACCGAGACGGAGTTGCGATCTCGAGCATTGATAGACTGAATAGCGCACCGTCTCACATTGGAACCATCCCCGGCCAAGGCAAGGCTTTCCCCATTCGGTTGGCAACACACTGCAAGACGCAGCAACACCGCAGCAGCAGCAATTGTCCCGAGGATTGCCGGACGGCCTGCTTTCGATGCAATTAATCACGACCAGGGTCAAGCGAATAAGACCCCCATGCTAGCGGCCCCCTAAGACTTTGCTCGTTTGGGGAAAGTACACTGGCATTTCTTTTTGGGGCCCTTCTTTCTCGATGCCTCTTGAGGTGGGCGCGAGCATGCCCGCATCCACATGCCCCATGGCGGGCGTTTTTTAATTAATCTCGCTCCAGACCTCCCGGTTTGCGCTGCCGTCGCCCCTACCTACGCAGTGCTCAGTAGGTTGATTATTAGGTCACTACCCCGGGCATTCTCGGCCTCGACGACTTCCTCTTGAATCCTCTCTCCCACGAGCTAGATTCTCGTCGTCCTGAAGCGCTGTCGCTGTCGGGCGTAGATCGTGGGTTGTGGATCGCGCGCCGTTTAGGGGACGTCCCGTTTCTCTCGCCCTGAAGTCGATACAACACCACACCACGGCCACACAGGAAACCTGAAGAACCCACAGCTGCCGCCCTCTTTCACCATGCCCGCCTCTAATGCCTGACCCCCTTTTCGACTTCATCTCTCAACAACTTTGTGCATTTGGCCTTCCGACACCACGACAAGACGCCCCACCAACCCATGGAGGGAGCTCTCTCCGTGCCCCCGGAGCGGGGCACTATCATAGGGAGAGCTTTATGGAAGGTACGAAGCCGGTGTAGGTGAACTTTTAATGAGGGAATTGCAGTCGCTAATATGCCCTTAGCCTCGATATGTTGTTGTTGGAGCCGCTCAACGAGACTCGCAAACACAGAATGGGCGTATGCAGCCACCCCGCGGCTCGACACCTAAGGAACAGCCCAAGATGAACCCGGAAGGAATCTATCTTTCTATTTACAAGTCTAAGGTGAGCGTCCTGTGCTTTGGCTGGCCCCTCTCTTACTTTACGACGTGCTCCAAATTCCTGACCACGAATACTACATCAGGAGGAATTGGATCCCATACAGCAGCATGCCATTGCTACAGTCACCGACTGCCAGGTGCAGATGCTCGCACATCGTAAACAAGGCCCCGTTCTACCAACCCTCGTCATCAACATCGTCCCGGACCCGGCCACCGACAAGTTGCGAAAGCGGAGATCGAGCAGGACGGCCGGCTTGACAGCCACAAAAGAGACGGCGCCCACAACTCTCTTGTTTCGTCCGGCCACCGAAGAACACCACTCTCTCCAAGAATGGGCCCGCGTTATCCAGCACCTCATACAGCCCCACATGCCAAACCGAGTCCCCCTGAGCCCAATAACTCCCGCATCGCCTAGCTTCACGAACCCCTTCGCCTCCCCGCGCTCGAGAGAACCAAGTGACGCGCAATTCAGACCAGGCAGCGGGAATCCCGGGTCACGGCCGACCTTCCAGTCGAGAGGCTCTAACCAGACATACTCGTCCCGCGAGCGCGACCGGCCGGTAACCTACTCCGAGTCCCTGAGCTTGCGCTCTAGGAGGAGCGACCTTTCGTCCCACACGAGCTCAATGAATCCGTCCCACGTCGGTTTACAGAACTACACCACAATGAACCACCCTACAGACCTTCCATCGCCGGCTAGTACTGTCGGGGAATATCAGGGTGAATTTATCGAGGGATGGACATCGGCACAGGGGAGGTCGTCTACGCTAAGCTCGCCCGTGAGGGGACGCGACAGTATTGGGTCACAAATACCGGTGCCGATTCAGCCCCAGATGGAGGCTAGCTCACCGCCGGGGCCACGGGAAACTATACTCGACAGAGCTTTTCAATTACGCTGTATTCCGGGGTCTGAACGTGGCACACCAGGCGAAGAGAAGCTCAGCTCGCTAGCCCGGTTTGACGCGCTCATGCGGGAGGCGGATAAAGAGAGGAGGAATCGCGAAGTTAATGAGTACAGCAAGGTTTCAGCCCAGGCGTTAGCATCCGCAGCTGCACAGAATGGTGGGCTAAAGAGTGCGTGGGAACTAGATGATTCAGATTCCGACGTCGAGCAGGGCTTTGACGAAGCAGACGAAGATAGCGACGATCCGGTCGGGGAGATGGAACCGGACACTGAGGATCGCTTTTCGCCGAGGTCAACAGGACGGATTCCTCCAACGGCACAGCGAGCTCTAGACTTTGTCGCCGGGAGGCGCGAGGCAACGCCACATTCACGGCCCCAGGGCGCGCAAGCCCAGCTGAACTATAATCGAGAGGCCCTCTTGGCCCTTTCAAACAGTGGATCTGACCTACGGCCCCAGACGGGCTACTCGAAACATAATACAAGGCCGGGAATGGCTCAGAGAACGTACAGTCAGTCACGGCTAGCGGGGGGATTCACGAACCCGGCCATGGCATCTCAACCTAACATGCCCGTCCCTTCGCCCGGCGTCCTCCTGGGAATCCCAGCACATCAGGCAGAGAGACTACAAGATGATAGTACTCCCAGCCCCGGGACAGCACCAGCACCGACGGTGATGCAGCGGAGCGAGAAGCGGCTGTCGGCATCGAGCACAAAGCGCCTCAGTTTCACAGAGTTTACGAAGCGCCTCAGTAGCACGAGCAGTTTGCTCCTGGCGCAAACCAACACCAGCGGAAGTGGGAGCCGGGGCAGTAACAGCGATGTTGACGCTTCCCAGCAGCTACAGCAACAACATCAATACTCTCACCACTTGTATCCTAGGGGAGCACCGGCATCACCGCAGCAGCAGCAGCCGCAGCAGCAGCAGCAGCAGCCTCAATATCCGCCGTCGTTGAGCGAGCGAGAGCGCTGCGGCTGGCGCGGTAGCGTCGGGGTTTTCGGAAGCGCCGATGGCGGCTTCGTTTGAGATGTCTATGTTTCTCTGTCACTGGCCCTTTGTTGCACCCTGTCGGGTGTGAGAGCTCTGCGGTTCATCCCCTTTCATACTACGCTGCATATGGTGGCCGTCCCGGACGGGCCTGCCAATATCGATGTTTGATGACTTTTCCGGATCATTTCTGTATCATGCCGCATGTTGTGGAACGAAGCGCCTGTTTTATCTCACCCTGTCGGAATTGATCCCCTCACCCCTCACCCTCCTCCTCACTCCTCCCTCATCTCTCATCCATCCTCCCTCCTCCCCCCTGTCCGCTTCGGGCCCCCTTTTTGGGGATGTCCCATTCTCTTCTGTACTAAATGTTTTTAATTTTTGTCCCCAGCCCAGCTTTCTACTTCCAACTCTCTACTGCATACCCTACATCCCAACCTCTTCCCATCTAGACCGGGGTTGTTCTGCTGTTATGACGAGTCATGATCGGCCTATTTTTACTAACAACGTATATATGAAGAAAGCATCAGGCGTTAAGTTTATTCGTGTGTTCTTGCCGGGGTTTAACAGACAACCCGGCAAGAACTAAAGAGAGATATGAGGTTTCTTAGGCTCTCTCTCTATTGTATCTGGCTTGTGTGTGTGTGTGTGTGGTGTGAAAAAAAATGAACATATATATACCTATATTAAATCTATATAAAGATCTCGACGATTCTCGTTTTCCCCCTCATTTTCCTGTTGATTCTTGGATAATCTTTTTCTCGTTTCTGTGCTTGATTACAGACTCATTCTGAGTTGCAAAGTCTGTGTGTATTGTAATGACTACATGATAGTAATTCAAATACGTACCCTCCGTGGTTTGCATGAAGAGTGGAATATAAAGAATTCAAAGCATAGCTTTTTGACCCCATCCTTTCACAGAATCAACTTTTGTTATATGTCCCGTGCCTTGGTTCCAGAGTGATCAAAAAGTTATCCTTAATCTCTTTTGGTCTTTCTTTCTTCTCTCTCTCTCTCTCTCTCTCTTCCGCGCATTTGTCGCTGGGCATCAAGTTTCTTGCTGGGCAATACATAGGCAGGTATCTTGCACACTAATGGGAAGAGAGAATAACGTCTGCTTGCACAGTATCGTACTCAAGGTACTATGCATGGGTGGGTATTTGGGTCTATCTACCTAAGCTACCATCTTCCTTTTCTCCCGGGCGCCAATGAATTGACCAAGGAAAGGTTACCGAATCCAGAGGAGACACAGTATCCGTACATGACAGGATAGTGCGGCGATTTGTCCGCAGCCCCATCATCATAGTCACTGACTAACTACACTTGCTCAATGTACAGACATATTTTGAATACCTAGGTACTCTTTTAATACCTTTTTTCTAAGCCCGGCCGAGTAAAGCCAGGGCCCCGAGGCGAATGTATTGTACCATACGCACTGATTTCGTATCAATTTCCATTTTCACCTTCTCAAGATGACGGCAGATATCCTCCCCTCCAGTGAAAAAAAGCCATCATCCATTGATGGGCGCATATCTACCTAGATAGGTACCCCCCGAGCGGGCAGCCGATGTATATCCTTCATCGAAAATAAGAAAACGCCTGTTTTTTTCCCCTCCCAGGTCTCTGAAAGACATAGGCTAGCTGTGCCGTCTTATGTGCACTCGAGAGCAAGAGATATGGCTGTCTTCCGCAGAAAACGAACAACCTCTCATCATTGCATTAACTCTCCCGCGAAAGTTTGTGCTTCTGGCAGACACTTTATTCCTGGCCACCCATACAAGAAGCCCGGGTTCTTCTATGACAGATACGGTGCCAGAACGGCCTGAGCCTCTGGCGCGATGCGCTCGGTGATAAAGCGCGCAATCACACCGCCGGTGCGCTGGTTCGCCGCCTTCAGGTACTCGCTGACCCACTTATCCACCTCGAAAATATCGGGGAAGTCGTCTCGCGGGCCACGCTTGCACGTGTTGAGCGGCGTAAATCCGATGCCGAAGCCAATGTCATCGACATCGGCTTCGTTGACAATCTCGTCGCCAAACCCGGCAGCCACCTTGGGGGGGTTCTTCAAAAGGTCAAGCAGATGGTTGCATGTGAAGCCCCAGCCCTTCATGTAACGTCCCGCGAATGCCTCGGAGTCACATAGCGTCTTGGTGTACGAGATGACGCCCAACTTTCGATCTACCGGCCGCGCAAACTGGCTGGTTGTGGGCAATATGACGGTCAGGTAGAATGGCGTGAACACATTGGCCTGGATATCCTCGGCATGCTTGATAAAAAAGTCTGCCCCAAGCCCCGGCTCACCCGCCCTCGCCGAGACGAGATGATAAAAGCGAGCTACCCGGGATTTGTACGAATCGGTAGGATTCGATTGTAATTTGCTGAAGACTAACGTGACAATGACCTTGAAAAACGGAGCCAGCACGTCACTATATTCACGTCAGCTTTTGTCGCGGATTTTCCCGATGCGGCCGACTTACCCTGAGAATGTGCCGACAACAGCTTCGAGGATGTCGAAAGCGTTTTGCTCCGTCTTCTTGCTGGCGAGGAGGTTTTGGAAGATGGTGAGAATTGGCTCCAGCTTTTGCCCTTCCAGAAGTTCCTTCTTAGTTTTCGGGATGACGGCCGAAATGAACCTGGCCAAGGGCGGCACATTTCCTCGGGTCTCCCACGGCGCCGGTGCAAGTACGCCATCAATCAGAACTTTGAAGTCGGCCGGAATGGTCGTAGAGGGATCAAGCTCGAGTAGTGCCGCAAATATTTGGAAAACATACGGGACAAACTCTGGAGGGAAACCAAGTCAGGGAATACTCGCCAAGAATCGACGGAACATAGTGAACTAACCAGAGACATCCTCAGTGAGGATAACTACGAAGGGTTTGAGAAGATAATCAAGCAGTTTGATCTTGGATGATGTGCTGCAGAATCTGTACACAAAGTTAGAAATCACGCAACAAACCAAGCAGTAGGGGTAGGGGGCAGGAAAGTGCCTACCTGACCAGGGCTCCAATCGCCTCGAAGTGATAGTAGTAGAAGCGCGGGTTGCTGGGGTTCTGTTTGATGACATTGGTGATTTTGATGAGATGGTCGAGAACGCTCTCAATGTCGCATTCCAGCACTCCATCCTTGATGACAATCAAGACTCTCATGATGCATTTCATCAGGAACTCATTTTCCTGCAGTTTTGCGGGCGATGTATCTTTCTCAACCAAGGTAAACAGATGCTGAAGTAAAGCTCTCGCATATGGCTGGATATCGGCACGTGGTAAAATGTGTTCTCCTTGCTCGTTGGTCAGAAACAAAACTCTCTCGACTGCAATCGCCGCGTACGTGTACACAACGTAGTTTTCTGAATTCAAATTCTGAATCAAAGGCTGGATAGCGCCCTCCCACTGGCTCTTGCTCAGCTGGCTTCGGAAGTCGTGAAGATACTTGATGGCATCAACTTTAGAGATAGGTTCCACGCCCTCGCCTAAGAGATCCGACGCGATGTGCTGACTGAAAAAGTCAACAACATTGACGTGGCTATTGACCGTCTTGACTCCTTGCGCCGTTGTGACGGCCCCCTTGGCTGCAATCGCGAGGAAGAGATAGACTGCCGTGTCTTTTGCCTTCCAGTTGCTCTTTCCAGTTTCAAGGTAGTAGTTGATGTACTCGGACACGACCTTCGTGACAAGCATCTCGAAGTTGTCGAGAAGCTTCCGCAAGAAATCGGTGGCGGCCCTTCTCCGCGAATCGGTATCCGAGCCCTCGAGGTCGCGGCGGATGAACTCAATAGGCTCGTCCTCAAACATCTCAAGATCTGACTCTCTAAGCGCAACGTTGGGGATGACGACCTTCTCCACTATTGTGCCCAATACTTGCTCGTTGTTGAAGATTTCGGCATGGCGACGGACCGAGGCGACAGCCGTGAGGAACTGAAGCGCCTTGCTCGTGAGATTGTCATATCTCTTCTGCGGGCCGATGCTGGAGAGCACGTTCCAGACATTGTTGGTGAACTCTTGGACGTAGCTGCCGAAATCATCATCATACTTGTTCGTAAAGAGTTGCAACGCGTCACAAATATCAGACTTGAGGGTCTCGAGAGGTGTGGCATCGTCTTCCTCTCCGTCGAAGAGGGCATTCGTGTAAGAAAGATACTTGTGGAGGATTAGAGTGATGGGTTGTAGGTGTGTCTCAATGATGGGGGGCAAGTCCTGACACGACAAGTCATAGAAAAGCCGGATGAGCAGGCTCATGGTTTCGAGCCAGCCCTTCAATGCCACCGGGTTGTTCTTGTTTGCCTCGATTTGATGATCGGCGACCTGCACATGTCGCGTTAGTACCAGACCGAGAGCGAGCACGTAAAGAAATTTTAGGGGCTGGACCATCTTACACTTATCATCTGAATAAAGGGGTCGCCAAATGTTCCGACGACATGCAGCACCTCTCGGTTGAGTTCGTTGGAGGAGAAGAGCGGACGCCATCGGACAAATATAGAGTGCGCAACTTCTAGCACACCATTTGTGATCTTGAAGTCGGTCGGCGACAGACGGTTGACGAGGTCCTGCGGAACAAAGCAAGTCGTTAGTGTCCAGCTGGCTAGCAAGCGGGGGAGGGCGAGGGCGTGCACGCTCAGAAAAAACGGTAAAACATACCTTGGTCAATGTGTCCCAGCGCTCCCAAAAATCAGAGTCGGCGATGATGCTGATGGCTTCGCCGAGCTGCGTCTGTATCGTGGGTGGCGCAGAGATCATCAACCCTACAAGTTCGCGCTTGATAGTCTGGACGTCGTCGACGGGAAGCTTGTAGTTGCCTTCTTCATCCTAATCCGAGAGAGAACACAAGCGACGATAAATATCAGCATGATACGCTATCCAACGACCAGGTACAAAAGGGGACAATCGGCTACGGACCACATAGTTGTGGCGGATGAAGTTCTTGAAAGCGAGGGCGGCGGCCAGGCGGGTCTTCGCAGGCTGATCCTCGGTGCTCACGACCCGGAGCAGCACCAGCGCGTACTTTGGCTTCTTAGCCTCCTCCTTTAGGGCATTTTCGGCTAAAGACGCAAGAGTCAGTCGCTGGCGTCAATCAAGCCTGGTTTGAAGTTGGAAGAGATATATGCGTCGGGGGATGGTTTGGGCTTAGAGGGGGGCATGGCGGGGCCGTTTGTTTTGCAGCGAATACAACTTGCCTTTGCGATGGTGGTGCGCATCCAGTGTCGCATTTAGCAACTGCGCAATATGATCGATTTCGGAAGCCATGGTCGGATAGGGTTCGGTGCGGTAGGGAGGTAGCGGCAGTCTGGGAGAAGGACTGGAGCGGAAAGGTTGAAGAGTAACGGGCGCTTTGAGGTGGTGAACCAAATCAAACACCTGAAAAAGAAGCTTCCTGCGGTTGCTAGAGTTATTATCAGCTCCGCTTGGATGCTACTGGGGGCCGCATGCACAGTGCTTTTCTACCCGATAAACAGTGCGTGTATCAAATGGTGGGGCACTCAAGCGGACGGTACTTGCCGCGTTAGGCTCTGCTTTACCTAAAGTGGGGAGCTGTCGAGCTGACACTGCCCGCCTGCCGTGGGGTTTGGTGCGTACCTCTGGCGGTGGACCACACGCAAGGCTTCGAACCGCTCTCAAATGCGCTAGAATAACCTATATAGTGAAATACCGCGTACATACAGAAGTATGCCCAAGTTTATGTTTGAACTAGTATTACGACCTCCCGTCTTCTTTGATTCAGTTTCGTTTACTTCGACCTTTGTGGTTCGTATGATTCCATCCCCAAAGCAACCTCTACCACCTAGCACCGACAATTTTTTTCTTTCGAGATCGTCAGTCCACAAGGCGTGATTGGCCAGTCGTGCTGTGCGGGACAGAACCGGGCTCACGGTGCAGCCAATCGCTGCCAAGTGCAAAGACTTCATAGTCGAGGTGTCCCAGCGTCCCCTATTCCCTGCTCCCCGCGACGAGTCCCTCGTCATTGATGGGCACAAGAGATCGCCGGGCTTCCGCCGGAAAGTTGCTTCGAACAGCCATTGTAGCTAGCGCAGACGTTATACGACGCAGCCTACCGCGAGAACCATCGAGACATTGAGAAGCCTGGGGCGAAAAAACAGGAGACTGGTGGACGTCTGGAATCTAGACACTTGGGGCTGCACCTGCTGAAAGGTTGGTGTGCGAGGCTGTAGTTTGGCGAGGCAACCCGCGGGCACTGCGCAGTCGATTGGCCTCTCGCGTCACCTCCACACCCTTTTCGGGTTATGCAGTAACGCATCCGTTGCCTGTAAGTCACTGTCTCAGAACACACCCATTTGTCCCTCTCCACCGTCCAGGCCATCGTCCAGTCCGTTCCCCAGCCTCTTTCGCTCTCCTGATCTGTCCGTGTCTCTGCTGGGCTTGTCTGCGTCGACGCTCCTCCCGGCTGTCCGGAGCATCCCCTCTGCCTCGTCCCTGTTCGCCCCCTTCAACTTCTGCAATGCGTTGCTCTGGCTATCGCCGGCGACGCCCTGAATCATTCGTCGGGCTGTGTCGGGACGTCTTGAAGGTGTTGCATGCGGCTCCTGCAAGCTCACGTCCCCTGCAACGCTGCTGAATGAGCTACTGCTGCTGCCATCACATCCACCCCGTCTACTTTGGTGTCTTGGCAGTCAAACGCCAACTCTGTAGCTTGTCTCGCTGTCGCACGTCACTACCTCGAAACTAAAGCCTCTCCCACTTGTGCCCGCCCGCCCGTCCGGTCAACAGATGTGTACGCAGTCGCTGACATGCTTCGCCGACTAGCGTCTCTAGGCCACCAGGCCTCAGCGGATGAGCCAATGTCCCCCTCTCCCGGCGATGAGCCCCAGGAGCCTAGGAGCACTGGGGGCCTTGCTGGTGTCTTCAAGGGGCTTGCTGGCGGCAAGCTTACCAAGTCTCCTCCCCCGCCGACGTCTCCTCCCGCTCTGCACCCTTTTCCGCAGCCGTCGCCCGCCCCGGCCTCCGCGTCCGTCTCACACCCCTTATCCCAACGCCCCGAGCGCCCCGACGCCGCCCCGCCCCAGCATGCCCTCCATGGGCTCTCCCCCGATCAGATGGAGCTCTTCGGACAACTCAAGAACGGCTCACTCAACGAGCGGATGGCTGCCGCGAATTCGCTGCGCTATACCATCGCCGACTTTCCTCTGAACCCCGTGCTCGACATATGGTATGCGGGGAAGGATCTCATAGATCAGATGAAACCGGTCCACGCCCGACAGGCTGGTTGGGAGCTGCTCACGGAGTGTGTCAAGTATCAGTCGTCGACAGACCTCGAGCGGCAAGAGTACTTCCAGACACTGACGGCCTCGGCGAATCCCGAAGACTTCCATCTCCAGCTGGCCGCAGTCGAGGACCTGACGGGGCACGGCCGCAACGTGTCTGGCTTCTACTACAAGATATTCCCGCTTCTCACCAAGTGGCTCCAGGACGCATACAAGGCTGTAAGGACGGCTCGGAGACAGGTATCGCGTGGGAGTGTCAAGCCCTCCAAAGGCAAGTCTCTGTCTTCCGGCGAGGACAAGAACTTCTCCCAGCTCTTCGCCTTCCTGAAGGATATCATCAAGTTCAATTTCAAATATGCCTCAGACGCCGTGGTAGGGAATCTGATGGACATCCTGCTCAAGATATGCATGAACACAAACGTCGAAGAGGACCTAAGGAGCTGTATCAGCGTTATCGATGCCATGGTCACCTTTGGCGCCATCCCCAACGATAGACTGAAGGACTGCATACAGGTTCTCAGCTCAATCCATTGCCTGGTGCCGAACCTGAATAAAGACGCCTGGCATACGTTATCAAATATTTGCAGGTCGCATCACGGCCAGTCCACCGTCAGGATTCTACTGGACGTGTTGCGGACTTTCCCCATGGTCCTTGACAAGGACAAGGACAAGGATGCAGTCAGAGAAGTGCGAGGCGCCCTCTCGGTCCTCAAAAAGCTCCTGTCAAAGTCTACCGAAAAGGGCTATCCAGCCGTCCCGTTTGCTCTTCTGGTGGATGGACTAGCCAGCATCTCCAAGAGTAGCTCCGTGAAGATATCTGCCGAGATCCTAAAGCTGATCAACTCGCTGTTCGATGGCCCTAAAGGAAACGTCAATCCAATCCTCCTTGAAGAGCATTGGACGCCTATATTGTCTGTGGCAGCCCATTGTGCCGCCAAAGGCACTCCGGCAGCCATAGTCGAGTCAGATGGGTCTATTCGATCGCCGCCCCCTAAAGACGATGCCAGTTCCAAACCTGAAGATGGAATTCCGAGCCAGCTGAGATTCCTCGTCAGCCGGGTTGAATCGTTGCTGATACAAAACTGTTCCGAATTCCTGCAGCGGGACGACTGTATAGAGTTCTTTACGAAGGTGCAACATGCTCTCCCAGACTCGGCGGCTGTTCTTGTAATCAGCTACCTCAAGGAGTATCGGAGCTGTCTACCCTCCGAGGGGCAGTGGAAAAGCAACCTCAAACTCGTCTTGGATGGATTTTACCTTGACCAGAGTCGCCGTCCTCTTACTCGCCTGCAAGCCTTGGAGGTGGTAGTTGAGGTTTACGACTTCCTCTGTCTTGTGCAAGGCCTCGTGGAAGACGAGCCAGTTCTTGACCTTGTGAAGTGGGTATTGTCCGGAATGTCGGAGGAGAACGATACTCTCGTGCTCCAGGAGACCGTGGCCTTCATGGTCAACGTGGCCGACACAGCTGGAGCGAGTCTTTTTGACGACATTCTTGACGCTTTCAAGAGTGTGATTGCTAGTGAGATGTCCAGGTCAATAGCTTCTAGTCCGTCGACACAAAAGTCTAGCTCAGCGCACCCTTCTGATCAGACTGTCTATTTCGCCAATCAAAGCCTCTCCAACGTTGTGGCGAAAGGCTACGTTCAAGTCTTTCTTAGATCGATGAACAGGGACGCCGCAAAGTCGGTTAAGGCATTCACGGCGCTGGTTCATATTGCCCGTTCGAATGTCTGCGAAGTCGATGCTCGGCTGACGGCTATGAAAATGCTTTTCCGCCTTCGAGCCAACTTTGAATACCAAGTACACGTCTCTGCAGTTATTGCAAACGAAGGCTTAGCAGGTTCTTTGTATAGGACGGAGTCATCTCTAGCCCGTAAGCTTGCAGAAGACGCAGCCCAACCGCCGTCGAGGCTTTCGAGAACAGAGCAAGGCGGGCACTCACGGGCAACCCGTGGGATATCGTTTACGCAGGCACAGACGGCAGAAAGGGCGGTGCCTAATCGGTCTAATACCACCCCAAGACCGGCGGCGCAACAAGGGCAGAGGCTTTGGTCGGTCCCCGATGCAGACGCGCTGCCTGAACAGCCTCACAGCCGGCCCAGCCATCTTCTCCTTTCACACCTGAGTGCTGATGAAGGGGCCGATTCTTCGGCGATAGTTCTGAACATGGGCTCGTGGCTGGACGCATTGCTCAGTCTTTTCCACCAAGGATGCGATTGGGAAGTGTACAGCTTCATTCTCGTACATCTCCCAGCGCAGCTCAGCAACCGCCACATCTTCGCAGACGCTGGGTCGCACATCCAAGAGCTCCGGCGCGTCTTCTGCGAGATGATCAGGATGAATAGTCACCAGGAGCCTCCAAGCTTGTCAGGGTTGCGCCGCACTGATGTTGCAAACTGTCTGTTCCACTCTCTCGTCATGATAATCAGCTACAACGAACTCTTCCAGAAGATGGACGAAGACGAGATTGTGAGAACATTCGTGCATGGAATCACGGACAAGACGGCAAAGACGTGCATACACGCCTTGTCGGTCTGCTGCCACGAGTTGCCCCAGTCCGTCAGCAAGTCTCTCGTCACCATTCTACAAAAGATGTCCCAAGTCATTACGCAGCCTCTCGTGGCGATGCATATTCTGGAGTTTCTGGCCTGCCTTAGTCGCCTGCCTTCGCTTTTTGTCAACTTCAGGGAAGACGAATATCGCATTGTCTTTGGTATTTGCTTCCGGTACTTGCAATACGTGCGCGATAGGAAGCATTCGACGCGCAACAGCCACGCGAGCGAGCCGCCGACGCCCAGCATGTCTGTGCCGGGCATGGCGGACCAGCTATGGCAGCAAAGTTTGACCGACGACCTGCCACAGTACGTGTACGCTCTCGCCTATCACGTTATTACCTTCTGGTTCCTCGCAGTCAAAATGCCCGATCGTCCAAACCACATCGGATGGATTGCCAAGAACTTGTTTACGGACGTCGATGGAAGCCCCAGTAACGAGGAGCAGGCGCAGATCACCCTCGACTTCATGCAGCGCGTGGCCTTTTCAGATGCCAGTGATTCGGCCGAGGATCCGCTGTTCAAGGAGATAAATTTCGGGGAAATGCAGCACAAACGCTGGATCCTCGGCAACAGCATTGTCACGATTCGACAGGCAAAGGAAACGGGCTGGGCTGAAATCACACGGCGGTATCCCTCTGGGACTTCTTCTTTCGCAGTCCGCGTCGAGTTTCCCTCGGTTCCATCTCGGCCCGCCGAGGAAGGCTCGTACGCCACGGCTTGGGAGGGTCGTTTCCAGCAGGGCACGACAATGTTTCCCAGTCACTTGTTAATGCAGCTCTTATCACCAATTCCGCAAATCTACGATCCTGTCATGCGCCCAATACCGCTCCCCGAGGACGACTCGGTTGGCCGCGCTATTCGTCTGTTCGATCACAACTCGACGGTTGATGGGCACAAGGTCGGTGTCATCTATATCGGAGAAGGCCAAACCAAGGAGACGGAAATTCTCGCCAACACGATAGGCGGGCCCGATTATCTTGCGTTCCTCAAAGGCTTGGGGGCACTGACGAAGCTGAAGGGGGCGACCTTCAACACGCAGGGGCTGGATCGAACCAGCGACTCGGACGGCCAGTACACGTATTGTTGGCGCGATAGAGTCACGGAAATCGTCTTCCACGTAACCACGCAGATGCCGACAAACCTAGAGCATGATCCGCAATGCAGCTTGAAGAAGCGGCACATAGGCAACGACTTTGTGAATATCATCTTCAACGACTCGGGCCTGCCTTTCAAGTTTGACACGTTTCCGTCCCAGTTCAACTATGTTTACATAGTCATCACGCCTACTCCGCGCTTCTCGTTTGCCGCCGCGCGAGAGATGGCGAGTAAACGAGAGGGAGAACGTGGGGATTCGCTGCCCTTCTTCATGGTGCAGGTCATGAGCCAGCCTGGGTTTCCCGAAGTTTCGCCTGCAGCAGAGCCCAAGATAGTCAGCCTCAAAGCCTTGCCGACTTTTGTTCGGCTGCTCGCACTCAACGCCTCGGTATTCTCACACGTTTGGGCCTATCGAGAAGGTGGTGAATATGTATCGTCGTGGCGCAATCGTCTCCGGGAAATCAACAAACTCCGCGAGCGATACGGGCCGAAGACATTCCCAACCCCGTCGCCTCCTCCCAGCGCCCTGGGAGGAGGCTCTTTGGCGACATCGAGCGGCATGATGGGTCAAGTGCAGTCACCCTTGCAGACCGAGGGCTCGCGGCCCCCGAGCGGTGTCCGGGACAGCTTCAGTAGCCTCCGAAGGTCGTCGGTTGCCACCTTTTTCACCAACGTCAGCACGGATCAGGCCTCTCACCGGTCTTCAATGCTCTCCACAACTACCACAGACAACACCGAGATCATGCCGATTCATGGAGCTGAGGCCTTGGTGGATTCGGTGGATTTCTCAAAATGGACATGAGGCCTTGAGAATTTGCCTCCTGTCGTGTTATCCACCCGCCGCATATACGAACGGTAATCATTATTACTAAAGTTGTGCTGGGCGTGCCGATGGCGGTATGGGGCAATGTACGAAAAGTGTGGAGATGTCAGCTGTCAGTTCTCTTTTTCTTTTCAAAAAAATGTTTTCTTTTTTGTTTTGCGATGCGGCTTTTAACGGCGCGTGAAGGATCAAAGGGACCAAAGGATATACCACAAAAGTTACTGCTTTTCTTTTCTTATTTTCGCCTCTCATTTATTTGTCATTCAATGTCCTGTCATCGTATGAGCTGTCACAAGCTTGTGCTGTGGCAATTGTCTGTTTATCCCAAGTTTTCGTTGGTTTTTTTTTCCGATGTTAGATATCTGGGAGGAAATCTCCGCACACTCTCTTTTATCTCTGCACCAAATTTCGAGAGCGACAGGTTTCGGGGAAGGACAAGTAAAAGGATGGGAAAAAGGCCGTGTTGGCTGGGTTAGGAGACCTGTAACCAACTTGGACTGGCTAGCAATGGTTACACAACAGTTTCCCATGGATACCCACTCACACTCTCGCAACACGCGTGCGCACACACTCGCACAAAGGAACTCGCACCACTTGTATGTACGAAGTATGTGTGTACAGCGCATCACACAGGCGCGCACACACAAGCGTGAGCGATCTATTACTCTTTTCTTTTGTCGAGAAGAGATGAGAAGAGAAACCGGGCGGCGACCCGGCTTTTGGCCCCCGACGGCCCATCTGCCCGCCCACGTGTCTGTCGTCTGTCTGTCTACCTGCGTATCCGTCTTAAAACGGCTACTAATATTGACCGAATCATGGTTTTATGGTGTGCGGTATATATTACCCGTGTGTATCGCATGCAAGGACAATGGAACGTTGCACAAGGAAAGAAAAAAGGGGGCGGAAAACTTGTGTGTGTGTGTGTGTGTCTCTCTCTCTCTCTTTCCCTTTTCTCGCGAGGTTGTTAGTACCGTGTGTATGTGCGTTTGGATCAGTTTGACCTGCTGCTGTGCTGTGGCCAACTACCTTACCTACGTAACTCCAGGTGGTCACCACCCGACCGACCGACCGACCGACCGACTAATCGACCAGCCGGCCCGCGGACCCACTGGCGGCTGACGGCCGCCGGTAGGAGCTCAGACAACGCCAGTAGGTAGGTAAGTGAGCTGGGTTTTCTTACTGCCTACTTCCTCCTGCCCACCCGCCCGCCCGCGTGCGCGCCCCGGTTTCGGCGTAACCATTTGCTGTCACGTCGGTCGGTCATCGGCACGGTCTAGTCTAGCCATGGTCCGGCCATGGTCCGGCCATGGGGTGGGATTCTTGAAATGTGTAATGACGAAAGCATGATGAGGCATGGCATGCTCTGCATCTGTCCGGCCTTGACTGGTATATATGTACGTATTATATATGCAGGCATGCATTGCTGCATTGATTGCTGCAGCTTGCAGCTTGCACTTGCTTGCTCGTGGCTAATAAGTTAAGTTATTGACGGAGAGGGATAGAAGAAAGACTTGTAGGGAATGGAAGAAATTATGGTTTTATTTTTGTCCGCCGGGTTGAGAATATGATCTCATAAAGTTCACTCACACCCACACAACGAGAACAAGGCGGGCGGTGCCTCAGCCATGCATAACGTCCTACCGACAAGTGAATGAATGAACAAACGCCCTCCCCCTCTCCGCAACAAATATCGGAATGGTTGCCATGCCTTGACGGTGGAAAACGGGTGTGGGGGTTCAGCAGACAGACAGACAGACAGAGAGAAAAGAGAGGGTATAAAGGGGTTGTTTGTTGGATGTGATTTAAGGTAGCACAGCGCAGGACTCGGCCTTGGCTCAAGTTGAAGCTCTGTGTGTGAGTGTGAGTGGAGTGCGTGCGTGCTCCCTTGAACAGAGACCAACCCTTTAACCCAACCCACCACCACCACAGTTACCAGTATAACACACGCGACCCACACGCCCTCGCCCCTCGCCCTCCCCGCGGTTATTTTGAGGTACGGTACGGTAACATCTCATTGAAAAATGTCCGCGGTTAAGTCCCATTTTGTGACCATTACGGGGGCCGTACATACCGAAAGAAAGGGGACGGACGTGATCAGCGGTTCATGGACTAAACTCTGCCGGCTGATCTGATTTTTTTGTTTTTTTTTTACAAAAAATGATAATAATGTGGCAAAATGAAACTCACGGCTCGAGGGAAATCAATCTTCGTGCGTTGGACTTGTGTGTGTGTGTGTGTGTGCAATGCAGTCTTGGTTGCACAAGCTTGGTGACAGAGAACGAAGAGAAACAGGCGCGGGCAAGGGGAGTGAGGTGGAGCGTGTGTGTGTGTGTGTGTGCGCACAGCTGCGGCGAGGACGAAAAGGGGAAATAAACTCGTCGTTTTCAGAGTGTTCGTGTAGGTGTGTGTTAGTGTTTAGGTGTGGTTCGTGTGTGTGTCTGTGTGTGTGACACGAGAGTCAGAGTTGCGTACCTAGAGAAAGGAGCAGTGATAAAAAAAATGGACAGAACAGAAACAAAATATGATAGATTAGTTGATTGAGCTGAATAGCGGCGCCACTTTCCCATCCCCCTCACTGAGGGTTTTGGCTCAGGCACACACACATAATCAGGGCAGCAGGTCATGCTGCTGTTTCGGTTGTGCCGCCGTAAGTAAGGTAAGTGTGCCTTTGTCATGTCAGACCAACCATTTTCCCTTGTGAGAGCCTTTTCCGAAGTAGCCGCAAACATGTGGAACTCGAACATTACCTTGTGTCAGAGAAAAGAACGGCGGCTCAGTCAACATTCAACATAGGGTAAGAAACAAAAATAAATCCCTAGACACGCTTTACTGACAAAGTTTCCGCAAGTAATACTCTCATCCTTGGCATCCTTGGTAAGCCTGATACAGCACAAAAAATAAGGTCCGGGTGCTTCCTGTGCGACTTGATACTGAAACCCAGACAAGTTACGCGGCATTTTGGAGAGAGAGAAGAGGCTCTTGCTGACTCCGTGGCCTCGGCCAGCTCACATCATTTTTCCCGATCGGGGAGAGTTGAAAATTGCCTCATAGCAGCAGCATTTCTGAATTTCTAATTCTTTCTCCTTTTTTTTCTTTGGGGAGGGGGAAAATGGTGTGCATGTTCGAAGTATGTACATTACATACATACGTGTATTCGACGCGAGTGCAAGTGGTGAGCCTAAAGAGCCGAGGGCGCCGGGCATGGCGAGACGCTACCAATGCCACTCCAATGCAGAACAAGCGAATTACTTAAAAACATTGGTAAGCCCCATGAGCACCACGGCGAATGAGACAAAGGGGTACCGGGGTGGATTGCATAGAGCCTGATCTGTAAATGCACCTCTTCTGGGAAAGGGTTGGCGATCTCTGTGCCAGTCAGCATGCATCGTGATTCGTGTCTTACTCCATTCTGTTGTTTGCACCTTTTGGGTCGCGAAGCCTAGGGTTTTGGTGTTCTGTTGTGCGGCCGAAACCGCCAGAGGAAGGAGGTAATATGTCACCAAAACACCAGGTATTATCACAAAAGGATGGGGCTTTGCATCTAGACAAGTATCTTCTCGTATTGTGCAAGCTGATCTTGTAATACTTCAACGCTTTGTCCACGCAAGCTCTCGTTTTCGTCTTGTGCTTCAGAGAATTTGTTTCATATTCTTTGACTCGTGGGCCGACGGTCAATCTCGGTCCCGCCAAACCATCTTCCTAACAAGAAACCTCTGGGAACCTAGATGCCAGAGAGAATAGACGCAGTGACTTTTCCGCTAGGGAAGCCTTGGTAAGTTGATCCGGAAATTCGTCGCCGCCGAATGGTATATCGGAAGATCCCTTGCCATATTTGGAAGCCTCCGAACTCCGACTATGGCTTCCTACAGGAGGCTGTAGATACGGGAATAGGACTTTAAATCCTCGAGATTCCGGCCTCTTCGCAATTTGGTGGAATGGACCCGACCCTGAGATCGAAACTAAGACCGCATTGCTCGAGACTTGGGCATTAGTTGACTCTCGTGTCCTGCGTGGCGTCGCCGACCGTCCGTTGTTCGGCCGAACTAACTCATGGCTTAGCCTGCTTTCAGCCGATATGCTTAAATCTCGGCCGAGGATTGGTTCATGGCGGCATGGGCTTGAGGCATTCCAAATAGTTCTGGGAGGAAGGGCACCGCCAGCTGAATCCTTTACTGCCGGTGTTATTCTTGCTGTGCGAAATGTCTTGGCTCGGCCGGGTCAGTCTGAGCATTATGGCAATCCATCGAAGCCTTGGGGAATGTGGTGCTGGCCATCAAGGCGGCAAAAAACTATAAACGGGCATCAGGCCTCGGATAATCAGCAGGGTATAGCTTCCCCGCGGATAGCTTTGTGATCAATCCTTTGGGCTTGTCAACATCTCGGGCCCGGGCTGGGGTCTGGGTTTTGCGTTGCCAGAACGGATGCCTCCGTCGACAGACCTAGATCTAAATGCCAAGGCGGCATTGATCCGGCAGGAAGACACGACTTGCCGCAGGCAATCCGTTGGAAATCCGCTAGCAATCTGTAGGCGATCCTTCCCCTTGTGCAACCAACCAGACCGACTGGCAACAAACTGACAACCATCTGTCTCTGCAAACATTTCATTCTTGGTCAAAGCAACCAACTTGCTGTCGACTCAGCCCTTGGAGATCGGCGTCCTCCGTTCCGGAATTTCCTGTGCTCCTAGATCCCTAAAGCTTTGATGGCATTGCGGTCGTGAGATTTCGCCGTATTGATCGTACAGTACATATATACATTGCGCAGATAATTATGGCCTTGCCGGCTCCCGGGCGACATGAAACTGGACGAGGTCGAGAGGGGTCAACGAAATTGTGCGCGTTACCGGAATTGGCTGGGCCCCTATCCATGTTCAACTGACCCTCGGACAACCGCCAACTGCCGGCGCGGGAGCATCCACCAAAACCCGCCAACGATAAGTTTGGGTGTGGCGTTGGTTCGCAGCCTGGGGGGCATTCTCAAACATCACGCCAAACCTCTCGGTATCTTGCCCATTTTTGGAAGCCTAAGCCCAAATTAGTAGGAATCCTCTGGCGTTGGGGCGTGAGAGGGTGACTACTAACCCATGGATTGAAAGCCCTCGTCACCGCCCTTGATGGCATCGATAAACATCTTCTTCATGCCTTGCTCAGAGAGTACGCGGATGCAGCGGTCGAGGAGCCGTATCATGATTGCGTCTCGCCTGCTCGCCATATTAGGTTTCTCGTCTAGAAACAAGTCAGCTTACGCGTATTCTGTTGGATCCAACCTTCGACGCGCATGACCAACCTGTGATACAGACACATGTGACGCCGCCGGTGTCGTCCGAAATCGTGCTAGCCCAGGGCAGATCCTCAGCCACGGGGCTCCCCGTGTTTTTTGCGTATGTCAGGGCCGTGGCAACAATGGCGCCGCCTTCAAGGCCAATGACAATATCCCGAATGTTCATCGTGCCGGCCAGCTTTGCGTATTGGTCGTACCAGCCTACGTTGGTCTTTTTCCTCGATTCCTTTTCGACAATTTCCAACACGGCGTCGAACTCGCTGAATTCGCAGGGTCTGAAAACCAGCCCCGGCGGCATGTAACCGGTTGCCGGCCAGTCTTCGAGCCTAAGAAACCAGTCGCAGACTTCTTGGCCAGAGCCGGGCACCGATGATTGAACATCCGAGATGGGCCAGTCGCGCCGCTGAAACCAACCGACAGGAACCTCTGCCGGTAGACCGTAAAATAGTCGCGGGAACGTACTACCGAGCTGTAGACGGCAGACCCCCCTTGTTTTCGCAAGTTGGCGTAACGCGTGATTGTGCAGGCTGAGGCCAACGCCCCGTAGTCGGTGAGATGGCCGAACCAAGATTGCCGCCATGGAAGCTATTAGCCGCTCACCGCCGCTGTCGGCGTACGTGGTGTAAGTCGCACAGAAGCCAAGCACCTCCGAGGTCCCGGGCTCCCGCACAATATAGTGCATGGCGTAGCCGTCGCGGCGGAGCAGCGACTGAAACGGGAACCGGCCCAGCTGAAAGCTTTCGGGGAAGCATTGCTGCCATAGCTCATGGACAGCGGGCACATCGCGATGCGCATCCCACACTTGGACGGCCCATGACTTGGGCGCGAAGACGACTGGTTGGACAACGGGCGCTGCTGCTGCTGCTGCTGCTGCTGCTACCGCTGCTGCTACCAAGGGAATTTGGCCCCCACCAAAAAGAACATTGGCAGCCGCTTCTAGTTCGGCGGGGGAGTAGTTCGGAATATGGATGATGGCAGGGAAAGAGCTCTCGAGCGGCCCCAAATCCTCAAGATTGCAGCATGCCACAATGATTTGTGGCCGGTGCTCCGAGACAGCACGCGCAATCTCGGCCAGAGCCACCTGTGAGCGTTGCCCGTGGCGAGGAGGGCCCGAGATGACGAATATCACGGTCGTCGCTAACCTGATGTGCACGACGTGGGTACCGCTGATACCGTTCCGTGGCAAATATGGCACATGGCGGACCCACGGATGGTGTTTAGCCAACGCCTTCCCTAGGGGCTCAAAGGGGTCGGAGGTCGGAGCACTGTTGGCGGGTGAAATCTGGGGTGGAACCCCTGGAGTCAGGAGAAGAAGAATGTCGCCGTCGTTGAGGACCTTGGAGAGCGGCAAATAAGACTGCGAATCCTGTACGACGACAGGCCTTTGTGGTTTTCTAAGATCCCCGGCAGGCAGTTTCGGCCTCGGTTCATTGCTGGAGAGCTCCAAGGGACTCATCACGAACCGCGGTGTTTCTGGCACTGCAGCGTTTGGTTAGTGCACGTGCTTCATCTTCAATTCCTGATCTCACTCACTCGTGCACTCACTCTTTTAGCCCAACTCGCAACAATTCTGCATTGCTAGACCAGTCAAACTTCTCTTTGGAGTAGCCGTAGCTTTGCAATCATGGGCCGTGAAATATCAAACGTGCCGGCCGCTAGTGTCTCGGGCAGGTTCCAGGCTTCTAGAACTCGAGCTCAGCGGCACAGCTTATAGCCTCGCAGGGCCAGGGCAGCTGAAGAGGCGCAGATACGTGGAAGTAGCGATGAAGTCCCCAGACATTAGCAGATAAGTTTTGCCCGGGATCTGCACGCCGGCCGGTTCCAATGGCACCCAACAGCGGCGGGCAGGCAGGTCTAGACGAGATGATGCTTGTCAATGGAAGGATTGTCCGCGTTCCTGTCGTGGTTCCTGGGCAGCCTGAGGGATCAAGGGGCCAATGGGAGGCGCAGTGAAATTGGATGGCCGGCAAAGCCGCAGGAGCAGTGGCAGAAATGTCAGGGCAGGGTGAAGCTTTGGTGGTGTTGCAGGCCGTTTAAAACAAAGTAGCACTCCAATACCCGTTAAGCGTTGTGGGCCGGGCCGGTTGAGAAGTTGCGAGTTTGGAGGGGAGAAATGTCTTTTTTTTGTGTTTCTGTCCACAACGGCGGCAAGACATAAACGCCGATCACGAAGACTAGGTTAGGTTACGGATGACGGGGCACGGGCACTGAAGTAGAATTAGAGAGGGAGTAATGGCGCCTCTTTGAATGAATGCAGCAGCTCAACCCTGTCAGTGTGTGTTCCGTCAGCGACGACTCCGAAACGGCCTTCGGATTTCGAAGTGCCGCTCTGGGCCCTGGCCTCTGAGCTCTGGCCTTTGAGCTCTGGGGGTATGTCTCTGAGAGAGATGGGGGCGTGAGAGAGGGAGTGTGTGTGTGCGCGCGTGTGTGTGCCCATGTGTAAGTAAGATGGGAAGTGTGTGTGTGGTGCGTGTCTCGAGGGGACGCATATACCGTCAATACTGCACCAGCGTATGCGTCCAGTCCAGACATAGCTACCTACATACACATTGGTAACACAACCATGCCGTGGCGGGCTGCTCGATGGTGACGCTGTTGTGGGTATTTGCGCGTCTAAAGAAATGAATCAAGGTTTAGGGGCCAGTTGCTTCTGCATGACAAGTGCTCCCGAGGGCCTTGTTAATTGGCCGATAATGAGCAGGCTATGGCTGTGGTGTGCGCGTGCAGAGAAACTTGGGTTGTACAGAAGGAATGCGCAGATAGTGTGTCAGAGCGGTGCATGATACCTTCCACGGGCACTACGGGTGCATGGTATGGAGCTGGAAGGTGAGGTAAGGTAGGTCTGACAGTTATGGATGGTAAGGTAGGTAACCCGCCCGGGTGCCTAGCGTTTGCGTTCGGCGTCCTGCGCACCCCAAACATTGGCATGTCGAGCTCAAGCTCGAGTCTAGAGCCTGCGAACCCGCTCCGGCGACCGTGGGGTTGAAAGGCCGCCGGGGGACCCTGTGCTGCAGAATTGCCCAGTTGGGTAGTTCAGGGAATACGTCCTTCGGATCTGCCCCGCCCGCTCGGGAGCAGCCTCAGGCCCCTGTCGTTGTAACTTCTATCGTTGTCGCCTGGGAGGCAGGGGGGCACCTCAGTTGTGTGCCGACAGCCCAGTCCCATCCTGGACAACCAACCCGTCGTGTTAGAAAAGAAGCGCAGACGCCGCCAACTCTGACCACCAAGGGCGGGCCACTCACTGGCAGTGACACCACAACAAGGTAAGATACGGTGCGGCATACTCCGTACTTATGTACCTTAGGTCCACGCCGCCTCGCCCTCGACACACGCTAAGAACCACCAATTGCCACTTAGGGCGTTCGCTCGCTCGCCGGACATGGGGCGGGCGTAGACGGCGTGGTTACACAAAGGGTTTTTGGCCGTGGCACCGTCAACCTGAAGGAACACGCCATGGAGCATCGGTCCAACGCGCGATGGCCGCCCTGTTGAGGTGAGGTGCGGTGCTGTGCTGTGCTTTGCTGTGCTCTGCTCTGCAGCCATGCTCCTGGGGGTTGGCTTCCAATGTGCGCCAAGGACGTCTAGGGGAGTGACACATCGCCTGTCGCACAAGCATCACCAAAAGATGACTTCACTGCCCATGGCCGGGGTTGGGGTGCCGGGTGCAGAAGTGCGGTATGGCCTCGTAGTACACGAGCGGCACCACCAAGGGGGTAAGGGAGAGAAACAGACGCGGAAGAGAGCAACCGTCAGTCCTGTCAATTAGGTGCCCCTTCTTCAGATTTGGAGATAGATAGAATAGCCTGTGCGGGGAAGAGACGAAACCCAACCAGAGAGGCAGAAGCGTACACGGCTGGAGTTCCGTTTGCCCCGGACTAGTGCTCGAGCAGCATGGACAAATCTTCGTCAGATGGGTAGGGCTAAATACAAAACTTTGGTAGCTATTGCCGTATTAAATCAAGGCACGAAGCACGTAAGGTACCTACCTCCATATAATACACATACGGTGAGCCGTTGGCGAGAAGGGTTGGAGGGTAAAAGGCGGGATGAAGGGGAATACGGCTGGAATGTTGGAGGCGTGGCGTGGGGGGGAGGGTTCGGAAGAGAGAGAAGGGGGGCCAAATCGACGGCCGTGACAGCTAAGGGCGAAGTTGCCCAATCTGAGGCGGCCCTGATCGAGGCCGAAGGATGATGGTGAGGTCGCACAGTCCGAGTCGAGAAATGAAAACCCTCAAGGGCAACAACCCCGATGTGGCTGCATCAGTGAAGAGGCGCTGGGCCGCTGGACTGAGGTGCAGTGAGGTGCAGTCACCTCAATGGCAGAGAGCGGGCATGCAGCGGATCGCGAAGCCCGGGGTGGTATTCAGCAACGGCGAGCCAATCCGTAAACGGCCAGGGAAATAGACTAAATAAACGCGCGAGACCCGTGCAGATGTCATAAGGCAGGGTAGGTTGTGATAATCTCCAAGGGCGCATCATCCGGTGCAGAAGAGCAGCAGCGTAGCGTATGCAACTTAGTACTGAGCGACAAGGAACGGAGGCTGGAGTCTGTTATGGCCGCGGCTTTGTGCACTACGAGCTATGGTAGGTTGTTGCGGACGATTGATGGATGCCGTTGGATGGGAGAACAACGTCCATAGGTTCCATTTCCGACTTGGGGTTGCGGGAGAGCAGTTGCCGGGAGCAGCGCCTCTGCTGACTCCCTCAACCTTCTTGCCCGTTTGTGTAACACCACTGGTGCAAGGTCTCTCTTTCCGCTCTCGGCAAGCTGGAGCTGCATTTCACTGCTCAGGAAGGCGCACCTTGCGACGACGGGAGCTTGGGCCGTCTTATTCATTAATTCCTGGCAGTTGGCTTGCTTGCCAAGGCACATACACGGATGGGCACTCTACAATACCTACCTCGCTCCTTCCATCTGGGCTGCAATGACCCCACCTGATATCGGCAACGGGGGGCCGAGAACCTAGACTGTCCTGTGGTTTCTAGGTTAGTTAGGTAGTCTGTGCAATCTGAAGTGGGATGGGCTACGCAGGCCTCAGGACCGGACCCAGCCTCGATCGATCCTTCTGCTCCCAATCCATTACAATGCTCTTGGCGGCAAACAACTTCAAGGCTGCTTCCTAGGTGCCCAGTTTGAAACCTGAGGCACTTGGTTGCTCAGGCACCTTGACGACTGCTGTGGCAGGCCGTCAGGGTGGGTAGTGGGGTTATGCAATCGGTCGCTGTTTCGCGTGTAATTAATCCAGTGATCGGTAATTCCAGTCTGTGTAATACAGCCCGTCGCAGGTGCAACGACACGCACGCCGTGTCACTCCGCAAAGCTTCCCGTTGTACGGAGCTTCGGGCCAAAAGTCTTGACATTCGCTTGTACCTGTCTTACGTAAAGACAGTGTTTAGAAAACACCCTTATCACTAGAGCTTTAGGGACTCACTGCTGAATTCTAGCGCTCAAATCCCTAAGCACTAGCGGTCTAGTCCCTAAGACCTTGGCTTTTTAGTGAACTGCTTACACAGTGTTAATAGTAGTATTGCATTTTGGGCACTGTTCTTACGTAAGGCCGGTTCAGGAAAGTGTTGAACACTTTTGGCTCGAGACTCCGTAACGTGCAATGTGCAATGTCAACCTACCTTAAACTTGAAAATCCAGCATCCAGTGAGCGGCAATGAAGTAAAGACGGAACCCACCTGGCCAGCAGCAGGACAGCAACAACTTCCCTGTGAAGTGGTGGGCAAACATCGGAAACGAGAGCGACAAAAGTCAAGGAGAGACATCGGAGGAGAGCCAGTGAAAATGGCATCGCATGAAAATGACACTTTAAGTGATCTCTTGGGCGACCTCGAGGCGGGTATGGACAATTCAATCGAGATGCGCATCTCATCTCGTGCGGTGCAAGCAAAGCCAGGAACGAAACGCTAAAACCAAGGCAGCCTCCAAACTCCCGGCCAAGCGTCGCCAGGCAACCGTCAAGCCGACGGTTGAGAAGACGACATCGCTACTGTACGAAAGGGGCGTCCTCCCTGACGAGCTAGCCCGTCTGGTCGACCTTGTCACTCTCCGCAACTACCTCGACCAGGCGAGCCTCGCCGCCATCGTGCGCAACCTGTACCCGGCGGGCAAGGTGGGCGACGATGTCGTCTTGTGCGTCGTTGGCGCCCTTGGCCACGGCCAGCTCAAGCCCGCCCTGACCCTCCAGGCCCTGTTACTGAGATGGCTCGTCATGGCCTACCACCTGCTGCAGAATCCAGACATCCTGTCACAGGCGTACGGCGTCTTTTTCAACCTACTCAGCACTGCTGCCATTCGGTAAGGCAGTCTTCCTCCTGGCGGTGTCACGGGGTTTCGCGTCGCCTCCTTACGGAAACCCCGTCGGCATGTTTGGCTTACTGATTCTTTGCACAGGCCCCAGCTGTGCCATCTACTCGCCCTAATCACGCGACGCAAATATGTCAGACCGTTCAGGATACAGGCAATGTGAGTTTTGCGCATTCCTCGGGCAGAATATGCGTATGCGCACAGCTCTGATGGACCGCCGTGCAGACTGGCACTGTCCAGGCAGACAGGCAGCGATCCGCACCTGACAGGCCTATTGCGCGTGTTCAAGAACTACTACCCCGAGATCATCGTGGGCGAAGTTACAAAGGGGCGGGCCGCAGCCTTCAAAGTAGGTGGACTTTTCGACGTGTCTGAAGTTGCCAGCAGAGAAGCTGACCGCGAGCCAGCACCCTGATCCCCAATGGCGGGATAGAGTAAACGAAATCCAACAGCAGCAGCAGCTCGACCGCCAAGATTATGGTGGGACTAAGAACGGGTTCGCCGTCAACCATGCCCTGGGCCGGCAGATGAATGGCGCGACGGCCTCTGTGTTCCCAGCTGTGCACACCCAGCATTCCCAAGAGGTACGTCGCGTGGTCAGGAAGACTAAGGCCAGTTGCTAATTGCTCCCAGAGTTCATTGACCCTTGAAGAAATTGACAAGGCCGAGGCGTTTGTGGACAACCTGGAAAAGATTGAGTTGCCGACCCAGCTTGTCGCCGTCATGGCGGATCCTCTGCTTCAGAAGCTTTTGCTCTTGCGGCCAGATGCCGACGCCTCCGCTCGTATAAGCAACTGGGTTATGGCCTGCCTGGGCGATGTGGCGGCTGGAGACACAGATCCGGCTTTCATGCTCGACATGCTGGAGGTCGTCCACGACTATGTTATGAACACCAAGGTTCGTGGTCTCGAGTCTGAATTTCCTATCCCTTGCTGACCTAATCGCTTGCCAGACCCTGCCACCTTTGCTCCTGACCTTCTTACAGATGTTCCTGGGAACGTGGAATGGCGTAGACAAGAGAAGCGATGTGCTCGAGACTGTTAGCTATACCCCTTTGGGCGATTTTAAGAGCAAGCCCCCACCCCCTGTAATCGTCCAAACACATTTCAACTGACCCCTTGCAGAGCTCTACAAAAAACTCTTCCAGCTCCTCGAGAGCTCACTGCTGGACAGCACGGCAGCCTCTCAGGTATCGCTGCTGAAGTTCTACACCCTGCTCCTCCGACGATGGTCCATCGCAATGCGTGCGTCTCAGGATAGCGTCGACCCTGTGCTACCGGATGGCTCAGCCGGTGACCTTGTGAGCCACGTCAACAAGCTCGCCCTGACGCTGACGCAGACGGCGCCGGGGGCCGCCACGCAGCTGGCCATCCTCGACTTCTACGAATGCTTCGCGTCCGTCTTCTCGATACCGCGGCTGCTGCGGTCTGTCGACCTCTGCATCCCACCGGCGCTCGTCGTGTACCCCATGGTGTTTGGCGACTCGCTGGTGGTGCTCTCGCGGCTGTGCGGCATCCTGGCCGCGTACAAGCGCGCATGGGAGGCCATCATGGCGCCGTCGTCGCCAGCGGCGCGCCAGCTGACGCGCCGCGAGCGCGAGCAGGTCAACACGTTCAACGGCTTCCTGATGGACCTCTGCAACTGCCTCTGGCGCGGGCGCGCCTTCGCCACCTCGGACCTCAACGCCCAGGGCTGCGGCATCCCGCGCGCCCTTGAGCCCGCCCTCGACTCGTACGTGCGCGCCGTCGACTCGGAGCTGGCCCTCGGCGCCCTCTTCGGCCTGTCGTACTCGCCCGTGCTGTGTCTACAGGCCATTTCGTACGTGCGCGAGCTCGAGGAGGCCGAGATCGAGGCCTCGCCCGACGGCCTGCGGTCCCGCCACGCCGGGCCCGTCACCCAGGCCTCGCTGACCCGCCTGGCCAGCAGGGGCGGCGTGGCCCTGTCGTTTCCGGAGTACAGGTCCGGCGTGCTAAAATACCTCGAGTCGAACGGGTTCCCGGGCGTCCCGGAGCTGATGTACAACACGATGAAGAATCTCATGAAGGAGCGAAAATAAGCCGGCATGTAACGTGAGGTAGTTTAGCAGGATTACAACCTTTTTTTGTGTCTAATTTTCTTCGAGGCCAAGCATGCAGATGCAGAGCTGTACTGTTTGTTTATTGGACTGGTTATTACCTACCTACCTGTTTTATTCCAAGAGCAAACGCCATGTTAAATGCGTTGGGTATCATGTTAAAGAGAAAAATGAAAATGAAGTGAGAATGTGATGAAATCCCCATAAAATGTTGAAAATCCGGCACCCCTGATCCCTTCGTTTTTAGCCACAACTTAAAACAATTTCCGCTCTGTTACCCCCCCTTTCCTTGGTCTGCGTCTCATGTTCCCTTTCGAGAATGAACATCTGGCCACTACGACGACGGCGCCTTTGGTTCGAAACCGTAGCCACCAATGCCGCCAGTCGTGTAGCTGCGGCCCTCGGGACCGCGGCGGTTCTGGCTCCGGGGCCCACGGACCTTGAGGTCGTCGCGCAGCCAGCGCAGGACCAGCTGGCCGAGGCGGCTGTTCCCGGAGGCTAGCAGCACGTCGTCGCCGGGCTGGGGCGGCGCGGCAGCGGCCTCCTCCTCGGCGGCGCGCAGCAGCTCGTCGGCAGGGCCCCAGCCCCTGACAGTCCCCATGTGCATGTGCACGAGGTGCGTGGGCCACCCGGCCAGGTTGTCGAGAATGTGGGTAGCATAAACGACGGTGCAGCCGCGCAGCTCCGTCTCGCGGTACAAAAAGGCTAGGAACTGCGAGCGGCTCCACACGTCGAGGTCGACGGTGATCTCGTCGAGCAGCAGCACGGTCCACGGGCGGATCAGGCCCATGGCCAGCTGGACGCGGCGGCGCTCGCCGTCGCTGACGGCGTGCATGCGCCAAGCCGTGTCGATGTCGAGGACCGCCACCAGCTCGTCGCGCCGCGCCGGGTAGTAGTCGCCCCCGACGGAGCGCAGCAGCTCGTCGACGCCAATGTCGGTGCGCACGATGGCGTTGAGCACCCACTCGAGCCCCAGGTACGTGACGCCCTCGAGCCCGTCCTTGAAGGGGTCGACGCCGCCGACGCGGATAGCCCCCGCCGGCGCCAGCCGCTTGCCGGCCAGCAGCCGCAGCAGCGTCGTCTTGCCGGCGCCGTTGGCCCCGATCAGCAGCGTGCGCGATCGCGGCGGCAGGTCCAGCGTGATGTCCGACACGCCCGTCGACCGGTCGGGGAACTGGTACGTCAGCCCAAATGTCTGCACCGACGGACCCCCGGGCGGTACTGGAACGACCATGGTGTTTTGCGTGGTGATTGACTACGTAGGTACGTTGGTGACAAGAGCAGACAGAGTTCTATCCCTTTGCGAGAAATGAAAGCCAGAAGAGAAAGAAGAGAAAAGAAGAATGGCAAATGTAGAAACTCAAGTGAAGTTACTCTACAGTGTCAAGTCCTGTCCCGTCTCGGTAAGAATGATGAATGTCTTACGGAGTGAGCTGAACAATGCACAACAGGAGATTGGCAAAAGATAGAAAATAATGGCGTCAACACCGAATTGACGCTCGGCGAGGAGGAGAGGGGTGGTGGGATGATGACTCTTCCGCATCAAGCCGTTACTTACATACTCAACGTGCGGCTTGTCGTTCTTGCACAGTGCCATTATGGAGCCAGGAGAGCGCGCCTTCTGGATAGAGACAAGTCAGGTTTGTTCCTTAGACGAGCTCCTTCCTTTATTGAACTGGCACAACGGATGATTCCTGATCCCCACTTCGTATTACTTTAAGTTCAATCCGACGGGACTTGAGCTCCCCAAAGCCGAATTATCGGATGGCTGTCGTTCAACTCACAACGGGTCAACTCCAAGCACTCCACAATCGATCTTAAAGACAATCACGAGGCACAATATCAGACAGTAAAACGGGATACAATGCCAATGAATTACCAACACCACCAGCGTCATTAAATCCCAACACCCAAGAAGGTACAGTACGAAGAAGTCCCGTCAACTTCGACAGGTAAAACCCAAACAACGAAACGCCCCTCCATGCAAGAGTGCTACCCCTCTCAAGAACCCCCAAAGAATTTCCCAGACCAAATATCCCCATCCATACCGTATACCGTGAATGAACCGAAAATAAACGGCGACATGCAAACAAACGTACTCCATCCAGGCCATCGCCATTTTTTACTTCCTCCTCCCTGGGTTCGCAGACATCGAAACATTCGCTCTTCATAGAATCGCCACCAGTCGGGCTTCAAATACCCAGAGATGAAACCAAACACCACACAGACCAATATTATATCCCAGGTCAAACTCGTCCATATATAACACCTCCCCCAGCCGACGGTCAGTCAGCCGGACAGAGAGTTAGATATAATTAGCCCTCGCAGACCCACTCAGCAAACACGCACCACCGCGCCGTGCGGTCCGCTAGCACTAGGCCCCGCCAGACGCCGCGTTCTGAGCACTTGATGATGGTTTCCCAGGTGCCGCCGTCGCCGCCGGCTTCGTCGTCGCCATCGCCCGCGCGACCAGCCGCAACAGAAGCACCTGCACCCACGCCGACGCCAATGCCGCGGCGCTCCTCCTTGCGCATGAGGCGGAGGATCTTGCCTCCCGGGGTCTGGATGGCGAGCTTGGCCGGTTTCTTGGCTGGGCCGCTGCCTGAGCTTGCGGTGCTAGGATTGGACCCGGCCGCGCTCGAGCTGGTCATGCTCATGGCGCTTGTCAGGCGCACAAACGGTATTGGGCTCGTAGCTCCCCCGTTGGACGACGGAGCCATGACGGCACCACTTATGGCCGCGCCACCGAGCGAGCTAGGATGCTGGCGGATGGCAAAGACGAACGTGTTGTTGAGCGCGAGGCGCTGACACTGGGGCTGGACGACGTAGATGTCGTGGCGCTGGGCGTGCGGCGTCGGATGGCGCGTGACAAACTCATATGGCGGATTCTCGCCCGTGTGGATAATGGGCAGCGCAAAGGCCAGCGGGTGTGGGATGTCCTTGATGCTGTGCATTAGCCCGCGCTTTCCGGCATACACCTTCAGCGTGCCCGTGCCCTCGTCGCCTGGAAGCAATGCCTTGACAGTGTAGCGCTTGACGCTGCCAAACCACTCGGCTTGCGCGAGGGCGCGCTTCTTCACCACATCGCCCGACTCGAAAAGGTCGCCGTCAGAGTCTCGCGAGTATGCCCGCACCTCTACCTCGGCGGCCACTTCAATGTCGGCGGGGACGTTGAACTTGACATGGACCATCTCGAGGTCCTCGATTCGTGTCAGCGACGTGTTGTAGTCGACAATCTCGAGACCGGATTTGAAATACGGCGGACAGGTGCAGGGCAGGTTGAGGAGGATCTCGTGGGCCACTGGCGGGCAGACGTGCTGTTGCGAATGGTGTTCGGGGATGTGCGTCCAGCAGATCTCAGTAGGCCGGACGAGGAACCACCACGGGTCCGCCGTCGAACTGCTGAAACCAGAGTATAACCCCCGCCGCGGGTTGGACGGAGAAGCAAGACAACAGTCCATAATCCGCCATTCGTTATCGACGAGCACGGCATTCCACCAGTGGTTTGACCGCGGCACGACGATGGCATCCGGTATCTCGCCCGGCGCCTTCAGATAGCCTCGGACCACCTCGCAGGGAAGCCCAACTGCCGCACACATCTCCAGCACAACCACAGCATACTCCTCGGCGCATCCGCGTTTGGATTGGATGACGCGCCGTGTATCGATTTCGCCTTCAAAGTCCTCTTCCCAGCATATCTTCTCCGCAACCCAGGTGAAGATGGCCCGCAGGCGTTGGATGTCGCTCCGATACGGGCGGCAGACGTAATTCGTCGCAAGCGTCACCGTTGTTGTCCCTGGGGGGAGGCCGCCGATAAAGCGCGAGTTCTTGTCTACCTGGCTGAGGTTGATGGCGAGATAGTTGATTGGCTCTTGCACCGGCATTCCGTCGGCTCCCTCGTCCCCGTCGATGCTGTTGTACAGCTCGTCGACAGGATCCAGCGCAGGGTAATCCAGCATCTGACACCGCTCCCTTCTCTCGACGCGCTCGTTGCGGCTGAGAGAGTTGGACCGGTTAACGTCTCGCCGGACCTGGACCCAGTCGACGCCGTTACCAAGGCCCATCTCCCGGGCGGCATCTCTCTGCCCTGTCCCCGAGCTGAGGTCAAGCGACGAGCCGTTGATTGCAGCCGCCATGCGAGTTACCGAGGAACCCTGCACAGAAGCAGTTCCCGTCGTGGCTATGCTACCTCTCGTGCTTGCGACGCCAGTCTTTGCCGACTCGAGGATGCGTTTTATGAAGTTTTGCTTTTTCGGCTTGGGCTGCACAAGACCTCCGATGCCGCCTATTATGTCGTCGTGAAAGCCCATTGTTGATTTGGGCCGTGCATCCCCCGAAGCATGGCTACTGTGGTACGTGACCCCCGTAAAAGGCGTCTCTGGGCGGTCCTGATCCGGATCCCGCATTCCGAGCGCGCTCTGAGCTCGGCTTTGGTTTCTCCTGGCCAAGCTGCCTGCGCTGGTAGCACTGATTCCTCCAGCCGATACGCCGCTCATCAGACTTCGGTTCGTGCTCTGGGTCGCTCCAGAGGTTGTGCTTTGAAGTCCCAAAGATACACTCGTCGAGTTGGTTTTTGTGGTGAAGGTCCTATTGAGAACCTGGCGGCCGACCTCGTAAGCAGACTTTTTATGCCGTAATTTTTGTTCCGGTGGTGCGCGCACCTCCATCGAAGACTTTGGCCGCTCGAACACGTTGTTTTTCGGTGGTGGAGGAGGTGCATCTTCTGTCTCAGCCAAGCCGGAATTGTGTTGATGCATTGTCCTGAGTCTCGACTCCATCCGCTCGACGTAGTTGCTCAGCTGGGGAAGTTTGGGCTCTTCTTGGAACGAGCTGTGGTATGACGGGTCCTGAGAGGATCCGCCACTTCCGCTGTACGTTTCATAGCCCTCATCGACTTGCTGCGCGATTCCCGTAGCGGTCTGTGGCCTACGAGGGTCTCGCTTCCGTTTTGGCTGATCACGCAGCATGTCAAAAGACTCTGGCGACCAAGGGTCAAAAATGGGCTCTGGCGACTCTGTCTCGCGCGGGACACCCAGTGCATCCAACTGCTCCATGACGTGGTCCATAGCCTCTCTCAATGGAGAAGGTGTCATTTCCTCTATTCTAGGCGACGGCGGACACGGTGAAGGCACGCGCGGCGTATGATAGCCTACAGACCTATGGTCATAAGACGCGTTAGAGTTATTTCTCGCCATGTTGCCGGACCGCCGATGGTCGAACGACGCGTTGGAGTGGTGTCTTGAAGCACTTTCTGCCAGGCGAGAGCCATAGGATGCGTTGGAGTTATGCCTCGCCATGTTATCTACGGGTTGGTAGCCGTAGGAGGCATTGGAGTGTTGCCTTGCTAGGTCTACATGGTAGTCATACGAGGCATTAGAGTTGTGCCTCGGTGGGTTACGGTGGAACTGCTGATCTTGAGACGCGTTGGACCCGTATCTCGACAACGACACCGTGTGACGATGTGGTGGTGGCGGTGGAGGGGGTGGGGAGCCGCCCCCCTCCAGGCTTTGCCGATCCGGTGGCGGCTGGGCGGAGGGAGGTCGGTATGGCCGGTATGAAGGCGTCGGAGACGGCACTCGGGACTCATAGCTGGGGGCAGGCCTGAATGATGGTGCGGGAGAGGGTGCGCGGGATATGTGCTGAGGAGGCACATATGATGGCGCAGGGGATGCAGCTCGGGAGATGTGGCTATGGCCGCTGTGGCCAGGAAAATATGAAGGCGTAAAGGATGGCGCGGGGGATGGCGCTCTTGAGCCATAGTTATAGTTGAGAGGCGGCACGGGAGAGGGGTCGCGGTCCCGGGGCGCTGGAGCGGGGACCTTGCTCAGCGAGGTATCCGACGTCTCGCGCAAGCGAATGGGCTCCTTCTGGAAGGTTTCTGGGATTTTGGCCGTGGTGTAGTGCGGCGCCTTTGAATAAGCCTCGAAGGGCTTGCGGAAAGTCTTTGACTTCCGGGGCGTGTCTTTGGGGCTGGGCGTGCTACTGCCGGGCAGGGGACTGGTCGATCTGCTCGTGGGCCGGAAAGAGTCTGGCAGAACCTCGACGAAGTTTGAGGGAAACAATCCGATGGCCCTCCTGTCTCGCCACAGTCTCCCCATCCACCACGACCCATCGCCCGCATTGAGACACTCGATCAGGTCGCCCTCGATGAAGCCGAGATCTCGTTTGGACTACAATTGGAGATGAAAATTAGCAAACAACTGTGCGAACGGACAGGCATCTCGGGCGGCCACGGCCATGCGCAGGCGCATCTCGGACGAAGACGGACGCAGACATTGACGCAGACTCGGCAAGAATGACGACGACAATGGAAACAACGTACCTCTCCACCCCACGAATAAACTGCCCTGACCCAGCAGGGAAACCGCGTCGGCAGCGGCGGTGCAGCCAAAACCATTGTGTGGTTTTTTTGCGATAGAGTTCGCCTCTGTCGCGCGGCGAGGCCTGCGTTGACTGCGGATGCTGCTCTGCTGGTTGTGCTCCCTCTTAAATGCTGCTTTCGGTGCTTGGGTCGGGTCGAGTCCAAGCTTGCACGATGGCACCAGGGTTGGCCAAGGGCAGCACAAGGGTTGCCAGGGGCAACGGGCTGCCCGCCCCACCTGCCCATTCAAGGCGGGCGAGGGGTCCCTGGCACACCATCCGAACCCGTCAACGAGCTCTGATTGGCGGTACCCATTGGTGGACAGCGCAGAGGCATGCAGCGCAAACCGCCTGCAGAGCGCTTCGGTGGACAAATGGATGGATGTCTGGTGTAAGTCGGTCGCTGTCTTAAGGCCTGCGCAGCATCGCGCGTCAGTCGTCGAGGATTGCTCTGCTCCAGTTTTCCTGCACATGCTAAACCTCCACGACACCGTCGATTATTGCCCATATTCGAGCAGAATATAGCTTCAATTGCCGTCAGCAGCGTGTGCGCAACGATTCGCGGACTTCGCCTGCGACAGCCTAGCACGCACTCAACCCGGACAAGCCAGCCCACTCCAAGTAAACAATGGCCCGTGCCCACTCCTCCAACACCCAGACAACCAGAGCTCCGAGTTAGGCCCAAACATACTAAGGCCATCCGTTCATCCATACTCGCACTACTACTACTTGCGTCGGGCCCATCGCCGTCAGTCGTCTGCTCTGCACCTGCACCTGCACCTGCATTCGCAATCCGTTCTCATCGTCCATCTCTATTCATCTACATCCACGACGCTTAAAACAACTGCCATTCCGCTCTGCGCTGTTGCGCCCGCGAGAGGCCCAATACCTTTTTATTTAAGGTTCGGGTTCTCTTCCCCCACCTGCCTTACCTTCCCAGTCTGTCGGTCGTCTCGTGCTCTTTCCCTCAGTCGCGCATGCTTCGACGCCTCAACATTGTCGCTAGTAGTGCCGCTTCTGTTGCCGTCGCCGTCGCCGTTCTGCGGGCAGATCGGGATTCCACCTACCGAATCAGCGCACTGCGTCGCTGCGCTCGACGCATCGAATCCTAATCCCACAATGGCCGACGAAGGGGTCGCGAGCCACTACCAAGTGCTGGAAGAACTCGGACGTAAGGCTTGCCCGCTTCGGCTTCCCGCTAGAAACCACCCTCTCTCTCTCTCTCTCTCTCGTCTGACCTTGTGATCTCCTCTCCTTCAGGCGGCAGTTTCGGCGTCGTATATAAGGCCATCGAGAAGGCCACGGGCGAGACAGTCGCAATTAAACATGCAAGCATTCTTCCTGCCCCTCGATCTGACTGACAGTGGATGGCGGCTAACCGTGGGCGCAACCCGCCGGCCAGATTGACCTCGAGTCAAGCGAAGACGACATCCAAGAAATCCAACAAGAGATCTCGGTGCTCAGCACATGCGCCAGCTCCTTTGTCACAAAATACAAAGCCAGCTTTCTGCGCGGTCACAAGCTATGGATCGTCATGGAGTATTTGGGCGGTGGCTCCTGTCTTGATCTCGTAAGCGCTACCCTGCATTGCTTTCCCTGTTGATGCCCTCGCTCTCGTAGCGGCCGGCGCTGACTCGCCGTAGTTAAAACCAGGAGTCTTCAACGAAGTGCATATTGCCATCATCTGCCGCGAGCTCTTGTTCGGTCTCGAATATCTGCACACCGAGGGCAAGATTCACCGCGACATCAAGGCTGCTAATGTGCTGCTGTCCGAGTCTGGCAAGGTCAAGCTCGCGGATTTTGGAGTGGCCGCACAGTTGACGTACATGAAGTCGCAAAGAAACACATTTGTGGGCACCCCCTTCTGGATGGCCCCCGAGGTCATCCAGCAAGCCGGCTACGACTTCAAGGCCGACATTTGGTCGCTGGGTATCACCGCCATCGAGCTGGCGCTTGGCGAGCCTCCCCACGCCAACACACATCCCATGAAAGTCCTCTTCCAGATTCCAAAGAACCCGCCTCCAAGACTTGAGGGAAAGTTTAGCAAGGAGTTCAAGGATTTCGTTTCACAGTGTCTTGTAAAAGATGCCGACCACCGGCCGACGGCGAGGGAGCTCCTCAAGCACCGCTTCGTGCGATCGGCGGGCAAGGTAGAGGCGCTGCAGGAGCTCATCCAGCGCAAGCAGATGGCCGATGCCAAGGCGGACCGGGTCAAACTCCCCGTCTTCTACCAGGAAACGCTGCACAATATCTCACCAAAGGATGACTCGGACGAGTGGGTGTTCGACACCGTCAAGTCGACAGTTCTAAAACGGGGTACCGTCCGATCCCGAAAGCCGTCTCCGACTTTCTCGCTCGAAGATGGAATGCGCAAGTTGGATGTCAAAGACGGACCGCTCCAACCTACGACGCCGGGAACTGTCAGAAGATCTACTGTTCGCCACCAGCCGTCTGCTGCACACCATCAGCAGCAGGGTTCGGTGCGTCGCGTCTCCAACGGCTCCCCACGTGCGTCCATCGCACCCAAGCGCCCGCTCCAGCCGGACATGTCATTTGGCAATTCGGGGTCTACCATGCGTCTGTTCCGCCGCGTGCCTTCGGATAGCTCTACCACAGGACAACTGGGCGCCGGCGCCACTCCAGCGGACCCCAAGTCAAACGAAAACCGCCCGCCTCCAGCCTTCCACACGACGCCGGTTGAGGCTACCAGCAAGGAATCTTCTCTGGGCCGTCGACTCTACAACAGAGTTCTCGAGCCCTCGCTCGACGAGCTACATGCGCAGACAGCCGGCTCCACTAAGAGGGAGGCGCTGGCCAAGCTGTGCGACGCATTCGCCATACTAGACTCGGTGGACCCGGAAGGGGCTTACCACCTTCTCCGCAATGTCGTCTCGGCCGTATCCCAGGATGGCAAGTTAAGCGCCGCCCTGTTGCAGTCGAGCGGCGGTAATTCAGCGCCATCCAAGACGCCGCTCGACGGCACACCGCAGGGGACTGTGGTGGTCAAGAGCCGCGCGGCGGCGGCGCTAGTGAGCCCGACGAAGTTGATTATGAGTCACGACAATCCTCACTTGCTTAGCCATCGCCGCCGCGGTTCAGCGGCCCCCGACGTCTCGTTGGCACCCGCTAGGTCTCCTGAGAAGGAGAGAGACCGCGAGAAGATGGCCATGGAGGCGAAATACCCCGGCCGGCCGGCCGTTCCTGGAATGGAGCACTGCAAGGCCCTCTCGGACCTCCTCTACGCCCGGTGGACTGACGGCCTGCGCCATCGCTGGGGCGGCGCCGTGGCGGGCGCGTGAGCCTGTCAGTTCTGGCAGAAATGGGAAGAATAATGAGGAAGAAGAGGCATCCCGTGCCTAGGATGACGTTGTCGAGCCGTCGTCTCTCAACAAGGCAGAGAAGTGGCACGCATTCGACGCGGACTCGTAGAGAGTTGTTCGAGGTGTCCTGCCTATATTTGAGGGTCACGAAGTAGGCGCTTGATGAAAAAGTGTGTGTGTGAGTTTGTGGGTCTAGATGTAATTGTTGCAGCGGTTGCTGGCGTTTCTGCTGTAGTCGTTGTCGTTGGTTTAGGGGAGAGAAGGAGGAAAGCACGTTGGGGGGAAGCCGGCGCTGGAAACGTTTTGTTTTGCTTTGCTGTGTTTTGTTTTTGGTTCTTTTATCACACATGACACAGCACACTCACGAACGAAATGTAAAACTTTGCGTTGCGCCCTGCCTGTTCGGTTGTTCCTATCTGTCTGTTCCTTTTCCTTGAAACGAACATCTTTGACGGCCTTTTTTCACTTTTTCGTCGGTGGTGGTTTCATACCATGCACGCATGAGCATTTTTTTCACTCGAGTCATTGCATTTTTTTTATTCTCTGTCGAGGTTTCTTTTTTTTTTCTGTTAATTTTCCATAACAGGCGGGCGGGCGTTTTTGCTTGCTTGTCTGTTTCTCTGTTTCTCTGTTTCTCTGTCATTCCGGGATCGGAATCGGGTTTACGCTTAGGTTCTGGAATGGGACGGCTTTTATAGAAGAGAGAGAGAGAGAGAGAGAGAGAATCATTTTCCAGTAGAACAAAAATTCACCTTTAATTTTTATTACATCTTCTTTTGTGGAAGTTTCCTTTTCGTGGTTTATGATATGATATGAATGGGGGCTTTGATGAGAGTCTAACTCTGGAGCGCAAGGGGGGCTACAACATGTTCGCCGGTAACGAGTGCATTTATTGGTGTATTTATCTCAAATAGAAGTGCCGTCTCCTTTCAAAACCAGTGCATTCATATATTTCATTACATGCTCACCAAACGGCGTGTTTATGGCGGGTATTCGTTTTCTCTGTCCTCCTTGGTAGGAGATAACCAAATACTGAAAAAAAAAAAAAAAAAAAGTCTGATTCCGGGCAGGCCAGATTGATCGCCAGGGGCGTTGGTACCCCCTTCTATGTCATCCATCCATCTCGCAGCGACATTGCATGACCCAATACTATCCGTACACAGTCATGTGTGCGCCCCCACAGATACTACTCCGTGGCATCGGGCGGCTTCGGCGGGCTGAGCGACAGCTTTATGCGCCAGTTCATAAACTCGTCGGTGATTATGCTGCCGTGGCCCACCTCCTCGACCTGGAACACCTCGATGTCGGGAGAGCGCGGCTTGCGCCGGATCCGCCACACGCCCTCGTCCGTGATGGTCTGGCGCAGCCCTGTGCAATGGGCGAGCGCAGATGCATGCGTGTCAGTGTGTTTGCCTTGGTAATGGACAATGTCACTTGGAAGAGAAGTGGAAGGGCAAGGACAGAAAAACAAACTCACAGTCCAAAAAGGCGCTGGCAAAATTGATGCATACGTTTCCGTCCCAGCCGCCGGCGGCGAGCCCCCAGCGGCGGGCGACCGAGTTGGGGATGGCACCCGTCTCGAGCTCTTGCAGCTTGACGAGGATGCCGTCGCGCGAGCGGAAGCCGACGATGATCTTGGGCACGCCGAGCAGGAACGACTGAATCCAGAACTTCATCAGCTTGCGCTCAAAGTTGTCCATGTCGCGGTCCGAGCGGATCTCGGCCGACGTCTTGAGCTCGACCCAGTTGATGGGCGCCCCGGGCGTGGCCGGCTTCGAATCCCAGACTGTGTCTTTGTGTTAGCGAGTCGCGTAGAAGTCGCCCATAGAGTAGACGAAAGAAAACATGTCCATGGACAAATATCGAGGTGTGTGGAGAGAGAGGGGATGTTAAGGGGGCAGAAAGTGAAATTACACACTCACTTGCGTCGACTTCGCCTCCCAGGCAGATTATTGTCTTGCCAAGGCCTGTGCGGACGACGGAGCAGTATTGCTCCTTGTTGTTCACCACTTCGTTCACTCGGTTTTCAATATAGTCTCGGGAAGTCTCGCCCCAGGGCGCGGGCAGGGTCGAGAGAGTCTCAAACTTGTATCCTACGGGGTGCGTCACGTTAGTTACTGCTGCTCCGTTTCCTTGGTGCATGTGCTTGTGGACGTGTTTAAGGAGGTGCCGTACCCCAGAACTGCATGACCTCCTGAGGGATCGGGCTTTTCCAGGACTGCTGTGCTGTCCTTGAAGCCTCCTTGTACTGGTGATTTTCTTCAATGAAGCTTTGTCACGGCTGTCAGCACTGAGGATGGCAAAGCGGAACCGCCTAGCGTCCATGTTTGTTTGTATCTGTGTCATGTGTTTTGCTTACATGCAGTCCTTTGCAAAGCGTGGGTTAGCTCGACAGGAACGTGTTTGAAGGGTGGCTGGGCTTGAAGCGCACTCGGTAAAGGGTAGCATTCATCTCGAACCTAGGTCAAGGCCACGGCGGACATTTTCTCAGCGAGGGGCCATGGTGGGAGGACTTGTGTTGGGCCCTTACCCGTCACGGTCGTCAAAGGGTGCCGACATGATCTGGTGTTGATGTTAGTTGAGAAGAGGGAGGGGGTGATCAGGGGTGAAGGTACCTTGGTTATCATGCCTCTCCAGGTAACTACGTGGGCGTCGATGGCTCTTCCGACCTGCTGCTCGTGGCTGGTGATGGCCTGCAGCAGGCTGTCGAGGTGCTCGTCGACGCTGTCATCGTATTTTACAAAGGCTTCGTAGCCGCTTGACAGGTCGACGCCCAGGTCGGGGGGGTAGTACCACTTCAGCGACGAGCCGCCGAGATTGAACTGGTGGTCCTTATCGTAGGAAAAACAGGCAAACTCCTGGGGGTTGTGATTGCGGTTGTGGCTGTGAGCAAGCCGCTCTCGTATGTGTATAGGAGGGAAAGAGTCTCACTTTTGGCCTTTTGACGGGTTCACTGTCCCGCACAAACCTTGCGACGGGCTGCACTGGAAATGCAAATCTCGAAGCCATTCTAGACCTAGACCTAGAACTCAGGCAAACTGTTGGCCACTGTCCAATGAAGACTCGCTGTTTCCCGGTCAGCTAAAGACTCGTCCGTCGAGGTGCAGGTCGCATGTGGATTTAAAACACATTTGACATGAACCAGACTGACTAGGGATAGCGAACTCTCTCTCACATTACCCGCATACGGCGGTTGCGAGGCGGCATCAAAGAGGCTTGGCATTGTGGGGGGAGGGGCCGCAGAGATTCAGGGCTAGACTTCCAGCTACACCCCAGGGTGTGGATAGAGTATTTTAACCCTGGAAACCCTGGATCTCTTTGAGTCTCGACTTGCTATCTGTAACTTCATCTCCATACTTGTTGGTACCTTACGGGTGCCGTGTCTGTCCCTACTACACGCTTCCTCCCTGGCGCAAAAGTAAGAATATAACATCTCTGAGGCCCTAAGGTCAAGAGCAAAGGTCGGTAGCCAGGATGGAGTCTTCACCTCGCCCATTCACGTCTCATTCATTTCTCGATATTTGTCACGCGCATTCACAGGGCAACGGAAATGAAGCATTTGATGCAGGGAGGTAAGGCTTGAATTGTCTAAAAAGGTCTAATCTCTTGTTTCCTTTGGCAGGGCCAAAAGTCTCTTTTTTATAGTTATGAATAGTGGCAAAAGCTGGTGGCGAAGAATCACATAGCAGCTTCTAGATCTTTCTTGCTCACTAATCCCAATATTGTGACAATATTCAAATTCCTTCTCATTCGCTGAGAATTATTTCGGCTTTGATGGCTTCAGCTTCATTTCATCTCACTTCGTCCCAGCACTTGGCCCAGTACTTAGCTCGGCTAATCGAGACATAGTTGGCACAGAAATCATGTGGGCAATGGTTCAAACTTGTTAGGTTTGGACCGGCCGGCGGGATCCATGGACCAATATGCTCGTTTCTTGTGATTCAAGCTGTGTTGTTCATTTGTCCGAGCTATCCGTCGAGGCAGGCAGGTCATAGACATGCATCCTGCGTAAGAAGGAATCTTTTGATGTTTGAATGACGCGACGCCTGTCCCTGTAAGATAGGGACTCTGCAGAGGGCATAGATATTTGCTTTTCCATTAAGGATGCATCTGCAAAGAGGCAGAGTGTGCAGTGTGCAGATGAACTAAACAGGCCAACGGGCCAATCACGTTGCGCGCCCGCCTGCAACAAGCGTACCTGCCTACGGCACAGCTAAGGAAACGAATGCAAGCTGCACAACGGGCAGCCTGCATATCGAGTGCAAGAAGGGGCAGTTTGCATCTCATGAGCGCCTTCATGGAATACATGTGCCGTGGTCGGGACTGCCTTTTCTGATTGCTCTGTTTTGCCTGCGCGACCCACCGAGGTCAGCCAATGTACATGTACCTCAACCGGCGAGCCTGGGTACCGGCCCCTTCACTAATCAAGTCGCCAGATCTTCATAAATACACCGCAACCTCACGAGCAAAATCGCCATATGCAAGCTTATTACGGAGGCATATCAGCCGTAGCGCCCCCATCCCCTAACCCGATTAAGTAGGAGTATGCGTTGAATTTCTAGACGAGAGCGAGAGCGATCTATATACCAATACAAACCGCTCGACTGTGTTGGTCTTCTACCTAAAAGGTGCGTTGCACCAAGAAGTCGAACACCTTGCGGGTGTTCTGGGAGTTGTGAGGCGTGCGATGTGAACCCACTATCCCTACAGGAAACCCCTCCATCACCTACCTTGCGATTTCTCCGCTCTGGTGAATGAATATATCGTTTATAATTACACAGTCTTATCTAGCCCCGGCGATTGGCTCTTTGGATGGCTATCTGTCAGAAGCACTGTCAAAGATGTGGTCAACTTGATGTGGTCAAATTGTTAAGGAAGAAAAAGGTCGTAGGTCGGTAATATTCGGCTTCTTGACCGGAACACTGGACTGATGATTCAATGGATGAACCTTCAATGTACAGTAGACCAGTGCCGTCATAATGGGAGAGTTCACGATGTTCCGAAGAGAGTTCACGAAGTCCTGACGAGAGTTCACGTGCATGAAAGGTACGTCCCTCTCTACAACTTTACGACTGGTACTATCCAGGCGGTCGCCACGTGGAGGCTTGAGAGTCCGATTCCGCCGCCTATAAGAATACTAAAGTTGTGCTGTGCTGTGCTGTGCTGTGCAAAGGAAAGAAAAGCAAAAAAGGCAAAGAAATATACGTTACTCACAGATCAGTTGGCACCCAACCCGCGCTGCAGCGCCTGGAGCGCCGCCCCCTCGGCGCAGTGGCGGAGGACCGCCCGCTAAACGGCCTCGTCGGCCCGAGCAAGAGCCTCGCGGGGGTTGACCCGAGCCAATTTGGCCTCGGCAACGGCGTCGCCAGCGGCGAAAACCCTGTCCTGGGCGGGTTTGAGGGCGTTGCGGGACAAGGGGCCACGGTAAGGCATCTGGCTGCTGCTGCTGCTGCTGCTGCTACTGCTGCTGCTGTTTTTTCTGCTGCTGTTGTTGTTATTGTTGTTGCTGCTGCTGGTGATGGTGGTGGTAATTGTTGAGAATAGAACGAAAAGATGACGCGGTGGGATTATTTATAAGGCCTTCTATTGACTTCGATATCAAGAAGGTGCAGATTTTAAGTGTGACTGGACCTTCCCGTAAATTATCTCTATAGTTCTGAGAGGTAAGTAGTTACGATAGGGATTAGGGTTATTTTATCTACTTCCAATCTAGCAATGTAAGAGCGTCCCAAAACTGTGTTATGAATATATCCTTGTGGAGCTCGTATTGAGTATCTGCGACCACCTCTCGCCAGCCTCTCGTATGCCACTCTCCCTTGTGAGTAGGGATATGTGGACGATACTCGGTCGTGAGACTCACCGCCGCCTCAATAAGACTAAGTCGTGGGAGCTGGTACCATCTTCTCGAGCGCGACGCCCCGGGCGTAGCCGACTACCAGCTTTTCGACCTATGCCTCAAGTCGCCTCTCGCTAAGGGGTTTCTAAGGTTTGAGCAGTATCCCGCGCTGCTTTCCGATGTGAATTGGTTCTGAGAGTACATCCTACTAGACTGTAAGATCGCTAACCCCCTCACGTACTAGTTCAATAACGGAAGCCTTTTCCTAAAGAACGAGACGCTTGTTGCCCTGTTTCTCGTAGAAGGCGCCACCAGGGTATGGCTGTACATCTTGTTACTGCACAATTCTCGAAATTCATTTAGTCCTTGTAGAAACAGGATAACCTGTACCTTGCCATATAAACTTGGCCGTCCAAGTATAAAGAGTGACCTCCAGCGTATTCCTTCTAAATGCAAGGCCTGTATTTCAATCCAAGGCCATCCAGGTCTGCGATGGTTGCCTAGGTGTGACTGCCCCCAATAGAGCTAGCAGCCCCGCAAGCACTACGATCGCTAGGCAACTCCCTAGCGTTCGTGGCTACTACCGCTACTACTAGGGCAGGGCTAGCTAACCGCATGGTAGCTGACGCTCTATGTTTCGACGGCGTCTGGGTTGCCAAAACGCCACCCACAACTACGCCTGCGCCGGGGGAGTCCCCGTTCCGCTGCATTCTCGTCACGTACCTCCCTTCGATCCCGGAAGCTATGGAGAAGCTGAAGCGCACCAAGGACTTGCTTAGGGCTGCAAGGGACCGCACCCGGGCTAAAATTAGCGAGGTATGAGACTAACTACGAGCTACTACCCATCATAGGAATGGTATATATCGCGTACTAACACTAACACTGGGGTCAAATCTAGATAAGAAGCCGCAGGCTAACTCACCCCCCTAGCCCTCTATTCGACTTTGGAGACTAGGATATAGCCGCTCGGGCTGCCAAGGAGGAGCAGCGCTAAGAGAAAAAAGTAGAAATGGAGAGATGAGGTGGAGAAGAACACGCTTGCGTTCAACGTTGGTGGACGCCGCGTTTCTATCCAGGATCTTGATGCCATGCTGGCCGTGAACATGGTCCCGCCTTAGAAGCGCCCTGGCTTCTCCGCGCCCACTGCCCCCCCACCAAGTCATAAGATGTTGGACGCCTCGTAATACTAGCGATGTTTTTTTCTGCCGCTTTTTGTATGTCTTATAGTTTGAAGTTTAAGGTACCGCACCTAGCACTAGATACGTATAAAGCATTCTTCTTTCTTCATTTCCTAACGCGTATATCAACCGGGCTCTTCTCCCATTACGCTCTCCTCGACTGGACCCCCTTTCGTTCCCCTCACCACTTTTTTCTAGCCCACCTCATTCCTCTCCTTAGACATGTCCTCCCCGAGCCGCCACCCAGCCACGGCCCCATATTTACATCACTAACTCATTCGTCTCGAGTGATGTAAGTGGCTCAGCTTACAGCTCCGGTGGTGATGTTCCCCTGCAATGGTTCCAAATTTGATTGACGATGCGATACCCAACCCGCCCAGCTCAAGTGCTCTCTAGCTTCCTGCTAGAGGCGATGCAGCGGTTCATTTAGCCCTGCGTCTAGAGTAATCAGGGATTGAGAAGGAATAATAAGTAATCAAGAAATTTACAACGTTTAGATAATGGAGGAGTTTATAGGGAAGGTCAAGTATTTACCTAGGTACAGGTAGGCAAAGTGGCCCTTGGTCCTTACGGAGCGACGGATCTCCACAGACTCCCTTTTGTAAATAGCTTGGAGGCCTTCTTACACACTCGGCCAGATGACAGCAAGGTTCTCTCAGTGACCATATATAACAGAAGCCGCTTTACATTACGGAATCTCGATACGACCCAAGTGAGAATCCGACAGAACGTCGGAGATCTATTTAAAGTCATCGACTTCAGCCCTACAGCTTTCATACTTCTTCCCACCTAAAAGGGACGACCAACCCAATAGGCCGTAGTCGAACGAACTCGGTTCCAGTTACGACTTCGTAATAGAGACTGGAAAAAGTAGGTCTCTAATGGGCCATCGAGAATTAGGTAATAGGGAAAAGAAAGGACCGCCTCCGTATTACGAATCGGCGTTAGCTAACAAGGTAATTTCGCTACCGAGACCGTCACCCAAGCAAAGGTTGGCGATTTGGAGACATGGGGGCGCTATAAACCTTCTTAGCCAATGGGCGTGTCTAACTAGTCGAAATTTTTTGGGGGCAGGTGCATGAGTATTTATAATGAAAATACCAGAGGGTACAAGCATGGCAGCTTTTAAGCCAGGCTCGTGGCCTTCATCGCTGCAAGTATGAACTGCTATAAGTTCGGCTTCTTGCTAACCTACTAAGGATTGGAGGTGTACAGCGCTTACGTGTTGTGCCAGAGGTTTAGTACTGTGCGGGTACTTATTGAGGCGGCCTTGACTGCTGAAATTTGAGGCCACACGCCCGCCAAAAACAGCAGTCCAGACTGCGGCACATGTTAAGCTGGAATTAATTCTCAAAAATACTGGGCCTCCGCGAGTATAAAGATGCGGCAGATTCACCCCAAAGGTCTGCTTCATCTCTCTAGCAGACACCACAGACACATTCAGACACACCCCTCACTTGAGCTCTCATCTCATCGTTCTCGAATCATCACTTTTCATCCCCCAGACTCACACTCATCTCATCTCCACAAACTCCACCTCAGTCCTCACACGCCAACATGGCATCCACCGCCCAACTCCCCTTCACCGTCGAACAGCGCTGGCACTAATCCAAATAAATGCTAAATCAATTAAATAAGGAAAACCGTATTTGCAGGCAAACAAGCCATTTTGGAGGTCAATTCAGGCCAAATTGAGGATCAGGTTAGTTAATTGGCATATTTGTAAATATTTCCCATTGGTTGAGCCATTTTTGGGCCCAATTTTCCGGGTTTTCCTGGCACCAGGGCAGTCCTTGACCAAGGCCAACCCTGCATTTTCTGGTCCCGGGAAAATCCTCGAATGCCCTGAATTCGAGTGCCGCCGTGCCGCTGCAATGCAACTATCGCCAACCGCTGTAAACAAACTGCCGAATCATACCTTCCTGCAGCGATTTCCCTGCTTCCTTGGCTCCCGAGTCCTCGACAACATACCTGCCTCCACCGTTGATATCACGACCCTCTCGACAAGCCTCCCTACCGCCGAAAACCGTCCTCCTTCCCTTCGTCCGAAGCTATCACGAGTAGCTAGACAGTTCGATACGCTCCTTGAAGAGGGAGTAGATCTCAAAGATGTGGCAGGACTCAAAGATGTAGCAGGAATTGAAGTCAAGGATTGGCCGAGGATAAAAATACCAAGAGGGTCCTTCATACCGGAAAAGTGGGCAGGAAAAACACCAAAAAAGGACATCGTGGATTCGTGATCACGGCTACTGGGTCTCCCAGGTCATCAACGATGCCGTCATCGAGGGAGAATATTACTGGGTATACCACTATTGCGAGAAGCTATTTAAGGCAGAGTCAACAAGCTCGGCGACTATACATCTGGAAAAAGACCACAAATTATACCTACCCAATTCCCAGTCTGGTGGTGCTGAGAGGCCAGGAAAAAGGCAACTCACGCTTGAAGTGGTCAACACGAAGCGCGCGAGCCATGTTTTACTGCCTCACAAGCTCTCTATGGAAGAGAAGCTCGTCGATCTAGTCGTCGGCCCGAACCTGCCTTTCAGCATCGTTGAGCATAAGGGGTTTCGTGATTTTCATATAGACCTGAATGCCGAGAAGACAGCCGCCCTAATTCCTTCCTCGCACAACACCATACGAGAGCATATTCGAAAGAGGTTTAAGGCTAAATAACAGGCCCTATGTGAGAGGTTAGCCGCATCGCCATACAAGAAGCATCTCTCGTTCGATATTTGGACTTCCAACGCGACAGTTTCCTACCTAGCGGTCTTCGTATATTATACCGATATTGACGGTGCCGTACAACAAGACCTGCTTGGAATGCCGCAACTTCGAGGCTCTTACAGCAGCGAGAACCAGACTCTCTACATCTCTCGGCTAGTCAACGACTACGGCTTCGCTGATAACGTTGGTTATTTTCAGTATGATAACGTGGATTCGAACGACTGGGCAGTAAAATTTACCGTGGAGTCGTTAATTCCTGGCCTTGGCCGGTTTTCCCGGGATTTCTTAGCCACAAAGCGTCGTGTACGTTGCTTCGGCCATATCCTTAACCTAGCAGCGCAGGCCTTCATTCTCAGCAAGTCGACTAGCCTCGAAAGAACCTTTGACGACACTTCATCGGCCAGTTGCCGCCCGAGCAGGAAGAAGCGTTATTGAAGATATGGCGAAAGATAGGGCCGGTTAGAAAGCTTCACAATATCGTCCACTTAATTCGGAGGTCACCACAACGCCGGGATTCCTTCCTACAGGTCGCACGTAATCAGCTCGGCGATGAAGATATACAGGAATTCGGCACGGCTATATTTGACAAGTCAGTCGAAGTTTTATAGCTTTGTGGTGATAATTCCACGCGTTGGAATTCTGTTTTCTTCATGATCAAACGCGCGGTGTAATTATAGAGCTAAGTAGATTACTGGTGCTATAAAAATCAGAGCGAGAAGGACCCTCGGAAGCGTATGCCCGCCGCCGACCTGCTATAACCGAGTGACTGGCACCTACTTTCCCTTGTTTTGTCTATTCTTGAACCTTTCAAAAAGATCACGAAGTGATTTGAAGGGCGCGCGGCTACCTTTCCTGAAGTCCTCGCTATGCAAGAGTGGCTAATCGATCTGCTTGAGGATCGTCTTCGAACCCTGCACCCGAACCTTGAAGCCATCACCGATTTTACCGGCGGCCCGGTACATACCCACCCAGAGATGACGGTCGCAATCCAATAGCCTCTATCATTCGGCATAGACAACGACGATGACAACGGCGTATTGTTTACTAGGGAAGCATCACAACGGTCGCAGCGTAACCGTCGTCTTCCTGCCCGGTTCGACGGCTCGGTCATCGACCTACCCCGGCGCCTGCCGACCGGCCAGATCAGGCTGCCCTCCCTTGACCTTGTTGCCGACCTACAAAACAACCCTCCACCCTCCCCGCCGCCCTCAATACTTGATCTTGACGACGATCATCTATTTACGTTCGCCTCTGATTTGTCACCGTCGCGCTACAGCTGCATAGCGTATACGTCCTCGAGGAAATGTTCAGTAAACTCGGACGGATCCTTTAATAGAAAACCCTAGGTCCGTCCGTCGTCTAGCGACACAAAGTACTGGGAAATACTGAGTAAGTTCTCCTCTCTATATACCTTTCTATTACCGACATCACTATTAGCCATAGCAGCCTCGCAATATTCCACCCGTGAAGCTCCCAGCGTTCTGTCTCTGCTCGCGTCCGATGGCGTGATGGACGATGCGTAGAATCCCGAGAAATCCTTAAAGAAAGTCGGCCTGGCCACACCCTCCAGATTCTCCCGCGTAGTAATTTACAACTTTTTGCCACAACGCAACCGAACCTTACCTTTCTACTGCAACCGACTTTCCATAACCACTAAAAAACATGGTCGGCGCCGTTAGTCAATCGATGTAACGGTAAGTCTTCATTTTTCATCGCTTACATCGTCGATATAGTACTAACTAGCTATAGAAATGCCCGCGCTTGAAGAACTAAGTGATCTGAGCGACTTGGGCGATGCGCCCGATGAAAATGCGCCGCCGCCGCCGCCGCCGCCACTACCGCTCTCAAACCCACCGGCCAGCCACAAGCTTTTCAACACTAAATATGACAGCCTCGATGATTTGAACGAATGGACCACCTCTGCATAGTTCAACACCTGATGGAAGGAAAGAAGAGAGCGTTGGCCCCGGTTGTCAAAGATGGCTTTTGCCTTGTTGTCAATACCGTCTATATCAACAGAGTGCGAGAGGGCATTCAGCCAGGGAAAACTGGTCCTTGGCACACAGAGACATAGTATGGTCGACAAAACCCTGAATTACCTCATATGCACGAAGAATTGGGCGAGTAAATGAGGATCCTGAAGGTCAAGGGCTTTTTTCCGGTCTCAGGGGGGCTCAATTTCCATGTTTTTTGGTGGAGCGGCAAATTCCGTCAATTAAGTCAAATAAACCCCACCCAATCAGAGAGAGCCTCTTACACAGATAAATACACCATTTTGGGCCTCAAATACAGTCAAATAAGGCTTCATATTTGGCCTAATTGAATTGATACCAGCGCTACCGTCGAAGACGCCGTCAAAGGCTGGGAATCCCCCAACGAGCCCACCCTATACCACATCCGCGTGTCTCGCGCCAGCTCAGGCCCCGAGACCAGGTACCTAGTCTCGCCGCACCCGACGGACAGCACCAGCCCCATCCCAGACTTCCGCGGCGACCATCTTGCCTTTGACACGGTGCCCGCGGGCGCGTGGGACGTCGGCCGCGCAGTGCTAGACTCGTCGCTCACGGCCAAGCTCGTGCTCGGCTCGACCTCGACGCTGGCCACTGCTGGCCTGGGCCTCGACGACGCCGGCCCCGCGTGGCACGCCCGCCGCGTTGACCTCGTCGACCTGCTGGACCTGTACCACAACCAGCAGCAACAGGAGTCTCCCGACTCGTCTGCTGCCCACGGCACGTACATCCAGTGCATGAAACGCCTCTCGGCGGCCGTGATGCCCGCGCCGCCGTCTCTCGCTCTAGAACAAAACGGCGACGTCGTGGGCGTGGCAGCCGGGCCACGCGCACGGCATCACCGCCGAGAGCGCAGCGTACGCGGCCATTGGCGGTCACGACGCATCGCTGGCGCCGCGGTTCCTGGGCCACGTCACTGACAACGGCGGCGCGCGCGTCATCGGGTTCCTGCTCGAGCGCGTCCCGCCGGCCACGCGCGAGGCTTTTATTGGCGACCTGCTTGGCTGCCGCCGCGCGCTGGCTTGCCTGCACGCCCTTGGCTAGGCGTACGGCGCGCCGCTGCGCAGGCACTCGTTCCTAGTTGTTCCCAATCTTAGCGAAGGTCTGAGGAAGTGAGAGTGCTCCTCCAGTACCTTGGCGGCGCGTATGGACTGCGGACCGTGATGTCTTTGAGAAGGAGATAGCTGGCTTCGAGGCGACCTTAGCTAGGGAGACGTCTGAGTTTGAGGAGACTAATGCGTTTGTGCCGGATGCTATTGTTGCGGATGATGTGTCGGGCGAGTTGTGAATCATGGCGGCTTAAGTCAGGCTGCTCTTGGGGTGTGCGGTGGTTGAATTCGGGGTTGGTGTGAAGAGTTTGTGATTTTGTGTGCTTGGAAGAGGGGTGGGTTTCAATTTGTTCGTATTTGTACACAGATCGGTCTCATATCTAGGAATGCCATTCACTTTCCCATGAAATCCGCCTCACGTTACGTTAGTGGAGTATCACCTTTGAAACCCGTTATATCGTATATGTTTATAAAGATTATTATTAAGATTCTATTATTACTAGCACTTAACAGTAGCTCAATAATCGTGGCCTGGCGCCTTTAGTCGTGAAGAGATATTTCATCCTTTATAGCTTTCTGTTGGAATAACATACTGGAATGACGCGCTGATCCAAGGAATGCGGCTCCGCATTCCTGGCCACAGCAACGTCTGTGGAGGAGCGGGCCTGACAGATGCATATATATTGGCCTACGCCCACCTGTTCAGATAGATAAAAAGACAGACACAAACGAATCCATCACTTGAACCACCACCTTACGGCGCGCAGCGCGCCATGCTGTTTCCAGTACCGGTACCCTGGTGATTCCTACACTTTCATTCGCGTGAGGCACACCGCTACTTGAACCATTTCAATTGTAGATCAACTTCGGGCCGAAAAACTCTAAGCATTTACCTACACTTTATGAATGATGGCGGTTAGGAAATATGTATGTAAGAGGGTGCCTGGTGGCTTGCAGTGGTTACAACTCTAAATGAAAATCTCGTGGCGAAAATTTAAGGTAACCGTTTTTTTCTCAAACCTTGAATTCCCGGACCAAAATTAGGCACCTACTTTACTCTATTCGCTGCTGCTGTCGGGTCCCTTCCCTGCGCGTCCTTCACCACTTCTTTTCATCACAATCTTTCGCACATTTCTTCACCCCATCGTTTCCTCTCCTCATGAGCGAGACGATGGCGCTCTGGGGGGTTCTACCCGCGGAGCTTCGCTTGATGATCCTCGAGATTGTCGCGGACGATTTCACATTCAGGTCCGACAAGAAGGCGCGCGCCGGATATGCAACTGTTTGCCGGGAATGGCAGTATTTCTTCGAGCCGTTCAATTTCGAGCACCTGGTCTTTGACCAGACGCGCATCAATCAATTTGCCCGCCATGTCGGAAACGGCGAGGCCGAGCGCGCCATGAGGCGTCAAACATACGTCAAGGCCATCAGTTTCCGGGTCAAGTTGGACAACTACAAGTGCAAAACCTGCAGGCTTGAGGAAACCCAGATTATCATGGGCAAGTAAGTGACCAGATAATTACGGCTCTGGACCTCGTGGTGTTTCCCATGGAATAGGTCTGATTACCTGGCTCAACAGAAACCGCAGTACCTTCACCAGGGCCATCCTTAGGCTGTTAGCCATCTTATCCAACTGGCCACAAATCATACCGAGCTATCGCAAAGGGATTACCCTAGACATCGGTGTATATTCTCCGAGCGACTGTAGACACCAATTCAGGGACTTCCACCTAGACGAGGTCTATCCGATGCAGGAAGTTAGAGATGTATTTGCCGATCCCCTCTGGGAGGCATACACGGAGCACAAAGCACGGCGTGGTCTGGCTACCCTAGACGACTCTCATCATTCATGGTCCAACGGCCAGCGGAGCTACATCCCCCTCACGTCGCGGTTGCGGCTGACGAGAGAGATGTCGCTCAGCTTCAATCTCCCCCAATTCAAGTCCTCTCAGACGCTGCCACAGGTTCCCGCCGTGGACGAACTAGTAATCCGGCGACAGTTCTATTGGCAGATCGCGCCCGATACCTTAAGAAAACTGCTCGAGTCCTTCACCTGTCTTGTATCCTTTCGCCACGAAGGCTGGCAGCGCCCCACCATGGCCCGACAGCAAGATTTTGTGAAAGGTGCGACGGCCATTAGGTCTCGTATTTTATTTAACTGATTTAGTTCAAGAGCTAATGTGCCCCAACTAATTTGAATATACAGCCTACAAAACCCTGATTTCCCGCGGCTTGCCGGTCAGTCTCCGGAACTTGCACTTGTTCCAAGACAGTAACAGGGATCTTAACCCGTCGATCGTGCCGCAAATCGTAATAACTCCGAATCGTGGGCTTGGAAAAACTCTCGCGAGAGCCAGCAAGTCTCTCGAGGTTCTGTCAGCAGCCTTTGTTGTCGACGCCATCGACTTCTTCGACGGCTTCTGCCCTCTGACGGCCCCCAAGACCTTGGAGCCCCCGGCGCCTTGGGAGAACCTCCACAACCTGATTCTAACGGCAAAGATGCTGCACCCCAAGATGTCTATGCGCCACGCGCACCCTCCGCTACTCTTGGCCGCAGGCCACGCGGCCGCGTTCATGCCCAAGCTTGTTCTCATGCAACTCTGGAACGGCGGCGAGGGAAATGCATGCATCTACCAGTACACGTGGAAGTCTGAGTCAGGGACAGCAACGCTGTGGCTGTCGGCGAACTCGCTCCTCAAATCCGTACGTTCTATTCTGGACAACGGCTCCCCTGTGTACAACACCTGGTCCGAGTCGCTCCGGAAGACACGCGGCCTACCGTACGGCGACTTGAAGACGGGCGCGGACAGGATCCAGCGCAAGCCCTCCGACATCAAGACGTGCGTCGTGGCGGCAACCCATTCCCATGGCGGCCGGCACGTTCTCTGGCACGTTCTGCACCCCATCTCCTAGTACCAGATGATGTGGGACGAGTACGAGGGGAAGGACTTGCCCCAATGGATGTCTAGCGACGATCAAAACCCTCCTATCTGCGCTGTTGAGCCCCCGTTCAAAAAAGGTTAGATTATGAGAGGAAAATCAGTAACGATCAAACATGGCCTGGATTCAGATTTGCCTTGCATTGTTGCGAGTCTTGGCTGTGACGTTATTTCAGGGTGCTCGGGAGTTAAGTGATTACAGACAAGCTGGCTAGGTTGGGTCCGTAGAAATTGATCAAGTCTACAGAAGTCCTAAATAGGTACCTTAAGGCAGCTACCGGTAAATGCAACGTCTGTATGCAAACACTAATCACATGAAAAAATGTCTATAATCCCAACCACTTCTTTCTATGGCTGGTTAATTAGCCCATTATTTTCGGGGCGTGTGAGAATGATAACAGAAAAACACCGCATCATGGACCAGCGACGTAATCAGCTGCCTACCATGAGTATGAGTGAATCGATTGCCGGTTAATAATTGACACGCAAGTTGGATTCGTTCTCAACACCTCCTATTATGCCTCTCCCTCATCCACTTGCATCATTTGCAAGAGGGCGGGGGCATGGGCTGTCTGTGGATGGCGCAAGGATATGGGAGGTTCCTAGAAGGCAGGGCCCCGGTGGGGGCAGCGTAGTTGGGGTATTGGTTCGACGGCCATCGTGCCTGCGCTGCAGCCACACTAGCATTAACCCGAGCGAAGGCGCACTTTCTTTCTTTCTTTCTTTCTGCAAACTCCAATATCTCCCAACACCTGCCATAACTAGCTGACTACCCACAAAAGTGCCCTCCCTAGAAAAAGCCAGAGCATTCCCAGAACCGGTTTGCTGTAAGATCTTTGAGACTAGCTAGGTATTGGAGAGTGGGTTGAAAGAAGATGGATGCCGCCCAGTCTGAATTACGTTTGGGTATGGTATACACGAGTGTGAACAGAGTTATTAACAAAAACTTTGAGGTGATGATCGAGAAAGTTTCAAGATCAAGCGCAAACGGGGATGCTTTATATATACTCGAAAAGGTGAAGGTGGCGGCAGACGGGCGGTTTGCATGGTGATAATCGAATGAGAAGTCCGGTGCTCAGAGATATTTTAAAGCCGCACAACGTATATCAACTCATAACATGACCGACCGAAAATAACAGATCCTAAACCCACTTCCTACTGCGTCGGACCTAGCTGTTCATTAAATAGATTAAAAACTTGATGTGTGAGGAAGGCGCGGGACGGGCGGGCTATGTGAGAGATGAAAAAAGGTAGATTTCACGTTTCAAACGCCCAAAGAGAGGGTCCACACAACGCTCCATTTGTTGTTGACTCAAAGGCGGCGCTGGTGTCACGATCAGTTCCTCGACTTGCAATTCCTAGCAGAATGAGAGCTACTGAAAAGAAGTATCTGACTCTCGTATCCCCTTTCGCCGACTTCCTACGGGGTCATTTAAAAACCTCACTAATATTCCATAAAGATACCGGCCCTCGAGGCTAATTATTGTCTATTTCTGCCGACACTCTCGTCACTGATCTGCCGCTACGGCCATGGTCTGCAGCCAGTATCATGCCCGCAAGGGTGGGCTAGGCAAATTTGAATACCTAGTTAGGTAGTGGTTGACGTATTTCTGCAATTCTTTTATCTCCTTCTGCAACATAAATTTTTAGAGACAGTCATTGAGCTGTGGCCTGGAATGATAGCAAGAGGCTTTGCCTACATCTGATATTGGCGGGAGGTTTCAGTTCGGGTCTTTGAAAGCCCAGAGGGTGTTCAACAATCTCGGAATGACCTGTTGTTTTTGTTTGGGAGTGAGTGGGTTAGCCGTGGAAGCTTTGCTGACAGGGGAGAATAGAAAATGGTGTCTCCTTAATAAGAAGTAGTACCGGTCTCGAAGGGCTCCCCAGATCTCTCTGAGAGTGTCTGCAACCGCTGCTCTGACATGTTCGAGAATTTCCTTGTTCTTGGCGTCCTCATCCCACGAATTGAGGGTGACTTCTAGTCTGGCCCGCTGTTTTTCCCACTTAGCCCCACCCTCCACTCCATGACTAGGAAGGAGCCAGAAGGCAAGCGTTATTTATCAATCTCATGATGATGAACCAACGGTACCGTGACCGCTGGCTGCTCCATCGCGCTATTACAAATGACGTGACACGGTGCTAACCGCCTCTGAGTCTGGAAGACTTAACCAGACGAAGTGGGGCTTACTTCAGACCATGGCTTCTCGAGAAGCTCTCTAGGGACCTTACTCACTCGACTTGTGTTTGTCAAGATCATGGGGCGCCACCTTTCAAGTTGGCCCAACGGTGGCTGCACCGGCTGCTGCGCAGTGACCAGTCGTCCTCACATTGCTGGCCCCATTTTCCCCTCTGTTGGACTTCTGCCGCGAGCTTGAAAAGGCTGATCGTAATCGTATACGCAACAGTCTCATTACAGCTCTTTCAAAAAGAGGCAAGAGAAAGTCCTCGGAGGCAGCTTGCTACGGCGCAATCAGTTTTAATGTTCCAACATTTGTATTCTCGCTTGGTGCATGTTGACAAAGTCTGATCGGGATGTAGCTCTAGTCCCTTGGGTTGGAGGGCTTCAGGACGTAAGAGCCGTCTACAGCCCCCCCAGGAAACGCAAATGTCCTGCACACAAACTCCCCTCTCGAGCTGAGATTGCAGACTGCGCGAAAGCATCATTCGTCAAGGAAGGGCAAGAACGAGTAGGAATGGTTCTCCGGAATGTGGCGACCAGCTTCGGATTCTTCCCTCCGGACGTTAAAGAGCTCATCTCCAAGACCGCCATTCCCAACGCTCTATTGGCCGAAGCTTTGACCAGGGAGAATATCAAAGGAATTCTTGAACGCTTCCTAGCGAAATCCCCCGTCCCTCACCGCCACAGCATTGAGAACTACGCCAGCCAGATATGCAGCGATAGCCTGACCGACAAGCTCGGCCCCTGTGCACACCTCTTTGCAATCTTGGCCCTCTGCAATATGGAAATTTTCATCCTCCAGTTCATCGACAACGAGATTAACGACGCCGCCTTGCCCTTCAACGCTAGCAAGAATAACGATTGCCTCGGATTCTCCCGGAACGACCACAGAGTCAGGATCAACTCCACGTCTTACAGGGACGAATATGAGCCACGTGATCACGACAGTTTTGAAAATAACCAGTGGAGGGTTTATCTGCCCTAATCTCAAAAAAAAGGTTTCTTCCATCCCGCCCGCCCCTCCTCTTCCTCCTACGCTCGTTTACAACGCGTAAAGGACGCTCTGCTCACACCCAGACAAGATGCCAGCTTCCGGCCCTCGCACCTTTGCCATCAAGGTTCTCACCACCAAGAAGAAAGAGGATTTCGAGAATGAAGTAATGATGCTTCGCGCCCTGCGCGGTCGTCCCCACGTAATCGATCTTCTGGCCACCTGCAGCCACAGAGGCAAGTGGTGTTTGATCTTCCCCTAGGCGGATGGCGACCTGTTGGCCTACTGGGCCGCTGTTCCAGCGGCACCGCAGATGAGCGTCAGGCTCGTCCGGTGGGTTTCTGAGCAATGCCTTGGCATCGTCAAGGCTCTAGACTAAATGCACAATCCAGCGCAAGAGCCAAACACGCTAGAACCCCGGACACAGGAGCAGCTCTTTGCGCGGCACGGAGATATCAAGCCAGAAAACATTCTCCGGTCCAAAAACGGCTCTAGGTGGCAACCAGTTGAGAAGCCCACGTGGCTAACATCAAAGTACCCAGGAAAAAATCTTTCAATTGCCCATTGCGGATCAAGATGCTAGTGTTGAAGCACTCGGACATGGCAGGAACAACTAGGGCAAACAGGATCCATCGTATCCACCAACTCTCTCGCCGCCTCATCCGTCTGGCTTGGCCTCGACACTCGAGAGTCTCGAGTTTCCGTTAGAAACGACGGCTAGGACATCAGAGGGCCTCCAGGGCTCGACCAACGCGCTCCAGGGTGTGGTGGTGGCGCCCTTGCTAGGTGATACGAGGTCGACTGAGAGGAGCAGATGGGGCAGGTTCAGGGCGGGGATAAAAAGGGGTTACTGCGCTGCTGTTGTTGCTGCTTCTCCGTCTCGGGAGGAGACGATTCTGGTCAAGTTTAGGTAGACGCTTAGGTGCCTAGGCAGATAAGCTAGGTGCCTAGTTAGAACCAAGGTAAATAGGTAGATACGTGCCCTTCCTGTTTTCGCCCCAACATATTGTAATTTTTCTTTTAAATAATGTTCTTTCCTTACTGCGTCACCAAAACCAGGCGGGAATAGCCGTGGCTTGTCTCTTCTTTGCCTGAGTGGTACAAGACATCTTGTTTTGGAAGCTTCCGGCCTTGTGGTCTGTAGAGACCCGATCCGATCCGATCCGCGGCACACCGGAAAACGAAACAATCAGATGCTTGGTCTTTCGCACACGTTTGCCATCAAGTAGCTCAGCGAATTCGAGGACGAATCGGCATTCAAGGGACTAGGGGACACGGTGCTCCGCGTGTTTTACGGGCAACCCCACGTCGTCAGGCTTCTAGCTGCCTTCAGCGACGGTGGGTATGATTCCCATCATCTGGTCTTTCCCTGGACGGAACGTCACTTGGCCGACTACTGGGTTTCTGGGGCCGCTGCAGTAGAGGAGCAGTGCCAGGCTGGTCAGATGGGTGTCCAAGTAGTGCCTTAGTATCACCAGGGCTCTGAAGTAGATGCACGACCCGACGAAGAGGGCGCCGAGCCCACGGGCCCGTTGGTCTCTGGCCGGCGGGCGGCCGTACTCGCGGCACGGAGACAGGCAACCCGAAAACATACTCTGGTTCAGGGATGGCAAGTCCAGCGAGGAGGCGGACAACCACGTGTCGGGCGAGCTCGCGCTGGCGGGGTTTGGGCTGCTAGTGCGGCACCAGCGCGAAAATAACCATGTCAACGGCCTGAACGATTACGTGTCGCCAGATGATTGGAAGGAGATCCGGAAGGACACCGACATGTAGGCTCTGGGCTGCTTCTTTCCCAAGTTCACCACTTGGCTCCTCGGTGGCAAGGAGTTTCTCGACGAGTTCCGACAGATAAGGGCCGCCTCGCATACAACCTCGATGCAGGGCTATTCGAGCCGGCTTTTTTAGACTGACATCGGCACGCCCAATCCACCTCACACGATAAAAGGTGCACCCCGAACTCGACCAGGTGAGTTTTGTAGCGCCCTGTGTGCACATCCAGTCAATACACCAAAGCCTTAATTAGACCAAGTCTAACCAGTTCGCTGCAGTGGTTCCAGATTTTGCGCCATCACCCGGAAGCCCGGAAGCAACCCAATACATCCACGACCTTCTCAACGTGACCCAGACTGAAGGGTGATCACAACCTAAATCGCGGAATGCGTGTGCAATACGTGAAAGGTAGGTAAAAAGATGATGATGAAAGGAAGCTCGGAAGCCCTGCCCCGCCAAGGATTTGTTGGAGATCCTTGGTGGGGCAGCCCACCAATGTGAGCGAGGCCCGAGCGCCCAGGGCTAGGCCCTGCTAATCTATGTACCTAGGTATCAAATTACACGTGTCATGTCACGTGACCCCAGATTGCACTCTCCATGGCGCAATCAGGCATCACAGACCCATTTGTTGGTTGTCGATACAGACACCAGGATGACCTCGGAGGGCCTGGTCGGTGAGTTGGAAAAGCTCGACGAAAAGTGCACATCACCAGCCCTGGACGAGGTATTGCTGCGCCCCACTGGCCCTGATCAGGGAAAACACACGGATAGTCACGATGAGGTGGTGGTTATTTATTGAGACAAATGCTGCCAGGAAAGCAGTACCTGCAAACCCTGGGGTTGATAGTAAATATTGACATGCCGTTGGTGCAGTGACAGCTACCTTAGTTCCAGTCCTAGGTTCTCGACCGGATCCGAATAGTACTAGGTAGGTAGATTCGTGAGAAAATATTGGGTTTTTATTCTCAGTAGAAAACCTAAACTAGTTGTTGTAAATTTGAACAACATTGTATCATAGGCCCTTTATTCGCTCGACATGGCTGTGATCTTGCCCTTAGGTTAGTTGCCTTACGGTATTGCGCTGTAAGTCGTCGTCGCCAAGAGATACAGTGCGCTCAGACACTGTGTTCACAGAACTCCGCATTGACCGCCCACTTTTACCCGTACAGTGTGTGGACCCCCATAATCAACACAGTCCAGCTGCTTGCCGTTGCATGAGCTTCGCGAAACAGGCCCACCTCCTGGCAAGTTAAAACTACCCGATAGTGTGGTGATGGTCGTCGGGAGCCCGGGAGCACCCACTTACACCGCACACACAACCAACCTGTCTCGAGTCTCGGGCTTCGTCAGCCCAAATTCGGCATTTCGCATCATATCGACTTGAGAGGACCAATTGAATTGCTCTTGCGCATTCGGCCCAGCCATGTCGAAGCGCCCCGCGGTTCGACAGCCTCCTTTCGATCCTTGATCCTCGATCCTCGATCCTCGAGTCAAGATGGCCAACCGGCGCGCTCCGCCAATGCGCAACGGCGGCTACGGGAACCTTGACGAACAGGAGCCACAACAGCAGCAACCCCAACAGCTGCAACAGCAGCAGCCACGGCGGCAGCGGCAAGACCGCCCGAGCGACGACTACGACCCCTTCGGCGAAGGCTACGGCAGCGCCGGCGACCGATATGTCCCGCCCCGCCAGGCCGCCTCGCGCCCTCCGCCCGCCGCTCGGAATGCACGACCCGCCCCCCAGCGCGGCTTCGAGTCCAACGCCGAGCGAGAGATTGCAAAGGTGCTCGAGCTGATCAAGCGCGACTGGCCCGCTATGTGCGAGACCGACTGCATCCCCGTCCAGCTGGCCCTGCAGCTGCTGGACACCAGCTCCGTCGGCCGCGCCCACGAGTACCGCACCTTCCAGAAGACGCACAAGTACCTCCAGGACTCGCTCAAGAACATCGTGCACGACTACCACCAGGGCTTCAACAGCTCCATCGGCACGTTCCACAAGATCCAGGGCAGCATCCAGGCTTCCCAGAAGAAGGTCCGCGCTCTGAAGGAGTCCCTGGCCTCGTCCAAGACGGCCTTGTGCACTACGGACCCAGAGCTCAAGAAGCTGCACACCACCTCGCGCATGTACGACGAAGTGCTGCAGACCCTCAACGAGCTAGACGATCTACGGGCTGTGCCCGATCAGCTCGAAGCCAGGATATCCGAGAAGCGCTTCCTGTCCGCCATCGAGGTGCTGCATAATGCCCTGCGGAAGCTCAGAAAACCCGAGCTGGACGGCATCGGCGCGCTGACTGACTTGCGTAGCTACTTGGCCAACCAGGAGACCGCCATCATGGACATCCTGATTGAGGAGCTCCACGAGCATCTGTACCTCAAATCACCCTACTGCCAGGAACGGTGGCAGAACCTCGCCAAGAGCCAGGGTGTCTTGAACGACGCCTATGGAGAATCTCTCACCGTCGCCCCCTTTTACGCCACCCTGGAGTCTGTTGACTGGGAGCGGCCCGCCATTGAAGACCCGCAGAAGAATCCCGAAGCGGACACCTTCTCCTACGTAACCCTGGTCGTGGAGGCCCTGAACAAGCTGGGAAGGCTAGAGGGCGCGGTAGACACGCTCAAGCAGAGGCTTCCTGTCGAGCTGTTCACCGTCGTCAACGAGACAATCAACGACATTGACCAGAAGCACCCCAGCTCGCTAAGGGGCGGCTCTTCCGCCTCCGGCGGTCTCCACATGTACGGCCATCGCGAAACTCAGATGAGAGCAGACGTCATATACGACCTGCTCTGGACGCTGTTCGGAAAGTTCGAAGCCATTGCCGAGGGCCACCGCGTCCTCCACGAGTCCATCAGGGCATTGATACGCCGCGAGGGAGCCGGCAACAACAGCACTCTGCTGGGAAGCTTCAAGGAGCTCTGGAATCTCTACCAAAACGAGATCCGGTCCCTCTTGCACAACTACGTCACGACCGACGCAGATGTCTACCAGTTTCGCTCCTCCCCGAGGCCTGGCGCGGGCGTGAACGGGAGGACCGACGCAGGCCGGGATAGTCTCTTCAAATTCTCAGAGGCCGACTCCAAGTCAGCCGAGATGGTGACGGAATACGAAGCCCTAGACAGCATCATCCGAGCGGCCGTTCCAGGTCTGACGTCCAATTCGACTCGTAAAGATAAGAAGGCGTCCCTGATCGTGCCGAGATCCGACCCCGTGACAGCTAGAAAAAGCACGGGTCCTGGATCGGGCAACAATCAACAGGCGCGTGGGACGTACAAGTCTCTTGTGGAACCCAGTGTCTTCAACATGAGTCTGCTCCTACCGCCCACCCTCGTCTTCCTTCAGCGTCTTAAGAACATAGTCCCGCCCGGGTCAGATCTAGCGACAAGCACATTGACGTCGTTCCTCGACAACTTCCTCGTCAATGTATTCCAGCCACAGCTCGACGAGACTCTTGGGAAGCTTAGCGATACTGTCTTTGGAGAGGCCGATGCATTCCAACAAGACCCCGACTGGGCCCAGGTGGCCAAGCGGCCAGTCTTCCGGGGAACAACAGCCTTCTTCACTGTTGTCACGGCATTTTGCAGGATGCTGGGCACTATACCTCATGACCAAGCACTAAGCTCGCTCATCATCACGCAAATGCTTCGGTATTATGATAGGTGCTTTAGTTGGTACAAGGCTCTCGTCACAAAAACACAGGAGGAGTCTTCCAGTGCTCAGGCTCTGCGAGCATCCGCCGTCATGGCGCTGGAGCCTGGAGAGATCAACGAGACCACGCAGAAGTTGTGGAAATCAGACCACAGCAACCTCGAGTTGCTTGAGCAAGAAGCCAGTCTATTGATAGAGCAGACTAACGAGACGAAGCTCGAGGTCAGCGACATCATCCAAGACCGCGATACAATCTCGTCGCTTTGTCTGCTATATACCAGCATGAAATGGCTGTCGGTCAAGATTCTCGGGCTGCGGCACATCACAAGGAATGAGACAGATTCATCTAGATCGACCCTACCAAAGCCCGAGAAGAAGCGATGGACGCTACTGAACGACCCGAGCAAGGCCACGGCCGAGGAAGGGCCCGTGCATCTCCCGATGACCCAGGAGACTGTCCAGTGAGGCCCCCGTGATTTAGTGCTCTGCCGCTGTAAGACGAGAGCTAATCCATGATACAGGTCGTTTGACGGCATTTTCTCGTCGTACGAACAGCTCGCCGCAACCGCCTTACGCACTCTTCACATGGAAGTGCGTTGTCGTATCGTGCAGTCACTGCACACGGCCCTGTCGCCGCAGACGGCGCCGTATCTTTTGGACCAGGAAGTGAATGAGCCGGACCCGCAGATCCTCTCGCTCAACGCCGAGATGGTGGCTTATGACGAGATCATCACACGCTTCTTGCGGGAGCGGGAGGTTGCCTTTGTGCGCACGGGACTAGGGCTGCTCATCAACAGGTACCTCATTGGGAACGCGTCCATGGTAGCGCCCATGAACGCAAAGGGGTGTGGCCGCATGCAGCTCAATATCCTCGTGCTACAGCAAAACCTCAAGAACATCGAAGAAGGGGTCGACCTGGTCCGCGCGGCAAACTACTTTGAGCTGTTCGACAAGGGCCCCGACGCCATCGTCGAGAAGGCCAAGGACGACGCAGCGAGCCAGCCGGTGACGCCGTCGCCCGACGACGAGGGGGCGGCCCGCGGGGCGGCCTCGAGGGACAACAACCGGTTCACGTACGACGAGCTCAAGGCGCTAATGGAGCTCTGCTACAGCGAACAGCTGGCGGACCCAGAGAGAGGCGTTGGCGCTGCTGCGAAGCGCCAGATGGCGGATAAGCTCCTTAATCTGAGCGAGCACATGTGGCAACACTAGTGACGGCAACATGACTGCATCATATGTGTCAGGGTTTGGAAAAGCTTTTGGGGGTTTGCAGGAGTCTGGAGTTTGCTGCGTGCATGGCGGCAGTGTTACCGAGCGCAAACGCCGGTCAACCTCGACCTGAGAGAGAGAGAGTGAGTGTGTGCCTATGGAGTCTGCGCAAGTAGACGAGTAATTTGGGAGCCAATGGGAGAGACAATAGGGTTGCTCTAACAGCCATGCGTCCTCAATGGGACGTCATTGTGATCCCATGTCTCCCGTCGTGATGTAGCTATTGCTGCAGTGTACTGCACTGCACTGCGATCAGTGCGTCTGTTGCGTCTGTTTGCCAAATGGGCTGTCAAACCTAAGTTGACTTGTCCTACGAACAACAACGAGCCACAACAACGAACCTCTCACCGTCTCAACTAAACAGACGGACGATAGACGCGGCCACAGAGGCTGGCCGGCCTGACGCCGCAGGCTGCCGCTGACCGCGGTGGCGATAACTTCCTGCGGTCGGTCTGTGTGGTCGCCTGTCCGCTGGCCTTTATTCCCGTGCATAGTAAAAGGAGAAGAGGCGAATTTCCATGTTTTTTCCCCCGCCCAGTTCAGTTGCGGTTGCGCGGACAGGCTCCTCCGTGATCATCATGCCCCGATGTGGGTGTGGCGGTGCTGTATGTACAACATCACCGTTTTCTACCAATCTGCAAGTTGTTTGTTACGAGCTGCTGCAAACTGCCTGCTGCAACTCGAAAGGAGATCATGGTATGGATAGATACCCGTTTGGTATTTTATACACTTTTACAATCCAATCCCTGAATGTTTGTTGGCGTGTACTTAGAAAGGAAAAGAAAATAACAAATGATCCGGCCAGGCTTTCAAAGGTCGTTGATAGGATTTCTAAGAAGGAATAGACCTCTAGGATTCCAAAATAGGGATTCAAATACCTCTATTACCTCCCTTGGGGGAAAAACCGTTACGGCGAGCCGTAAGGTGCTAAGGCCATTTGGATCTTGGAAAGTACCACGCCAACTAACATTCAGGGATTGGATTGTACATGAAATCAGACGCAAGAAGTACCAAAGAAGAAGCCAAGGAGAAGTAGGTAGTTGGGAAGCAGGCGGCTGTGTTAGTTGGGGTTGGTTGGTCGTAATAGTATGGAGGGGATGCGGCGCAAGGGAACAAACACGATGATGAGCTAGATCCTACGTAAATAACCATTTCAGAGCTGTCGGAGGGATAGATAGAAGGAAGCAAGCGAGCAAGTGGAAGAAATACCAACGGAAACATCATTTTGTTCATTCATTGATTTAATGCGTTGCACGGCAGCTAACCTGAACCAACTCCCTCGAAACTACCCTATGTAAGGGTGAGGCACTGGCTGTAGATTTCAGGTGTGTTGTCTGTCTTGGTGTTCAAGAATCCCGGTGGCCCAGCGGGCCTTGCCAGCTGAAAATGAAAGGCCGGACTGTTTCATGTCGGAGCATGTTGCAATTAAGTCCGCGGGTGGCAAATCCAGGTCTATTAATCAGTCTCTTCCCCCAAACCAAACCCACCAGGGCTGCCAGCAGCGCCTCGTTCCATGGATGCTGGTTCCCGCTTGTCAAAGGGAGCTGCGGCGAGGTTTTCCAGTTTTGGACGAGTTGAGTTGAGAAGGAAAATCGAATATTAAAGGGGGGGGATCACTCCGTATACGTTACTCCGTACGTGGGAATCCGTATTCGCTGAACCCCGTTCAACACCCCTGATTCTTTTCAGTTCAGGGGTGGGGGCAGCAGAGACAGACACTGAGGTGTGCCCGCTGCCGTCGGAGACAGGCTCCATTTGCAAGTTGTGTACGGGATTAGACACCATGCTGGCATCAACCCGCAGAAAAATACATGTGAGACGGTTTCGATTAAGGGGTAACTACCGAGATATATAACAGGCCTTCGCTGCCTGCAATATCCCTTCCCTTGCCAGACAAGAGGCGGGGGGGGGAAGAAGCGAAACCTTGGAAAATGGCAAGTGACGTGACGTCTGTCTCTTTTTCCTTGTCGAGGGACGGGAGACAAAAGCTTGGTCACGGCCGCGAGATTGCCTAGCTAGAGAGCAACTTCAATGCACGGGCAAATATGCTGCTGGCACAAGTGCCGGGCTAACGCGCAGCCAAGTCGTACTGGCAGCCCGCTCTTTTCTCTTGGTGCTGCGCCTACGCCCGGGCCTAGCCGTCCAAATGGCTTCGGCCCACTGAGAGCCAGTGCTTGACGTGCTGTGGACACTCGCTATTCACGTGTTCAACGCCCGAGAATGCAATCCAACTGCTACTGGGACCCGCAGGCACCTGTCTGGCTCCGCGGTAAAGGTTGCCAGGCGATGGGATCGGATGTCGACGAGCCAATTGGTCGGCTCTTTCCAGGGCGGGAGAGGGAGAACCTTGGAAGGCTTCCAACATTGGAACCCTCGTCTGAAATTACTCCCCACCAACTCCCCGACGTTCGTTCTCTTTTTCTTCTTCAGCATCCTCCTGTGAAATACATCATCGCCATCAATGCGAATGCAACGCTCGTTTTGCCCTTCCTGTCTGTGATTTTGCCTTTTTTTCCTCGGTTGCGCTGGGTCAAAATCGGTCACTGTAGTTCACCTTAGACCCGCCTCCGATCCTGCATGACGTGAGCAAAGGGCTGCCCAACAATCACAAACCTGCGAGGTACCCGAGTGGTACGTACTGTACAGGCGGCGCTCCACCGTATTCGTACCTCCCCCCCCCCAATGCCTGCAGCATTTTTCTGGCCTGAGAAAAAAAAGGAGGCTGCCTGTACTTGCCCGACAGGTTCTGACCCGGCGTTACGCCACGACCATTTAGAGAATTCCACAGCCAAACATAAACACGCCCGCCAATCAAGGGTGAAACCAGCGGACAAGAACGACATAGCGACGCAACCATACCTTACACTCTTCTCCTGCTCGAGAGCCAGCCTCACGGTCCGCTATCATTCTGGTCCTCGCAATCGCTTCCTCGCAACCCGCGTCGGCCAGGTGCGCGTCGAAAACCCCGCCCGGGAGACCTGGCCTCCAAATCCCGCCGCTCACCCCCTAAAACCGAACCCGCCAATATCTCCCCGACCGTGATCTCGCCCTTTCGCAGTTTCGACACTCGGCATCATTGCCCTTGACTGCCCACGATGGCCAACTCGTACGTGGAAACACCCCTCCTGTCATCAAGCCTCGCTGGCTATGCTTTGCGACCCTCCTTGCGAGAGGTTTTGGATCCTTTGGCTAACGGGTCGACTTAATTTGAATCTTGCAGAATAGGATCAGTATTTCGCAGTTTCTGGCACACCATGACCAGCTACGACCGACGTCAGTTCAATCGCGCCTCATAAGGCTTGCGTTCTTTCTGTGCTGGCCAGCTGACGAATCCCGAATAGATTCTACCTACGACTCTCCCCACAGATCCGCTCGCCATGTCCCATTAAGTCGAGCCGGGGGTTTGACCTCGGTCGCAAGCGCCTCGGAGTCCCGCGCCGACATCACGTCGAGCTACCACGACGACGCCGCTCGCCTCTCAAACTCGGGATTCGACACAGCGTACGGAGGGGCCGGTTCTGCAATGCATAGCACGCCCATGAGCCCCGGCAGGCCATACTCGCCCGGCATGAGGTCAATTGACACGCGAAAGTCGAACGCTAACATCGACGGCTTCGAAACCCAGAGCCCTGCCGGCGAGATACCCATGCAGTCCTTCCAGGACGGCCTGCCGCCTCCGCCGTCGGTCTCGAGTTCGTGGAACAAGATCGATAACTGGGCCGAGGAGCACTACCCGGAGCTGTCGGACCAGATCTGCGAGGGATGCACCATCAACGACATTAACGAGCTCGAGCACCAGCTCGACTGCTCCCTCCCACAGGACGTTCGGGAGTCTCTGCAGATTCATGACGGACAGGAGCGGGGTGGCAATCCGACCGGGATCATCTTCGGGGCTATGCTTCTGGACTGCGAAGAGATAGTGCAGGAGTGGGACAACTGGCGGAAGGTGAACCAAGAGTATCTGATGGAGACGGCCGTTGTCAAACCGTCCGTTCCCTCCAAGGCCCTCGGCGGAAACAGCCAGGCCTCGTCGTCAAGAACTGCCCCGTCGAGCCCGGCGTCCACGTCATCTCGTAACACGACCTGGCGGCAGGACTTGCTAGCACGCCAAGATAGCGTTCCTGCTGGCGCTGTCCAGAGGGTATATGCGCATCCCGGCTGGATTCCTCTGGTGCGTGACTGGGGTGGCAACAACTTGGCCATCGATTTGGCGCCTGGGCCTAAGGGTTCCTGGGGTCAGGTCATTCTCTTTGGCCGCGACTTCGACACCAAATTCGTTGTTGCTCGATCCTGGGCTCATTTTCTCGCGCTTGTAACGGATGATCTCGGCAGCGGAAGGTGGTTCGTGGACGAGGAGACGGGCGAGCTCAAGCTTCGCGAGTTTAAGAAGACCCGCGTCGAGCCTGCTTACTTCGACATTCTGAGGTGGAGGGTGGACCAGAAATACGGACGCGCAGCAAATAATCGGAAATCCCGTGCTCAGGGAGCGGCGTCGCCTACGGGCCCCAGCTCCCCATACGCTAGCCCGGTAGAGCCCAACGGTGAGCCCCGGGGCCGATCATTGCAGCGCCTCAGCGGCAACTCGCCGCTCCCGAGCCCCATCCGACCTGGATTTGGCAAGCCGAGCCCGCTGGCACGAGTAACGGAAGAAGCGCCTGCGTTGCTGGCCGTCACCATTCCCAACAGTGCCACAATCCGTGAGAAGTTGGTCGAAGTTGAAACCCCGCGGCCGAGCAGCGAAGACAACAAAGAGAACGTCAACGCTCCGAGACTGGCGGCATTAACGAACGGCGACGACCTGTCGGCCACACCCAAGCCGGAACCACAAGAAAATGGAGCGGCCAACGGCAAGGTGGTACTGTCAACTGGCAGCGGCAAGCAGCCAGTGATAGTCGAAGAGGCGGAGACAATGAAAACGATTGAGATCTGAAGAAAACGGAACGACCACACATGACGAGTTATGGGGCGAGTCAAGCTTCTCTGGGCTACTACAACAAATGATGCGGCATCGAATACGGCGTTTTGGGCGGCTTCCTTCTCTCTCAACCACTTCGAGTTTTTACGTGTGGCAAGCATCCGGCATATCTGGCTACGGCGTCATCCTCCTTTGTTTATCTTTCCGGGCATCCTTTTGTCGCCAGCTGGGTGCCAAAATGGGAGGCCATGCACATAATTTTACCTTTCTATTCAGCCTTTTATCTGCTCTCAGCGGTGGGGAATTCTTCTTTATTGGGGGGAAGGGGAGCTTGTTGCACGGCCTTCGAACCATACACTAGAGGGAAAGCACACGGAGTGCATATGCTTTTTTTATTCTGCTGTAACAACATGATTGGTCTATTGTCTAATGGGCTTTTCGATTTACATCTAGCCGTTTTTCTTCTGCTTTTTGATTCCGGGGAGGAGGCGAGGAAGCTTGTGATGTGTTGGGGGTGCTAGGGAATGTGGCTGGCTGGCTGGCTTTGTTCAGCTATGAAAAGTCCAAGCCATGTCTGACGACCTACCCCTGTACATGCATTTCTTGAAGGGCTTCCGGAGTTGTATACTACCGGGAGGGTGAACGCATAGCACACACAACAGATACATTTTTGTCGCGGTTGCGACGCCAACGAAATATCGCTTTCTCTCTCTAATCTTCACGGCACGGTTTGGAGAGAACTGGAAAACAGAAAAGACTGGGAGATTATGGGAAGGGACGGGGCCTTGGTTGGGTGCCTTTTTGATATCTTGCTTTTTTGCTACCTCGCCTATCTAGGTAAATAGGTAGGTAGGTAGGTTCCTGGGTATGGAGTTTAAGGGCGCAATGAGGCTGCTGCTGCTGCCACTTACCTGGTGCCTTTTTAACTTCTTGTTTTTGTGTTTTGTCTTTTATCCTGTTTTACGTACATTTCCCGAGCCATTCTAGGGTTGTGTGAGGTTCGGGTCCAGGTTCAGGCTCAGATTCACGGAGTTTATTGGCATTGGATCGGATCGGATCGGGAATGGAAATGGAAATGGAAATGGAGATGGAAATAGAAATGGGATAGAATGGAATGGTGAAAGCCATGGTATATAGATAGACAGATATCCGGCGCGGATACGATTACTTGTGCTTGTTAGAAGTTGAGTTGGAGCGTGACTTGCTGAAGACGGACAAAACGGTGATATGAGGGAGCATTGCTGTCTGTCTTATACTTTTTAGTTCTGAAGAACATGCTGGGTGAGTGACGACTGAGATTGGTTAGTTGTCTGAGATGGTGTTCACATGTACGTAAAAGCCCTAACAAGATGTGCTTCCTTACACCACAGACTAACTCAGCTCGATTCAACAACCATTCTCGACCCTAGCAAACATATGAAGCAAGATGAGGTTATGTGTGTGGCACGGCTTTAGTTGAGTTAAAATTCTCGTTTTTGGAGGGTTTCTAGAAACCGAATTCCGTCCCGAAAGGAATGAAACTGGTATTAGATAGACGGGACTGAGTGTTTAAGAACGGGGTGTCACGTGCCACGAGACAAGGCGGCGGGGCAGGCGGCAGATGCGGATCCCAGCCAGCAGCAGTGGGGATGAGTTGGTGGCCGTGCGCATGCTCCGACGTCGTCATCTCCAGCCTCACCTCCTGCCACGCCTCGATCTCTCTCAATCTCTCCCTGTCTACCTCCGCCCTGTATCCATCGTCCGCCGACCTACACCACCGAAGCCCCGAGACCCAACTACGCACACGCTTCACTCCACTGCCCGAACGTGCCCGCATTCGGAGACCCGGCCGTGCCGACACGACAAACGGCAATCCCACCCGCCCCCCTTCTTTTCCGTCCTAGGCAACCGAGCCGTCGAGCTATCACGGAGTTTTGATAATCGCGGCGCTTGCGACACACGAACGAACCCAATCTCTGGGTAGTGCTGCTAAAAGGAAACATCGCGTCGCAGCCATGTCGGAAGACCGCCTCTGGAAGTTCAGGAAGCCCGAGTGGCTGAACAGCGTGTGGGCGCGCAACGCCGGCGTCTACAGCGCGGGCGGTTTGGTGAGTTGACTACTACCCATCTCGCCGCGGTCATGATGCAGCTGGGAAGTGGGACTGGCGGTTTGCGATGCCGTCCTGCGCCGCAGCTTGCTAACGCCTTCCCCGAAACCAGTTCTCACTCGCCTTCTACGTGCTGCTCGACAGCGCGGTCTGGTCCAAGAGCCCGCTCAATGGGTCGACGGTGCACGTCACGTTTGTCGACTGGCTGCCGTTCATCTTCAGCAGCCTGGGCATGCTCATCATCAACAGCGTCGAGAAGACGCGGCTGTCGGCCGACAGCTTCAGCTACTCGGGGTCGGGCGTCGCCTGGAAGGCCCGCGTCGTCCTCTTCCTCGGCTTCGCCGCCCTCGCCGGCGGCATGGCCGGCGGCGTCACCGTCTTCGTCCTGAAATACGTCGTCCCCAATGTCCCCTGGCCCATGCTCCGCATGGGTGTCGAGAACGTGGTCGCGAATGCCCTGGTCGGGCTAAGGTGCGTTGACACTCTTGCTACTGCAGAAGCCCTGACTGACTTTCGCTATCTCCTATAGCTCCGTCGTGCTATGGATCAGCCAGAACATGGAGGACGAATACGCCTACAACTTGGCTCTGTGAGGGTGGCGGCCTAGACTGGAGGCAGAGAGTATTCAGGCGGGGGGGGCAAGTTGTCGGTTCTTTTTCGCGAAGGGTTCGCGGGCTCTGGTTTGTTTCGCTTCTCAGACTATCTAACACACACACATTCACACACATACTCATACCCACACACACTAAACAGACCCCCGTTTGGTGTTCTCATGCACGCACGCAAGGGTTTAGCCTCTGCTTCGGTTTTGCAATCGCGTGTTGATGCACACATGCACAGGCGCAGAGGCACGAAGCGGGCTCCCTTCTTTGGTTTCCATTTGAAGCGTCTTTTATATGACCAGGAAACGGGACTGCAGGTCAATGGCGCGAGACACAGCGGACCCAGGAGTTTGCAAGGGCAGAGGGATGTGGTTGGTGCGGTTCGACACTCGCGGCACAGAGAACTTGCTATTGATATACTCAGGTTCCTCCTGCCACATGTACTACTATCACTTGCTCACTGTGTATCAAATCGATCGGGACTGGCAGACTCAAGTCCAAACCACTAGATGATATATTCAGGTTTTGGGTGGTCATGGTTCTTTTGCATTCATGGTGTGCAAATCGCCCATCCATTCCCATCTGCTCGTCAGGCTTGCCATGACTGGTGGATAGGTATGTTCGGTATTTTATTTCTCTTTCCTACCATCACCAGGGGCCACTCCCAAAATATGACTCTGTACAATCCAATCCCTGAATGTTTGCTGGCGTGGCTTGGGGCAGGATAAATAAATATCATACCTCGCGAATACAACAGCTTGGAAAAGCCTTTAATTCCTAGATGCCCAAGGTAGCTATTTTTGGAGAAGAGATCTTGGCCTCTAGGATTCTAAAATAGGGATTCCAATACCCAGATTTTACCTCCCCGGGCGGAAAAAACCCTTTCGAGCGAGCCGTAAGGTATTAAGTGAAGCCTTTCAAGTCATGGAAAATCCCCGGCTAACAAACATTCAGGAATTAGATTGTAGCTACTGTAGGAACTACAGTATGCACTAAGCTAGGTAACTAAGGTAAGATAGGAAAGCTGTAGTCCTGTCCTTCGAACATGTAGAATTCTCAAACCCGTGTCCCGCTCAGCGACAAGTCTGGTTGAGTACCCTACCTTCCTAGGCGGCTGGCCAGCGGCTTTGCCATTGCAGAGTTGTAGAGCACTAGGCAGACAGCCCCAGGTCTGAGAGAGAAAGATCGAGAAAGAGAAACAGGAACTATCAACACAACCACAAATCTTCAAACTACGGGCGCGGCCTCTTCACGATGAGCGGCAAATCGTTCCCATGGAGCAAAAATATACAACCGCGCGGCTCGGCTCTTTAAACTACCTACCAACATATGCCTCTATTTTCGTCAAAGGAGCATGCAAGCTTGACTCATCCATCTCCCTTGGTCAACGGTGTTTGCCTCAGGTAACTACGCTACGTATGGAGTTGAGAGAGAGAGGGAGAGGGATAGAGATAGGATAACAGCGAGCCAGGCGCACAGACTCTTTGGTGTCATTGACAATCTAGGTAAGCTTTCTTCTACGGTAGTCATCGCAGAAAAGGAAAATGAAAATCATGCAAACGATATCATTTTCTTGTGACGCCTTGCTTGCTAGGGAGGGTGCCTAACTACCTTACATACACAGTAAATCCGGTTCCAGTGGCTCCCTTTCTATCCAAGGGCTGGCCCTGTCGACGACTCACTTTTTGGTTCTTGGGCTCGGAAAGCCAGTCCCGACTAAGCGGATGGAAGCACTGAGGTGACTGGGATGAGAATAAAAATACAGCGACGTTGCACGTTGCTTGTACGTACTGTATTAGTACAATACCTGCATACTGTGCGGTGGCCTGCCTGCCTGCTGTGGCATTCGTGTCCAGTTCAGAGACAGTGGTTTGACTTTGGTAGACATAGGTACAGCAACTAGGCTGGCACGATAAGCTGACATAGCCATATAGAAAGAAACATGTTTACGTGAACGTTTCTGATGATCATCATGTAAAAGAAGAAACTCCCCGGCTTAACTGCCGGACTTTTATCGTGCTCTGCAGCAGCAGCAGCAGCAGGAGAGTCAGATAGATACGTAGAGAGATGGGTGTCCGCTCGCGCGGTTACTTTGCAGGAAGCTTGCAAAGCTGAGTCCTGGTTTCGTGACAAGCCCTGAGACATTAACCCACTGTGCTTGGGCGGCACAGTCCTCACGTCTGTCCATAACGAACATATATTGGATTTCGGCTACTGCCGGCCGGGCCGTGTCACCTTCGAGCTGGCCTGCCTAGGCTGCTAGCTTCTCATACTTTTGGGCTCATCGACCCCATCACACAAAGCCCCCCCCAGCGATCCAGCCCGATGACAAGCATTACACAGGACGAACATGGGCAGCTCATGTCCCGCGTCGCCGTCTTCTGTTTTTTTTTTTTTTTTTTTTTTTTTTTTCATCTCGGGCATCTCTGGCGTCTGCTGCTTTGCTCGCTTGCGCCATGGGAGCAGTCACTGGCAGCGATGAATGCCGCGAGAGAAGGTGTGATGAGCGAAGAAAGGGGCTGGCCCGCATGCGAGACACTTGCACTTGGGATCGTCCGTTCAAACCAGACTCACCTGCAGCTGGCTGGCGTCGTTTCTTTTTATTTTGCCCAGAGAGGATCGTCACATCACCCCCCACCCCCCTATGGGATCGTCGTGGCGCCTGTCGTGGTACAAGGGCAAAAAACATACACAACAGGTAGGCAGGCAGGCGGGCGGGCCGGCAGCTCTGTGTAAAAAGGAGACGCCGATCTGGGTCATCCGAGATGCCTGTGTTTTGTTACAATTTCCAAAGAAAGTGGCGGGCGGAGGTCCCGAAGTCGTCTTGTCTTACTTTATTATTGTACGTACAGGGACCTCCCGGTTTGTTGGGCGACGTGACTGATGGAGGCTGATATGCCGGTATGGCATGGCGCTCGACAGAGAGGCTTCGCTCCCTGCTTTTCCGAGGACAAGGTACATACATACTGTAGCCCGCCTACGGTGTGTATGACTGGCTCTATGCTACGTATGGGATGTGTGTATGGCTTGCTCAGCAGAGACGCGTACCGAGGGCTGCAGGTAGACAAAAAGGGGAGGCGTGCTTGCCAGGGCGACTCTGCTTTCTGAGACAAGTGGTTTATTCTCTTGTCTCTGGTCTTGCATGATGCCTGTCTACCGTCCGCAGTCTCGACGTCGCCGGGTTGGCTGAATCGGAAGACAGTTGAAGTGCTCTGCAGGACGCACCAGAGAGATAACGGGCGGCGGCGGCAGTGCAAGGGCAGGGAAGGGAAAGGGAAGCGTCGTAGCCCATTGAGCAGATGCTGTTGCTGTCAATTTGGGTTCTTACTGCTGCTGCAATAACATCAAATCAACGACATGAAGGAGGAGGAGGGGACTCTGGAGCGAGCTTGAAGTCGTAGCAAATTCGGGCAATGACGCTGTTGGGGGATCACCGCCCAGGGTTGCACCACAACGACGGGAAGAGCAATCCCAAGCTTTCCATTCCGTTCGGGTTTAGCGCCGACATGGATTTGCAACCTTGCCTCTGCCCGCAGCCAAAAGGAAGGAGGGGGAGGGGGGTATGGTAATGGATGGCTGATGGATGGAGTAGCTACCCCGCGATTCCAACGGAAAGAAGAGCCATCTATCTGGAGGAGGCATCCTCTGTGACCTGTCCTGTCCGCTGCTACTACACTACACGAGGTGCGTATAGTAGTAATCCATGCTACCAACGCCGATTGATATTGGCAATCAATCGCAAAAAAGCTTCGGGGTAATGATCGTCTGAGGGTGGCCGCCGACCTACCTACTTGCCTGGTGGGTGGTGGGCTGCCCGGCTCTTGTTCGTAGGATTTGAAGTGCAAGAAGATCAAGCCTCAGTGGTTCGGGTCGGCCCTCAAGGTTTCAACTGCTCAGCTCAACTGGGAATCGAACAGATCAAAGCCCAGCAGAGTTGAGTAACCCGACGCAAGCTCCAAGTCTTCCGGGCTGCGAATGCATCTGTCTGATGGCCCACGCTCCGAGTCGAGTCGTACGCAATCCCCCGTAGGTGCGAGTTCAGTCAACAATGATGGTGCTCAACGGCCGGAGTGGGGCGGGTTCTTTGTTTCATGACTGATGAGGTGCAGCACCTGTCAACACCAGACAGACCACTCGGAAGGCGACGTTCAAAGGAAACCTCTCGATGCTTTGGTCATCTTCGCTCCGGCTTTCCGCAGGCCAATCTCTTGACAGCTACATATAGCTCTGCGTCAGGGCGGGTGATCAGATGATGCAAGTGAACAAAGCATCAGCATCAAGAGGTTACTGCGTAGGGAGTACCTTTGGGTGAGGGTAGCAACCTAGATCAATAGTAGACTTTTCCTGGCAATTACAATTCTAGCTTCCAGCAAAGAACCTACCTACCCTACCGCGTATGTATGCAGCAGATTGGCGGCCAGATGTAATGTACTATATGCCGGGCGGATAAGAGGGCACGCACACGGGGTTGCTCAGGACCCAGCAAAATCGAGACGAGGGTCCAGCACCAGCACCAGCATCGGGTTGGTGGTGCCCAAGGTACGTACATACATCTGCTTGCTTGCTCCTGCATGAGCATAGGTGCTTCAAGTCGTGGGCCCGGCCATCTGCTGCTCGTTGTCTGGGTGGCTCCTTTTGCTCCCTTCCAGAGGGACGGTCCAGAGGGGCGGTATGTATGTATGTGCAATGCTCGTTCGCTCGCTCGTTTGAGGAGACGGCGACGAAGCACGCCGTCAATTAGCCGTTGCATCCAAATGCTGCAACCATTGATTACCATTCCGGAGCAACCTGCAGAGCGTCGACTTTTGATCCCTGCTCTCTTGGCATCCCAATGCCACTCTTTTCTGTTGATTTTTCTTGGTGCTGAGGTGTGTCTTTTTGGCATCATTTGACTTGTCGTCGTTGATGGGAGTCCGAGGCAGGCGAGAGAAGTGCGGGAGCACGGACCCACAACTCGACAAATGCTTGCGAATCATCGACAGGCAGAGTCCCTAGGTGCCCGCCTGCAGCTAATATCGGAGGCAGTTAGTAGGTAGTAGGGAGTTATCGACTTGTATGTATCCGGTGGTGCTGGTTGTGCGCTGGGCTGGACTGGGTGGGCTGCTGTGAGCGCGGTGGCTGTCTCGGTCTCGGTGTGGTTGACGGGATCTTTTGCAGTCAAGTGTTTTCACCATGACCGAACGATAGACGCCTCGATCCTTCTCCGGCCGACCCATGTCTTTTCTGAAAACAATCGCAGGCGGCGCGCTGCCAGCAGCAAGAGAGCGAATTAAGCACATCGGTTTGCAATCACATGTCAGAATTTCCGGGGTGGTTGGCGTTGTCGGGGCTTTGAAGCTGCCTTGCTGCTGTCTCGCAGCATGCAACTCCAGATCTCCCAGCACACACACACAACGCCCCAATTCCCTGATCTTTTTTGGTCTTTTTTTATTTTAGGCACATCCCGGACGTTCAACCGCCACACGTTCCTCATGACCGAGTACCAACAGTCAATTGGGAGAGAACATCAACATTGGCTTACCTCTATGCATCTGTTCAAGGATGAAATAAAGCAGGAAATTTGTTGCTTTGAGACACATTCGAGGCCATTACTTACAGGCCAGTCTCAGTTGCGTAAGAGAGAATTTCCTGTTGTCTTGCTCTTGGTAACGCATGTACTGTATGTATGTATAGTACATACATACCGTATTAGGCTCACGGGAAGTCCTAGAGACACTGGAAGCTTGGGCCATGACGGAACTTACCTTGATTCCCTGCAGACACACCAGTGCACCATCCCTGACCAATCGTGCTTGGAACTTCTTTTTGCTGCAGCTGGCCTAGCACAGGACGGGAGCTCTGCTCAAGACGAAAAAAAAAACCAAGGTATGTACGGATACTGGTGTAGGTGAAGGTCGACATAGCCCATTTGCAAGAGGAGAGTGAAAGGGTGTCGGTCAAACTCTCGATGACTCCCCCCTCCCGGTATTAGATCGGTTTGCGTTTGGAATGCTCACGTGGCTGGCGGACTGGCCTCCGTACCTTACCTGGTCCCGGCCCTAAGGCCTGAGGTGAGAGGCTTCGGAAATCGCACTGGCTACTGGAGCTTGAATTCGGCTTGAGGCTGAGGACAATGGCACTAGCCGTTAATCTCCTAATGTCTTGAGTCCTTGACGACCGAGTTGCGTTCCGCTGTAAATCCCGGTCGAGCTAGGATATTCTCATTTGCTAAATCCTCTCTTCGAGTCAAGGTCAAGGAGATAAAGGGTTTCCCCCCCTTTTCTTGCTTTCCTGGTGATCAATAACTGCTGGCTGCTACAGTCGATTAGCGCGGCAGGAAATGTCATGAGACCTCTTTACACGCTCTAAGCTCCACTCGCCGTGCAGACCGCATTGGAAAGGTACCAACAGTTGAGAATCGCCATTCAGGCATCAAGCATCTTGATTCAGACGTACAAGGTTTTCTGCATACTTGGACTCCATGCGTGCGTTAAGGCCATTGGACGCACTCGGGCCTATATGCATGTGGGCATCGATCTGCCCTGTCGAAACCCAGAGACGACTGCCAAGGTGTCGACGAGCGGCATCCTGGCGAACTCTCCTCATTGTTAAATGCTATTTGCATATACATGTACATGTACGGATATAGCCTCTGATATGCAAAGCAGTTGAGCGGTTTGCTTTATCTTTGGATGCTGGTTCCATTTCAGCGCCATCCGTTCGATGGCCATGAGGCAATATATCGGGCCAGCAGATCGCAACAGCCTCAATTTAGTTGAGGTTGTCTCGTTGGCTTCCGGCCATACTGACTCATGAGATTCTTAGTTGGATCTTTGCCCTGCACTTCAGACATGTCAATTTTACAGCTGGAGGGCCCCGCCAGCAAGTTCGAAGGTGATTCTTGAACACTTGCCTGTCTCAAATATGCCAAAATTCGCGAGCTTACAACCTCCATGAATTGCCGTAGGTGTTGTTAACATGGACGTTTGTATTGTCCAGGCGACCAATGCCAATTAGGGAGGGACGCTGCAATGCCTTCCATGCCTCTGCGATTATCGTCCTGTAAGTCTGGCAAGGAGAAACCGGGCTCCGAGCTCTTGGCAGGCTGCTAGCACGACTAGGGTCAGAACCGGTGCCCTAAAGAAACTTTGGCAATGCGTCAGAAAGACGAAAATGAATAAATACGACGACGACTCGTTGGAGTTTCGGGGGGAAAAAGGCTTGAACATCAGGTGCCCATGCCTTTTCGAAACGCACTACCTTCCATTAACCCTTACCTGACCTGCAAGTAATAAGCCAGCCCGACAACCTGAGGTTGCCCCACCTTCCTTCTAGGATCTCATTCACCTTCACCTTCACCTTCAGTGGGGGAACAAGCCTCCAAGAGCCCCACACTTCCAAACGGCATTTCAATCCTCTCCCGCGTAGTTAATTGCTGTTTGGCGATACTGGGTTGCATCTCGACGCTTAGCGCCCATTTTGGTCTTCTGGACTCAAGCCTCGTCTCGTGACTTCACAGCAAGACTCGAGAGGCGACAGGGGCTTGTCTTGTCTTGTCTTGGGTCTCGGCCTCTCTCGCCGTCAACGTGCATCCCTGCCGGGCTCGTCCAAGATAATATAGTCTCAGGCCAAGCGCCAGCCACGCATGAGCGGCTCGGGGACCTTACATAGCTTGATGGAGCAGAGTTGTATCCATCATGACCCTGCTGGATTTTGAAGGCCGCGTCGGGGCTGCATCTAATGTGAAGCTACTGATAAATTATGGCGCTGCAAGTCTCTGGGCTCCTGGTCTTTGACCTGTTCTATTGACTTCGAGAGCCGCCAGGAGCTGAATCGACTGGGCCTGGAGAGCCTGCTCAAGAGCTACCATCACCAGTTGGCCGGATGGCTGCGTATGCACAGTCTCTACTGTGTTTGCGCCGTCCTACCTCAATATATATGTAGGGCTCAGGAGCCTTCTGCGCAGCCTGGCCAAAAGCGTCTGGTCGCGAAGCAGTATCGCCAAAGTGTTTAAATCATGAGAGCACATTGCTCCTAGGAACAGAACACAATGTGTAGTCTCAACTGGAAAAGAAATTTATATGACTGGCCACAGGCACACAGGCTTAGGTTAAACCCGGTTGGAGGAAGTTTCCATAGTTGGAGGCGTTCACAAGTTGGCAGGATATGGAAATACTATATGTTTTGTCGTTTTCTATTTGGACAGCCGGAAAGAAAGGGAACAAGGTGACTGCACTCGGACGGTAGATCGCCGTGAGACGTTGGGATCTCTTTTTATTTGTCCCATACTCAGTCCGCCTGTTCACCTCGCCGCCTGCCGAGCGGGCTAGCTAGCGCCTGGCCCCAGTCTCAAATGGGCACATGAGCAGCCGCCCCAGTCTGGCGGGTCCAAGAACAAAAGGCCAGAAGCGGCCGCATTGGCATTGTGTTCCCAAGTTTTCCGCCATCCTACAGCCAATATCTGCCTGCCCTACGGAATACCGCCGCTTCTTTTCTCTCCCTCTCTTGAGCTTTGCTAGGCACCACGAGATTTTGGCCTCAAGCCTATCTCACGGTTTCCATCAAGACATACATACCGTTTGGTTCCCCACGTTACGGAGGACATACCGCTCACGTAAACACCCCACGGAACGCTAAGGGTTCATCTCGGGCCATTCCCATCACTCGGGTCAAGAGATACAGGGACCGACGGAATACAATACCTCCATTACTTACCTTTCATACCTGCCTACGCAGTACAATTTCCAAGTTTCCATCCACGCTGGCAAACGTCACCACGAAGACAGTCATCCTGCCTGAAAAAGGCTGGTGACTTTCTTAAAGAGCGACGAAACAGAAATATCCATCTCGAACTATCATTTAGTTGGAGGTTTGCTTACTTAGGCACTTGCCCGCCAGTATAGTACGTACCTAGCCTTCTCTTCCATCCACTGCCCTGCCCTGCCCTGCCCTGCCCTGCGGTTGAGCTCGCGGACCCAGCCCTACTCGAGGTGGCCTGGCTACCTATGTCCGGGACCCGCTCTCCGCCGCCTGGCCTGCCGTGGGCACCTGCCTAGGGTATCTTGACTCCCTTTTGCGCCACAGCACGTCTCTTCACGCGGTGGCTGCAGCAAGCTTCCACTTTTCTTTGCATCACACGATACCGAACCTCCAGCCTCCCGGCGTCCTGCGGCAGCGAGCTGTACCAACAAATACGAGCGCCTTGCCCGCTCTTCCACAACCGCCCGCTTGCACCGACTTTTCTCGGCCTCTGTTTTCGCTCCCCTTTCCTGCCCTGACCTGACCTGACCTGACCTGACTCCCAGGCCCACAACAACGGCACCCGCAGCTCACCGTGCATCGTCCCCTGATCGTTCGCGATTGACCCCCGGCCGGCGCCTTTCTGGTCTGTTTTTAGGCCGTTTGCACGGCTTGCGGCTTGTGGCTTGCAACACCCTCCCAGACAGCCTGGACCAACCGGGCCTTGACCATTTTGCTTGACCACACAACGTGCTGCCTGCCGCAGCCGCCGACCAGGTGCTAAACCCAAGCGACGGCCCTTGGCCCGCGAGTTACCCCTCATCACCACCGCAACTGGGTGGCACCTCGACTCTCTCCCCCTCGCAACCTTTCTCTTCTCTCCACTGCCTTATCCGTCTGCGCAATCCCGAAAAAAAGCGTTCCAGCCGGCCGCAGCATACGACAAACCCGCGCCGTAAGTTCCAAGTTCTATTCTCGAGATGCCGATCCTTGTTGTGCTGCTTCAGTCCATCCCATCCCGGGCTCTCTTCACTGAGTGGTCCCAAAGCTCCCACTTAGCGTGCTGCCTTCCCAACCCTTGCCCCTTCATGCTCCAACCCCTCATCCCGCCTGCTGTGGTTGGCTACGTTGCTGGTACAGGCGCCAAGGTCCTGGCCATCTGACCTCACTAGATGTGCGAGGGGCCGCTACATCTCAATGGCAGGAGGAATTTGAGTTTGGACAAGTCCACACCTCACAGTAACTTACGCCGCCCCAGTTCGAGCTTCTGTTCCATGCTCAACAGAACTGCAGTGCAGTGCTCTCTGCTCAACACCATTGCCGTCTGCCTCGTCTTTTTTCTCCCTTTCTTCCGTTTACACTAGCTCGGGCATAGTCATTGTGCTCGGCAGACGACCTCCGTCCCGACGCTGCTGTCAATCCCGATCGAGTACGTATTGTACCTCTTACATACATACAAAAAACATGTTCCGTACAAGCTGCCCTAGTCCTGCGGCCTGCCCTGCCTTGTGTCGTCGCGGAGCCCACTTGGCCTGCGAGCGCCGCTGCACACACCAGGTGTCCGGTCGCCACCGCATCGCCCTGGTCGTTCCCCGCCGTCATTTCACTTTTAGCTAGCATCACCCGCCCCTCCAAAACCTCACTTCAACTGACCTCCGAATTTCAAACTGCCCTTTTCGTTGTCCACGACGTTCCTCATCACACCTTGTCACCACCTTTCCATCGCGAACACCTCATTTTCCTCCCTCTGACTCTTAAGAGCCCGTCGCATGGCCTCCGATCCTGAGAACCCTTTTCTGACTGCATCGCCCTACTAGCCCGCACTCTTAACTCTCAGCCAGCCCTATCGGGCGCAGAACGATCCACCGGTTTTCTTGAGCTGCGCCGCCAGACCACATTCCTTCCTCCAAACCCACAATTCCAACAACTTGATATCCCGACGTCGATCGACGAGTGAATAGGCTTCACCTACGATTTTCGAAAGTCAATTCCGCCTCTGATCGCCGCATCCTTGCTTTTCTGTTCGTAGCAAAGCATTAGGGACATCCTCTTTCCGGATCCTCATCTCGCGTCGAGCCTGTCGACTCTACAACCGATCGCCAGTTCCCCACCAGCTATCGCCCAACACGGCCCGCAACGACTTACCCTCGATTCTCTTTTGCGACCGCCTACCAGTCTCATTGACTGTCTCGACCGGTAGCACGGCCTCGGTCCGCATTTCTTGAGCATGGCGTCGAATCGCCCAGCGGCTTTCAATACCCTGCGGATGGGAGGTGAGCGATTTACATGTAGCCCAAGAGTTGCAGGACCGCAGAGCTAACCGATATTGCAGAGGTGATCCGCGAGAAGGTACAAGATGGCGTGACGGGTGAGACGAGGGAGATCCAGTACACACAATGCAAGATTGTGGGCAACGGGTCCTTTGGCGTCGTCTTTCAGACAAAGCTGTCGCCATCAAATGAAGATGCGGCCATAAAGCGCGTCTTGCAGGATAAGAGGTTCAAGGTGAGCGCGCCTGGTACTACTGACTCGCCAAGTGATAAAGGCTAAGACGGTACAGAACCGCGAACTCCAAATCATGCGGATCGTACGACACCCCAATATCGTACAGCTCAAGGCGTTCTATTACTCCAATGGCGAGCGCGTAAGCAAATCCCCCCACCCCGTGCATTTGCTTGGACATTTGCTGATTACCATGACAGAAAGACGAGGTTTACCTCAACTTGGTGCAAGAGTTTGTGCCCGAAACCGTCTACAGAGCCTCGAGGTTCTTCAACAAGATGAAGACAACCATGCCGATCCTCGAGGTCAAGCTCTACATCTACCAGCTTTTCAGAGCGCTGGCATACATCCACTCACAAGGAATCTGCCACCGTGACATCAAGCCGCAAAATCTGCTTCTCGACCCAAGCACCGGTGTCCTGAAGTTGTGCGACTTTGGCAGCGCAAAAATCCTTGTCGAGAACGAGCCAAATGTATCGTACATTTGCTCGCGGTACTACAGGGCACCCGAGCTGATCTTTGGCGCAACCAACTACACAACAAAGATCGGTGAGTACCTACTCCGTCGAGAATACCGGGAGTGCCTTGACGTGTGTTAACCGTCTATCAATAGATGTTTGGTCGACTGGGTGTGTCATGGCTGAACTGATGCTCGGACAACCACTCTTCCCTGGCGAATCGGGCATAGACCAGCTGGTTGAGATTATCAAGGTTCTGGGAACCCCGACCCGAGAGCAGATTCGAACTATGAATCCGAACTACATGGAGCACAAGTTCCCTCAGATCAAGCCTCACCCTTTTAACAAGGTGTTCCGGAAGGCAGATTCGAACGCCATCGATCTCATCGCCAAGCTCCTCGAGTACACTCCCACTGAACGTCTCAGTGCCATTGAGGCCATGGTTGAGCCGTTCTTTGACGAACTCCGCGACCCTGAAACCAAGTTCCCCGACTCGAGGCAGCAGACTGGGGAGCTCAAGGATCTCCCACCTTTGTTTGATTTCTCACTTCATGGTAATTACCTACCTCCCCTCCGCCTCCATATGAGCAGCTACTGACCTAAATCTCCTCTCCAGAGCTGTCAATCAACCCCGCAGATAACTACAAACTTGTGCCGCCACATATGAGGCCGGTGCTGGCAGAGCGTGGACTTGACATTGATAACTTGACGCCCATGGATAAAAGCGAGATGTGGGCGAAACTCGACTGAAAACTGGGTGGTGCTTCCGAGTTTGCCTCCGACGATTTACGACTACGATGTCAGATTTGTGGACGATTTGAGCTGGACCTCGACAGTAGAGCATTACTTACATTCTCCGGAGGTGGCGGGTATTGTTCATACATACTGTCGACGGCTTGAGGGCATTCGAAATACCCGCTGGAACAGGGTGCATAATTCAACGAGACGACAAGATTTCGGCCCACAAAGTGTCCCGTGTCACAGACGATGCCGTCAGGTCACCCCGAGCGAAACGGGTGCGGGAATTGGGGAAAGGCCCGTCCGGCGAACAGACTTCTTCGCTGCGGCGAACTTGCTGGCTAAATGGAGGGGCCGCGCTGCAAAAACATTATGGGCCACGATTTTAGATTTCTTTTCTGCATGACGGAGATGGCTTTTGCTTATTTCACGCCTCAAATATGTTCGACAAGGCTCTTTACCCCTCTGGCAGGCGTCCACAAAGGTGGCTTGACCTTTGCTTCTGTACGGCCTTCCGGAATTACACCCCGTTCCCTCCACTCGGTCGTCATCTTGGTCTTGTTGGGCGGCAATGATTGATGGATTATGGCATATAACTTGGTTTTGTGGGTTGAGGTTGGTGATGTCCACCTCATTGTTGTTAAAGTGTTGTTGGGAAAGTTGGGAGTACTGGGATGGAAGCCGCGGATGGATGGTGTCAAGGGAGAAAGAAAGTGCTGGATGGATATATGGGACGTGTCCGGCTCCCTCATGACGGTGGAAAAGGGCACCTGGCCTACTTGGTATTCATGGCATGATTCAAAAGATTCCTATTCATTCCCACCTCGTACGAGAGTACAGTTGTGCATTTCGGGGCCTTCACTTGGCGGCATCAAAAGGATGTGGTGGGGGCAGGCTGCTGCTATTCACGAACCGCATTCTGCTTGAACGTCCATCTCGGGCGTTCTTGTTGCGCCTTCGCAACTATGCCGTTCCTCCATTTTCATCGCTGGCATGTTTAGTATCCCGCGTCTTATTTCTATGATTGTTGAAACTATTTGTATTGATACGGATACCTGGGCTTTACTCCAACAGCTTGTGAGACCAGGTCGACCAAGCAAATGCCTAGCTACCTATATGTACCGTACCCTACACGGTTTTCTTATGAGAGTGTCGCATTGGATATTTTGCTACAGAATGAAATACTACGCCTTTGGTTTTATATTCAACAGTACACTGATATGGATGGGCTTGTGGTTGAGATTGTTTTACCAGTCCAAGGTTTTCAAGGTGCCTTCATGTACGTCCCTTGTATAGAGGAGATTCCGAAGAACGAAACAGTTTTTGGGATTTCGCGCTTTATATTAATGAATAAGGTGGATACTGGATATCGCCCGTGCCTTTTCACATCTAAACACAACTCCAGCGGAGGCAGGGCAGCATCAGCCCGATTGTGTAAAAGGTGGGACCTGAAACTTGGAGTTAAGGGAGGCGTCAATGGAGTGAGTTGGTACCTAAAATACCAGGCTAAAACAATTATTTAGCCTTTGTGGCTTCAGCAGGTTGACCGACCGACCCACATTTACCTTCTTGGCCCACTCACGCATTGAAGTTTGGCAATCGCGAATTCAACATCCCGTCACGTTCACGCGCTGATTCAAATCTGGTCGATCTCAGAAATCTGCCACCTTCCAACGCACCACAGCTGCGACCCAACATGGCCGATTACGACCGGAGACAGGGCGGCGGCGGCGGCGGCTATAACAATTCGAAAAAGCGGCGATACAGAGGTGAGAGAACGTGACCTGCCTTGAAGATGCCTTGCTGCACTGCGCTGGGAAATGTTGCGCTGCATCACAGGGCCTCGCCCACAATAATTTCCCCCTTTCCCACTTCCCCGTTCCGTATTCCACCATCCTTGGTCCGGACCTGGCAATTCATTGCGCCTGTCGCATCCGCTGAAACTGACCTGGACAGATGACGACGACTACGACCGCCGCGGGCCGCGACGGCGTTTCGATGCACCTCCCCACGTGCGCATTCGCAAGCAACTGCTGTCCATCGCCGAGAACCCCATGCGCCCATGGCACGAGGAAGTTCAGTCGATCGCGACGCTGTTCACCGACAACTGGGGCGACGAGCTCCTCCGCGTTAACTTCGTTGAGCTCATACTCCAGCTTGCCATCGAGCAGCCGCTGAAGACGCCGTTTCTCGCGGCCGTAGTGCTCGTAGCCAACACGAACAAGCCCGAGATTGTCGACTCGCTACTGACGACTCTCGTAGCAGACCTTGAGAACAAGATCAAGCAGGGCGATTGGCGTGATGTGAAGCTGTACCTGAAGCTCCTGGCCTGTCTCCAGAACTGTCTCGAGGGCGAGGGTATCTTTCCTGTCCTAGACGAGCTCTTCTCTCGTGCGGTAGACTTGCAAACGGCCAGCTCGGAAGACGTAGGCTCTTTCTCTGCCCACCCTATGCCTGGTTTCTGGAAGAATAGCCTCAGGTCTGTAGGATATTGCTAACAGTGTGGCAAATAGACAATTGGAACAGAGCTTGTTAAGATCATTTTGCTCACGCTCCCATACGTCATGGTAGCTGCGCCAGACCAGTGGCAGCAAAAGGCGGCCGATCTTATGGAGAAGACCGAGATCATCGCCTCGGAGCCGCATGCTCTGCAGGCCTTGATTGAGCCATACCATCCCGAAAGCGGCGAGGATGCCTCTCCGTCGATGAGCATGATTGGACTGCTGCAGAGCCAGCTCCAGACTGAGGCGAACAGCGGATGGGTGCTTCCTTGCCTGCCGAGGCCCTGGGACTTTCCGCCGTCCGAGGCGGAACAGCAGTCCAAGCTCGCGGCCGCCCCGAAACACGCCCTCCCCACCATCACATTTCCCAAAACGGTCGTTGCCGGGCCTCGGCCCCTTTTCCCAGAGATTTACTTCTCTGTCTATCCGAACCAGGAAGTCGAGTCGGTACCCTCTACGGCGACAGCTGCGACTTCTTTGATTCGCGATGCCCTTCTAGACACCATCAATACTCTTCATTATAACCGCAATGTCGCCGCCCGCCTTCTTATCGAGGTGGATTGCTACTTTGCCCCTCGGACCTTTGCCGCCAGAGCGACGCCTTTCGATCGGCTGCGAGACATCGAGGCGCCAAAGTCGACGTGGAAGCCCGAGGATGTCGCAGTTGATGCCGTCTTCTCGCAGCTATTTCAGCTGCCAAACCCGGAACACAAGCTAGTCTACTACCACTCGGTCCTCACCGAAGCTTGCAAACTAGCGCCGGCGGCGATAGCGCCTAGTTTGGGTCGTGCTATTCGCTACCTATACCGGAATGTACCCCGTCTGGATATGGAGCTTTCGAACCGGTTCGTGGACTGGTTTTCGCACCACTTGAGCAACTTTGGCTTTACATGGAAGTGGACCGAATGGGTCGACGACGTGTACCTCCCAGACCTCCATCCGTGGAAGGCCTTCATAACCGGAGCTATTGACAAAGAGATCCGGCTCAGCTTTGCACAACGGATTAAAAACACTTTGCCCGAGGCCTACAAGCCGTTGATCACGCCGGATAAAGAGAAGGAAGTCCCGGACTTTAAGTTTGCCGGCGACCGTGAGTCCCACCAAACCCCTCTTCGTTCAAAGGTTTGCTTTAATTGAGTGCTAATAATTGTGGTAGGTACCCCTTTTGCTGCTGAGGGTCGCGAAATCGCAGCACTTCTGAAGCGCAAGGCCCCGGATGAGGAGATCCAGCCTGTGATCGAGCGCATCCATGTGCTTGCTATTGACAACAATCTTGACCCACTTGTGGCTAGTACCGATGTGTTCATGACTGCGGTCTTGCACGTAGGATCAAAGTCACTGTCGCACGTTCTGGCGGCCATTGAGCGGACCAAAGATCGTCTTACGGATGCCGGGGCCGCGTCAGACGCTGCCCATGCCCAGATCATCGCCGCAGTCATGGCGTACTGGAGTTCCCACCCGGGGGTTGCTATTTCCATAGTGGAGAAGCTCCTTAACTACAGCATCTTGGTGCCCTCGGTCGTTACCAACTGGGCATTGGTCAGCTACGCCGGCGCTACGCGGGGCGAGGCCCTCGCCAAGGCACACATATACGAGCTAGTGTTCAACACCGTCATGAAGGTCACGGGCCGTGTGCGCCAGGTGGTGCAGAAGACTAACCAGCCCGACGTCATGGTCGACGACGAGACCCGCGACCGCGATGTCAACGCCATGCGCAGCCTGTTCCGTGCCATGGAAGACGCCCTGTCGGCCTGGGCCTCGGGTAGCAAGGATGAAATGATTGAGGCGGCCGACGGCGACGGCAACTCGGACACCGAGAAGCTCGTTCACCGCTGGGGCGGCCGCTGGCTGCGCGTCTTCCGCCGCCGGGCTGCCATTGAGGAGTCGTTCCTGCTCGAGGCGGCAAAGGAAAAGAAGCCCGATGGCGGCGACTCTGCCCCCGCTGTGGCTCCCGCTGTGGCAGCCGAGGTCGACATGGCTTAGATATCGGGATCTTCATTTATCGATAGCTTGGGGGGGAATGGGGGCGGTCTGACAAGGAAGAACCCCGGCCCCCTTTTTTCCGCCCCTGAGCCGGCAGAGCCTCGGAACCAAAAAAAAAAAGGGAAAATAAAGGAAACCGACCTGTCACCTGATGGAGAGATGGACGACGGATTCGGGAGCGGAGGAGTTCATAATGACTTGACTTGTGGGTGAAGGTTAGATCAGCTGACGGGGGCATCATCGGTTTCCTTGTGTCTTTGTTGCTGTGTCTGTGTTTTTGTGCTTGTTTATTAAAATTGTATAATTAAACCGCCAGCCAGCCAGTAGTGTCGTGGAGAGCGGCAGTGGCATCAGCAGCAGCACTATTGCTTGGCAGCAAGCAAGCAGGCGCCGCGAAGAACAAGTTGTTACTGCATAACTACCTAATGATGAGGATAATCTCCCTTAGCGAAACCGCGCCAGAGTTAATGCAGTCCCAATTCCACGGAAATGGTGTAGAGGCAGGGTATTTTCCACCGTAACACTCTTAGCGTCGAGGATATCCGTTGGGAGGGGCCGCGGGCGGTGGCGCGAATCCCAGAGGAGGTGCGCCTCCGGGGGGCGGCATGAAGCCGGGGGGCAGCGGTGCACCGGTAGGAGGAGGGGTACTGGGGAAACCGCTCGAGGAAGGTATTCCGGGGTAAATGGGCGGGGGGGTGGGAAGACCACCGGGAGGGCCACTAGGAGGGCCACCAGGATACCCCGAGCCGGACGGGTGGAAATTGCCCACCGGGCCACCGAATCCGGCGTGGCTCGGAGGCGGACGAGGGGGAAGACCAGAAGGCGCAGGAGGGAGGCTAGCCATACGGCCACCTACACCGACAGCACCGACTGGTGGTATGTTGCCATATGGAGCAGGGGGGCCACCGCGACCCATTAGAGGCGCACCTGGGGGAGGCATGCCGTAGTTGGCAGCCATAGGGGTCATGGCGACGGGAGAAGGTATTACCGGAGCACCCGGGTGAGAGGGAAGTACTGAGAGGTCGATGGCGGGCGCAACGGGGGTGGCGGAGGGAGTGGCGGTGGCGTTAGTCATGTGGAAAGCAGGGGGAAGTGTTTGCTGCTCGGGAACAATATTGTGCTTTTTACCCTCGGCGGCCAGCTTACGTTCGGCCTCGTCGCCGTGACGCTCACCCTTTCCATCCTTTTTATAAGCGTACTCGACAATGATGGCCTTGCTCAGGAGGTACTGGTTATTCATGGTAGCCTTAGCAGCGTCGCTGGCCTCGAAGGAGTCGAAGCTCACGAAGCCATAGCCCTTGGAGATGTTATTGTCATCGCGGATAATGTTGGGCTGACGCAGGATCTGGCCAAACTGGCTGAAGGTATCGTATAGGATCTTCTCGTCAACCTGTGAGTCGAGGTTGTTGATGAAGAGCTCGGCGCCAATGTCGACCGTCTTCTGCTTGTCCGCACTCGCTTTATTGACGCGGATAGGCTTGCCCCATATGCGGATGCCGTTGAGGATCTTGGCGGCGTATTCGGCCGAGGCAGGCGTGTCGAACTCGACGAAGCCATAGCCCTGGTGCGTCTGGGAGACGCGGTCCTGGGGCATGTGCACCTGGCGCACGGGGCCGACCTGCGTCATCAGCTCCGAGAGCAGCTCCTGCGTGAAGCGCTCATCGATGTTGCCGACATAGACAGTAGCGTCTTTATTCTGTTCCCTGTTGAGATTGGTTGGGCGACCAGGCGCTTCACGTCAGTCTTGCTTACTCTTGCTCTAGGAGCGACTGGACAGAAGTGGACGGGAGGCTGAGAGGGACCCCGGGGCATAGATACCAGTGTTTCGACGCCATTTGAGCTCAAGTCCAAGCAGAACCCGCAAGTGCTCCCCGGCTTGCGCAAGCCGTCAACCGACACAACCAATTGCTCCAAGTGCAAGATGCGCACTGCTTCCCTTTTCTCAAACGTGGTTTTGAGTCGATTACTGTGAGTGCGGTTGCGGATAATCCACAAGATGCTGGTTTAAGTGACGCGGTGAGAGTTTAAATATGGAGGTTATTGGATTGTTGCTTCGAGATCTTTACCTACAGATTCGAGTCGGCAGGCAATTTGAGCTTCTTGGCTAGGGTCCCCGCTAGAGCTGCCACTTGAATCGTACTGTAATAATTCACCTAGCACACACTGTGAGTAAGTGCACTTCCGTTATCTTGCAGGCGGCCGGAGTGGGGTATCCTGCCCCCAGGACAGCATGAATAGTATGCCAATAGGGGGGCCCTTAGTAGCTACACAGTGTACGGAGTACCCCTAGTCAATTACGTTACATACTTAGGTGTCCAAGGCTGAACGGACCAGGCCTGTCGACCGCCCTAAAAAAAAAAAAAAACGTTTCTTGCATCCAGCGCCGCCATCGTCGAGTGGACATCACCTATCAACGGAAAACCGAGATCCCAAACAAGATACACACGGGATTGGATCGCACTACCGAAACCCGGCGTCACAATGTTTACTCTGTCGGAGGAATCAAAGGTACTGGAAGCCAACGCTCGCCGCGGGCTGGAGAGAAGGACCTGCAACTAAAGTCGTACCAAACAACAGGAGCGCATCGGCCGCATCATCGAGGTGTCGCGCGTGGCAATTCACTAGTATGTCCCCCTGCTACCACAGGCAGCACCTGTTTCGTCTACAAACAGAATATTGCGGGAGCTGACTCTGCTGGCAGTGGTTATCTTCCTCTGATTCTCTATCTCGGTACGGCGAAGCATCGAAGCCCCCCTTTCGAGCCGTAAACCTCTCGCGGTACTTACTCTCTGGCAGGATACACACGGAGCGAGCCTCGGCCTTATCTCATCCAGTATGTCTCTTCGTGTCCCCCGAGACACCCGCTGTGTGATGCGATGCGATAGTCTAACCATTGTTGCAGCCTCCTTTCGCCGCTCTCATAGATAGTTGAGGGTTGAGGGTGCCAGGATGGAGACAATTCAAGAGCCGCATTTGTACGATTGGAAGAAAGTCGATGATCTGCGTCGTGGAGAAGGCGGATGGTAGAACTACACACAAGACGATCGGGCCGATATGCTTGCTTGTATGGACCGCCGCCGCATGCAGATGAACGAATGGGCTGAGGAAGCCTGGAGGGTCTGGACGAAATACCATACCATGACTTTTGTAACAACATAATACTAGACCAAACTCCTACCAATGTCGGCCACATATACTACGGTTTGAAAGGGGCACTCTTAGAGTGGTTTGTGATGCCGTTTATTTTGTTTGCGCGCTGGGCTTTGACTGACCGTCTGACGGGACGTACGGGGGGGATACTATCCAATCCACTTTCGGGTTCTTTCGGTCTTATTTGGCCGAGCTGGGTACCTGGATATTTTTCCACCTCTTTTTTTTAATCAACCACCGTCTCTGCCATTCTCTGGCGAAACCCTTTCCACCTTTCAACTTCGAAACCACAGCCTCTTCTCCACTCATCGCAGTCAACCACGGCCGGCGCAACCAATGAAAACGATGCGCAGCTAGTTGGGAGCCGGGGGATAAGATGCAGATGTGCATGCGGATAGCAACGTCCCCTATGACATGACTGAACGCAAGCCTCACGATGCCCGGCTCTCGCGCGCCCTCGTCGAGGCAGTCGCCGGGCTCTCGGCTGGCACTATGGCCACCTTGGTCGTCCACCCTCTCGACATAGTCAAGACGCGCATGCAAATCCACCGGAGCGCGACAGCACCCTCGGCGGCCCTAACCACGGTCTCGGTCATGCGCAGCCTGGCCCAGACCGAGAGGCCCGTCGCCGCCATCTACCGCGGCTTGACCCCCAATATCTTGGGCAACGCCACCAGCTGGGCCTCCTTCTTCTTCTTCAAGTCGACCTTTGAACGCGCCGTTCTGTACTTGAAGCAGAACCGGAGCGATGGCCCTCTCGATGGCAGCCTGCCGTCGTCTTCCTCACAGATGCTGTCGCCGGCCGATTTTTTTGTCTCGTCTCTTGCGGCTGGCGCTACGACGCAGATCATTACAAACCCCATCTGGGTTCTGAAGACGCGCATGCTCTCGTCTGACAGCTTCGCGGCCGGCGCCTATCCTAGCATGTGGACCGGTGCGGCGCGCCTGTTCCGCGCCGAGGGCGTCCGGGGCTTCTACCGCGGCCTGGGCGTCGGCATGCTTGCCATCAGCCACGGGGCCGTCCAGTTCGCCGTATACGACCCCGTCCGCCGCATGTACTTTGCCCGCCATCGCAGCCGCTGGCAGCTCGAGGGTGCCCCGAGTGGCGGCAACCTCGTCGACGACACCCACATGCCCAACGAGGCCACGGTTGTGCTTTCCACGCTGGCCAAGCTCGTCGCTGGGGCGACTACGTATCCGCTCCAGGTGCTGCGCAGCCGGCTGCAACACTATGACGCCGACGAGCAGTTCGGCAAGGGCATCCGCGGCGTCGTCAGGAAGCTGTGGCGCGAGGAGGGCCCGCGCGGCTTCTACAGGGGCATGGTTCCCGGCGTCGTGCGCGTGCTGCCCGCGACGTGGGTCACCTTTCTCGTGTACGAGAACGTCAAGTACTACCTCCCACGCTGGGCACAATAGGGGGGAAGGCTTTGGAACCAGTGCATGGTCCCGACTGTGCGATATTCTCGTAGTATTCTCGACCCCGCACAAAGAGAAAGACAAAAAGAAAGTAATAACACACTGCAGCCCATCCACCTCTGCTTCAACGTTACTACCTAATGCAGGTAACTAGGGAGGCAAGTGATATAAATTATGCAAAGGTGCCCTTCGTTGGCGTCAAGTGGTTTACTTATTGTTCAGGTTGGAGTACGGCAGCTGGCCCGACTGGCGAGTCACATCAACGAATTCATTTCCAGCAAATCCCCCAGATCTTTCCTGTAAGAGAAAACAGCTCTTAATTGTTGCAGGCCGCATCAATTGTTCTTGAAGCACAATGGTTTCCATACTATCGAAGAATATTAGGGTACAGACTCTGGAATCGAGGCTAGTCTTGTTTGTTTGGAGATGTCGTAGGCTCCTCGCGGCTCCTTGTGTCGGATTCGATCAGGCCATGGGCAGATGACGACGACAATGCCTCGGGCGTGCGTGGTTGAAGGCGAAGTGTGACCACGATTGCCTGCAGCCGCGTCCGCCAGATACTGCTCTTAGATAGCGTCTACTTGGCCCCAGGCCAGCCTTTGCCCGGCGACAAGGTATTTCAAACCCCGCTAGCCGTACCGTACGACCCCTCCAAGCCCATCCCCATTCCACATCATCAAACGCGGGGCCAAGTAGGTAATGATTTAAAGTCTACTGAGGCCTCGTGCTGGGACCCTAAAACGTCTATCTGGCCGGCGTGACACGATGCAAAAGAATAGCGATAAACCAAACCACTGCAAAGGCCACGGCAGTGCTGCACTACTAGTCCCAGCACCGACAGACTAGAGCTGGCCTAGACTGACTGCATCACCGGGGAGTTCAACCTGCGAGACGGAAAGAGAATAACCTACCTTACCTACTCTAGAGACGGATAGCGTGAGTAGTGGCGCAGTGCAGGGCAGAGGAGCAAAGAAGCGACCGATCCATCCACCTACTGATCCATCCATCGCCAACGGCCTACCGACCGACGGATCGACTGACCGACTGAGGTGTCGGGTGGAACAAGACACAATGACGCGCATCGCCAAGGTGACGTCAAGTCCTCCGCCTACACCACAGCAGTCTTCTTCTCCGCCGCCCTCGTCTCAACAAGCTCCCCTTCCTCCTCGGTCCGAGACAAGTGTCCCAGTTCCAGATCCAGTTGCAGCCCGTCCAGCATCGCCGGCCAGCAGCTTCTACGCCATGAGCGACGACGAAGAGGGCGACTACGACACCATCACGCATGCCCAGACGGGCCGCGGCGTCAAGCTGCTCTTCTCCAAGAGCAAGGTCTACATCCACCCCACGCCCTCGTCCAAGGACAACATCCCCGGCTACATTGCCCTGCTGCAGCAGAAGAACCCCGTCCCGAATGACCGCCCCATCTCGTCCTCGTCGAGGGACTCGCGCTCGCCCGCCTCGTCGGACCTGCTGCTCGCCTGGGTCCCCGAGTCGCAGCTCGGCGATGCCGCCAGCATCTACGTCAAGGTAGACTTGTGCGACGGCGAGTCCCCCCCGAGACAGTCGTACCTGGTGCCGCCGCCCCCCACCGTCACCACCCACCGCGGCTCGCTCGGCCACTATGCCTTTGCCGTCCCCGTCAGCGCCGTCTACAGCCTCGTCGTGCGCCCTCCGAGCCTCGGCTGGTGGTTTGGCAGCGTCATCATCAACAGCCGCGCCGGCGACAGCTTCCCCGCCCTCTTCTTCCACGACAATGAGTGCCAGAGCACCATTCTGCAGAAGAAGAAGCGCGCCCGCGAGTCCTTCGACCCCTTTGGCGAGACGGGCGAGATGTTCTGGGGCGGCGACGAGGTCCTGCGCTGGCTGCGCCGCTACATCCACATCGAACGGAGCGGCGCCGAGCCCAACATCTACCTCATCGAGCCCTCCCCCGAGGACAGCGCCGCCTTCAGCGGCAAGCTGACCACCAGCACCCCGAGCGCCATCGGCCGCCGGGACAGCGCCATCGGGGCCCAAGGCCGGGGGCTGGCGGGACCCTCCCAGGCCGACGCGGGCGATGCCGGCATGGATCCCTTCATGAAGTTCGTCAAGGAGACGGGATGGAATATCATGGAAAAGTTCAGCAAGGTCACCACCTTCACCCGCCAGGCTGCTAAGGATGTGCTCGACAACCCTCGCATGCCGCCCCAGGTCCGGAGGTTGATGCAGAACCCCGAAGTCCAGACGCTGCAGGATGAGTTCGACAGCGCCCGCATCTACCTCGCCCGGTGGGCTATGGGCATCGCTGAGCAGGGCGAGCGCGACCGCAACAGGAGGATATGGACCGCCCGAGATGTCATGGAGCTCGAGGACACGGATGTCGGCGAATTTGAGCTGCTCGACAGCACGAGCAGCCTGACGCTGGAGCAGATGAGGAAGCCCGTCACCCTCAAGGAGTGGAAGACTTTCTTCAACTCTCGCACCGGTCGCCTGTCGGTCACGGTGGACGAGGTCAAAGAGCGCATATTCCACGGCGGCTTGGACCCCGAAGACGGCGTCAGGAAGGAGGCCTGGCCGTATCTCCTGGGTGTCCACGACTGGTACAGCACCGAGGACGAGCGCAAGGCCGAAGCCGCGTCGCTCAGAGACGCTTACATCAAGCTCAAGGGCACCTGGTGGGAACGCCAAATCGATCTGGGCGGAGAGGGTGAAGAGGGCGAGTGGTGGAGAGAGCAAAAGAACCGGATAGGTCAGTCTCCTCGCCGTCTGGCCTGACCAGGGTTGCCTTCCCGCTTTCCCCCTGGCTGTTTTCTAACCCGCCGTGTAGAAAAGGACGTTCACCGTACTGACCGTCATGTCCCAATCTTTGCTGGCGAAGACATACCACACCCCGACCCCGACTCGCCGTTTGCGAGCGTCGGCACCAACGTGCACATGGAGCAGATGAAAGACATGCTTCTGACGTACAACGAGTACAACAAGGACCTGGGCTACGTCCAGGGCATGTCGGATCTCCTCGCCCCCATCTACGCGGTGATGCAGGACGACGCCCTGGCCTTTTGGGCCTTCCAGCGCTTCATGGACCGCATGGAACGCAACTTTCTGCGCGACCAGTCGGGCATGCGCACGCAGCTGCTCACCCTCGATCACCTCGTCCAGTTTATGGACCCCAAGCTCTACGCCCACCTGCAGTCCGCCGACAGCACAAACTTCTTCTTCTTCTTCCGCATGCTGCTTGTCTGGTATAAGCGCGAGTTCAACTGGCCCGACGTGCTGCATCTCTGGGAGGTGCTGTGGGCGGACTTTTTGAGCAGCAACTTCCACCTTTTTATAGCTCTGGCAATTCTCGAGAAGCATCGCGATGTCATAATAATACATCTGAAGCACTTTGACGAGGTTCTCAAATACGGTGAGTTTTCTTTCTGTCTTTTACATTAGTGACGAATCGGCTGACATTTGTTTGAATGAAATAGTCAATGAACTATCTGGGACCATGGATCTCGAGTCGACGCTGGTCCGCGCCGAGGCCCTGTTCCGACGCTTCCACCGCCTCGTCGAAGCCTCGGACAAGAAGGACAACTTCCCGACGCCTAGGCTGCGTCCGAGTCTTGGGTCTCCGTCCGCATCCTCTGCGACAACTCCTGCTGCTGCCAACCCAAAATCCCCTGGCAGTCGCAGCGGAAATGTACCGCCGCCCCCGACCTCTCCGCGCCGTAGTAATAACAACATCAATGCCACAAATCCTAATGTGACCCCGAATAGTGCGGGCAAGGCCCCAGAGACTGCTGCCGCCGCTACCAAGGTCATCACCCCCGAGCTGCGCAAGCTGCTGAGCCGCACCGTCGAGGTCCTCCCGCGGAAGGAGGTCGCCAAGAAAGGCGAAGGCCTCTCGTCGCTGTCGTCGTCCGCGGCGGCCGCGACGCTGGCTGCTGCGAGGCAGAGTGCGAGGTGATAACAGGCAGACGGTTGAAATAAAATATACGATAGAGTCCGGTCTGTTGAAAGACAGCTGCCTTTTTAGGTTTTCGGGAAGCGAAGTACAAGAGTTGACGATGTATAACCAAAACTTGGCCGCCTTGTTTTTATTATTATTATTGTTTTTGTCGTTTGCCAGCGCCACTCCCCACCTCCTGCCCCCATTGCATATTTTTCTTTGCTGCTGGAAGAGGGGGTTCATGAATCGTCGTTGCGTGCTAGGCGGAGAGCAGCGGGCGGGATTGGGAAGGACGTATATACATATACATGCATAGACGCGCAGTGCTACGTAGAGATGAGACGAGACGAAAGCATGATGAGGTCGTGAGAAAATTGGGGCAGGGCAAGAGAATGTGGTGGGAGGGGGGTATGGAAACAGGAGAGCGGAGGTGTCTAGCATTGCTTTTCTTCTGCATATTTTGTTTGTTTTGTCTCCTCGGGTTCAGGCGGCTTGCGGTGCGATTCCTGGCTGCTTGCTTTGGCGGTGAGCAAGGAGAGCGAGAGCGAGAGAGGGAGGGAGAGGGCCAGCTGGGTTTAGTATACGCACGTGGATTCACGCATCGGCGCTACTTGCCTTTCCTTGCCTCAAGACGGGTTATATTATCTGTTTGACTCTTCTCAAATGCAATTCAAGCTCGTCAGAACCATGCCACACTCTATTCTCTTCTCCATCAAGTCTACTGTCCTCAAAGTTTAGATATATTTTCAGCCCAATCCTTGAATGGTTTTTGTATCAGGCGCGGCACTTGGACAGGTCAGAATCAGAAGAGAATAGCTTGTAAATCAATCGGCCCAGAAAGGCATTTATGAGGGCTTCTAGACGACGGTAAGTAAAGTAGGTAAGTAGGTCGTATAGGAAAAGACAGTCTCAAAGAAAGCAAGATGCCAACTGGCCAAAACACTCAATAATAATCGATTCGCCCGGCTTTGCGTTTGCCTTTTATTCAGAGAGAATTCCTGGTCCCTCGACGGACATAGGTATATACACTTATCCTGGGGTCGGGTTAATAGCAAACCAGGACAAGCTCGGGGGTTTGTTTCATGGTCGCAGAAGAGGTTGTGGTGTTTTCTATTCAACGACATCCTATCTATCTCAGGAAGAACGAAGTCATCTCAGCGACTTGCTTGCAAGAAAAATTCCGGCTATCTTTATTGGGGAGTGGGTCTAGGGGTCTTTGTTGAGGGGTGTGTTATACTAGGGTCGCCTCGACGGCGAGGGTGATAGTGATGTGATGATGAAAATGATAATGCCGTTAGTCTCAGTCCTCCCCATGCCATTCTCTCGTACTGCTTGAGAAACGAGTTTCCCATCAGAACTCGAAAGCTCGCAATAAAGAGATATCTGCGCAAGGAACGCCAGAGGGGTTGATGGGTGATGTCTTCGTTCAGTGTCTGAGAAGCCAATACGTCACCCCACCACAGGTCGTATTGCGGTAACTCCCCCAATAGTTCCAAAAGAATAATAATAAAATAAACACAAAACGGTTAACCCTAACTCTCCGACTTTCCAGAACTCCCTTTATCTCAAGAAAGGGATGCCTTTAACGTTGAGGCGATTCGTATTTAGTCAGATTTCTCCCTAAATGGGCAGGGCAGGATATAAGAGAGGTGAATTTTGGTGCAAAAGGGATGAAAAGTCATCCTCCCGGTGTAATGATGGAAAATCCTCGAGCAACTGCAGCTTGGGGCTCGTTATGAAGGAGCACAAGATGTGACCTGAACCTCAGGTGTTGGTCCCCACTCGGCTCCGAAGTCGAAACTGAAAGTATGTGGTTTTAGCGTCTGTGTCGTGACGCCCTGGCTATGAACTCACACCCTGTCCTCTTCGTCGTTCTCGTCGTCGTCGTTATGGCCAAGCGCGGTATGCTCGCCAATGACCGTCCACGCGGTCTATGGTAATCTTGAGAGTCTTGCGAGGCGCAGCAAAGTCGTCACCGCTATCGTCATCATCGTTTTGATCCCCATCGGCTTCACATTCGGTTTCACCCGAGTCCAGATCGGTATGAAACTCTGACGAATCTGCCGAGTCGTAGCCGAGTTTCTTCATCCGCATCCGCTTCTTGCAACGGACGCGGCTGTCGTGGTCAAAATTTTCCTCATGTCGGCGACGGTCCTCGATCCGACGCCGCTCGGCTACTATGTGGTCTTCCCACAGTCCTCTCCGCACGCACTTTTCCTTCTCGAGACAGCCCTCTTCGATACGCTGCCGCAGTCCTCTGAGCGCACTGTCGGCTCGCCGTCCAAGCTCTTCGCGCTTGTCAAGAATCAGCTTGTCGTTCTCCCACATCTGGCCAAAGACGCCCTCGCGCTGTAGCACCTCCATGTGGCGAGACAAAAACCGCAAGTCCAGCGTCGTCTCCAGGTGGCGCGGTGGCTCTTTTCCATCAGTGTAGCTCACAGGCCCATAGCACCGCTTGATATAATTGTCACCCGTGACGAACGGAGAATATAGGTTTATGCGGACGAAGTTGGTATCGATCCGCTTGAGCGCTTTGATCATCGGTGACCCTCTGCTAAATAGTTTCACGATGCTGAGGTACTGCCCGTCGCGGGCAACCACCTCTTCGTCATCCGAACCTCGCAAGGCCCGCTGGTTTTGCTCAAAGACTGGCGAGATGGTAACGGTGAGAGTATTGAGGGAGATTTTGTTCTTGTTGATAGGGGCCCAAGGATCAACAGGGCTCATTGAGGTGAGCGAGGGAGGTGGTGTAACAAGCTCGGGCGTATTGACCAAAGCCTCCAGGGCTCGAACCAAGAGGGACTGGTATTGCTTTCCAGTACGGTTGGGCTCAAGCTCGACACCCATGTGACGAATCAAGTGGCCGAACTTGTCAAGGTTGATGAGAGGACCGTGTGCCCGTGTCGCGGCTTTGATGCGGTACCTCATATTTTGACGTCTTGCACTGCCGCGGTCGCCAACATTGCTTCGGGTGCCGGTTCCTAGGGTGGTACGAATCCACAATAAGATCTCATCGTTATCACTATTTCCGCCATCGCTCAGGCGTGAGAGTTCGGCCGGAATTGCCTCGGGGTCGCGCAGCAGGTACATGAAGTTGTTCTCCGAGTACAGAATGCGAGTACCCTCCTCGGCGGTCTGTCTGCATACGCGCAGTATCTTCGGGTCTATGGTAATGTCGACATCCCCGTTACGGATTCTGGAGCGGCGGACCACTTGTGTCCACAGCCGACTCACGGGTATATAGTTTCGGGACACCAGTAGGCAGCGATAGATCTCATCCCGGATCTCGGGCGCGATCTTCAAGAAGTAAGGAATACCCTGAACGTCACAAGAAACAACCTGACCGTCACGAGAAACCTTTTGTGAATCCACCACGCTCGACTGCTGTTGAAAATCCCGTCGTCTCTTCTGGGTTTTGGGCTTCTTATTCCCTACCGGCTTCTTGGTCTTCTTCGCCAGTGGTGTTTCTAGTTCGAGAAGGGGGTCAGTGATGATCAGACACTCCGGTTCTTGACGCTGATTGATTGGCGGGTGCGGCATGGTTGTCGTCTTCAGCTTCTTCGCGGGTGACTCTTCGAGCCTATCCACTCTTCTGGCAGCATCACGAGTTCGTTCAAGAAGTCGATTGCGCCAGACACCAGGCGGTGGCTCGATGATAATCACCTCGTCATCGCTGTGTCCCATGTGCGAGACTTTGCGTTTAGGTGGTGGCAGTTCAGGAGGGGGAATGCGAGCCTGACGTAGGTTTGTTGACGAGGCAATCGGGGACCAAGCTCTTGACTGAAAGCGCCGGCTGGACGCAACGGCATTGCTTTTCTGGTCCTCTTCGTTCTCGTCGAGGTTGATTAACGTTTGCGTAAAGCTCCCTAATCTGGAGGGGGCCGCTCTCGCGTCTACCATTAGGCCGCTAGTTGACTGACGTTCCTGTTCAGACAGCCATCTACCGATTGAGTCATAAGTCTCATTGCGTCGGCTTCTCAGGCTTGATAGAGAGAAGGGTTGTTCTCGAGTTTGGTAGCTGCCGCTGCTGCGGTACGACATTGCTCTCATTTTGATTTGATGAATCAAACGAGAAGCTGCTCCGTATTGCTCCTGATTAGTAATTAGCTCATCATGCCGATACTTGTGGAAAATACATACCTTTGCAGCGTATGTAGAGGAGCTTTGACGCCGTCGGGCGTCTCGCTTGGATTTTACGTTCCAGCTAAATGAGCTAGGTGATAAGAATGCTAACTAGAAATAGGATGGGAGAGCTAAGAACTGCGATTTCTGGTAAGAGATAAGATGCGAGATGCGGGCCCTCAATCTGATGTTGGCTGGAGATGAAGACGGAGTCACGTCCCATAAGGCTGGAACATGCGGTGGCGATATTTTCAGGGAAGGGTTGAAGACTTCAAGGCAAGGGGCTTGTTGAGCTTGAGGTCACGTACCCCGAAGGGTGGAGGCTATTAGGAGCGCGTTATGAAAGAAATGTTAGAGGACATGTATGTATCGGAAGGGCGAAGCAATCTTTGACCTTCCTCCTTGTCGCATTAGTATTGGTGTGAACAGTTCTGGAGCAATAAAGGTTAGCTTGGGGGAGGTTTAGATAAGCCCAAGCCAGATTCTGAAAGATAGTGCTGTAGAGACGGGCGCGTAGGCAGCTGGGAGTGATAGGGGTACAAGGCATCGACTGGGCCATGCCTCGCGGAGAGCTTGACGAACCTGGGTCCGAGAGGGCCCAGATTGGATGTGGTGTAGAAATAGAAAATAGGGATCGCGAACTGAAGTGATAAAAATGCAGACCTTCAACGTATGATTAAATGAAGTAAAAGTGATGGATGCTCCTAGGTGGAGTCTCGACCAGAGGCAGAGAAAGGCTTGCCGGCGGTGGTGGTGGTGGAAGGTGGGATAATTTGTTGGCGGGGATATGTTTCCCGGCTCGCTGCTCTTGGGGAAGAAATGTGATCTGGGGGGACATTCGGGGATCTGAAAGATCTGACTGCTTTGTCAAGACTTCTCGAGCCAGCCAGCATAGGAAATCTCAGGCTTACCTCACCTCGGGAAGCTTGGTCTGCCCTAGCTAAGTCACAGTCTAGCCACAGTGTCCAGGAGATTCTTTTCCAGAAAACCTAGGTACGACAGATAGCCACGAAGCAGGTAGGCTGAGATGGGAAGCCCAACGAGGTCAGGGTTTCTTTCGCAAGTGAGAATGAAATGCCGGTAGCAGAAAAGGGCTCGGAGCTAGTGAGCAGCGCGCGTTCCTGGTGTGTGTGAGGAAGAAGATGGGATGAGATTCTAGGTTGCCAAGGGGACGAGACCAGTATTGCCACGCAAAAAGAGAGCGAATGACCCTACTTGGTTATTCCAAGGTCAGGCGCAATCTGAACGTGAAAGACACCTTGGGGTGACAGTTTTTACGAAAATTGGATGATGAGTTCTTCTCACCTGCTATCTTACTAGGGCACCTGCCTTCTACACATTCCCAAGATCCCGACAGGGAAAGAGCGACAGGGCGACGTAGGATCTTCATCTAGCCGGCACGCTCCTCTCGTCCAGTTTGAAGCAAGTACATGGAAGGGGGAAAAACAAGACCATCTTCAAGAACCTAACAAGCGCGTGTCTCGTCGAGCACGACCATTTATTTGCCCAGCACCTACGATGCTCCGGCCTGAACCTAAGGCAAATAATAATGCAAATTAGATGACACAAGACATACCTTTGTGTTGATTTTCCTCAAAAATGCGGCACGTATACCTGGGTGCCATCATAAAACAAAGAACTTGACTGCAGCCGGACAAGATGGCCCTGGGCTTAGCCTCTATTTGCACTCCCACGGTCATGACAGCAATCTGCTTCCGAAGAAGTCCCATATCCAGTCACTAGATTTCCTAGGGGCGCCATTCACTAGGTCTGGGATGAGTGCACAATACCAGAGATCTCCGTATCTGGCATTTTGTTTACTTCAGGAAGTTTCCGCTTTCTGTTTTCTTCATAGCCACATCTACCCCTTTTTTCATCTTGCGCTCTATCGGGTTTTGTTACCCCTTTATTTCGGCTGCTAGCATGACATCAGCCGCCGATGCTCAGATCTCGGTGTGGAAATCAGCACCCCTCAGGTAGGTTAGTACTACATGTATGTACCCACCAGTCAAAAAAAGGCGCAAGACAAGACAAGACAAGGCAAGGCAAGGCAAGGCAAGGCAAGACAAGACAAGACAAGGAAAACTGACATGACAACAACTACCCTACCGCAAACACAGGCAGACAAACGCACCTCTCGAACCACCACCGCTTTCTACTGTAATTAGAGGCCTTTACTAATCCAGTCTCTGCGCCCTTCCTCCGATTTTCGCTCGCCCGCGTGGTCCCAACGCCAGTCAGAAAAAAAAGCTGCGGAATCTGCCCGCCCGCCATCGTTTACCGTCGGTTTTAACTCTTGGCTTACCTGGCTCAAGATAGCGACATGGCTGAGAGACAGGACGGAAGGCGGAAGCAAGCAAGCAAGCAAAAGCTAGCCCAATTGACACATAAATCCGAGCAAGGATACGAAGTACTCCAAATTCGCCTGTCTCGCTCCCCGCGAATGTAGGTATTCCGCAGTCGGCCGAAATCTAGGTCCTCCCCCGCAGCCGCCCGCAGCCGCCGCCGAGAGGTTCCGTTGTCAGTGTCAGTGTCAGCGGAACAAGGCGTGTGATCAGCGGCGAGCGGCAACAGACGGATGTCAAAAAGGGTGGGCCGGGAAACTACGCAAAAGGGATTCTGGTAAAAAAGGACCTGCATTTCCACCCCAAGATAGCTATTACCGTACAACATCTCCAAAGCCGGAAATCAAGACGGAGTCATGATAATGGAGTAGAGGTCATAGAAACAGCCAATGGCATGTAAAGGAAACCCCGAATTGACACGCTACCATTGGCTCACCTCACTACTTGCTCCACGGTCCATCCCGACTTTCAAGCGATTGATTGATTGATTGCACACGGGGTACGGTAACTTTATCACGCCCTTGCAAAAAAGGATGTGATCCATCCCAAGTACATACGTACGTACTCTGACAGTCTTTTATGTAATACCGCACAGCACCGGGTCAGGTCTAGACCTAGCGCTTCCATCCATCCTTAACCACCCATAGGAAAACTCACCTGCCTATCCGGACCGGGGGACACAATCCACAATCCACACTCGGCAAACAAGCAGACAAACAGGTTAACTCACCCGGCCGCCCTGCGCCGAAGATCGATCCCCTACGGACGAGAATTTTAAGTCCATAATCCGGCCAAACCTACACACATGCTGGATATATATATATATATACCAAGATATATCCGCGCTGCTCTCGGCCTACTCTACCCAGTTTCGTTGGATTTCCCTAATCATTAAAAACTTTTACCCTCCCAAGGAAAAATAATTTCTGTAAGCAGCTCGGCGGGGATTTCCCCCTAAAGCCACACCCTCATTACAAACGTCCACCACTAAAACTGACGACTTCAGGGACCGGGGATCAGGCATCAATCTAACCGTCGTCGCCGCCCATAGACTAGGAACATACAACAAGACAGACAGACGAGGAGGAACCACGGACAAGATGGGTTCTACCACGCCCGAGTTCACCAAGCCATGGATCGAGACGCCCCTTATCCCGTCGGTGCCGCTATCGCGCGCCGCGGGCTGTAACATCTTCCTCAAGCTCGAGAACCTGCAGCCCTCGGGGTCCTTCAAGTCGCGGTGAGCCATGACTCCTGTACCCTAGTGTGCTTGTCCTCTAGGCATAAACAGCACACCCCCTCTCTTTGCAACACGAGTGACATTGCTGTGGAGCCGGCCACCTTAGCTAACTCGTGTCCTGGCCTCTGGCCGGGCGGGGTTGGAATCTAGGGGCGTCGGCAACATGATGTCGCAGGCGGCGGCCAAACTGTCCGCGGACGAGGACGTGCACTTCTACTGCAGTAGCGAGGGGAATGCGGGGCTGGCGTGCGCGACGACGGCGGCGGGGCTGGGGCGTAGGGCGACCATCGTGGTGCCGACGACGGCGCGCGACTTCATCATCGAGAAGCTGCGGTCGCTGGGCGCGCGGGTCGAGCAGGTCGGCGCCAACTGGGTAAGCTAAGCTAAGCATGAGCATATAAGAACTCCGATTAACGGCTATATATGAAAATAGAACGCGGCCGACGCGCACCTGCGCGAGGTGCTGATGGTGGCTGACCAGGGCCCCGGCGTGCGCGCTGTCTACGTGCCGCCCTTCGACCACCCGGACATCTGGGCCGGCGCCTCGATCCTCGTCGACGAGGTCGTCGGGCAGATGAGGCTCCAGCGGCGCGGCGGCGGCGCCGGCGGCGGCGACTGTGAGGCGCCGGTTATCGACGCCATCGTCTGCAATGTCGGCGGCGGCGGGCTGCTAAACGGCGTTATGGAGGGGCTCGAGCGGCACAAGAAGTTGGTGGCGCGGAGCACGGAGGCGCCGACCAAGGTCTTGGCTATGGAGACTATCGGCGCTGAGAGCCTGCACGCCAGCGTCCAGGCCGGGCACCTCGTCACGCTGCCTGCCATCACGTCGATTGCCACGTCGCTCGGAGCGCGCCGCGTGTCGGAGAAGACGTGGGAGTGGGCCCAGGGATCCGACGGCGCGCTCATCAGCGCCACCGTCACCGACACCGAGGCCGCCTTGGCATGCGTGCGCTTCCTCGACGACTCGAGGATCCTCGTCGAGGCTGCCTGCGGGGCGACCATGGCCACTGCATACAACGGCCATCTCCGCAGGTATCTCGGCAAGGGCCTGAGCGACGCCGAGTGGGCCGACAGGAATGTGGTTATGATCGTGTGCGGCGGGTCCAATGCCAACTTCAGCACGTTGCAGATGTACAAGGAGAAGTACGGCGGAGCTGGGGGCGCTGTATAATGCCGAAGGTTGCGATCGGAGGGTCAGCTTCACTATGCGGTGTTTTATTTGATTTCTGGGTGCAGACACGGACTGGCCTAGACCACAGCCACTCTAGGCCGTTTGTCTGCACAGTCAGGGAGTAGCGAGCGTCTCCTGTGTTTCTCTTGCGTAGCTTAGCTCAACATATCCCTCGGGGGCAATCGCAGAGATGGCCTTGTCGAGATCTCGGAGCACCAGTTTCAGCTCGCCAAAGTAGTTGACCTGGCCCTCTTGTTCGAATCCCAAGCTGCGAAACAGGGCAATACTTTTGGCGTTGCCCTCGTTGATCTTTGCCATGAGCACCTTTAGTCTGGGGGTACTCTGCTGCTGCTGCTGCTGCTGCTGCTTGGCCTCGATAGCATCGCCAGAGTCGCAGCCGAACTCGTGCAAAATGCTCTCTAGGTTCCGTGACACGTAATTCAGAAAGGCCAGCACTGCGGCCCGCCCCACGCCGCGGCCGCGGTTCCTCGACTCGGCTATCATGATGTCGATTTCGCCGACGACGTATAATGGCTCCGCCTTTTCACCGCCTTCACTTTGAGAGTCGTCGTCGTCGTCGTAAGGGTAGACGAACAAGTTGACGTCGCCGACCATGGTGTCCGGCGCGTCAGCCGAGCCGGCCACGACCACCGTGGTTGCCGCAGCCGTCGCGACGGGCGCCAGCGGCTGGCAGACAATAAAGGTCAGCTTGTCGTGGGACACCCGCCATGACTCCTGGTTCTCGTATTCCTCGTCGAGCGTCAGGCGCTCAGACGCCGTGGCTTCTTGGATGGCCTAGACCGGACGAGCCGTCAGCAGTTTTCCCAAGGACACCACGCCAGGTAAGTCGCAAAAGGGGAAGAGTGTATCAATGAGTGAAGCAAGCAAGCGAAATGACTTACGGGATCTTCCATCCAGGCATGGTAGGTCGGGACATGGCGGCGGTCATATGGCACCAAGAGCACATTTGCAGTGGAGACAGCTTCAAGTTTTTTTTCTCACTCGAGGTTAGCCGAGGGTTTCTCGCTCTGGCTGAAGCTGATACAGAATAATGGCATAGGTAGGTAATTAATCGTTAATTAATGACTGAATGACCACCTACCTATGGATTCGTTGAGCTTCATTTTGCAAATGCACCTTGGTCGGGCGAGATGGCTGCTGTCAAAGCCTTGTTGTAAGATGATGGCTTGGTTGTTCTCACAACCGCTGCGATACCTTGGTTTCTTGAATTGTAGTGAAAGATTCTAGGTTACACGATGTTGCTGGCTTTTAGCGGGAGATAAATTACGGATACTATAATACATTGTACATACAATACATGCGGATACATACAAATAGATACCCACCCCCACTGTCCAGTACGAACCTGACTGTTAGGTACCCTACTGTCAGTATTCCGTGCAAGACGACAGCAGCATGCATACTCAAAACGTATATACATGTCTTGACTAGGTCAAGATAGGATATTAATGCAATCCCTGACATCGTCGACAGGGCCACACCTCTATCAACAGAAATACGGAGAACCAAGTCTAGAAGCAGTAGGCTACTAATACAGACTGCGCTATCCAGTTAAACAACCCCGGTTTCGAGCTAATTTCCATCGACCTACGCTGTCGGCCTAGTCTTCCACCGGGAGCTGGGGGAAGAGCCCGCTGTAAGGGCGCTTTAAAGCGACGAAAGGCGTGCCATAATCGAAGTCGGTGTAGGGCGTGGCATGGTCCAGTGTTCTCATATCGTTCGCGACACCCAGAGCGTCGAGTAGTTCGGTAGCCTTGCCGGGCATGAACGGCTGCATCAGGATCCCGGTAATCCTCAGGCTCTCCGCCGCCAGGTAGATTGCCCTGGCAAGCGCCGTCTCCATGCCCTTCTGCTTGACCAGATTCCAGGGCGCCGTCTCAGTGAAGAACTTGTTCGTCTTTAGTTCACGTTAGCGTCGTCCTTGGGGACTCGGCCCGTAAAACACGATTCAGCTTACTTCTATCATCACCGCCGTGGCGGCACGGAGCGCGCCCCTCGGGTTGAGTTCCTCCATCTGCTTCGCCGCGGCAGGTGCAGCATTTCTCAATACTTTATCGTGGGCGACGAAAACATCTTCCAGACTCTGCGGGGCGGGACCGAAATCGCCGCCACTGGCCGCCACAATGGCCTGTCGGATATTCCAGCGCTCTGCTCTTGTGACACGAGCGAGCAAGTTCCCGAGTCCGCTTTGGAGAATGTGCTTGTACCTTTCGGTAATCTTCTCGTTGCTATAGTCTCCATCGTCAATTATGCCGCCGTCGTTGATCAGGTAGAAACGTAGTGCGTCGATGCCAAATCTTTCGATAGCAGAGAACGGATTCACCACATTACCAACGGATTTGGACATCTTTTTCCGGTCCATGGTCCAGTGCGCATGGCTTAAGACTCGTTTAGGAAGGGGAAGGTCTAGCGCCAGGAGAAGTGCAGGCCAGTACACGCAGTGGAATCGAACAATGTCCTTGCCAATCACATGGACATCTGCCGGCCAGCCACCTTCGTGCTCGCTTCCCGGGGTCCAAAGAGGAAAGCCGGCATTTGTGATGTAATTGATCAGCGCATCCACCCATACATAAATTGTCTGACTTTCGTCGTCGGGGACCCGAATGCCCCAGCTCAGTCGATCGACGGGCCTGGAGATGGACAGGTCCTCGAGGCTGTTCTTGACCCAGTCCACCACCTGACTCATCCGAGCGGCGGGCACGACCCATTCGGGATTCTTGTTGTAAAAGTCCAGCAGCTTGGACTTCATCTCCGTCATGCGGAAGTGGTAGTTCTTCTCCTCGGTCCATTCGACCTTGTTTCCCGTCTCGATAGACGCCATGAAGACCTCGCCCGTGAAGGGGTCCATCGTCTTCTCGATATGGGTCTCGGGATAGAAGCACTCGTCACTGACCGAGTACCATCCCGTGTGCGTGGACCTGTATATTAACCCCCGCCCCTTGAGCAAGAACCAGAAGTGCTTCACGGCGTCGACGTGGTCCTGATCAGTGGTGCGCATGAAGCGGTCGTAGTCGATGACGGCCGTATTCGCGAGATTCTCAAACTTGGCGGCGTTGTCGTCGCAAAAGTTCTTGGGATGCACGCCATTCCGAGCCGCCGCTTGCTGCACCTTGATCCCGTGCTCGTCGGTGCCCGTGCACAGGAGCGCCCGCTTGCCCGCTAGTGTCTGCCACCGCTTCAGGACGTCGGCTAGGACCATCGAATACAAGTGGCCGACGTGAGGCGCTGCGACGCTAGTCAGCATGCTTGACGGCGCTTCCGGCCTGTAGAACATGCGACCTACCAGCATTGACGTAGTATATTGGCGTTGTGACATAGTAGGGCTTTGCGGACGGCGAGGGCGAAGTTGGAGTCGAGATTGAGGTTGAAGTCGAGTTCGAGGTTGCGCGCGCAGTTGTGAAGCTGCGAGACGACGACCTTGGACTTTGGCTACTGCAGGACCGACACACCCAGCCCCTTGACCAGGCTGTTGCAGAGCGCCATCTTAGAATGCGGCGAGCTGGCGCCGTCCTGAGAGCTTCCATGACCATAGTCGTGTGCCCACGGCGCTGCTGTCGGTCGTGGTTGAAATTGCCGCGTTGCGCGTCGGCTTTCTTTGCACTCCTAGTTCGCAATTGGAACCGCTAAAGAAATATTCCATGTACTGCACCCAATTATTAAGGTGACAGACAGCTTCATGGATGACAGGGGTCACCCCACAACTTTTTCAAGCGTCCGTCCAGTGGGAGATTCCCGAGCTCAGGGCAGCTGGGTAAGGTGACCCGGAGTTAAGTCTAGCCTCTGTTGTTTCCTTGGCAAGCCGTTTGATCTCCTGCGAATGCAAACTTTCCCCTTTGGTAGTCGCATATTTATTGTATTTACATACACTGTTAACTTTGAGAACACCCCTTCATTATAATACCATGGACAAGTTCCTGGAACCGAAATACGGAAGAAGCACTTATTCTGTGCGAACAATAACAATACATAGCAATGGTTTTAGATGCCAATACGTTATCGCGACTGGACAGTTGCTCTAGATCAAGGTCTCTCTGGAATGGTACCCGTACGGTACAGACAACCTGAACGATTCAGGTTGCTATCTTCTAGGTAGGTAGCTCTAGCCCCTTAATAGGCAGACTCTACTCTATGGGAACTCTCACGGTCTAGATAGGTAGCGTACCTTAGGTAGGATCCCGGTAATTTCCGCAAATCATCGGGGCGATGTTTTCTACGAACCCGACTCCGTTCAGCTTGGCTGTCCCAGAGCCTCCACCAACGTTTCCACGATAAGCCGCCCCAAGCACATGCATGTGAAGACAACACAAGGCAAGATAAACATGGGGTTGCTGGTTTTGTAAGCGTTCAGATATTAGGGTATGACTGAGAAGCGGCTTCCCGCATCTAGTCGCATCTGCCCAAAGTTTGCGCCTCGTTATTTCTAACAACTGGTGATGTTTAGGCCTCCGTCAGATATCTTATGTACCTTGTGTACTAAATGGATGCCCTTGCGCCCTGCTTGCCTTGGAAAACAGCCTTAAGTCTTGAAGTGTGATGGCGCAAATACTGCCCTACCCTGCCTGCTTGCTCTCTTCGAGGCAGGCGTTCAATAGGGAATCTGCTAGAGTGCCTTCACGGGAATGGGATCGTCTAAAATTACTTCTATATCTGCGAGCACCCCGTCTTGCTGGGAGAGGGGTATTTGATGGAGGAGGCATCCAACACTCTGCCACCCACCACGGGTTGGGGCTGTTCCTCATGAACAAAGCGGGGGCCGTGATTGGCTGAGTCCATCATAGCTCCTGCTGTGCAAGCCAAGAATATGGGACACCAGCCCAGCCTTCCATCCACGCATCCTCCTAGCGCAACTTTATGGATGCTGTAGCCTATAACAGGTCCTCATCCCCCACCAGCCGAGCCACATGTTGAACGGCAAAGTACCCAAGGCACCTACTACGGGCAGGCAGTTTGTAGGTAGTGTAGTAGATAAATTAACGGGATAATAATCATGCGTCACGAGCGTGGGGAACAAGGCAAAGTTAGATTCCTGAGGCCGCAGGCTGACTTTCCATCCGACTTCGAATGCATGTTATCCAGCATAGGTAAGGTACTAATTCAGGGCCAGGCGGCGGCTCGAAATGGATGGCAGGGACGCGGAGGAATCGATCGCTCATCTCCTGGCGCCTGCCCGCAAAACTGATGGGTGGGTGTGTTCAACTTTGAACTTCAGCCCCCATATCCGTACGCTCAAGGCGGGTTGCATCGTATTTCGATATTGGAAAGCTTAACGGAGCACAGTGCATGCAGTACATACAACTCACTCGTTCCCGTAGGTACACACACCTGCAACACTGAGCCCCAAACCTTCCTACAGCTTCTATTACAAAAGAGAAACCCGACAAATAAAACCTCACCCAGATACGAATACTTGCTTCTACAAGCCTAGAATTTGACCAGGGGCCGCTGGCACTGATTCTTAGCATTCTTCTTTCCACACTCAAGCAGTGCTGGTCCAGTTTGCCAAGGCTGTAGGGCTGGCTGCACAGTGCAGCGCACGAAACCCGACTTGGCCTGACCTGACCTATTGACGTATCGCCGGAAAGTTTGTCCCCGCAGCAACACCTCAAACGCCCCGCTTGGGAGCAACGATGCGCTGAGCTCGCCCGACAGATTGCGGTTGGAAAGAAGCACGCAGCACGAACCAGCGCTTTCAACAGGTGTCAGAATGGTTGAGGCGGACGATATCCAGAAGCTCCTGCAAACAGGATCGTGGAAAACCTCGACGTCGCGGGCGAGGAGCCCCAAACCCCCCAAGCCGTAAGCGACAACTCCAGAGCTGCCCGCCCCACGCTGCGCGGGCGCATGCACGCGAGCGACGGGACAAAACGAAACGAGACGCACCCATTTCCCTCTGCTAACACGGTCACAAATATAGTTATGAGATATCTGAGACGGCCCCCCAGCCGTCCAGGTCTCGGCCGACTGCCAGAGGGCCGCGGCCATTTCAGCCAGAATCGCGCGTCAAGAGGCCACCCCCGCCTTTGGTTGAGGATGAAGCCGCATCCTTGGCCAAAGAACACGGCGACTCGGTCGTGTCGGGTCCATCCGAGGAGGACCCCAAACATCCCGGCGATGTTGACCAATATCCGATTCTTTTAGAGGTCCACGAGTTCAACCCCGAACGCCGCTTTGTCATTCTCACGGGCAACGAAACCGACGGCGAGCAGGCCAGAGATGACAGCAGCCTCGGTTCTACCAACACGACCCGGCCATCGCAGCCCCCAAACGGCCCCGGTACAACCGAGTACGAAGCCAACACGTGCCGACAATATGTCCTTGTATCGCCAGACGAGGGGCCCACGTTGTCCAAGCGGAAGAGCCACCAAGATCTCCCGCGTCTCGAGACAAATCTTAACGGCCCTGACGCTCCAATTCGGCGCTCGAATAGCCGGCGAGACAGGGACAAGGTACTTGTTGACCAAGCCCCTCGAGACAGCCCCAGCCGCCGCGATAACGTAAAACCGTCCGAGGATGCATTCCTTACTCCCGTCTACAAGCATACCGCGGGTGGTCGCGACCGGGCCTACTGGGATTTCAATTCAGCAGCTGGTCGGTCGCCCGGTCGTAGTCCGTCAGCAAAAGGGGAGCCGCAGCTGGCTACATCTGACGACAGGCGCTCCAAGTTATCCACGTCTAGCCAGTCGACGAACCAGCCGTCGCTCCACAGACGCGTCTCGTCGGCTTCGGCGCCAAAACGCCATGCCCGGACGCCCGAGAGACCAAACCATTCTGTCGATAGTTTCCCGCCGCCTCCCGCAGACCCCAACGACGGCCGAGGCCGAGGGGAGAAAAAGAGCAAAGCCGAGAGGCCAAACTCTTTTATTGATTTTCCGCCCCAGGGTGGCTATGCCCCCGAAGATATCTTTGATTTCATGATGCCGGGTAACGATCTCCCTCCTCGAGGAGAGAGAAGACATCGCTCCCCGCCGAGGGGACCTCGGAGCAGTAACTCTCCCCCATATCCCCAGTCGGCGTCGAGCAAGTTGCCCAGCCGATCTGGAAGCTATAGAGGCCAGCGCCAGTCTTCGTCTCGTGAAAAAGATGAGGATTATTCCACAGACGACGCCAAAAACCAGCGTGGCAGCCAACCGAGCCGTTCATACCCACGTCGGACCGCGCTGGAACCCGAGACATCTTCTCTTCTTGCACCTGAACAGTCCCGGCCATCTGGAAGTAGCAGGTCTAAAGCCAAGCCTTCCTCGCCGCTACCTTCACCTCGGGCTTCGCAAGGATCCCTGTTCCCAGATGCATCGCCCTTGCCCATCCCAAGGAGTCCGAGGAGTCCGAGAAGCTCAACATTCCCGGTTGATAAGAATAAGAGATACAACGAACGTTCGATTTCCCCATCTGCGATAGCCAGCAAGTCTCCGCCGAAAACAAAAGGCGCCAGCTCCGCGGCTAGCAGTTTGGCCTCGCTCCCGATTCCGATTCCTCTGAACTTGGATCGGAATAGCTCGGCTGAAAGAAGACTAGCACCGTCCTCGACTGCTTCGTATCCGAGGCAGGACTCTCTAGATGTCAGCTCTCCAACCCCGTACTGGCAGCCAGCCCCATTTCGCCCAGCCGAGCATAGAGCCACTCTGGACAGGCCTATCGTTTCATTGCGGCGATACTCGGAAGATGTACAAAAGGGTCTCGTCCCGCAGCTGCCCGACTGCCGCTGGAAGTCACCGAACAAAACCAGCAGCGCCCAGTTTCTGACACTCCCACGAGCCGATAACTTCAACATCTGCACCGAATGTTACGATGCTGTGTTTGCCAACACGAAGTACCAGAAGATGCTGGTACCCGCTTCCAGACCTGCTGATCAGCTCCTCTCGTGTAACTTTGGCTCCTCGTTCTGGTACCGCATCGCATACCTCATGACGGTCAAATATGGGTATTCAGACTTGGGTCTCTTAGAGGATATCGCTACGGTTACTGGACGCCACCAGCCATGCGCCGGGCCCCTGCCTGCGACTCGCGTCTGGTATAGCATGATGGCACCAAACGCGAGGCGGTCGATGCCCATCTCAAGCTTCAATGTCTGCTCCAGCTGCTCCAAAATGGTCCTGGCCCTCTTCCCTAACCTGGCGGGGGCCTTTGTGCTGTTGGATCCGCACGCAGAGGCGACTAGGGACATTTGCGAGCTCCATTTCACACCAGAACGTAAACGCTTCCTCGAGTACTTTGATCTGCTTGAGACGGCATCGGACCGATCACTCAGTCGCAGAATCGAACCAGATCTCCTAGAACTAGCCGACCGCATCCGGGTCATTTCCCTGACTGACGAGTGCAGACGGAATATCCCCATCGCAAATCGTAAGTGGTACGTGATGGAGAGCCTACCCGAATTCAGCGTGTGCGAGGAATGTTTCGACTCAGTGGTCTGGCCACTTCTCGAGGATGAAGACTGCGGTGACATTCCACCCAACTTTTACAAAAGCCGCCAGACCAGAGCGATTGCTGCTTGCCAGCTCTACAGCGATCGCATGCGGGATGTGTTCCGCAAAGCATGTTATCGGAATGACATGGACTACCTAGAGTCTAAGCTAAAGGAGAAGCTGAAGCTCGAGTCCGAGATCAGAGCCAAATATGCCGACCTGGCCAAGCAAGACCAGAATGATCCGTGGGTTAGGGGGGAGATGGCAAGTCTGATCAGGCAGATGAAAGATATCGAGTAGAGGGCGGTGTGGCGATATACCCATACTCGTGGCTTCCTGAACTATACTGTTTGAGTACTCTGTACCAGCGAATTGTATAGCACAATGTTAGAAGCGAGGCAACATTTTCAAATACGATAACACAGTCAATTACCAAGGCAGTCGACCGGCTTGGCAAATTCCTACCTCCATTCAGTCGACTTCATTCGTGGAAATTGGCGCATCCTATATGACAGAGACATACGCACATATACACGCGGGTGAGCGGGTGGCTTGTGCCTCGTCCCTAGCATGCACAAGCAATAACAGTACACGGCATGGCATGTCAAATGCCGGATTGGACATGGAGAATGCAAGGTTCCCCGACAGTCGTACCCCAGATTCCACTCCGGCTATACAAATGAGTGTGCATTGTCCTCTTTAATCAGCCGGATACACCAAGGTGAGAGGGGACAGACCAAGGAGAGCTTGACAAAATATTGGAAGCAATTAATATTACCCCCAAGGTCAATATGTTGAGAAATTCTCCGGATCCCCGGACTCATAGGGGGTCCAGGAACCCCATGGTAGCAGCGCACATACATGCCTGGTAGTTAGTTGCAGGTCGGCCTTAGTACGCAAGTTAGATAACCACCCAACGACGACAACCTCGGTGTCTTTTTGTACGGAATCCCGCGAGCTGTGGGAGTACTTTGCTGCTGTTGTTGCTGCTATCTGACTCGTAGCCGCCCCTTTTGAAGTGGTCTGCCCACCCCTTTTCTGTTCTTTGAAAATATGCGTTTTCTCGCTCCGTTCCTTCTTGCTCTAGGTGTTATACGGTCGGCTTTTGCAGTCGTCGTCAAGTCGGGGTCGACATGCATCGTAACACCAGGTGCCGCGACCCGTGCCGTGCGAAGCATCGGCCTCGTCCCGCCTGCCGAGCGTGATGTCGACCCGGACAGCAGCAGCGGCGACGAGCAGAATATCTGGTCAGATCTCGATCCAGAAGCCGGGGCCCCCAAGCCCGGCGCGCCCGGTTCCCTCGGCCATTACCCCCGGCCGATGCCGTCAAAGAAGGGCGGCGCGTCGCCAGTGAAGATGCTCAGCGTGTCGCGCCGGGAGCCGCCATCTTCTCCCCTCTTCGAGCCCGCAGCGCTCGAGATGTCGTTCCCGCGGCGGCGCACGGCGGCGCGGCGCACGGCGGCGGCGGCGGCGGACGACACGCCGCAGATTCTGGACGCGTTCAAGCAGTGCGGCAAGGACGGCACCATCATCTTCCAGGAGGGCACGTACAACATCCGGCAGGTCATGAACACGACGGACCTGCGCAACGTGAGCATCGAGATCCACGGCACGTTTGTGTGGAGCGCCGACAACATCCAGTACTGGCTGTCGCACAGCTACAGCGTGACGTACGCGGGGCGGTCGACGGCGTGGCTGCTCGGCGGGCGCGATATCAGCATGCGCGGCTTCGGGCGCGCGCTGTTCGACGGCAACGGCCAGGTGTGGATCGACCAGAACCGCAACGCCGGCAACCAGAACGGCCGGCCCATCTCGCTGACCATCTGGCGCGCCAACAACGTGTTCATCGACGGCATCCGCTGGAAGATGGCCCAGTTCTGGCACACGTTTGTCGCGCACTCGCAGAACATCACCATGACCAACCTCGAGATGAACACGTCGTCCAACTCGCAGTGGAAGGCCGTCAACACGGACGGCACCGACACGTGGAACTCCAAGGACATTGTCATCCGCAACTGGACCGTGACGTGCCATGATGTGAGTGTCTTGTCTCCGGCCCCCAGAAGCCCCTTTTTGCATAACAACCCGCAACAAACACAAATACACATAAACACACAACCCGAATGGGCAAAAACAACAACTGACTTTCGTGCCTGCCTGCTCCAGGACTGCATCTCGATCAAGGGCAACAGCAGCAACGTGCACGTCAGCAACGTGACGTGCTACGAGTCGGGGGCCATGTGCGTGGGCAGCATCGGCAGCAACGCCGGGCAGCCCGACTTTGTCGAGAACGTCGTCTTCGAGAACGTCAGCCTCTACCACAGCTCCAACGCGGCGTGGATCAAGACGTACCCGGGGACGGGCTACGTGCGTAACGTCACGTTCCGCAACATTCACTTTGAGAACGTCAACCAGCCCATCTACGTGACATCGTGCATTTGTATGTTTTCCTTTCTTCCCATCCCTCTGCACCAACTAGTCGGATATCGTTTGGACAGCGCTGACAAACGCAAAAAAAAAAAAAAAAGACTCGTACCAAAACTGCGACAACTCGCGGCTCGGCATCACCGACATCCACTGGGAAAACATCACGGGCACGTCGCGGTACAACGTGGCGGCGGCGATCCACTGCAGCTCGCGCGCGCCCTGCGACGACCTGCACTTCTCCGATATCGACATCAAGCCCATGAGCGGCGGCACCGCCAAGGTTCTCTGCTCCAACATCAAGAACCAGGCCTCGTCCGGCCTCGCGTGCACCGGCCCGTGTCCCGGTTCGCAGCCGCAGCAGCTCTCGGGCAATGTTTGATGTATGTCCATATGGAGTATGGCGCGTGGGCAAGGTTCGTGAGTCGGCCGGTATGGCGCTGCCGGAGCAGTGCCATTCAGTTGTTTGGCTTCTTTTTTTGCTCTACCGCTGCAAATGCCTGTGTTTAACCTTTTCATGTATACATGGTGATGGGTGCCTATGAGCCATTTCAATTTTGTAATAAATCTAACTGTAGAAGTTTCTCCCTGAACAGAGCCTCGTTGAAGCAGGCGAATACGAAATAAAACAAAACATGTACGGAGTATGTATGGCGCGTAGAATTCATGGGCTGTTATGGCGCATACGATGTGGGATGTGTTGATGCTATTTTTATGGGGAGGGGGGGGGCTCCGCTGGAGAAAGGAGGCCCCCAGTGCGGTCTATCGGAAAGGGGGGAGAGGCGGAGTGCTGGGAAATGAGATCACGGCGGAATTGAATGTGAAAAGTGAGAATACCAAGACACGCAGAACAAGAAGAACTGCTATGCCTGTCAATATTTGATTTTCACATCATCTCCTGATGAGCTTTTGTAGAGTTATTGAAGCCAAAGAAGGGGTTCGTAACGAAATCTCTTGGGTTCTGAACTGCACAGTTCAAGTACATTGTGCAGCGAAGTCGGTGGCAAATTGCTGCAGTGACTTTTATGTCGTTACGGGGAGGGTCTTCACGATGGTGTTACCGAAGGAAGAGGAACCGAAAAGTGAGGCCGTGATTTAACAAGGACGACGAGCATGATGAAAGAAATGTGTGGTTCATAGACTAGATAACTATGAATACCTCCTACTACTCCTGTTCTCTGACACGCTCCTCTTCCTTCGGTTTGTGGAAAAACGACGCAACTCGAGACCGCTTGAACTTGCCCGGCACCTCCTTGAGCCTGCGGTAGCTTCCCTTGGGGCTCAGCTTGGAGAGCTTGCGCGTGAGCGTAAACGTCTCCCCCTCGCCATGGTCAGTCCCCTTGTCCTTGTCCGTACTGATACTTATCTTCTGCTTTCCCTTCTCTCTTCCCTCCGGTAACCCCTTCTGCTCCTCGTGGCCATCATCATGCTTGCTCTGCTCCGTTAGTAGACGTTCCTCCTTCTCCTCCTCCTTGGGACTGCCAATCCCGCTCCCCGTCTTGGTATGTTGGCTGACCTGAACACTATCTGTACGCAGCGCTGGGAGTATGGTGTTGGAGCATGACTTATAGTCGTCCTCGCACTCCTCTCCTGAGGTCTCCAGATCGGAATCGCTCTCGCTCAGCAATACCTTATGTAACCGAACTTCCTGTAGAGCTTCATGGTACGCTATCTCGAGAAGGGATTTTCTCCAAATCGCTTCTGTCCTCTCGCTTAAGATGCCGAGCTCGAGAGCGTCTCTGAGCATGTCGTCCCAGTCGGCAGGCAAAAAAGCCTCGTTTCGAGCCGAACCTAGTGTGTCATCGTCCGGGGGGTCGCCGCCAAAGATAGCTTGAAAAGTTTTCCATAAATATCGGTGCTAATAAATAGTAGGCAGGGGCAAGGCATCAGGCTTGGTTTGTGGTTGACGGAACTTGAACCGTTGTGGGGCCACCGCTGCCAGCTGCTAACATCAACCTCAGCTGGCAGCCTGCAGCTCGCACCCAAAATCAGACTAGCGCGGATTAGGGCCCGCATGTGGCACCCAGCACCCCACGAACGCACTCAACTCGAAATATTGCAAAATTTCAATTGGGACATTTCGATCTTCAACAACCGCCTGTCGCCAAATTCCCCGAGGTAAGCACCAAGAGGTAAGAAAACACGCCCGCCCGCTGCCACAACAACCCGATCATGCCTAGCAGCCCGTTTTTCTGTCTTCACCAAAAAAGGGAAAAATTGGACGCTGGGTAACTGACTCTGCCCCCTCACACCACACAGACCGACCTTGGACGACAACACGATGTCCCAGAGACCTACTGTCACTATCATCGGCGCCGATGGCAAGGCCACCGGTGCCACCGAGGTCCTCCCCAAGGTCTTCGGCGCCCCGATTCGCCCCGATATCGTGAAGCACGTCCACACCGGCATGGCCAAGAACAAGCGCCAGCCGTACTCCGTCAGCGAGAAGGCCGGCCACCAGACCTCGGCCGAGTCGTGGGGAACTGGTGAGTGGCATCCTGAGCGACTTGGGATTTGGTTCTTTGAGGGTGGGCCCCCAAGCGAATGAAGGGTCTGAGGCGGGCGGACGAATTGCTTGGGGGCCTCGAAAATTTTGGACAAATCGGACCGCGAGACGGATTCTTGAAATTGTGCCAGGACGACTTGCTAACCCCGGCTTCAAACAGGTCGCGCTGTCGCCCGTATCCCTCGTGTGTCGGGTGGTGGTACCCACCGTGCCGGTCAGGCTGCCTTCGGTAACATGTGCAGATCCGGCCGCATGTTCGCCCCTACCAAGATCTGGAGAAAGTGGCACGTCAAGATCAACCAGGGCCAGAAGTAGGTGGATTCGGATCCAAAATCGCTAGAAGCATGCTCTAACTTGGCTAACATAGGCGCTTCGCGACTGCCTCTGCTCTCGCTGCTTCGGCTGTCGCCCCTCTCCTGATGGCCCGCGGCCACCAGGTCGCGACCGTCCCCGAGGTCCCCCTCGTCGTCGACTCGGCTTCTTTCAGCAACGCTGCGTACGCCAAGACATCCGCTGCCCTCGGTCTCCTCGAGGCGGTCGGTGCTGGTGACGATATTGCCAAGGTTAAGGGCTCCAAGAAGCTCCGCGCCGGCAAGGGCAAGTTGAGAGGCCGCCGTCACCGCCAGCGCCGTGGACCCCTCGTCGTCTACAGCCCCGAGGTTGACGGCTCCGAGCTCGTCAAGGGCTTCCGCAACATCCCCGGTGTCGAGACGTGCCCCGTCGAGTCCCTCAACCTCCTCCAGCTTGCCCCCGGTGGCCACCTCGGTCGCTTCGTCATCTGGACCTCGGCCGCCATCAAGCAGCTCGACTCCGTCTACGAGAGCAAGAAGGGCTTCTTCGTCCCCTCAAATGTCGTCTCCCAGTCCGACCTGACCCGTCTCATCAACAGCTCCGAAATCCAGAGCGTGCTGAACGGACCCAAGGGTGTCGCCCACGCCAAGCGCGGCAACGTCCAGAAGAAGAACCCCCTCAAGAACAAGCAGATCATGCTGCGCCAGAACCCTTACGCCGCCACATACATAAAGGAGAACCTTGGGTCAGTGAAGGCGGAGAAGGCCGGAGCCAAGCGTGTACCAGCTTCCTTCAAGGTGCTCCTGAACGAGGTTTAGGGTGTTTGCGAAAAGGGGTAGGGATGGAACCGTGGGTGCTTCCTAGGCGTAATGGATTAGAAATGTGTGTGCATAACCACACATTTTCAATGAATTCTGATACCGGCCAAGCGTATGGCTTCTTTTTCGTGACCTCCCTGTTACCAGGTGCAATGCTGAAAATTGTTGCATCACTGCCAGATGAGTGAGTTCCTTAAGTACAGCAAATATGTGTAAAGCTATTCAGGGTAAGAGTCGTCATAATGGGCCTGCTAGTCGGCACTGGTCTATTGGAACTCGATTACGGGGCGCACTATTTGGCTCACAATACAAAAGGCTCAGCTAGACGGAGTGGTATAAATCTAAACTTAATCCAAGTCTTAATTGATAGTAACACAGCAGAGCCATGAGGGAGGCGTATTGATACGTGTAAATGATCTCAGCTAGTAAGGGACGTTAGATTTGCAGTAACTGTGTTCTCGGGCCGTCAGCTCAGACCATCAGGGCATTCCCTCCTTTCCAAATTGAAAGACACCCGCCATATGCTGCTTTCGCATGAAGCTAAACCTGACAGGCGGTAGGTATGAAGGTAGGTATTCACCACCTGGGCCTGGATGTACTGTGTAAGTCCTCTGGAGCCACGCACCCACGCACTTCCCTCTTCACTTTGTTACGGCCTTGCAACCCCCCTTCTCCAGAAGTGGCATAGTAAAACCACGCTCGCCGCCGTCTCTACGCCCAATAAGCCCTATCCGTATCCGTATCTTTCTTTGTGCAGGGTAATATACTGATATCAACATCCATCGTATGACATAACATAACATGATATCTAAGGGAGGTAGGTGGTGCAAGAAATGTCTCTCTACGAGAACAAATCGAATCGAACCAGGTATGATGTCGTTTCGTTTCGTGTCCACTCGCTGGACCTCCTCAGCAGCCACCCAGCATGGCGAGCTTGCCCATCTCCCTGGTCAAGTCGTCCACGTCCACGTCGAGCGCCAACAAAGACGCGGCCGATGACGATGCGCCATGGGGGATCCCCTCGAGAATCTTCTCGATGTCGGCGACGTCGGCGAGGCGGAAGAAATCCTGCACGCCGGCCGTGAAGCGCTGCGCGCTGAGGTCGATGTTGGCCTCGGTCTCGGCGGCGAAGCACAGCCGGTAGTAGGCCCAGGCGGCCGGCACGGCGGCCGTGGCGCCGAACATAGACCCCGACGCGCACAGCACGAGGTATTTCTTGGCCGTGAGGAACAGCATCAGCGCGAGGGATAGTGTTGGGCCGTCCATGATGTGGTGGTGGCCGCCGTTGTCGTCGTCGGATGATAACGAGGAGACGATGACGGGTGCTTGCCACAGCGGGTGCCGCTCAAAGTGCACGCGCAGCCAGATAAACATGCCGCCGCGCGGCCACTGGTAGTCGAACAGGCGCGTCTTGGTGACGACGCCCCATTCGAACGAGTCAAGCGGCGACGAGAACATGTCAACGAGGTCGGCCCCGGCGTCCAGCAGCCGGCACATGCGCACCATGCGGCGCTCGTAGGACCCCCGCAGCCCTTCGAGCCAGCGCACCCAGCCGTCCATGTGCCAGCCGGCAAAGCGCGCCTGCTCGCCGCGCCCCAGCGCGCGGAACGCCGCCTTGGCGGCCTCGGGCTGCGGGCCCATGACCAGCTCGGCCACGAGGCTCTGCACGAAGCCCGACGGCTGCTGCGTCGTCGCCTCGGACACGCGGATGATCTTGTCGATCACGGCCGGCTGCGCCGTCACCCAGCCCAGCCGGCACCCGGGCGCCACCGTCTTGGAGAAGGTGTCCAGCCGCACGACGCGGCCGTCCGTGTCGATGCGGAGAAACGACGGCGCCAGCGAGTCCAGAAACGGATACCCGGAGGACGGCCCTGCAGTTGTGGGCGGCTGCTGCTGTGGCGGCGCGTCCGCGGACGTCTGATTGCTGCTGCTACCGCCCCGTGATGCCGCCTCCTCAACGGCGGCGGCCGGGAACTGCAGATACCAGTACGGCTCGTCCTCGGCTATGATGACATCGTACTTGCTGCAAGCTGCGTATATCTCACGCTTGCGGTCTAGCGGGATGACAATGCCCGTGGGGTTGTGTCCCAGCCTGTGTGGTGCATGCAACAACGGTCAGCACTTGTTTTTTTTTCCTCTTTTTCAAAGCAAAGTGAGACATGCGTGCTCGCTCGGTTCATCAGTCAGTAGCACCGCAGGGACCTGGCAGTGGGTGTGGCGTCGGGTAAGAAAAGCATACACGAGAATGGAAGGAATTGGCCAAACGGCCGACAACATCTTGTGCGCCCGCTGCCCTTCTGAGCAACGGCATGCATATTATGGCGAAAGGAAATCGGCGTGCCAACAACTCACGTCACGGTATACAGAAGATGCGGCCTCCTCCCGCGGGCGGGGTCCCAGGACGACAGGACGTCGTCGAGCCCGCCGGGGCCGGCGACGCGCATGCCCTTTGCGTCGGTGTCGACGGGGACGAGCTGCCAGCCGAGGTTGGCGGCCTGGCCAAGGGCGCCCATGTAGGCGAACTTCTCGCACAGCAGGCCGGGGCGGTCGCGGGGGTCGTCGACGCCAGCGCGCCACGGGTCGGCAAACACCTGTAGTGTCTTGGCGAAGCCGTCGGTCGAGCCGCACGTCATGGCCACCTCGGGCCCGCCGCGGTACGGCACGTCGGGGTGCACCTGCTCGCGCGTGAACTGGCGCACCCACGACACCAGCGGCGGATACCCCTCGGCCTGCCCGTACTGCAGCGCCGTCTCGAGGTCGATCCGCTTAACAACGTCCTTGTCGTGCGACCCAGCCTTAGGCACCACGATGTGCGCCGCCGCCACGGGTGTGGTTGTCGGAGCTGCCGTCGAAGCGGCGCATGCCGACGCGGGAACAGCTCCGGATTCGCCGGGATAGTTGGGCGACGGTGTCCACCGCTCGGGCTCGGCTGTCTGGGCCTCCAGGGTATCAAAGGGGAAGAATTGCACGTTTGGCAGGCCTAATCAGATACCAACGGGAGAGGAGAGTCAGCCTCGATGCTCGTCATGATGAGGCGGGGTAGCCTCCAATGGAGGTGGCGAAGAAGAAGAACAAGAGGAACAGAGAAACGCACCGCCGGCAATGTTCATGATACCGGGGATCTGGAAGAGGCGGTAGGCTTCCTTCATCTTGCTGGCCTGGCGGCCCTTGGTGATGACGGAAAAGAGGTGGCTGAGGTCCAGCGGCAGCGGCTTCTCGTCGTCGCCGCCATCGCCGCGGCGAGATGTTGTTAGCGAGCCCATGGCTTGACTATCTGCTCAAGCTGCCTAGATCGCAGGGCGTGGGGATGGGACCTTGAATGGATATGGAGCGCTATGTAATACACAGCGGAGGAGGGCAAGAGTCAAGTCTGACGGGTTCCGCTTCTTTTTTCTTCAAGGTATGGATGTTTTGAAGAGAGAAAGAAAAAAAAGAGAGTCCCGTCTATCTGCTGCTGAAAAGATAGTCCTAAACAGCAGAATCCTTCCCCCTAAAAATGGATATCAGGTATGGAATCCTAAGCGTATTTGCTTCAAAGGCCGAGGTGGAGGGGGTGGAGGGGGGATGGGAGGGGGTTTAAGCGATAGTAATTAATTCTCCTTAATCCCGTTACATTACGTATCAATCAATTGCGCGCGAGCAAGCGAGCCGTTGGTGGTTCGTGGTTTGCTGTTGGTAGCTGTTATCGACATCTGAATTGTTAGATAATAACCCCGGGGCAGGGCAGTTTAGAAGATTACCAACGCCTGCCGCCGCGCCCGCCCCAGCAAGGAAAGAGAAGACCTTCTAGTTCCAGTCGCCATTACGACGTTATCGGTAGTCATTGTTGCGCCCTTCCCGCGTGCCACGCATGTACAGTACAGTACGTATCGCGCTAGACTATCTGGGATGGACAGGGGTACAGTATTACGTGGGATTTGGGGTTTTGGAGACTTGATCAAAGTACGGGATACGGAAAGCCTCAACTCAACATCTTGTTAGATTCACTCACTAATGTGCATTATTTTTCTGACAGACTTGCAATGTGCCAGACTTCTAGAAAGCAATACAACAGGTATGTTGCACGAGCGAGCTACGAAAAGAAAGAGAAGCACAGGCACTTACACCAGACCTTCAATTTTAAGAGGATGTCAACCGTGTCTCTGTTGACGAGGGAAACCGCAACATGTAAACCCCTTGGGATCACTATAAGCAACTAGAAAAGTCAGGTTCTTCGTTAAATTTTAGACGGTATCTGGTACTCAAAGCCAAGGTCTTGGAGAGACTTGGCTGTGCAGCCCTCCTTTTCAAACTTCAGCTTCGCTTCGAAATACACCCGTCTCTCCCATATCAACTCCGCGTCCCAATACGGCGGCTCCTTTCCCGCAGTACCTGACCACGCAATCCAGTCGTGGACCGAGTTGATGTATTCCGCATCGGCGCCTTTGGGCCAGACGTGGAACGACGGGCCTTTCCTCTTAGCCTCCTCGTCTTCCCACTTCCTCATCTCCGCTGCAGGCGGCAGTGGTAATAGGTTTGCCCAGGTCCGCGAGAAGATAGCAGCTTGGCTCTCGGCGAGGGGAAACGGCACCACCTTGATGGGTAGGCCCGGGAAGACCAGAGTCGGGTGGTCTATGTGGAACAGGTGCTTGTATAGCCCGTGAACTCGTCGCCCGTTCGTGATCAGGGGCGGTTTCAGTGATGGGAGGAAGGGGAAGGCAAAGAGGTAGCCGGTAGCAAAGACAACGGCGTCAATGTCCTTCTCCACTCTGCCATTCTTGAACCTGATGCCTCTCTCGCCAACGAGGAACTCTTCAATGACGGGAACCTCTTCCGCGCCGACATGAGCTAGGTTAGCTGGCGGTGTCGCCGTCTGGACTGACAGCAGCAGCGGCTTCGCGCAGACGCGGCAGATCTGGGCGGCAATATCGAGCCCAGACGCGGCATTGCCAACGACGACGACTTTCTTGTTGCGGAAGGGCTTGGGGTTCCGGTACAGCTTGGAGTGCGATATCACCCCCGGCCACGCCTTGTAGAACTCGGAGATGCCCTTGATCTCAGGCACGTGGGTGATAGAGTAGTGGCCAGAAGCAACGACTACGGCATCATAGGTTTCCGTGGCCGTCTCGCCGCTGCCCAGAGACAGCGTGTGAACAAGCCACCGATCCCTCCCGTCCTCTCCCCGGCGCAAGCGCACGTCTTGGACCTGGGTGGAGAACCTGATGAGATGTCGGATATCCTTGGCATATGTAACGAGATAGTGTTGGACTATGTCCCGGGAAGGGAATATGAGAGAGTCCCCTGGGAAGGCGAGGTCCGAATATCTCATTAGTGCGCGCGGGATGTTTGTGTGCAAGACATCGTACATCGGGGAGGGGAATACTGGGGCTGCTGTCGCCTGTGATGACTGGAGAGGCGGGTCGGGTGGAGTCGAGGCGCTCGCTTGAGGCACGTGCAGTGTCTGTGAGGCTCGAGGGCTGTAGTTCCAGACACCGCCCACCTCAGCCTGCTGCTCCAAGACGACGATGCTCGCAAACGCCTTCTGAGCTGTCAAGTACTTGGCAGCCGCAAGGCCACAGGGTCCGGCCCCGATAATTGCGATCCTCTTCACGTCAAACATCTGGTTTCTTTGAGAGCTCCTTTCTAAAAAATAAATAAATAAATAAAAGTAAAAAAAAAAAAAAAAAAAAGTAAAAAGAAAGAAGAAAAAAGCAAAAGAAAACACTCCAAGGTAAAACAGCAGTCGCTACGGATACGGTATTAAATCAGCGAGGCAGTAGCACTGTAGAACTGGAAGGTGTTCGCAGTGGCCAAGCCGCCAATGTGGCATTACTAGAACCAAGAACAGATGCTTCATTAAGTCGGAAATCTTGCCCGACTTTACCGCCTTCTATTTAAGGAGAGGAGATGACTTTCCAGCCCTCGAGGTCGTCCCACCCGCTGCACCTCAGCACCTGCACGCACCTGCTTCGGCCCACTGCACGCACTTGCTTCGGCCCACTGCACGCACCTGCTTCAGCCCACTGCACACACCTTCCGTCATCTGGGGAAGCTTCTCAGCGAAAGGCCCCTCGCCAAGCCCGGGCAACTTCATCACCGCATCCCGCTTTTAAAGTTACCTGGGTCGTCTTGCAAATCATTGCGCCGCGAAGACTATGGCTAGCAAGATTATCCCGCGCTGAGTTACGCTGCGTACGATCCGTCCTTGTCATACCACCGTGTTCAACTCAACAGTTTAGACGATGTCATCGGCCGACCAGGTTGGCGCGCTGCTCGCGTCCCGAATGCCGACGCCCATTGCACAGCTCAACCCTGATTTTCCCGACCAAGCTTCCTGCGTTGTTCGCGGCGAGGTAACCATCACGTGGCCCTATAGCATTGTCAATCGCACCTTTGCCTTTCTCCTCGCCGAGCCCGACGTACTGCTGCGTCGCGTCAGGGGTCAAGTGCGCATCGAGCTTCATGGATCCAGCGCGAAAGCCGTGGCCGACTGTGGCCTTGGAGGCGGGGACGAAGTCTACATCGGTCTCGACGGCGTGCGTTGGGCCAAAGACGATTCGCCAGGCCGCATCCCAGGAGCGCGGCTAGATTGGCAATTGCAGTTTGACGAGAAACTGGCTCTCAAGGTCAGGGCTACCCACAGCTTTAGGCCTCGGGATAATACGCTGACGAACGATTAGGTTAATTTTCTTGAGTCCGGAGAGCAGAAATGCATCAGCATAGATCACCCACAGCCCGAGGTGCCGAAGGAGATAGTGGCCGAACCCCAGCTCGTCTCTGTTGAGTCAAAAGAGCAAACCCCCGCGAAGACGCCTGCCGTCCGCAGAATCGCCGACTTCGAAGCAGACGAATACCCCTCGCCAGCATTCTTGAAGAGGGCCAGAATCTCATATGGAGTGCTATTCGAAGACGGTCTGGACATCTTTGACGAGGACGGTGGGGTCAAGGGTAGGGGCAGAAAGCGAACCCGATTCGGACGCGACAGCAGCGCGTGGAGATATACCAGCCAGTCGCCAAGTCCTGAGCCAAGCGCTAGGGATACGATGGAGGAAGACTCGGTTGAAGAAATATCGCTTCAACCATCGTCAAAGCCGCGGATGGCAGACGAGTGCGTCCAGACGCTGGACATTGTAGCGCCCGAGACGTGGGGAGTTGAAGCGACAGAGACAGGGCCCACTCCTGTACCAGCCACTGCATCCATATCGCCAGATACATCTATGTTAGATGCTCCTGCTGAGGCCGTACTTCCTTCCGCCATAGCTCCTCCGTCGGCGACTTCCCCAAGGGCGACTCCGGCGATATCTGCTCCGGCGTCATCCCCACCTATGTCGCATATCCCAGCAACGGACTCCGAAGTGCCATCCCCCCCGGTCGTGGTCTCATCGCCTCAGCAAGAGCCAGACAAGATACCAGAGGAGCAGGCGCAAAAGCAGCCTACCGCTCTAATGAGCGACGATACGGATGCTAAAGCAGACGCCAACGCAGACGTTGATATGGACCCAGAAGTTCCACAGCCAACGGCTCGTCCAACCAGCAGCGTAGCGGAAATTCCCACCAGCCTGTTTGGAGTCTCAGCGCCTACGAAGTCGACTTTCTCAATGTTCGGCACCAAGAGCCATTCGCGAGGAGATTCCAATGTCAGCCTAGCTGATCAAGTCAGATTTGGGTTTTCGCATATTCCAACTGTTCAGCCCCGAGCTGCTACAGATCATCCCATTCCTATTCATTCAGATTCCAACAATGGAGAGCCTGAAGCCTATCCAGAGTCCTTCCTCGATGCACCGTCTGGTCCGGTAGAATTTGCCGACATGACGTCCTATCTAAACGAAGCAGAAGCACATTTGGAAATTGAACCCATTCGGAGTCACGATATTGCTCCAGAACCTCACATGTTGGAACACTTTGACCACTGGAATGCGGCAATACACGCTCCCAACTACAGTGTGGTTGAGGTAGGTCACTTCGGGACGGATGCTTTGGATGAAGGATCAAGAACTGCCCTTGGAGAGCCCTCGCTTGGGTCGGATAGCATTAAACCAACAGGTATACCAGAAGGTTTTGCCAGCTACGGAGTACAAGATGGTGCCGTCATCGCGACCGAGAATGAGCCTGAGAAGCCCCAACCCTCACCACTGCCAAAGAAAAGCTATCTGCCAGAAAATGACTTTGCCAAGGACGGTCAAGTCCAAACTGCGTCGGATGATGAAGTTGACTACAACGATGAAGACGCCGAGTACGACGAACGTGGGGCAGAAATTGAGGAGGGCGACTATGATCAACGCAACTACAATGTGCCGGCAGACGACGATGAGGGCGTTTCAGACGAGGATAACGAGATCAATCAAGAGATTAAGGAGCGTTATGGCCAGGAAGACATATATGATGAGGATGAGGAGGACGAAGAGGAAGAAGGTGAAAGTGAAGGGTACGACGAAAGTGACGAAGATCAGTATCACTCGGAGCCTCCTCGAAACCAAGCTGCCACATCAACACAGAAGAAACCAATTGTTATTAGCTTACTTTCGGATTCGGAGGATGATGATGAGCCACCGCCGAAACCAAGTAATCCGGCAGCGGCGTCCAACTCCACTCCTCGACAGCCACCCGCTCCCGTGGAGGGATCAAACCACAAGTGCTCAGCGGATGTGTCATATCCGGTACTTCCTGCTGTCGAGTTCGAGAATAGTAAGGAGGTTGATCGTGCTCCGAACGGAACCAATGCTCTTGGTTTCGATACAGTATCGAAAAGAGACCGACGAGAAGCAGTTGATTCAGGCGCGGAAGGAAGTGATAGCGAAGAGGGAGTTTCACCGTCCAAACAATGGTCTCCTTACCAGCGCGATATTGGCAACTTCCAGGATTCTAGGCGGACCGCCGAAGAAGATGCCGAGTTTGACGACGATAATAGTGTTGAAGGTTCTTTGAGCGAGGATGACCTCTTTGTTCGGCAATCTAAATCTCCTGATGCCAACGACAGCGATTCTTGGAGCGAGGAAGAACAAGTGGAGCAATCTCGGGCTCAAGATGTCGACGAGGATGATGACATGGACGATGAAGAAAGCGTTGTCTCGGACGAAGACGGCAATGTCTTTGCAGAAGCTGCCGAAGTCCCCGTTGACCCCGCGCTAGAAGAAGGCTACAGCAATCATGGCTTTGGCGACAACGACACAATGGACGTTGATGAGGTCGAAGCTGAGGCAGAGGCTAAAGTGGAAGCCGACGTCCAAGAGGTCCAGCACCAAGCTAAAGCCGAAGCAGAGGCAGAAGCCCTAGCCCAGACGGAGGTTGAATCGGAAGCCGACGTCCAAGCCAAAGCCCAAGCCCAAGCTGAAGTAGAGGCAGAAGCTCAAGCCCAGACGGAAGCGGAAGCGGAAGCCGACGTTCAATCCCAAGCTCAAGCTGAGGCTGAGGCTGAGGCTGAACTCCAAGCTCGGGCTGCAGTAGAGGCCGAAGCAAAGGCCAAAGCCCAAGCCCAGGCAGATGCTGAAGCGAAAGCAGAGGCAGAAGTCCAAACCCAGGCAGAGGCGGAAGCGGAAGCGGAAGCGGAAGTGCAACTCCAAGCCCAAACCCAAGCACTAGCCGAAGCTGAAGCTCAGGCGCAGGCAAAGGCAGAAGCAGAAGCTAAAGTAGAATTCGAAACCCAAGCTGAAGCTGAAGCAGAAGCAAAGGCTAACGCAGAGGCCGAAGCCGAAATGGTTGATGAGGATGATGTGTCAATGGTTCAGGCCAGAACTTCTGAGAATGGCCACGCTGGCAACGGATTCATGGAAGTGGATGATTCCTCTTTCTTAAGTCAGGTCGATGACGAGTTGACCCAGGCGCCAATAGATACCGACGAAGATGACACGACAAGCGAACCTGACGTCCCATTGGAACATGGAAACGGCCCCGAAACGTCTCAGGCAAATTCGACTGATGAGGCGGAGGATACTCGTGATGCCGAAGCTGAAATGCTTGATGCGCCTCCGGCCGCTTCCGGGACTAGCGATGCCTCGCCATCTATTGCCAGGGCAAATTCCGAAGAACGCCAGCCTTTGCGGAGTCCTGGCTTGGTGGATGTCGACAAGGGAGCGCGAGACATCTCTGATCATTTGTCTGTTGGAGATGACACGTCCATGGTCCCCGAAGATGCCCCGGAAGTGGGAGAGGGATTACCAGGACGTGAAGAGGGACAGACCGACGATCTTCGACCGCAACACAGCAGCCCAGAAACCTCGAGACCCTCTCAGCCAGTAGGCCAGGACGTTTCTGATCAGCATGACAAGTCCTCCGCAATTGCGCCATCTTCTCCATTATCTATTCAAGCTTCAGAGGATGATGTTCTTGCAGCATCATCTCCACCTGTATCTCGCCCGACTTCGAAGGATGACAATCGAATGCATCAACTGTTAACTCCGATGCAAAGCCAGTTGCCTGGCACGATGGTGTTTCAGTCAGAGGTTATCGTCGAGGAGAAGATTGAGATAGAAATTATGAACTCAGAGGGGTCTTTGAGCACCGATCAAGCCCCCCCCCCACTGCAGAGGCTAGCCATGATGCCTACATACTCACGCCGAGCGTACCGGAGGAGCACGATGGCAGCCCTACCGACCAGCTAGTTGCAGACGCGAAAGCTAGTGTTCCAGAATGGAAGCCAGAGCAAGAGGACGCGGATGAGCAAACCGAAAAGGGCGAGTCCGGCAAACCTTTCCACGGTACTTACCTGCCAAGTTTTGTTGACACTCCTGAAAGTCCAGCAAAACAAATCGATACGGTAGACGATGTAGACACTCCTGAATTATCAAGGATGGCCGTGGACAGAAAGTCCCGCTCAGAAGCTCATGTTGTTGGGTCAGATACTCCCGAGGACCAGGATATTGAAGATGAACAACTCGTCCTGGCAGGTGAAGGAAGCGCACGGGAATATCCGGAGCCATCTCTCTTACAGGAGCCAGGAGCCTCTTCAAAAGATCCCGTCGAGGAGGAGATCACGGTGAAGACGAGGTCCCGCCAGCGCCGGGAGCCATCTCATGGCGCGGATGCTAACGCGGGGCCAGATGCGGCCCATGTAGACCTCAGTGTCTACTTAGCTAGGCAGGCCGTGAGGCCAAGACCATCCAGATCTAAGAAAACCTCTGATGCTCAACCTCTACGGACCAGCCCTAGAGCCCCGCGAACACGATCAAGCAGCTTGCAAATGAGCGCTACTCCTGAGCTGGATGAAGATACAAGCGTTGGCCTTGCAAAGGCCGCCTTAGCTTCCCCGTCAAAGGCGGGTTCGGACTCGGCCACCAGATGCGCAGCTCTCAAGACTCAGCTCACAAAAGACCTACGAAAGAGTCTTCCCGAGTGTGCGCCGCTCAAAACGCTTCGCAACCATATCGACAAATTTCCGAATGTGATTGCCATTGTTACAACACAGCCGCCTAAGCCAACAAGGGCCAAAGGAGGCCCGCGTGAATACATGATGTCATTCCATATCACGGACCAGTCCATCGGCCCGACACAGGTTGCAGAAGTGCAGCTCTACCGACCGCACAAAGAGTCGCTCCCGGTTGTCAAGCCAGGCGATGCCATCTTACTGCAGCGCTTCCAGGTGAAGTCAATAAGCAACAAAGGGGTGGGCCTGCGCACGGCAAGCGAGTCGGCCTGGGCCGTGTTCGACTCGGACGGCGGTGCGCCGCAGATCAAGGGGCCGCCCGTGGAGGACGCCGCCAACTACAGCGACCACATGACTCTCTTGCGAGCTTGGTACCGGTCCCTGGATAGTGTGGCGAAAGGCAAGCTGGACAAGGCGAACAAGAAATTCGAGGACTTGAATCACGCCAATTAGGGACCAGCACGTGTAAAATAACGTCTGCGAAGTGGAATGATTCCGTCTTCGCTGTATTTATCGAATTATGTTTAGTTTGAGATAGTTTTCCTTCCCCTGAGTTGAGACTGAATGGTTGGAGCGGCGTTTGTGGGCACGATAGTCTGGGACAGGAACATGGGGGGTGGGATTGTTGGGACGCGGCATACTACGTACTTCAGTAGGGGCCTTACAGCATGGGTCCGTAATAGAAACTGAGATCTCACGATCAGAAGGGCGTTTTGCTACTCGGTGTGGGGCTATATCCGTGTCTGCGGTTGTTTCCTTTTGCAGGTGACCGATGCCCGAACCGCAAAGTCGGGGACCGAGGTACATACGATGCTTTCTTTCTCGCTCTGTTAGCCGATGTCTTTCGGCCTTAGTAAAAGCTGTAGGTCTGTATCCGTATTTAGCATGAGGTAGGCAGGCACTTGCATGGCCTAGGCCCGCGAGGATTCCCCCCGCATTTTCTCTACAACATTCGTCTGCATGTGCTACTGTGCTCTGTGGATGTGTTGTTGTCCAGAGACTGCCGAAACTAAAATCACATGGAGGCGGAGTCACCTCAAGTCGATGACGACCGACCGACCGACCGAGCTGGGCTTCTCCGCAACGCAACGTGAACTCCATCCATCTCCCCGCGTCGCTAATGTTTGAGTACATGCCATCGGGTCAATACCTATGTACCTAAGGGTATATCTAGTCTAGTCCAGTTCAATGAAGATGATGGCCGAAAAGAGGACTGGTTAATCTACATAATGGGATACGATATATCCCGAGACGTGGAACTACGGAGGCACCCGAGTAAGGTAAGGAAGGTAGCTAAGGTAAAAGACAAGCTTTCCTCACACCCCCCTTTCCCTTTTCCACCCGTGATATGTAATAAGATGAGTGGGGGAGGAAGTTTAAAGAGAGAGCAGGCTGGTCGACTCCACGTGAAAACTGCCCGCTGCTGTGTGTGGAGAGTTGCCGTCTCTCCTGAATATCGTCATCTTGTTATCATAGTATGTGTTTATATGTGTTTTGTTCTCTTTCGTCTGATCTAGGAGTGAATTCTACAGTTAGATTTACCACCAAAGCGAAGTTTGTGTACATATGTGTATGTGTGAATAGGGCCTGTAGCGTCGCTGGGTATCTTGCATGTCTTTATCTCTAGAAAAAAGTTGCCTATAGTAAATGACTTTTTTTGCTTTCTCTCTCGCCTCGTCGATTGGGGGAGATTGCCTACCTAACTACCGACCTAACTAGGCACCTACTTGCCTTGCAATCGTTTGTTGACGAACCGTTAATTCCCACCTTATTACCTGCCTGACCATTCACAAGCTGTGCTGTATTGGGGCCGGTAACCCGACAAGCAGGCATGCATACGCCCAGTTCAAGCCAAGTCAGTCTTACTTGTTGTCCTCGTGATCGTATGCCATGATGATGACGACGACGGAACTGGGATGATGCTCCATGGTGCTCTAGCTTTTCTGTCTGCCCCATAATATCCGTCCAGGCATACCTACATATGTAGGCAGGCCGGCGAGCTACCGCGGCCAATAAAGGCGGCGACAACGCGTGAAGTGAGGTGTGAGAGCGGTGACTATTACCGGCCAGACTACCGGCTAGCATACATACCTCGCCTACCTTCCCGTCGACGCTTGCCTTGCCTGGCCTTGCCTTGCCGGTTTTCCCTGTTTCCCCAGAAGAAGATCTGGGGGGTGAGGTTTGTGGGAAAATATATCTCCCCCCAGCAAGGCCGGGGAAAACGCCACACCGTTTTTGTTTGTTTTTGGGCGGGGGGCGGTGAAGGCCTGTTTCTTGTTTTCGTTGGGATTCGCCTTTTCCTTCTTACCCCATGCCCATGTCCATGCATTACCCACACACATGTCCCCGGGCCCGTGGGTCGTCGGGCTGGAATATCCAAGCAAACAGTTGCCGGTGCTGCTGCCACATGTCGTCGAATGCGGGGGCTCCAAGGGTGGGAAAGGAAAGGGAAAGTGATCACGAGAGCCGCAAAAATAAAATAAGAAAAAGGAAGCAAACAAGCAAACCCCGGGAAGCTGTTAGATAAAAATGGAACAATAATAAAATAATAAATAGCAAGAGGGAGAAAAGCAGGGAGAGGCGTCAGGCTAATCCTCGATTCGATCACAACGAACAAGGACAATGTAGCTTTCTGTGTGCTCCTCAGGGAAAGTATTTTGCACTGTTGATCGGTCCATCATGTTGGTGATTTTCGAGCTTCCTCCCACCTTGTACCTACTTACGGATAGGCTGCTCGGCATGGGGATCCCGTAGCCGGAGTTGGAACCCTAAGGAAAGCAGCCAGGTGAGGGTGCAAAGGCAGCCGGACCTGCGTTCGGCGCTCTAATCGTGTTATCCCGGGATTCATGTGGGGCCATTCTTGTTCGGCAGCCGGGGTGTGCTTCGGTCCGTCTGGCAATCAAGTACGCACGCAGTAAGGTAGCCAAGCGATTTTGGCTAATTCGGGAAGTGGCCGCCGCCCGTCTGTCTGTCTGCCTGGGGACAGGAATCGGGACACGACGAATAAACGAGCCGCAAGGCACAAGCAAAAGCACGAGCAAGCTTTGATTTACCGAAAAGAAATCAAGGAAATCAAGAGCAGAGCTTGTGGGCTCTGTCGTGCAAGCACATAGAAGCCCGCCAGGAAGACAGCTGATCGCCGAGGTTCAATGCAACCTCCTCCATTGCCTTTGGGGAAGCGGGAGACGAGTGAGAACTTTCCTTTCCATGGGAGTTTCTGGGGCCGCAGGCGGGAGAGGCGAAGATCAGACAATCTGTCGGACGAATCGAAGAAGGAAAAAAGAGGCAAAGCTCCAAGACCGACACACACCCTTCGGGCATGCATGGATCGGTAGCTAGGTCTTAGATCGCGAGCTTGCCTGGGTTCCCATTCGACATGATTTCTTGGTTGTAGCTAGAGGTAGGTAAGGTAGTCACCCCGAACGGGAGACCACTCAACGTCGACGGCTTGTCGCTAACAAGAGACGCAATATTACCAACCCCCCCTTCGAAACAAGTCGCGCGTCGAGCGCAGAGGCGTTTTCGGCATTCCCGCCCAAGAGGTTGTCGCCTACCCAGCTGGAGAGTTGTTTTGGCGGGCAAAGAGCGATATAACCTCTTGAGGACAGCTCTTTTAAATCCCTCCCGCCACCAACCCAGCTAATAAACCACTAACATGCAACGATAACATATGGCTTACTAGGTATCTCGTCCCATCTTTTTGCTGCGCGCATACTAGAGCGTAGGTTATTCCGAGATGTTAGCTTGCTCTCTCGTCCGTCCAGCTTGTCTAATGGCGGGCGAGCAGCAAGCATCGTCTCCGTCTGCAGGATAACCTTGGGTCTGGAAAGTTTCGTATGTTTGAGGATGGTGGAGGCAGCTGCTGGTGGCAGCGGCACATCAGACGCGGAAGTCCCCCGTTTCAACGGACTTCAAGCTGCCTTGGGTACGAAGGAACAGTCCAAATACGTATGCGTTCTCCGTATTGTACATACGGCCAGCACATTACGCGCTGCCACAGTGCCACACTCAGCGCCACTGCCACTCTGACTGCGTTTACCGGGACTCGGGACTCGGGAGTCGTCACTCATCAACGATCCCGTGGAAAGTCGGCTTCTTTTCAATCAAGTCCCAATTTCCCTAAATTGTGTCGGAATTCACCAGAAGCGGCAAGCCCCCGTGTTTGCCAGCATCGACTGATGAGACTCTACTGAGTACACAGTACGTACTCCGATCCAAATCAAGACACCTCGACGTTTGTCGTTGTGGTCTTGCAGAAGGCGTCGCATCCATGTCATATCTCGGGTGAAGTCGGGGAAGAGATTTTCTGAAATCCATGCACCTGCCGTTAGCTTTCCCCGGGCCCACTTCCCCTGAAGTCCCGCCATTTTAGCGAGCGCATGGCTAGGTGCTCGTCCGTGGTGCAAGACCGCTCCGCTAAGGGGACGCAGCTCGCCCCTCTTACCGGATTTAGAACTCAAGCTTTGGCTTCCTCTTGGTCCTTGGTTGCTTCCATACGCAATGTACGAAGTTGCAAGTACCAGTACATTGAACGAGCGTCGAGACCCGGGAGAGGCCAGAGATGGATGCGGCCTTATCTTTGTCGTCCTCTTACGTGCTTGTCCTTTACGAATTGGGGGGTAGAGACGAGACAAATCGAAACGAGATACTGCTAGTAGTATGCACACGCTCCTTGAGATAGTGATTTAAAGGAATGGGTGGCGAAAGCGCGGCGTTTGTGGGTGTGTGGCTGCTCCTGAGGCTGAGAATGAGCGCGCATCCAATGCCAGCGCTGGTCTGAGACGAAAAGGGCACACATCATCCCTTGGGCGGGACGGGCGGCACTGGGCAGGGCATTGGATATCACGCCGACTGTCGTGTCTTTTCCGTGGCTTGTTGCCGTCCGCTCCACAGTCAGATTTGCTCCGCAATGAAGGGAGCTGTATCCGTAGTTTCATTGTCACAGCGGCTCTCAGATGCCTGACACGTACACGTAGTCGGCCGCTGGTGGGTGTTGTGTCCTTGCTTTGCTTTGGCCCTTTCATGATTGCTTGTTGCAAGACGGAGCCGGCCTGCGGGCGACCGACCGACCCCCAACTGTCCCCCATCCGTCGGATCGGGACGAGCCTCCTAGCCCAAAGAGGGAATTTGAGGCGGGCAGCTGGGCCTCTCATTGGAAGGCCCTGCCAAGGCGTCCCATGTCTCAATTCGATGGCGTTCGTTCGGGTCCCACTCCCATGTGTTCGCTGCTCTGCAGACTGCGACCCTGCCACTCTTGGATAGTGGTCGACGAGTCATTGAATCACGGAAAAATATTGCAGTCGCCAGAGCAATAACCAGACAAGACGGCAAGAAGCGAATTGCTCGGTCGCCTCGTTGGTGACTGGTCCGTGGACCTCCGCTCTCGCTGTGCTTGCTGCGCGCGCGTGCAGGTCTCGGCGAGGAATGAGACTGGGCCTTCCGGGATTTTCATTACTTCTTGCTGCACGTCAGTAAATATAGTTTAGCAGGTAACTTGGCTGCCTTCACACGGTGCAGCAGTACCTCCGTACATGGGGATCTGACACACGGCCCCGACGCCGCACAAGCTCACTCACTGGAGTGTGACGTTTCCCGAACGGCACAGGCCAACAGGCAGACCGCCCAACAAAAAAAGGAAGACCAGAAGAACGCAAGAAGAACACTAGAGCAGGGGGCTTCATCGGGAATCGGCACTCGGGGGGATCATCAGCGAGAACGGAAGGGACAAACGGCCAGACAACCAGAATGTCCAGCTACAAGTCCACTTTCTTCCAGGTCGGTCTTACCCAGAGTGCGCCTTCCCGCTCGCGGAATTGAGTCACTCAGAATGGCAATTGCTCAACAACTCCTTCCAAGTTTATCTCTCGCTCTCTTTATTAAGTTAACGAGTGTGTGTGCGTGTTTGTGTGTCTGAAAACGCTCGCCCCGACTTATTCCACTTCCTTCCCGCCCTTCCTTGTTGGCTCGTTTACCATCAGCCTGCGCCTAAAGCTTGGTTGTTGGTTTCGTACCGGTACTTGCGTACTGTACATACCCGCACCGAGAGATATTGGACCCAGAGTCTTTTCTTTAACCCCTCCCCCCCAATCGCCGTCCCCAGCCCAGTTCGAGGGCTACGGCGGCGGCGGCGGCCCTTGAAACGCGCACCGAAACCGCGCGACAGGCCTTTGTCACAGTTTTCCAGCGGCGTCTTGTAATCTCGCGTCGCATGGGTAAAAGTCTGGCAGCTTGGGCGGCTCTCGCCTCTCGCAGAGCAGCAGCAAGAGCAGGAGCATCCAGCTCTCAGAACCAGAGAGGGTTATTAAGTCGGGTGGCCCTCGCTAACAGACATGTTGGCCGAACGATCCACTTGTCGTTGCTCTTGACGAAAGCTCTGGTGGCCCAACGTGCGACTTGTTCCAATCCCAATTATATCCCCGCGACCACTACTGCTCGGAATACTGCTAGGTCTACTGCCGCAGACGCCGCAGCAGCTGGACATACTGCTCATTTTGGCCTTGGTCGTAATCCTAATCATACTGCCACTAAGCCGGCGGCGGGCATCCAGTACCTGGTCCAACAGTGGCACGACCACCTCGTCCCGTGGATTGACAACCTCCTCGTCTCCTCCCTCTCTCTCTTTTCCCTCTTCTCCCTCTCGCCATTCACACATGCCATGGCGTCGTATCCCTACAGCATATCATCTTCCGGCTCAGACTTTTCCACTCCTCGGTCGACCTCTCCCTCGTCTGTAATCGGCTCAGCTCGCTCATCGCAGTCGTCTATATCTAGCAGCAAGCGCATGTCCATATCGTCGTCGCGGCGCATCTCTAGCTCAAACCCTATGTCTTCGGTCGACATTGCCACTATCGAGGAGGCCATGAGAATGGCAAACCTTGATGTTCTGCGGGGCTATGCCCAAAACCACTACGGCGAGGTCCAACAGTATGCCACCACCGAGTACGTCAAGCAGAACCAGGCCCTGGGCTACCAAGTCCTCAACGAGCCGCTCTGGAATAAGGGTAAATAGTCTCTCAACTTGTCTCCCGCTGTCTCCCATGGCTGTCGTCCGTCGTGCACTCGCGCGTCTAGCCTCTGCAGGTGCCCCCACACGTTGTCGCCAGCGTGAAGCTTGATCTGCGTCATCAGCCCATGGTCTCTCACTTGGGATATTCCGTGGACCCCGGATACTTCACCCTCGCTCCTCCCCTCCCTCCCCCTAAGAGCCCCCCCTCCAACACATCGTCAGCTTTGCCTCGCCTCAACCAACCTTTCGACGCTCTGCCCACCGTTCTGCTTGCTGCCATGGCCTCCACTAACAAGATCCATGTAGGCTTATCCTTCAGCCCTGAACAGCGTGTGTCCAAGAACCTCACGGGGCTCCTGCCGCATGTCATGGAAGGCGCCGACAAGCAGTGCGAGCGCGCGCTCAAGATGATCCGGTCGCGCCAGACCAGCATTGACAAGTATCTGTACCTGTCGACCATCAAGGGCCAGAATGTCGACCTCTTCTATCGCCTGCTCATCGACAACGCCAAGGAGATGATGCCGTTGGTCTACACACCGACCATCGGCGATGTGTGCTTGCAGTATTCGACTATCTACACACGCCCTGAGGCGCTGTACATCTCCATTAAGCAACGGAAGTCGATTCGCACCATCCTCAGGAACTGGCCCCATCCTAACCCGGAAATCTGTGTCGTGACGGACGGCTCCCGTATCCTCGGCTTGGGTGACCTCGGCGTCAACGGCGTCGGTATTCCGGTGAGTTTTGTTTACACCTGTTTGCGGACCTCCTGCTCCTCAGTTCGGCACTCGGCAGTGCCAGTGCCGGTATTGGGATGCGGGCCCGCCCCCGCTTCGTGGGCTCCATGCAGCGGAGCGCATTGCATCGCAGCAGACAGCCGGCTAATTGACGTGCGTTAGATCGGCAAGCTAGCCCTCTACACGGCCGCCGCCGGTATCCACCCTGAGAAGACGCTGCCCATCGTGCTCGACTGCGGCACGGCCAACGAGACAAACCTCAAGGACCCGCTGTACCTTGGCCTGCGCTCCAAGCGCATTCCCGTCTCGGAGCAGCAGGACTTCATGGACGAGTTCATGCAGGCTGCTGCCGATGTCTACCCCAACATGGTGGTGCAGTTCGAGGATTTCGAGAGTGAAAAGGCCTTCAACTATCTCGATCGCTATCGGAATAGCTACAAGTGCTTCAACGACGACATCCAGGGAACTGGTGCCGTGGTTCTGGGAGGGTAAGTCCAGAAGGCCCCAGAAAGCCCACTGTTATCAGCCCCGCTTCACGTGACCCTCCGACTGACTCGATGTGAACTAGGTATATTGGCGCCGTCAACCTGTCGGGTGTTCCCATTGAGGAGCAGCGCCTCGTGTTTATGGGTGCTGGCTCCGCTGGTGTCGGTGTTGCCAAGCAGTTGGTCGAGTACTACACCAAGCGCGGGCTCTCAGAGCAGGCCGCCAAGGAGAAGTTCTGGCTGGTGGATACCAAGGGCCTCGTGACCAAGGACCGCGGCGACAAGCTCGCAGAACACAAGAAGTACTTTGCCCGTGTTGACAATAATGGCCACCAGTTCCGCACGCTGGAGGAGGTCATCGAATATGTTAAGCCGTCTGCACTGGTTGGCTTGACGGCTACCTTTGGTGTCTTTACCGAGTCTGTTGTCCGCGCCCTCAAGGCCTCGGTCGACGCCGGTGGTCTTGGCCGGAGGCCCATCCTCTTCCCCCTAAGTAACCCGCTCACCAAGGCGGAATGCACCTTTGAGCAGGCCGTCACCTGGACAGATGGAACTGTCATCTTCGCCTCTGGTTCTCCCTTCTCAAACTTTACCATCAAGACCGGCGACACCGGTATCACATACTATCCCAACCAGGGTAATAATGTCTATGTGTTCCCCGGTATTGGCCTCGGAGCTATCCTGGCCAAGGCCAGCCGTGTCACAGACAACATGATCTACACCTCTGCCGCCGCGCTGGCTGGTTCTCTCAACGCCGAGGAAATCCACAAGGGTCTCATCTACCCTCGGATTGAGCGCGTGCGCGAGGCGAATATCATTGTGGCTCGCGAGGTCATGAAGGCCGCCCGCCGCGACGGCGTCAGCACCCTGCCCGAGGCGCAGTGGGTCGAGTGGGAAGAGTGGGGTGACCCGGCTCTGACCAAGTTCATTAAGGAGCGCGTCTACGATCCCATCTTTTAAACGATAGAGTCGAATGATGCCCCCTTGGTTGAGACGAGGATGGAGACATTGGGGCAGAAAGCACTATAACACGTGCTTCTTGCATGTTGTACGTTTCTTACTCACCTTTCTTTCCCTGCGAATCCGGTGCATTTCCAATTCTTGACTGTCTTCAGGATACAAAGCACCCCCTTCCATGTTTCCTTTTCATCCTTTCCTATTCTAATGATTCCCCCAAAGACTTGATCAACCCTTTACTCTTGTATCGGAGGTTCTTGATTGTCTTTCGCTGTCGTTGTCATTCCTGTTGATAGGTACATGCTTTTGCATAGCGTTTGGATACACAGACAAACGCCCCCACATCATTATATACCGTTCCAAATTTAAGAGGTAGAAAGAAGGGATTCATATATAAAGATGTAGCTGGCTGGCTAGCTGGCTGCGAGGAAAATAACGGGTTTGGCGATATATATTGCTGGGTAGACCATGAGCTCTGTTCAAAATAACACTCGCGCTGTAAGGCGTATCGTCTTTTCATCCTGACAACCGCTATCTAATTCACGCTTCCCGTCCCGTGATACGTACCTGAAGTAGTGGCTGGACAGGATACCTTAGGTAGGTAGCGGCGCATTTGTGTTACCTGCCTGACAAGAGACCATCTGGTGTCAAGCATTGTACAAGCCATAAATTCCCAATGTTAACAACCAACGCTGGCTCTTTTCATCTCTTCATCTTTTGATAGAAAAAGGAAAACCATTTCATCTCTTACAAAGAAGGATTAGTGTGGGCGCCATATTTACCCATGGACATCACTCGTCTAGAAGTGTCTAGCTAGCTAAGGAAGCAAAATACCAAGACTGTCTCTGTCAAAGACATAGAATACTCCGTACATGATGACTATACACCAGCCATACAATGGGGAACGAAAGCCATAACCCGCCCCAATCTTTCCTAACATCAGACATGCCATCATGATGAAATGAGGTAGAGCTGAACATTCGGAAGCCAGCCAGCCAGAATGCAAATGTGCATACTAATAGAAAATGAGAGAAAAGAAAAAAGAAAAAAAAAATTAAGCCACCAGGTGCTTGATCATAAATCGATAACCGCAAAATAGAACCACAGCAAGAAAAAGCCCACAGTCAACCTCAATTAATCGTCGTCACCCTCAATCACCATGCCAACCGCAGTGGGCACGCCGACAAGAATCTTGCCCCTCGGCACTCGCACGTCCCTGACTTTCATGCAGCCAAACACATTCAGCTCGCGCAGGTTAGGGCAGCTGCGGAAGATGCTGCCGACAATAAAGTCGGTGACTTCCTCGCAGAAGCTGATCTCCAGCTTGAAGAGCTCCGGGTAGGTCTTGCCGGGGGCGAAAACGTCCTCGAAGGCCGACTCCGAAATATGGCGGCAGCCGTGCACGTTGAGGTGCCGGATGGCCCTACCCGAGTGTGCCATCAAAGCGCGGAACGCGTTGGAGCAAAAGCCGACATTGTCTGGGTTTTCGCGTGGGTGCGAGGCTTCGAGCTGGCGGCACTTTTCCAGGTCCACGAATAGCAGGCTCCTGTTGGCCCAGTTTTTGAAGAGCCGCACAAATCCCTCGTCGGTCATAACATCGCTTTCGGTGATGCGGAGCTTCCGGAGAGACCGGCAGTTGTTGTGGATAGCGTCAAGAACGGTGTTGTCGGCATCTAGCACTCGGGACAGCGAGAATGTCTCGAGTCCGGCTCCAATCTCGCTCAAAAGACTGACATAGACGTCCGAACGGACCTGATTGCGCAGGTCGAGGCTTAGATGTCGAAGAGATTTCAACTTGGCGATTTCCTTGATGCCATTGCCAGTAACTTGCTGATTGTGCGATACCTTGAGCCTCTCCAGAGAGGGGCAAGATGCCTCGAGCACTGACAGGACTTCGTCACCAAAGTGCTTGTCCGTCCAATAAACCCGAAGAGAGTAGAGGGATTTGCCCTTCTCTTCTAGGTACAGCTTCCACCTGTCCTGTGACAAGAGATTCGATCCGTGCAGATAGAGCTGCTCGAGGTCAATATTGCGGGAGGCGAGATACTCCATGACCTCATCCTTGAAGTGAATGCCGTTCCGAATTTTGAGTCTTTTCAGCGACGGTACCGTTTGGAAGATTTTGATATAATCCGTGGCACCGAGCTTCGCCCCGTCATAGATGTACACCTCCTCGGCCGATGGCTGTAGAAACAGATGAAGGGTTGTAGGATTGAGGAGGCGGTGCTTGGAGAGTTTGCGAGCAATCTTGTCGATTACCAAGGGCGGCAAGTCTCCCAAGTCTTCGGCGAGATCAATATTTTTGGCCAGAGTCTCGATGCACAGGGTCATCAGGCTTTTCGCACCCGGCCGATAGGTGCCGTCCAAGATGGTGCTCTGCATCTGCCGGCGCTTGCCCACTGGACCACCGCTCGCACGCTTGGCTTTCTTTTTTGGAGCGCCGCCCTTCTGGTCGAGTTCTTTGCCACAAGGGGTGCAAAGCAACCCACCGTCAGGTGCACCACGGGAATAAGGGGTAATGGTGAACCGCTTCCCACAGACGGCACAGTTCTCCATCTGACCGGGGAGAGGAGCCGACCGTTCCTGGAAGATAGCCAGGGCGAGATCGTCTTCATCGTCCGAGTCGTCAAGATCACGCTTCCGCTTCTGGAACTTTTTGCTGGCCTTGATCTTTTCAATGACCTTCTGTTCCTTCTTGCGCTTCTCCTCCCGGGACGTCACTTCGGTCGCCGCCCGTCCCCTAGTCCTAGTCGGGAGTGCCGGGCTTGGGGCAACAGTAACTTCCGGGGCCAGTGGGGGCGCCGAAACCTGGTCGCTCTGCTCTTCACCGGGTTCATCCTGGTTTCTTTGCGCCGCTCTTCGCCGTGCATCAGCATCTGCACGTATCTGGGCGGCGGATATATGGTGCGTCTAAGGATTGGCCAATGTTTAGCAGCCGTACGATTTACAACAGAGTAGCGAACTCTGAGCAGGTTTGTGAAATATAACATACAGCCAGGAAATCTGTAAGGGCTGATTGCCTTGATGATGATTCTATCAGCAACAAAATGCGAGGCCGTAGAGAAATAGATAGCATGAGTGGCTTGGGAAGGATAACTAACGGCCCCATAATGCGACGATTAGGCCGTCGAGACCTGCGAAAAATATTGATTAGCATTTGTCTTCCCGAGCTGTAGGCATTCTCGAGATTTCCAGAGATCATACATCTTGGCTGCGTTTAAGGAAACACAAGTCGTACAGACACTCGAATGCTTGGTTTGAGGGAACAGCAATCAAGCTTAACGACAGAGTGAGAAATTATGAAAGTTGAGGTGTTGCGAACTAGACACGGTTGATAAACGCGAGGAGGGGCAAATTCACTTTAGAACCTGGTAAGTCTTTGACGCCAAAGCACCTGACTTGTGCCAAGCCAAAGGACCTGCGCACTGCGCCCCATTGTCCCAATTTCTGCCTGACCAGGGGGTGCTAGGCAATTAATCAGCGAAAAAAGTTACCCACTCAAAGTCATGTGCCCTCGCGTTTAGCTGAACGCGCCTTCCTCCCCTCCCGTCCAGGGATAAGTTTCTTAGGAAGGTGGCGACTTGTCATTTAGGCCTACTGGCTCTTTCTCTCAGCTTCGTCTCGTCGTGCTTCGTCTTTCACCCCCCCTGCGGAGTGTTCCGAATTATCTTAAAACAAGCCCAAACAACTGGAGATTCTGGTAGTTATTGCCCAATCGTGGGACAGTCGCAAGCACCTACCTAAGCCAGGCCTTGTCAGGGATGCTTCTTTCTTAGTCTTTGTCACTCGGCAGCATTTATCATTTTCCCCATGCCCAATTTCTCCCACAACCTTCCTCATCCAATTTCCCTTTAGCTTTGCAACAATTCTCGAGGCGAAAAAATGGCTCGGACCAGAAGTTCGGGTGTGTCCGTCGGTGAAAATATTGGTTAGTATTCTACGTCATCGTCTTGTAGGCGCTTCTGACAATTCAGATGTCAAAGATAAAGCGGCTCCGCCGACGGAGGCTGTGAAGCGACCACACGGTCGGCCCAGCAAGGCGCCGATTGACAGCCCCGGGTCGTCTTCTACGCCAACGCCCACAACGGACCTATCGGGGAGTGAATATACGACGCCCCTCACTAGCAATGTGGCTACTCCTGCTCCGATAGACGCCCTACAGCAGCCTCCCTCGACGGGACGACTCAATAGGATTGAGGTACGGTTGCCTATCGTTAAGGCGTCCGCTAGGAGCCATGGAGCGCTTCGCCAGAGTATCTACTCTATGAGCTCTAAGCGTAAGAGGGTGGAAATTGATGACAGCGAGGATGACGATTCGGATTGTTCGCCTGATGCGAAGCTCGCGCGGAAACTTCAAGACGAAGAAGATAAAGAGATGCAAGCCAAGGAAACCATCAGCTCCCGTCAGACTGGATCAGGACTTCGTCGTAGCTTGCGAGGCCTTGCTTCGTCACCCGCTGTGACCCCATTTACAGTCGACGAGGAAAAAAAAGGAGAAGTATCTCTTGCGGTGCAGCCAGCTACTCGGTCCCGGGTTGGCTTGTCGAAATCTTTAAAAACTAAGGCTTTACCGATCACAACTCCGGGAAAAAAGCGGACAATCATTGCGGATTCCGATGAGGATGGCGATGTAGCTCTCTCTGAGTCACTCGAAGAGTCTGATAGCGACGATTCTCTCCAGCCACTGAGCAGACGGCGCAAGCGTCCACTCCGGCAGTCTGCTGTCAAAGCAAGACCTTTACTCGCCAACAACGAAAAAAGTACAAAAGCACAAGGCGCCGAGACCCTCTCGGAAGACGATAGTGATGTTGATCTCGCTTTCTCTGATTCTGATGATTCTGATGCACCATCTGTCGCCGAGGATGGCTCGGGCGGCAGTGGATCTGATGTCGATGCCGGAAGCGAGCTCGACGCTCATGCTGAAGCTCTTCGTACGGCCACGTCAAACAGGCGGGCGTTTAGAGGCTACCGCAGCAAGAAACGCGTTCAAAAGGATCGCGACCGTCTTGAGGGATTCCATCCAGAGCTTAAGACGATGTGGAAGGACCTTCAAGACATGCCCGTTCTCAAAGCCGGCAAAGCAGAGCAGCCGAAATCCATCTCGCGTCAGCTCAAGCCCTTCCAACTTGAGGGGCTCGCATGGATGAAGGAGATGGAGAAAATCGAGTGGAAAGGCGGCTTGCTGGGTGATGAGATGGGCCTTGGAAAGACGATCCAAGCGGTGTCCCTCATCATGTCCGATTGGCCTGCGAAGAAGCCTTCTCTGGTGCTCGTCCCCCCTGTTGCTTTGATGCAATGGCAGACTGAGATCGACTCCTACACTGATGGGACCCTCAAAACACTTGTCTGCCACGGGACGAATGCGAAATCAAAGAACCTCACCATGAAAGACGTCAAAAAATACGACGTCATTATCATGTCGTACAACAGCCTCGAGTCGATGTACCGTAAGCAGGAGAAAGGCTTCAAGCGCAAGGACGGCCTCTTCAAGGAGAAATCTGTTATCCACCAGACAGTATTTCACCGCGTCATCCTAGATGAGGCACACAGCATAAAGACTCGATCAACAATGACGGCCAAGGCATGCTTCGCTCTCCAGGTTGAGTACCGTTGGTGCCTCACTGGGACGCCGCTGCAGAACCGCATTGGCGAGTTCTTTTCGTTGATTCGGTTTTTGAACATCCGCCCATTTTCGTGCTATCTCTGCAAACAGTGCTCCTGCTCTATGCTCGAGTGGACAATGGATGAGGATAACAAGTGCAAAGGTTGTCACCATAGCGGAATGCAGCACGTTTCGGTCTTCAACCAAGAACTTCTCAATCCCATCCAGAAGTATGGAAATACGGGCAAGGGCAGGATTGCATTCCAGAACCTTCGTATCATGACGGACCGCATCATGCTGCGGAGACTGAAGAAAGATCACATGGACTCCATGGAGCTCCCCGTCAAGGAGATTAACGTCGAGCGGCAATTTTTCGGCGAGGTTGAAAACGATTTTGCAAACAGTATCATGACCAGCGGCCAGCGGAAGTTTGATACGTATGTTGCGAGCGGAGTTCTACTCAACAACTACGCCAACATTTTTGGCCTCATCATGCAAATGCGTCAAGTAGCCGACCATCCAGATCTGATCTTGAAGAAGAATAGCGAGGGCGGCCAGAATGTGCTCGTCTGCAATATCTGCGACGAGCCCGCGGAAGATGCCATTCGATCTAGGTGCAAGCATGACTTCTGCCGCGCCTGTGCAAAGAGTTACCTGAACTCGTCGCCGAATCCCAACTGTCCCCAGTGCCACATTCCCTTGTCAATGGATCTCGAGCAACCCGAGATTGAACAGGACGAGGCTCTGGTAAAGAAGTCGTCCATCATCAACCGAATCAAGATGGAGAACTGGACTTCCTCTTCCAAGATTGAGTTGTTAGTCCATGAGCTCCACCGGCTCCGCTCGGATAACACATCCCACAAGTCGATCATCTTTTCCCAGTTCACAACGATGCTGCAGCTTATTGAGTGGCGGCTCCGCCGTGCCGGTATTACGACGGTGATGCTTGATGGAAGCATGACCCCGGCTCAGCGGCAAGCTTCAATCGAGCATTTCATGAGGAATGTGGATGTTGAGTGCTTTTTGGTTTCTCTCAAGGCAGGGGGTGTCGCCCTCAATCTTACCGAGGCTTCTCGTGTGTTCATTGTTGATCCGTAAGTCTATCTGTCATCTAGCTATCAAGTCGTGGGCCTCGTGCTAACGTGTTCCTTACAGGTGGTGGAATCCTGCAGCGTATGTTTTGGGCGCTTGGGGCTTGTTCTCCACGCTCTCCCCCTTTCCTTTCTGTATTCAGAACATGCTAACTGTTGTTGTCGAACAGTGAGTGGCAGTCTGCGGACCGTTGTCATCGCATTGGCCAAACCCGTCCCTGCTCCATTACTCGGCTGTGTATCGAGGATTCGGTCGAGAGCCGGATGGTTCTTCTTCAAGAGAAGAAGACGAACATGATCAACTCGACCATCAATTCCGACGATGCAGCGATGGACTCTTTGAGCCCCGAAGATCTGCAGTTCCTGTTCCGAGGCACTTAATGGTGTCTAGGTAGACCTATTCAAGGGGAATATAGAGCTGCTATGTTGTTTTCCTTTGTTTCTCGAATTCGAAGTGAAAACTTTCCAATCGAGCATTACGACTTATGTATTTTCTAGCTGCCTGGTACGGTACATGTCAAGTCTGGAACAGGGGTACGAATGAGTGCACATCAATAGGTTGTAGTTGAGCGTCGATGGGATCCGATACTGTAACGAGCGTGTATACGTGGGTTGCTTTTTGCTTGGACTGGACTAGTTTTTTTCGAGCCAATAATGACAATGACTCTTTGTAACATTGAAGAAAGACAGTGGAGATGCAAAAGATCCGTGGTTTCGTTGCTAAGGCTCCTCTAGAAGTTCTTGCTGCTTTGAGAACGAATTGATGAATATATTATTTTAGACCTGCTTCGGCTAGTGTATTGTATATTCTGTCCCTGTTTGGTCGTTTACTACTGTTCGACTGGTCCACTTCTGCGCATTCGAGGTCGTCGATGATGGGCCCGCAGCTTCTGGGCTGCTGCTAATTGACCCCATCCTGCGGGCAGTCAACATGCGTATGCGGGGTTCCCGCAGCTGGGCGCGTGATCAAAATCCATTGGACAGCTTGGAAGATCGTGGAGAATCCCTGTCTGGCAGGAGTAAGGGGATGTCAGTTACAAACGTCAAGCTGCCAACTTCAGGTAGTGGGACAGGAACAACAGGGCGCACCTCTCGGCGGATTGTTGACTCCTGCTAACGTCTTTCCTCTCTTCTGCACTAGCCAGCCTGCCCCTCCGCTTTCGCCGCGGTTGTCCGCAGTTGTACTGTACTCAATTGTCTTAATTACTTTTACCACTGGTGGTCTAGACGGACATTTACGATAACCTCCATAGTCCCTTGGAACTTGCGCTTATTCGGGACCCAACGTCAGCTGTTGCTGTGCGTGCTTGGTGGTTGTGCGAGACGCCGTGCTATGATGAGCTAGGTAGCCGACTGGATCGTTTGATTCTGCGGCACTACTTTACCTGCTCTTTGCTGGCCTTGGATACTAGCAGCTTTCACCCGTTGGAATCCGGTCTCCCAATTCTAGCCCTTGTCGTGTTTTGTTCTCCAACGCTACCTACCTAACGACCTACCTACTGAACGCCGACGCCGTCGCCCGCTCCAAGATGCGATCTTACTTCCTAGCGCTGGCCGCCCTAGCAAGCGCCTCGACCCTTACTCCTCCTGTTCTCCCTCTGATTGTTCGAAATCCGTACCTAAGCACCTGGCTAGGGAATGCCCGCAATGCGCCCTGGGAAGATTGGCCCATGTTCTGGACGGGAGCCCATGTAGGCACCTTTTTTGCTCATTCTCCTGGGAGGTTCTGGCGGCATGGGACAGCCAGTGCTCACATGCATGCGGGCGGTACATACTTGACTAATCTCGCTGCTGTGGTTGACAGGTCGGCTTCTCGGTTATGGCGTCTGTGTCCGGCACTACCAAGGTCGTCTATCCCCTCCTCGGACGGCCCCAGGACTCGCTGGACAAGAGCAGCCCGCTTTACAACATCTCGTACCCAGAGTACCTTGGCGCGACCTTCGACGCTTCGACGACAAACCTTACATACGTGATCCCCGGCTCCTCGGCCGACGAGTCTGTCCGCCTGACGCTTTCGTTCCTGTCGCCCATCACGCCGTCTTCGACCTTGAGACAGTCGATTCCTGCTGCATATCTCACCGTCTTTGCTGAGGGCGGCTTCGATGTCGATGTCTATACCGATGTTAATGGGGAGTGGGTTAGCGGAGATAGGGGGAATGTGATCGAGTGGGAGCTGTCTCAAGCAGCCACCAAGTCGACCACGGCCATCAAGACGTGGAAGGTGTCGCGCAGCATCGAGCAAATCTTGACCGAGTTTTCCGATCGTGCCGAATGGGGAACCCTTCATTTCTCAGCCCCAGATGACGCGGGTCACCAGAGCGGATCGTCTGCCGTCCTTCGCCAGCAGTTTGCCCAGAAGGGATACTTGAAGAACGAGATCGATAACGGCTTCCGCCGTATCATGGAGGAGGAGCCCGTCTTTGCCTTTTCGAAGTCGTTTCAACTGGGCGGAAAGGTCAAGGGCGGATCGCCCAAGAAAGAAGATAGCCTCGGGCTCACGTTTGCTCTCGTCCAAGACCCTGTTGTCCAGTTCGCCGCAGCAAGGGGGCTGACTCTTATGCGGCCTTTGTGGCTGTCATACTTTGACTCGGCCGACGACCTGATCAGCTACCACTATGACGACTTCAAGACGGCATCCTTTCTAGCTAGAAACTACTCCGATACTCTTGCCCTGGACGCTTTCGAGTCTGGCTCTTCGGATTATCGAGACATCGCCGCCCTGTCTGCTCGCCAGGTCCTCGGTGCTACACAGTTTTCTGGGACCCCGGAGGACCCTATACTTTTCCTCAAAGAGATATCTTCAAATGGCAACTTCCAGACAGTGGACGTAATCTTCCCCGCCTTTCCTTTCTTCCTGTACACCAACCCAAGGTGGCTGGCGTACCTACTCGAGCCGCTGCTGGAACACCAGTTGAGCGGCCAGTACCCGAACAATTACAGCATGCACGACCTCGGAGCTCATTTCCCCAACGCCACTGGGCACGGTGATGGCAATGACGAGTACATGCCGGTTGAGGAGTGTGGAAACATGCTCATCATGGGTCTTGCTCTAGCTAATGCCCTGAGGTACAATACTGAACCAGCTTTTGTGTCAGCTGCCTCGGGCTACCATGCGAAGCCCATCGCCGGTGCGACGGACTGGCCGCAGACGGTCGACAAGTATGGAATCGACTTACCGCGGGGCGTAAGAGTGGCAACTGGGCCGAAAGAAGCAGAAAAATGGCTTGAGCATTCCTACGACCTCTGGGAGAAGTGGACAGGCTATCTCGTCCGGGAGTCGCTTATCCCGCACAACCAGTTGTGTACTGATGACTTTGCTGGTTGGCTGGCTAACCAGACAAACCTCGCGCTGAAAGGCATCATTGGTATCAAGGCCATGGCAGAAATCGCCGACATTGCGGGCAAAGACGAGGATGCAAAGCGGTACCGAAACATCTCAGACACTTATATCGAGAAGTGGCAGGAGTATGGCATATCGAGGGACCAAACCCACGCAAAGCTGGCGTATACTTGGTATGGCTCCTGGACGACCATATACAACCTCTATGCGGATTCTCTCCTCTGTTTCCACATCCTAGACAACCAGGCTACTACCCAAGCACGCCAAAAGGGCGCTGGCTGGTTTGGGCAGAAGCCAATTGCAGAAGTGGCAAGCGGAACATTTATACCAGACAAGGTGTACCAGATGCAGAGCGACTGGTACCACGCCGTTCTTCAAAACTACGGACTACCTCTCGATTCCAGGCACTTGTATACCAAGAGCGATTGGGAGTTCTTCGCCGCTGCTGTGACAAGCAAGAAGACGAGGACGGAGATACTCGGTACCATTGCCAAGTGGGTGAACGAGACAGCAACTGGTAAGACTCCGAAGCACAGGCGGTGAACCGAACCGAGGACAGAATGAATTGCTAATCAAGCCTGAACATAGATCGCCCCCTGTCGGATCTCTACGAGACGGAGGGCGACGGAGGGTTTCCCGGCATCTATTTCATGGCAAGGCCTGTAGTTGGCGGCCACTTCGCCTTCTTGGCGCTCGAGCGGGCATGCGGTGGGAAGGCGGTAGAAGCCCTCCGATTCTTGGATAACAAGGCGCCAGCAATGATTAATGTTGGACAGGTGCTGCTCGCAGATATGGCCGAAGGCTTGCTTACACAGGCAGTCTCGGACGGGTGGGATGATGATCTCTGAGTATGAAGGTCTAATCCATCTATGCAAGACACTGTGCACGTCGGAGAAAAAATCGCCGATCGAACAGAGGAACGGTCGTTGTGTCACTGAGAAGATGAATCTTAGTCACTAGTCGTTTTATTGATGTGCACCATAGCATATGTTTTTGAAGTTGATTTTCGCCGGTTGATGCTGTGTTGGCAAGACGTGAATGGGTAGATGACCTTGACCGAGAAAAGATAGGCAGCGAATGCCATCTACCAAAGAGTCTAAATCGGAAAACAAACGGGCGCACCCAAGAGGGTTAGGGTTGAGACTGGAGAGGAGAGAAATGACGCCGCATGCAAGCTTGAGCTTCACTTGTTGGTCTGACAGGAAGGAGCCCTCAGACAGCGGATCATGAATCATTTGCGCTATGTCAATGCAGCCTCACCTTAACTTGGTCACTTCCCGTGCATATTGAAGTGGTTCACTTTTGGAGGCTCCCGATGCTTCGTTTCGTTTCGTTTCGATGCTCGACTCCACATCGGATCCACTTTGTCTTCGCTTCCCACTAGCGCCAAGGAGCTGTCCCGCTTTACTGAAACTGAGCTAGCGCGAAAGCAATTGCGCATGAGCCTGCCCCAAATATGCAATAAAGAGAGGCTGAAGCGAGACTAAAAAAAACGCGGCAAGCACATAACGCAAAACCTCACTGAACACATCGCGCCCCTTCCTACACAACCCCATCCCTCCCCCAAAAAATTCGCCTTCGCCCGTGAACAACATCGACCTGTCCTAAACCCCACTCTTTGATTGTCCTTTTCCATCGGCGAATAACCATTTTCCATCTTCCACTGCAAAGAAGGAAGACATTTTTTTCACTTCGCGCATCGCATTCTACTCTTTCCTTTTCCCTGCCATTCGCGTCCTGGGTTTCTCCTTCACGTGGTTTCGCACCGCCGAGCCTCAAGGACACCAATCCTCCACGCCGCACCAGGTTAATCCGATTCCCAAGTGACTCGCATCATCACGATGGCGACTACCGCGATGGACTACGAGAACGCGAACGGTGATCGCTTCGATGGTGAGTCGCCCCAACGCGGTCGCGCCCAGCCCGCCTCGACCCAGTCCGCCTCGACCCAGCCCGCGCTTCCTTCAAATAATGGCACACGTCACGATAATGATGATCCCATTCCGCTCTCGCCTTCGGCACTGGAGTCGCCGTCAATCGCCCCGCACAGAGTACTGACGACTACCGCAGAAGATGCCCCTCGTTACGACCGCGACCGTAGTGCGTCGCCGCGCCGCGACGATGGACACGAGTCGTCGCGTCGCCGCTCCATGTCTCCCAACGGCAATGACCGGTACGTTTCTCACTCTGCCATCACTTCTCGATTGACGACTAAACGCTAATTACAGATACAGCGCGCCCTCCAAGAATGACGGCGGCTCTAAGGATGACGACGGAGCCATCAACCCTGGATCTAACCTTTTCGTCACGGGCATCCATCCCCGCCTCGAAGAGGCTGAAGTTACCCGTCTCTTTGAGAAGTATGGTGAGGTGGAGAAGTGCCAGATCATGAAGGACCCCCACACTGGAGAGTCTCGTGGCTTTGGCTTCGTGAAGATGGTGACCTCAGATATGGCCGATGCCGCAAAGGATGGCCTCCAGGGTGAGGTTATTGAGGGCCGCACCCTCAGCATCGAGAAGGCGCGCCGGGCCCGCCCTCGTACTCCCACTCCGGGCAAGTACTTCGGCCCCCCCAAGCGCGGTAAGTGTCTCCTGGCTCCCCTGCTGAGCTGCCCAATTACTAACTTGGTCAGAAGAGCCCGGTCGCGGAGGCCGTTTCGACGATCGTCGCCGTGGCGGATTCGGCGGCGGCGGTTACGGCGGTAGGGATGACTCGTACCGCGGCAGCTACCGTGGCGGCCGTGACGATCGCGGCTACGACCGTGGCCTTGACCACGGTGGCAGCGACCGCGGCTACGACCGCAACTATCGCGACGATAGAGGATATAACCGCGGATACCAGCGTGAGGATCGTGGCTATGACCGCCGTGACCGTGATGACAGCTATGGCGGTGGCGGACGCATTGACCGCTACGCTGGCGCCGGTGGAAGCACCGGTGGCCGTGAGGATCGTGGCGAGCGCTATGGTGGTGGAGGCCGCGGTGGCGCTGATGATCGCCGTGCCCCTGGCTACGATCGTGAGCGTGGTGACTACCGTGGCAGCGACCGTGATGCTCGCCCGCCGCGTGACGCTGCTCCCAGCGCGGGCGGCTACGGAGATTCGGCGCCGCGTGGAGAGGCCCGCGAACCCTATGGTACTGCCCACCTTACCCATCGACGGCGATACATGAAGCTAACATTTCCAGCAGGCGCCCGCTAGAGCTGGACAGAGGGGGCGCAACTTACCACACGTAAAGGCCGTCAGAGTCGATGTGGCCACTGGTCGCCGGAGAACTGACTAAGTTGCAGCTCGGTTTTTCTTTGAGTCTCTTCTTCGCTTTGGCATGGAACAAAATTCGGATATCCTAAAATGCGCTCGGCTGGAGTTTCGGCAGACATTGGGAGGGTATTAGGGCCCTGGTCCGGCGCGTCACCTGCACCCAAAGTCACCTAGATGTTAGCCATTGGGGTTGCGACACTCGACATTTTATGGCATGGGCGACTGGGTTCAGTCACGGCATTAGTCGACATAATTCTCTAGGCCCCCATCTCTCCCTCCTTCTCACCGGCTTGGATCAGAACACGGAGTGGATGGAAGCCGCGCTTGTACGATTATATTTTCTTTCGCCTATTTGACGGCAAACGGCAATACCGTGACGACTTTGCGCAGGCCTTTTTCGACGGGGGATTTCGTACGTAGGCGGCAAGCATGATACGCAGCACATCAACCTCAGCATTAATCGTGAATACGCCAATGCCGCGAAGTGCTGGCATCATTATTAAGGTGCACCCAATGAAGGCCAGCTCGTCGACTCGTAAATGCCTTCCAACATCGCCATGATTCGCCATTTGCAGCCTGCGACTTGATCGTGCGTGACCCTCCACGGTAGCCGCCTTGGTCCGCTGGCACAGATATTCCGTCTACGACCCGTGATCCTGTTATCCTTGGTCCGACCTGATCAGCTGGCACAGACAAGGTAACCCTCCTTATCCAATTGGGCGCATATCTGACTTGCACTCCTCAGGTCGGTCAGTTTCGCTCTCCAGAAATATTACAGCTCCCAGTTTAGTTGGATCGCATCGGGCCGTGTTCAGTCGCTTACGTTGGCCGAATTTCGGGTGTTTGCGCATTGCGTCAGTTGGCAAGCGGCTTGCTAGTGCGGCAGTGCCTTGTTACACGGAGATAACACAGCACTCGAGAACATGGTAGTAACACGAGAAAACAGATTGGAGGAAAACGGTGACTTTCATCATGTTGCAACTGGCGATGCGGATTGATTACCGCCCCTGCTTGTGGCAGAGCAGCCCCCGATGGTGTTGCGACTGCTTCGGGTCTCGACAGGACAAGGCTTCCGTCTTCTCACTTTCATTTTTCCTAGGTTCTCTTGCATTTTAATTCGCCTCTGGGTTCGTTGATCTGATCTCAGCTTTCTCTTTCTTCGTGTTTATCGTGATTGCCCCTAATCTCGTGGCGCCATTCTCGGTGCTTTGTCATGCCTTTTCATCTAGGGGTTGCCACCTGACCACGGGGGAGTTCAGCTTTTCTTGTGAGAGTATGGTGACCGAGTGGTCGCTTGGTCTGATATCAAGTTTCTCGACGTTTCTTTGTAATGGCCCGCCGTATCTCAATCTTTTGAGGACATGTGTCTCGAGAAAGGCTCGTCTCGTAGACAACCGAATTTCCAGAGTGCCATTCTCTTCGGTTCTTGCTCATAGCTGCCGACTGGGGCCTAACACTGAAATGGAGGCGCCCAAGTTTTCAGCGCTAATTACACCTGAAAACACAAAGGCCCGCGGTATCATGACTAACGTTCCTTTGACAAGGCAACACAGCTGTCCTTCCGGATGCGTGTCGGCTCGTCAAGAAGGATACGAAACTGTCTAGTAATTTGTGCAGAATAGAATTAATACAGATGTTCTTTCTCTCCGTCTAACAATTGACAATCGTGTTCTGCTCCGAAGCAGCTTGATCTCTCTATTGTTGTTATTGTAAGCCATCGCAAGACTGCAGTTTACAGTGTTGTTGGGAAATGCTGCATACTGTACGGTGTTTGGGAGTATGGTAGACCGTGCTTCGAGCAAACGCCGGCCCCGCGACGCATATGAGACTGCAAGAGCAGAGACTGCTGCCGCGGCGCAGCGGCTCCGAAGAATGGAGGCACAGTTTGAAAGTTTGAGTGAGCGTTCGTACACACATATTCAACTACTGAGCTCCGACGCCCCAGTCTGCATGCACTAGGAAGCGAACGAACAGAGACCTGGGCAGGTGAATAATGGCTGATGTTTCTTGTGTCTGCAGCACCTAACGTTGTGCCTATCTCGGCGCACCTAGGCCGCCCCGGCGGCTCCCGGCAGAGACGCCGGGCCCGGCCCTTACGCAGCGAAGAGTCTCGCCACGGCGGCGAGATAATACAGTTCAGGAGTCTTGGATGGCGTGGCAGCCGTTGTGTAGCAGGTGAGGAAGCTTTGGACCAGGTCTCGCCGCGGCAGAGGCGGAAGGGGTCGCTGGGCCGCCGCGGGCTTGAATCGGCTCTCGGCCAGTTGCTTTCACTTCCCCTAGGCGCCGACCTCCGCCGTGGCGAGTACCCCGGGGATGTAGTGACGATGCCGTGGGCGGAATCTTCTCCCCCAGCACCTCCTCGCCCTCCCCATCCGGTACGGCGGCCTGGGTTTCTAGCTGCGGAAGGTGGTGAATGGCGGCGGATGAAACAAGCCGGGGGCCGTGCTGGTGGCGGTGATGGGGTGGACATACAAGTTGGCGTAGGCACTTCTGGTGACGACGACGACAACGGCGAAGACAACAGCGGTGGGCACCGCGACAAAAGCTTCTACCACCGCGGCAAAGACACGGCGCCCTCGAGCTTCGCCAAGAGCATACGAATAATCAGCGGACGACAGAGCTCCGCTGCTTCCGCTCCCGCTCCCACTCCTACCTCTCCTCCTCCCACGGCGCCCCAACCCGAGCCGAGACTTTCCTTCTCTTCCCCCACCCCGTCATCTACTTCCTCCAACCCCAACCCCGAAACAGCAGCAGCCAACACCCTGACCCAGCACGCTCTCGACAGCCTCGTGACGCGCGAGCGGGCGCTCACGCGCGCCGAAGCGAACATGATCTACATGAGATTGGCGGGGCAGCCGGCGGGGCAGAGACACGTTTTGGGTTACTATCGTAGTGGTAGGGCCGTGTCGCGCAAGAGGACGAGTACGAGCTCCGTCCCACTTCCCGAGGCCGTTGTGGCGGGGCGGTTCAGGGCGACGCCGGCGGGGGCGATGGTGGGCCGGCTGTTTGCGTCGGGGGACATTGCGGCTGAGGATTTGGCGTGGATGGTGCGGCGTTGGGGGATGGTTAAGGGGGGGCGGTTAAGGTTGTGATGGCGATGAGGGAGGGGATGAAGATGAGGGGAGGGGGGTGTTGAAGGGCGTAGGGGGTGTTGAAAGGGGTGGGGGGGTATCATGTATACACTATTGTGGAGTCGCTTCTTGATACAGTCGATAAACAGACAAACAAATATGTACACGCTGTCTATATCTCTGCTGCCTGTGTCTGTGTTTGCCGTGCCCTTATACCCGCTGAGACACTACGGAGGTAGAGGTAGTGTGTAAAAAGAGAGATCATGACGTTTATAGATATACGTCAAGACCTACCTGTCTAGTCTGTCTAGACATTCATTCCCCAAAACCACATCATGGTAACGAGGAATATTAGTATGTTATTATTAGCCATCAATGTTTTGATATCCCCTCGATCCCGAACAGAATCGCCTCTAGAAACGCCTACATATATATATAGTTAGACCCAAACGCCCAAACAAAAAATGCAACAAAATCCCGCTCACTAGTCTCATCAAAAGCGAAATGTGCACCCTACCTCGTGGTTTTCCTCCCATCATGTCATAACATACCCAACATCCCATACTATTCACCCCCGAAAGCTAACCTATCATCTCATTATATCCCCCCTAAACCCCTAGAAATCCGTACCCGCATGACCCATTTTATCCATTACCATCCTGCAGTCCTTTCCTCCCAAATTGGATCATGTGTGTTTGACAAAAGCTCGCTCGTTCAAGTCAGGCAGCCAGTTAGTCAGTCGACCTTTGCTGTCTCGTCAAGCACTCCCTTCTCTTGCACCCTCATATCCGCCTCCTCCTACCACAGTAGCATGTGCTCTCGGCGGAGAAGGTGGCCGTGACGCCGTACCGGCAGCAGACTCTATATTTTTCAACCCCACGGAATTCTCCTTTTCCTGCTCCCTCCTTTCTTGCTCGTGGTGGTGACGACACTGCTGCTGCTCTGTCTGGCCGAGCAGCTGGCGGACGCGGTCGATACGGTCCATGGCGCCTTCGAGGCGGTCGAGGCGGCGCTTCTTGTCGGCGTCGCGCTTCTCGAGCGTCTCGACGCGCTTCTCGAGCACGGCGCGCGCGCGCCGCTCCGTGGCAACCATCTCGTTGGCCTGCTCGAACAGGCTCACGCTCAGCTCCTCCACCTCGCGGCTCGTCTCGCTCAGCCGGCCCTCGGCTTCGACCCGCAGCGCCTGCTCGCGCGTTAGCGCCTCCAGCAGGTCGTCGGTGCTTGGCGCTGGTGAGAGCGGTACTGCAGGGCTGAGGGGCGCTCCGCTGCTGGTGCTAGTGTTGGTGTTAGTGCTGGCGCTGTTGCTGTGACCGCTCGGGTTGTAGTGGTACCACGGCCCGCCGAGGCCGCTGCTGCTGGTGGTGGTGTTGCTGCTGCTGGCGCCGCCGGGACTGGCGGGCCACGCGCGGGAGGCGGCGGGCGGGTGCGGTAGCGGCTTGACGGGCTTGCGCGGCGACAGCAGGGCTGTGATGCGCGTGGCGGCGCTTGACGTCAGGAACGACGACCGCACTGGCGACGGGCTGCTGCCGCCCATGAAGGACGAGTAGTAGGACGAGTACGGCGCCGAGGGCGGCGTGGCGGGCAGGGCGGTAGGTGGCGGGTTTGAGGAGGACGAGTACGACGACGACGACGACAACTGGGTCCGCAGCTTGGCCAGCTCGTCTTCGTAGTCGGCCCAGCGGTCGACAGCGGCCGACGCCTTTTGGTTGAGCAGGCGCACCTGGGCTTCGAGGTCCGAGATATGCTTCTGGGCGACGAGGAGGGCGGCCTGCGTCTCATCGACGGGCTGCGCCAGCACGCGCAGGTCGCACCCGCATTGCGGACAGCTCGGCGTCAGCGCTATCGTCGCTGTCGTGGATGCTGTCGCTGTGGCTGTCGCTGTCACCGCCGACACCGCGTCCGCGGGCGGCACGACGAGCGTCATTATTGCTGTTGCTGTGTTCTTGTTGCCACCTTGGTCCGTATCCCCATTCCCCCACGGGCGCCGGATACCAAAGATGCGATTCGATGTAATGCAATCCGGTGGCTTTGGCGTCTCGTGGAATCGCTACAGCCCGGATCCGTGTTGCTGGCCACCTGTGTGTGCCTCAGTTGGCTCGCGAACACCAACACTCGACGGCCAACAGTCGATGCGGATTTGGGTCGGTCGGGGAAGGCGGTTGTTTATTGTTTTCCTTTGTTTGTCATTCAAAAAAACGAAATAACGTTCAAGAGACACCCTAACGAACAAGTGGACGGCGATGGGGGTGTATGTTAATGGGACGACAAAGTTGGTTGTTCAGCCCCCCCGAAGCGCCCTTGTTCTGTCCCTCCCCTGTGAAGGAGGCGAGTCAGCTGTGAAAACGAGGGGCTGGCTGGGCTGGCGGCGTTCTTGGCACCGATTTGTCGCCTGCGGTGACGTCTATTAGGGGGCGTGGGCTGCGCCCCCCGCTACGCTATGCATGCATGCATGCCATGGAGATCGGCGGCAGGTACCGAGAATAGGGCGACCCAGGCACACATTCCGATCCGCCTTATTAGGTATCTTTAGCGTGCATGAATGCAGAGAGAGACGGGAGCCGCTGTTCTTCATGCGAGGAATCGCAGGATTGCAAATCGCGGAAACAGATCTGCCATTGTTGCTCGGTACAAAGTGCGAATGCATAACGCTTGGTGCTGCAAACACACGCGTGCGGAAACCGAGCAATTGATGGATTAATTGCTGATCGGCAGGCACTATCCAGACCCGCGTGCTCTGTAAGTGCCTGATCGCGCCTTCGGGTTTGGGGTGTTATTCCCCACACGCATCTAGACAGATCCAAACAAACGTTAATTAGCCTCCTCCGTAAAAGGACACGCCGAATCTGGTCAGTTGGCTCCAAATTTGAATTTCATCAGACTTACACTCACCTTCCAGTCTACTCCTCAACCAAATCAACCACACACATAGTTAGGTATACATGACTGGCGCGACCCAAAAACGGCCACCGCAAGAAGCTCGTTGGCGAAGCGAAAAACGTAGCCGGCATCGATAACGTTTTTGGCCTCGCCAACCAGCTTTTCACCGGTGGCCTTTTCTAGGGCGTCTTGTAAGGCAAGGTAATTGTTGTCGTTCTGGAAGGTGTTTTGTTGACCCTTTGGTTCAATTGCAGCATTCTTGTTCTATTTGTACGTGTACCCGGGCCAGCCGGCAGATTGAGTCGAGTTTGACAATACCTTACGGCACGGCCTGAGTCTTCTCGGAATACGCGTGTGTCATCGGGTGGTTGTGCCGAACCTTGACGCCTCCGGGCCGTTCAAAGTTCGCGTGTGTGGAGCGGAGCGGCCGGCATGTAATGTGACCCGAGAACCTTTCGTATTGGACTTGTACTTTGTATGTAATGCTTCCGCCGGGTGGTGGCCTATTGTTCATTCGTTCTACAGTCCAACCCCTGAATGTTCATTAGCGGGGTGCTTTGCCAGATTTGAAAGGCCTCAACACTTTACAGCTCGCACTAAGGGTTTTTCGTGAAGAGAGGTAAAAGCTATTAGAACCCCCAATTTTAGAATCCTAGAGGCCCATCTCTTCTCAAAAAATACCTACTTTTGGGTTCTCCTGGCTGGTTTGTTTGCTGAGCTACAGCATTTATTCTGCCCAAGTACCACGCCAACGAATATTCAGGGGTTGGATTGTACAACTATCTTTACGTGTATAGCGGTCACCCTTGTCGCTCAGTGTAAGTTTTCCCCTTCACTCTCCAGCGTCGGATTAGTGATCGCTAACTTTCTGCAGTCCTCCGCCACTGGGACCATTGGCTTTGGCTTTTCTTGCCAACTTTCGACAAGATGTGCTAGATAAGAAAGAGACGTCGCTGGTGACCAATGCCTTGGGCCGGCAGCTTGAGAACTCTTTCCGACAGCTGGACAAGTTATATTGTCAAGTACGGTTGGGACTGCCTGGAAAAGTTTGTCCCCAACCATGTTGCCAGCGATGTCGGACTACTCGGCACTTCCGGGCTCATAACCGTCATACTATTTTCCAGGGCAAAGGAATCGATCCTTGCAGTTGTGCAAGGCTATAGGGGTATATACTGCGCGACACTATCTCATTTGCATACCCAGAAGCAAGGTGAAACAGTAGACATACACATACACATACACATCCACTACCAACCAGTATTGTTATTGTCGGCGATACGTGATAACATATTCCGTAACCTCTGTCTACCACTATACAACCTTGAGTCACTTCAGACATCACATCAGGCATCATCACCATCATCGCCCTCCTCGCCCTCTTCAACATCCTCAAGGTCCTCAACACCACCAACATCAACATCAATATCCCCACCGTCCTCACCGTCCTCACCGTCCTCACCGTCAACATCATCACCGTCCCCAAATACATCGTCATCCGCATCCTCATCGTCCTCATCATCATCCTCATCGCTATCGAGGTCCTTATTCTTGGTCCCATTGCGAGACTGGGCTGGCGTGGGCTTGCCCTTGGCCGTCTTCTGCTGCTGCTTTACTCTGGCCGTGTCGCTGGCACCGCGCCCATAAGCCTGCGGGCGGGGGGTTGCCGCATCGGCCGCCAGCAGGCCTTCCTTGACCGCCTTGTCGTCTCCCTTTCCGCACTCGATCACTACAGGGGAGAAAGTTGGTCAGCTGGCTGACTTGCTTTCCTTCTGGGTAGACATGTAGTACTATGTACGTGCAAACAAAAAGGGGTTTGGAGGGGGAAAATGACCGAAAATACTCACGATAGTCTTCAAACTTGTACACAATCTTTGAAACGTCGTTGAAGTGCTTCTTCAGCAAGTCGATCTTCTTCCAGCGGGGGTTCTTGTGCTTCATAGCCATTTCTTCGGTTAAGTTGTTCTTGCGCAGGTTCTCCAGGCGGGCGTGCGACGCGAGCGCGATGGCGCTCTGAAAGGCATTACGAATCTGCCTCCCATTCCACGTCGGCACCTCCTTCTTCTCCATGCGCTCGTAGTGGCGCTGGGCCCACTCCAGCAGCTCGTCGCGGTCGTACTCGATCTTGACCCGGATGTGCGGCTCGCTGTTGTCCTTGTCGATGCCGTTGAGGATGTTGCTCCAGATCTCGATGGTGCCCTTGATGTTGATCTTCTCGTAGCGTAGCGCCACATGGATGCGCGACTTGAAGGCCGGGTCTATAGACCCCACGCGGTTCGACGTCAGGAACAGGAGGCCCGAGTAGTACTCGAGCGTGCGCAGGAACACGGACACAATCCCGTTCCGGTCCAGGTCGTTGTGGTGCCGCTCGGCGAGGTACACGTCGGCCTCGTCAAGGAGGAGTACGCAGTTCCAGCGGTGCGCGAGCTTGAAGTGGCCCTCGAGCGCTTCTTGGATCGCCTTGGGCTCCGAGCCAAGATCTCCGCACGTCTAGACGGGGTGGGTCAGTGTCTGTTGTCGTCACGCAAAATCTACATAGACACTTACAATGGGATATAGAGGGCGCGGAGGGCTAGTGTAGGCTGCGATTGTCTCGGCCGTGCTTGTCTGCGACAATAGTAGTGGTTAGCGCCAGTCCAGGGAAGGATTCCGAGGCAAGCTTGGGTGAACCCGCCTTGCCAACACCAGGTGGTCCATAGAGGAACACGATTCTACCCCGTCCCTTTCCACGCACGATGTCGATGGCGGAACCCGACCGAGAAAGATTCCCCTTTTTACCCACTGTCGTGGTCGTGGAATGATCGCTGACCAGTGCCTTTAGAAGCCGCTTGTTCTCAGATTCAATGACGAGGTTCTTCCAACCCTCCTTAATCTTCTCCGGGGTGACAGTGATCTTTTCAAAGTCGCCAACGTTGACAAAGTCTTAATGGTACAGTGTTCTGTTAGCCAGCTTCGAAACAGGTGTCAAAGAATAAAACAAGAAGAAAAAGAAAGACTGGGTGTATGAAACATAAAAAAGGCAGGAAGAGGCAGTCGAAAACCTACGCCATTTCTTGGTCCGCAACGTGTACACCAGCAAGTGGCCCGGCAGCAGAAGACGCTCCGGCGCCGACTTGAGCGTATTGTTGATGTTGCGCTCCAGCACCAGCTTGGGCATCTTGTCGCGGACCATCTCGGCGCGCTTGATGTCGACCTGCTCGTCGAGATAGACACAGTTACTGCAGCTCGTGCACGTTTCCGAGGCGCAGCCGGGCTCGTACGTCTCGTCGGACGCGCAGTCGGGCGGGGTGACGGCGCTAAAGTTGCACGTCTCCTGTTTCCAGTCGGCTGGGATCTCCTCATAGCCGCTCTTGAAGTCGACAAAGACCTCCTCGTTGTCGATGTGCTCCATCTCGAAGCGCGCCGTGAGGCCCTCGCACCGCCCGTGGCCATAGCGGTTGCCGATGAAGTCGCTCGCGCGGTCTTCTAGGTCCTTGATCTCCTTGTCGGTTGCGAAGGCCTTGGGGTAGTAGTCTAGGTCGGTGATCTTCTTCTTGCCGACGAAGGGCTTGATGGAGAGAAGCTCCTCGCACGTGTCGATCTTTTTGCCGTCGTAGTCGAGCGAGAAGCACTGCAGCTGCAGGTTGTTGCGCTCACGCTGGCCCTTGTACTTGGAGGGCTCAGGGCGGCCGCCCTTCATGTTGAAGCGACCTTTGGTGACGGTGAAGACTTGGTATGCCTGCTGCTCGCCTTTGCCTGAAGGGCGGCGGCCGAGGATGATATCGCCTGGGTTGAAGAGGTGCCACAGGTCGTCAAACGAAATGGACTCGATCTCGTTGCTCTTGATGCGCTCTCGGAGTCGAGGGATATCACTGAGATACTTGGCCATGAAATCCACAAGGCACTTGAGGTGCTTGGCGTCTTGGCGATCGTTTTTCTTGTCGGCCTCTCGTGTTGCTTCCTCCTCGCTGAGCGGTCTCGGCTTAGGAGTCTCGTCCTTTGGTGGGTCGACATTCCACTGGTGACCGTACTTCTCGGCGAACTCGTCTTGGAGCTGCTTCGCTTTGGCTTCAATCTCGGTCCAGTACGCCGCGAAGATCTTGAAAGGCGGCACGATACTGCGCACTCATCAGCCGTCATGTACGTTCAATACAAGCCTATGGGCCCTCTCGCCACCCCTTACTTACACGCACGGTGCGTCGTTCATTGTTGTATCTGTGATTGTCTTGAGAAGCTCGAGGATCCTCTTCGAGTTGATAGACACTCGAGAAGGCAGGTACTCTGGGGTCTGCGATCCCTCTTTCCAGGCACCTAGATTGTTGACGGCGGAGGTGGGCACATCGTAAAAGGCCGTAATGGCGTACTTTTTCAGGTCCTCTGTTGTGTTGACGACATCTGAAGTGAGTTTCATTGGGTCGAAGAGCGCCAGGCGGACGTCGACCAGCATCCCGAACGAGGGTTGGGACTCGTCATCATCCTCAGTCGTCTTTTCAGCTTCTTCTTCCTTTGCTTCGTCTTCGTCTTCTTTGGCTTCATCTTCCTTAGCTTCCTCGTCCTTCACCTCTTCCTTCACTTCCTCTTCCTTCGCATCCTTTTCATCCCTAGGCGAGTGACACGTTAGCGCGCGATCAATACATCACAAGAGTGTGATCTGGAGTAAGTACTTAGTCGTCTTCAACTCTCCGATGCTCTTCTCCAGCTCCTCAATTCGGCGCAACAGCTCGATGAGTTTCTCATAGCCCGCATTCTCCTTCTTCTCATTCTCATTCTCCACGCTCTCCTTCGCATTCTCGTTGGCGTCTACTTCTTGATGGACGTTAGCTCGTCGAAGAGCAAGAGTGCCCAACAGGGGCGCGCGCTGTTGATTTACCTACCTGTGACAGCGATCTGCGGCGTTCCCTTAGGGTTCAGCATCACCGCTGCCTCCCCGTTCACTGTCTCAGCGGCCATGACGGTACTATGATGAGGGCTGGGGGAAAGCTTAGAGATCAGTATCAGAATGTCGGCTTGAGCTAGCGCAGTCTTTGGTTGGATTCTCTACCACGGTGGGCAGTCATGTAGTGTGGCGACGAAGAAAGCTCGAGTATTTAGCAAGTCTGAATGACAGGCTCAACATGGGGACCACGGCACTCTCTGGCTGGTGGCTCGCACCCCTTGGGCCGTCTGGAGTCGAGTGCACACACGATGTTCTAGAGCCTTGTCCCCACCCCCCATTCTCCTGGACCACACCACGCCGCTGCTTCCGACAAACCTGCACAATGGAAAAAAAAGCACATCATTTTCAGCACTGCGAAGCATAGATATAGGGCGCTATTGGTTTCTATTCGTCAGCAACCGAAGTCGTGGGGGCCTTTGAGGCCCTCGCCCGCATGAACAAGGCTCTACGGCATCGAGACGCCGGCGGAAGTCTGTCTGGTGGTTACAATGTGGCTACCGAAGCTGAAACCTCCCGCACCCCCAGTACGCCCTGATTCGTCAGGATGGGAGTGGGCTCTGGACCAAGACGTCACTCAGCGAACTGAGTGTGTGCCAAGGCCCTTTTAAATACGCGTATTGAATATTTAGTTGTACTTGGGGGCGGCCAGCTCCTGTCATTTCCGGGAGCAGCGGCAGATAATAATTCCCTGGTATCAGGTATCAGAGCATTATCTGGATTCGGTATACTACCAGGGCACGAACTCCGAGGTCTCATTCTCGCTGTCGCTGATCACCAGCAACAGCAGCAGCAGCAGCAGCAGCAGCAGCAGCAGCAGCAGCGGCGGCGGCGGCGGCTTCGAGTGCTGCCATCTGGACATATCGCACCCGAAACGACCAACTTTGAGAATACCGTGTATCTGCGACCCCACAGCTCTCATGGCGGACACGCAGGATGCAAAGAAGGCCAAGAAGGCAAAGAAGGCAAAGGAGGGCGGCTCGTCCTTTTTCAACATGAAACTGATGAAACTAGATATTCCTCTGCTCAGCAAGAATAAGACGAAGAAGCTCAGTCTAGAGGAGAAACAAGCTGCCCAGTTTCTCGCAACCCAGCGAGGCCAGATAAACGCAGCTGTAGACTGCGGTCCTGACTCTGGTGTTGGCATCGCAGTCGACAAAGACGAGGCAATTCTCCAAGTAGAGGTTGTTGGGATCGAAGAGGGCGACAAGGAGGCCGGTGAGGAATCCGATACTCCACCGGGGAAGCTGTAAGTTATGACCGACCCCTTTGGCTAAATACGGTCACCTTTGGAAGAAAATTTACTAACCCGTTGTGGGCGCCTAGAAACCTCAAGGAGCTGTACGAGGGATGCTTCGAAGCCAAAAAGTCGTACGAGCTCGCGGTCGCCGACTTCATCTCCCAGGAGAGCAAGAAGGGCGATGCCGCGGCGCCAGCGGCCCCCGAGCCCGACGAAACGGCCAAGGAGGCGACGTTTGAGCAGCTCGAAGAGGACATCGAGCAGGTCGAGAAAGACATCAAGGCCGCCGTCAAGAACCTCAAGGGCCTCAAAGGCAAGCGCAAGGAGCATCAAGAAGGTCAGATGGCGGTGGCACGGGGGCTGCGACGAGCCTTCCACAAGTTCAGCGAGAACGCGCGCGACATCAAGTCGTACGTGTCGCTGGTGCCCAAGTCGGCCGGCTTCGGGGCGGGCGGGCTGATCTGCGGGGGGATGAACATCATACTGAAGGCGGCGGAGCGGTACGTGGTCATGGACGAGCACCTGGAGAGCGGGCTACGAGGGATCAAGGAGGCCATGGTGCATAAGGCATACGAGAACAAGAGACACGAGCCGGATCGCCAGATGCACCGGCTGATATCGGAGCTGTTTGCCATCATCTTTGCGGTGCTGGAGTCGCTGCTGAGGTGGGTCCACAACCAGGGGACCGGTAAGGCCCTCTTGGGAGCGATGCTCCATCCCGAGACGTACGGCCAAGATCTGGCAAAACTCATCGCTCAACTGAAGTGCAAGACAGGAACGCTGGAGAAGCACGGTATTAACCTCGAGATGAGGGAAACGAAGAAATTGATGCACTCCATCAAGGGAACGGTGGAGAAGTCAGACGAGGGCATACAACAGTTAGTCAGGGGGGGCAAACTGCAATCAAAGAAGCTGGAGGACATTCGCCTCGGCCAGGAGAAGAACGCTGCCCAGGTTGGAGCCGTGGGCGAGGCTGTGGGACAGGAAGGCGCCGCGACAAGGGCCCAAATCAGGGACCTCGAATACAAATTGGATCAGATGGCGAAGTCGCTGTCCGAGGCGAGAGTGGTGCATAACATCTTTATGCTGATTTCTCAAGACCCGCCACAGACACGCGTCAAAGGCCAGGACCGCGGCGGCGGCGTAGGCGTACCATTGACGGCAAGGGCAGCCGCACAACGCGCAACAAAACGCATTACGCAAAGGCAAGCACCGGCCGCCGAGCCGAGGATTGAGGCGGCAGACGTGCTCGCGGCAGTGGGATTTGACGCGGAGCTCACTCGGGTCGACGGACGCAGCATTTTGCGGGCGGCGCGGCTCTCAGCACGAGACGACCAGCTCGTGGCGGAGATGACGGGCCACGTGCGGCTGCAGGCGTTCGTCGAGGTGCCGTCCAGCGCGGTGCTCTTCATCGAAGGCGGGCCGAACCGGCAACACGAGGCGCGCGGGGCCATCAGCGTTGTGGCGGCGCACGTCGCGGCGGCGCTCGCGCGAGGGCGCTCGGCTAACTCATCGTCGGTCTACGCACTGACGCACTTCTGCAGCGAGCACCGCAGCCGGCACGACGAGCTCGGCGGCACGGCCATGGCGCTGGTAGTGACGCTCCTGCTGCAGCTGGTAGACCAGCACCGCGACTTTGACACGGCGCTACTCCGCGAGTGCCGCGACGCAGTGATGAACGCGCCGCAAGAACCAACCGAGGACGACGTGCGCGCCTGTTGCGACGTGCTACAGCGATGCGTGCAGGCCCTGCCCAGGGAGGCGACACTGTTCTGCATCGTCGAGGGCATCGCCTTCTTCGAGGGGCCGAAGAAGCGGACAGCGCAGACGCGTGTCGTGCTTCAACGGCTGCTGGAACTGGCGAGTGATGAGGGGCAAGAGGGGCGCGCGCGCATCAAATGCCTGTTCACGACGCCGGCGAGAAGCCCCGAGTTTGTCGGCCTCTTCAAACCCTATGATGTGTGGACAGCCGACTCTGTCAACTCGTCGGGCTTTGTTCCGAGTCTTCGGAGGAATAGTAGTTGGATGATGGGAAGGCGGCGATGACAGTTGTTAAACACTATTCAAGTTTTAGAAGTGGCTACCTTGGTGTAAAGTGGTAGATACTGTCACGTGACCGATCTGGCTGAGATAATCCTTGAATGACTTCCCTTAACGACTTCTTCCCTCCACCTACCCCACTGTACTCTGTAGCTACCTGCCTGAACCCCTAACCCCCCAAAGGAGACCATAGGTAACAAAAGGGCATCACGATGTCGCATATAAGCACGTGGCAGGATCAACTCCACAACCCTTTCCACACAGGCTCGGGCTCGGGCTCGAATCGCGGATTCACCATCGAAAAGTTTTATAACGAGAGTGAATTCGGAAACCAGAAATCTAGTCTATCCAAGTGCCTGAGACAAAAAAGAAACCTAGGACGGCCGTGCCCGCACGTTGGCCCTTTTCTATAAATTACAAGGTATTTCATTCGCGGAGCGAAGCCATCATCGCGAGACCAGCTCGCAGTGCTTTCCCTTACCCTTCACATTCAGATGGCACCTGCGCCATCTCGTCTCCCCCCCGCCCGTTCCCCTCTGCGCTTCCCTCGGAAGTTGCCCTCCCGGTTCCCTTGTCCGCCGCCAGGCAGGGGCATGTCTCTTCTCCTTTCGCCTTTTTGCAATTAAAACCGGTAGGGCGGTTGAACGGGCTGCCCCGGTTACATGAGCTGGTGGCACCGGTGGCAAAGCCCGCTTTTGTCTCTTGTCAACGTCGAATTTGCACTTGCCCACAAACTCGCCGTAACCAGGGCATGAGGGTCCTTTAATAGCCACCTCCGCCAACACATTAAGCTTGGAGGTGTCGTCCTCCTTGGGGTGGTCAGCGGTGCTTGACATTGTTGCGTTTGGGTTACCGAAAAAAGTCGAAGTTGGTTGCGAGTTGTAATAGATGGAACTGGATGATTGGCGTACTGTGAGTGTTTGCTGAGCTGAACTAAATGGAACTGAGTGATTATTGAGTGATGGTTGAGTGATGATTGAGTGATGTGAGTGTCTGCTGAAGGATACAATTTCCAAATTTGTGCTCGGGAGATGCTCGACCTTTATACGCTCTGAGCTGAAGAAAGATCATGAACGAAATGGCCGACAGATACGCTGCAGCAGCAACATACGGCCTGCACGACATCACAACCAACCTCATCCTGCGGACCGATAACTCGGCCAACGACGAGTTTCAACATGGAATACAACGGCAGGTGCAGTCCGAGTCTGACACCAAAAACCCCATCCTTAGGTATCCCTCCGGAAGGTTGTGAGGGTTGTGTGATGGGACGCGCGGGAGCGTGGAAGGGGGACGGGGACGGGAAGGAGAGTGTTGGAGGCCTTGGGCCTTGGAGGGAGTTTTTTTCATCCCCCCCTTTCGACACCCGTGTTCGTCGCCTTCGAAGCCCACCCACCCGTCCGTCTCTTCACTCTACTTCAGCAACAAAAGGACGTACCTACCTATGGCTCGTGTGGTGGAGAACATTCTAGGTACGGTGTTCGTCTTTGGGAGAGTCTACTCGGACTCTGGTCCTGATTATCTGAGTGGTAGACAATTTTAGCGCGGTCATTTTGACGCTCAGTTAGTCACACCTCTAAGTCTAGGGGGTATACGATAAAGCCTCCCGCACAAAAAGCACTTATGCCTGACGGTACTACTCTGTACTATAGGTTCTTTAAGAACAAAGCTTTTAAAAATCCTGTAAAGTCAATAGGTAGATTGCCTATTAGAAATGGATTCTAACAGTACTAATTAGCATCTATAATGGAAAGGTGGGTGTTGCGATGCCGCGATTCTAAAAAGCGCTTTTGGTGATGACTTCAACGGTGAAGAGCTCCAAAAAATTGAAGCCTTTGGGGGTGGCCTAGTTATTACACCCCTCAATTTTTTTGGCTCTTGAGTAGGTGTGTACATGTACAATGTCCTTTTGTCTACTTGATAATCGACACGGGACATGTCTGTCTGACTGGGACTAAGGTATATAGCTAAAGTCCCGTCTTCTGGACTGGACACCACAAGATTTGAAAGATTAGTGCGATATAACCAAGCCACCGCGTGACTTTTTGGTGGGAATCTGCTAGAAAAGTGACTTCAGACTCGTTGTATTTCTGGCTTATATCCCCTATTAAAACCCCCTGCCAAAGTTGGCATGTCATTGGTAACACTGGTTGGGGCCGCATACGTACAATACTATCTAAACTAATCCCGACCTAGGCTGCAAGCATGTAGGTAATCACGACGTCTCTTCTGCATGATATCGTCATATGAAAGCAACAAAACATGGGTAACAAACTGAGCCAGTTCAATACAAGATAAACAATATAATACTTAGTCAACTAAAGAAAGGTCCTTCGTAACACTTCATGTACAGCTTCTGTCACACACTAGCTCAATAAACACCGCAGCTGAACGAGCGAGCAAAACAGGCTATTCTAGGGGGGGTGGATAAAGTGTACAGTACAATACCCGCCCAATCCAATCCAACCCACCCAAGTTACTGACAAGCTGCCGGGTATAAAGCCAATCTCAACTTCCGACCTCCTTTTATTTCACGCTAGGTTCTCCGAGAAGCGCGACTCCCTAAACGGACTTGACCGACCACCAGACGACACCGACGCCGCCACAGCGGCCTTGATGGCCCTCAGCGGTGGCGTCACGGGACGGCTCTGCTCGCTGCGGGCCTCCTCAAACCTGTCCATACTGCTGTCGCTGCTGCTGCCCATGCTACTGACAGACCCATTGGGCACGCCCTTGCGAGAATCACCGTCGCCGTTGCCGTCGCCGCCGAGGGGTGACGGGGTTCTCGCTCTGGCGGCAGCGGCGGTGGCGGTGGCGGTGGCGCTCTCGCCGACTTCGTCCTCGCCCCGTCCTGCCACGGCGACCTCGCGCATGCTGGTGCTGACACTCTCGCTGCGACTGTGCCTCGTGTTGTTGTTATCGTCAACCGACGGGTTGCTTCCGCTCGTCTTGCGAAGCTTGGCACCGCCGATGAACCCGCCGCCGTTGTCCTTAGCGGTCGGATCTTGGTCCGCCAAAGGCGCATCAGTCGCCGCCCCTGACGACTTGGCCCGAGGGCGAGGCAGTCGGTTCCGAAGCCAGGATTTTACCTTGCTGGTTGGAGATGTAGGAGGCTGTTGCTCGCCATCGGAAGCCGGCGGCTTCTCGGTTGAAGCTGAAGCTTCTCTACCGCTCTTTTGCTTTTGTCGTTTATGAAATGAGATGGAAAGCGCATGTGAACGTCCGCCACCAGTTGTCGCTGTCTTCTCTCCAATCCCGGGAACGTCTGATGTCGGGCTCGGTTTAAGAACGGCTTCGGCCTTCGCCTGCTCCGTCTCTTCCCCTGTGGTCGTCGCGGCGGTGGCCACCGCTATGGGCACAACTAGCACCTCATTTTCCTTCTGCTTTCCATCTTTGACAATCTGTTTCTGCTCGGCCTTTGCAGCCTTCTCTTCCTCTTTCCGCCTCTTTTCTTCCTGCTTGATTTCTGCGAGTCTGGCTTTCTCGTCATCCTTTTGTTGTTCTATACCAAAGTCAGTGGTTTGTCTCAGCGACAGACAAGACTTGTCGTGTTGGAGAGATGGAACTTACCTTTGAGCTTCTTGTGTATCTCCTGAACCTCCCTTTCTCTTATCTTATTCCTCTCTGTCTCCTCCTTTTGCTTATCCTCCTCCAGCTTTAGCAGTGCCCTCCTCTCTCGTTCGCGTTCCGCCTTCTCGTTTATCTCGTCGAGGATAGGCTGAATCCTTTTAGCAGCGATCTCGTCCACCTCGTTCTGGTTAATGAATTTGCCCCCGCCAAGATCAATCTTGCCCTCATTTTCGTTCCTGGTAGCATCGAATCTTGCCTGTGCCGCCGTGTGCGCCTTGACCTCCCAGTCGCCCATGTTGACCGGCGCTGTCCGGGGAGCATTGGCGGATAGTTTGTCATCCATATCCTTCATTTGGGCCTTCACGTTCCGCTGCGCAGCTGCAAGCAGAGCCTCGCGGTCCCGGGTTCTCTTCTGTTCATCTACTTCGGTAAGCTTGGTGTTAAAAAGTGACATCTGCTTGCGAATGTGTTGCGACCGCCGCTGGTCCTCGACCAAATCCCCATCGCTGGCTGAGCGTCTCCTAGTGAGTTTACCACGAATTGACCCAAACGCGCTGCGCTGGGGCACGCCGGAAGAGCTGTAGTACTCTTGGTAGCCACGGTTGTTCTGGTGCTCTTCCTCGAGCTTGGCGAGGCGCTCCTGAGCGAGGCGATACGCCGCCTCTTGAAGGGTGCCGTAGCTCGTCGGGATCTGCTCTTCGCCGTGTGGGCTTGACGGGCCGCCGAAAACTTGGGCAGAAGCATGTGCCCGCGCGGTATCGATCATCTTTTGCTGCTGGGTAAACATGCGCTTGGCCATGGCCAGTGCGGAGGCGTGTATGACATCGGCGCGGTTCTGCTCGTCCGTCTCAGGCTTGACGGGTGGGTGCGAGGTGAACATCAGCCTGTTCATGGTGGTATAGGGGATGGCGCCGGCGTCGCCTAAAGGTGCGGGGGCGCTTGCACGTGTGGAGGGACGGTGGGCAATGGTAGCAGCGCTGAGGGCATTGGAGGCGGCATTGGCCTGGTCGGGATATAGCTCCCTGGGATTCTGAGGAGATGATATAGACCTCGGCCGTAAACCCGCCATGGCACCCTTGGCGGCGTGCATGGAGCCGTGGCGGGCGAGGCCCAGCGTCTCGGTAGCGGGGGGCGGCGGCGTCTTGCTCGCCTTGAAGGCCAGGTTGGCGGCGGAGTTGCCCCACATGGACGGTGGTAGAGACTTCTGCTGCTGGTGGCGCTTGGCCGAGCTGGCAGCGAGGATGGCAGCCTGGGACCCGGCCGAGCTGTACTGGGGCTCCCAGGGGGTGGTGGAAGCCGAAGCCGAAGCCGAAGCTGTGGGGGCGGGGGGGGAGACGGAAGCGGACGTGGCCCTGCCGTCGCTGGCGAGGAGGGCAGCGGCCGAAGCCGAGGAAGACAGAGGGTCGGGCTTCCAGGCCTCGGGGGATTTGCTGTTTGCCCAGCCCAGAGAAGCAGCGGCGCTGGCAGCGGCGCTGTCCTTCTTTAGGCCAGTCGAGGGGAAGCTAGGCAGGTCCTGCGCATTTGCGTATCTGAGCCTTCCCTGCCGGTATGAGCCTCCCGCAACCGAAGATGCGGGTGCCGTGTGCGCAAGCGAGGTCGACCCCATTTTAGGGACGCCCTGTACCTCTAGGTGCGTCTTTGTCGGGCGGAGCCGCGGCGCTGCGCTGCGCTGGATTGCGCCGGATTGCCTCGACAAGTTCTCTCCTTGTGTTTGCAGGCAGGTACAAGACGGCCAAATGAACTCAAGTATGTTACACAGACGACTGACGATGCAATGGCCAAAAGCCAACGGCAGAGGTTGAGCTGTCTTTAGACGCGAGAACAGAAAACACAGCACTCGGACGGGTCAAGATCAACTGGTCAGTAATGAAGGTAAGGGTAGGTAGGTAAGCTGGAAGGCAGGAAGGGTAAGATAGATGGGGTAATCCAGTGGGTCGGGGGCGATATATGCGCGGTTTGGCAAACCGGAGCCGTTGAACGAGTCTGGCGCTTCAAAGCCACTGGTAGTGTGTGTACTTTGTCAGGCTTGTAACTCCGTACGATGGTAGGATGCGATGCGATGCGGATACATGAAATGTGGGATGTGAAATGTGGGATGGGGATGTGGGACGCGGCCACCTTTCGTGTGGTAGGTATTCGTAAGTACGTATGACTTGCGCAACATCCGACGACATCAATCGGTCCTCTTGTCCTGGGGGCTCATGTTAAATGGAGGGCTAACAACGTAGGTCAGACGCGGAGGGGTCAGGCCACATTCTATTCGGCGGCCGAGGTCGAGGTCGAGGTTGAGGGTGAGGCCGGGGCCGTGGAGGGGGCCGATGTCCATGTTCTGGCCCTCATCACAAAGCATCGTCATCCTAGGCGGACCGACGTCATTGTCCTCTCGGCACCTCAGCTTTTGCCATTTAATCACTGCAGGGCGATGCGAAGCGCGGGGACCAGCTGAGGCGCCTGGACGAATCTGGCAGAGCCTAGAGCCCGGTAAGAGCGGTACCCACTTGCTCTGGGCTGTGCGCCCGCTGTCGATCCCTGCACACAGTCACGCACGTCCCACCCCTTCCAAATCCATCCATTTCGAGTGACTACGTAGAATGGATTGCGCCTTCCATCGAAAAGTGCAGCCACGTTTTTTCCGTGAAGATGGGATGACATTAATCAAGATACTGAAATCGGATAGAATTAAGGCATCTTGTGACTTATACGCACAGGTTTCAGAATGAGCGCCGAGTCCCAGCTCCACGGGTCCTTCGTTTGGGCTTCGGCTCGCCAAACGACCTCCAGTTGACGGGGGTGACCCCTGCACAGTTTAGCTTACTGGAAATCAGACGCGTAGTGCTCCATCCGTCTCTCCGCTTCTGCGCCATCTGACAGCCAGCGAATTGATGTTGCTGTAGAACACCAAGCTGATCACTTGACTCGCCTCACTTGACTCGCTAGACCCTTGCCAAGTTCCCAGCGGTTCTAAAAGCGGTTTAACAAGCCTGTTTCCAGCTAGCTCTCCCTGCCGTGGGCGGCGGACATGGCCCCTCCAGCTTCGACTCGGCAGTCGGCGACGGACACTGGTGCCGTCGAATTTGAGAGCATTTTGAATTTCCGCGACGTTGGGAAGACGATCAACACGTTTCTGGGGCAGAGGTAAAGCGAAACCGACTCCCCATTCAAAAGTTGACATGTGAACTGGCGGGGAAATACCTCCCCCCCTAAATTATGGAATGGCAAGTAACAAACAACCGAATCGCAGGCTCGTTAGGGAAGGCCTCTTTTTCCGATCCGCCCGGCCCGATGACGCGACCCCGGGTGACCGAAGACGGCTAACGGACGAGTTTGGCATCCGCACTGTCATTGACCTTCGGACCACGTCAGTACTTGCTAGCTAACCTTTTGTTTAAGCACCCCCGAGTACTCTCGATCAACAGGGATCCCAGTACTAAACTAAGGGGGCTGCGACCTCGGCCGAGAACAGAACTGAGCACATCAATGCTGCCAAGAAGCACCAGGCTGAGCTTCAAGCAACCCTCCCTCCTGACGGAGCACCAAATGGCGCCGCTGCCGCAGAACTCGCCGAGCCCCTCAAAATCCCGGGGCTCCGGTACCTGGAAATCAAGCTCACCGGGCGTCGATTCGAGCGGTTCCTGTTGAGCCAGTTGACGTGGTGGAGTCTCGTGTAAGTGTCTGCCGTGTCGTGTGTGTGTGTGTGTGTGTGTGTTGCTTGTGTTGGTTTGTCTACAACACTCCCCTTTCTGTGCTCTCGCCCCACCTAGTCCTCGCTTGGGTACGGACGTATACCACTATTGCAAGACAAGACAAGACACCCGACGTCTGCCAAAAGGCGGCAAGCCCCTATTTTTTCTTGGAAAACACAAAGCTTATACGGCTCCGTGCCCCCGCGCGGGACCCCCGAATATAGCAAGTTCCTGTTCCTGTTTGCCTTTGGCTACCGGATGCCGGCCATCGCCATCCTCGGGCGCGAGGTCATGAAGCCGCGGGGAATCGTAGGGCTCGGGCTTGACACCATCGACCAGTCAGGTCCCGAGATTGCCGAGGTGCGTGAAACGGCCACTCTATATCCCGACTCAGATCTTGCTACGTTTGGCTCAACAAAGGCAACCGCGTCGCTAATGAACTAACCAACCACCTAACCAACGAATAGACACTGGAATCTCTCCTCGGGCCTTCAGGCGTGGCACTTCCTGCGCTAGTCCACTGCACGCAGGGCAAGGACCGGACCGGCGTCATCGTGATGCTCGTGCTCATGATACTGGGCATCCCGCAGGCCGCAATCGACTTCGACTACCGGCTTACGGATGAAGCGCTGCTCCCCGAGAAGACATCCAGGCTAGCCGAGATCAGCGAGATCGGGCTGCCGGCCGAGTTCGCGGAGACGTCTGAGGTACTGATCAAGAGGAGCGCTGAGCATCTCGATACCAAGTACGGCGGCCTTGACGGCTACCTGGATGAAATTGGTTTTGACCACGTCAAAAGGGAGAGGCTCCAAGAATTGCTGTCGTACTGATATGTGGCCTTTTCTTCAAAGTCTCAAAGTCCACTAGCGTCAGCCTCACAAGCCCAGATATAAGCAGAGTTAGTTTCAGCACCACAATGCCATGCTCATGCCACCGTAAAGAGAGGTCTGATCATATGGGACCCTTTTGGTTAATGGCTCGTGCCAACATATATCAATTAACACCCGCATTCTTGGTAGCACAACTAGCGGAGCTTTGCGGGCCCCAACTCTTTCCTTATATCCTCGAGTTGCTGGATGCCGTTTCCATAATTTCCCTTCTTCATCCTCCTCTTGCCCCGCATAGAGTACCCGCCGAGGAACTCGTCCAGCAGGCCATCCAAATCCTGTCGGACAGGCCCCGTCACGCTCGATGCGGTTGACATGGCCGACATCTCCGACACGGAGCCCATGTCATCCATATCGCCGTTGTAGTCCTCGTCAATCTTTTCAAAGCGGGCATCCAGTATGCCCAGCTGCTCTGTGCGGAAGAGGGACGAGGATGTCATGGAGTAGTTTGACGGGTTTGTCAGGGCACCGCTCCGCTTCTTCCTCTGCCCGCCATTTGTTGTCGTGGTCCATATTGATGACTGAACCTCTGACTGTGCGGGCGCCGCTTTTGGCTTCTTTTCGGCTTTCTGATCGTTCTTGAACTTCTTGAACTCCTCCAGCCAGTCTTGCGAAACACCCCCTTCCGATTGTGACTGCGGGTTCTTCGTGTCCACGAGCTGGGGCACCTCTCCATCATCCTTGTATTCCCGCGTTGGCTTTGCCGTACAGTCAGATTCCCAGCCTTCGTCGTCCTCCTCAGATTCGTCCCGGTCCAGTTCCTGCCCGTCCTTGGCGAGCTCCTTGAATAAGTCATCGTCCTCGTCGTCTACGTATGCGTCGTCCTCCAGGGCCTCCAACACCTCCCGCAAGCGCGGGTCCATGTCGGGCTGGAATCCAGCAATGACGTCGGGCACATCCTGTTGCGCCTGGTATGTGAGCCGCTGGAGGTTTTTGGAAGGCAGGATCGCCTCGTCGAGCAGATCCTCAGAATCGTTTTTCAGGTCAAGTTGGCGCAGCGCTTCTTCGAGTGGCTGCTGTTTCCCCTTGCCCTTGCCCTTGGCCGCTGCCGCCGCCGCCTTCGCCTCGACAAAGATGGCGTCTCCGGAGCCCTGGCCAATGTCGCGGAGATGCTGCATGTAGTCATACTCGGTGTCGTCATAGTAGACGCCGTAGTTGGCGGCCTCGCCCTCGTTGTCGCGGATGCTCTCGGCGTCGGACCCCAGCTCCGAGGCGAGATCGCCCAGGCTCTTAGATTTCGACCCATAGGCGCGCTGGACGAGATTCAGCACCATCGACGGCGCCGATTCATCGTGGATGAGGGGGTCATTTTGCGGCCGGTGCACTAGGGTGAAGTGCGTAGCCGTCTTCTTGTCGCTGGGCTCATTGTCAGGCCAATTCACTCCTTCACTGGGTGCATGGGGGGGGCAGCCTACATCCACTTTCCTCGCGGCATTTTGGTGTTCTAGAACGGAGTTTCAACAGGAAAAAAAAAGTAATTTCCGGTGGTGTAGAAGTCGGCGGAGACGGCTTGACGAATCCTAGGTGAGGATATACGGAAAGACAGTCTTGGGCAAAGAAGGGCGGAATGGCACCAAATTCAAGGCCTGAGGAGTCACCGATCAAGACAAAATTTTAGTGGGGTAAAAAGACCTATCTTATCGGATCTGGCGAAATTTTGGCGATGGTGGAAATATGCACGGAGTACTAGCAGACAAACAGGGCTGCAAGTTGATAATCTTAGAAATGAATACTAGAATATAGATCCAGAGATTAAAACCAGAATTTGTGTAGAGGTAGTTCCATTACAACTTCTAAAGATAGTAAATACCCCTGAATTCCGTCAGTAGGGCTGTTAAGCGGCAGTAATATTTCTCTTGAGTTAGAGGCTTGGTATCTCTCGTCCCAACTTCATCCTGCCCTAGACTGGGTACATTTTTGCCCCTCCATTTATCAGCAAGCCGAAGCGGGACATTCTACTGCCGTTTGCTGCAAACATCGAAAAGAACGCCCAGATACTACGTTTCCCAGCACTATATCTGTCGATCGCGAGCTTTTTTGAGCTTCGGAATTATCTGTGACAGGAAATCTGCTCTGCAAGCGACAGAGAGCGGCCAGGAACCGACCAAACCAGAACCCGCCGACGCGGCCCTCTTTTCACGATGGTGAAAGCAAAGTCGAAGACGTCCCTCGGGCTGGGAAACACGCTCATGAATGATCGGTTCGGCAAGGGAAAGGGCGCAGACCGGAAGAAGACTTCGTCCATTGTCCGAACCAACCATGAGACGGGCGAGCAGTACATTACGAACGACAGGCAGGAGGCATCGTGGGTCAAGATGCGCTCCGTGACGGAACAGGGTGCCCTCGACGAGTTCCTGGCTACCGCCGAGCTAGCCGGCACCGACTTCACCGCCGAGAAGATGAGCAACGTCAAGATCATCCACACGGACCAGCGGAATCCCTACCTCCTGTCGTCGGAAGAGGAGAAGACGGTACACAACAAGCAGAAGGAGCACAAGCAGAAGCTGACCGTGCCGAGGAGGCCGCAGTGGGATGCCTCGACCACCCCCGGGGAGCTGGACCGCCTGGAGCGTGAGAGCTTTCTTCTGTGGCGGAGGGGCCTTGCCGAGCTCCAGGAGATCCAGGACTTGCTGATGACGCCGTTCGAGAGAAATCTCGAGGTCTGGAGGCAGCTGTGGCGAGTTATTGAACGGTCCGACCTCGTGGTCCAGATTGTCGATGCCAGGAACCCTCTCATGTTTCGCTCCGAAGGGCTCGAGGCATATGTCAAGGATGTCGACCCGAAGAAACAGAACCTGCTTCTTATCAACAAGGCTGACATGATGACGTATAAGCAGAGGAAAGTGTGGGCAAACTATTTGAAGGATGAAAACATTGCCTACACCTTTTTCTCGGCCAATATGGCGAAGGAGTTGCTCGAACTTGAAGAGGCAGAGGGGGGACTTGGAGGCCCTCAGAATGGTGGGGAGGGTGCCTCGGTCCCTAGCAAGGCCGTTGCGCCGGTGGAGACTGTTTCTTTTGCTCAAGGTAGCGGAGACGAGTCATCAAGTGAAAGTGAGGAAGACGAGGAAGAGAACGGAAGTGACGAAGACAACAACAACAACGACAGTGAAGCAGAAGCAAGAAAGGAGGAGGAGGACGAAGACACACGGATTCTAACAGTTGACGAATTGGAAAACGTCTTCCTAAAGTTTGCCCCCAAAGACTCAGGTAAGTTGGTCGTATGAACGTACCCCAATACGTACTCTACAGTACTAACCCGTTGAACCCAGATCACAAATTTCAGGTTGGTCTGGTCGGCTACCCCAACGTCGGAAAGTCTTCCACCATCAACGCCCTCACTGGAGCCAAGAAGGTGTCCGTCTCTGCGACACCGGGAAAGACCAAGCATTTCCAGACAATCCACCTAAGCGACAAGGTCATTCTATGCGATTGCCCGGGCCTCGTTTTTCCCAATTTCGCCAATACCAAGGCTGAATTGGTGTGCAATGGCGTTCTTCCCATCGATCAGCTGCGAGAGTTCACCGGACCGGCGTCGCTCGTGGCCCGGAGAATCCCGCAGTCCTTCCTCGAGACCGTCTATACAATCAAGATCCGCACTAGACTTCTAGAGGAAGGTGGCACTGGCATTCCCACCGCTGAGGAGCTGCTAAGCTCGTATGCCCGCCACAGAGGCTACATCACTCAGGGATTCGGCCAGCCAGATCAGTCGAGAGCCGCGAGGTACATCCTGAAGGATTACGTCAAGGGAAGGCTCCTGTACGTTGAGCCGCCCCCGGACCGCGACATCGATCCCAAGGAGTTCAACCGCGAGCTTTACGACATGTCGCATCTCCCCGAGAGCAGGCGCGCTGCCTGGGCGGCCGTCATGGCCTCGGAGCAGGCTGCTCACGAGCTGGTCGAGAACCGCGCCGCAGCCGCCGCTGCTGGTGGCACCGACGCTGACGGCGACGACGACCTCTTGGCAGACGTGGTGGCCCTCCCACAGGGCGCAAAGTCCAAGCGGCTCGACCGGACCTTCTTCAAGCCCGGCGCGTCGACCGACGCGGGCCGTCTTAAGATGCCCTTCCAATACAAGTACACGGAGCAGGGCGCGACCCAGCCGTCGGGGAAGCACATGAGCGGGCGCAAGATGCGCCAGATGATTGCGGACGAGCAGGGGATTGATGTGAAAGATGTCCAGCTCATGACGGGAAAGAAGCATTTCAAGGGTGGGCAGACGGCAAGGGCGAAGCGCCAGGCAAACAAGGTCGAGGAGGATTAACGGTCTCGTTTGGTGGTGGGTTGATGGACTGCTATATACCCAATCTCGTGATGTCAAGAATAAAAGATGTATATAAAAAACCAAGACAAGGCATGATTGCATTACTGCCGGGAGATGGTTCGTTGGACAGACCGTTAGAGAGACTCGACGGCGTTTGCTGCCTCGTCCTTGTCCAAAGCCTCGTCCTTGTCCAAAGCCTCGTTGCTCTCGTTGGTAAGCCCGCCCAGCATCTCCTCCTCCCCAGCGCCGCCGTTGCTCGACGAGCTGAAGGATGTCGAAGCGGTACTTGACGACACAACGCCCAAAGGCAGCGACCCAGTGCCCCATATCAACGCAATGAGCTTCCGCTCCAGCTTGGCCGCCATGGGAACAAGCTGCTGCACATCGTCGTGCCAGACCAGGAGCACAGCCTCACGCCGCACCAGGCTGGCGTACTGGAACTTCTTGACGTTGGAGTGCGTCATGGACGCAAACGACTCGCTGACCTGCAGCTGCGAGCCGTCTATGAATTTCAGTTCTGTCTGCTCTGGACCCAGGGTCTCGACGATGCTGTCGAGAAGCTCCGGCTTCATCGTGAATGCTGCCGTCACGTTGAGCCGCGACACGCATGCCACGAGCTCCGGGTTGATGTCCGACGGGAGCATGATATAGTGGCCCCGCGACTTGCGGTAGAGCACGCATAGGCCACTCTGCTTTTGGAGCCTCGGCTCGACTGGTATCCAGCCGTTGGACACTATTTGTTTCCTGAGGAATTTCAGTATGTGGTCGAGAGCCTGGCATGGCATGTCAGTGCATGTGCGTGTGTGTGTTGTTGGTTCCAGACAGTGGATTATTTGGTCTGATTTTTTTCTTTTGTAAATGTAAATGCACGCACGACGTACTGTGTTAGAATGGAGCTCTTCGTTGAATGACGTCGTCGTGGATGTCCTGGGGTTAGTTGATGATGATGTCGACACGGCACTGCCAGAGGCGCTGCCGCTCTGCTGGTCAGACGGCTGGGACATGGTGATGGTCTGGGTGGGTGTATATCTGGAGGAGCCAGCAAGCTGGTACCCGGATCGGGGAGCAGTGAGGCTAAGTACTTTGCCGCTGCTGGTGAAAACGGGTGGTTTTCGGTCTTGTTGCTCAGCTTCCCGATAGCTTCTCGACGGCTGAGGTTATTGATGGAATGGTGAAAGAATGGGGTCCGGGGACATATTGGCGAGCTAAACCTGTCACGGGCGTGATGACGGGCTGCATGCTGCAAGTGACGGACTGTACATACCGAGACTCGTGGGATCTTGTTCGTCGTCCGCTTCAGCCGTGTCGTTCTCTTCGACAACGTCTTTAGCGTCTTCCACATCTTCACCTTATTCGTCGAGTACATCATCTACGACGTCCAGGACTTGCCTCTCATATTCTACCGCTGTTGTAGCAACTACTTCCTCCACCTCCTCGAAATCGTCCGATTCAACATTGGGCCTTCGTTCTTGGGCTTGCGACGTCTACAACCCCGTCCACGAGCTCTTTGACCTCTTTGAGCACGACTTCTGTCAGTTATAGCATCAGTGCCAGTAATAGCTCTACTTCTAGTTCTGTTCTAGCAACCAACAATGCCCCTGCCTTGATTTATGAGTGCCAAACAAAGGTGTGCGATGATGAGGCTTCGAATTTGTGAAGCGGTAGCAATATGACACAAGTGTATGTGTCATCTTCTTAACAAAATAAAAAGTAGACGCATAGTCTTAAAAGGGTGGTTAATGGTGTTGGGAGGAGTCGTGGTGTGCTTGGAGAGATCAACATGTCATGCCGATAGATCCATTTGTACATGATAAATTTTCTTTTTAGCACCAGTAGAACTTGATTTCACTCATCTAGTACTCAGCCCGCCATATTAGCTGCGAAGAGTGACTTCATTTCATGTTGAATCAAAACAACGGTGTTTGGGTTGGCGGCTGGCAAAAGGGGGTGGACGAAGGAGAAAAGGGGTTGACTAACCCTAACCCGGGCGTGCCATATAGAGCTAGTAATTGGGATGACCCAGAAAAATTATTGGCGTCGCGACTCGGGCCTGCATCGCAGCTCTGGGCCCCAAAAAAGATCACACCAGACCTTCGCAGCTCCGGCCATACCCAATTCCTCCGTCCCCCTCGGTCGCTGCTCCGAATCCGGCAATGGCGGGCCTCCGTGAGGTGTCCAGATCGGCGCACAGCCTGTCGCTCTCCCAAATACTGCGACTGGGCCAATCATGTTGGGCGTGCCAGCGACGGAGCTCGTCGACCGAGACCAAGCCTGACCAAGCCGCCCTCGGTGTCGTGACCCACTCGTCCTTCGACATCCCCCAGCTCACCCCCGAGCAAAAGGCCACCTTCAGGCCATGGAAGCGTGCCGCAGACAGGAAGTTTAACCTTCCCAGCAGCAGGTGAGCAACAGCCGCAGCAGCAGCAGCTACGACGACTGCGACTGCAGGAGGATGAGGACGAGGACGAGGACAAGAGGACTGTCGCAGCTGACTCGAGGCCATCTTAGATACCAGTACCATCCCCCCAAGTACAACCGCGGCCCATTGCACCCTATCCAGTCTCCGATGTCGTCGGACCCCATCGCCCGAGACTTCGTGCCGGGCCCCTTCAACTTGCCAAGGCTGAAGCAGACGTACCAGTCAACCGTCGCTCCGGACCTGATGACGCTCGCGTACAACCACGTGCCGCCCGGAACCAAGAACAAGGAGCCGCCGGCCGACCGGCTGCGCGGCTGGGACGGGTCGTCGCCATACCACGAGAACCGTCAGAAGCGCGGACCCCGCGGGGCTCCCGTGTTGCCCATCCGCGAGCGCAACATCACCTTTCGCAACATCCCCGAGATCAAGGAGATCACCGTCTCGGCCTACGTGCCCGAGGCGCTCAAAAACGACGACCACCTGGTCGTTGCCCGCACTGTGGTACTCAACCTCACGGGCGCCATGCCCGAGATCACAAGGACACGAAAGAGCGTCGTCCAGTGGGGCATCGTAAGTGGCAGGCCCGCCGGCGTCAAGGCCACCATCTACGGCAACGCTGCCTACGAGTTCCTCGACAGGTGCACCCAGCTTGTTTTCCCGCGAATCAAGGACTGGAAGGGCATCAAGGGTGCGTGCAATTACCCAAGCTTATTATCTATCACCCTACGCACATGAACCTCCCCCCCTTTTCACCGCTCCCCTGCTAACGCTTCTGTTTCTCCTCTTGATAGCCACCACGGGAGACAGCTCTGGCAACCTGTCTTGGGGCCTCAACCCCGAAGACGTCGCCCTGTTCCCGGAAGTGGAAGCGTCCTACTCTGTAAGTCTCCTCAACTCCATGCCAAAACGTTTCTCAGGGACAAATACTGATACGTGCTATGTTTTTTTGCAGGTATTCCCAGCAAAGGTAAAACCCTTAGAACGGCTACTTTGACGCTGATTCTTATCTGCAGCCCCCTTTATGCTGGCAGTCTCCGTGTGCTAACCGACTGTCCAGATGATCCCCGGCGTCAAGATCTTTGTAAAGACAACAGCAACTTCCGACAGGCAGGCAAGGTTACTGCTGCAGGCTATGGGCATTCCGTTTTACGGAGAGATTCGGAACTGAGGAGGACGGGCAGAGAGATAGACTCTGCGTGTCTGATTCTTTAAATGTATAATACAAGACCAAAAAGGAGAAACCACCCGGTGTTATGTATGTTTGTAACGACACACGCACGCACGCATGTCAGCAGCTATCTCGAAAGCTTGTGGGCGGTTTGGCATAGAGCAAGCCCCTCTCACTCGATTCGCCATGGAAAACACGGGGATTGTTTAGAGCAAGATGCGAAATGTAGATCAAAATGTAGTTTGCCGGCCGCAAAACATGTGAAGTTTCTGGCTTCCACATCTTGTTCACTTTCGTTCTTCACGATCCCTCATCTATTTGTTCCTTGTACTAGGTATAATGTTATGCCCTCTTCCCCCAAACAGAATCCTTCCGAGCCTACCTTAGCAGTCCATAAGTAGGCGTAGTTCAAGAGGTACGTATATATATGTACTAACTATCCGAAAACGCCGCCAAAAATGCCATGCACAGAGATCCGTCCGTCCGTCCTGTTCCGTGTGTTTTCTCTCCTTTTTTGCTATTCTTCCCCCCCACAAGATATTCATACCGCCGCAGAAGCAGCAGCAGCCTCGTTGACCTTGTTCCTCAGCCCGTTTATGACCTCGTCGACGGCATCCATGTCGCTCGCGTCGATCTTGCTGCTAGCGCCGCCGTAGCCTAGCTGGCCTAGCTGCGCGACCGTCTCATCCATAGCCGGCTGGTAGTTGCGCACGGCGCTGCTGAGGGCGTAGATAGCCTTGCGGCGGACGGCGGGGGTCTCGGCGTCGGCAAGGGCTAGCGCGGCCAGCGGCGCAATGCCGCCGACGGCCACCAGGCGCTCCTGCGTGCGCTCGTTGTTCTGCACCGCTGTGCCCACGCACCACGCTGCCATGCGCCGGAACTCGGCGTCGCCGTGGCCCAGCAGCTCCACCAGCGGCTTCCACAGCCCCAGGTTCTCCAGGTTATTGGCGTTGTCCAGGCTCTCGATCAGCTGCTCAAAGTTGTCGAACGCGATCAGCCGGTTCTCCGCGTCCACCTCCGCGTCCGCCGACGTGATCACCTCGATCGCCGCCTTCATCAGCTCCGACTCCGACGGGCCCCCGAACAGCGCTGCTATGATCTCCGGGTTCAGTTGGCTGCGCGACGCCGCCGACGACACCCCGGTTGGCGCGGCTGCGACGGCGCTGGTGGTGTCCCCGTTTGCTTCTGGCGCCGCCGTTATGGCTGTTGCCGTTGCTGTCGTCGTTGCTGGCGCCCCATTTGGCTGCTCTCCCACCGGCGGCGTCGAGTGCTCGATGCCCCATTTGAGGAGGCTGTTAAGGTTTCTGTCCATTTTTTTTATTTTATTTTCTGGTCCGGCGATGGAGGGGTGGAGGGGTTGTTTTTTTTGGCTAGGTCGGACTGTGGTGCTCGCTTTGCGGCAGACTTTTCTTTGCGCAAAAAAAAAAAAGACAAATATCTGGATGTTTTCGGTTACACGTGAATGGCGTGTTATCGGAATGATAGTGGTATTGCAGAATTTTGGATTTGTCTGGCAAAAGCGAAATATCTGCCCAAGGCTTTTGCTTCCCAATCCCCCCAGGTTACAAACAAGGTCCCCTTCTCTGCGGTTCGCGAATCTTCAAGAAAACGTCTGTCCCAAACGGGCTTAGCGCAAGGCCCCCGCACCGCTCTAAATCCCCTGTGACAGCGGCCCAACCCACGAAAAATTAGCCCTCGAAGTGAAAAACGTAGAGATAAAATGGAAAGGCTGATATTTTTCAAGGAAGGCGTTATGAGTTGTTCAAGCAAATCGAGTCACGTTGAGATTGAAGATCCGGCCTATCTTTACCCTGTACAGAGTATTCCCCAGCTAATCCGAATAGGCAAGGTGGAGCGTTGCAATTGCAGAATTGCAATTCAACAGTTTCTCGTTGGTCTGTGCGTCTCACAACCCCTCCACAAAATAAAATAAAAAGTGGGAAACGCTGCCCCACTTGACCTTTGCCCCTCGTCGCCGCTCTGATGTGGCGGGGAATAGCTTCAACAATAGGAGGCCCCATCCCGAAAACAGAAACGAACGGCTAGGGAGGCCTTTCCTTTCAGCCAGGCGGCCGCTGGCTGACCTGATATTTTCCCTTTTAGGTGGCAGCTTTTGGGCACTTCGCTCGTTGAATTTGGTTTTGATGTCCCCTTAGCCTAACCTCCGGAGTAGTGACGTACACTGCTGCACCCCCAAAATCCTACTGCCTGACAAGATATCGCGGTGTTTCTGGTTCAGCCGCAAGGGGTGCACAGATAACGTGCTTCTGAGCTCAGTGCCATCCACGCCTGGAGTAGAAGAAATCCTACTGGATCCCGCTTGAATCGCGGACAAACCCGTAGCAATAAACCTGCTATTAAGGCGTCGGTTGGTCTGAAACCCTGTTTCGAAGTTTGGGGGGAAAACATCCCGCTTTAGGCCCCGAACCTACCTTACGCACGCCTTGTAGCCGGAAGGACGGGCGCCTAGAAGACAAGACAAAGCTTCTAGCCGGGCCTTCAGAAGCTGCCTGCTTGGCGTGACAGCCCCCAGCGGTCTTTACACATAGTTTAGGTTCCGGATGGCGAGCGAAGTAAAACACTTGCCTTGGAGCATACGTCAGCTCTTCCGTAGGGCTCGTCGCCGCCCGTCCGATCTTGAGACGGCCCGGAGTGCATGGGGCATATTCCGTACTCGTTTCTAGAATTAGATAGGCCGCCTACCTTAGGCAAAGCATAGCCCCCAATGCTGGGCTGTCTTCTCATCCCCTCGCCAGGATCGTGATAACGTCTTGGGGAGTTCTTTGGGCATGAGACTCCCACACCAATAACTAAAACAATTTGGGTTACTGATTGTCTCGATGGGTTTCGCGTCAGATGAGCATGGTGTTTTTAATCAGACGAGGGCTCAGTTGACGGGAGATAGAGGGGGGTTGTCGAACATCTGACCCCCTCCACAAATCCACACTTGATATGAAAGGTGTGCCAAGAGCGTTCTGATATTTGTCGCTGCCTACCAGATGGTGTCGGAGAGGAACTAATTGCTCGCCGTGAAACCCGGACATATCTATTCTATCCTGCAACCTAAGCCCTGGGTTAAGGTAGGTTAAGTAGCCGTATTCGTAGTTGGGCAGGTAGCCAGGAAACCCCGTCCCCAGCCACAGTCAGTGACGACGCTGTGGCCTACCCCGAACCCCAACCTCACGCTCGCACGCACAGATGCGCCATTAAAGCGGCAAGAGGATCCCTTGTCTCTCCCAATTAGGCGGGCAGGTAGCAAAACCCACAGCACACCAGCGCACAGCCCATTACCGCCCACGCCACGCCCGCTGTCGGTCACTGTGCACTGGCACCGGCTGGCGCTTCTGCAGCCCACAGCTTTCCCGCTAGTGACATCGCAGGGGACCCAACCTTTCCTTCCCTTTCTCGCACATCCTCCCCCCTCAAACCCACATCGACCTAAGGAACTGACCTTAAATTCACCTCCCCTTTCCAACCTCGCGCCGCAGCATCCAGCAATTTTTTCTTCTCTTGCCTCTTCTCCGTCTCAGGTAATCGACACCATTACATCCTGCTCTGACGATCCGGGCATTGCACAAGCCTAATATTAACTTTTGGTGGCATTTTCCAGTTGGACCTATCTCGAAAGACCACCCCTTTCGCAATCACTCTAATCTATCACCATGGAGGGTACGTACTGCATTGCCCGCCTGTCAAGGTGGCCTTTCCCGATCGTCATCCATCTCCGTCCGTCGTACATGGTCCCGAACACTTGCTGATTGAGCGTTTTGCAATCTACAGAAGAAGTTGCTGCCCTCGTTATCGACAATGGGTAAGCCAAGCAGAACCCCCACCCCCGCCTCGTCTCACCGACTCTCGTGTGTGTCCTGGCCGAGGCGCTCCTCGACCGACCAAGCTGCTCTGCCGAGGCCGAGTCCGAGCCTGTGTCTCTGCACTACCTTTTCCGCCCATCAATACTTTGTCGAGTGATGGATGCTGACCCGCGAATAGCTCTGGCATGTGCAAGGCCGGTTTCGCCGGTGACGATGCTCCCCGCGCCGTCTTCCGTAAGTTCCCCTGCCCATCTCAACCACCCCCGCCAGCCTTGTGCCGACAGAATGGCCTCGAGGAGCTTCGAGTACCCAGGCTAACACTATGGCTCAGCTTCTATTGTGGGCCGTCCTCGCCATCATGGGTATGTCGTGAACCCCGCACTCGTGCTTCCGCAACATCGTAGTGCATCGGCTGACCGCTCTCCAGCATCATGATCGGCATGGGCCAGAAGGACTCGTATGTCGGTGATGAGGCGCAATCCAAGCGTGGTATCCTGACGCTTCGCTACCCAATCGAGCACGGTGTCGTCACCAACTGGGACGATATGGAGAAGATCTGGCATCACACCTTCTACAACGAGCTCCGTGTCGCCCCCGAGGAGCACCCGGTCCTGTTGACAGAGGCTCCCATCAACCCCAAGTCCAACCGTGAGAAGATGACACAGATTGTGTTCGAGACCTTCAACGCCCCTGCCTTCTACGTCTCTATCCAGGCTGTCCTGTCGCTGTACGCCTCCGGCCGTACCACTGGTATTGTGCTCGACTCTGGCGATGGCGTCACCCACGTCGTCCCCATCTACGAAGGTTTCGCTCTCCCGCACGCCATTGCCCGCCTTGACATGGCTGGCCGTGACTTGACCGACTACCTGATGAAGATTCTGGCTGAGCGCGGCTACGCCTTCTCCACGACGGCTGAGCGCGAAATCGTCCGTGATATCAAGGAGAAGCTCTGCTACGTCGCCCTTGACTTTGAGCAGGAGATCCAGACGGCGGCCCAGAGCTCCAGCTTGGAGAAGTCGTATGAGCTCCCTGACGGTCAGGTTATCACCATCGGCAACGAGCGATTCCGTGCCCCCGAGGCACTCTTCCAGCCGTCCGTGCTCGGCTCCGAGAGCGGCGGTATCCACGTCACCACTTTCAACTCGATCATGAAGTGCGATGTCGATGTCAGAAAGGATCTCTACGGAAACATTGTCATGGTAAGCTACCGGCTTGTCGTTTACAATTTATGGCGAGATGCTAACTTTTGTCTAGTCTGGTGGTACCACCATGTATCCTGGTCTCTCGGACCGTATGCAGAAGGAGATCACTGCTCTTGCTCCTTCGTCGATGAAGGTCAAGATCATTGCTCCCCCCGAGCGCAAGTACTCTGTCTGGATCGGTGGATCAATTCTGGCGTCCCTGTCCACCTTCCAGCAGATGTGGATCTCCAAGCAGGAGTACGACGAGAGCGGCCCGTCGATTGTGCACCGCAAGTGCTTCTAAGGTATGCAACCCATCTAGACGTCTTGTTCTGTGTGAGCTCAGGCTGACGATGCTTTTGGGGGCACAGCGGTTTGAGAAGTTTAAGACGGACACCAGACGGTGGCGGCCCCGAAGTTATCAGCAGCGCCATGGGTCACTTCGGCCTCGCGCATGTAATTCGTGAACGAGTCTCATATTTCCAAAAAGTTTTGACGCAGGTCAAGGATTGGGGCGTCTCCTCTCCGTTTGGAAGACACGGCAGCTTTTGTTTCCCGGGCGGGTGGATGCGGATGCGAATGCGAATGCGAATGACGGCGCGGACAAGTAGGCCGAGGTTTATCATACACTTTTTTTACTTTTTTTTGCTCCCTACCAAGCCATTGTTGTGGATGAGTTACCCCATTTCGTAGTTGGCGATTACCGTCAAGATGTCTTTAGAGCTCATCAGGAATACAAGGGAAGAGGTTATGCAGCTCTTGCAGCGCTGAGAACCTTTGTCGTCGTGTCTCGGTTTTTATTATGCCAATGTGTGACATTTCTAGAATCACGCAGCCTTGGTCGGAGACTCTGGTATTTCAGGCTCGTCGACCGCAGCGTTGGCGTCGGCTTCGGCCTCCCCGAGCTCGCGGTATTTTCTACGACTCTTCTTTATCCCGCTCTCGGTCCTCTTCTTGTGTACAGCTGCTACAATAGCCGAGCGGCTCTGGTCTCCATTGACGAGATCGTCGACTTTGGTCGCGAGCAGCTCTCGCGCAATTTTACGGTTCTGAGTGCGCGAGCGCGTTGCCTGGCACTTAACCACGATGCCTGTGACCTTGTGCTTGAGCTGGACAGCCGAGTTTGTTTTGTTCTGCAGTGGTTTGGTTGTAGGAGTGAGCCAATATACTGAAGCTAGGGAGGAGATGTAGGACGTATTTAGGTAAGTAATTAATCAGGTACGCACAATCTTTTGCCCGCCTGGCCCGCTGCCCTTGAGGAACGACTCCTCGATCTCGTTCTCAGGCGGTGGCTTGGGCCGCGGCGGCATCTGCTTTTGGGACAGCCGTGGGCATGTCGAGAAGGTGCGCTGTGCCGCTGCTGCTGCTGCTAGGGTGAAGGGTGGGAAAATGGTGGTGCATGGTGTCAAGGTTGCTGCTGCTGTTGCTCTTTGTAGAAAGGCCATGACTGGTGGCTACATGTCGTGGGATTGGCGGCTTCTGTTCGGTGAGCTCTCATAGGGGCACGCTCGAGTTTGAGTTCGGGCCGTCGAGGTCGATAGTTGATGGGGTTTGCATGGTACGTAACAGCGATAAATACCTTACCTAGTTTTAGGTAAGCGATTAACGATGAAATTAAAGTGGGGAACGACCAATGAGTTCCATTTGCGCCAGCCGCTTACCACCTGTCAAGCAGCAAATTTCAGCCGCAACCCTGCAGATGCCGGGCAATCCGATCCGCTGGTGAAAGTCGCCCGACGGGGGGCTAGCCGTAATAAAGTTGCAGCATGCCGGCGCGCAAACGAACTCTCAACCTCCCCGGTATTCCGCACTCAACATCGTCGCCCTCAAACGCCAAATAGCCAGCACGTCCGGTTCTATTTTTGCCTTTCCCACGATAGCCCCAATTCAACAACGGAGGAAAATCTCAACCAAGCACCCCGACATACACGACTGCTGTCATTGCGAGGGGGGGAATAATAGGGGGGAAGCAATCCATCACGACTTACTTCAAAGAACAAATTCGACGCGCGTCGCAAAGCAAAAAGACGACCCTTGTTTCCGAACATAGAGACACATACACCACCAACAAACACGCAGCAGCCATGTCATCGTACCTCGAAGCCTTCAGCAAATGGCTTAAGCTCAAGATCTACCAGCTCGAGGTCACGCTCAGCGTGTACATCTTTACGCCGATTGAGAAGTTTATCTTTTGTCAGTCCCCCCCCTTTTTTTTTATTTACCCAACAAAAAACTAACTGCCATGTAACAAGACTCGGTCCTCTTCCTCATCGTCAGCCTAACCTTCATCGCCACCGTGCTCTACCTGCCGCAGCACGTGCAGTTCGTGCTCAGCCGCGCATGGTTCTACATGAACGGCGACGCGCCGCAGGAATCGGCGGCGGCGGCGGCGGCGGCGGCAGTGCAGCACATCGTGGCCAAGTCTGCTGCCGTCGTGACGGATACGGTTCAGGCGGTGGCGGCGGCGACGGGGGGGATTGTTCGGGAGCTGTGATTGATCGAGATCGAGTTAGATGGGTAGTATCGGGGCGGGTAATATTGGTCTCCTGAGTAATTGTTTTAGACGCTCTGCTGTTTTTCCCCGCTAGAACTCAGCAAAGTATAAGGGGATAGTAGACCGGGAGAGTCGGGGGGGGGGGTTGTCTGGGATCAATACGAGGGGGGGCTTTGTCACCTGGCTCTGGCTCTGGCTCCGTCCCCCCGTTGGACACCGAAGACCGCAACTCAATGGGCACTGCTGCCGCGCAACTTCCTCCAGCACCACCACCCGGCCCCCTCTTCTCTCAGCTCGAAGCACCCACCCTACTTCGTTTCCACCACGGCCCAAGTTTCGCACTAGGCGAGTTGACGACAAGGCAATGGTGCCTGGGTGGCTATCGCAGAAAGTGTACGTTTCTTGTTTTGTTCAACAACTAAGGCAGGTTGTTTTGCGGCGCTCTTTTCTTTTGTTTGCTGCTTGTATGGTTTTTCATACATGCGAGAAAGGGGGGGCGTATTTGTTTTTTTTGGACGGGGACGGGTTTTTGCATAGATAGATATACGGCGGCATATACATAGTACGTTTATATATATATATATATATATATACAGATGGGATGGAAGGCATGGGGCTATGACTAGCCGGCGGCGGCGGTATACAGAGAAAGTCTCGCTCAAAGAGGGAGAAGAGAAGGATGTCTGTGGGATTAAGTGTCACAAGAGGGCGACTGATACGACAACAAGAATAATAACTTTTAATGCACACCACAAAATAGCTATCCGAAGAGCTACCTGATCTATCTATCCCAGTTCTATACGCCGCCGGTTTTTTTCCCTTTTCCTACCTCTTGTCCTTCCCCCGCCATGTCGGGCAGATGAAGTGAAAACAAACACATTTTGCGCTCTTTTCTCTCTACTGTTGTCTCACCTCCACGCTCCCACGTCGAGGCAGATGTGGTAAGGTGTGATAGGTGATAGGTGATATAACATACCCATCTGGCTTCACTCGACCGACTCTCGATCCCGCGACGCCTGGCGCAGCGGCAGCGCCATCTGCCGCCCGAGAGAGACCGAGTAGATGCGGAGCGAGCCGTCGGCTCCCGCGATAGCGAGCTCGTGGTTGATGTTATCTTGCTGCTGCTGGCCTCCGCTGCCGCCGTCGGTTTCGCTGCTTGCTTCTCCTTCCTCTCCTCCCCCGTGACGGCCGACCGGCGGCCGCCAGGCGAGCTGGAGCACGGCCTTAGGCAGACACAGCTCGGGCGCGACGCTGGCCACGCGCGACAGGGAGACCTTGCCGCCGCCGTCCTCGGCGGCGATGGAGAACAGCGAAAGGTGGCCGGCCTCGGACCCGACGGCGAGCAGCACGCTGCCGTCTGCGGAGGATGGCGTCGGGAAAAAGTCGAGCGCCGTCACGGCGTGCCCCTGCAGCGTAAGGCCCGCGAGCACGAACTCATCCTTGCAACCCCCGCCCGGCGCCACCGGCCGCCACTTGACCCATGTTATCACCTGCCTGTCGCGCCCGGCCGTCGCGAACAGCTGGAGAGACTGCTGCTCCTGCTGCTGCTCTCCTTGGGGCGCTTCGGGCAGGGGCAGGGGCAGGGGCGGCGCCCACGCCGCGTCAAGAATCATGCGCGCGTGGCCCTTGGGGTTCGCCTGCAGGAGCTTGTACTCTGTGGTGCTGGCGGGGCCGCGCGCGAAGATGGCCCACTGGCGGTCGCGGCCGACGCTGAGCAGGTGGCTGTCGTCGGGGGAGAATCGCAGGCGTGTGACGGTGAGCGAGTGGGCCGTCAGCGGCGGCTTGATCTCGGTCCAGTGCTCCGTCTCGAAGAGGCGGATGACGGCGTGGTTGACGCTGCTGGCCTTGCAGGCGCTGGCGACGAGGCGGCCGTCGTGGCTCGTGGCCAGGCACGAGATCTCGTAGCCGTGTCCGTACAGCTTCTCCACTTCGGGCCACAGTGTGTGCCGGCTCAGGCTCTCCTCGAACGGCGGGTGGTCGATGTCGAGCGCCGACTTGCGCACCACGTTGGCGGGGTCTACGGCCTCGCGGTCGTCTGCCAGTTGGTGCTGCTGCTGCTGCGCGAGCGCCGCGTCGTCGTCGTCGTCGTCGACCACGTCAATGGCCTTGTTGGACAGGCCGAGCACGGGCATGTTGGCAGCGTTGGGGAACGCCGCCAGCTGCGACTCGTCCCCGGTGCCGGCGCCGGTCAGGCGGTTCAGCATCACGGCGACGGCCTTGGGCTCGGTGAAGACGCGCATGAGCTTCTCGTCGGCGCCCGACACGAAGGATGAGGCCCCGAGCGAGTCGATGCAGTTGAGGTCGTAGCCGTGGATCTGCGGGCGCGACATCTCGTGCCATGTCTTCTCGAGGCTGCTTCCGGTGGCCGCCGGCCTTGCCCACTCGGCGTGGACCCTGGTTGTCTGGTCCGAGCTTGTCGACAGGAGGTACGCGCCGTCTCGCGACCACGAGATGCCCGTCACGGCCCTCGTGTGGCCCGACACGGCAATGTTCTGCTTCCACATGTCCTCGACGGCATCGTAGTCCCAGCGCCGCCAGCTGCCCGTCCGTCCCATGGTCACGACGGTGGTTCCAGAGGGCGACCAGAGGCCGGTCCAGAAGCCGCCTATGCTCCCCGTGGCCGTGGTTGCCCCCTTTTCCCGGCTCACCTCTCCAAGCCGGGCGCCGGTGATCCAGATACCCGAGTCTTGGTCCGACTCCCAGATGGACAGAGAGTTGTCGGCCGAGGCGGAAAGCAGCTGAAGCTTTCCGACCCCTCGGGCGTCATCGGCGGCGGGTGGCGCGCGCGACCATTTTGCGCTGTAGATCCAGTCTTCGTGGCCGAGGAGGAGGGCCTCGAACATGATGCAGTACTTGGTCGCTCCGGCAGCGATTTTGTGGATCTTGTTGCCGGGCGTCAAGGCGTCAGCCGAGACGGCCATGCCGGCCGCGCCCAGGGCCGACAAGGCCGAGCCCTGATGCAGGCGCCACAGGCGGATGTACTTGTCCTGGCTCGCCGAGGCCAAGAGGAGGTCGCTCCCCGGCTCGGGGCTCTCTCTGACGAAATCCAGCGACCGGACCCAGTTCTCGTGTCCCGGTAGGGTGGCCTGCAGGGTGAACTGGGGGGCCGCGTCGCCGGTCTCCCCTTTCGAAGCCGTGAAGATGTCGACGACATTGGTGGTTCCGGCAACGGCCAGAACGATACCAAGTCCGTCGTCTCCCAGCGGGCTCAAAGCAAGGGCGAGCGGCAGGTACTTTTTGGGGGTCTTGATGATCTGGAGGAGGACGAGGCCGTCCATTCCAAACGTCCAGACCTTGATGGTGGCGTCGGCGGCGCCCGAGACGAAGATGGGCCTCGGGGGCCTCGCACCGGTGTCGGGCCCAAGGGCGAGGGCTGCGATGCAGTTGATGGGCGCCGTGTGGCCCTCGACCGTCTGCAGGCACGATGCGGCGCCATGTGGCGCGGCGGTTTCGAGAGCCCAGAGGCGAAGGGCCTTGTCGTCTCCTCCGCTGACCAAGTAGGATGTGGACGGGTCATCTGGCAGCTTGGGGAGAAACTTGACGGCACGCACGTGCGCCTTGTGGCCGCTGAGGATGTGTGAGATGCCTCTGCTCTTCTGCAAAGATGTGGTTAGTTTGGGCTGGGGAGTTCCACGGACGAGGAGGAGAGGGAGAGACGTGTGAAGCTATTCGCAAGTCCGAGCAGGGCAAGGCAGGGCAGGGCAGGGCAGGGCAGGGCAGCCAAGGTAGATGATGACTACTGTCTGTTTTTCTTCTCGGTTTGTAGTATAAAACATGATAACATACCGCGGGATTCCAGATGCAGATGTTAGAGTCTGCGGCAAAGGCGACGAGGCCGTCGTCGCCCCAGTCAGTAGCAGCCGTGTATCGGTTGGCGCCCGCTGAGAGATAGCGACTCTCGACAGTGGCTTGGGCCATGGCCGCTATATCTCTGTCTGGTCTGTATTCTACACGTCTTTTATTTTCTCTCTCTCTTTAAAGCGTTTCGTCTTTCTCTTCTTGTAGAGATATTTCGGTGAAGTTCTAAAAGGTCAAGCAAGAAGCTTTCACTGCCAATTAGTGTTTGCCTGAAATCGTAATTCTAACTGGCTCCTGACCTCGAGCCTGAAATGTTCTAGGCCGGTGGTCTGAGTTGGTGTGAGCGACCGACTAACTGACTGACTGACTGACCGACTGCATGCCCGATGAGTTCGTTGATTGATGGTCAAGAAACGCTATCGACTCAGGTAATTACCGTATCTTACCACCGTCGTCCACAATTTCTGTCTGTACTGGGGTTACACTGGGCACCTCAGGTTAGTTGGGGGAAAGGCCCATTGATTGCTTGGGCCAAAAGCGGGTCCCTACCCCATCAGCCCAATGTTACCGGGGAAGAAACCTCCAGATCACTGTGCCTTAGGTTTGCTTTTTGTCCCCAGATTTTCGGGAATTTCTTATTTCAAGTACCTGACCTACTTGAGGTACGTACCGACCTTACCTACACCCGTCCTGCACTGCAGGCACGCACTGAGCTGCACGGCGCTGCACTGCGAACCCGATCAATCCAAGCTCCAACAAGGACTGTCTGTATGTACTCGGACCACGACATCTCGCAGCCTCCCGCATCGCAATCTCGCCTCCCGTCGCCCACATCACATCGATCCCCCATTCCCCCATTCCCCCATTCCACCCGACGTCCGTTCCCCCACCATCAAAGACGGGAAGACTACGTACCTTGGAAGACTTCACTCCCTCATTACGGTATTAGTGCCCAACCGTCTTTCGGGACCACGTCGGGACAAGATCGTGACCACGTCGTGACCACATGAACATGTCTGCCGCCGCAACACAAGCCCCCCCGGCCGTGCCAGCCGTGCAAACCATCCCAATCACGGTGGATTTCTCGTAAGTTCTCCCTGTCCCCCACGTCGGTCACTGTTTTTTTGTCACGCGCCTTGATTCTTGCTCCTTCAGCCTCCCGTCGTCTCGTTGAGATGAAGTCCCGAGAGAGAGAAAAGGGGAGGCGTGCCTGTATCTCAGTGGGGGGCTGTCACGGCTCTGTTGTCCCCAGTATACATGGACTATATCCGGGCTTGGACTCACGCAGTGTCTGTCTGGACAGAGGCGGACTCGAGATGCTCTTCTCCAACCGGCGCCACCACTCGCTGGACGTGCCTGCTGCCGACGACGAGGGCAAGAAGTCAAACATTGGCTTCCTCGTCCGCCACCTCTGCAGCACGGCCTTGAAAGATCCGCGGACCGACCTTTTTGTGCTCGATCACCACATGTATGTCTCCTCTCTCTCCCTCTCTCTCTGAGCTGGCCCCCCTCTCTCATCTTGGCTCCGAGATCCACGTCTCTCCACTCCATGCACGTCCCATGATGCCTCGCAGGCTGCGCTTGGTCATGCTGATCCGTTCTGGCTCCGTCTCCTCCAGTCGTCCCGGCATCCTTGTCCTCATCAACGACGCCGACTGGGAGCTCGAAGGCGAGGAGGCCTATGAGCTCCAGCCCGGCGACAACATCTTGTTTGTTTCCACCCTTCACGGTGGCTAGTCGGTCTCGTGTCCCTCGGCCCATCTGTTCATCTGTCAAGGCAGACAGACCGGGAGACGGCAAGAGATTGGTAACCATGTCTCTCAACCCCGGGCCCGCCTGCCCCGGCTGTGTTTCTCTTTAACTATTTGTGGAAAACACACAGACCGTTGCGGCAAAGCGGCTAGCGGCTAGAACTTTGTCTCACGACGGTGGATACTCTTCGCGAATGAGACAAGTGACCCGCTTCTTTCTTCCTTTTTAAAAATCTCTTCCTCTTCTTCCTCCTCCTTCCTTTTGCGTGTTATTGATCTCGAACTCTCTCCCCTTGCCCCACCAATCCGCTCCGGCGATGTCAGGCAAACAGAGACAAAAACACACAAAATCGCGCACAGGCGCGTATGGAGACACGAACACCTCCCCCGTGCCTTATGCTGGGCGGAATAGACAAACATGACTATGACAGTGGCAGAAAGGCACTCGTCCTGTTGTGGCATGCTGCCTCGCCCACAATGCCGCCGCCATTGCATTTCCTCCCACTCTGGGCAAGAAACAAGAGCGTGTGCCAGCTGCACCAGAAAGTCGGAGAGCAAGTGCCCCCCCAGCAGCAGCAGCGTCTCGTCCATCCCATTTGACGTGCAGGGACAGTCGGAAGGTGGAATTGGGCGGAGCGGTAACAATCAAAGCCAAGACTCTCGAGGCCGGGAGAAACAAGAAACAAGCAGAGGGAGAGAAACAAGAGGTGGTATCGTTACCGCATGTATGTGAAGTGAATGCAAAGAACCGGAGACATTGGGCCACGGCTACCTCCCTATTCCTGCTGCAAAAATTCTCTACATTCATGAATATATATACCTATAATATATATACTTAGGAGAGCGTTAGATTGCTCCATCTCTTTATTACTATCTTTAACTTTGTCCGTCTCTATCTCCTTCTCTCCTCTCTTTGTTTCACAGTGGGAAGGTCCTGGGCTATCCGCCCAAGTCTGTCCCCGGTGTCACACGTACCTCGATAGCTTAGGTATGTAAGTAGGTAGATAGGTATGTCTCTCATCCGCCGCGGCCGTATCATGTCATGTCATGTTATGTTTGTGTGCGTGCGCATATCGTCGCGTAGACTGCTGGAACCTATGTTTGGAACTTCTCCGTCCGTTGGTCCGATTGACTCAATCGGACTTCCCATTAATTCATCAATCATTCTACTGCCTGCGGGATTGCCTGCGGAACGAGACGAGTGATCAAAGCCATTAGTTTCCTGTATTGGGAGGAGTGAGGAGCGTTGGGTGGGTGGGACAACGTGCGTGCCCAAGATTGGGCAAGGCCCCTTGTGATGTTTCTCGGACGTCTCCCGCACCATTCTCTGCCGTGTGTTGATTACTAACATGCAGGTCCTCGGTAAGTCGAACAAGGACACATTCAAAATTTAATCCTTCCAAGAGGGAAAGAAAAATGAGAAGAAAAATCATTACGATGGTAACTCTCATCTTAATATTGCGTTAGTGGGTAATAGTTGCCATTCAAGACAGCTAGCTACCTAGCTACTATTGCTACCCAATTCCTTCTCTGTCGAAGGATAGTGCCGTGCCCTTCCGTTTCCATGCCCATTCCGTTTCATCCACTGCTGTACTGTTTACCAGACTTGTGTGTGTTCCCATTCTGTGTCTCCTCTCGCAACCTTTGCCCTTCGTGGCCGGGACCATGAGTGGAGTGTGTTGACCCCTGCTCGTGCCTTCTTGGTGAATTGGGTATCGGGGGATGCAGTGTACAGTGTACTAATCATCCAACCCAGCCCTCCGTTCCCTGATCTGATCTACTCTCTCTAGCAAAATGTAGTCTTTCCATGTGTGCGTGTAAGGTTTCCCAACAACTTCTTTCTTCGATCCAAGAAAAAGGGAAAAAACACAACGCTCTCCAAGGACTAATATCCCGAACATGGATGCGATCAGGTTTCAGACAGCCTTCACAATGAAACAGCCAACCCAACTCCTTTTGGTGTCTTCTCTGCTTCTCCGCCGAACAACAAACGCCCGGGTGGAGGAGACAAGCGAAGCAGATTGCAGCCGAAAAAGAAGTAAAAACCTCGCGAAAGGAAATAGAGACAATAAAAGATGAAAAACTAAACAGTCCTCCCAGCGTTAGGGAAAGAAAACGCTACAAAATTTTTGGTATCAATAGGCACAGCGGCCGGCTAGGCGCACATGTAGTTAAAAAGCCGAAGATATTGACCCGGAGACAATGGACACAAAAACAGACTCATCGAAACGACAAAATAAGAGGGGAAACAGAAACCAAGATAATTAAAACAAAACGAAAACAATGAATACTTTCAGACAACCTGCCCAGGTTGTATCGCGGACAGTAATAGCAGAACAGCCGCCGTTTTGGCTATCAAACCCTAGAGGGCTTTACTTCATCATATCTTGCCGTAAGATTCGTGAAATAAACAAAGTCATTAGTCTGCCGAGCCGAGAGAGGTGGCAGGATGTGGATAGAAGATGCGAACAAAGGTATTTTTTTAGTAGATTCGGTCCCCGAATGCCAGTTCCCGCCCATGATCTTCGTCGTAGACGGGTCCGTGGGTGGATGGGCCATGGCCGCTGCTAGACACGCTGGCATTCTCGGCATCGATCATCTCGTAGCCGTTCTGTGCCTCGCGGGCACTGGGATTGAGCAGCAGATTTGGCCGGCTCATGCTGTAAGCGGCAGGGTGGCTTAGGCCCTGAAATGGGAGCGATTGGTGAACTGAGTGCGGCGTATGAAGGACATTCGGTAAACTGTGGCAGGAGGACAAGAGCGGAGTCTGGGAATGGGAGGGGTAGCCAGGGGTCGGAGGGACAGGCGAGAGCTGTGCAACAGGTTCGACTTTACGATGCTTTCCACGACCCTTGATTCCCTTGTTGCTGTTTTTGTACAAGTTGGCAAAGTACTCCCACAAGTCCCTGTCGGCCTGGGAGACTGTGTCGTAGTCTGTCAAGGCAGCAAACTTGTTGGTGAGAGCCGTGACAGTGTTGATATGGAACTTGTTTTGGTGCGACTAGAAACAATAGATAAGCTCTAAGTACACATTCCTAGGTAAGGGGCATAAAATTCTATGCTGACACGAGAGGCAAAACGTACCTTGAGATTCCCAAGTTGGGTGAAGGCCTTGTTACAATTGTCTAGACGGCAGACATATGGCTTTGTCTTGTCATGGGTTTTCATGTGCGCTCGAACGTTTCCGCGCTGCGCAAAGCGTTTCCCACACATTTCACAAGAGTACGGCCTAGCCCCTGTGTGACGACGTTCATGTGTCTAGAAGATGTTAGACTCTGCCGGCTTGCGGATTTTGACGTCAACGTCCTAGTAGAGTTATTTACCTTGAGATTACCGAGCTGAGAGAACCTCTCCCCACAATTTGGCACCTCGCAAGTCTGCCTTTGTCAGTTCCATAGCGAAAAGGGGAGGCCTTGTTGGTAATCTTACATAGGGCCTCTCTCCAGTATGGGCTCGAATGTGGATATCCAAATGAGTTTTTTGGTAGAAGCTCTTGCCACACCCAGGAATGTTGCAGTGAAATCGTTTTTGGTTCGACTTCTCATCAAACGCTTGGATTTGCGGCAGCCTCTGCCGTTGGGGCAGCAGCCTGTGGTACGGAGATGTGGGCGTTCGTACCTAAAAGGGTCAGAAAAATATAACGTAGAGGCCGCGAAGGCCAGTAATCATCTTACCTGCTCGACACTAGGCTGTGCTTCGTTCACGCCTGCTTCAGTCTCGCCTTTGGATTGGATCGTCTTCATGAGCGCATCCAGGGGAGTGTTGAAGATGATCTGGCTACTGGGAGTGGTAGAAACGTCTTCCACGGACCGGACAAGCGACGGAGGATTCGATGTTGTCGAATTTGCCGCGGACATCTGGCTCTCGCTCTTGATGGACGGGCTCAGGCTGCCCTCAACAGAGGACCGATCCTCACGCGAATAACGCGGCTCTCGGCCTGTGCTGAGTTTCGACGACATGATGCGCAGTTGCGGTCGCTCCGGATAATGGTGATGCTTGAAGGGCGAGCCCAAGGCAGAAGACGAGCTGTACGACGTGTATCCCCCGTATGGACCGTGGGTCTGATACTGGGGTGCAGGGACGCTGGCCATGGTAGCAGCAGTGAAAGAGGGGCTCGTGAAGAAGTGCGGAGCCAGGCCCGGCCGTTGTACAGGCGGCGAGGTCACGGGCCGCGAGTCGTACGGCATCATGCTGGCGTCCAACACGACATAGTCGCCGCCGCTTGGCTGGGGCCAGCGAGTCCAGCCCGCGGGTGCTGGAGGATGGGCTGTGAGAGCCAGCTTGGCGGCAAGGGGCTTGCTCGAAAGAGCAAGACGCTGGTTCGGAGGAGGTGCGTGTTCCCGTCGACTGGGAACTGAGGAGGCAGGCAAACAGCGGCCAGCTGCCCAGGCCCTGTCGAGCCGCGAGTGTCGTACAGCGTGCGGATCGCGAGGCCGCGGGTGCGAGGCGAAGGAGACGGGGTTGGCCCAGTGCCACTTTGAATAGTGTAGGCGGGCCGAGTTAGGAAATTATGGCAAGACCATGGACTATGCGAACCGGCGGATGACGAGGAAAGATAGAACACCAAAAACAAGAATAAGAAGAAGAACACGACAAAGAGTACGACAATGAGAACGGTATAAAGCAAAACCCCGCCAGAACACAACAAGGAAAGGTGAGCCCTGTCAGTCGAGCCGAACCAGCTTGGTTATTATCTCGTAGTAGTAGTAGTAGTAGTAGGAGTCGTAGTCGTAGTTATTAGTAGGTAGGTAGCGTGTTTGTATTTGTCGAGGTGTAGTCTGGCGTCGTCCAGGCCACGGACGGACGGTTCATGAAACGGGCGGGACGGGGCGGACTTAGGTTGTCATCCAAGGACGGGACCTAGGGGCGAGAGGGCCCGGGACGGGATATATCAATGCTTCATGGCAGTGACAGCCAGGGTGGATATGGACAGGGCAGGGCCAGGGTGGATTGGTGGGAGACTGGGAGCCGGGGTATGCATCTCAGAGGCCAATCGATTGGGATAGCATGGCTGGTTGGAGATCTTGTTCAAATGGAGGCGTCGGCATGGATTCCTGACGCTAGTAGCTCAAGTTGCCCTCCTCCACGACCTGGCGTTTGGGTTTGTGGCAGCCCAGAGCAGAGACGGGCCTGGGGACTCGTCTTGGGAACCTGGGGTGCTGGGGGAGTGGAGGTCAGCCAGGGCAGGGCCGGACAGGGTGGGTAGGGCAGGGCGACAGCAGCAGGGCAAGAGTAACCTGCAAGACGAGCATGAGACAGATCAATGTAAGGTATCCGTATGTTGGGTACCATACATGCAGTACCGGGTAGACTGCACAAGTGACAAGGTACCCAAGGTATATATATACCTCGGGTAGGAAAGGTCGGGTACTGGGACCAACGCTTTCCAAACAACATCACCTTTATAGTACATTCCACGTTACGGGATTACCTACATCAACGCAGCCTACTAGTACGAATACCTCCATGCTCAGCCAAGTGAGCCTGGTGGCTGCATCCACCCCAGAAAAGCAGGTGATGGACGAAGTCCTACCGGGTCTGGTCCCGTCGCTATCAGACCCCCACCATTGCTCGCTGCGGTCCTCGCGGAGCGCTGCGAGATGGCCGGGGTCCTCTGTTAGCAGGACTTTAGGAGGGGACCATGGGGGTGTTTTTTGGGCCAGGTCGACTTGGCATGGACTAGTATCCGTACGGATGCACTTCTTCGCCCCAAGCTGGGTGAGGCGGACCTATCCCATCCCTGCAATGACCCATTGGAAGGGCCCTGGCCCCGTCGAGTGGCATGCCGGATGAGACATTTTGACAGAGAGCGGGACTGCCCACAGATGATGTTCTAGCGAGCCTCCATCATTACGTTGTATGAGAACGGATGACCGCAAGGTCCAGGACCATATTGACCAGAATTTGGATCGTCCCACCGCCGACCGGACACCTTACATTTCGACCGCGGTAGCTCACGTTCTCAAGGTAGTATTAACGTACGAATACCTTACTTATCCTGGATGAAATATCGCAGGGAGCATTGGCCGTCATGGCACTTCAGTCAAAGGGCGGGAACGATGGGCGGTGACCTGACCAAGTAGACAGACGGAATGGCACATGGAGGCAGGCACCATGACGACGACCTACAAGAGGAAAGGGCATCCAGGACTAGGGGGCGGAAAGAGGCAAGAGAGACGGCGGACGGGATGCCGGAAGGGGCGGGCAACTTGATAGCTAAAGACTCGCATCAAAACGTGTCTGCCTAGCTGAAATAAATGTAAAAGGAAAGAGCCCAGGCCTCAACTAGCCGACACGAGCGGCTCTGCTCTCGCCGCCGCCACAACATCCGTCCAACTTCAAGAACGGAGATCGAATCATGAATCTGGCTTGCCTGGACGTCTTGTTGCAAACATAACACCACTACTACCATACTGATACTGTCGTCCCCCTCATCTCTCGCTTCAACTAACTCCTGGCCTCTGGCAGGGCACGAGTGAGTGTCCTGTCAGCTCCTATCCATGCTGTTTGTCCCCTTGCCGAGCCGTCAAGGAAAAGCCGGGAAGGCGTACTTCACGATGGAGTTGAAAGTGGTGTGGCAGCAGGCACGGCACACTGACAAGGGTCACTAGTGCCGGGGCCTGGATGGCGCTAACCCGTTCGGGACAGACAGCAAGACTGGAAGGGGGGCTTGCAAGCGGTCACCAAGCAGCCGGGTGTGTTGGGGGTGAGGCACCAAGGGCTCCAGCTCCAAGCTAAAGCAAGGGTACCTTGTCGTTGGGTCCTTCCTCATTATTTTGGCTCCCAGCGCGGCAATCACTTAGCGTCACCCCTCCTTCCATCCTCATCAACGGTCCCAGGTCTGCTTCTTGCAATGCAGGCAGGCCCTCGGGCAGTCCTTCTGAGCAGCGGGCGGATTACCCGGTAATGATGGCTCTTGACCACACTGCAGTTCTCTATTTGAAAGCCGCCTGATACTCGTCTCGAGTCATCGGTGCACCATCGTCTACACTAATACCGTCCTCGCCATTACTCCATACCTTTAGTTATTGCAGAGTCTCGGAAGGTTTCAGACAAAAAGGATAGCCTCCTTTGCGGAGAGAGGACGAGGCGAGATGGGCAGAAAACAAACACCCGTCTCGTCCACACATTCCATTATCCGTACTCCGTACGCATCCATCATTACCTAATTCACGGGCCCTCAATCGCGACTGGTTTTCCCTGCAAACGAAGGGCAAAGACCCTTGTTTCGAGCTGTTCCGCCCCACCCATCACGACATTCTAATGCTCAGGCGACGGCAAGGGCTTCTTTGACGGTGCCTGGAACGCCTATCGATGATTAGATCCCGCACGACGGATTTCTCTCGCGGCCGTCAAGTCCCGATGCCATGGTCACAGGTATGCATTATGGCGGCACTGCACTTGCCATGGGCGCTGTCGTCCGGACAAGCTCCTGTGCCTCACCTTGAAGGACGGTTCTCTCTCGCCTTCAGCACGAGTTCTTTGGTAGCGTGGCGTGGGCAATGCCCCGGGTATCACCGCGCCCCGACCGTCGGATCGGCCAGTCCCACCTTGTTTGCTTCGTAGCTGCCGAGTATGACTGCTCCGGACGTAGTTAGACCTTAACAGGCTTCGTAAGGGGATGCGGCAGCAGCTGAGCAGACAACCTTGATGCCCGCGGGACAACTACGCAAACACGGCCAGAGAGCCCTTTCACCATCCGCGCTATCTCTCCCTCATGCCCAATCCCATCAGAGGACGCCAGAATCGCGTTGACGTCAAACTAGGATCAGGAACCGAGCACTCGGTGTTTGAGGCCTGCGCTTATTCGCAATCTTCCTTAGCTTTGATTTTCCAGTGGCCCATGAGGCTAGAAAGCTTCACGCACAGGGAGCTCTCGAAGCTTGCAAGTTGCCATAACCATTGATCTCAGAACCATCTGTGTCCCACTAAAACAGACAAAAAATTCCCGATGTCCATGGCAGACAGGGTACGCCAGCGCCAGAGATTGGCCCCGACGATCTAAGTGTCCTGCAACAAGGATCAAGGATCTTGAACTTGATCAATCAACAGCCAAAGGTTCTGAACTCGACGAGGACTGGAAGTTGAGCCTGAGGTCATCACAAATTCCAATAATATATCACGAGAAAGGAGATTCTCAACATGTTCACACACTGCCAACGGACAGCAGTCATCGGTTTCCGTGGCCGAGAGCTAAAATGGTACATCGCCCCAAAACCTCAATGCACGAAACGAAAGTACCGGCTGCAGGTCCCGTCCCCGCTGCTGCGGTGTACATTCGGCTGATGGGCCTTGTGTTGTAAAGGTACTCCATACGAAGGCCGCAATGCAATGGAGAATTGAGCTAGCAAGCACGCACGTCTTCAGCAAGCAATCTGGCCATTCGGAAGTGTCGCGGTGTTCACCATCCTTCCTGAAGCGAGGGGATGAGCAGAGCTCTGCGGCGCCCAAGGGTTCTGGCTCATGACTCGCCCGCCAAACTTCTCCCAGCCTTCGTGTGACTCGCCTCGTGACCAGCACAGTCGCCGTCTTGAGGAAGCACCGTACAGTGCCCTCGCTAGGAGGCACCACAGCACAGTAGTAATTACGTGGGTGTTACCCAGCATTACGCATTGCTCGCACTGATTTACTTGACAACGCGGAGTCCGGTTCTCTTATCTTAATTTCTTTCTGTGATTAGAACACGACCTTATCATCTCAACAGCATCGTGCTTCTCAGGAGACCTAAAATATCACGATGTCCGCAGACGTTGAGCAGCTTAAAACTTCAAGGTTGTTGTTTGCTGTTTATACACAGTACTAGATGGAGCACATTCACACTGAGTACTGTACTAAGCAAGGGCCTTTGACCCCCAAGGACCGAATCAAGCGTTCACCAAGCCCAAACTCCGCGGCCACTACTGGTAAAGTTCCCGTCCCGATCCCGCCGGCACCCGCCCGAGACTTCCCGTGATCCATCGCGAGTCTCTAGCCTCACAAGCCTCGATAGCGTCATTTGTTTACGGAGCATGTTGCACGGAATATATTCTGCTATTTCTCCGCCGCCAATAAACAATTAGTTCGCTTGTTGGGGTGTGATGTGTCAGTTTTTCTGGAACGAATTCCGGCGACCAACTGGAGTCTAATGTCCCAAGAATCGCCCCAAATATGCGGGCTAGACCTAAATCAACAGATTCAGCAGGGTTTCCGCATAATGGGTCGGGATTGGCCTCACCCTTGTATCCTCCTATATAATTGGCCGTGTTGCAAAGAGGCAAATTGTTATTGCGGTACCTGCCTGCCCCAGGCCAATCCAAGCATTCGCACCTCATCAAAAAGCAACCGCCATCCCGCTTCTGCAAAATGGGGGTTTCCGGATTCAGCTTGGCGTTTCAGCCCACGACCCGTGGCGATGGTTCACCAACGAAGCTGGGGTTCCTGGATTTGACTCAGCCCAGGACCCAACGGCGAGGTAGACAATCGCTTCCATCACAGCCTATCTCGCTTCCCTTCCAATTTAGAGGTCTCCGTACATAGTATGACACGAGGCCGCCGCAAATCGGCTCCGATCGAATGACATCCATGTTACCCAAAGCCTCGGAACATCACGGGAACAAAAGAACCTGCGTGTATCACTATATTTGGGACATGAGCAAATCAAAACAACCTTGGTATCGACGATCCTTGCGGAATCTTTTCCGTACTGCGTTTTGTCTGTACACCGTACCTCTTCTATCCCTCTTCAAGTCTCCCGGATTCTCCTCGGCCGGGCTGAAAGTGTCGAAGAACCCCCTGAGCACGCTCGCGTGGCTAGCAGCACTTGGGGACGAACTAGTTCCGCAACTATTGTTGACCCCGTGGTGTTTGCGCGCCGGAGCGGTTCCGGCTGCCGTTGGTTTGGTTGCTAGACTCTGCAAGTGGCTTCGGGGAACCTCGCGACTGACCGCTAGCGCTTGTCCTGAGGACCATTTTCGATACGGGCGGTGGGCGGAGCGCGGTGTATTCCGTGCCAATACCCCAGACCCGTCGGCCATTCCACAGTCAGCCAATTTCCATTTATGGAATAGCCTGCCTCAACTGACCCTTGTCGGCATATAAACCCCTGCCACTATTGTTCCCAGTGCTTTGGTTGATGGGGCCGATCCCTGGTCAGGCGATTTAATTGGTGCGACTCACCCACCACGAACATGCGCGAGCACGAACACGGGGTAGCATAAGTTTGTGCAGGCGGAGAACCACCAAGTTCCTGCTCCTATTTCCCACAGGGCAGGAGACAGGACAGGACAGGACAGGACAGGACCGCACCACCACCACCGACCCTCTCCCCGCAACGTCATTGGGAGGGGTGAGAACAGGCCTGATTTACTTACCGAGCTCTCTCCGCCAAGCGTCACCACATGCTATGCGCAAATGCTATTCATGCCAGTAACACGGAAGAACTACAGTAGCTTGCCAGCCTTCTGTCACCGCAAGTTTACAGGCTGGCCTCGCAAACATCTAACCCGTTCCTTCACTGTATCTCACTCCTATCGTAAACCATTGTCTGGAATGCTTATGCTCAGTTTTGCGGACAATGACAACTTCACGTGTACGAGCTAGGGCCCAGCAATACTTCCCTGACAACACGAGGCTCGCTACCACTTGCTTGTAGAAGGAACAGAGAGACTAGTGACAGGTATGGTCTCGATAGTGCTCGTCCCCGCTCTTGACCAAATTGAACTAACAAGTGAGCTAACTCCGGTTGCGTGGGGGGGCGAAGGCTTGTCGTTGTCAAACGTTTCAAAGAAACTTTCTTTTCAGTCTTGAGGCGGCAGCACTATCCCACACCCCCAGGGACCTTCTTTCTCCACGAAGATAACAGATCCAGTGACGCACCAAATTTCGTTTTCCTTGACGCCTCTTGTCTCCTCAGTCCTGTCAATCAGTGACGAAACAAATAATGTCGTCCCGATTCTTGACTAACATGTAAGTGAAATTTGCCGTCGCCGGTTTCCGTGTCCACCACCAAGTCGGTTCTTTCTCCCTCACGACAATAACTGATAAGTAGCAAGTGTACGCATGTACATAGTATGTACATACATACATACATACACACATACAGGACATACAGTACATACGCAGATGGGGTCTTTGCCCCGTGACTGCAGCGGTCTAAAATTGTCGAGTTTTAAAGTGTCTCTGCATCAAGACCGTTTAACAGCTTCTCGACATGCAGTGTTGTGCCGGCTTTGGGTTATCATGGCCAAGCTTATGTGCACCGAACCGTCAATTGACTTTACCAGTTATCGGGGGTCTGGGATGCGGCCGTCTCCAGAGCCTCTGCAAGGCCAACGCGGGCTTTCGATTGGTCCCAGCGTACTCTCGGTTACAGCCGCTCTTTTGGGGCGGGCGAAAGATAATAATCCCTGTCGTCCATCGAGTCGGCGCCGGCCTGTTTCGTAACTTGATTTGCTGATGGCGATAATACCGCCCAGCCGAGTAAGTCCAGGCAGAGAAGTGAAGGCGCACGGCAGCGCTCAAAGCCGCCAAATGTACGGCGACGGCGACTGAGACGCCGGCGATGGTGGCGATGTCATGCTGACACGACCATAGAGCGGCGAGGTTCCGACCGAGAAATGACGACGGAGATGAAATGAGGCAAACTAAAGAACATGTCAGATCTCATCTTGTCCCTCACATGTCGTTTCTGGCCATCCTTTTGGTCCAGTGTCGAGGCGAGCATCGTATTGATTGGGCTGGGGGAAAGCGCTGATCAAGTCTGGCAGACGACCATGTCGCTCCGACTCCTTGATACGTGTATCTTGATTCCATCGGATTCGGCTGGCTACAGCACCCTGGGTCTGCAGCCGTCCTCAGGTATTGGCCAGCCTCGAGCCTTCGGATGCCCCAAGTCTCCTTTCTGACTACAGCACGTATCAGGTGCTGGGCGCCAGGCACAGCCGATCTTTGCTGCAATCGATTCCGAAGCAGTGGGTCTTGATGCACGTGTGCCCTCAAGACTCATGTACACACACAAAGACTGGGTGGCACGACCAAACCGCATAAACACTGATGAGTCTCTGATGAGAATATACTAGATACGTCCGAATAGATGCTTGCTGGCCAAGCCATCACCAAGATGCCGCTCCCCAGCTCCCAGGGGGGTCCTGATGGAACTCACACACACATGCACACACACGCACACACACGACGAAACAAGCCCGGATCAAGGATTCGTGGCTCCAGGTCACACAAGCACAGTCGGGCACAAGAAGCCCCCCCCTTCGGATCACTACACTACATACGTAGTGGTGTGTGAGATGGCGGGGTGGGCCAGCAGCTAGGCCTGCGTCAAGCTCCTGAAAGGGTGCGTCCGCCCAGAGGAGGGTTACACCCGGAAAGCTCGCCAATTCAGCGCTTAACGCGCGATGCCAGCAATTCGATGACGACTTTTAAGAGGCTTTTTACACTAGTATTAACCAAACCCGGACAGACACCCGCTGCGATGATTCTCATCCAGCCGTGCCGTGGCAGGAGGGAGGAGGGAGGAGGGAGGAGGGGGAAAGGAAAGCACGAGACAGTCCGATGCTGTAAGTTGCGCCGCGCCCATCATAGGTCAATCGGCCAGTCAGTCGGGAGTCTGCAGGATGCATCGATTCAATATGACTGCCGCATGGGCAAATGACATGGTTTGATCGGAGAATCTGCTGCCAGTAAGTGGTTCTGCGGATTCAAGGACGCACAGCATGTAGGTACAGCGCAGCACCGCACCGCACCGCACAGCACCGCACAGTACACATCACTTCTGCAAGTTGCGAGTCTCGGTCGCAGGTGGGACCAGCCCGTCCGGCCGCCAATGGCCCCAAGATCTTGGTCTGGGTCGTTTACGGCGTCCCGCTCCCGCTTTCTTTGGTTGACTGAGCTCACGGGGCATCTCATCACGACTTGGCATCCGCAATGGACGCCGAGCTTTGCTTTGATCGGCAGGAGCTAGCCCGGTAGGCCGTTGTGACAAGAAAGAGCCAAGCCACGGACTGACACTGAACAGAAAAAGAGAACGGTTGGTAACACGGCGGCATTGACAGTCAAGACACGTCAACTCGAAGAGCCGCGCCTCGAGAAACTCCGATCGTGTTCTACAATGCCCGTATATTGTTGTGTATTCCGGTACGGAGGGGAAGGTGGGGGGGGGCAGCCTAGACGAGGGAGCAGCCGTAATGTTCTATCTACTCCGTATTAGTGTAGATGCGTGTATGGTATGTACTCCGTACCCTCTCATCACTCTCTAGCGTTTCAGGGCAGGTCCTTCCCCAACCTAAGATCTCTCATGGCTCTAGATCACAATTATGTACAGTACAGTACCTACGTTTGCATCTTGGCCACAGCATATTGGGGGTTTCCTTCACATTGCTTCTCTCTGCTTTTTACACTTCGTCCTACCCGTATGTTGGTCGTTTCACAACACGGGGCTCGGGTGGTATACTAGTTAGCATGTCTTTTCTGTGTCCTATTTATGGAAATTCCGAGGTGCTAACAGGACAAAGCCGAGAGCGATAGGCAACGCAAACCACATCAACAACGTTGACCTAGACGTCTCTTGATCTCGACGTAGAGAGGGTCGGTTGCGAAAGGAAAGCTGCCCACCCAGAGCGACAGTCGACCGATCGCTCGTCAGCTAGCTATAAGCCTTCTTTGGGCGGGCAGAAGACCTATCCGTTCTGGCAAACCAGCTGCTCACGTTGATCTGCCAGAGATTGCTTAGTTACGAAGGGACCTGGATGCATCTCGCATCTCCCAGAGCTGCGAGCATCGGTGGGGGAAAGAGGGGAAGCCAGCGATGCAGGAACCGTCACGCCTCTCGAGGACCACTCAACGCTCTCACCGTCTTTCCCCCCCCCCCCATTTTGACTGCCTTTCCCCCTCTTCGCTTCCATCGACATCGTAGCCAGACGCAAGCACCAGACGATATGGACCTGCCGTGTGTGGTGCCTACGGAATGGATGAAGCCTGCAGCTTCCTTCTGCCACTCGCAGATGGGTGTATTGGTAGTGGTCCTCCCGCACCAAGGTATGCATCTATGTATGCATGTACTCTGGATAGGCATTTCATCTCAATATCTCCAAGCAACCACCGGCCCAGAATTTCACTACTACCTTAGCCTACCAGTGCAGCAACACAAGCTATGATGTCCTTTCTTTCTTTCTGATATCATATATAAGATATATGGCGGATTGGGCATGTCACCGTCGCACTACCATCATCGGGAGCGAGCCGACCCGAGCCTGAACGCGGAAAGAGATTTTCAGGGTCCTCGAGCCCCATGCTTCTTTGGCCTCGTCCTTTTTTTTTCCTCCGCTACCTTGCCAACTGTAAGCCCTGCTCGGCTCGTCTCGTCTCGTCTTATTAATGTTATTCATCTCGTTCGTCTGGGGTTTTGTTGCTCTTTTCTGGCGCTAAGCTAGCGGCCGGATAATTACTCCGAGTGATCGACGGCGGGTGGGCGCTTTTCCAATTATTTCGCTGGCGAGACTTGACGAGGCGCCCCCCAATCGAACGTGGTCGGACCGCCGATTGATGAGATGAGATGAGATAAGATACCCGAGCCCAGGGTCCCTCGAGACAGCAACGCGGTTACCTACCTTAGGTAGTCGACCTACCTATCTAGGCCTGTCCTTAAAGTCTTAGAGACCAGACCAGACCAGACCAGCCTCTCTCCGCTGCGGGCCGCGACGGGACCGGGAGCCGTATTTCAGATGAATGGATGGCCATGATCGCTTCTTTTCTTTTTTGTTGCGCGCTCTCTCTGCATGTAGTGCAGATCATCCGTCCCGTCCGCGCCGCCTCGGCATCATCCACACACGCACTACAAACGCACACCTTATGCTACACCACAATAAAACTACCAACTAGCTCTTAGGATGGGGAGGGTGGTGGGTTGTTTTTATTGTTCCTTCACTCTTAATACCTTGACGACTCGTTTCGGTTTGCGGTTGAGATCCTCGCACACACACACACACACACACACACACACACACACGATACTTACTTAGTATCTGACCTGACGTATGACCTGACGGGGGGCTCTCTTTCTCTCTCTTCTCATCATCCCCCCTGCTACCCGTCGTCCCCTTTCCGGACAGTCACGCTGACTTATGCCCGCCGATCAAATGCCATTTTCGGACAGCCTGGGCCCTACTAGGCAAGTCGGCTGGGCCGCGGCAGGCCGGCAGGGCTTGACTGCGCGTCTTGATATGGCGGCGGCGGTGGTGTCATTCGTCTGTGTGTGTGTGGTGGAAATAGAATCCTTCTACAGCCCACCGACGCCCACCACCCACCGCCTGTGTGGCCTGTGTGACCTGTGGCCTATTGGGCAGCCCGCTACTACTATCACGGCCGTGGCTTTTGGGGTCTACGCCGGCACGTTCTCTCTCTATCTCTTTCTCTCTCTCTCTCTCTCTCTCTGTGTGTGTGTGTGTTAGGTGTCGGCTAGTGCTACTACCTACTACACGCTTGCTCCTGATGCTGTCGCTGCCGCTGCCGCCGGTATCCGCCTGTCTGTCTGTCTGTCTGTCTATCTGCCGCCCGCTCTGCCGGTCTGTCCGTTTGGCTGTCCATCCGCTCGTCTCCCTTCCGCGCCAATGGTCGGAAGCCATCTCTGTCTTTCTGTCCTTCTTCTATCCCCTTCTCCCTGATTCGGCCGGCTAGGTGGCCCGTGCCGGACCAGAAGCTCCAAGCGAGCCCAACCAACCAAGCTAAGTCGTTGAGCACTGTACTGTACCTATATACGAGAAGGCGCAACTAGTTAGGTGGCTGCTGCTCCCGACAGATGGGAACGCAGCCATGGCTGAACTGAAGCGTCGAGTCGAGCTGCGCTAGGGCGGCGGCCAGGGCTCGCTGCCGAGGTGGCTGTACTGTGCTGTACATGCCTACTTCCGTACCTATCTAGGTCATGGTCATGGTCATAGACCTTGTATTGTGTTGTGTACGATACACACATGCGGATAGTCTACGCACGTCCGTCCTAAACAACCTGGTTCAGCTGTACAGTATAGTATGCCCAGACGGGGCTGCTAGCTGAGATGAATATTAGTTAGGCGGTCTGGCCCGAGTCTAGTTGGCAAGTGGCTTTTGACCGTGCCCGTCCGTCCGTCCGTCTGTGGCTCTATCTATCCCTTTCGCTTGCTTGAAGAATAAAGGGACATAGCTTTCGGTGTAGAACACGCAGAATATGCTACGTAGATGCTATTTGGCGTTGAACGTCCCCAGTCCCTCTTTTCTTTCGCTCTGCGGGTCGCCTCCCAACTTCCGCAGAGCTTCTTTTTTTTTTGAGATACTTCGCCGCGGAACCACTACCCGAGAGATAGAAAAGACAAGGTCAGCAACTACCTCCTGGGCGTGGGCGTTGAGTGTGTGTGTGTGTGTGCGTGTGTGTGTGCGTGTGTGTGTTCTCGACCGCAGAAGGAAAAAAAAAGGCTGAGAGAAATTGGCAGCGAGCGGCTCGTAGCCGGCGGCCCCGGCTCGGCCGGCGGGCTTTTTCTCGCTCTCTGTGTGTCATTGCCTATCTGCCTGCTTCCATCACACACACACACACACACACACACCATGCCGTCTTCGTACAGACATACATATGTACACACATGGGACCAAGTCAGAAGCTGCGTAGTCAGCAGCTAGATACATCTGCGATCCCCTTGGAAGTCTGGACGTTGGTGGCCGGCGGGAGTTGACTCACGTCACGTCACTTACTTGACCCCTGCCTGTCTTGCCTTGTTCTCGGTCTCGCAACCGGCAATAGTTAATCAGCTGTCAAACGCAGCCATGAGGATCTGAGCTGTTGCTGACGTTATGTGATTCTCGGTTCTCTTCTCTGGTGGTGAGGTGAGCTGCGGCGCAGAAGTAGGCCATGGCCGTGCTGTTGGCGAACTTGTTGGAGATGGTGGGTCGGCTGTTTCTTCTCTATGCTTCTGGACACGCCGTTGTTGATCGGTGTTCTGTGCCGCTTGGAGAGGAGAGGTTTGTCTGGAGATTCTCGCTTTCAGTCTTTTTTACTCTCCTCGTATCCTGCTTTGCTAGCCGTAGCTTGCTCTGTGTCGGTTTCTTCGTCGGCGGTTCTTTGACGCTGGCTGGCTGGTTGGCTTGTTCGGGCAATTTCACGGCCGGATAAAGAGGGTCGTTTTGGTCTTCTTGGCTGCTTTGCCTAGATTGTCATTCCTTGTCCTATCAGCCCCTTCTTGAATCCATGGAGGGAAATGAGAGGGAGAGAAGATACTAGTCCAGTCTATTAACTGAGGATCGGAAGGCGCACCGAGTGAGTCCATGTTATCAAGGCATGTCAACTCTACAAGAAAGATGTTAGTTCGTAGCACGGTCCAAAGTCAAGACAATCGATGCCGTTGCATTCTCGCGCTGTCAGTTAGGAGTTGATGATGCCCAGTCAGCCCATCGAGTGTGACACATTCGTTTTCTTTCCGCCGTGTTGTAGCTCGCATAAACAATTAGGCCCCGTACGATATCTCACGGGGCTGTAGTGGCGTGTACAAAAACTAGGCTCGGGAGGATACACATACGGGGTATTGCGAACTATTGCCAGAAACGTGTGGCGATGTGTGAATGTTGATACTGTCCTGTTTTGTTATATTCTCTCTGTATGCATATATGTGTGTGTGTGCTCGAGAGGGCCAGTGAGTAGTTGGGTTTCCCTTTTTCCTTGAGGCTGATACCGGCTGTCTGAGCCTTAACTGGACCCTTAGACGAGTGAAGATAAATAGACAACTTGATCAGATTGCCGCTAGTGAAGGTATCCTATCGAATTTAAAATATGGCCCTATCACTACCACTGTGACAGAAGAGACTGAGAGACTGCGGGTGTTGCCAGTGCCGATATTGCAAAAACAACAGCCCTACAATGATATGGCGGTGCTTGTTTGGCTAAATACATGAGGTGGCTTTCAACAGCAAAGTCCATGAAATATCCCCGCACCACACGAGACGCACGGGGCAACTGGCGACACCAATGGTTGCTCGCACCTTTGCCGCCCTCACCAGAGACTATAAGTTCTCATTTATGGAAATGATATAGAAACTGGGACTTGAATCGAGCTCATCTAACTTAGTGTGTGCTTACCTAGTTATGGTTCCAAGCCATTTCACGATTGGTGTCGTGATAAATCTAACTTGTGGACGTCGCTCCTCCATGGGGTTAGTTAGCGAGTCAGCGAATAGACAACTTGAAACGGGAACTAGATAGCTGGGTTTGGGGGAAAAAGACACAAAGCTTTGAGGTAGGCGAGGTACGTACATAAGAGAGATATACGAATCGACAACAGGGAAAGAAACACGGAAGAAGTCTACGAGGCAAAAGGCCAAACACCAGAAAATAAAAGCAAAACGGCCGAGAAAAGGGAACAGGAGAACAACCCGTAGCCCTCCTACAAACACAGCGAGTCACCCGGAAACAGTACCTACTTAACTAAGAGGCACACAATAGGAAGAGAAAGAGATACGGACATGAAGCACCATACGCCATTCAGACAAAGAGACCAATCTAAGCTACCAAGAAGGCATATAGACAACAAACAACCTGTTTACTTATGTGACGACGCCCTTAAAAGAGACGCGGCTATTAACTACAATACCCGTCGTAACATGCTTTGTACAATAGAAGGGGGCATAGTAAGGACACAGAGACAACAACAACAACAACAAAACCTAGGAATTAAGGTTTAGCCCCAACGAAACCCCACAAGCAGCCAGGTTAATTAAGTGACCCTCTCAGACAATCAAGAGGTCTTTCATCCTTCCTCTATCATGCCATACCTCTCTCTCATCATATATGCGACCGCACTTTAGATCCCCCAGAAAGGGGAACAAGTCAATCTACTCCTATCCCCTATCCCCAAGCTGCCAAGTCATATGATTTCAGCTGGCCAGGTATGTATGCATGCGAAGAGACACGGTATGTGATAACGTAGTGTAAAAAGCAGAAGAAAAAATAACATGGATTTACCCGCTTGCTATACGATGATGATGATGATGATGATAAAACAACTCCGAACCCGGTCCCCGCTATAATTAACGTCTGACTCCCTTCCCCCACCCCTCCAGATATCCAGTTGCTTGCCGCAACTGCCTTGCTCGCCTCCCGTGGCCGCACGTGCGCAAAAGGCCGGGCCTCTCCCTCCTTAAACATCTCTCTCCCCGCTTTCGTTCCGACAGACCAGGCGCAAATGCTGCGTGTAAGTACAGCCATCAAACCGGGACATATCTATTGCCGTGGGTGCACAAGGCAGGGAATACGTTGTCCATGTTGATGGCCATGCGTTGCTGTTGTGTGCGCCAGATGTAGTGCGCCCCCTAAAGGCCGAGCCACAACCCCGCCCATATTAATCCCACGCCTAGCACCGTGCCTCAGAGACCCGCAGTTTTCTTGGATGGTCGAGCCAGTTGCAGTTTCGTTCCCGCGTCCCTTTCTCCGTCGCTCTGTCCCTCCTCACCTCATGCGCGGGTTGCTCGGCAGTCCTCCTCTCCTGGGCCCGCTCGGCAGCCCGACCCTGCGGCCGGCGCCCGCCACGCCGCCCCCGTAGTCCTGCTCGCCAGACGACGACCACGGGGCGTTTGCCGACATGACGGGCGGCTGCTCGCTCGCTCCTCCCTGACCCCCATAGGCGCCGGCGGGCGCAAAGCGGTCTTCGTAATCTCCTCCACCACCACCGCCGCCGCCGCCGCTGTTCCCTCCCCACCTGCCGCCGCCGCTCTGGGGCGCTTGCTGCTGCTGCTGCACCGGCGGCTGGAACGGCCCCGAGCCGGCCGGGCTCGCCGACGCCGACCGCGCTGCGCCCCACAGCCTCTGCTTCAGCTTCTCCTGCGCGCTCGACGTGCTCCCGGCCGGCGGCGTCGGGCCCTCGCCGTACGACGCCGCGGGCGACCGCTGCTGGTAGCTGGCTGACCTCTGGTAGTCGTCTCGCTCACTGCCGCCGCCGCCGCCGCCGCCGCCGCCGCGGCTGGCGAACGGGTTGCGGGGGTCGGGGCTGCGCGCCGGGAGCCCGCCAGGGCCTGGTCTGCTGTTGGAGTTGTTGTTGTTATCCCACAGACTGCTCAAACTCCCTCCCCCCCCAACAGGCGCGGACAGTCCGCCGTAGCGGCTGCCGATCTGCTGGCCGGGCTGCTGGGCGTAGATGGGCTGCTGGGGCGGCGGGGCTTTGGGGTCTGGGGGCAGCCAGCCGGGGAAGGGCTGGCCCTTTTCCGTGTAGTAGTTGCGCAGCACGCGGCACACGTGCGTGTCGTCCTCGGTGTCGCCGTCGCTCTCGCCGCCAAAGTAGGTGCGCTGGAGCTTGCTTATGTTGGTCGACGCATTCGAGATGAGGCCCTTGTACCACGACGCCATTTGGTCGTTGTCGTTTGGAGGTGAACCGCTTAAGGTGTAGGCAGGCGAGGTCGTGTCGTCAGCCGAGGTGCGCCAAGATTTAGTCTCGAATTCTTGTCTTGAATGCCCCGGTGTGGAGGGGCGCGTGCGATAGGAGAGAGGAGGGGTAAAACCTCCAAGCAGTCGCAAATGGAACGGCACCTGACGGAGGACGGTGGAGGGGTTGTTTCGACGACTGCTACTGAGGCTTGGTGTTATTCGTCGTCGTCGCTCGCTATGGGCGACTGCAAAAATGTCACAAGATTTTGTGCGAGTTTAAAAGAGCCACGCGTTGTTCAAGTGCAGTGGCATGTGCATGTCGGATTTGTGCAGTTGAGTTGAGGCGAGTCGAAAAGGCTTGTCTCAGCGCACGTTAGTTTGTTACCTGGTGCTTGAACCTCGCTGTTTCACACCACTGGTCCAGGCCTGCGAGCCACCCACAGCCCCCCCCCCCCCCCCACTTTATACATTCTCCATTGACAATGGGATTAATGCGAGCCCCCCAACAGCCTTGTCGTGCCGCAAAACAATCCCTGTCGATAATTCTCGACCTGAGAATGCAGTCGGATGACCTCTTGAGCCGCCGAGCACAGTCTGTAATCACAGTCTGCATCACTAGAAGTGCCAAAATTTCAGAGCTCTGCGCTCAGAGCCCTTGACATATAAAGTACCTAGCCCGGAGCATCATCCGCTCCCATTATGGTATATTTGGGGCCCATGAATGGACCAGAAACCTTTTCTCCTTGACGTGACAGTTGTCTCGAGCCTTAGAAAGCAAGCAGCTTTGACCTCTCTGTTTCCTTCTCGACCTCCATCTCTCTCTTTTTCCGGCCCTCCATCTTCACCACGCGCCCTCTCTTTCGCTTGTCCCCTGCCTTCTTTTTCTTGTCCGTCGAGTCATCCGCACTGTCGTCGTCATCGTCATCGTCGTCGGCATCATCGCCATCATCGCTTCCGAGCCAGTCCTCAATGTCTGCCAACTCCTCGTCGCTTTCGTCAAAGTCGGACACGTACTCGACCGCACCGTCCAGCTCATCCTCCTCGAGCTCCTCCTCTGAGTCCGCTTCCTCATCGTCGTCCTCGATGCCCTTGTCCAGATCCTTGTCCCGGGTGCCCTCGCCCTCAGTCTCGAGCGCGTTCAGGACCTTCTTCCAGATGTTCGCGTTGACATTGAGCGGCTGATCTCCGTAGGCACCTTGTCTTAGTCTCTCGAGGAGCTCTCTCTCGATTGTCCTCTCTAGTTTCGCCGCCATGAGGGCCTTGCGTTCTCTTGCCGCTTCGCGGTGCTTGATCTTGGGCGCCATTTTCGGGACCAGCTTCTCTCCCAGCCGCGTCTCCTCGGCCGCTATCTTGCGCATGCGCGTCGCCACTTGGACAAGCCGGGTGAGGCGTTGCTTGCATTTGTGAAGGAGGAACTTGGGGAAGTACTGGAGCCTCTCCTCGATCTGTTTTAGCGCGTCCTGGTAGTTTGCCGAGAGCTTGATCTTTTCCCACCACTTCGAGGGCATGTGGGCTCTCTCAATCTGGTTGTTGGGGTTGCAAGTCAGTAATCTCCCAAGCAGTACCACATGTCCGCAACCCCTGTGGTTTCGGGGACATGTCTGGCCGAGGCGTAGGTGCTGGGGCACGTACGGTTTTGATATACAAGTAAATTGTCCCCTTGGGGGACGTCCTGACAGACGCATATCGGCTGTTGGCTAGGGGGCAGCTCTGCCGGTTGCACAACCCGCTGACCTGATCTACCGTGTCAGCAAACGACAAGTTTCGCATGCAATGGCACAGCGATACATACATTGTACTCGTTTCTGCAGAAGTTTTGCCCCTTCGTTGTCCTAAACAATGTCAGATTGGGCCATCACGGCGAGCGCAGCGCAACAGCATCGACGACATACTTGAGTTTGAAGGCGCAAAACTGCTCTGGATCCTGGGGTTAGCGATGTGCGACCCTTTTGAGACGCGGGAAGAGGCGACTCACGATTGATAATCTGCCAGACGATTTCGTCAGACATGGTGGCGGTTTTAAACTGTTTTGCGAGCTAGACGACGGCGTGCCTTGCTCTCGGTTTTGGCTTTGGAAATTCCGTTCTCAGTGGGGTTGATAAACAAGCAGAGATAAAAAAAAATTCGGAGCTACGAAGTTTTGCCCACCCCGGATTTGGAAGGCGGTGGCCTGTGCTTTTACGAGGGTCATCAGCTAGCCAATCAATACAGCTGGCAGCGGATGGCTCTAATCTTAAGAAACCTCCCCTAAAGTTACAGGGTATATGCACTGCAGCGTATTCAGCGTATTACACCTGGCAAGCACGCGACTGAATTCTTCTCTTTACGCGACGGGCTTGGGGACTCACTCAGCAATCATTTTGAGTCTTGACGTCCAAATCTGCGCATCCCCTCATTACTTCTTTCTGAGGTCAATGTTCCGACATGCGCTGAGAGGAGGGGCCACAAATCGGAATTTCAGCCCCTGGGCCGCGCCAATTCTGCTCCAATCTAGACCAAGAGCATGGCCGACTTACAAGGCTGGTTTCCACGAACTCGGGGGAGATGCGCCGCATAGGAATGCCGAGTCTGATTCCCATTCCGCATCGAATTCGTCCCGTCGCTCGCACTCAGATCACATACTCAAGAACGAAACAATATATGCTCTGTCGTCGGGCGCGGGAAGGGCGGGCATAGCCGTCATTCGAGTTTCCGGACCTGGCAGTCTTGATGTGAATGGCCCCCCCCCCCCCCCCCCCCCTTTTTTTTTTTTCCTTTTTTATATGGTTATTAAAATCTTTGAACCACCCTAAACTAACATGTGGCGCAGGTTTACCGCTCATTGTGCCCGTCAAATCCCCCACCAAAGCCTAGGTATGCCGGTGTGAGGACCTTGACAGACCCCGGCGATGCGTCTGGCGCCAGCATCCTAGACTCGGACGCCCTTGTACTCTACTTCCCCGGTCCCAAGACGGTCACGGGCGAGGATGTTCTCGAACTGCATGTCCACGGCGGGCACGCGACCGTCAAGGCGGTCCTTTCCGCCATCCCAAGATGCATGCTTCCGCGTGCCAAGATACGCTATGCCGAGCCAGGCGAGTTCACCAAGCGGGCCTTCCTCAACGGCCGACTCGACCTCGCCCAGGTTGAGTCGCTGGGGGAGACGCTAGCGGCTGAGACGGAGCAGCAGCGCCGCGCAGCAGTCCGAGGCACCTCGGGCATCCTCGGGAAGGCGTACGAGGGATGGCGCCAACAGCTCCTCCTCGCGCGCGCCGAAATCGAGGCCCTGATTGATTTCTCCGAGGACCAGCACTTTGACGAGTCCCCCGCCGAGCTGCTGACAAACGTGTCGTGGCTAGTGGACGGCATCCTCGGCTCCATCCGGCTGTACCGGCTCGGCAGCCAGCGGAGCGAGCTGTTGCGCAATGGGATACGCATAGCGCTGCTGGGGCCCCCCAACGTCGGCAAGAGCTCGCTGATGAACCAGATCGTCGGTCGCGAGGCGTCCATCGTCTCGGCCGAGGCGGGCACGACGCGCGACATTGTCGAGGCGAGCCTCGACATCCGCGGCTTCCTGTGCTCCTTTGCCGACACAGCCGGGATCCGGACGACGTCGGTGGTGGCGTCGTCTTCCTCGTCGGACGCCGTCGGCGGCGCCAAGGCGTCCTCGCCGCCCGCGGCCGCCATTAGCACAATAGAGGAAGAAGGAATACGGCGGGCGCGGAACAAAGCGCGAGACTCGGATGTCATCATCGTCTTGGCGTCAGTAGAATTGGCCAGCGACGGCACGCCCTGGATAAACTACGACACCGAGACGCTGCGCTTGGCGGCGGGCGCACAGCAGTTCATAGTTGCGGTGAACAAGAGCGACGTTGTGGACCGAGACGTCCTGCGGAATCTGCTCCGCGACTTTGCGGCGTCGGTGCGCATGGACCAGGAAGGGAGGTTGTCCTCCTCGTCCCACGACGGTGATCTTGTCCCACTAGCTGCAGCAGCCGCTGAACCACCGCTCCTCGCAATATCCTGCAGGGCGGCTGCAGCGGACGCCAAGGGGCTGACGGACCCAGGGGGGATCCAGGCGCTGGCTGAAAAATTGGCCCAATCGTTCGCGGTTCTGACCTCGGTGCCTAGCGACATGCAGCATCTGCTTAGTGTAACCGAAAGACAAAACCAACTTCTAGTCGTATGCCAACGGCATCTAGAAGACTTTGTGACCGAGGCGGCGCGGCGGCGGTCTTGTGGAACCTTAGACGAGCACGCGGTTTCTGCAGAACCTGATGTCGTACTAGCGGCAGAGCACTTGCGCCTTGCCGCTAATTGTCTAGCTTCTATAACTGGTCACGGAGACGCCGGCGACGTCGAAGAAGTTTTGGGGGTCATATTCGAAAAGTAAGCCACCCTTCCCTGTTTTTTTATTAATTTGTAATTTTTACTACGCCCTTGTTCAAAACACAAAATTTGTCAAGTTACACCAGCCGACAATTTCTTTGAATCTTACTAAACTATTTTTCAGATTCTGTGTTGGCAAGTAACAGTAAGACGACAAGAATAGAAACGATGAAAAAAATTATTCTATGCGTTTGGTGTAACAACTCCAGTGTAATGATCCCCATGCGCCGTTTTTTGTTCCGGGGGGGTTTTCTTTCCCTGTCGCCCCCTCACCATGCCCTTCCCCCCCGAGTCTGTAGGAGTAAAAAATGAGAATAGGAAGCCTAATCCTGTTAGTTCCTGGGACTCTTCCCAGAAAACGGGGGGGAAGGGGTACTTGACAGAAATGTAAAGGGAGACAGAAAAAAAAGTAAACCACCCAGACAATAAAAAAAAAAAAAAAAAAAAAGGCCACCCAAAAAGCAAATAAAAAGCAAAATGCAGCAAATGCACCACCCCGCCGCCCTGCCGGATCCTTTGTATCACCAGTCAACCAACAAAAAAAACGCCAAATAACCCCCAATGTGTAGCAGTATATCTCCGAGACATAAATGGAAATGAAAAGGAAAGGGGGAAAGGGGGGGATTTAAGAAAAAATGCTGTTGAAATGCGATGCCATGAAACAAGCAGACCCATCCGCCCACCATTCCCAATGCCGATGCTTATTTTTGACCAAGGAGGAAAAAAAAGCTGCAAGCGAAACTCCGTGAGACTCCGTGAACCGAACACCAAAAAAAACCCCCCGAGAGATAGAGACAGAAAACTGTAGAAGAGACAAGAAATTCGTGGCTGTGCTGAGCCCCGCGCACATGGATTGTTGTAATCGGCAAAGTCGTGTCGTCGTAGTAGAGGGAGAGAGATTTCCCGGCTCGCCTTATAGGATTATTAAGCTAGAGCGGGAAGGAGACTGGGTTCCCAAGGCGAGCTGGGTTGGGAGGCTGTTTCTCTCTTAGTTCTGCTTGTCCTCCTCATCGTCCTCCTTGTCGCCCCTGTGGTTTGATTTGTTAGTTTGTTGTCATGGGCATTTACCAAGCGGGGGGAGGGGGCTCACTTGTTGTAGCCGGAGCGGCCATTATTGCGGAACTTCTCCTCTTCCTCTTCATCAGAGCCGTCCCTGTATTACGGTTAGTTTGTGTAACTGCGAAGTTGGGAGGGGCGTCGAGCAGGAAACTGTGTAACTCACTTGTTGTAGCCGGAGCGGCCATACTCAACAGGGGAGCGAGTAGCAGCAGTGAAAGAAGTGGTGGCAGCCATTGCGAAGACTGGTGGTTGTTGAGGTGGAGGTGAAGGTGAAGGTAGTAGTTTAAGTTGAAGTTGGTTGAAAATGAGATTCCGAAGCTAGTTGATGAGTTTGAAAGAAGTGGTTGGTGAGAGGATGAAGGCTTTGGGAAAGGTTGATGAGAAAGGTTGATGTTGATGTTGCTGTTGTGTTTGTTGGAAGTGGTTGTTGGAAGCTGGTGTTGGAAGCTGATGACGGGAGAATAACTGTCCCTGAACTGGGCATCACAAGAGACTTAAATAAGAAATCCAAAGGTTGGAAAAGGTCGAGATGTGCAACCAAGGCCTCCTGCCGTCACCATAGGCAAGGTAGATGCCGGGTCTACTTGGCGGTATCCAGGCGGCGCCGACATCGTCTCAGGAGCAAGCAAGGGTAGCAAGGGTGGATGGAGCAAGATTACATGAGCCATCTCGGGGCCTCCACTTACTTTGGCCTCCACTTGGAAGCACTTCGGGAGGACGAGATAGGTTGGTAATGGCAGGCACTTTGCGTCTTGCTAGCGGTGGAGTACGCACACTGGTACATACAGTACGAGGGGGAGAGACCACCCCTGATGGCAGTGCAAATCTGCAGCTCAGATTTCTAGTGGGTCCGAAACTGGCGACACTATACGAATGAAGCAAGCGGTGTGTTATTATTTTGTGTGGACACCTTGGGAATAAGGGACGACGAGGGAGAGAGAGAGAAAGTGAGAGAGATACCTCGGGATGGCCTAGAGCCAAGGTAACCTTGGGAGGTACCGTTCGCACCTCAGGACCCAGCCTGGGAAGATCCGCGTCTGCCCGCAGCGTGCGTGCCGCAACGTCGATCCACAGATCCCATCCATGCTTGCTTGGGTCAGGTAGGTGTGTGGACTGTGGACGGGGTTAAACTGGCGGAGGTACCTCCGAAGCAGGCCGTCTGCACGTAAATACGCTAGAATGAGGTACGCATTCGCATTCCAATCTGGTCGCACAAACGCGGCCCCGACGGGTGCAAAACTAAGGCAAGGACAGGTGTGAAATTGAAGGAAAAAGGGCGGAAAGCGGGCCAGGCCAAGCCAAGAGCCAGCCAGTGACCCGCGCCTCCCAACGTGAGTTGGTGGACCCCGATATCTGGCCCATGCATGCATGAAGTGTGCATACATACGTACAAGACATGCACCGTCGATAAGGCCGATGGCGCCGAGGCGTCGGTGTGAATTGCAGTGGGTGGGCGGACAGTTGGGACGGCCATCAGAGATGCTGTGGGTTTGGGGGCCGTCTGTGTGATATTTTGGCAACTGTGCAACGCCAAGGCCCACACACCCCTGCCCTCCCGTAGGGCTGAGCGGGATGTGCTACCGATCGTTGGGTGCCTAGGTAATGGATCTGCCGCCGCTGCGTCAGCACCAGGCCATCATCGTTGCAGCTGCCCTGTACCGGGAACCCGTTGAGGCTTCTCCGTCAGGCAGAGCCGTCCGCCTGCAGCATCTCGAGACCGAGTCATCAGGTCGAGGTCCCCGATCTCACTCGTTTTCCTGTCTTATTGTCGCTTCTGCTGACCTTGCAGACCCGTGGAGTAGGCCGTGCTTTCCATTGTTTCGGTTTTTTTAAGTGTTTTCCTTTTAATCACATCTTTCGATTTTGACTTTGCTGTCCGTCCGGCGGGGGAGGCGGCTCTCGGCACTAGTCATCTCACGCCAACCCACGTCACCCTGGCAGCTTAGGTTTTGAGGTTGGCAAGTACTTAGCAAAAGTACCACCGGCCGGCGTTACGGCTTCCAGTTTCGGTCGCTGTGCCGACTGATTACCGCTCCGTACTTGAAGCCAGCACCTTCTAGGGAACCGCCCTTGCAGCCTGCCGGGTGTTCCTGCCACCCAGTCACCGACCAGCTGGTAGCGAAAGAGCCCCTGTCGGCCGATCCGCTTTGGCCCAGGTTCCTGGTCTTGGCGCACCTCCCAGCTCTTTTAAACGACCAACGTTCGTACAGTAGCGTACGGATGTACAGTACATACCGTAGAGTGGCGACCACGGACACGGGGTTGAATTCTCCATACTCCATACCTTGATGTTCCTGCCGAGCAGCAAAAACTGGCCTCGGGGTGGTTCATGAACATTTGTCAGATGTTACTTATCTCTCTCGGTTATTAATCAACTAGGAAGTCTAGTGTCATAAGTATGCCCGGGTAGGTTGGCAAGCAAGCAAGGTAGGCAGGCACCTTAATTGCTAGCCTTACCTTTTACGGATATAGAATACGCCCCCGGCCCAGCTACTTCCTTAAAGCCTTGTTTTTTGTTCATTGTTGACCTCCTCCGGCACATTCTCTCGGGGGTCTTGGTGCTTCTCTAATTCTTATATCCGAGTTGCCAGGATGCACGAGTCGTGTCTCACCAAGACAAAGTACGCAGGAGTACGCTTGTACCTTCCCCCCTTCGCTCTAAACCTTGTCTGTTAGTGTGGTTACTCAGCATGTGCCTCGAGAGAACTTGGCGATGCGATGCGATGCGATGCTTGCTGTCTCCCTTCCCAAATTTGTATCCCGCGTCCGCGGCTGACGGGTTTATCCCGCGCCCGCCCATCATACCCAGCTGTCAAATTGTCACCGCCACCACACGCACTAGACTTATTACCAATTTGCTAATCCATTGTAGGCAACGTTGAACGAATAGTTTGCTAGGTTCGGCCCTAAGTCGCTTGTTGCACGAACTGTAGGACTGCGCAACTGCTGTTCTCCGAAATACGATCGCAAAGGAAGCCAACGACCCAAGGTATGAACAGGGCGGCCTGTCAGTTGTCGATTTCCTCGTCATCAAGTCGGGCTGGCCATGTCGGTGCCAGTGTGCTCCGTACGCCCGGACATCTTAACTCGCGCACCCTTTACAGACCGAGCTCCATGTTAGGTCTGTGGTCCCCCCGTGTATGGCCGCGCCGTAGACACACGTGACCCCGTCAAAGCCTCCCCCGGCGAGGATCACAACCCAGACTGGAACTAGAATCTGATGTTTGACGGCACTCGATCCCGCAGGCAGGGGATCACGGGCCATCCACAGGTTCCCGGCATCGGCACTGGGGTGTCGAGGGGGTGATGTGCAAGGTTCTCATGTTTCGTCGGCAAGTGAGCCTGTTTCGCCTATTTCCGGAGGCAGTTATCCTTTGTTTTTGTTTTCCATTCCGAGGCTCTCCTGATTAAATTCGCAACTCGAATGAATAGATGCCCTAGTGATGTGACCTTGTCTGAAACAGCCGGCTCTGGGTTACCTGTTGCCTTGGGATGCTGGGTTGTATGCAATGCAGCCCTACAGCAGATACGCAAGACGGACGGCCAACGGGTAACTTGCAGTAGGTGTATGAGCGTGCGAGTGCCATATGCGTGGTGTCGCAATTACGACGCCCACATTTCCAGAAACCCAACGCCCGATCTGGACACCGGGATCTGACGGTCTCTGCAATTGGGAGTGACATGAAACCTCAGATGATGTAAGGCTGTAGGTAAGCTGGGAGTCGGCGAACTCGGTTCTGCTGCTGTTACAAGGTCCAGGGCTAAACGCCGCGTTGGGACACTGTTCCGATTTTGCGGGGACGTCGGTTGTGCGTCTTGGCGCAGACCCGATCACCGCACCTCACTCAGCAATACGGCAGGTGCCGTCTGAGAACCTCCACTAACCTTTGAGGCTTTGACCTGTTCATTTCAGGCTTCCACCAAAAACCCGGAGGCCGGCCTTCACTGCCAGGTGAAAGAGCTGGCACCACAACGGAACTGAAGCGATGGAATCCCGAAACCAGCACCGACTATGGAATACTACGTAAGGTAATCGTACCTTTCCTTCCATTATTATCATTATCATTATCATTATCATTATTTCCTTACCTACATCGACAATCGATTCATCTGCAGAGCACTCCGTAAGCCGGCCGAACCAAGCTGAGGTGAAGTCGGGTTTCCGGCTCCCAAACAGTCAATCCACTCCCGTGCATCAAACCTTCACCTTTCACGCTTCCAATCCCATCCCTCCCTCCAGAGCACCAACGGGCGCCCGACATACGTAGAGCATCTTACATGATTCCAACTCCCTCCCCACCTTGGCGTAATCATATGCCCTCACCCATTTGACAAACATCTTTGCGTCCTCGGTATACAAGAATGCAATGGTCAGGTTTGGGCGGGTTCTTGGCAGATAACCTGATGAGGCACCTAAGAGAGGTGCCTGAGGTGGGCGGTGCTGGGGAGGCTTGGCCCAAGATGATTCATCAGATATCATTTATTTTTTTTCCTCACACGGTTCGCATCTTCTGCTGGTCTACTGCTATTGCGTCGCCACCTTTGTTGCTTGTTTAGTCCGTTGCAGCGTAGTGCCTGTATGCCTTTCTGTATGCCTCACAATACGCCTCACCAGCCTTGGGATGGTTTCCTGTTTTCTCACTCGCTCTCTTGTTTCCCCACCCTCACGGTTATTGGTTGTCAGCCGAAGCAAGCCTTTTTCCAACAAGGTACGGCAGATCTTCCCGACCGTGCAAAGCTGAGATGCACCTCCCGCCGCGGCAGGCCTCTTTGGAGTCACAAAAGCCGCTTTAGCGAGATGCTTGGCTTACTAAAGGTGGTGAAGCTATCGCCACATCTCATCGTCCAAGCGGCTTCCTAGAGTCTTGATTGGCTAGGCGAAGTAGCCTGCCTACTGACCTGAGGCAGGTTGTTGACCATGGCCATAGACTGTGGTTGCTGACCGACAGCTCTGAGGACCCCCTAAGGTATGCAACTAAAAAAACACTGCCCAAGCACTAATGCGGTAGGATAGTAAACAATCCCCCTTTTCGCCTCCGTTGGCCCACCAAGACAGCTCCAACCTGTCTAAAAAGGGGAGCACACATGACCAGCCCTGACCAGTACAACAAACAGTACAGGAATCCAAGCGATCTAGTGGCAATTGTTGCTGAACTTGCCAACCCTGGGCTTAATTCATCAGTCACTCACCCGGTCTAGTCGACCGCGACGGGACTCGAAGAAGCTTGATTTCGCCAAGACGTTCATCGTCTCCAGCCTCGCAACTACTGAACGAAGGGCAAACGTTGGACCAAGCAAGCGTGCCTCGGAGGGCGATGACGAGTTGTTCCCACTTCTCCCAGGCACAGCTTACGAGCAGTCCCAGGGCATAAACCAGTTGGTTGCAAAAAGTTTCCCGGCCAGCGCGGATCTTCTGTTTGCAGATGGCGTTGCCGGCTAGTGGTCCTTTTCTGGCGCATGGTAAGATCCCGGGAACACACAGGCTTACCGGCTAGTATTTTCTGTTTATTTTTGTCGCCACTGGGGATTATCTGCTCCGGGCTCTGGAGCCGAGGAGCAAAAGGGGGGCTATAAGACCTCCGCGGCTGTTCAGTCTGTGAGTCAACGTGTCTCGCTTCTTGGAAAAGAAACGTGTCTATTTGGGCTAGGGAAGCTGCCGGATCAAGTGCGTATGTTTGTGTGTACATTGCCCCCCCCTCCATCCAGCGGACACGTTCAGAGCTCTTATCACACATACAACGACATACAGCGGTGGCATAGCTCTGGTATGGCTCGGCAGGATGTCTACATCGAGTCCAGGGTGGTGGTACAAGCTTTTTGACTGCTACTAAACGCCTCGCGGATGGGCCAGGTCGCTAATTTTTGTGGGACACGTACGACACGAAACCCAAAGTTTCTCTAGTCTAGACACCCGCCGCTAGTGGCGAATTTGATCGTATAACCCCCTTTTTAGCACTCTAATATACCCCTGGTTTCATTTTCGTGATCTTTCTCTCCAGCTCTGCGGAAGCTGTTGAACCTACCCCTGTCTTCTAGAAGACAAAGAAGGGGCAGCTTGACTCGGTCCCTATCATCCTTTTCCTCTTTCTCTCGAAACGGCGAGTCAACTCGAGGCTGGACTTGCTCTCAGAGTCGACAAATTCGGGTGGCAATGTATCGGCGAGAATACTCGCAAATGTAACATCCGAGTTTACCGTTGCATATCTGGTATCTACTTGCTTTAGCTACGAGATGCTGTACGAGAGCTGCTCGCTCTTCAGACTACCTTACCTATAGGGTCTTAGCGCGCGAGCACCAATTCAGGGACCGATACGTCCCTAGGCAACCGGTTCATCAAGCGGTGAGGAGACGAAACCTCACTTGCGGGACCGCGGCCTCTCCGACTGGCTGCTATTGGGGGACTATTGGGCAATGTTGTTCTCTTTTACAGGTTTTACTGAAGAACAGGGGCCAACCGGAAGCGTTGGAGTAGTCGAGTTGAACCCCTCACCACCCCCCCTTATTTTCTCCGATTGTATTCAAAACAACCCACTTATTTTACGCATTCTTTTGTCCCTATTTTTCTTTTTCTTTCTCGACTCCGTTTGGGGGCTAGGCAGAGGTGTTGGAAGCGCACGATACTGTCGACGTTCCGCCGCTTCTTGGGGTTGCTCTGAGACGGAATGTGAGACACAAGAATAGGTGCCTGGTTGTGGATTAGCTAGCCTTCTCTCTGGGTCCAAAAATAAAACGGCACAACCCTACTAGGTAGTAATTTCATGACAAATGGGGGCATGATTACGAAGTGATAAAATCCCGGACTTGATTATGCAAGATTTTTTTGCCCTGGCCTGGCTTCTGCGTGTCAGCAAATCAGACTCTGTAGGGTCAGCCATCACAGCTAAGCCCGGCACGAAAAAAGGCAGCAGCGATCCATTGCTTCGGTCCGCTGACCGAGAAGCAGTAGGTTCGTAGAGTAGCGCCTTACCAGCCACACTACAAAACCGCAAGGGCCACCCCGGCCGGCAGAGGGGGCTGCCTCAGCCACAGATGGGCGGGAGCTACCCGAAGCACGTCCAACCGCCGTCCATCATCTTCGCGCACAGTGCAGTCTGAGCTTGGACACACTTACAAGCACAGTGTGTATGAGGCGGGCAGGAACAAACTGCAAAACTTTGGACGCAGTCCGCCCATTTCGTTCCCCAAGCCGAACCTAAGCCTCGCACCTCTCCTCTGGCGGAGCTCTGTCCTCCTCAATCCTCAGCGAGAGCCTCATTTCTTCTCGAATTTTGGCCCGGAGATGGCCTGTGTTTGCGGTTGACAAACTCAAGTCGCTCTTTGGTTTTTTTTGATTTCACGTTCGGTTTTTCTTTTTCTGTCCCGCTCTATTCGTCGTGTTTTCCTGTACAGCAAGCAACGCCTCTCTCGTCAACCCAGGCGTCACTGTCACTAGAGCTCCACACCCAAGTCTCGCGACTTTGCGGATAGCCCCTCCCATTACCAGTTCGCAACAGAGCTTCGTAAAGCTGCCCGAAGACGATCTACATCGCGCAAACTCCTTTCACGATGCCTGGTAAGTTCAATTGTAAAACCTTCGTCCCTCTCTCGCTCGCTCGCTGCCGCCTTGCTCCACTGCCCGGATACCAAAGTTATGTGGGCGTTCCTCCGACCGAGGGTGGTTGCTGTCACCGCACGCGCTGGCGGTTGTTTCACATGCCCTCGACTTGCCACGGACTTGGTTCGACTAGATAGCTACCTGCGCCCGTTCGAATCCCTTCCCGACTCTCTACTCCCCTCGGCTCTCCTGTTGGAACTGCATCGGCCGATACCTTGGAGATTTGTGCATGGTGCTGCTACAGCCAGCTCAACTGTCACTGGGCTTCGCATCGCCAACATGTACTCCCGCTTCGGTCGCACGACCACCGCAGAGATAAACGCAAGGTCGTCTGCGTACTTGTTCTGACGGGCCCTTGGCCTCGAACGGCGCTCTCTGTTTTTTCCTGACATGGGCTATTACAATGTTGCTGGCGCTGACACAAGTACGCAGCTCTTGTCGAGGACCCCTGGATTAACAGCCAGGTGGTGTAAGTTGATCTCGATTCAAGTCCCCCCCTTGGCACCCCTCTGGACCCCTCTGCATCGGATGCGCCTTCAGCTTACAGACTCTCTTCAAAGCACGCACTCTATCGCCGAAATCGAGGACTGTGCCATCGCTGTGGACGCGTCATACTACCTCCAGCTTCAACTCGATGCTCAGCCGTACAACGAGCCGCTCCTCCCCGCCCTCGGTGGCATGACGGGTATACAGAAGCGGATTGAGACTGAGCTGGATCGATGGGTAGCCCATCGTGTGGTCCCGTTCTTTATCTTCAACGGAGTGCCTCTCACGGGCCAAGACGATGTAAACGTGCAGCGCGGCCGACAGGCCAACGGGAAGACGGATTTGGCCTGGGATCTGTACTTTAACGGCAGGGCGGATGACGCCGTGGCTGCTTTTGGCCAGCACACCGGTAATGAGCTTGTTCCTCGAGGCAATATTTGCTGGCTAATTATATCAGGTGCTTATCGTCCTTCGGCGCTGTATCCTCTTCTCCAGGCAATTCTGAAGAACCGGAAACTGCATTTCCTCGTTCCTCCTTTCAACGCTGCCGCGCAAGTATGACACCATGACTACCGCGGCCGTTTAAGAAGCTTCTGACTTTGAATAGATGGCATATTTTGAAATGATCGACTCGGACCAGTGCGGAGGCATCATGGGGCCTTTGGAGCTTATGCTTTACCCAATCAGAGATAGCATCATCCGGTCTATCAACTGGGATGCCGGTACAGTCACCGCGGTTTCCAAAAAGCACATCACGAAGACGCTGAACGTCAGCGAGTCTCTTTTTATCGACGCCTTCTTGATGACGGGGACTTCGTTCCTGGCCCCGTTCCCGCCTCTCCTGGACTCTTCAGTCGTCAAGGCCCAGCCCTTCTCCATCTCTGACGCGGTTAATATGCTGCGCACGTCGGAGAAGTCGGTAACAATCATCTGTACGACCTTTCATGACATAATCAAGACTCACGATGCTGGCTGGCTAGATAAGTACCGCAGGGCGCGAATGGCTGTTAGCCATTTCATCTACGTTTCCGAGAGTGGCGAAGTGAAAGTCCACGACTACGAACGTCTCACGGGGGACAACCACGAGTATCTTGGCCTTCAGCTTCCCTCAGAGCTTTTCCACTACCTGAACACAGGTCTCATTGGGCCGCGTATTTTGAGCTGGATTATTCATGGGCAGCTGCAAGTGCTGTCGACTGTGGACGGATACGCTTCGGACGAGTACAAAAAGCTTGTGTCGACGCAGCTGGTGCCAATTAAGGAAGCAGCACTGGGCCTTCTTATTCCACGACTTAACCGCGGTATCGGCCACAAGGACATCACTATGAGAGTCTGGTATGACCGAAACTTCACCTACACTGCATGGAATAATCACGACCAGGCCAACTTCGGAGGTCAGGTAGCCACCTGGAGCGTGGACGAGTCTACGATCAAAGCGTTCTACCCTGGCTTTGTGCACGGCTCGGTCGGATCAGAGGTCCTCTCCCTGAAGAAGCCGGAATTCGTAGCGCAGACATTCCTGGGTCCGAAGGAGAAGTTGAAGGGGCTCCAGCTGGCAGGGATGATAAAGTCACTCTGCCTCTGGAGATTCCTTCATGTTCGCGGCTATGTTAATGACCGACACGAGCTCACTCGCTGGGGCACAGCTCTAGCAGCGTCCATGTCGGCCTTGGAGCCAACAGTCAAGCAACACCCTGACGTCCCAAACCTCTTTGAGTCCATTCTTGTTGGGTTCGAGCTGCTCCGCTTTGAACTCCTCAATGCCCGAAACAAGCATCCGGACCTTCGTGGTCTTCCCTTAAACGGAACCGAAGACGACCAGTCTAGCTTGCTTCTTATCAGCAGATGCGCAACCTTATTGAAACTTCGACACGAGTCGAACGGATATACCGGACCCCTGAGCAAAAACTTGCTAGCTTTCCGCTCCCTGGTGTCCGAGGTACGCTCTGCAGACCGCGATCTTGTTGAATCTGTTTTGGCCTCCATGTTCCTGTACGCGCAAGCGAAACGGGACAGGTCAGATGGATGGGAGCTGAGCCACCAGTAAGTTCAACACCAGTTTTCACTGTATACGCCTATCCGTTTTACTGACTCCCTCCTCTCAGACTCCCGTTCCTTCACGATCCGGATGTGGCGCTTGGTATTGCTGTCAAGACTTACTTTGACGACGTGGCGCTCGAAGACCCTGTGGAGATCCGGGTGTCTAAGAAAAAATGTTTTCCTACGTTGTATGTGCCGTTTGCTTTGGCATTTGACGAGGATTTGGACATTGCTTGCAACTTCTTCGATGCTATGTACGCCGGCGTCCAGGCTTTGGACAGCAACGATGTCTCGTCTGTTGATCGCGCGACTTGGGACAAGGCAGCCAAGTACCTTGAGCTGCGGAGATAAGCGGACACATTGGTCTCTGCTTGCCGGCACAGCTCTGGGGTGGATATGAAGGCCATTGAACTGTGACGAGCCTGAGAATTCGGTTGTAGCTAGTTATCCGTGACGAAGCAGCTTATCCGCAACTAAGCAGCAATTTTTGCTCGCGGTACACTCATGCATTCGGTGTTGGCAATGCTTCGGAGCAAACAGGGCCCTCGTATCTTAGTCTTGGATGAGAAAAGACCGCTGAAACCAATGACCTGAGAAGAACATGTTCACTCGAGACAGGGCATAGGCAAGGTTTGAGGGCAACTAGGTGTTTTGAAAAGGAGAAAAGGACCATCGATGGCGCCCAATTCATCGCCGTAGTTGTCTATGAATCGTGAATATTTACCTAGGCACTCTTGAACCTGGCCATTGTGTTGGTCTGGGAGCAGGCGTTAGCAATACGACGGCTCTTGCATAGCCCGAGGGTTGTTGATTGGCGCGTTGGTTGATGTAGTGCTTAGGTCGAGCTGAATGAAGCGTAGATTTATTGGTATATTCTAGATGAAACCTATTGGTGCCGTTCGATTGTTTGAATTTTGGCTGTACCGCGGCCAATACTATACCGCGGCAAATACCTTTATTTACTTCTAGTATATGCGCAGTAATGAGCATGGGCTATTTAGTTCACTTTTATGATAAATCTAACTATGGAAGTCCCTCCTTGAGCAGAGCCTCCTTAAGCAGAAGAAACAAAATATACGTGAGTCGTGAATATTTATTTACCTGGGTACTCTAGTTTCGGCCAAGCAGCGGCTTCCTTTTGTACAGCGTTACAAATCCTCCGAAGCTGATTTCCCCTCCCATACGACCATCCCCCTCATTTGCCCATTGCTAACGTCAAGTAGCATAAGATGTATCCATCCGTACACCATATAAACAGACATGTATTCATAAAACAAAACCCATCAATCGCAAAACGCCATTCTCCCAAACGCCATTCCCATATTCACGCCCTCGCGGCATGTTTGATAGTGGTTCCCCCATTCCACAATCAATCTCGTGTCGAGTTGGGTTGACCCCGCCCATGCAAGCTAGCCAAGTAGTTAGGGAAAAAGACCAAAGAAAACAAAGGAGAAAGGGGGGTATCGTCACAATGTATGTACGTTTGTCATGTACGCGGTGAGTGGCGTGGCGTTATGTAAAGCCCCTTGGTAGTTATTCCGTTATGGCTAAGGAAACGGGGAGGCCGGTGATAAGGGATGAAGCAGAGCGGCGAGGGGTGAATGCTCTGCCACGGGGGGGTTCTTCAGAAATAAAAAACAAAAAATGAAATAGCGCGAAAAAGGGAGAGGATGGGGGTTGTCTTTGGCCAATTAAGCAATCAAGCGGCGCTTGATCGGGGCGGGTTCGCCGTTTGCGGCGTTGTGTTTTTTGTCGAGATTTGTCCTGCCTAACGCCTGGATCTTGTCGAGCAAGTGGCTGTGAGGGACGGAAGAGGTTAGAATACGCTCCAATCTCTGTCAAGAATGGGATGGATAGATTAAGGTAGAAAGTGAAAACGGGGAGGGAGCAACATAAAAGGGAAAAACGAAAGGGAAAAGACACGAAGACAAGAAAACAAAGAGTTAGACAGACAGAAGTCTTTGGCCATTTGAAGAACTAGAAGGAAAGCTTTTTCGGTCGCCAAGTTTTACCGCTGCGGTGAGGGAGGGAAATACACGATCAAGAGAACAGGAGGGAAATATGCATACTTGATGGGCATGTGGCCGCGGCTTTCCTTCATGGCCAGGTTAATCTTTTCAAGCTGAGCCTCGTGGTCACGGAAGTGGCCAGCAATGATTTCTTGGGCGACCTGGTCCTCCGCGGAGCGGACCACATAGCCGCACCCGTCCTGGTCGCAGGTCCAGGTTCCGTTGGGGCCAGAGGGCGACATGGTCGGGATACTCTCAGCATGCACAACCACGCGCATGGCATCCTTGGGCACACGCGTGTACATTCCAATAGACTGGTCGTCATCATCGTCGGGGTCGTCATCATCGTCGGTATCGTTATCATCGTCGGGGTCGTCAAGGCTTCCTAGGTCGCTTGTCTCGTTGGCGTCCTCCATGTTCTCGTCCTCGTCAGTTCCTAAGTAGGGCCTTTTCGACGGCTTCCTCCCACGTCGCTGGCTGCTGCTCTCCTCGTCGTCCATCTTAGAAGCAGGCCGCTTCTTGGACGTAGATAATAAGCGCAACCCTGCCCCCTTTCCGGATTTTCGACCGGCGGGCTGCAGCAGCTTTTTCGACGGGGGAAACTCGTCATCTGACTCATCCTCTTCCAATTTCTGTGACGCCTTCTTAGCCTTAGCTCTGAGGTCGATAGCCGGAGGAAGTTCAACAGCGGGCGCCATCTTAGAGGCGCGCGAGAGTTTCATGCGGCGTACTAGTTGAGCAGGCATCTCTTCTAGTGTGATGTTTTCTGGAGGCTTGTATGGCTCAAGGCTAGTAGTCTTCAAGTAGTCATAAAAAGGAGTGCCTTTCCATTCCGGACCCAAATGTGGCAGAAGCCGCTGTGAATAATATCTTGTGATATCTTTAGTTGCACAATAGTTTTTGATCTTGCACTTGAAGAAAATGGTTGAGTGAATTTTGGGGAAATTCGTCTTCATCACATCCATTTCGGTAGCGATTTCCTGTAGGATATCTACTAGTCGATCAATGGGGTCGTCGTAGCTAGCATTTGCTGGAGACGAGTCTCGAGGAGCTGGCGATGGCTTCAAACTTGCCGGCGTATCCGCAAGTTGGTGATATATGGCCGGAAGGGGTACGGGCGTTTCGATTGGAAATTTGGCTTTGGCTTTTCCCTTGTCCGAGAGGGCGGGCTGTGGGCTTTGCGATGGCCCGAAACCACTCATTTCCACGTCCTTGGATTCACTGACCTGTCTTCGAGGCCTACCAGACTTACTGCTGGGCCGTTCTGGAAGTGACGTATTTCGGAGGGCATTTTCAATATTTGCTGTGCCGGTACTAGCAGTCTCTGGAGGCGGTTGGACAACCGCCGCTTTGGGAGCCGCTTTGGCGGTTTTGTCTTTCAACTCCTAGCTCTTGTTAGTTCCTTACAACTACGTGGTCATCAAGTAGAGCGTCCACCCTTGATAGTTGACGTACAGGGTGTGATTGATGAATCCACTTGGAGAAGAGCGTGGATTCCCAGTTCACATCGACCTCTTTCGGAAAATGAGCGATCAGAAACTGCGCCCACTTGTGACAACGCGCTTCCACTTCGTCACGGGTCACTCCATCTCCGACAGCGACGGCATACTAAGCAGAGTTAGCTGTGTGGAGACGAGGGGACATGCTAGTAGGGGGGCGCTGCTGACCTTGAAGTAAATGTCGTCCAGAGTTGGTGCTGCCAGGGATTTTCTGCTCTTCTTTTTCGCCCGCGATGTATTCTGGTGCTTGTCGTAGACATCTAGCACTTCGTAGTAGAGAGTGACTGCCTCGCTGATTTGAGAATACATGGCTTCGTATTTTGGCGAGGGGACGATCTCGAACCAGCCCGCAGCGCCCGAAACCCAGAGAGTGAGGGGGTCGTATCCAATCGAATAGCGCTCCGACTGGCATATTTCTATGGGCACGGATATGGAATTGTTAATCGGCTTAACAACTGGGACATCCTTAGCATTTCGCAATGGGTCAAGCGGGCAACGGTCTAGACGTACGATTGGCAAGAAGCTCGAGGTCATCATCAATCTCCAGTTTGCCGCGAATTATCATGGGGCCCTCGACATGGACTAGCAATGGGTTTGCCAGAGTCGTGCCGTCTTTTTGATAGATAACCGCATCCGTCAACACGTAGCAAGGCCAGTTACTATATGGTACTGCTAGCGAGGCTGGCCGGAGGATCGAAGATTCTCGGGTCCAGCGGACTTGCGCTTCCTCGACAGAGCCTACTGTCGAATTCGACGCTCTTCGTCGGCGGCCCGCCATCGCGAGACCTCGTCGCCTTTGAGGTGAGGAATCGTGTCGCGTGGCGTGTGGATCGTGGTGTGGCTTGGCTTGTCGCAGTTCCCCCTCGGGCCCTCAAACCTGCCCGCCCAGTTACAGCAGTCGCGAGGCGGAAGAAAGGCGGGAAAATTGGAAAATGAAAAGAAGCAGAAATAGACGGCAGAAATCAAAGACACCAACCCATCAAACGCATGCAGGGTTTCTGCAATACGAGTCTGGCATGTCTTGCTTTGACGTAGAAGACAGTCTGACAGAGGAGACGGAGGATGTAAGTACTAGGACCGTAGTCGCGAAACTGGTCCTACACACCACGCGACGCGAGGCTCCGATTGTCAAATAGATGGAAGGCGGGGCGTTTTTGAAGGAACAGGGATCAGCCCTAGGAACTGTTCGCCTACCCCACCTCGTGGCCAACAAAAAAAAGGCACGCCAAAAGCAGGATTTTGGTGACAGCCCCACCCACACCTTACATCACCACCATCAATCGCCCATTTTCCAAATGCTTCCAACGACAATAATTCCACCAAAACACAGCCAAAAATAGCCCAAATGAGTCGCTAGTTGCATTATTCAACGCCTAAGAAGGCGCGTATTTGTGGGACATGCGCTTTTCTCGATGCACATCGCATACCGTATCACCACAACGATGTATTTCGCTTCCACAGCGCCAGCCGACGATTCGGCTGGCGGGCGCTTGCCGAACCCCTTGACGATGACCGGTCCTTCCACTCAACGTACGCTGAAACCCGCGGTCGGAAAAAGAAGCTATCGTCAGAAGCCTTAGCTCAAATTGAGCGCTTTATCGAGAGCAATGGCTTTGACGGTCGCACTATTCCTTGGGCAGGCATTCCAGCGGCTGCCGGCCTCGATATCGACGTAAGTGGTGAGACAGTACGCCGCGCGCTCAAGACCCTCGACTACCGCTTCTGTATCGCCTGCGAGAAGACATATGCCTCGCCTCGGTTGAAAGAAAGAAGGCTTGACTTCGCCCGTACGACGCTGGAAAAATATCCCGAACCGAAAGACTGGTATAGGGTTCGCTTTTCTGATGAATGCCACTTTGGCTGGGGCCCTCAAGGGAAGGTTCACGTACTAAGAAAGGAAGGGCACCGTTATTGTCCTGACTACTTGGTTGAAAAGGACCAACCGGCTGAAAAGGACCTCGAACGGCTACATTGTTGGGCAGCAGTTGGGCATAACTTCAAGTCAGAATTGACCTGGTATAACGTACCTGGGAATACGAATGGAAAGATGAGTATGAGGGTATATGGAGCCGATATCCTCGAGCCTACCGTCTTGCCCTGGTTACGTCAAGGCCAGGACTTCGTACTTGAGGCGGATAATGACTCTGGTCATGGTACAAGCAAGGATAATATCGTTAGGACTTGGAAGAAAGAAAATGGGCTCGAAAGCTACTTCAACTTTAGCGGTTCACCTGACTTTTCACCCATCGAGAAAGCCTGGCAGTCACCAAAGCAATACGTAAAGAAAAGACCTTGTTGGGACGACGAGATTGTTAGGGATTTGGCCGAGGAGGGTTGGGCGGCCCTCAAGCAGGAAACAATCAACAAATGGATTAACAATATCCCTCAAATCCTCAAGGAATGTATAAAGCTAGAAGGCGCTATAACAGGGCATTAAAATGAACTTGGTTTTATCAATTTTGGCATACATTTGGCTGTATTGTGGAGCTCAAAGTGGTGGTGTCATGTTTTGGTGTGCCTTTTTTTTGGTGGCCACGAGCCCACCAATATGTCTCATCTCTTCCAATCAAGTCGGTTAGTGCGGTCCCTTCTTTCCATGGGCTGTCAATTGGCAAAATAATTTCCAATGACCGCAAACACTGCCGCAGCGCCAAGACCAAGCAAGAAGCTCTTGTCGTTCATTTTTTGCGCTTCCGGGCTGGACTTTCCATCCAAGACCGCGAAGGTTATTTCTGCTCTGCTATTTCGCCCCCGAACCCAAAACGAGCATCTTCAGTTCGTCGCCGACCCCCAAGGTGACGCCGCGGCAGCAAATGCTCAACGGGTTTTTCAAGATGGCGAAAACCAACATTGTCGAGGGCGTCTTCGGTATGATGCGCCTCCCCTCCTCTTGCACCAAACCTGCAAAGACGTGACAGCTAACAATCCCGTCGCGACCAGGAATCAACAAGCCCATTGGCATGAGCTCCGCTCAGGTCATTCGAGACTGCCAGAACTACTTCAACCCCTCCGAGCTTTTTGCGCCTCTTCTGAAGCAGGAGAGAGATACTCGCGAAAAAGAATCACACTACCAGCAGAAGCGGCGGCGCAATATCAAACGACAGCTCCAGGTCAAAATTGGGCACGGCGGCACTCTGGACCCCTTGGCCACAGGCGTACTGATCCTCGGCGTGGGGAAAGGCACCAAGTCGCTACAGGGCTTCCTAACCTGCACCAAGACCTACGAGACTGTTGTTCTGTTTGGCGCCAGCACCGACACGTACGACCGCGTGGGCCGCATCATTAAGAAAGGAAAGTATGATGATATCACACGCGCCGCCGTCGAGAAGGTGCTCGAGAGCTTCCGCGGGAAGTATAAGCAGATGCCTCCGCTCTACTCGGCACTGAAGATGGATGGCAAGCCTCTCTACGAGTACGCGCGGGAGGGGAAGCCGATCCCTCGGGAAATTGCCACGAGGGATGTCGAAGTTACCGAAATGGAGCTCGTCGAGTGGTACGAGCCGGGGACGCACAACCACCGGTGGCCTGCCGAAGAGGCCGAACAAGCCGAGAAGAACCTAGTTGACTCGGTTTGGCGCGTCGCCAAAAAACAGGCAACCTCGGAAGACGAGCCCGGCAAGCTGACCCTTAAGCAAGAGGAAGAGGAAACAAAGGCGCTAGCCGAATATCAGAGTAATAAGCGCCAGGCTGAGGAGCGCGTCGACGGTCTTGTGCGCGAGGACAGCCAGTTGCCTAAGCGTAGGAAAGTAGAGCAGGCAAATCAGCCCGAACCCATGATGTCCGGCGCGCTCGGTGACCTGCCGCCCGTCAGCAGAGGCTCAAATCTCGTCCCGCCTCCACCAGCGCCCAACACACCACCGCCATGGGAGGGTAAGGGCCCCCCGGCAGCCAGGATTCGCATGACTGTGACATCGGGTTTCTATGTCCGGAGCCTATGCCACGACCTGGGTGAGAAACTAGGCTGCGGTGCCATGATGGCCGAGCTCTCCCGGACTCGGCAAGGAATATTTGTTTTGGGGGGCAACAACTGCCTCGAGTACACCGATCTTACCCTGGGGGAAGCAGTCTGGGCCCCGAAGGTTGGGAGCATGATGGACTTGTGGAATAATCGGGGTACGGTTACCGTGCCTTCCGCCAGTAAGCCTGCCGAGCCGTCAGCCAAGACCGAGCCTGCCGAGCCTGCACCAGAGCCGGCGAAAGCGGAAAAGGCCGAGGAGAAGCTAGTCGAGGAGAAGATAGTCGAGGAAAAGCTAGCCTTGAAAGTAGAAAATGCTGCCGAGGAAGCAGCTTTAGGCGTTGCCTCTGCCTCGGCGGATGCCGTTGTAGAAATTCTGCTAGAGGCAGAGGAGCCTCCTAAGGCTGAAGTAGCATAATGAGAATAGCGCTTGATAGCGGGTATCGATATGCGGGCACAGAAGTAAATAAGGTAGCTCGTCATAGCAAACATGAACGCTTGGGAAACTAGAATATATGTAATTTTACCTGCCTACCTTGCCGTTCTCCCAAGGAATAATGCTTGTCGTCTCGCAACGTCTGGTCGTCTCGCAACGTCTCGTCGTCTCGCAACGTCTCGTAGTTCTTTCCCTTGCCCTTGTACCTCTCGGGAAACCTAAGCCGGATGGATACAAGACACAGCATGCCACCTCCAGATGCCAACATAAGACCATACCTACTGGAGAACTCAGGATCCCGTCCGCTCTCCAAGCGATAAACTAGTGAGGGCTGGACTAGTAGTTAGGTCGGTGATGACTAGCGAATCCCTCGTGTTGTATGTGCTTCTTTTTATTTTGTCTCTTCTTTTTGTTTTATATTTTGCGTGGTTATTACCTAAGGTAGGTACCTAGGTAGGCGGCTACCCCGTTTACTTAGGTGGTTAATAAGTCATCCATGCTAAGGCTCGCATCCGGATAGGTGCGGGCCCGGGTTATAGTTCTGTCTCACTACTATAAGCGTGGGTGAGACTGGCAATAGATGCGTGGCAAAGCCTTGGCTGTCTTGTTTCGTTTTAGACGGTTACGAAGAGGCGGGAAGAGCTCTTTTCAGGAACCCGGTGTTTTTAATTGTTTTCTAGATCAACAAAGTACAGAACATTCAGATGTCAAGCCAGCATGTTCGGGCCCAAGCAAGCAGATTGAATATCCTCTGCGTACGGAATCTTCCGTACACGTGGGTTTGGTGCTTCAACAAGTGGGGTTGAATGTGAAGAGCAAGTAGTCTTGGCACCCGGGTCTTGTCTTTCGCCAAGCCCTTTGCGGCTCTCGGGCGGCGACATTTAGTAGTTACCAGGACATGACACCGTTTGAGTGATCGGTAAGCAAGGCCGGGGATTAGAAAACAGCCGCCGAAATCTCCGTCTAGATACACGAAATGCCCTGGTGCCTTCTGGTAGCGGGTATTTTCTAGGCCGCGGTTATACGCGTAACGAACATCAACTAGGCAATAATACATAAACGTGAAGACGAGTTCCTGACAAACAAAAAAGTTCAGTAAACAAAAACTTCAAAACAAGCGAAGGTCATTGGTAGACAGTCGGCAAGACTAGTTCCGGACTTCCGGTGGACGGAGGCAGACATAAAAAGGAACCTTCCCCATTGAGCTTCCTCCCGGTCGTGCCAGTGATTAGTAGCAAGGCCAGAGCCGGGGAATTGGGCGGCTGTCCGTGCCAGTAACCGGATGGCAGCTCGACAACCTTTCTGTTGTGAGCGTTATTTCTGTTGTGGGTGAAGGGTTGGTATTTGGGGGTAAGCCGGCCGGTACCGGCGCCGTCCCGGTGCTAAAGTCTTACGGGGAATTGAATGGTTGGCCATCTTCTGGTGTGCCCTTCGGGCTCGTTCGGTGCTTATGAGTGGCTACCTCTTCGGGGCCGATTCCGTAGCACAGAGGTTGGTAGGGAATAATAAGCAGCGCAGAATTAAATAGCTCGGCTCGTAGCTAAGGTTGCAAAAAGCCAAAAGCCGACGTGACTGACAAGCTGCAGAGTGGTGCCGATACCGTAGTCGCGCATTGTCGATGACGCGACGTCCGCGTGCCGCTTATCCGGCTATGGGAAGGTTCGGCCAGTGGCTAGCCCTTCCCCAGACCATCCCGTGTCCGGTGAGGTCCTAAAAGCATTGTCGTACAAGGCAGAATGCGTTATCTAGGACTAACGATTGGAATCCGGGAACGTGGGGCTGGGAGATCTCTTGGTTGGAGCTGATACTTTATACAGCACTTTATAGATGCCGTGATTGGTAATGACTTAACAACATGTAATGGATGGTTGGCCATAGGTTCTGATGGAATTATACCCGGACCGGGAACGCACCACTTTAACCGACCACAACTGGGTCTGAGCAGCAACCAGGAAATCGTTAAGGGGCGAAAGATAAGAATAAATTATTGAGTGCAGGGGATTTCGCGCTGCAAAAATCCTTCTGTCGTTGTGGGTTAATCCGTGTACGTACATACAAACCGACGACATGTGGCTGCAGAAACAGATCTATAGATCCGTTAAAGAGGTTGAAATTAGCAAGCGGTCTTCCAGGCAGAGGAGGTCAACTAGTGTAAAATGGAGGACGGGTATGTACGACAGGGGTTGCTGGTGGCCAAAGCGGGGTCGCCCTTCAGTGCGGAAGGTCGGTGGTTAACTCCTGCCGTCTACCGACACGACAGACCCCGGTCTTGCTTGCCACCCCTGTTAGTTCAAAGTAATTGGCGTCTCTTCGAATGCACCTTCCCCAAAACCAGTCTGAGAGCAAGCAGGCCAGACGATAGAATCAAGCCTGAGCATCTGTGGACCCCGAGCGGAAGATTTCCTACAGTCAGTAGAACCAAAGGTAGCAGGAGTCAATGACACCTCCCATACATAAGTTTCCCGTGCCCACACAAGCTGTCTTTTCTTGGCGGGTAACTCTGATTCTCGACTTGTCTGGTAATAATAAACTCAGTCGTCTCTGAATCACTACATAGTAAAGTAGGGGGTTTCGTCCTAGCTACCTGCTTACTACTAGTAGCTCCGCTCAGAGCAATTACAAACCCGCAGCACTGCGGCTTTAGCAGCAGGTCCTGACAGGAGCTACTTCACTTTTGTCCAAACAGCAAACCCACCAACAATTCGTCATGATTGCCAGCAGACTGGCCCGTTGACCATTGCCCCACGGCCTCGCCTAGTCTCTACATTTGCGGTTTAAGCGCAACATCAACAGCTTCCAGGTCCCTCCACTGGCTTGCCACACTGCGTTAGCTTTTGCTCTGCTAGCGCTGGTTGCGTGCTTGTTCCTGGCTGTATAATTAATCAACGGCGGTGCCACTGTTTGCCGTTTGGGTCCCCCACCTCTCTCCCTCCACACTCACACTGGACCCGACCCTCTGTTTCGGTTCTGCTGCAGTGTCTTGGCTCAGGGTTGCGTCTCCACCCCGCCGACCAAGCAAGATCTCGCTGTCTTAGCGGGGCTGCTTGTCTCGCTTCAACATGGCAGGCACCCCGCCCGAGTCTAAGAAGGAGACCGCTGTGCCTAATCCAGCGGCTGCTGCTGCCACTGCCCAGCCGTCCTCTGATGAATCTCTCGGGGGTGGAAAGGAGGCAGCACATGTCGGACTTGAGGGTGATGACAAAATCGAACGACATCCCGAGGATGGCAAGGCCGACGATGAAGCCGATGACAAAAGGGCAGGCCTCAGCCGCTTAAAGAGCTATGCCACGGCAACCAGCGTGACCAGCACAACAAGCAACCCCCAGGCCAAGCAGAAGCCATGGTATCAGCAGCCGAACCCCTTGCGCTGGGGCAAGATCCCGCAGGTGCCCAAGGAGAGACAGGTGTGTCCCGAGCACACAGCTGGCTTCTTCAGCTCGTTGTTCTTTTTCTGGATGGGCCCATTGATGCAGGTATGTGAGAGGAAGATAGAGAGATGCTCTGTGCTTTTAAGACAGGGAGGTCAGCTAACACACAGACAGACGGGCTACAAGCGGCCGCTCGAGCTCAATGACCTCTACAGCATCAATCCAGACCGGGCAGTTGATCCGCTGACGGAAAAGATGCGCGAATCGTTTAAGCGGCGCGTTGTAAATGGCGAAAAAAATCCCCTGCTCTGGGCCATCCATGAGACTTTCTTCAAGCAGTTTTGGATAGGCGGGCTTTGCAACCTCTCCTCGTCCATATTGATGGTCATGTCGCCCTACACCCTTCGCTATCTCATCCAGTTCTCCACCGACGCCTACATCGCCAGTGGTCGGGGACTCCCTCCCCCGCACATTGGAGAGGGCCTAGGCCTGGTCTTTGGCGTAACAGCCATGCAGATGCTCCAGAGCTTGGGAACGAATCAGTTTATCTACCGCGGCATGCTCGTCGGTGGCATGGCGAGAGCGTCTCTGATCAGCTTGATCTACGAGAAGTCCATGGTCATTTCTGGGCGTGCCAAAGCTGGAGGGGAGGATCTCATCTCTGACTCACCCTCGACCATACCAGGCGAGAAAGACACCAAAGAAAAGAAGGACAGCAAAGAGAAGAAGGGTAAACGAGACGCTGCTAAACCCGCACCAGGCGTAGCTGGCGACGGCATCGGGTGGGGCAACGGGAGAGTGGTGAGTTGAGATATAATAGGCAGTGATTGTCTGGCTCACTAACACCACTTCAGGTCAACATAATGAGCGTCGACACTTACCGGATAGACCAGGCCGCGGGGCTGTTCCATATCATCTGGACTGCCCCTATTGCTTGCATCATTACGCTTGTCATGCTTCTCATCAACTTGACATACAGCGCGTTGGCGGGCTTCGCCCTTCTCGCTATAGGAATCCCCGTCCTCACCAACCTTATCAAGGGCCTCTTCATTCGCAGAAAGGCGATCAACAAGATCACGGATCAGAGAGTAAGCCTGACGCAGGAAATTCTGCAATCAGTACGCTTCGTCAAGTTCTTTGGCTGGGAAAGCTCCTTTCTCAACAGACTGGACGAGTTTCGAAACCGTGAGATCTTGGGTATCCAGATATTGCTGGCTATTCGCAACGCAATAATGGCTGTCAGCTTGTCGCTTCCCATTCTCGCATCCATGCTCTCCTTTATTACCTTCTCCCTGACTCATCACGATCTTGCTCCGGCCGAAGTCTTCTCTTCGCTTGCCCTGTTCAACGGGCTCAGAATGCCTCTGAATCTGCTTCCTATGGTCATCGGCCAGGTGACAGATGCATGGTCGTCTCTCATGCGGATCCAGGAGTTCTTGTTGACCGAGGAGCGCTCGGACGAAGCCACGTTTAAGCCCGATACTCCAAGTGCGGTTGAGATGCATAATGCTTCGTTTACCTGGGAGAGGACCCCGACGCAAGAGGCAGAGGCTACTGTAGGTGGTGCTTCCAAGGCAAAGCAATCCAAGTCTTCCACTGGCGCCTCGAAGAATGCAAAGCAGTCGTCCTCGCCCGCCGATAGTGGAGCGGAAGACGCGAGCACGCTTGTCGAAGAACGCGAACCCTTCAAGCTTCACGACATCAATTTCGAAATCGGCAGAAACGAGCTTGTTGCTGTCATTGGCACCGTTGGCAGCGGCAAAACCTCGTTGCTTTCTGCTCTGGCTGGCGATATGCGACGGACGAATGGCGAAGTCGTCCTAGGCGCCTCAAGAGCCTTTTGCCCGCAGTATGCCTGGATCCAGAACGCAACATTAAGGGATAATATCCTGTTCGGAAAAGAGATGGATACAGAATGGTATTCCGAGGTTATTCGGGCGTAAGTAACTGCCTCCCGCTTACCCGCCGCCACCTAGCCGCTAACACGTCTCACAGTTGCGCATTACAGCCGGATCTAGATATGTTGCCGAACCACGACCTGACAGAGATCGGTGAAAGAGGTATCACGATCTCGGGTGGGCAGAAGCAACGGCTGAATATCGCCCGCGCCATCTACTTTGATGCCGACATCGTCTTGATGGATGACCCCCTTAGTGCCGTAGACGCCCACGTCGGCCGTCATATCTTTGACAACGGCATTCTTGGCTTACTTAAGGACAAATGCCGGATCCTGGCCACTCACCAGCTTTGGGTCCTAAGCCGCTGTGACCGAATTATCTGGATGGAAGCTGGCAAAATCCAAGCCATCGACACCTTCGATAATCTTATGAAAAACTCGGAAGGGTTCCAGCAGCTCATGGATTCCACTGCAGTCGAAGAGAAGAAGGACAAAGCCGAGATTGCCACCGTCCCGGGCGACAACGGCCAAACCAAGAAACATAAGAAAAGCAAGGGCTTGATGCAGTTAGAGGAGCGCGCTGTTTCAAATGTGCCTTGGTCAGTCTACGTGTCCTATGTCAAGGCGTCTGGCAGCATCCTCAATGCCCCGCTGGTTTTTTTCCTCTTGGTCATCTCGCAGGGCGCCAATATTGTGACTAGCTTGTGGCTTTCGTATTGGACGTCAGATAAGTTCGGATTTTCAATGGGCACGTATATTGGCGTATACGCGGCCCTCGGGGTTACACAGGCACTACTGATGTTTGCGTTCATGGTTTGTCTCTCTATTGTCGGCACCACCGCCAGCAAGTCCATGCTCCGACGCGCCATCACGCGGGTACTGCGTGCGCCCATGTCGTTCTTCGACACGACGCCCCTTGGCCGTATTACCAACCGCTTCAGTCGCGACGTCGACGTCATGGACAACACTTTGACAGACGCGTTGCGAATGTATTTCTTCAGCATCGGCGGTATTATTTCCGTTTTTGCACTGATTATCTCCTTCTTTCACTACTTTGCCATCGCGCTCGTCCCGCTGTTCGTCCTGTTCCTCTTTGCAACGAGCTACTACCGTCACTCGGCGCGAGAGGTCAAGCGCTTCGAGTCCGTCCTCCGATCAAACGTCTTCGCCAAGTTTGGAGAGGGCTTGTCTGGAGTTGCTTGCATCCGGGCCTACGGACTGGAGAACCGATTCATCGCTGATCTACGCCGTGCCATTGACCAAATGGACTCTACTTACTACCTTACCTACTCAAACCAGAGGTGGCTGTCGGTGCGGCTCGACATGATCGGAAACGCCCTTGTCTTCACGACTGGCATTTTGGTTGTGACATCTCGGTTCTCCGTCTCCCCCTCAATAGGCGGTCTGGTCTTGTCATACATCCTGTCCATCGTCCAGATGATCCAATTCACCATACGTCAGCTGGCCGAGGTAGAGAACGGTATGAATGCTGTCGAGCGCATCCAGTACTACGGCAACGAGCTCGATGAAGAAGCCCCGCTCAAGACTATTGAAGTTCGCCAAAGCTGGCCAGAAAAGGGCGAGATTATCTTTGACGACGTCCAGATGCGGTACCGTCCCGGGCTTCCACTGGTATTACAGGGGCTCAGTATACATATTCGTGGCGGCGAGCGCATCGGCATTGTTGGGCGCACTGGAGCAGGTAAAAGCTCCATCATGTCGTCACTATTCCGGCTCGTTGAGCTCTCGGGCGGCCACATCACTATTGATGGGCTCGATATTTCTACCATCGGTCTGCAAGATCTGCGATCTCGCCTCGCCATTATACCCCAGGACCCCACCCTTTTCCGCGGGACCATACGCAGCAATCTAGATCCTTTTGGCGAACATACAGATCTGGAGCTGTGGGGTGCACTTCGGCAGGCCGACCTTGTCCCGGCAGATGGCGGCCCCAAGCCATCGCCTGCGGGAGATCCAAGTTCGTCGGACGGCGATGTGGTTGCAACCCGGGACCCCAGCCGCATCCACCTTGACACGATTGTCGAGGAAGAAGGCCTCAACTTCTCCCTCGGTCAGCGCCAGCTGATGGCGTTGGCGCGTGCGCTAGTACGTGGTTCGCAAATCATTGTGTGTGACGAGGCTACATCAAGCATTGATATGGAGACGGATGACAAGATCCAGGCCACCATTGCCCATGGCTTCCGGGGAAAGACGCTCCTCTGCATTGCGCATCGTCTCCGCACCATCATTGGCTACGACCGCATCTGCGTCATGGACCAAGGCCGAATCGCAGAGATGGCCACGCCGCTCGACCTATGGAAGATTCCCGGGGGGATATTCCGGGGCATGTGCGACCGCAGCGGTATCCGCGTGGAGGACATCAGAGGCGCAAAAGAGAAGATGGGTGCTCGAGATGCGAAACAAGATGCCGAGGACGTCAGCGAAGGCCAGGACGAAGAAGGACAGCCATCTGAGAAGAAAGTGGAGTAAGACTATGTAAATATTTGAGTGCTTGTTTATCACACATGTTGGGAGGCAATATCTGTAGTTGTTGAGTTCAGCATATAGAGAGCCTTGGCTACCAAGATGCATACATCAGAAAGAAGCGTGGAGGTTTCGCATCTAGTCCAAGCGAGTAAAGGTGCATATATGCGCATGACCATATCGAGGGAAGGCGTAGTATATGGCAACTTTCGGAATATACAAATCTAGACAGTGCAGAAACTAAAACGTCAGAACCAGACACGATGTGCAGCTTCTCCGGACTCCCTAGTCTTCCATGCCTCTAGGACAGGGAGAGGGCAGGGTCACACAGGCGTCTGGGGAAGCACAGCATTGGGCTAGGGCTGCATCTGCTGAGCCCGGGCTCTGCTTTGAGGAACAACAACTGCACATCGCATCTACCGAGTATACTCATCTCTACCATGCGTGCATGCCTCGTGACCGTTGCGTGTCTCCATGCCATGCCGTGTAACCTGGCCTGGCCTGGGGCTCGCGCTCCCGACAGGCAGGTCGTCGGGTGCTCCGTGTCGGAATTGAATGGTCCCCGGCGATGCCGAGATGGAAGGAAGAGATGATAGAATTGCAGCAGCCGAGTAGAAGTGGTTTTTTTGGTCTCGCTGTGTCATGTGGCGTTGCGGCTGTCTATCTATGTCTGTTTATGATATGCTCGGGTTTTCCGTGGTGAGATAGACCGGGCCATATCCGTCTGTGTCTTTTGACGCCTGCCAGAATCCGGAGGTAACGCACGTGGGAAAGGAGGCTGCGCTTGGTTAGCTAAGTTTATCATTATTATTGGTTTCGGGCGTAAAGTTAAGGTAGGTAGGTAAGTAGATAGGAAATCATGTTCAAAACGAAAGGGGCTGAGCTGAGCAAAGAGCCTCAAACCCTATATATCTTCTGCTGGTTGCTACACCGCATAGGGTCTAGCTCGTATGTTCACCTAGACAGCTGATCTGGGTATGTGCTCGTACAAGTAAGTGGTCGACTTGTTGGTAAGTAGGTAGGGATAGTTGGTTGTAGTGTAACGTCAAGCCTGCAATTTGTCTCGGGAAGCCGCAGCAAGAGGCGAGGCCTGCTGAGGAGGCCAGGATACACACACATATCCATGTGTAGCAGAAGTTATGTAGAGGAACAGTGAGGAGTTAATCAATTTTGATATTGCCGGCATGACATGTCATATAGGGGTATTTCACATGGCCGTTACACAAGCCGAAGGAATAGCAAGTAAATAAAGAGGCAGGCTTTAGGAGTTACACGATAGCGCGACTTTCCTAAGGAATCACGAAAGGGAAACGTCTGGCTGGTCCGGATAGGATCTTGCTGTTTATCTCGTGATGACTACTGCCATGTTGTAACTTACGAAGGAAAAGGGACACAGGAAGAAAAAGGAAAAAGAAACATGTCATGTTTCTTGTTCAATATTCCGCACACAACACCCGCAAGAGATCAGTCAACCAGGGTCACCCGAGAAGCAACCCACGTCGCCCATCATGCCATTTCCCAAATCCACACACACTTGACACACGGCCAGCTAGCTCATGGTACACAATTTGCCCGAACTTGGAAAATTGAAAAACAAAAAACGCATAATCAACTCGAATCGATATATCCGAGATGTTGTCACCATCTTCCCAGTATTCGCTCACCGGCGCCATGCTCTCAACACAACACCAAAAACACAAATAGCAAAACTACTTACCCGTTTACCCCCTGCGGAAGCGCGCCGCCGTTATATGCAGCTAATAACTATCCGTCAGCTACCTAGACAGCTAGCTAACCAGCAAGAAACCTAACTCGAGAGGGTAAGAAGAAAGTTTAAAGTTCTAATGTCCATTATAGAAGAGAGAGAGAGAGAGAGAGAGAGAGAGAGGGAGAGTGCTGACTTAATGAGGAATGAGGAAAAAAGGGGGCGCGCGGGGGCTCGTCTATTCGGGCCTACAGCGACACTTCCCACTCAATGTTCCAAACAAGAAACATAAACCAAACACCCCAAAAAGAAACCGATTCCTTTAATTTTTAGCGAACGGGTTCCTAAAAAGAAAAAAAGCCTCCTCTCCAAAAACAAACCCCCAATACGGTAACAAGCCAGCAAGCAACGAAGGTAAAAATACAGATTTACCAAGTTGAGACAGACAACAAGTTCATACCATACCAACGATACCGCCACACCTCCTGTAACCCACACTTTCTGTGTGGAACATCAAAGAAAAAAGTGACCAAGCAAGTTCCCCTTCCGCGACCCTTTATAAAAAAGGGGACGCTCCTTTTAATGCTGGCGGATAGGAGGCTAATGCAGGGGGGAGAATATCCTATTCCTTCCTATGGCCGGGAGCCGGGACCTAATGCATGGAGACACCACCGTAAAAAGTGAGATTATATATTTGTAACAAAAGAAAAAGAAAAAGATGCAGCCGTTTTTAATGAAACCTCGGCTTTCTCTCCATTTCTACATGAACACACAGCCAACGGCGCCAGGATACAGCCAGCCTTTTAGAACAGTAATCGAAAGGTGGGCACGTGCGGGACTGGCCGTCTAGTAGCGGCCGCGCCCTGGAGGAGAAGGGCTCTGGCTATAGCGGTGTCCGCCGCCGCCGGGAGGGAACTGCCCCGGTTGGTCGTCTAGCAGGTCGTCCAGGAAAGCGCTCGGGGCCCGCCCGCTAGGCGGCCTGTTGAGGTTGACGGAGCTGGAGCTGAAATTCCGCGAGCCGCCCACCATCCTCGGCCCCATGTCCGGGGAGTCTGGGGGCGAAGAGCCGGGGGCTGAAACGTGACCGCCCCGCGACGCCGGTCTAAGGTTGGACATGCTGATAGAATTGCCGTGGCCGTGACCGGGTGCGCCGGTGGCGGCAGCGGACGACGCGTAGAAGCCCGGCGGCAGGAACCGCGAGTCCCGGTTGCCCTGGCTGGCAACACCTGCTGCAGAAGAACTGCCCTGGGCTGTCGGGGAGAAGAAGAGGTTCGTCTGACTGGGTGTGGCCGAGGGAGTTGGCCCGCGGTGGGATTTCCGCGTCGCCGGGCCGCCGGGTATAGAGGGCGAAGAATCGCGGTCGAGGAACTTGTAGAACGGCGCGGGAGGCGGGGGGAACGTGGCCGCCTTATCGTTTTGGCGGTGCTGTTCTAGATTGGCCCGCTCGACGGACCTGTGGAGGAGGCACACAACGATGCCGCGCCACGCAAGAATTGCGAGGCCGAACACGCCAAGGATGGCGCCGACCGCGATGAAGACCGTCCCGTCGGGCAGGGTAGAGCGGTTCATGAACGGCGCATTGTTGGTGGGGGGCACGGTAGGCGCCGGGTAATCCGGAATCGCTGTGTTGGCCGTCTTGGAAAGTGTGGGGAGCGTCAATCGGGGCTGCGTTACCGTCGGGGCCGGCGTCGTGGTGGAGGAGGTGCTGCCGCCGAGGTTGGGGAGCGTCAAAGACGACGACGACGACGACGACCTGGACTGACTCGTAGAGTCCGAGGTTCTGGCTGAGGTGGTGGGCGAGGAACGGCCCGAGGGTGTTGTTGGGGTCGTTTGCGCCCCGTTTTGATTTGTTGTGTTATTGTCATCGTCGCTCGTGTTCTGCGCGAAGCCGCCTTCCGCCAGCAGAGATGCTGCAAGCACGGCGGAGAGAAGCAGCGAGCGCTTCAGCGAACATCGCGACGACCCCATCGTGTCTGGGGGTCTTCTAGTTGTTCTCAAGGCGACGAGACGTGTCGGCAAGGCGAGGTGTTGGCCCTCCTATTTCCCCCTTCGAAAACAACGGGCTGCTGCGTTGGTCTGTTAACCAGATGCAGCCACCATCGAGAGGGCTAGCGTTCGTTGGCTGTTGTGTGTCGTGGGCGGCTGACGTGCAGAGGTCTTGGAAGTGGGGGGGACTGTCGTGACTGGACTGAAGACAAGAAACCTGAGAGCAGAGTCGTCAAGAGGTGGAAACAGGACAAACGAGCGGATGCGGGCGCTGTCCCGGAAACACAAGAGACAACAAATGCAAGAAAAAAATATGACAAGAAACAAGAAACAGAAAATGTCGATTGCTGGTGGTGGTGCCGCCGCTTTACTTGGTGGCAGCAGGGAAAAAGGGATGCTCAGGTCCCTCATTCCCGAATCCCTCGTATTGGGCCCATACTCGCCTATTTCGGGTTCCCAGTTAGGGTGGAGGCGACGCGCCTCACCCCCGAATGCGCCGACTGACGCCAACAACTCTGCCGCTGTCTCAGCCCAGCATAGCCAGCGATCCGCAAGTGACCCGCCGAGACCGTACGGAAAGCATGCCGGCACCGTCAACCGACTTTACATTTTCAGGCGTTTTTGGCCATGGCCCCTGCAGCTCCCCGGATTTGGATTGATTCACTAGCGTTTTGGCGGTCATGTTTCTGTTGCGGCCATAGCACGGCAAACACGGCATTACTCCTTCCATTGTGGTCAATTCGAGGTCGGAGAGAGGAAAGCAGCCTGCCCACCCTACTTCACCTCCTAGATGGCGTCTTTGCGCTCACTAAGGCAGGTACTAATGAATGTAGGCGAGTTGACCGCCACTATCTAATTTCCTGGGTCGTCCTCGCCTTTCGTCTGATTATTTTGAGTTATTTTGCCGTCTGCATCCAGGGTCTTGCAGCAGCAAGCAGCGAGGAAACGAAGTGAATGAATGACGTGATTGCCACTCGTTCCACTGCACCAGTCATGCAAAACGAACGGCTAGTGCGAGGCCTAACGCAGTTGCACTGTGAGGCAAAGTCACTCTCCCAGTCTGGAACGTAAAATTTTAGGCTGTTGAAATCTGAGGGGACCCTGCTGTACTCCGTACTCCGTACTCCGTTCCACAGCGGACCCCTTCAACTAGCTCGCTAGCTGCCGCCTGGAGGCAGCTGCAAGCTCCCGTTAGGTTTCACGTGCAGTGGTGCAGCCAGCGGTCGGTCAAGCCAGCGCTCTCCGCCGCCACCGTGTGGCTCGTGTTCGTTGCGAAGGGAAAAAAAATCGGCACAGTGAGCCTCAGCGCAAACAAGCGTGAACTTCACCCGATTCACTGAGCTGAGACGACGACCAAACCTCATAAAAATTCAACACAGACAACCCCTTCGACCCGCCAGCTTCAGATTTCAGATCCCGGGTTCGATCACGCAGTCGCAGCAGCCGAACAACCCGTTTTCCAGCCGACGAGGTGCCTCGGCCGCATCGCCAGCATGGGTGTCGCTAGGAAGACGAGGAAGTTCGCGACGGCACGTGACTCTACCGCCTCATTGAGAATCCCAAGAAGGAAACTAATGTTCAGATTCACGTCGATAGGTCAAGAGAATCATCGGCAAGAAAGACGACCGACGCAAGGATGAGGTGACGAAGAAGAAGGAGGAAATTGAGCACAAAAAAAAGGAGCTCGCCGTGCGGGAAGTGTACGTGATGACCTCGTCACCCTCCTCCCTCTTCCGGCGCTTTCTCGCTACGTTGCGGTGCATTTCTTGGCATTGACCGTTTCTATGAACTGCCAGTTGTCCAGATGTTAACAATTGTGTCTACAGGCCGCAAATGCCGTCGTCTATGTTCTTCGAGCACAACACAGCTCTGGTTCCGGTGAGTTTTTTTGTGTAACCAGCTCTACCCTGCCAAAGGCCACTAAGGGCTAATTCTGTGTCTATCTAGCCTTACCAAGTCCTGGTCGTACGTTGTCTTTTGTGACTGGCTATCGGATACTCTACCAGGCTCTACCTTGGTACTAACTGCCGCCCAGGATACCAACTTTCTGGCGAGGACAGTCGGAGGCAAGCTGCCGCTTCTCGAGACTGTACGTTACCCCCGGTTCTGCACCACAGCCCAAGGCTACCTGCTGACTCACTGGCGACGTGCGTAGGCTATGGATTGCCTCTACGCCTCAGTCAACATTTGCATCAGTTCATGTGTTATCAGGTTTGTGTTACCATGCTCCTCCATCAAGGTAACACCGAAGACGCTAATAGCCGCGTAAAGTGAGGTGGAAAAGCTAGGAAGCCGTTACCGTGTAGCTTTAATGAGTAAGAACCTCTTTTCCCACATCGTGGGCTTGGTCCTTTTCTTGCTCTTTTACAGTCAGGAGAGGCTAATAGAGATGCAGTTGCACGCGATGAGCGGTGGACACGCCTGACGTGTGACCACACGGGTACTTATGCCGACGACGTTCGTGAAACCCCAAAGTCTTTTCGACTCGGAGCAACAGCTAACGATACCCCCTCGGCTAACTAGTGTATCGTCGACCGCATACAAAAACATCGCATCTATATTGTCGCTAGTACGTTATCCGTTGCACAAACATTTGACAGTATTTGCCGCCCGTTACGCCCGCGCTATCTCGTATAGTTGCATAGTCGTTTGCTCGCATTCGGCTAGCTCGGGCCATCTCGGAAGAGGGCCCCCGGCTGTTCACGGGCTGGCAGGAGGGGGCGCGGGCCGCTTGAGCTGACAGACTTTGCCCGCGGCGTGCTGACTCATGTCTTTGCAGCAAACGATCGCGACCTCAAGAGGCGGATACGCAAAGTTCCAGGTTTGTCATTCTCTCTGATTTATAGGTGTAGCGGAAACGGGGCGCTAATTTCATGCTCCCCAACAAATAGGTGTGCCTATCATGTCTGTCGCCAAAGGCAAGTACGTGATCGAGAGGCTGCCCGGCGCTCCCACCACTTGAAGAGCGTGACGCGCCATTTGCCTTGGTTTCGCCCCGTCCGACCCGCATGTATTGGCGGTGCCGACGGCTGAGTGATTTGCGTTGAGCACCGCCAACACGCAAGACAGTTATCGGCTTTGTGGGCGGGCCCGGCGGCGAGAGACGGGGCTAAATGGTTGAATCCGTTGATATTGTGCCGTTGGAGGCATGTAGGCGCGCTTGGGGAAAGAGGAGCCGACCCTTTCAGCCCTAGCGTTGGGGGGGAGGCAGGCCGGAGCCTGGAGGGCTGATCAGTGCTCAGAGAAGAGTTGAGTCGGACTTTGTTGCATATTGGCAACTCTAGTGACTGGCGCCTGCTTGCCCAATAGCGTTGAGTCTTTTTTGGCTGCCAGTGTAACTTTTTATGTGACACTGCCAGTGTTGCAGCTAGGCCGGAGTTTTTTTTGGCACAGAAAGGGGCTTGTTTTCCACAGGGCCATATTTTGCGGTACACACTAGTGTACGAACTAGAGCCAACAGGCACCGATAAGCCCATAAGGCCGTAGGGCAAACGAAGGATGCCCGGTTAGGAAGGACGCTCGGAACATGCATGCTATTGCCACCGTTTGGGGGACAGAGGCAGGCAGACCAGCCGATCGATTTTTGTGTGACCCGATTTCGATATTGGACAGCCGGGGACAAAATTGCCTATAGACTCGGACCCAGAGACAAGGTCCGAGTGATAGCGTGCCACAGCGGGGAGGGTACCATGAGACTGCAAGGGCAAGGGCACGGCATATCCCATCACCATCAGCCGGACCCTGCCCTTGTGATCCATCCCATTCCGCGTGCGGTCGACGTGGAGGTATTCCGCAGTGCTGGACCGTGTTAAGCCGCCCCTTGCTGCTGCCGCTGCTGCAACATGCAACCTGCACCTCTCCATGCAAGTTGTCTGAAACCTCTGTTAGACTTGAGCCCGCTTGGATCTTGGCCCAGCCAGCCGGTCCGGGTGCCATGCCAAGTTGCTGCCCATGATATGCTACCCGCTAGATACCCCCTGCCGCGCCCCCCTCCCCCTCCGCCCTACAACACGGCCCTGGTCTGTAGTATGCCATGTATGGCATGTAAGTTTATTCCGAAGAAACAAAAATCCTACAAGGCTACAAGCAAAGTGGCTTGACATGAACATGTCCTGTGCCGTGCAAGAGCGGCGGCGGCCGCCTTGCCATTCATTCTGTTATTTGACAAATAATTGTTGGTTCCCCTGGATGTTGCTTCCCACGTGGATACCAGCCAGACTACGTGTAAATCCACGAGCAGGGTGTGCCTTATTGTTGTCTAGGTAAGTTGATTCGATGTTGATATGGGCGGGCTGTCTATCATGTGTGTATGTACCAATGTACGACCAAGGCTCAACCAAGGGGAGAAATAATACTCCTCCACGAGACGGTTTAGAGTTGTGAAGAAAGGGTGAGCAGGAGCCCTATAAGCCGTCTTCTGGTCACCAACTACGTACGTATCTCTACATGTAAAATCATTTTGGGGTCTAGAGAGGACCGATATGCTTGTGTTGACCGGCAACTAGCACGACCATATTCTGGGGTAAGTGGCGCTTTTGAGCTTAGGCCGGCAACTGAGGAGGATGAAGAGGAAGAGGATCCAACTAACATGTCTTCTTGTTGTCTTGCCCGAACCTCCGTCCGTGACGACGGGCAACTCCGCATCATGGAGATTTTCAAAGGGGACAGACAGGGCAGGATGAGCAAGTTGCAACATATACGTAGGTACTTACCTTCCTACCGTGGATGTAGTGGCACATCCCGCGGGATAACATGACCCATGATCTTGTTGCGTTTGGTTAGGCCCCCCCTTTTTTACAAGTATTAGACACTCCTTATCGCAATATCGTTGCCTCGTTGGCCTTGTTTCAGTGGGGAACTGGCAGCCGGGATCTTTGACGATCTGAACTCGATCTCCGATAATTGCATCCGACTTGTGTCTTGGGTGGGCGACCGGTGGGCCGCCCCATCTCTTCATCTCATGTTGTTAGGGCAGTGGCGGCGAGAGTGTAAGGGTGCGTATTCGTCTCAAGTCGCGCTGAAGAAGGGACGGTGGGATACCTTGCAGGAGTGAAATCCAACACCAAACCCAAAACCCACCGATATATAAGGTATTACGTGCCACATGTGTGTACGCCACGCGTGTGTGTGTGTGTGTGTGAAGACCCGGAGGAGAGATGAAGCAAGCTCAGCGGCCCAGCGCACACTATAGGCGTGGCTTACACACTGCCAGCGGTCCCATTAAACCCCATTCAAAGAAACGGTTGTAATTTCGCGGCAGGCAAGCCAACTCAAATCCACACCTGGGGTACCACATGCCTGGCCGTCATCCGGTCTGGGGCGTTTGTTGGCGTTGAAGGGCGGGGATGGAACCTTCCATTGAGATATAGGACTCGGGAGGGACCTGACGTGCCTGGGATGATGCGATTGGAGAAGGCGCTTACGGAATATTCGATTGACCTGTGGCCCTTGCTCAGGACAGTGGACCCTGGTGCTACCCTAGCATTGCTACTAGTGCCCACAACCTAGAAGCTGGCGCCCCACACCCTACTACTTAGGCCCATCGACCTACGAATTAGACGACAGCCAAAGACTCCAAGGGGCAGCTTTCTCGACGGCAGCGGCTTTAGAGGTGCGAAGCGGACGCCAAAGCCCCTCGTCGTGCTTCGTGAGACATGCTATGTTTGAAAATCGGTGACCTCTTGCTCCCTGAATCTCGAATCGCACCTGCCTGCTTTGCTCTAAGCGCAGACAGGGTTCCCAAGCCAACAGAGACACCCTACATCCTCCGTCGAGAACTCAATTATTCAAAAGGTAAAATTAGCACAACTCGAATCTCATCATCTCATCAGGATCACGCCGTCGTCGTCTATCCGCTACATGCAACGGGTCCGTCACCCGGCAAGAGTGCAGGATAATCTCTGCCGGGGGAACATGTTCCAACGGTGACTACTACTGTCTATTAGCTTGAAATCAATGCTCCCACTGGCCACAGCACTTTAGGAGGTAGTCGAAACGTGGCAAAGGAATGGCAAGAAAAAGACCTTCACATATTTTTCAACACTAGAACCGATATCTGAGGCATATATGTATGTATAGAGAAGATGCACACACATCGTGTGACTGCTTGCCCTGTCTGCTGCCGGGTTGAAGATGAGATGATGTCTGTCCGTCCGTCTGCCATGCCCCCTTCCATCCCCACCCCCTCCTCTCCCCGTCACATCGAACAAGAAGCAAGTAAAGAGAAATAACCCCCCCAGCATCCAGGGCTCTCGGAAACTTAATCTTAAAAAGAAGCGCTGCATATTCTTGGCACAAGCACATCCAAGCGCCTCTCCCTCGTTGGGCCGTCCGTCCGTAGGGCCCCAGCAGCGGGTCCGAGATCTCCCCAGGTCCCACTCACTCCACTCAGACCATCCCGGGAGATAGATGTGGAGGGGGGAGGGGGGGGGGCCGCCGGGCCTCCACGGGTCCCGATGCTGGGTACTGCACTCTCAGTAGGTCGATGGGAGTCGATGGAAAGTAAGTTGGCTTGCTGTGGTTCCTTGCTCTAGGTAGCCTCCTAGCCAGACGCCGCCGTAGATCTGTGAACCAAAACAAAGCCAGTCAATAACAATAATAACCCATCCTGGGGCTAATACCGTAGGCCAAGCCTGTGTCTGCCAGCCGTCTGTCTCTGACTTGGCCTTGCTACCGACGTCGTAGGACTCGACTAACATGACGTTTCCTCCTCTCGTCAGTCTCGTCTCTGTCCACCTTTGTCATATCTGTCACGACAATCCCGGCGTAAGGAGTATTTTGTCCCAAGAACGGCCTTGTCGGCCTTGGCTGCATTTATGCATACATGTAGTAGGGAAAGTTACCCTCTCCGGGGATCGGGTTGTTTGTTCTCGAACGCTTGTCCGCTTTCTCTCTCAGGGCTGGGCCAACCGGGGCGGCAGCCGTGGAGCAAGGGGAGGCTTGCGAGTTTGGTGACAAATTTCGGATCCAACCGACATGCAGAAAAGGGCTCGCTGCCACCCATTGCAGATGTGAATTCTAGAAATAGGTACAGTAAGAACCGGCTCCCTTCCATACATGAGGCAAATTGCCTTCCCCATGCACGGTGACGGGGAGAAAAGCGATAAGTCCGTCCCCCCAGTGAGCGAGTTTCTAACTGAGCCTCGTCACTACCTGCCTAGGTAAGGCAGGTGAAGATGGGTGATGCTAGATGACGGGCGGCAATATGTAGATCGCTCGACCGTTGCATATGTAATGCCGTCTATGTGTCGGAGGACATTCGCATGTACGAACTAGAGCGCCATTAGAGAGCCCCTCTCAGTTGGCCACTTTCTTTCTCTCTCTGCCGGTCTAGTGTAAGTCTAGTCGGTAGCAAGTGAGGTTGGTTGAAAGTTACGGCCTCATGTTGTGGGGGCTGCAGGAACGATGAACTTACCAATCTATGTAGTAAGTGATCGTCGTCATCCTCCATCATGTTACGAGGTTCCTCGGACAATGTCGCTGCTGTCTGCTCGGTCCCGTCCAGAGTGAAGCTAGACGGAGAGTTATACCGTAGCCGAGCTAGCTGTGCCCCCGGAGGTAGCTCCAGCCTCCAGGTCGGCTAACTTCAGCAACCTACTGCCAACTCACCAAGCAGAGAGAATGAAGCCGCAGGCGGGGTGCCGCGCAGTGCAGTTCGCAGGCGGGGAACTAGCTGGGATCTGTGGCTGCTAGTGAGCAATTGGGCCTCGATCTAGGTCTTCCTGTCTTTCATTTCTTTTGTCTGCTTTATCTCCATGGAAATAACATTGACTCAGAAATGTCAATATTTTTACCATCAAATCGCAGCCACTCCACTCAGAAAAGACGTTGCGCGGCAAATCCTGAAGGATGGGAGCGAATGCGGTATGACCTCTTAGCTCAGGTTGTTGCCAGGCCGTAGAAAATTCATGGGGACATGCGTGGGAGAGTGGGCCCGTAGGGTATGACAGACAGCCTTGACAGCCATGGCAGAAAAGAGGTTAACGTAACAAGGAAAAAAATGCCCCGAAAGAAAAAGAGCAAAAAAAGATCTGCATTTCTCTTCGAGCGTCGCCCTGAAACCAAGCGCAACCGACAAACATTTTGCCTGCCCCGCGTCTGAACAGTCGATCGAGGACGTGCTTGTCCCCTCCCCACGCACCAATGATAGTTGAGGTTGTATTACACGGCCGTCCGTCATAACCCCAGAATATGAGAACTGCCGAGACTTCAAGACATGCAAGTCGCAACAAGATACAACGACACCTGGGCGGCGGCGGCGGCGGCGGCGGCGGCGGCCTGGCTTGATGACTGGCACGGGGCCGCATGTAAGTCGAGTGGCTCAAGCTGCCCGATAGGTGGTGTCGGTCGGTCCCTGGACGGCGATGTGTTCCGGTATATAAATATGTACAACACACGCATCGTCTCCTTCCATAGACGCTGGATGCGCGTAAAAGGCCCTCCCCTTGAACATGATGGTATTTGATATCCTCGTCGATCTTGAATCGGATTTCTTAGCCTGTTGTCGCTACATAATCCGATAGTTCTGCACTCTCTTGTCCACAAATCCCGACCAAGCACAAGGCCTTGTTGAAACAAAGCAACCTTAGCTACTGTCATGTTCCCGACTTCGGCCTCCGTCGTCTTTTAGTTCTTACCCTCCGAAGACAAACCAACGGCTGTACAGAACGAGAGCGGGAGCGAGAGCGAGAGCGAGAACAAACAGGCCCGCCTCAGTGCCTGAGCTACCCTACACGACACGACACTACCGTTAGTTGTGGCTTACCTATTGGTCGTTGGAGGGCTGCTTGCCAAGACAGACACCTACACGAACAAACTCCACAACGGCAAGCCCGCGGGGCAGCCACTGCTACTGCGACTACCGCATTGGCACGGAAGCCGCGCACCTCAGTGTCACTGCCAGTTGCAAGCCGTCTTCCGGCGCCCCTCAACTTCCTCCCCGGGCGTGTTATTCATCTCATCGATACGGATAGCGCATGGAACACTACTTCCCAACTTCCAAAATTCACAACCGCACCATGTCAAACCCATCGCCGCCTCCGCAGCTCGAGCAACAGCACCAGCTCCAGCAGCCTCAACCTACAAAGCGCACAAGGGTGCTGCTCTCGTGTGCACCCTGTCGCACAAGTAAGCTGAAATGTGAGTAAAGTGCCCAAACACCCCCTTTTCCTTTTCTCGTTGTCTATTCATTCGCCCCCACATCCCATCTCACCCTCATCCGAATTCCCCGCGTTCGTTTATATAAACGAATCGGGTGAGAGCTGGGCTACCTATCGTGGGGGTGGAAAAAGATGGAAAGAAAGAATAAGAACAAACAAACATCAAGAAAACTTGAATGGCAAAATAGGGATAGGCGGGAATCATAAACAGAAATCAACTTACTCTTGTGTCTTGTCCTGTGTTCTAGGTGACCGTCAACAACCGTGCGGGCAATGTGTCAAAAAGGTTCGTGCCGATGGCTGCACATATGCGCCGCGGCCGGAAAAGTCGAAGCCGGCTCGGAGTATGGCCGCCCGGCTCAAGCGACTCGAGGGAATGGTGCGCGGCATGATGAATGTCGACGGAGTGCCCATCCCCGAGAAGCCCTGGCCGCCGACGGGGACGGGGCCTGACGGACAGTCGCCCTCGAGACCCCGCGATTCTACCTGCCCCAACCAAGCCCAGGCCCAGATCGTCCTGGGTCGCAGTACCACGTATGTTGGCGCAACGCACTTTATGGCCATGCTGGATGATGTGAGCTTTTTCAGCCTTTTTTTGGCCGCTATCCCTTCTTCCCCTTTACTGTGTTGTGTGTGTGGTGTTTGTATACCCCTGCTTCTAACCATCCCCATCGTTTACTCGAGTCGTACCCTACCCCTATCCCTTTCGGCCCAGAGAGTAATAGAGAAAAACAAATGGCACACGGGAAACCCCAAATCCTCTTCTCTTTGGTCAGATTCGCATGTGCCGGTGAGGCAGTTTCATCACTTTACACCTTCTTACCACTCACCTCTTTGGTTGCGGGATTCAGTTGAACAACACGCGCATGTGCTGACAGGACCGCTCGCAACGCAGATCGAAGATCTCAAGAGCTACTTCGATGAGGAGGAGGAGGAGAGTCTTGGGGGAAAGCGGTATCAGGATGTACCCGAACCTTCGTCATCGGACACGCTCCTCATATCTAGCGGCCTGCCCACGTCCAGGCAAGAGCTGCTAGACGTGCTCCCACCTCGCCAGGTCGTGGACCGCCTGGTGCAGCGCTATTTCAGCGCGCACAGTCCCTCGATGAGTGTAACACACAGGCCGCAGTTTGCAAAACAGGTTAGCACTCTAAAGAAGCCTTCTTGGACCTTCTCACCACGGAAAATGTGTTTGTGACTATAGTCATCGTTAGGGCCAAAACTGATCTTCAACAGTATGCCGAGTTTTGGGCAAACCCCGACGGCGCATCCCTCGACTGGCTGGCGTTTCTGTACTTGATATTGGCGCTGGGCGTCTTCTTCTCGACTTTCATGGCCCCGCACGAGCTCGAGGCCGACGGGGACCTGCCCGCCATGGGGAGGTTCAAGCGGTACCGCGCGGCGGCAGGCTGGGCGCTAGTGACGGGCAAGTACACGTCACCAGCCACGACGACCCTGGCACCATTCCTGCTGTATGTCGAGGCTGAATTCTTGACCAACCGGGCGTCGCAGATGAACTGCTACCTGCTCACGGCTGTGTGCATTCGAATGATGCTGCGCATGGGCCTGCACCGTGACCCGAGCAAGCTGGCCCACATACCTCCCTTTGACGGAGAGATGCGCCGGCGCCTGTGGCATCTGGCTACACAGTTCGAGCTCATGGTGTCGTTCCACCTGGGCTTGCCCAGCATGATCCCCAGCATAGAGAGCGACACCGCGCTGCCGCGGAACCTCGTCGACGAGGACATCTCTGTAGACTGCACCGAGTTGCCGCCTTCGCGCCCCGACTCCGAGTACACACTCCAGTCGTACCCCCGGTCCAAAAGCGCCCTCTGCCAGGTCTTTGGCCTCATCGCCCGCCAGGTCAACGCCCTCACACCCCCTCCCTACGTCGAGATCATGAAGTACGACAGCCTGCTCGAGGTCAAGTGGAGTCAGGTTCCCATCTTCATGAAGCTTAGGCCACTCGAGGACTCGATCGCCGACTCTCTGGCTGTCGTAAACCAGCGCTTCGGACTCGCCTCCCTATACCAGAAATCGCGTGTCGTGTTGCACCGCCGCTACATCATAGAGGCTGTCCCCAGGCCCGAGCATGCCTACTCGCGGCGCGTCTGTCTCGAAGCTGCGATGGCGCTGCTCGACCATCAAAATGCCATCCACGTGGCTGCGTTGCCGGGCGGAATTTTGCGCATGAACGGCTGGTTTGTCATGTCGTTGGCCATCCACGACTTTTTACTGGCCGCCATGGTCATCTACCTCGTGCTGCAGAACGAGACGTACGACATGGTTGCCGGCGAATGGACCGAGAAAACCGCCCCGCTTCCGGGCCGCGATCACCTGTATAACCTGCTCGCGCAGTCCCACAGGATATGGATAGCTGTGTTCCAGGACGCGCCCGTTTTCAAGAAAGCAGCCGACATCCTCAAGACAATGTTGCGGAAGCTCAACGGCACAACAACTCCCCGCAGGTCGAGCTCGAATGGCCCGCAGACAGTCGTATCGTGGCGCCAGACTTCAACAGGACTAGAAGCCGTGTCTGTAGGCGGCCTCTCGATTGATGGTGGGTCTCCAATCTTTCCTATTTCGTGACTCCTTGCCATCGTTACCCAAAGTGAAACAAACTAACCTGTGTTCCCTTTGGAATCCGTAGAAAACGAGCCCTGGTATTCAGGTTCTTCGTCGCCCGTCATCGCTGAGCAGCAGCAGGAACTATTGCGCGTCGGCTTGCTTCCACAAAATTCGACCGCCCCAGTGAACGGTCTTGACGCCGGGACGTGGCTAGGGACAAGCCTGCATGGTATGGACTGGGTAAGTGATAAATCCCGAAACGAAGCAAAACACCTACCCGTGATAGATATGGCCATATCCGAGAAACTGACAGGTTTTGCTACTCTAGACCACATTTGATAGCGCAATACAAGGCGAGAACCAAGCAATCAACGAGACAGCGGCAGGCGGGTGGAACCCGCAACCTGGAGCAGACCCTTTGATACATAACTTCCAATACCTTGGTATGCAACCACCGGGGCAGGGGCAATGGAACTAATAGAACGAGAGAAATATATAAAGGGACTTGAATGGTTTTTTCATTTTTGAAAAAAGAAAAACAAAAAAAAAAAGAACAAGGTCATAATACCTAGGGAAATGTTTGAGTTGGGAACAAGACGAGAGCGAGAGGCCATTCGGAGGATAATGGCTCACTAAAATGGCTGTTCGTTATTAGACAAACCTGGAAATTTTGTTCGGACTGTAGTGACTTCTAGAGCGCCCGGATGCCGATATCCTCAAATGTTTATTTCGTTCCCCACTTGTTGATGTTTTTAAAGGAGAGGCGACGAGTTTCCAGTTTGCTTGTTTGTTTGTCGTACAGAACCCGTCCGGGGGGGGGGATTCGAGTAGGGTAGGTAAGAATCGGAATTGAGTGAAGGAGCGTGAAAGAGAGAGAATCCGATTAGGAATAGGAGTGGGAAAAGGAGAAAAGAAGGACGGATGAAGAAGAGGGATTTGATAAGGGAAGTGAAAAAAGAGAGGAAGAAGAGAATGGAAAAGAGAAAAAGACTCTCGAAGTTGACGTTCCTCTTTAGGCGGATCACTGCCGCCGCCTCATCTCCGCTGACACCAGCGGCAGTGTTACTCGGTAGTTCGCGGCAAAGGATGGTTGTTCGATAAAAAAGAAGAAAATATAAATTACACGCATTCCCGGTATTATTGGTGATCAGATATCAGCGTAAATTTACAAGGTAGTGTCGGCGTGAGCGAGCGACAGGTCCATCACTTCTCTTCTCCTCTTTCTGTCTTTTGATACTTGCGGAATATTGTTTATGGACTAAGCTGTACAGAGTAATTAAAATAAAGTCACTTGGATTAGTAGTTAGGGAGGTACCCGAGTTCCCTCAAAAATGGGATGTGCGGGTTAAGCCCCCTGTTGCGGCTTGTTGCCAGCTTGCTTGCACATCCCATTTTTGAGGGTAGTTAGTACCTCGGGTGGGTGGATATAGAGGGTTGTGTGATTGCTACCGCCGGAAATGCCGAGTCTCGGGTGTTGTATGGCCTGGAGAAAGACAGTCGACGCCGAGCTGCGAATGTTTACACACCGTGGCCGTAGGCGCCTTCACCGATCTTTGCCCCTTTCCTCGTAATTTTCCTCCTTGCTGGCAAGAGGAAACATCCAAGCGGCGTAAGTATGTACCTTAGATGGTGGGGAAGGGCGAGACTTGAAGCAAAAAGCTAACGTACAGTACACTTGAACACTGTACATACTGCTGGCTCCCCTACTGGTAGTTCTAAGCAGCAGCTGCTGATGGTGTAAGTGAACAACAGGGTGCAGGGGGATCTCGGGCTACCTAGTTGGTCAGCCGGAGCACGCAAGCAGCTACTGCGTAGAAAGCTCCGCCGTCCTGTCCGCCTGACAGCAACATCGTGAGCCAGAAATACAACCCTGCCCTCTCTTCCTTCCGCCAAGAGGAAGACACTGGTGAAACTCTCGTGATTGCAGTTACCGGTGTCGTCTCTTATTTATTGCCCGCGGAGATGCTGCTCTCGCCAGCAGGCTCCGTGGCCCCTTGCGCAACCCCAATAATGGCGATGACGGAATGGATATTGGGCTGCCTGCCCAGAACCGGTATTAGTGGCCTAGTTTGTACGTAATTGAAAAGGAGGTGACTCGCGGACCTAGCTAGCTCGGAAAGAAAAGACCGCTGAGCTGAGTCTTGAGAAAGAATTGACAATAATGACGACTGTTTCGTCAGCACAAAGGAAGGAAGGATACAGGTGCGGAGTCAATCTGGTAGATTCGGCCCTGAGACTGAAAGAGTGAAAGTGTTCATTCATAACATATGACAACATTAAATCGAATCGGTGATTGGCTGTGCTTGGCGCGGGTGTCAAGGGCTGGACCTCTCCCAAGTTGCCGGTATCCAGCAGCCAAGCGAGAAATTCCAGCCAGAGAATAAACTCCACTCCGCACCGGGAGATGCTACCGAACGGCCGGCCTGTGAGACCAGCCGTTCGGTCAGTATCAGTACCGTCGATGTGAATACGGAGTATAGTGACCGACGACATGAGATCCCAAGGTTGGCCGGTGTGGATGCACAAGGTCAGCTCGATCGTCGCAGCCACCGGCTTTTTCTCTCCTTTTTTTTTCTTTCCCTTTTCCCCTCGGCTTCAAGGCCTGAAGCGGCGGTCACCGGGCTTCACAAAACAAATCCATTGCTAACGAAATGGATTTTGCGGTCTGGATTGGGAAAGTATCAGGTAACGGGAACCTCTAGCTGCATGAAGAACCTAGACTGGAGACTCCTCTAAAATGGAGGGCCTCGAGCTTCTTTTTCTTTGTTCGATCAGGAATGGAGACAGTGGGGCTTGTTGAACTGAGGGGAATAAAATGGAGAGAGAACCGGGCTTAGGATCTAAACTAAGACGAAAAAAGTTTTTGCCCCAGGGAGCAGGTCACTCCCCTGAGCAACTGCCTTATAAGGAATAAGGGGGCGGGGTATGGCACCAGAAGCCCCATAGGCCCATGAATACAGTAGGCATGCACCTCTATACCTGGTGTTGGGACGAAGTGTATGCCACATATATTCAAATATGTACAGAAAAGTATCTTGAGATTTCTAAAAAGCAAACCCGCATTCTGCTCAACGAACATCCAGCCCGCCTTCAAAGCTGTCCACGTGGCTGTCTCGATTGTGTAACCTTGTCCCATGGCACGCGTAACCTATCTATCTGCTCTTAATCTCACAGCTCTATTACACCATGTGCTGCACTATGGATGGGAAAGTACAGTGCTAACACCCGCCAAGTGGTCTGCCGTTCCTGCCCAGTTCGCGCTGCCTAATAGCTTTTACTCATCCTGCAACAAACTACTGGCACACACTCGTCTCGTCTCTCGCGGAACGTTATCTGCCCTGCAAAGTATGACGGAATGCAGCAAACCTATCTCTCGCCGGTCTGCGGCTCGCCTCCACTGCTTCTTTGCGCCATGCCATGCCATGCTATGCCATCCGCCCTCCGCTCTGCCCTGCCACTCGAGTGAATGCGCAGGGCCCAGGCCCGGGCAGCTACCTTCATCCCCACTTGCCCCCTCCTGGCTGTTTTCCCCCGGATTCTCTGGCCAAAAAACCGCTATTCCTGCGGGCCGCCTGTTTATCTTACATGCACGGCTTCAAAGAGGCTACAGGAGCGAAGTCGGTGGGTGTGCGAGATGCCGCTTACCTGCTTCTGCTTGGCCGATTCTTTCTTTCCCAACTCAAACTACACGTGTATAACCAATCCTCGATTTTGCCCCTCCCCATTGGCCGGTGGAGTCGCGCAGTCCCGTGGCCATCCTAAGGCAGGCATGTACCTCAGGTTCTTGTCCGTTTCGGCTAGAGTTTTCCTCATCGTCGGATCTTTCTTCAACGCCAGTTCGGCCCTCTGCGCTGGGCTCCTTGTGGAACCAGTGGATGCGCTAATAAAGCTCATCATTCTTCCCCGTAAACTCAACATCGTCCTTCGCTGGAGAAGAGGGTGCTAAGTAAGGCGGAGGTCTCAGGCTCAAGTCTGGTTGGCTATAGCCACTCTTTATCCCCGTTTTCTTTGTCACAGCCCAGCCAGTTTTCCGTCTTATTGTCTCTCCACCTCTTAAGGTAGGGCAGGCTAAGCTTCCCGGCGATGGGTACTGTACTTGGCGGGCTCTAACCGACAGCTTTGCGGCAGCTCTGGCTCTTGGCTACCTATATATTCTAATTGCTGTTGCTGGACGATGGGAACTTCCTATCGCCAATTCGCACAAGCTCGCATCCTGGGTTCCCGTCTGGTGTTTTGGCGCCCAACCACTAATTAGGTAACTGATTTGGCGTGCTGCAGTATTAAGCCAACAACAACCTGGAAGAAAGGCAAAGACGAATCCCACCTGGTGTTTTATCTGGCACTTGTCTACGGTACCTCAGGTATGTACTGTACATGCCTTACCAAAGGCAGATGCTCGGGTGTCACCCTCCGATCCATCCATATCGTTTATCAGTTCCCCTGTCCCGACATGTACTGCAGACTGCCCCGCAGCCTCGATGAACCCCACTAACAGATAACCAGACCAGCACAAGAATACGCCATCCGCCATCCGCCGCCCGCGATCCGCATCGATAGCTGCTGCCCTTGGCCTTGGCTTGGTGAAACAGCCCCAGCTGCCTATCCGTCAGGGTTCACGATCAAATTGGGCAGCAGATCTGACCGAGTCTTGGAGACGTGTACCTACCTACTACTTTACCAACCTTGCCAGCCCGTGTAATCCGATCGGCCCTGGCCACAGACGAGCCCTGCTCTTTCTCACCGCCGTCGCCTTGCGCTGTGTTCCCGTTTAATATCTCGCCGTCCCTGTGCCATTTGCTGGTTGCATGTCCCAGTTCCTTCCTGCAGAGGCTACGCTGCCACTCCAAAATCAGTCCACTTTAGGTTCCCAGGCTTGCAGGCCCAAGGCCTCAGCACCTCCTCGAGCTCTAGCAAGATTCAGGGGGAAGGAAACAAATTTTGCACAGAACAGAGCCTTATCTGGTCCTGGTCGACGGAAAGCCGCATGCCCAGAACGAAAGAGAAAGAAGGAGAAAGACGACCAAAAGGGAATCTGAATCTAGGTCGATGGTGCCGAGCCCTTCGATGCCGGCCGAGCTCTTCTCGGAGATGACCATCAGGCCGGTTCCAAGGGAGATCAAAACGAGCAACACTAGCAGCAGCCGCGAAGAGACCAGACATAAGCATTCGAGGTCCTCCTATTCGGATGCCTCACCCCTCATGTCGAGGAACAACTCGCTGACATTCCGCCCTGCAAAAAGGCCGATGACGACCCCGGATAAGACCATCGCCGTCATCAATGCGAGCGGTCGCCAAGCCGCCTCGCTTATCCGAGTCGCCACAGCTGTGGGCTACCATGTTCGGGCCCAACTCAGGAATCTAGAGGGCGTTGTTGCGACCGAGGTGGCAACGAACCCAAACGTAACTGTTCTCCGCGGCGAGCTCTACACCAAGGAGCGTCCGGCCGAGAGAGGGCAGGTGGATGTGACTAAGAATGGCCCCATCTCCGGCATCGGTGTCAACCACGGCCTGATATCCGAGCTATTTCGTGGCGCCCAGCTCGCCTTCATCAACACAACATTTTACGGCGACGAGCAGAAGATTGGCGAAGCCCTCGCCGAAGCTGCCAAGAGGGCCGGCATTCAGCACTATATCTACTCGTCGATGCCCGACCACCACGCCTACAATGAGGACTGGCCCTCTCTACCTCTCTGGACGTCCAAGCACAAGGTCGAGGACTTCGTCCGGAAGCTGAAACTACCTGCCACCTTTGTCTACACGGGAATCTACAACAACAACTTCACCTCGCTACCCTATCCTTTATTCTGCACCGAGCTTCAGCCCGATGGCTCCTGGATCTGGCAGGCCCCCTTCCACCCCGACGCTAAGCTCCCCTGGCTCGACGCGGAGCATGACGTCGGCCCGGCCATACTACAGATCTTCAAGGACGGCGTCAAGAAATGGGGCGGTGGCCGGCGCATTGCCCTCGCTTACGAGATGCTCAGCCCGAGGGAAGCCTGCCGCGTCTTCACGAAAGGCGTGGGCCGCCCCCTGCGCTACGTCCGCGGCCCCATCGAGGTCAAGGTCAAGATTCCCGAGGGCTACCGGTGCCAGCTCGAGGCGCTTGAAGAGCTCTACCGTCTCGGCAAGGATGACCCCGCGAAGCAGCCCCCGTACTTTGGAGATGCAGCGCTCGAAGCGAGCTGCCCAGGCGTGGCTTTGGAGCTGTGGGAAGGCCCCCGTGGGCTTGAGGAGTACGCTAATGAGGTGTTCCCCCTCGAGGAACAGGCGAATGGGTTAACATGGATGCTCGACGAAGATGACGGCGGTGGCGGCGGAAGCCAAGATCATTCCCAGGCCGCCCTGAGCCCGGCAAGCGAACACCCCGACTCCGAGAGCGAAGACGATGACGACGGCTTAGTTATGCGTGGTTTGAAGCGGGATGACGAGGAATGGCTTGCATAATGTTTCATGAACAGTTTCGGCACTCAAAAACAAACAAAAAGAGGGAATAATTAAAACTGGAGGGGCTGGTCGGGAACTTTCTCTTTTGTCATCGTCTCATTTCCGACGCGTGCACGAGTATCCGTGTACATACACGAACATGGTGCATATACCTACCTGCTACCAACCCAGGCCAGTAGGTATGGAGGTTTATCCTGGACGGGCGGACGGACGGATAGCGCGGCGAAGGAGCGAGAAAAAAGTTTTTATTGTTGCTTGTTATCAAGCTACGGAGGGCTATCAATGGATCGGGTCGGCGGGCGGTTTTCTGATGAATTTTCTGCTTATTTCTCATCTCATGCAACGGCTACGGCTCTCTTACTTCACGCTGTACTTTACGCTTTGTTGTTCATTGCTTCGCAACGATTCACAATCCGGTCAGGGTTCTCTCATCAGACATCGGTCGTAGCTGTGTTGGTTAATGTGACGACTCCGAATACCCAAAGGTAGAATAGATACTGGGTGCAGTAGTATTTGAATGTTAATGGACTTGTGCTAGGCCGCGTGCAACAGTAAGTATTGACGTTGGTACATTATGTAAAATTGTGCCGATTATACGGATATGGCGGCCGAGACCCATCCGGGAGCTTCGGTGTTCGGGTGGGTGGGTGTGGGGCCGGGCTAGCCGGCCCGCTAGTGATGAGCAGACTGCGAATCGGTCGGGTTGAGGCAGCGAGCAGGATCTGGGGTGGGCTGTCGTCTATGGCCAACGCCGGGTATTGGCGTTCTGAACTGCGGTCTCTTCTTGTTTGCTTGTTGGATTGTTTGGCATAAAAAAATTTGAGATTGCTGCCAAGATTTCCAATGGACGAGTATGTAATTACATTACGCGGCCACGCCCGCCCTTCCTTCCCCGATCCTATAACGCGAAATAAAAGAAAATTAGATATCGCAAGGAGCCCAAAAAAAAGACCTTCAATACGCGAGGGAGTGTATGTGTCTCTGTGTGTCTGTCTCTCACTCAAAACTTCCCCTTGAGCAGGTTGCTGATCATCTCGCGGCCCGTGACGACTGAGGTTCGCCACAGCGTGGGGAAATCGAGCGTGCTCGAGAGGCTGTCGGCGAACCCGAAGAAGAGCATGGGCGGGATCCAGCCGCGCGCGTACTCGAGCGCGAAGCAGCCCTCGGGCATCTTGTACTGCTTCACGGTGCCGCGCCGCAGGTGGTGGATGCTCCCCGGCGGGTACACCTCAGCCTCGTACGAGCCCGGCACGTACGCCGTCTGCGTCCCCGTCAAGATGTGGAAGTAGTCGTCCGCCGTGTGCCGCCCCGTGTGACCCTCGGTGCCGACGGCCGTGCCTGTAGATTTGTTGGTTAGTTTGAGTTTGGTGTATATTGTGTTAAATTGGGCTGTTGAGACGGGGTGGGGCCTTACCAAAGATGATTAGGTACTCGGTAATGCCTATGGTCCCAAGTTTCACTTATCAGCAAAGCACGATACTAGTAACAGCGAATCGCGCTCATGTTGGGCACGCACTGGCATGGATGATGTACATGGCGCCCATGGCGCCGCCGGCATTGCTGAACACCCACTCCTCGTCGAGGTTGACGTAGGTCTGGAGGTCGGCAGTGCCATGGAGCTCGTCGACAATGTGCTTGACGACGGCCCGGGTGTCGTTGCCGTACAGCTCGATTCCGCGCTTAGAGACGGTCGACAGATGGTCGAGGTCGAAGATGTAGAACGACTCGAGGTTCTTCTCAAGCAGATACACGACGGGCGACAGGATGCCGACGATGAGGGCGAACAGCTTGAGAAGGCCGCCCATTCCGGACGACTGCTTCGGCGCCATTGCGAGGAATTGGCGCGATAAAAATCGATATAAAAGAATGAAGAAACAGAAAACGCCAGAAAATGCTGGAGAGAGACAGCTATATGAATGAGAGGACGCCCTAGCGGTACCTAGAGCAAATTGGGGGTGAGGTGATGCTGTTCCTCGTCAGATTCACGCGTACTCGTATTCTTTACGGCGGATTTCTCTCGACCCAAAGACCCCAAGACCCCTAGCCTCGGGTCCGTACTCGTACTTGGGGCCTCCACACTACTAATATACGTTAGCGAGGGCGGTGGGTGGCGTCTGCAGGCTCCCCGCGATCAGATTGACAGGGGTATGAGCCCCCCCACCAAAGCTTGGCAGAAGCAACGGAATCGTTCTTTCCTAAACCTACGCTTGGAACCGAACCACAGTTAGCCGTTCGTCGCATTTATCTGCGCCTCTTCAACGCCCTCACAACCGCACCGCACCACGTCTCCAAGAAGTAGACGCCAATCAGACAGCTTCCGCTAATCACCCCAAAACAATCCAGGGAGATGGCGACTAGCTCAGGCACAACGTCAATCGCCACTCCGGGCCAGCTGTTGGGCCCGGCATCCAAGTTCCAGCCCGGCCCAGGCACGCACATCCACAACTCGAACCTGTACTCGTCGCTGCTCGGCGTCGTGCACGCCAGCCAGCCGGCCAAGCCGCCGGGGCCGTCGAAGCGGCTGACCAAGATCACGGTACCGACGCAGACGCCGGCGGAGCTGCCCACGCTCTCCGTGTCGCGGACCGGCGTGTCGGAGAAGCGCGAGGTGCTGCCCGAGGTCGGCAACACGGTGCTGTGCCGCGTGACGCGCATCACGCCGCGCCAGGCCGTCGTCGCCATCCTCATCTGCGGCGACACGGTGCTCGAGGCCGAGTGGCAGGGCCTCATCCGCGTCCAGGACGTCCGCGCCACCGAGAAGGACAAGGTCAAGATCTACGAGAGCTTCCGCCCGGGAGACATTGTCCGCGCCGAAGTGGTGAGTCGGGTCCTGTCTGTCTAACTATTGTGTCAAATGAATGCCGTGGCTGATTGCTCACACGCCCGCGGCTAGATCTCGCTCGGCGACCAGGCTAACTTCTACCTCTCGACGGCACGCAACGAGCTGGGCGTTATCCTGGCAACGAGCGAGGCCGGCAACAATATGTACCCAGTCAACTGGAAGGAGTACATGGACCCCGAGACGGGGCTGAGCGAGCTCAGAAAGGTCGCAAAGCCCTATTGACCAAGGTAGGCTTTACGGCCGGTTTCTAGGAGACTGAAATCCTCAGGTTTATACCCGAGTTCACCGGCGACTTTTGGAAGCACGCACGCCGTATCCTCTACCAAGATGGTTGCAGTTGGGTCTGACCCGGCCAGACGAGAATTATGGGCCATACAGCCCAAGTTTTTGCACTTCAACATGCCATCGCATCTTTAGTAGAATCTGGTTAGGTGTATACAGTCAAGACTACAGGCCAGACCCGTGCCCCGATGTCCGGGCCAGTTGGCCGAGTCGGATGCTGGCCTATTGTTTCGGGGGGGGATGAACAGACGCCGCCTGCGAAATTCCGAATCCACTGAGAGCCATTGTATCGTCTAGGTAACAGTTTTGAGGGAAAGGCAACGTGCTACTGCTGCAACGCAGCAACGCAGCGGCTCACTTACTAGCCGGAGCCTCCACTATACGTACTATATTTCGTGTATAATTATCGTTGTGTGTTGATGCCGCTGGGGAAGAATTAGGAGTTAGTAGGGAAGGCGAACATACCATCTAGCCTGATACCTATCCCGCTTTATAAATAAGGTAAAAAACCGGGATGCTCCCGACTCCCTGTTGAGGTGCCTAGCTGGCAGCCTTTCAAACGATACTGATCTTCCCCACAGGAGAGTCATCCCCCTCAATAAACCACCCCGCACCCGCCTCTAGTAGGCCAACGCCGAAGATTCCCGAATGAGCCTCCTTCACTTTGTCCTCATCCAGCATCTGCGCTTCCCCGAAACGAAAAAGGCAATGTTCGTCGTGGTTCCGTTCGGGGTCCACCATAGCCAAGAGCAGGACCTAGTGGAGCAAGATCTCCTTGTTCTTAGCCCTTGTCCAAGTCACGACGGGAAAGGCCCAGAGGAGGTAGTGGCAAGCGGTTTGTCGAGCGAGACCCACCCGCACACCAGCCCCTTTGGTCCTCGACGGGGTCGGCCGATGATCTAGATGTTTGGTTCGGCCATGATGTCGTGCCCTAGCGATATGCGGTAGACCACCAGAAGGGCATGCAAATGCTTGAGATTTGCGGAGCACCCCCGGTTCGTGGTAACGGAGTACCCCCCGACGCGCCGTGACCGTCTCCCGGCGTAGCCCAACTTCGGGGCTGGGATGGAGTAGGTACGTGACCTTGCCCAACCGGGGCGCCCACGTCCAACTCGGCAACGGCGTTGGAGTCGAGCCTGTCCGGTCCAACAACCTCTTCCAGCCGCTGCGATACCACAGAAGCTGGTGGATCCAGTCTCGGTGCCAGAGGTCTATGCCCGCAACCAAAGTGAGGAGCTCGGGGCCAATCCACGTGCCGAACTTGTACTCGTGGTCAGGCCTTCGCTGCTGGACGGCATCGACAAGGCCGTGAATGGCCACCAGCCAGTCCTTTTGATACGTCACCTGGCGTTGCGAGTACTCGGCCACCACGGCCAGCCAATTATCTACGCCGGTTGACTAGTCCTTGACCATGAAACGGGGCGGGACCCGCGTCTCCGAGACGCCCGATGTGCGACAATGCCAGATGACCTCTCCGTCGGTAAACCACAGGATGCGTCGCGAGAGCACCATTTCTCGGAAGCACCACGCCCGTTGACGCAGCGATCCGTCGGCGGGGGAACACCGGATTATCTACTCGAACCCGCCCGCTGTCAGAATTACATCGCTGTCGCCGCCACCGGCGGGCTTGTTGGGGGGGGGGGGGCAAGGCTGTCAGGCGGACTTGAATCAAGTGGTCTGACTGGGGGTGAGGGAGAAAGAGCTCGTAGCTCGAGTTGCGGGCGTGGGATGCCGCGATGGTGACGTGGGCTTTACCGTAGACGGCCGCCATCCGAATCGATTCCCTCGCCCAGTCGTCGGCGTCGTCTTGGATGATGCAGAGGGAGTCGATCCACAGGTTCTGGACGCCAAGTTCGCTCGCAACGATGACGGCGTCTCGAAAAGTGGGCGGCAGATGCTGGAAGTCGATGCCGCTCTGGCGGCTGGCGAGGTTGTCCGCCGTCGTGGTGAAAGGCTGCTGTCCGGGGCTGCCCCAGCAATGGCTCAGAGCCGCGTACTTGCCCCGCCGCCCCCGTGTCTCTTTTAAGTAGAGTAAGGGGGGGCCGCAGTCGCTTGCTCGTCGTCTATTCGCACCACTCTGGTAGGCAAAACGTGATCCGAGTCCGGGTCAAGCCGCTCGCCCGAAACGAGCACGTTGCACGTCTCGCCATAGTCAGCCTCGCAGCCAGCGAGACAAGATCGCAGATGGCTGAACACGTCGCGGCAGTTGGACTGGTCGAACGGCAGGCGCCCGGTGACGACAAGACGGTCGCACTCTGCCGAGGCTGCGGTCACCTCGTCAGCTTCTTCGCGTTTCGTTTCTGTCGTTGCGCCGCGAGGTGATATATTGCCATCATGCCCACGGGGCGGGGCTACTAGCAAGATGGGGTCGGAGCCTTCGTGCCAATGCCTAATACCCGGCAAATTGCCCCAGCCGACGGATACGCGCGCCTGCTTGAACGCCCAGGGGAGCCAGAGCTCCAGCGCCACGATGCCCGGTCGCTTCGCTCCACCGCCTTACCCCTCCTGCCGGCCATTCGCCGACTCGAGCACGGCTTTGAGCCGAAGCGAGCTAGGCAAGAGGGAATCCTCGCCCAACTCGTATCCCCTGCTTGTCCGTGTTGCCTAGGTTCGCCCGGCCACGAAGGCGAACAGGGCACAGACGATGCACGTCTCGCTTGGCGAAGGGAGCGTCTGCGCGTTTTCGAGGTGGACGTAGTAGTTATCACAGTCGCCGCCATCTGACAGCCGTGCTATTTCGTCGAAGTGTTCCGGGAGACAACGGCACGCGTCGTGGAGCTGACGGGCCGCCGCCGCCCACTTCGGTTAGGCGGATGAGGGACCATGTTGCCTGGCGCTGGTCGGCGCCCATGTCCTGCTCGGTTGGGAAGGCGAACGTTCCGGGTGGGACGCTGAATCTCCGGGCATATTCCAGGCGGGCCGCCATGATGTTCGCATCCCCCATGATGTAGATGTGACTCTGCTGTTTTGCCCTCTTTTTCGTAAGGTGGGCGAGGTACACAGCCAGACAATTCACTACGCAGCCTTCCCATTGCCAAGACACCGTGTATAATCGGGCAGTCTCCCCTCTTTTAGTTTGTTTCTGAATCTCACATTCCTAAATATAGCGTATCTACTGACTTCAGTTACTGGATACCGATAGATAGCCCCAATATAGAACAAAGTTAGATTATAGAGAAGAGGGCTGCGATACGAAGAACTCGGTTGCGTTTCCAAGTATAGCCTCTTTTTCTTCTAAGGCCGGCCCATACACATAGAACACAGCAGCTTTCAGTTTACATGAGGCAACCGCTCAACCAGCAGTCAGTCGCCTCGTCAATCGATAGATACAATTTTACTCAATAATACCATTTCCGTTTTCAAAGTGTCAACCTTCGCCAATAAGGGAAACCCGACTCTGACATGGGGGAATGTCGCGATATTCTCTGGCTAACAGACGTCGCAACAGCTGATTGGTCAATTACCTACCTACCTTAGGTTTCTTCAGCCTAGTATGAACATGTACATATGTACATGTAAGGCACTTGCTTCCGCGCCGCTAATGCTCAGCTGTCGCTAAATCTCAGCTCGCAGCAGACTGGAAGCTAATGCAGAGAACCAATAGTCACGGTTCCATTCAATACATGTCCTGCCACTGCCCTTGCCTGCCATCGACCCCCGTTGAGTCTTCCTCCGCTCTCGCTTTTGTGTTTGCGAACCTGCCTCTCTTCTCAGACCGCTGCTGCTCCCATTGAGTCGAGACAAAATGTCGGCATTGACTTGGTCCTCCAAACTGCACGCAGAACTGCGCCCTAGTCTCAGAACAACATGGCCGCCACTGGTGCTGTCGTCGAGTCGTGGATGTACTTCCTGAAGAAGGATCCCAAGTACGACGTTGAGCGCATCTATGAACTCAGACGACAGAAGCCGACGGCCGAAGTGCCGCGGACAAACATGCTGCTCGAGAAGGTCGAGGGCGTCCAGATCCACGATGTCCGCGGCCAGGAGTGCTCCTTCGGCACTACCGGCTTCTTCCTCCTCGACATGGACACTAAACTCGCCGCGAAGGACTTCAACGAGCGAAACAAGGTCGTGGGCACGTTTCTGCCCCAGCTCGCTGATGCTATCAAGGCCAAGCTCAATGCCAGTCGGGTGCAGATCTTCGACTACAGTGTATGCCATCTGTTTGTTTGTTCCTCCTCTTCGCTGCGGGATTCTCATAGGTTTTGCTGCAGCTGCGCAAACGAGACCAGGCCTTTCCCGTCAGCAGTGGCGGCCCCTACAACTACAGGCAACCATCGTGCCTTGCCCATATTGGTATGTTTTGCTGCGACGAGTACCTACCTAGGTAGTTGCCGAACAGACCCTGACCAGCAGAGAGTCCAGACGCAACGCCGGGCGACATAGCGCGGCTCAGGCACGTTCTGAACAAGGCCGATGCTGAAAAGGTTTCCAACGTCCGCTGCCAGTTTGTCAAGTATGTTCCCTCCTCCTACACACATTCTGAAATGTAACCATACTAATAACACATTCACAAACAAAGTGCCTGGAAACCACTGAGGGGACCGGCGCGCGACTGGCCGCTGGCCCTGTGCGATCTCCGGTCTGTGGACCCCGAGACGGACCTGAAGATATGCGACCTCGTTGCGCCCGAGGGCGTGTCCGAGACGGCCTCGGTCCACCACGCGCCAACGCAGCGCTGGTGCTACGTCCGAGACCAGATGCCGACAGAGACGTGGGTGTTCATGCAGGCCGACTCGAACGGCACGACAGGTATGGCATTTTTCGAATCCCTAGACGTCAATCGTATGTGTTGATAAGAAACTGATTGATGTTTTATATAATATAAAGGCGTCCCGCACGCTTCGTTTCCGCATCCTGACGCGAGCGAGGCCGACCATTTGCGAGAGAGCATTGAAGTGAGAATGCTGGTCTTTTACGAGGAGAGAAACGAGCCAAGATCGGGTTAATGGTAGGGTTGTGGTTTTCTCGTCAAACGGCTGACATACTTTATCTCGCGTACCGCCTTTGTTTGAAGAGACTCGATAAGAACTTGTCCAGGTAGTTATTTCGCCTGTTTGTTTTTCACGTCTCAGGACTCAGGCTCTCAATACTCACTTCGTCTGCGGCTGTGTAAATTCTTTACGACGGCGGTCAAGTAGCTGCACGAATCAAGAGAGTAAGACAGACAAACATCACTAAGCAAATTCGAAAACCAGAGCAAGTGTTGAGAACCTCAAGGTCAGAAAAGAATGCAGAGCTCAATTTAGTGAAGCGGTACTTTGTCCTACCTCGACGTCTATCTGTCCTCGGGCGAGCAGAAGAAGTATCTAACCCGCGGCCCAGCTACCTACACAAGCTAACATGCCTACCACCAAGCCAGAACATGTCATCCGTTCACGCATCCCCCCCAAAGCCCCCCCTTACCACCGCCTCACAACCAGTTCACTCGCCTCGAACCCCCCCCCCCCCAAACTTCTCAACACTCACTCAGAAAACTACTACCATCCGTTCCTCAAAAGACTGGCTGGCTGGCTATTTTGACCCCTCCTTAGTCTCCTCAACGGCGGCAGCGTCCGCAGGAGTGGGAGGAGCCTCGTCCTTTTTACCGCTGCCGCTGCCAGTATCGTACAGAGTGGTCTCGGTCTGGTCCCAGGGCTTGCCGGCGATGATGACTTCTCCCTCCTTGAAGTTGTCGGGAGACGTGCATCGCATGATAGGGTCCTGGGGAGGGGGAGCAGGAGCGGGCGGGTCTGTGGGGTCGGGCATGATGTATGGATGTCTGGATGGGAATGATGTTTAAGATACAGGCATGGTTGGGGGAGGGGGGGTGCTTCTCTTTACCTTTGATCGAGTCTTGTGTGTTCTAAAGACAGTAGACGAAGTGAAGTGAAGTGCTTGGCCTGAGATGAGACGAGATGATGAGGAGATGAAGAAAAGATGAGAGAGCCTCTGGGGCTTCTTCACGCAGATTATATATGCCAGCTCAAGCTCTGGCCCGGACCATGAAAATTTATATTTCTTGCTCCGATTCCGCTGTTCTCCTTGCTTTCGATTGTAAGTGAGGTCTGATTCCTTGTCGTTTTGGGATATCCCGAAAACCGCTAGTATGCTGCACAACAACACATGCAGACTAGGCGCCTCGACAAGCACAAGCTGAAACCCGGTCCAGGCTCTCTCTCTATTTTTCATTCGGTTGAGTTGCGGAGACTGCATGGTTGCATCACAGCAACTAACCCATGTCCTCCTATCCAACCCGGCCACTTGCACTGTTTACGTGTCAATAGTTAGGTTGGGTTTGCAGGATAAGACTTTGCCTGAACAGGAGAGCAACCAAAACGCTCTCTGTGCTGAGTGCTCGAGAGCCCGCTTACTTTTGCTCTTGACCCAAATTGTTTTCTGTTTAAAAAGTGATTCTCTAATACGTACAATCCAATCCCTGAATGTTTATTAGTGGGGGAGTTTCCCAATACTTGAAAGACCTTATTAACTCAAGGCTCGCCCTAAAGGTTTTTCGTTGAGGGAGGTAGTCGTTATTAAGGTCCCTGTTATAGAGAGAATCTTGAAGGCCTTTCGCTATCCCAGAAATACCTAAGGTATCAAAGGCTTTCCTAGCCGGCGTGCTTGCTCTGGTCTTTACTCTCCCGTCTGTAAGTATCTAGGTACCACCCTGACAAACATTCGGTGATTGGACTGTAAATATTATCTATTTGCATCTGATTTAAGTCGCCTCTTAAGGTGAATCAGAGACACTTGGTTAATTACCATCACCAGAGAAACAAACTGAGAACGGCACGTCTGAGGAAAAGATGAGAAACTTTACAATAATTACCAAAAAAAAAAAGCCCCCCGAAGAGTGCCAAGGCAGCAAGTAACCCTTCCTGTAATTACATATAGCACAGATGTCGGCCTCCACTTCCATTTACGGAGACTTATGTTTGGATCTGTCCCGATGCGCTGCCATATTCCATGCTCCTACTTCCGTGACAATCGAGCACACAATTTCTGTACACGAACCTGAGAAAAATATAATAAAAGTTAAAAGCTAACACTAATAGGTGGTACATGAAGTTTGTTTGCTACCCTACCTTCCTTACCTAACCAGACGCCTTGCCAAAAAGACAACCCAATCCCCTACCCAAATAAACCCGCGCCAGACCCAAACCCAGACCCAAAACAAAACCATGTAATGTAATGTAGTGCCGATTGTAGTTGCCGCCTATGCCAATGCGTAATGCGTGTCCGAAGCAAGAAAAAGGGTGGCAGCGGACGTGATTGTGGTTAGTGGTATGTACCTACTCACGCCCATCCAATTACCAGACTGCCTCGTCTCAAAACAAAAAAGGCACAAAGGGGTGCCTAGAACTCTCTTTCAGGTCTATATCCACCGCAACATGACTTCTGTGTCATTCGCTCATTCGTTCATTCGTCCAAGTGCAGCCGGTAGGCAAAACTACCCGCTGTGTCGGCAGCTACATCGGGAGGAAGAGGGGGCGAAGGCGGCGCCGGCCTCGCGTTCCGCAGCGAGGCATCTATCCTATAATTACCCTAAAAGTTATTCGGGACGCCTCGCGTAGGGGTGGTGGCCGTGGTAGCCGCGGTAGCCGCGGCGCCGTGGTGGTGGTGGTGGTGATGGGTCGGTGTTGAGTTCGTCGACGTGGTCAGGTTGCGGTCGCTGGCCGAGAAGCCCTCCTCCATGTCCACGTCCTGCTGCCGCTGATGCGGGCTTTGCTGCGGGCGGTTGGTATCGTACCGGGACTTGGCGGCGGCCGAGGTGCGGTAGCCGCCGTGCGTTGCGCCGTTCTTTGTGTGGACGGCCGGATACAGGTCGACGTAGAACGAGAAGACGTAGAAGGAGAAGATGAAGGCGATAATCCACTCGAACACGGCGCCGGGGTTGTAGTTGCCGGTAAAGGTGCAGGCAACAAAGGCGATGGCCAGCAGGATCTCGATCACAACGAAGGAGAGCTTGATCCAGAACGAGATGCGGAGGACGCGGTGCTCGCGGTAGCCTTTGGTGTCAAGTTAGCACGACACGCATGATACGGCCCCGGAAAGAAAGCGAAAGAGGGTTGGCTGTAAACGTACGAATACCCAAGCGTTGGTATTCCCAGCAGATGAAGATGGCAGACAACACGTAGCCGGCGATGAAAAGGAGCAGAAAGACATCGTGGAGGCGCGGGTATCTCAGCGTGTCGAAGATGGACAGCAGGATCAGGCCGGCAGTGCCGATGATGGCGAAGACGATGGTCAGACCTGAGAGCACCTTCTCGCCAGTGGTCGTGTTGGGCACCAGTCTGCCCTTGTGCCGCAGCCAGCGGTCTGCGCCAAACGAGATGTCGAGAAACAAGGTCGTGAGGACGCAGCCGGTAATGAAAAGCGGCTTGAGGCGTGACGCGCCGACGTCGCTGATGTAGGCGATGCTCTGCGAGTCGGCCTCGGACGCGTAGTGGATTTTGTGGTCGTCAACAACCCAGAACAGCAGCAGCCCCAGCAGGGTGCCAAGCCATATGACGCCCGCGAGGATGGGGAAAACCTAGGGTTTGTTTGTTTAGTATTGGTATTTGTATCTCGGAACAAAACAGAGAGACAAACCCAATATGAGATGCGCATCATTTTCTCGATTCTTGTTGTCCTCTCGATGTGAACCTGCCCTTTTCTCAATTGACCTTTGGTTTTCTTTTTCTTTTTCCTTTTTCCCCCTTCCCCTTTGTTGACGTGCGCGCCACGTGAAACAGCACACCAATCTGAGGGAGGGAACAAAACAAGAGCAGGCGGCCTTGGCACGAGAGGATGCAAGTCCAAACTCTATAAGTGAACCTGCAGCCGGTTGGGACGAACGGGAGGGCGAAGAGGGTAGGGACCTGGAGGTGGGAGGGACCACAGATGTTGGGACGGAAATGGTGCGCTAGTGGTGGTACTGTACTTGTGGTGTTTGGCGGTGCCAGCAATCTCGGGCGGCTCTACTAGTGTGGTGGTGTCACCGTGATTCAAAAGACGCTAGCTAGCACAACTTGAAGGCAATCGAAAGTGCGGAAGACGTCGAGGAACGACGGCAGAGAAAAGAAGCGAGCGAGGAGACAGACACAACCATCTATCTGGTGCTGCGTGGCACCAACAGGTCCTAATAAGGCGGAAAGAGAAAGCTGCCGGCCGTTAGGGGCTCGGAAAGCCGAGCCCCCCGACAGGACGTGATAGATACCGTGTGCCCTTACTGATGATGTTTGTTCAGGACTCCGATCCAATTGCAAGACCAAGCTTTTGCGTGTCCAGTGACGTCAGACTTGTGGCGCGCGGTGCCGCTGGGTGTGTACGCTGTGGGGCATCTGGGCCAGTGGGGTGTCCGTGGCGGCGTGGACTCTCGGGCTTAGTGCAAATTGTAAACGGAAATCCCTGCATTTCTTAGCGGGGCTTTGTTGCCATTGAAGACCCCTGGCGCTGATCCGCAGTGAGCTTGGCTCGGTGCCAAATCAAATCGATCAACCAATTCATCCCCTCAGGGCATTTCTTTTCTCCATTCTTGCAAAGAGGCACCCCCCACTGGTGGCAGCACACCCACCAACCCGCGCTAGTGTTTCCGACTTTCTGCAGGGCTGAGAACAGCGAACCTCGCGCCGTCGCCCTCGTCGTTTCCGTCAGACAGTAGTCATCGACACGCCATGGCCGGAACCGCAAATGGTGGCGGGGGAGGAGGAGGCATACCTCGCGATGGACTGCCCATGACAATGGACCTGGTGGAGCAGATGAACGAGCAGGAGAAGCGCAAGTACGTCAAGGGCAAGAAGCTCGGCGAGGGCACATACGCCAACGTCTACCTGGGCCACGCGCGGCACGACGCCGGCGTGCTGGTCGCCATCAAGAAGATCAAGGTCCAGAAGGAGTACAAGGACGGCCTGGCGCCCGACGCCGTGCGTGAGCTCAAGCACCTGCAGGAGCTGCTCGGCCACCCCAACATCATCAGCCTGCTGTCTGTCTTCAGCAGCAAGGACCAGAACCTCAACCTCGTGCTCGAGTACCTGCCCCTGGGCGACCTCGAGATGCTGATCCGCGACGTCGACCGCGTGCGCTACGGTACCGCCGACATGAAGGCCTGGATGGGCATGCTGACGCGCGCCGTGTGGTTCTGCCATGACAACTTCGTGCTGCACCGCGACATCAAGCCCAACAACTTGCTCATCGCCGCCAACGGCGAGGTCAAGCTGGCCGATTTCGGTCTGGCCCGCAGCTTCGCCGACCCCGGCACCCGCATGACGGCCAACGTCATCACGCGCTGGTACCGGCCGCCCGAGCTGCTGTTCGGCGCGCGCCACTACTCGGGCGCCGTCGACATTTGGTCCGTCGGCCTCGTCTTCGCCGAGCTCGTGCTGCGCGCCCCCTTCCTGCCCGGCAACACCGAGGTCGACCAGATCAACCTCATCTGTCGCCAGATCGGCACCCCCACCGAGGACAACTGGCCCGGCGTGACCCAGCTTAAGGAGTATACCGTCCCCAGCGAGGTCGTGCCCGTCTGGGGCAAGGACGCCTACATGTCGCGCTTCGGCGGCGCCGGCTCCGACGGCGTCGACCTGCTCGTCCGCACTCTCGCCCTCGATCCCAAGAACCGCATCACGGCCCGCGAGATGCTCGAGCACAGGTGGTGGCGCACAGACCCGCGCCCCACCCGCAACGAGGACCTACCGCGCAAGTCGGCCGGCGGAGAGGAGAAGGCTGCCGTCGACCTCAGCCGCCGGAACGGCGTCGTTGACGACGGCGCCCGCGGCACAAAGGTCGCGCGGAAGCTGGATTTTGGCGCTGCGAGATAGACCCTTTTTTCTTCTTCTGCCTCTTCGTCAAGCGGTAGGCGGAGTTCATGTTTTTTTTCTTAACAACAATGTATGTCAGGTAGGTACAAGCCGACGAACGGTATTTACATCCGAAGGCAGTGTGTTTCTCTTTCTTATCTCTGCATTGAACTGGCGTTGGGGACTGGATGGGAGGCCGGCGGGATATCCACGGAAAATATGCACTTTACTCGGAGGGAGGGGTTTAAAATAAAAAATAATACCCAGCATAAGCCACAGGTCGTACACGCAGCTCGTATATAACCCAATCCATGAATGTGTATGAACGCGAGTACTTGAGTACTTGAAGAATGGGGGGGGAGGGTTGTAGGCAAAAGTACCCGCCTTGAAATTTTCAACGTTGAGGGCTCTGATGGCTAAGGTGCCTGATAGACAACAATCGTTATTTGCGACTCATTTCCCCCCCTTCACTCCTTTCCGTTAACGCCCATCCGCCATCACAAGATCATGAGAATTCCCCCCATATCAGATTGCACCAGAACCGCCTCGCATCCCCTCGCATCACTTTACATAGAGGTGCGTGTATATCCGTATATAGCCCAACCCTCATTTGTTTATTTATGTATTTATTTATCTATGAATTTGGGGAATATGGGATGAGAAGAAAAGGTTACAAAGAAACGGGAAAGAAAACCAGATGATTTCCATATTTCCGTCCGTCCCTAATTGTCAAAAGGAAAATATAAAAAAGAACACACCTTGGTCATAAGTCGCTCACCATTATCAGCTACATCAACTAAATTTAAGGGTTGCATCACCTTTTGTCTCCCATCTCGTATCTCCTGTGTGTGTAGATAACTAGTCAAGGAGAACCCAGCCCAGCCAGCCAGCCAGCCCTTCTCATCTTACTTTTAAGGCTCACATAACCACACAATCGCGGCCGTACATGGCGCGCTCGACGTCCTTACGGACCTGGTACCAGTCGGAGCGGCGCTCGGCGTACTCGTAGACCTCCTCGGCGCGGAAGATGCCGCCGAAGCGGTCGCCGTCGGCGATGATGGTGGCCATCTCCTTTGCGTGGCGGGCGTCGATGAGGTAGATCTGGGAGAGCTCGCGGAGGGCGCGGAAGTAGGCGAGCAGGTCGTTGTTCTTGAGCGTGCGGATGTACTCAAAGTGCAGGTTCATGTCGGCGATGAGCTTGATGGCGCCCTCGGTGCTGATGCGCTGGCGCTTGAGGTGCTTGCACACGGCGCCGAACAGCCGCAGCCCCACCTCGCCGTTGAACACGTCCAGCATCGACTTATCGGTGCTGCCGACGAGCATGTTAGTGTGCGACGCCACTAGGTCGCGCACGCGCTGCGCCGTCGCCGTAGGCCCAATGTCGAAGTCTGCGGCCCCTCCCCCAAATGACGACTGCAGACGTGGCGTCGCCGCCTTGCCTTCTTTTTCCGTAGCTGTCGCGCCGCCGCCTGCCGATGACGGCTCCGAGGAAGCGCCCGGGTTATAGTCCGTCGGCAGCTGGGTCGTGGCGCAAATATACTCAACCTCGTCCATGAGCACATCGATGCCCTTGTTAAGGCCAGCGGCAACGCTCTCGTCGAGCATTTGCTCAAACTTCTTCTTGGCCAGGCCGGCCGGGTCCAGAAAGTCATTGCGGTCTGCGATCTTGGGCCCGGCTAGCTGCTGCTCGTAGAAAACATCAATCATCTGCGAGATCAGGTCGCCGACGTTGACAAGCTCTATAAAGGTTACGAGGGGGGCTACGCCGCCCTTGTCGTGCTGGCTGACCTCGCGCGGGTTGTACTGCGAGAGGTGGGTCACGGCCTTGTCGAAGCCGGGTTTGACGTGGCGGCCGCCCAAGATGCGTAGCAGCGTTACGAAGATGGCCTCGCACTGCTCGCGTGCCTCGCCGCCCGCCTGCCCGCCAAGCTGGATAAAGACGGCGACGCGCCCGAGACTCGCCTTGGCGCTGTGCACGAGGCTCAGCGCCACCTCGATGCTGAAAAGCGACTTGATGCCCTCCAGCCTCGATGTCATTAGTGCTGCCTTTGCTGCCAGCTCGTCTGTCGGTGCCTTGCCGCCGGGTAGGGGACTGCTACTCTGGTCGACAGTTCCGGTCGATGCTAAAGACGAGGGGCTGGGAGAATGTGGGCGCGACGGTTGGGGACTTACAGCCACCCCATTCGTGACTATCGTTGGCTTAGAGCTTGCAAACGGGGATCCCATCGGCAGCCCCGGGAGGCTGAGGCTGGTCGGCAGAACCGAGATAGGCATCATGACGACCTTTTTGAACGACGTCAAGAAGTCTTTCTTGTCCGCCTGACGGTTGTTGAAGCTCGCCATGTAAAACGACTCGACGCTGGTATCCTGTGCCGAGAGTTTCTTCTCCCACTCACCCACTTTGTGCTCGGTCTCCTTGGTAAAATAGTCTAGCTCGTCCTGCAGGTACAGATCGAGATGCGGCTCAAACAGCTTTAGTGCAAACTCCTTAGCCGCCTGTTTCTGTGGCGCGTTCGTATCTTTCGGAGGTGTTAGGGCCCTGAAGAACTGCAGGGTCTGCTCGAAGAGACCCGACACAGCCTTCAGGTAAGAGGGGATGCTCCGCTCGTGCGTCTCGTCGAACAGGGGTGTCGTGTACTCAGCAACAATGTCCTCCCTGACCTTCTCTACAAAGGCCGAAAAGACGGGGCCTGGGCTGGGGAATATGCGCTCGATGATGGCCGCCTGCGCGTTGACCTTGACGGCCAAGACATCGAAGAAGCGCCGCGATGGCTCAAGGCTGATGGCGTCGGCCGGTGCGAGATTAACGCAGTCCATGGGGTTCGCCAACACGTCGCGGTCTGTGAATATTGGATGCTTGTGGATGAAGAGCTCCACGCCGGCGTTGCCGCCATTTAATATGTCGAGGACGTGGGCATATTTGCGCATGCGGCCACCCACATCCCAAAACTCGTAGCCCTGCTCAAACTCGCGCAGAACAGCGCTCTCGAAGATGGTTACCATGGTGCCTAGCTTCTCCTCGCGCTGCGTGCAGCCCTGGGACCAGTCGCTCTTGGCAAAGAGGCGCAAGTTCGCCAGCATGCGCGCCTGGCTCTCGGGGTCGCGGAAGACCTGGAATACAATGGGATCTGTGTGCGTTCGCGCCTTTGCCAGGTCAAAGTAGAAGGGACCAAGAGCGCCGTAGATCTTGCCATATTCCTCCCGGGCGTGTCCCCTCACGCTCTTGACGTTCTTGATGACCTGTAGCAGGGCCTCGAGGTCTTTCGACGGGTCATTCTGTGACGACACTGGGGCCTGCACTGGAAGCTTTGGTGGCGTGGCAGCCTGTCCGCCGCTGACCTGGAGGGTTTCAAACCCGTCCCGAACCTGGGACATTTGCCTCTGCCGCCGCTGCTGTAGCTGCTTCTGCCGCTCCTCTTCGACAGACGCATCGAACAGGGTAGTACTCACCGGCGGCGGCAACGCCCCTACTACAGCTGTAGGGCCAGTCGCTGTCGCCCCGGGAGCGAGAGTGGTAGCCGTCGCGGCAGCAGCATGTGCGGCCAGCTCGTGTCGCCGTTTCATGGCGTCGTCGAAGCGCCTGCGAGCTTCGGCCTCGTCCCAACAGCCCATGTTCCGCAGGCGGGCAACCCACCGGGTGTCGTCGTACACCATCTCGCGCATGCGGCGAGAGGCGCGAGCGAAGCGCATGAGGTCGGGGACGGGGAGGTAGTCGAGGATGGCGACGAGGATTTCTGGTGGCAGTGACGACGTGTGTTTAGCATGCTGCATCCTGTTCATGCATTGATTCTATTTCTGACGGTAGACAAAACAAACATCAACATACCGGCGGGCAGCACCGGCTTGGACTCAATCATGTCGGTGGCCTGCAGCGTCTGGAGAATGCTGGGTTGAGGCGCCTGTCGCGCCGTCGGCGCCCTTAGGTTTGACATGATGGCTGGGCTCGCGGCTGGGCTTGCAACGATGCGAGCTGCCTGGTCATGGTAGGATATATTATATAACACCACGTCTCGGGACGACTGACTGCAAGGGCCGCAGTTGACGCCGAGGAAGGTGAAAGGTTGAAGCGGTCTGAGAGCCCAAGCTTCCCACTTACTGGAGGTGGAGCGGAGGAGCTGAGTGAGGCGGGAGCTTGCTTACGGGCACTTTACGGGCACTATCCATGTATGGTATTTCCCCGCCGTAGTTGGGGAAGATTACACAGAATCCCGTATAAGTTTAAGCTGCCTGCACCGCGGGATGCATACGGATAAGCTACCTAATTAAGCTACCACCTTACCTACAATGCATTTCTGTAGTGAGGCGCTTACAGGGCACCTATGGCGTGGGAATCCTAGATCCTGAGTAAAATTCCAATCAACCCCCGTTGCGGCTAAAGCTAATCTAGTGTTCGTAATCCACGGCCTGCGCTCTACGTACAAAGAGCAACATCTACATCTTCCGAGCGCTAATATCGTAGAATGTCACTCACTCACCTACCAGTAGTCGTAATGTTCGTAAAGTCTCATTCAGAGATATGTCGAGGCCGTCGTAGCATCGCTGTTAGACAGACACCTACCTCGTCTGTTTTTGGCAGCACTTAAAATGCCACCATTCATCTCCTCCATTGCGTCCATTGGTCCCGTCCCGCTCATCCCTAGTCCCCAAGCCTCGCCTCTGCTGCTTCTGCCGCTAGGAACCTACGTGCCGCAGGGTTGTTGAGCAGACGCTCCTCGTCTGCCTTCCTGGACCGAACGTGACCAAAAAGACAGGTCCAGAGATCTTGCTTGTCTACCGCTTCCCCAGAGATGCCATCCGTCCCCATCAGCCTCGACAGCTGCGCCTGCTGCAACTCCAGCGTATTGGCAGCTTCGAGGTTCGCATCCACGAGTTCAGGCGTAGATTCCTTGGACTTGCCTTTCAGGTTGCGCCCCATGTGCTCCATCCTTCGCTGCACCGACAGGTTGTAGATGGACTCTTCCACCGTTCCGTCAACGATGTACAGCCACACTGTCGTCTTGTGTTGCTGTCCGATCCGATCCACCCGTGCGATGGCTTGTAATTCCAGGGCAGTGTTCAGCAATGGCTCGCACAAGAAAACGTGGCTGGCGTTAACGAGGTTTAGTCCGCTGGCATGAGCTCTGGCGTGCAAAAGAAACACCTCTATGCCCGGATCTTCTTTGAAACTCGTAATGCCATGCTCCGTCTCAAACGATGTGAAGCCAATCCGGTATCTACGGAACGCAGTTGCCAGAACTTCGAGGAACTCCTTGTACTGCGAAAATATGATGGATTTGGCTCCGGGATCCGATTCTCTTAGCCAGAGAAGATGCCGAATCATCGTGTCAACCTTCGTAGTGAAATTAGGGCCGCCGAGCTCTACGTTCTTGATATCTGCTAATATTTCAGGATTGAATTCCGTGTAGATCGTTGATACTATGTTTGTCGGCGTCGTCCGCGGTCCATTGGGGACATCCTTTTCTGAATGAAGCCTGAGCTGCTGTGGCTTCAGAGTAATATCGTGTAAGTTGTCCGGATTAAGGCTCATCTTGCAGACCGGACAGTTGCGGTGAGCACGGAACCAGGGGCTAATGCACTCCTTGCAAAACTTGTGACCGCAAACTGTCAAAACACCTATCGAGAAAGGCGACTGGCAAATGACACACATGCCCTGCTCCTCCGAACCCGGGTCGTCGTTTTTCAAGTGGAATACTGTTTGCGTCTTAATAACGGTCCAACAAGACAGTCACGACAGATACTTACAATAGCGGTGTTGAGATTTAGCCCTTGCAAGCTTTTTCCGCAGTTCCGCTTCTTGTTCCAATATTCCTTCCAAAGCCGCATCATTCACCGGGCCCTCGAATGCCGCGACCATGTCCGAGAGCGCTTGCAATTGCCGGTAAAAGTCAAGACGGGCATTTAGTGTGTCCGTAAAGCGTTCAACTTCTTGCTCCATGCTAGTTGCCGCCTTAGCTTGGTCAGTCTGTTGACGTTGGGTCTGCACGAGCAGACTCGAGACAACAGCAAGCTCATTTTCAGCCCTCGCGCTACCAGTCGACGCTTCATTCCTCAACTTGACCGACAAGGCCCGCAGCTCCGAAACCAAGCCTCTGAGGGAAGTGAGAGAGTCTCCTTCCACAAAAGGAGGCTGTATGACATCTCGTATTTTGAAGAGCTCTAGAAGCTTCTCGGGAGACGGTCCAAGTTCCGCTTTGGCGTTTAAAATAGCCACTGATGTCTCGTGCTCAACCAAAAAGTTCTTCTGCCCAGTGATTGCAGCCTGCCTGTCAGCAATCGCGGCTCGGAGGACCTGAAGAAACGCGAGGATGTCGTCTTGTAGCTTTGTCGAGTCCTCGTACTCTTCTCCTGTCGTCTCTTCGTTTTCTTCATCCACCAATGACCTCATGAGAAGCTGGATGACGTGTTCTCTCCAGTCATCAAGCTGGTTAGCTTGTTCGTTCAACGCCATACCAAGGCTCTCGAGAGCATCAACGATTCTGCGGCTTTCAATGCCCTTTTGGCGAAGAAGCTTGGACTCGGGGATAACAACGAAGTTTTGTTCGTTTGCAGCGCGTTTCAGCTTCCCCATCAGCTTCTTCGCCTTCCCGTGACTCTAGAGACCTGTGTTAGCTTCCTGGACTCGAGACGAACGATAGCGGAGATCCATTAAGACATGGAGGATTAGACTTACTTCCTGTAAAATTTCTTTCCTGATCGCCTTTGCAATATCGTAGTGCTCTGTCTCCAGTTTCTCCAATCCCTTGAACTCTTCCGAGTCAGGCACAGTTTCCTCGCTGGACTTGATGGTGTAAAATGCATTCGCGCAAAAGAAAACCGCCCTATGCTGAATTTCAAGCGCGGATCGAAGTCGTCGGCGTGCCTCTCCAATTCGAGGGGACACCTCTCGGTCCTCGTTTTCGCCATTACCAGAAACCTTGAGCTCTACCCCTGCGTTCTCTTGGCGGGATTCCTTGACCTCTCGGTCCAACTGTTCACGGTATTCAGAAACCATGCTCGTGGCTTTGGAAAGCACCTCCTTCCAGACCGACAAGGCATCCTTGAACCGTTTCTTGCCGGCCAAGATGTGTCCGCGAGTCAACTCTAATGAAAGGAGACTGCGCTCGTCAATTCTTATCGTTGCGTCGTTCTGCTCTATCATGGCATCAAGAACTTCTGCTACCGTCCTCATGGGCCCAGTCTTGCGTCCCAATGCTCGCCGGTTCCGGTTGCCAACCTCGGGATGCAAGGCCGTCTGGCGAAGTCGGTCGAGTGCTATCCGCATCTCGTGCAGCACCGCAGGGTCCTCAATGTCCCAGCCGTCTTGAACCGGGTTGCCCTGGGTATCAAGACCACATGGTGCAACGAGCTCTTGAAACAGACTCTGGTAATGTTGCTCCTCGACAGCGGTAAATGGCATTGTTATTACATAACGCCGCTGAGCCGGGATGTCAATCTCGTTTCGGACAAGACTCTTCGTATGACGCATTGATATCAAACCAAAGAGTGCTCTGAACGACTCCTTATCTACGGTCGTGATAAGATTCCAAATCGTGGTTTCCGCATACGGTTGAAGCCGAAGGAAAGTGAGTAGGCCACGAAGATCTGCAAATATGTCATTAGTCCACGTCCTGGCCGGTGAGTTGGCAGATTGTTTGTTACCCTGAACGCTATTCTTGATAGGAGTGCCAGTGATTCCCCACGCGTTCGTGCGGGGGATGCGTCTGGCTAGCTTTGCGGCATTGTTTGCCCAATTTTCCACCATTTGTGCTTCGTCTATGCAGACTCGCCACCACGAAAGTTGCACGAGGGGAGACATGACTCGCTCATACTGCTTCGCCCTCCGCATTGAACGGTCTGGCTCATCAAAGCTTGACCATATCTCCGTTCTGAGCACCTCGTAAGTTGTGACTACCACGTCCTGTTGGGCCAGACACTCTGCTGATATTTCAACTTCGTCTTTGGTCTTTGCTGCCTTCTTCAGACCAGGATAGTATATAACATTCAGGCTTGGCGCATGCCGTTTGAGCTCTGAAAGCCATTGATCTAGAAGTGTAGTCGGGGTTACGATCAGTGTGGCTGATGTCGCAAGGAGCTCTCTGCTCAAATACGAATCAAATATCATTTCAGGGCCTCCTGGGCGTCGGTGTAGAAGTACGAGAGCGATCGTCTCAATAGTTTTCCCTAGGCCCATCTCTTCCGCAAGGATTCCGCCGCGTAGGTTCTGATGGGAGAGAAAGGCTGAAGTGTCACGTGTGACCGCCCTGAATAGGCGACTCAGAAAAAACTCATCGCCGTTTGCATCTTTGGCCTTAGAAAACGTGAATGGAAGCTCCGCCGAGCCCGATGAAATATACGGTAGAAATCTTCCATTGCACCATTGTACACCTTCCCGCTGCAGAAGCCACTGGACGGCTCTTCTTTGGAATGGATAGAGACTCGCCTGTAGGTTTGGGACGCTCATTGATGACAGTTCGGCATCTAAGGCTTCTTTGTCAGGGACGCATGCCGCCTCGTAGAAATCCTGGGGCGACCATGACTGCGCTGCAGGCTCCTCCACTTGATGTTCCGGAAGCCAGGTGTCGAGTACCTTTAGTATTGCTAGCTCGGACTTGGACTTTAACTTGGGCCGTGAAACACCCCAGGGGTCGGCGGTTTGATTCCACCATACCTCAATGGTTAGCTCGAGCTCAACCGAGGTGCCGTTTTGTCGAACAGAAAAATCGACACTGGCCCGAATACTGCCCTCTGTCACAGCATGGCCATGTTTCGCGGCAAGATGGAGCGCGTTGAGTTGTCCCTTTGAGAAATGGTTTTTCTTTAATAGGTACAATACCTGAAGGGTAGAGTTACGAGACTTCGCGCGGGAGGAAAGTCGTAGGATCTTATCTGAGTCTGTTTCGTCCACGGGACCAGGGCTCTCGATTTGCAACGCGATGATGCTCTCGACCTTCTGCCTCGTGAAAAAGCTACTGTCCCGGGACTCAGCAACTTGACGTGCGGGCAGCATCACATGCTCGCGAGCGACGCAGATTGGATCGTTGGTTCCTGTCGTCCTGATGCGCTTGGCAGGTGGTTCAGAGGTTTCCTGGTCGGGAATAGAATGGATAAATTTCACAAGTGTCGTCGTGTTCAAGTCCGGCTCAGATGCTAGCTTGTCCGCAATCTCGCGGATCCTTATCGAAAGCCGATCGGCCACCGGTTCCACGGTCGTCTTTGACTGAGGCATGGTGTTGACGACCGCCAAACCTCGGCGGGCGGACGTGCCGCGCCTAAAGCTAAATAATATATAAGGTATGTCCTATGTCCTCCAGCTATACTTGAGAGCTGGGGATAAGGACGAGCTAGAGGTGGTTTTGCGAAAAGCGAAAAGAAGAATGGAGAGGTGGTGATTGCTGAATATCTGCGGAATGTGGAGGGAGGGGTGAGGTGGTTTGGGGAAGAGTGCAGAGTAGGAGAGGAAGGAGGAAAGAGCCAGAGGGTCAGGGTCCCGGGCTTATACAAGCCGATAGCTCCTCGAATAGGAAAGCGCGGCAGTGGCAGCCTGTTGGGGAACGGGACCCACAATTGGCCGAGCTGACCGCCCGTTGATTGGCTTGATTTTGAGACCGCCTGTCCCTGAACGCTGGGAAACTGACCTCAGGCGCTCGGGCCAAACTGTGGTCCTGGTTGCGGATTTTCGGTCGCCATTCGGCACGAAAACTTTCGAGACTCCATGCTGCAACGCGTTTAACTCACAACTAAGAAGGTACCTACCGTCATCCGGATATGTCATGACTACAACTGTTGACTAACTTCCAGGGAGACCTCCGCTATGGGTGAGTCTTGTGCACATCTTTTGCATCAACTGCGAGAGATTGCGACGTCATCGCCTCTCTGCGGCCATCGATTCGCAGCAGTCGCTGACCCGTCTCGATAGCACGAATCTTTAAACCCTTCGGGATACCGACTGCTCTGAAACAATTTTTACGACCCTACTCGGCTGCCGCCGCCCCGGCTGTGATCACCACCCCGAGGCTTGGAAAACAAGCAGGGACGGGCGGGAAGACGCAAGACATAAAGCTTCCTTTAATCCCGCGCCCCATACCTCTCGTTCCCGATGTCGAGACATTCCTCACTGTAATAGGCCGGGGTCTAAAGCAGCACGCCTCCAAGTTCCCGACATGGGAGGCTCTATTCACCTTGACGACTGATCAGCTGCGGGAGCTCGGCGTCGAACCACCCCGGTCGCGCAAATACCTGATCAGATGGAGGCAACGGTTTCGGGAGGGGAAATTCGGTGTCGGTGGTGATCTCAAATACGTCTCGAATGGTGCTGCGGAATTGAGAGTCCTGGAACTGGCTCCCACCCCGTTGCTGCGCAAGAGATATGTTGTCAACATACCCCCTGGAAAGAAGATCGAGGAGGTTTTGCGCGGACAAATGATGAGGCCGCTTGGCTACAAGGTTCGAGGCACCCGGACTATTGTTGGCCCTTACGCTCTACCGAAAAAGGACGGTTCCCGTATCACCGTGACGGAGGGGATGTGGGAGGACAGGAGAGGGCATAAGGTGGACGGAGGCGAGAGAAGAAAGGCAGAAGTGCGCTTCAAGAGGGGTGTGGCTGAGCGCAAAGCTCGGAGGGAGAGGCTTGGTCGCTGAGTGCCTCGACCAAGCCGTGTTCTATAACCGAAAGCTACAGTAGATGTGGCCATCTGTAGAATATGTACATCAATGGAGACGAGTGAACCACTAGGGTTCTCAGGAATGGCGAACAATTGCATCAACACCATACCATGTACCTACCTAGTCACTTCGCGCATTGGTTGTTTGCGAGTACAAGGAATCTATTCACGAGCCTGGTGGCATTCGATGTGACATCCAATGTCGATGCCTACAACGAACGTCTTTTAAAACGAGACTCAGGGTTTGTGCGGCTGCAGCTTAAGCAAGGGAGGCAATGTTAAGACTCGACAAATAAATAAATTAGAAAATTGATAAGTGAGAGCCTATTTCGTCTTTCGAGCAACATACATCTTGAGAAATCACCTTCTCGTACATATGTCACTCATGAGTGAATAGTTACCAGAGGAAGAAAACCAGACGAATCTCGTCACGTCTCGATTCAATTTGTGGCGTCGGGCAACCGTTAATGGACCACTAAAAAGGAAAGCAGGCTGCAACTAGCCCCAAAATTCGACCAACTGCATTGTCAGCGTTGACTAATGAGTAGGTAATCTTGCTATGAGGCCGCCAACCCGGAATTTACAAACATTTAAGTTCGACTCAACGGCTAGAGACAACGGCTGGCCCCTTTCCATCCAAAACCCCAAGCAAAGGTTAAGGGCTGAGCGACGCTAGGAACGTTCTTTTCCGAACAGGCAACAGAATTGTGGCCAGTCCTATTGGAGCAGGTGCCGCTTTCAGCGAGCTCCTTCCAACATCGCCGCCATGGCGTTTCCAGCTGCTCACTTTGCCAGGAAGGGAGGGCCTTGAGCACAAGAGGGACAGCGTCTACTTCCAATACTTATACCGCAGTCCGCACCATCCATCATCTCGCTCACCACCGACCTGCAACTCGCTGCCCAGGGAATTTGAAGCCGATTGCCTCTCAGCAAGTCGCCGTCCCGATTTGGATTCGACAGATGGCGTTGCTTCCAGACTTGCCGGAAGTACGGAACACGGAATGACAAGCACCACTCATTTGAACCGATGGCTCGGGAAGGGCGCCGTCTCTTTCCTCGACGCAATCATCTTGGGTCGGAGTCTGGCTAATTTGCCTCTACTCTCTCCTTTTTGTCCCCCACTTCGCCATTATCGAGAGGGGACCGACCAGCGGTGAGAAGCATTGAAGGGCTGGAGGAATGACTCAATTGACAGATTTGGCAACAGCCAATGTCACCTACTAGCCTTCTGACGAATATACCGGCGGCACTCAATCCCAATCGGTTCCCAGGGCATGGCGGTTCGAACGGCTTGTGCACATCACAGGCATCATTCTCTACGCTTCAGACCGGTGGCTGCCAGTGGTAGCCCGGTATCCGACAGTTGCAGGTTGATCTCGCTAGCTGGAATGCGGTTCTCTGACGGCAAGGCCGGCACCGTTTCTTGGCGCGTGTCTTATTGTCTCTAAACCCACCTTTTTGACGACGAGAGGACGGGGCGATTAGCATGCACGCCATCAACGTGACGGCAGACCCCGGGCTCCCCTTCTCTTATCGATCTCTATTGCTGTCAGGTCTTATGTCCTGCGCGGCAACAGCAGCCTTGGGCGCCGAACTCTGCTCAGCGATGGACTTGACTCAGCGGCTCTCAATCGGATACGCCGTGACTCAGGCCATCACAAGGCAGATCCCTACCTGCATGGTGATTTCGGGGTTAGTCACCCTTCAGAAGTTCAGCCGATATCCTTGGTTCAGGAACTTCCTACTAACAGAACAGAAGCACAATATCTTTTTTCGACTAGGACCCAGAGATTTACGGGATTGAAGTTCCTGGCCCTTCCATTTCTCTGCCGGGATCCAAGTCCGAGTTCGCATTTGTCTGAGTTATTTTACCCCCCAGCCGATTTCCATCGTCTCCGTCACACGCAGGGACAGAGGAGCAAGATTCTTGCCCACATGCCGTCTTTTTGAGGCTGTGAATGCGCGCACTAGACGCAACTGGCAACACACCGACACGGGCAAACTTGTCCTTTGTAGTCTGCAGAGGATACGAGACATGTCGAGGGTGGCTTGATTAATTGCAGCATTGGAGTGGCAGCCCGGTCGAAGCCATTCCAGTTTAACCTCCCTGTTCCCGCATCAAGCTTACCAGCGCTTCTCGTCCCCTCGTGCAGGGCCACAGAATGGCTGCCAGGGCACCAAACACAGCCCTGGATTCCTTTACCGACGCGGTCAAACGGCGAGGGTCGTCTCACTTAGAGCTTTGATGCTACTAAACATACTGCGGCTGAACGGTTATCAGTACGCAGGCCTGCTCTAGTGAGGGGAAGGCCGGCGTCTAAGCCTCATTCTGTGGGCTCAACCCGGATCACCAAGGGCGGGGGACGTCGAATCGGACAACTTAACGTTGTCCCGATGATCTACCGCCGCAACCGTGAATGGTTACATTCATCTTTTGCGCCGCGCTCTTGGCAAGGCACAGGTCGGCGACCATTTAATCGAGTTTCCATTGGGGCTGTCTCTGATATACACAACACCACCTCAGGGATTTGGGTAGTAGTGCACACAGAACTGCATCCGCAGAAGCAAGTCTGTCTGGAGAGGTTGTATCGCCATGCAAGAGCGGTGCATGCATTGCAGGGCTCGTCCAAAGGTACCTGCTAGCTCGGAGCATGCCCCGGCCAGCACCATGCTGGTTTCTTCCCATGACCGTTTTCCATTGCGAGATCGAAATGCCGATCTTTCTTCCTGTTGGTATGGGTTGCTCACCTTTTCGCCACATTTGCACGGGAAAAGACATGAGACGGCCGTCACGACTGGTCCAGTGTCAAGCCACTCAACTTGTGCGAACTAGCCGACCGACTAATTATAAGCTAAAATAAAGCATCGAATCTGATTGACACTTTGACAATATCGCGCGCCGTATACATGCCGTATCAGCTGTATATCTAGGAATCTAGGCTGCTCTGTTCAAAACGCTTTCCACGTTTGCTGTTGCAATACCGAATCTTATAAGCTTACCAGGTAACTACGTTACCGAGGTAGTGCTTTGACTCACGTTGAGTAACCCTACCAGAACATCTTCTACAATTTAGAGCAGTAGTATCGATCTAGACGCAGAGTGCAGTGTCACCAGATAACGTTTATCAATAGCGAGTGCCTGCACCCGAGCATGCAGCAGCACATCTGTAGGTGGTATTCATCCGCGGTGGTGGGCGCCAGCCCACGAGCCTTCATTTCTCATCTACCAATCCGCGCCTTGTGCCATGCTTGTTTGTGGCGGAGATTTCCAGACATCAAGGATCCCCTGTCGTCACCACCTGCAGCAGCATCGATAATTCAACATTGCCTCTCGGCCTCGTGGTACAGCCTTTGACTTGAAATAACGGTAAAGCCAGATATGCCGTGCACACCAATGTTCGGGCCAATTCCCGAGCGAACACAAGGAGAAGAGCTAAGAAGCATGGAGAAGTTTATTCTGAAACTATGGCAATGTCAAAGCAGTGTTGTTGCACAAGACCTAATTCGGGAACGGCCACTATCTGATAATGGCACCTGATTGGCAAAGGAGCCATGAGCTGAAAAAAGCCAACGCTCTGCTTGCCGAAGCCCAAGCGAAGGATGGCTTTTCGGGTGGCCTTAGTCGGTCCTACCATTTCGGGCCAATGCTATAAAAATTGGGTTGGACGACGAGGCGCGGGGAGGTAAGGACCCAATGCCATCCGCGAAGAAGGTTCGTTCCTACCTTAGCGGAAGTTGGGGTGTTGTGCTCCATTTTCCGTGGATCCGGCTTCTGCTCTGCAAGCCAGTCGATATTTCATCAGAGTTTCTTTCACACCCCTCCGGAACATCTGAAAGGTACGGTGTCTCAAGCAAACATGAGCGGGGTCGAACGTGGCGGTGCCTTTAAAGTTATCCCGTCAACCGTGGAAACATGGCAGCACCGTTACAATCAAGACGCTTATCAAGCCACTCCTATAGGGTCATCCTTCGTGTTGACTCCTGTTCCTGTTTCTTGGCCAGGCCTAGCCATTATTACTACGCCTCGGGAGATATTGATTGTGAGTCTATTGCCCGAGATGAGTTTGTCTAGCGTCTAGTCTAGTCTGGTTCGGTTTGCACGGTAGTTCCCCAGGTCCGCGTTGCAACATGTGCCGAAGCTCGTCACCAAAGTTCCAAGCCACACCTCGGTTTCATGAAGCTGTGCAACGCAACGACGTGTGTCCAACCCCACAACGTCCAGAGAGAGATACTTGGGACAGATACATACAGTAGGTACGCCCAGAATACACTTGACATACCTACATCATTCTATGGGGGTGTGTGAACACGACACAGTACACTCTGTCTAACACCGGAGTGAAAGCGCCATCTTTGATTCAGGAGCCGCGACTTGCCGCTGACACCCTACAGCCCTAGGACCCGCGCATCTCGGCGAGCAATGTATTCGTACTATTCTACGTACACATGGTGTATAGCCAGGCATGGGTCCTGCTACCAGCCGGGCTCTCTTGTCTCCACCCGAACCCCACCATTGGGGCGCTTCTTGTTGCTAAAGAGGGCATCGACGTTCCCTACAACCTGGAACCTTATTCCTGCCCGCACTAACACCTAAAAGAACGACCTACACTACATCACCTGCTCTTATCCCGATCGACTGCCTTGCTTACCTTGCCAGCAGGGGTACCTTTGACATTTGAACATGAAAAAGATATGACTGTCTGAGTTGAATCAAAGTTCCCTGCATTCTTTTACCCAAGTCGCTCTAGCCATTTTTGGTAGTGATTCAGCTCATTAATTCCCCGTCTTCGCCTGCAAACGGCCATTGGCCAGAATGCGCCTGCCTCCCATTCGGCCACTCACATGTCTCCATAGCAAGAAAGCCGACTAGGAGCAAAAAGGAAGGAGCGTTTACAACAGGACAAAGAAGGCTCTTTGCAGCGAATCGAAGTTGTGTGATGTGCGCCAGGTCTCGCAGCTTGGGCATGTTAAGGCTTTTTTGGAGGCTTGGTCCATTGATCAAGGCCTGCACCGTCACTTACACTGACGGAAGTCGCGACGGACCTGGCGGGAGAACTTCAGTCGAGGTCAATGGGGTCTGTATTCTCGTCCGCCCCCGTGGCTCCTTCCGTGCTACTTGCTCTGGGCCGTCGGTCAACAGCCAGCCAGCCGCGCGCAAGTGGGAAGGCATGGAATATAGGTCGGATATTTCTTGCCCTATTTCCAAGGCCAACATATCTATCTTGAGAGCGCCTGCGCGCTTAACTTGGCGGTGACTTCTGTCTCTGAATGTTCGGTGGTTGACGTGAGAAGTCGGGTAAGTACTACACGGTGGCCGTCCCTCGAGTGAGGTGCAATCCAACAAGAGGCCCAGGATAGCTCGAGACTGGGCCCGGGTGGGTATTTTTAACCGTCAATTCAATGCGCGCTCTGCAAATGTCTGAGATGGCTACGGGCCTGATCCACACGGTTCGGACCGTATTCCTCGGGTTTTCTTACATCCATGGAAGCTAGGATGACAGTACGCCAGCCAGTCAGGCGTGTCCTCCCTTCCCCTTGCTCCATATGGACGTACTACTTTCAAGTACTCTGCCCTACCTGGCAGTTCTTGGGCAGGTCTGAGGCGACTGAACCTCCTCCCGTTACCTAATCTCTTAGCCGATCCAGCTTGCTTCGGTTTCCAGTAGCGACTAATAGACAGCGGTGCAGAGTCACATCTGGACTGAGGCTTGGGTTTCCCTGAGTGTATCCATAACTGATGTACATACAGTATGTATTTACTAAGGCACTCACAAGTCCGGCGATCTGTCTCGCCCATCCGCGCCCCACCCCCGTCGGTGCGCACGCGAGCGAGTTGCAGGCCTTCCACGAGGTGCCCCACGAACTACTACTGACACCCTGCCTGTGCAGGAGACACGGGCTCAGTCACTTTCACTCTCGCTCCCGTCAACCGCTCACAGTGGCTTGCTTTTTTACTTCTATTACTTGCCTCGTGTACATACCCTACACACTGGTTCTATGCTCCTTGAGCAACCACCCCCCCTCCTCTCCACTCTAGCCCAGTGGCCAGTGAGTGGCCTGTCATGCCAGCCGTGATGACAGCTAGCTGCCATGCTCTCCATCATATCCTTGCTCCCCTTTCCGTCACCGCTGTGCCGCCAAGGCCATCTCCACCTACAACACTAAGCCCTGCCCTTCGGACGACCGTCATGGGAGTTGACCTCAGACCCGACAACCCCAGCGTGACAACCTATCTCAGACCCAGACGCCCCACTATATCAGGTACTCTGTCCTTGTCACCGGCATCAACCTCCACAGCTCTCGGGAATCCCGTATTATACGGCGTTCGGTGGCTAGTGCACGTCATTCTTCACCTAGCTCTCCCCGAGTCACGCTGTCTACAATATTCTGGCGGCGCAAGGAAGCTGCCTCCTATCTTTGACGGCTCTAGCGCCAAGTGTCGGCCTATTTCCACGTCGGGCAATATCTCGCTGAGCCGGTGAGGCGGACTGTCTCCATATTATTCTACGCCATCTCATCGATTTCCCCTTATATATAGAGCGGATGCTTCTCCTTAGGAGTTGGAGCTTTCGTGTTGAGACAAGCCATCGAGTTCAAAGCATCCTCTCAGCCATATACCAAGAAACAACAACCGAGTCAAGCCAGTTCGAGAACACTCTTGGCAAGTGAGCGAGCCTTTCTCCTCTCCCTCCCTGTTTTCCATTCTTCTTTTCGATTTTCTACTCTGTCCGTCTGTCTATCTGCTTTGGAGATGTCCTCACACCAAGCTCTTGAAGACCACAGTTCGACAGGAGATCTTACATACGACCCAGAAGACTATTGGGGAGAACCACAAGAAGGCTATCAAGACTCAGAAACACCGCAACAAACTGAGCCTCTCTCTATTTCGGCTCACTCGTCAAAAGGCCGCAGCAAGCGGAAGGGAAGCAAGGTGCCCCAGTCAGGCTCAGACACAGAAAAGGAGTCTCCAAACATGTCCTCTCGGTCCTCGAAGACGTCATCCTCCTCCTCGGGCTCCAAGAAGGACAAGTCCAAGTCCAAGCCCAAGACCAAATCGGACGACTGGGCTGACATTACGGAGCCCGAGGAGAGGCGGCGCATCCAGAACCGCATTGCCCAGCGCAAGTTCAGTATGTGATCCATTTTTGAGCGCGGATCTCGTGATGAGTGACAGTGACTAAGACAATATTATCAAGGGGAGAAGGTGCGCGACCAGAAAGACCGGTCCCAGCGCGACGCACAGAACGAAAGGTACGCCGGAAGCAGCTACCATACCCCGGGACCCGAGGACTTTGCACTGGACGAGGGCGACCAGTCGGGCCTTCCATGGGGCGGCTTTAACATGGGGTACATTGTCACCAAGGGTCATGCGGCCAGCCAGGACAGCAGCCGCCAGGACTCAGACCCCCGACCCAAGGACAACCCCTACCTGAGCCCCTACGGGCCCGGCTACAACCAAGTGTCTAGCTTTGACGGCAGAGACACGAGCAGCGGGGACGGATACTCGCAGTACTACTACGACTACGAGTTTGACCAGACCGGCGGAGCTGGCGACGGCTCTCATCAAATGTGAGACAGCAGGAAGATCCCGAGTCTTGCTAACAGGCGGGCAGGCGAGAGAGATAGGGCAAGATCTTCTCCAGCGCAGCCTTGGTCTGCTGAAGACGGCCGAGACAGTACGCGGTGAATGTTTTTCTTTTGTCGCCTCTGCAAACCTGTTGGACCAAGTCTAGCAATGTTTGAGACGGTGGGTCGTATGCGAGACGGGGCGGAATAGCACCGAGGGAAGGGGTTTGGAACATGATAGAGATTTGCAATGTTTGGCTACTAAGAGGGGAGTTTTTGCTTACTTCTTTTCCTATTCCGGTTTTCTTTTTGTCTTTCTTCTCATTCCTCTCCTTACTTTGTTTTCCATCTGGGGTTGTTCTTTTTCTGATATCTCTTCTGAAACTCCACTTTATTCCTTTTTATGTCGTCGTCTTGCCATTTTTGGACATATACCCCCTTTCCCTTTTTGTCTTACACCCAAATTTCTGGGTGTAGTGTGCGGACTGCCTCATGTTCGACTATAGCTTTACAGACCGCTCTTTCTCTACCTTACATTGGCTTCCTTATGCATTAAACGAATAGAATTAGCTTCAAGCACACTTTTCAAATTCCTAACTTTGCTTGGCCATGGTGAACCCGGCGTGGTGCTGGCCCCATGGGGAACCTATAGCTAGCCAGCCGATGAGGGATTGGATGCTGCCTAACTACCTTGCCTACCTCACGAGAGTGCATTTGCTAGATTTCTGTCTCGAAACCCCTCCAATAGCTGCATCCGCACCTGATCTCCTCTGCTCTGCTCTGCTCTGTATCTCGTATACACAGTTGCAGATGCCAATGCTAGGCAAGAGAGGTGTTACTGTACAAGGCTTCCGGCTGCTGCTGTTGGCTAGCTTGCGCCCTTGAAAGGACTACAGACATGGAAAGCTCTCTTTGTATCTACCTATACACGCATGGAATTAAGCTATTATCTATATGTATGTACATGTAAGCACTGGGCAGTGGGCAGTTTGAGCCAAGAGTTTGCAAAAGTACTGCCGTGCATGGCTTGCCCCGCGGGCACGGACGGCCAGGCACGTCTGGTACTGTACGTCAGCAGGGCAAGCTATCCATGCTATGTAATACGTACATATGTTCGGTAAGAAGGTAGCCAGGCAGCTGCTGCGTCGTCCCGATGATACCTACCTTACCTTACCTAGATGGTGTCGTCGTCGCGTCATGTACGAAGGCCTTCGTATGTGATGGGGCACGATGCCAATGATGCGCGTTGCGTCACGTCGTGGGCTCTTTTCTATCTCAACGAAATACCTACATAGCTACCAGTGTATAGAGTACGTACTGGACATACTGAACTGTACATACCGACGCCCCTGCCTACCACCCCGCCGTCCCGAGGAGGCGTTCCCTGGCGCCCTCGGTACTGATTTACTGGTTGAGCCCTTCACACCTTACCGAGGCGGACCGACTCGTGCGTCGGTGCGTGTGTGGTGGTGTGTAAGGGAGCAATAAGGAGGTGGGTGATGTTTTTCAATCGAGTCTAGCCTACTAGTGCTGTGGCCTAGGCTTAGTATGTATATGTAATTCAACAGGCAGGCAGGCGCAGGCTACGACGGAAGCTACCTAAGGACGCGGACATCGGAATCTCATACACTCCGGCGAGAAGTGACTTCGTTTCCACTCTTGCCGACCGCCCATTCACTCCTATCCCATCAATGAATGACTAACGCTATTCTATTCAATGCGGCGTCAAACTCAAACTGGCTCTCTGGGTTTTTACGGACGACGACGGCGACGACGACACCTTCAATGGATTGACTATCTGCCCAACTCCGAGCGCACCCCGTCTTTAGTTTTCACTAGGTATATTTTTTTTCAACGAACGGCGGGAGACGCGGCCCCGCCATGGGAAGGTGTCGTGTCGTGTCCACTGGCCTGTAAGCTCGCCGCACCCGCACCTTCTAATTCGGTGCCATGTCGCGAGAAAACGTGACTCCTCGAACCACTGGAACCCCGAAACCGATACCCACCCCAGCTTTCCCAGTGTGCCGGCACCTACCTCACAGCTGGAAATGGAACTGAATGGGGGATGCTGCTGCTGTGTAAGCAAGCCGACTCCAGACGGGGGAACAAAGTCCAATTCCCATCCGTGCTCCTCCATCCGCACAAAACATCATACCTTATCTTATCTTCGGGCATGCAAATCAAAGAGACCGGAAACACAGCCACCGCCTATATCGATTTTCCAGCGCCACGCCGTCGGTCGAATGTCAGGAGCTCCGATCATGCGTCCCATAGCTCCCGGAGATTCTGTCCAATGTTGTGTCAGCGAACGAAGCTCACTAGCTGAGTAATTATGGTTCATTCGGTCTTGCAACGTCGAATGTATCCCGTACATAAGCTAACTTCTACACTAACCTGGAAGGCCTTGCACACCGAAGTTGAACTGGAACAGCTACTTTTGGGTACTTGAAGCACGTCTTACAGATCCGTGCCACTGCTCGCCGCGCCGAACCCCTCTCTTGTTCCGCACTGCACCACGTAGCGTAGCAACCAGTATGGATGTGCCCCATGGGGGCTGCGAACCTCAGCCCCGGGTCAACAGATTCGACCCCCCTAACAGCTCCGTCCACCAGCCGGCAGAAGGAACCAAAAATGCACTAACAGTGGAGAAGCACGGCCGCAAGCTAGCTGCCCTAGGTCAGGTCCTGCCTGCCAACTTACCCCTGTCCCGTCTTTCCTTCTTTCCTTGACCGACGAAGAGAAGGGAAAGGCCAGTTGCACTCGGACTCATCCACCTCAACCCACCAGCCACACAGCCTCGCCGCATTCGCCCTCTCATATCCCAGACCCCAAAGGGATCAGACGTGATGAAAGTTGCTTCTCTTGCTGCTGCTCCCCTGCTTCCATGCACCCGATGTGCCCCCCACATACCTACGTCCCGGTGTAGTGCCCCGCTTGATATTGATCTCGCCGCTCTCTCCCACCATGGCCGTGCCTTATCTGTCCTCACTACTGGATAGACACACCTTCGATCCGCGGAGTTGCGAGGATCGACTTGCCTTGGTGTGCATTTATTACTTGACGTCTCCTCCCCTCTTTCCCTTCTACTCCTTTCTCTGCGAGCTTCGATGCACTGCCTCCTTAATCTCGTATCTGCTGGACCCTTCCCTTGCAAGTCCCTACACCGGACTGCGGAATGACGGCTTCATATTTGTTCCTGAATGTCCTCCAGAGCCGAAACCCTCACCCCCCCTGTGTGGAGGCAAGTCTTACTTGATAGGGAAATATCTATCGTCTTGTTCCCAAAGAGCAAGGCTGTCGAGGACGCGAGCCAGCCACCCCGCAATGTGTTGAGCCGACCAGAGCACAAGCAACCCTCTGGCATCTTTTATATGGCAATTTCTAACCTGGCTCCCGCATGACTGGCTGAGGTATACCTTGGCATTATTCCCATGCCATGAGGTTCCCAGGACGCATATATCAAGTTGATAAGGCTGAAGGAGGCAGGTCGTTATCATGCTTCTCTTATCCAGTACACTTCAATATGACTCTTTCCCCAGTGCCTCTCTGCTCGTTCTCTATTAACACATATAGTCCCATGGCCGAAGTCGGTCTGAAAGAGGATAATTCCTGGGCTTGTTCACCGCTCATATATTCAATATACTCACTACCTTACCACGCTTCAGTTGGCCCGGTGATTCCGTGGTTTGTGAACGGCCTCCCCTTCACCCCTTTCTCCCTTGCTAAGAATGCACCAGCTCCACTCAGAGAGTCTGAAGTGTTACCGTTGCGATGGAGTCCAAACTATAAAATTTGGGCCAGCTGCGCCCGGCTCAAAGAGGTAAGAATGCCTCCTGTTATTCATTCCTGGCCTCTCGACCAGTCCCGGGTGGGGTGACTAGGCATATGTCAACGCCCCAATGTCTACGGAGAAATGATAAGAGCTGGGCAGATCTAGAAGACGAGATGTCGCGAAGAAGAAGAAGAAGAAGAAAGGAAGCAGTGCGAACGAACCGAAGGACACGGTTGAGTGAGTGTGGCCGACAAAGTCTGGTCTAGGTCTGTCTCGTTCTCGCTTCTCGTTTCTTACTCTCACACTCTGCTACTCCCGTTCTTTTCCCGTGCTCACCGCTTTATGCGTCATAGAGGAACCTTAGAACATGACAATGTATATGGTATATATATATATAAGGTAGATATAGCTACCTGTCGGGGTGTGTCACAGCGTCCTACACGTGGCAAATCCCAGCCCCCCGGGTCCATGCAGGCAGGCAGGCACGCAGGCAGGCGGTTGGTTGTCAACCCCCCCCCCCAGAAATCTGTGTGTGCGTTTCCCTTGCAGTGCTTGCCCACTCGGGTCTCGAGAAGAGTTCCAGTTCAGTCCAGTTTTAAGTTCGCAACTCTCTCTGATGCGATTGGACTTTCGGGGGGGTTGCCGTTTATGGCCATCCATGTCGCAACGCCGCGCGCCGCCAAGGCTTACTTCCAATAGCTTATTCTGAACAGAACGGCACTCGAACGAACGAGAACACGCTGCTACCTAGGATTCCAGTGCTAGAGAGAAAAGGGTGTCGATATAGCCTACCTAGGTAATTTAAGAAATCCTAAGGATTTTCGTCTTATTATTTTCACTTGGGCGTCCCTATTTTTGGTCTTGATCCTGACAGATCCGAGGGTACGTAATCTAACCCGGGTTGGGTGGGAAGCACATCACACCTGTTGACAGATGACAGATTCCATCCAGCGTTGTGAAATCCGTCAAAACCATTGTGCAGACTTGATTAATAAGTTATATGTTGTAAATAGGGCTGATTAGTAACTGTATTCACTTGACGTTTCTGATGGCGGCCCTTCAAGTCACGGAGAATTACGGATGAGGTGGGGGTCTAGTGCCGAAGCTCCACGTGGGATTCTGCGAGTCTGGGCTCTGAACCCGTGCCCCATGTTTCGCTTGTACCCCTGGCCTAGTGGCCGCCACAGCTAATTTAGGTTGTAGCTAGAGCCCTGTCAGCTCAACGTGTCCAGTAACGACGCCGCTTACAGCGTACCGTACGCCGTACTAGCATCACCACCGTAGCGACGACAATGAAGTTGGCGTACCCGAACTACGCCTAGACCTGCCCCCCCTTCAACCGCCTTCCAATTGACGCAGCCATGGCGCAAGGGCGACCGCTGAGCTTGCTGCTCGCCCTTCTCGGGCTCCAAGCCCTCTTAGGGCTCCGCATGGCGGCCGCGGCGACGGGCGACGAGTCCATCCTCAACAGCGAAGTCGGCCGCCAGAACAACGAGAGCCTGCTATGGGGCCCCTACCGCCCCAACCTCTACTTTGGTGTGCGCCCCAGGATACCAAAGAGCCTGATGACGGGCTTGATGTGGGGCAAGGTCGAGACATACACGGACCTGCAGAACTGTCCGTTGCCTTCCCCCTCCCCTTTCCATTGGACACAAGATGCTGACTTGGGGCTGCAGATGTGCGGTACACGTGCGAGCAGAACGAGGGCATGAAGGGATACGGCTGGGACGAGTACGACACCAGGGATGGCGGTATCCAGTCCATCCATGACAAGGAGAACGGCCTCGACCTCACCATCTCCTTCGTCAAGGTCCCCGGCGGCACACACGGCGGCGGCTGGGCCGCGCGCATCAAGGGCGAGCTGAACGAAGATACCCCTAGGGACCAGAAGACCATGGTTGTTCTGTACGTCACCCAGGAGGGCGGCGGCGAGCTCGAGGCCCTCGCAGGCGACAGCGACAAGGGCTACGAGGACGACGACGTCACCCTCAGGGGCGCCTCCGACGCCCTCGGCGGCTACAAGCTCGTCGTCACAAAGGGCCAGGGCATCCAGCCCAAGAGCGACCACCCGCTGTCCGAGCCCAGAGGCTCCGGTCAGACCGTCGTGCAGTCGCTGACCTACCCCGACGACGTCCTTTGGCAGGGTAAGCCCATTCTCTTCAAGCAGCTTAAGGAGGGCGTCGACTGGCTGGTGGAGAACGGCTTCGACACCGAAAACGCCCCTCCCGCCTGGCAGGTGTACCAGCTCGCCAACCGTCCGGGCGCCGGAAACGTTCAGATCGTCGAGAAGGTCTACGAGGGCAACTTCGAGTTCGACGTGCTCTTCTCCAGCACGTCGGCCGACGCAGAAGTCACAAGCGCCGACCTGACGCGCGAGATCAAGGACACGACCGAGTCCTTCGCCGAGCGCTTCTCGAGCGTCTTCTCCTTCAAGGCCCCCTTCACCGCCGCCAAGTACGACAAGTTTGGCCGCAGCATGTTCTCCAACCTGATTGGCGGCATTGGCTACTTCTACGGCGAGTCTCTTGTCGACCGCTCGTACGCGCCAGAGTACGACGAGGAGAATGAGGGCTTCTGGGAAGAGACGGCCGCTGCCCGCGCCCGCCGCCAGGAAGCCCCCGAAGGCCCGTACGAGCTCTTCACAAGTATTCCGTCCCGGCCCTTCTTCCCGCGCGGCTTCCTGTGGGACGAGGGCTTCCACCTGCTGCCCATCGCCGACTGGGACATCGACTTGACCCTCGAGATTGTCAAGAGCTGGTTCAACCTGATGGATGAGGACGGCTGGATTGGCCGCGAGCAGATCCTCGGCGCAGAGGCCAGGAGCAAGGTCCCGCAGGAGTTCCAGACACAGTACCCCCACTACGCGAACCCGCCAACGCTGTTCCTCGTCGTCGATGCCTTCATCGAGAAGCTGCAGCGAGCGGCCAACGGGACCTTGCCCGCGACGAGGGAACGTCTCTCGCAGAGCCCCTCACCCTCCCTCTCGACCGCCTCGCTCGACAACCCCGAGGTCGGACTCGAGTCTCTCCGCCGGCTCTACCCGCTCCTCCGCCGGCAGTTTGACTGGTTCAGGAAGACCCAGGCCGGCGACATCAAGTCGTACGACCGCCCCGCGTACTCTACAAAGGAGGCGTACCGGTGGCGCGGGCGGACCGTGACGCACTGCCTGACCAGTGGCCTCGACGACTACCCGCGCCCGCAGCCGCCGCACCCGGGCGAGCTGCACGTCGATCTCCTGTCGTGGGTGGGCATGATGGCCAAGTCGCTGGTCAACATCGCTAAGGTCGTCGACCTGCCCGAGGAGGCTCACGAGGTCGCAAAGGTGCTCGACGCCGTCGAGCACAACCTTGACGACCTGCACTGGTCCGCCACGGACGGCTGCTACTGCGATGCCACCGTCGACGACTTTGAAGAGAACAAGCTAGTCTGCCACAAAGGCTACATCTCGCTCTTCCCCTTCCTGACCGGCCTGCTCCGCCCCGACAGCCCCCGGCTCGAGGGGATCCTCCGCCTGCTCGGCGACGAGGACGAGCTCTTCAGCTCCCACGGCCTCCGCAGCCTCAGCAAGAAGGACGAGTTCTACGGCACCGCTGAGAACTACTGGCGCAGCCCCGTGTGGATCAACATCAACTACATGGCGATAGTCCAGCTTCACGTTAGTGATTCCCCATTAAATGACAAACAAGCCCGATAAAACTGACAGAAAGGAAAAATTAGAACCTCGCCACGCAAGACGGCCCCCACCGCGAAACCGCAAGGGACCTCTACACGCGCCTGCGCAGAAACGTCGTCGACACCGTCTACGCCAGCTGGGCCGACACGGGCTTCGCCTGGGAGCAGTACAACCCCGAGACGGGCCAGGGCCAGCGCACCCAGCACTTTACGGGCTGGACCAGCCTGGTCGTCAAGGTCATGGCCATGGACGATCTTGAGGTTGGCGGCGGCGCTGCGAAGCATGCGCGCGATGAGCTATAGCCAGCCAGTCGGCCAGTTGGCCATTAGATGGTTAGTAGGTGTGGTTGTGCATCTGGTTTTTAAACTATCTAAGGGAGTGGAGTGAGGAAAAATAATATGTTTATTATATGATATTATATATATATATAGAGAGAGAGAGAGAAAGAGATTTGAAGTTGGATGGTTTTTTGCAGCATTCTTTTTTGGCCCACGCATGAAACAAAACAAGCAAAGTAATCGCGAACACGGTGCTGCACGCTCCGGGAAAGGCGCCCTCCCCCACCTCTCCTCATTTGGTTTAGCGCGGGCCTTACATTGACCCTGCACTCTATATCCTTCCCCCAAAGATAAGAATCTCTCCCCCCGGCGTCTCTTTCTTGTATTCTTTACCTTTTATCCTTCTTCTCATATTCTTCGTAATTAGAGTGTGATCTTTTGCCAGAACTCTGGGCCCAGGAACTTCCTGAGAATTTAATTCTGAAGAGTGATCGTTTCGCCTCAGAACAATTCTGGCCAGAATCGTGCTTTCGAAGGCGAGTAAACACGTGCCCCTGAGGGGTCTCCGAGCGTTGAATGCAAGACCAAAATACCACTAACTGCCCTAACCGCCTGCCCTGCTTGTTGACAATACGATGCCCTACAACGCCCTCGAAAGGGCGTCACGAAGGAGGCTACAACGCATGAGACGCATACGGCTATGTGTATTGCTTGTCCTCGCCCTGGCCATACTCCGGAAACCCTACACGGCGGTTAATCTCGACGTACTGAAGGGTCAGTTTGTCACGCATGACCTGCTTCACGGCCACGCAGGCCGGTCGTTTTGTCTTATTCGTATTTGAGCACCTACCTTCTTCGCTTTGGTTACCTGGTTGAGGCATAATACAACCCTGCAAGCCTCGCGGCACGCAGGTCTTGAAGAAAAGGTCCTCATTTTCATGGTGGTAGTATCGCAAGGTATTACCCGCCGCTTGACCGTTTACCTAGTTGGCCATAGCTTAAGCACTATTCACAGGCTAGTTTTACTCTCTCAACAAAGTGACTTCGAAGGGACCTTACTTACCTAGGAAAAGGGTCTTCCACGAAGTACTTTCAGCTACCTTTATCCTTGCGAGCCGAAAGATCAGACTGCCCGAGCTAGTAACACCACGAAAAATCAAGACCAACCCGATCTATTACCCATACTTTTCCAACTGCCTAGGCGCAATAGACGGTACACATCTCGATGTGAGGGTTCCGTACGATGAATAACAGCCTTAGAGGAATAGAAAGGGCGCACTGTCAACCAACGTGCTAGTCACATGCGACTTTGAGGACCGTATTGTGTATATTTTGCCCGGGTGGGAGGGCTCTACGAATAACGGTCGTGTGTTCACGAGTGCCCTCTCCCGTGGCCTTATTATTCCGAATGGCTGGTACTACCTCGCCGATGCAGGTTACAACAGTAGTCAAAGACTCTTTGTGCCCTATCGTGGTGTTCGGTACCACCTTCAGGAAAGTGCCCGGGCAGGCCTGCCCCCTGCGAATTATAAAGAGCTTTGGAACCTGCGTCACAGTCAGTTAAGGGTGACAGTAGAGAGGGTAATCGGGCGGCTGAAGCGAACCTTTCGAGTCCATTCACAGAAGCCTGTCTTCCCAATTGACGTACAGGTCAAGATCATATATGCCACGGTTGCACTGCTTAACTGGCTGCTTGGCTATGGGGACTTCGATGACGAAGACTGGGTCGACTGGGAGCCGGAAAGCGATGAACAGGATGAAGCCGGCGAGAACGTATTTGATAGGGGCGAACTGGCCGGCGGTGCCGACGGCGCGATGAGCATACTTCGTGAGAGGATTGCTCGGGAGATGTGGGTAGATTACTGTGCGTATCTTGTTCGGCGCGGTGAAGCCTAGTAAAATAGATAGCCGGCCGAAAGGTTCGAGGTTCGAAGGTAGGAAAGTTATAAGCAACCGGGTCAAATTTTGGACCTCTTTTTGGCTACCTACATCAGGTAGGTAAAAGTGCCCTTTTTTATATCAGGTAATTAGGGTCTATTTAAAGCGTTCAAAATCGTTCAAATCTACCGAGTCTCCAAAAGCGCCCTCGATATCCTTAGGAATATGGCCTAGATTGACGAAGTATGCCTCCCGGGCTTCCTTCTTTACTAAACAAAAGCGCTTCGCCTTCATTTCCGAATCCTCCCACCGTTGTTGAGCTTTTTTTCGGCCACCTCAGGAGAAAGCAGGCCATACCAGTCTTCGTTGAAGATTTCCATTGATTTTTCGAGCCACTCGGCGGCAACTGGCTCTTGCGCGAATGCTGGCGTGAGAGCCTGTATACTTTCGAGTAGTACGTCGCCCTGGCTCTTTCTTTTCTTCCTTTTCGGGTCTGACGACAATGAGGACCGCTTCTGGCCGCTACGTACGTGTGTAGGTACAGGGAGTTCCTCCTTATCGTCGTCAGAGTTCAACAACGTAGGGTCAATAGGGTTTTGACTCTCTGTCAACAGTTGGCCAAGCGTTAGAGCTGCATTTCCATTGGCCCCGCGATCGTCTTGGAAGACTTGCTCCATTAGTTCGAGATACGGGAGAGTCTTATACCGGAACTGGAAGAGGTCTTTGTTTTCCTATTGACCGGGGATTATTAGTTATTTTCCTTCCTACCTAGGAAGAGAAAGACAGACCTTGATGAGGGTATCCCAGACAGCGTCTGGCGCAGTATGCAGACAGGTTACCGGGTCCCACCCGAAGCCCGAGTTTTCCACCAAAATCATCCACAACCGCCACTTCTTCTTGAAGTAATCGACCTCACTATAGACCTGCTCAGCCGAAAGGCGAAGCCCCGGGGCAGCCGCTTGAAGCTCAATAGCAACTTGGTTATACGCCGTCTTCTTGTAGCCGCCTTGTGCCTTCATCCCGCCATCACCATCCTACTTGCAGAGGGAACCGGAGATCCTCCAGGACAGGGCATACCTACCGGTATTTGAGCTCCCTAGGAAGACCTAAAATACCAACCACTTCTTCACGATTTTCCTATCCCTTACATCACAATCTAGCGGCATCGATAAAACGCCGGCGTGATACCCCGCGCGAGATGGAGGGGGAGAGGCACAGATTAACAGCATTCCGGCGATAGCTTCATTCTTTCTGGCTTGGGGAAAAAGATCAACATTTAGAAAGCCCGTCCAGAAAGAAACGGCCGAATCCCTGCATCAGGGCGGAATTAGCCGTTCTGAGGGGTCTGTGCTGTTTCCCAGAAAACAAATTCTAGAGCAAGTATTCTAGGCCTAAAATCTGGGAAAAAGATCACATTCTTACACCAGCATGCAATAACGCGGCGGCCGCACTTAGGTCAAACAGTCAACTTGCAAGTTGACTGACTACCATGTCAACGGCTCAAGTGTCAACGCACCTACACATCAGATAGGGCTGGCCGTATTTGTATGAGAGCCACTGTTGCCCCAGCGCGGGGAAGCGGTCAACCGGGCCGCTTCTCGTGTGGGACTCTGTTCTCATCGGAAAATATAGATCAACGCGATCCATCGCAATGCGACGCAACGCATCTCGACGTCAGATACATAGCAGCAAGGTAGGAAGGGTTAGGGGTTTCCTAACAACCGGGGGTTTTCGTGAAGATGATAATCTAGGAATGGTCTTTACGGACGTACTGACGTTCTGCGCCTCCAGTCTTTTCCAACACAAGGCAAAGTCAGTGAACCGGGCGACTCCAATCTGACCAATCTTCGGCCAACACAACGCTAACTCGTGGCTGTGTTTCTTCGAGCCGCGCTGTGTTACCGTGCAGGGACCTGTGAGCTGGCGCTTTTCAAGGGGCCACATGGTGGTAATAAGCACCGCTTGTGATTTTTAGGTGGTGGTCATTTGCACTGAAAATTCACGAGTCACACTTACCACCACGTGGGCATGGGGACTCCGTATGTTGTGTCATGTCATTCAATTGATACCTTGCCAACTTCAGGTTCTGCCAGCCCAAGCCTCCCACTCCTACCTCAGCACGGAACCTACAGGGCACTAATTGCTCCTTACCGTCACGACTAACAAGGGTTTCCAGTGTAGGGCTGTCCACGTCCATTTGAATTGCTTCAACATGGATCTCAAAGTCAAGTACCTTTTCTCTCTACGCGCCATCCGAGATCGTGCCAATGTCGTTGGAGAGATCGCCAAAGCTGGGAACTTAACTCATTTCGAGCTCCGGGAAGACAAATTAGATGCTGTCGTCGATTTTGTGGCTTCTATCATCAAGGTTCGGGAATTAAGGAATCCTCATGGCACCTGTCTAGACTAAATGTTCTCCTGACAGCGGGATTTCGGTCCTGACAAGTTCCATACTATTCCTCCGCATGGGCGCTGGCAGCATTTCGAAGTCGGGGACATACCGCGCATCACAAATCTATTGGACCAGTGGAAGAAAGAAGGCTGCGATGACACCGAGGTGACTCGTCGCCTTATCGACCTGTTCTTCGTTTCCGTTCTTCTGGATGCTGGTGCAGGTGATCATTGGCGATACACTGAGCCTGAAACCGGCCACATCTACGAACGAAGCGAGGGCATCGCGGTTGCCAGCCTTCACATGTTCCGCACCTTTGCCTTCACTGCCTCCGAAGTTGAAGCCATCCCAATCGTAAATGGTAATAACCAACGCCTTCAATCTTAACCTTATTGCCCAGATATGCGACTAACATACGTGATGCGCAGGAAGGGGATTGGAACGACTAGAGACGGCTATACTCACAGAGGGTTTCCAAGTGTCTGATGGAAATCCCATGCTGGGTATCGATTCTCGTGCGACTCTCCTCAGAAGCCTCGGGCAATCACTGCTTGCTCATCCCGATGTTTTCGGAGCGGAAGGTCGCCCTGGAAATCTCGTTGGTATTTACCTCCTGGCTCTCAGTTGCGCTATTGTTCCAAGATACTAACAAGATCTTTAGACTATCTAGTATCCAAGACAGCAGGCGGATCCGCTAACCTCGACGTCCTCGTGCTCTGGGACGTTCTCCAGACACTTCTCATTCCCACTTGGCCCAAGAATCGCACAACGATTGCTGGAACGCCAATTGGTGATGCGTGGCCGTTGAGCATCCTGCAGCAAGGAGTAAATATCCGGAGCCCTAACGCTACTGCGGAAGGCATCCAGCCCTTTCACAAACTTACGCAATGGCTCACCTACTCCCTAATGGTCCCCTTCCAGCGGGTGTTGGGTATGCAATGGAGCAACGCAGACTCCCTAACGGCCTTGGCCGAATATCGCAATGGCGGCTTATTTGTCGACCTAGGCGTCTTATCTCTAAAACAGGAGACGCTTAGCCGAGGCTTGGAGGCATCGGGCGGGGACTTGCCGCTTTTTGACGCAAGTGATGATGCCATAGTGGAGTGGAGGGCCATGACACTGGTGCTCATCGATAAACTCTACAGCATGATCCAGTCCCGGATCGGCGATGGTGTTCGCCTGACCATGGCACAGCTGCTCGAGGCCGGTACATGGAAATCCGGACGTGAGATCGCAGCACAGCGACGCCGACAGACCAAGTCAAGCCCTATTCTTATCAAGAGCGATGGAACTGTCTTCTAGGGCTACAGTGCCATGCAGAGTGTGGCCCGGCAGTGAAGAAGACCGACGACGAGGCATGTGAGCTTGACTAAGGAGCGAAAATATGCACGATATGTGCTAAACGTACAGCTGTTCATGGTTGTCGCTGAAGGGGGGGGGGGCAAGCGCTGGCAGGAGATGATGGCTGGACTCTCTTAGTGATATCTTCTACTACACATTAATTCAATGAATTGGTAGATGGTCCTGCCTTCTGAATTCAGACTCACTCCAGCATATCGCCATGGTGGAACGAGGCTTGGCAGCGAACAAGTCTCTTCTTTCATGCCTCTGCTCGGACTGCTCCCTCTTGATGCTACGTGCGACCCGGGACTATGACTGAAAGTTTCCTCACGGCAAGGCGACCAGTAGGAGCGAGCGATCAAACAGGCGCCTTCAAAGTTCCAAAGAAAGTACGCATATCATGCATGTGTGTGTGCGAGTCTTCCCGTTTCAGAGGCCCAGGCTACAACCACCGACTCTCTAACTAGGCAGCGGCATGTCGGCAAATACCAATAACTCCCACAAATGCAGCAAGTGTGAGGCTATGCGCGCATTAGTAGGGGAGTGAATCGGCAAAGACACCCGGCGTGTGGCCTTCTCTCCGTCCCATCGCCCTATTCTCATATCCTTTCCGTGCCGCCACTATCCGAGTGACGGTCCCGAGCCTCCACGGGAAAGCCGTCTACAGTCACCGCGCAGGCAGCCCAAGATGAACTTTGGATCGAAAGCTGGCGCGGCCCTGAAGAATACGCAGCAGCCGACATACCACCTCGCGCCTAGCTTCACAACTCGCCCGTTTCCCGACGGGCCCCTCGATTTAGGCACTGTTGTCGAGGACCTGCAGTCATTCCATCCCATCAACCAGAGCACTTCGCGCATCGCCATCCCAGATGGCCAGCGATATGTAGACGTCAAGGAAGACGTCACGGCCAGCGCTAAGTCGTCATTCAGCGGCGAGGCCAGCTTTTTCATCAGGGTCCTCGACGGCAGCATCGGCGGCGATGCAAGCCTCAAGAGCCAGCGGAGCGAGGAAAACGTGTACACAGTCGCGCGGCTGGAGACGGCCTACTTTTACCCCTCACCGAGCTATATCAAGCAGTGCCTGCGGCTCACCGAGGTGAATGACTACCTGGACATGGCGAACCACAAGGCACCCGTATATCTCATTACGGGACTAAAGATTGCCTGGGGCGCTACGGTCTCGATAGAGTGCGGCCGGGAGCTTACGAGCATGGTGGGGGCGGATGCTCAAGTTATATCATAAGCGGGCGTTCCTCGTCGGTCAGCCGTCCCTAGCAACCAAAAAGGTGGCCAGGAATGCGGTATTGGTGGATGACGAGTCGGTTTCTGAGGGCGACGACGACGAAACGTTCACAATCGCAGATATATGTGGGAGTGGCGTTGATCGTTTCGTCCCCATGCATACAGGGGCGAAGATGAGATATGGCTAGTTCCTCGCGATCTGGTGTAGTGAACACGTGGAAAATGATGCCATATACTTCACAATAATAGCCACTAGTCCGGTCGCAATCTACTATCTACGGTCACAAGACCGAATAGTTAGAATTTTTACGTATTTTACGTGTAGCTCCTGATTATGAAGAGGAGAAGAGGCCTCCTAAGTTGACAAAAAAATCTATCGCGAAAAAGAATAAGACACCTACTAGATGCCCCTCGCCCCTGTCTCAGAGGCACCTACCTCTGTCCACCAATATATATATAGACGAAATTCTGCGGTTATAAGGAGGAACACCTTATCCTCAACTTAACCCCGGTAGCTGAAATGCAAAATGGCCCGAGTTTCTAGAAAACAGGAGTTTCAATCTTACTCCAGGCCTAATTTTGGGCGTATTTTGGTATATAGTTCGCGGGTGTCGAAGGTTTATATTGCTGTCTTGGTGTTCCTGTTTTTTGCCTGTATTTGACTCGAAATCATAAACTTCCCCAAAGTCTACATGAGAGGTCATGGTTGAAACACCTTTACAAAGAAAGCTGGTTGTTGATTGCGGAACATGTCATATATCGGACAACAACTCCGCGCCGGACCCCCCGCGCGAACGCGTGGATATGTAAAGCCAAATTTTAGTTGGTGAGCTCCAAGGTGTACTTTATTAAGCTCGTGTGTCTCGGGCGCCCAGCGAGCATAACAAGTGCGTAACATCACCATAGCCTCCATCAGTCGCCCATGACAGCGCTGTCCATCCTTGCAGGTCCTTCGCGTCAAGAAGGGCTCCCAGCTCCAGAAGCAGCCTGACAGTTCCCTCGTGTCCGTTCTCGGCAGCAAACATGAGCGGAGTCTGCAAAGAATCCCGATCGGTAGCCTCAATGTCTCCTCCATAGGAGAGCAGCCTCCGCACAATAGCCTCGTGCCCGTTTTCAGCCGCCCAAGACAGTGGTGTCCGCCCATGTTCCCGGTCAGTAGTATTGACCTTGACGCCATGCTCAAGAAGAAGTCTTACAGTGGCTTCGTGTCCTCTTACGGCCGCCCATGAAAGTGGTGTGTGGCCGTACTTGGGGTCGGAAGACTCGATATCTGCGCCGTTCTGCATGAGCAGTAGCACCGTAGCCTCCTGGCCCCGAGAGGCCGCCCATGAGAGAGGCGTGCGGCGAGAGTTATCAGCTGCGTCGACTTCCGCGCCTCTTTCGAGAAGTAGCCGTACGACAGCTTCATGGCCCTTTGAAGCTGCCCAGGACAAGGGCGTTCGACCGTATATCTGATCCGCTGCGTCGGCGCGTGCGCCCGCATCAAGAAGCAATCGAACAGTTGCCTCATGTCCATTTGAGGCTGCCCACAGCAATGGTGCATGGCCGTCTTCATCCGCTACCTCCAAGCCTGCGCCCTTCTTCAGGAGCCGCTGAATAGCTTCAATGTCCCCAATTTCAGCTGCGAACGAGAGCGCCGTCCGACCAGTTTCATCTTTTTCGTCAATGTCGAACTGGTCCAAAGTTGGTTCTTGTATGGACAAGTGCGTGGTACTAGCATTCTTTGCTTTGATGAGATGCACCAAGATTGGATCTGATTGAGAATCTTGTAAAGGGAAAGGGTCATTCTCACTCCTCCATGATTTCCAGCCTCCGAACCACTCTTGCTCTAATGGCTTTGGCAGGTCCTCTGGCTGCTTATAGTCGAGGTATTCCTTATCCCAGACTGAGTTCTGACCAGAGGGCGCGACAAGAGCCATGGCGTCTTGATCCAAGTTGGACCATGTCTCTGGGGGAAGAGAAATACCGTCAAGATATTCTTGCCCGCTAGGTGGTTGAGGAACAGAGTTCTCACGCATCGGTCTCTTAAATGAGTCGCTCATCAAGAACACCGACCTCCCAAATGCTCCAGGGGTCTCTGGGACGGTGGTGTTAAAGGATGGCACAGCCATCAGGGACAGTGACTTCAAGTGGTTTGCGACGTGATCAACCGCGAAAGCGTACATTTCTGACGGATCTCCTTGTCCCTTTTCTACGAGGGGTCGTATTTTCTCGGGGATTTGTTCACAGAGGGGGCAGACGAACTTGTCGCGGAGAGCGGCCTGTTGTTTCCTGGGAGAGAGTGCGTCAAGCTGTGCCTGACTGGGCGTCTTCAGCTTTCTATTCGGATGAGAATCGAGGTTTTGCATGTGCTCTCTCCATTGCAACTCGGTTTCGAAGGTCTCCGGGGCATCGTGGTCAATGTCGCAATACCAGACGATGGTATGAACATTACGAAGCCAGTCTTTCGAATGAGCAGATTCCATATGAGTCTTCCATTGGTTGCGGTGCGTAAAAAAGAGCTGGGACTCTGCACATTCGGAGAACGGACAGCCGTAGGGCTTGAGATGTTCGTCAATGTGATGTTTCCAGTGGTCGTCTCTCGTCTCCAGCTCTTTGCATTCCAAGGGCCTGAAACAAAAGGGGCATTGGATCCGTGTCTCACCTCCACTCACTTCTGGTATTGGTGGGTACTCGAATTTATCCTCTTGACTCGTTGATATAGTGCTTATTACTGTCGTGAGAGCTCTTTTCTTGGGACGGTGAAGAATCTGAAGCGCCGGCGAGTGAGGATCCGGCCGAGAAGCCTTCGTGACCCCGCTAGCTAGGACGCTTGGGTGACGAGCTGCCCTATTGTCGACTTTCTGCTTCATCTCTGGCTGAGGATTCGGATGTTTGCTATCATGCTGCTTGGCAGAAGGCATCTTACCAGGCTCGCGCCTGGCGGCGAGTCTCTTTGCGTGGCGTTCAGTTTGTAGCAGTATCCGACGTCGGATCGCTATGGAGTCGCCCAATTGTTGACAGAGCCCCCTGCGAGCGGCCGGGAACCTGTAGCGGACCCAAGATGCGATGTCCCTGCGAAAGACAATGTCTTCGTCGGTGACAAAAGTAGTCACCGAATGACCGAGTTGTTTAGCGGATGCTTTCCTGATTGCTACAGCTATAAAATGCAACCGATCCAAGGCAGTCTTGACGGCTTGTGAGGCGTCTCCCCATGTCTTAGAACACATATGCAGCTTCGTTGGACTTGGTGGGACAATGGACGGGTTGCCAGGCTTCCGGTCAACTGACGAGGTGGATATGGTAAGCAACTTTCCGGTGCGTATATCAGATTGACGATGACAAAACTCACTACGATGTAAATTCCGCAGGATCATTTCCAACAACTCGACTACCATGGCGGATATGTCTTCCAGCCCCTGTAACCTGGCGTCCAGTGAGGAGCTCATCAGCGACAGCGCTCCGGTATAGTCGATCCAGAACAAGAAACTATTGCGAAGACCGAGGAAATCATAAGTGGATAGTTTTCGGTTGCTACCAATGGTGGTACCATCAGGTGAAACCAAAGGTTGTGTGAGCAGCGAGTCATCATTGTCGGCCACGACTTGATCAAAGGATTGGAGACAGGCGTGGGTGATGTCGAATATAGCTGTCGAGATATCCTCTTGTGCCCCGTCCATGATGCCGTGGCGTTTCCGCCAATGCGTGTCGAGTCACAATGAGCAGGTTGAGCCAGACCCAAGGGAAGGCAAACGTGGATTTAAGGCCGGCTGGGCTCATTTATCTTTTGAGTCACCACGCACCTGCCAGAGTCTAAGTTAGGGGCGCAATATGCTTCTGCCCTACAAAGTCGGTATTTCCAACGCCTAGTATGGAGTTTTTCTTTATACTCCACAATAGTCGTCGAAAGGTCGATTCCTTCGACGGGCACCTTGGTTAGATGGAGGACAAAGGCACGAGAACGGCCAGCGCCTGAGCTCTAGGTCATCATTTAAATGTATCAGCATCCCAAAGACGTTGCATTCTTGTCGGAATGAGATGGGAATACCTTGAGACTTCGACCGACTTGAATCCTGACCTTGTGCTTACTAATGCTGAACCCCGCACGCGAGCAAGACGATTGAGATCCAGTTCTGGTGATGCTTTTGAAGACGTTTTGCTCACTTGCCATATAAACTGAATGAACTGAGGGAATCAAGAAAGCAACAATCGCCAGAAGAGTTGAAGATTTTTGGTCATTCTGCATCTCTCCGATTTGGCAAAATGTTTGAATGTGAAGAGCACTTCGACGCCACCCGTCGGAGAGGCCGGTTGTCGAAGAGGCCGGTTGTCGGAGAGGCCGGTTGTCGGAAAGATTCCTAGCTTGCAGTTGGTGCCACGTGCTTCCCTCGGTATCTCAACACGGATTCCGTTCTCACCAGAGAGTATTTCTGCTGTGCCATTATGCCTAGAGATTGTCTGAGTGATGTGTTTACGATTTAGTATAAGTTGCGAGAGGTCGACCTGAACGGCTCCATGAACCTGAATATGGCTAGACTCCAATGACCATGTTTCTAACTACCCGTAGGTACATACACACCCAGATACCCTGGGCTGGTACAGTACATACAGTACGTGAATTCGGTAACCGGCGCCCTGCATATCGCTAGTGGCACGCCCCATCCAACCATGCGCGGCGTGGCTCAATGTTGTGTGAAGAGTGAAGAGCAAAGCAGCGGCCTTGATACCTAGGCAGTGTTTAGCATACACGAGTAGGTAGGCGGGGTGGCTGAAATGTTGCCTGCGGCCTGATGAGGGTAATTGCTTTGGCCATCCCCCTAAGCATGTCGCGGCAGATGAAACGAAATGATATCAGTTGGTGCTGCGCCGCCAGCCTCAGCTTTCCAACGCTTGCCATTTCCTCATTGAAGCTTTGCCGCTCTTTCATTGTGCCAGAATCCCCAACCCCCAGTACCACGCACTGCAATGATACACTATGCCGGATCTAATTGCGGCCCGCGCGAGGTGGGGTTTCCTTCGGATTCTCCACCCGCTCTTCCTCTGCACAAAGAGCCTTCCGAGGGTCGAGGATGCTGACCAAGACGATGATGGCACTGGTGCCTTCGATGATTCCGCTGTTTACAGGGTTGACCATTTGAAAAATGAGATCACCACGCTCCGAAATGATCTGAAACTGAATGTCATCAAGCAGCAGCTGGTTGACACTGATCAGTTGACAGAGGATGATGCGATTGTCGACGGACTCGGGGTTGATTTGCACTCATTGTTGGTGCAACTCGAGGACTTGATTGATCCGACGGCTCTTGGCCTCGAGGAATCACAGGTAAGTCTTCCCTTCTGTCCCCGTGGCGCTGGCTACTCAGTGTTTTGTTTCCGCATCCCGTGAGCCGCGTCGTGCCGGCACTGGCATTCTTGTTGTTGTCTTTTCCGACCGGGCACCGTGTCATTTTAAAACCACACTATGATGAATGTGGCAAAGGGACACTAGCATAACGCAAAGCTTGATTTGACTTCTAGTCCTCCCTCGAGTCGGAATCTCTCGACTGCTTCCCACGGTTGGTCGCATTGCGGACCATCCTTAAAGGCCAGCATGAGGATGTTACTTCACCAAACGATGAGAATGCGTCGGCCTATACGGATGAGACGCGTACAGATGCACCTACAGAACTGAGCTGGAGTAGGAGATATTCGCCTACACTGGTAGCACATGCTGCCAGCTTCATCAGGTTCCCCGGGAATGCCGCGGGAATAGAATCATGCCGGAGAACCATTAGTCGCTTCGGAACGGCCCTGGACAGGACGTTGGATAGCTCGTCTGTCTCGTGGACGATGGAAACCCAAACATTGGATTACACCTCTCAAGACTTGGAAGCCATCCAACACGCCCAGGATTTCGCCTCAACATGCACCTCCCTGTTCTCCCAAATGGTGGACGGCGCTAAGTGTGGGAAACCTCACCAAGCAAAGCTTCATCTCTCCGGTTTCAAGCAAGACCAGCTGCAGATGCACATCCGCACATGCAGAGAAACTGGCTGGATCTCTACCGTCTTCACACGGTGAGTATCTTCATGTCTCCTGCAGTGCCAGTTCTCCTGCAGTGCCAGTCTCGGCCTCTAATGTGTGGCATAGCTCCCTCGGACTACCCTCGCCCGATCCCTTTTACTTGGACCACATTTGCTCGACGGCTTCGTCACCCGCTACAAGGCCTGAGGTGTTGCACGTCTCGTTCAATTCGGAGGGTATGTGGGCGTCTAATGACGTTACTGGACTTGGCCCACGCAGTCTTCTTGGCCCTAGGGAACTACCACTTGATCATTACTTTGCTGAAAGCGATGGCCTTACACTCAAATATCGGAAGCTTGCGGGCGTCTTGTTGGCCGCTTCCATGTTCCAGCTCAGTGATAGTCCATGGATCCAGCACCACTTGGGAACGGAATGCATCTTCGTGCCCTCGCCAGACAACAAACGACTTCAGCAGTGGTGTCCTCAGATTCTCTGCACCCTTGTTCGCAACAGCTGTACAGGCCCACAGAGTGACAGCATTGCCGCTTTTGGGGTTCTGGTACTGGAACTAGAGGCTAACCGCAAGGCTTCTTGGACCACAGATGACGAGGACTGGATTACCGGAGAAAAGTCGAACCACGTGCGCCTTGCTCGGGTACTGAAGTCTTGGGAAGACTTGGTCAGCGATGACTATAGGAGGGTTGCTAAAGCATGTCTTGAATTCGACAGTCTTATTGAGGGCCTTGATCATCCGGACATTGTTCCAGAGAGAAAGGGACTCGCTATCATCTACAAATGCATTCTCGAACCACTATTTCGCCATGTTACGAAGAGTTTCGGAAACCTGGCCCCAATCTTCAAAGGGATGTTTGGCCCTGGTCGCAGTCTCACAGCACCCATGAACATTTCACCATCTATTACCGCAAAACGCGTCCTCTTCGACGACGACGACTCTTTGCCAGAGCATGGCGATCAGTATGTTTACTGTCTCGTGCATCCCAACTCAACGATCCTTTCTAACAACGTGCGATTTGTGTGCTTAGGATAACTTCCCGTTTGTTCCTCAGCGGCCTCAACCATTTCTTTCAAAGGATCGGAACCTTACATGAGGATATGAACAGCTTAACACAGTACCCCTCATATGAGAGGATCCGGATCATCATTTTAGATTCTGGGGTAGACGAGACAGACTCGCTCATTCGCCCTGCTATCAAGTTCGGACGCATCAACACCCAGAAGAGCAGGAGCTTCGTCGGCTGCCCAGACGAGTGGCGGCAGGATAGTTGTGGACATGGGACACATGTTGCTCAGCTCCTTCTGAAGACTGCACCAGCCGCAGAAATCTACGTTGGAAAGATCTGCACCGGGAAGGTCATTAACGATGAATTTATGCCTGGGATTGCAAAGGTCAGCCTGACTTCCACCCCTGATTTTCGAATTGTAACACTAGGCGCTAATGTGTCGATACGCAGGCGATAGATTGGGCCGTCAAGGAATGCGACGCACACATCATCTCCATGTCTTTCGGCTTTGAAGATGAAAACGATCTGATCGATGCGGCCGTAGACAGAGCCATTAATGCTGGCAAACTTATCATCGCCGCGGCCTCAAATAACGGCGGCCTCTCTGGACGTGCTAGGCCAGCCCGTTATGAGGGGGTAATCTGCGTCCACGCCACAGATGGGAAGGGAAACAAAGGCGGCATGAACCCTTCTCCTCTGCCCAACAAGGACAACTTTGCCACACTAGGCGTCGCAGTTCCATGTAAGTGGAAAGGCAAGGACGTGTGGAAGTCTGGCACCTCCTTTGCTGTGCCCATTGCGGCAGGTTTCGCTGCAGATATCATGGAGTTCGCGAAGTACAGATGCACCAATCTCAAGCCTAGGAAGCTCAAGATTCTGCAACGAAAACAGGGCATGCAGGTCATTTTCCAGAAGATGGCAGAGCTGAGGGATGGCTATGACTTTATTCACCCCGTGCGCCTATGGAAGGGCTGGCAGAATCTAAAAACAGAGCAGCAGGCTGTGAAAGTTATTGAGCACGTCATGGAGGAGCTCTAACAGAGTGCAAAGCTAGAATCTAATTGATGGATTTATCTACATACATTTTCAACGGCTCCCGGCTTCTCCCTTATTCGCTTTTTCACAGCTCGGCCCGGTCACTTGCTCACTCTAGAAATCCCACTAGCAAAACCAGCAGTTGAGGCTGCCCGCAATTTTGAGGGAACCTTGTAAGGAGCATCAAACCTATCGATCTCATCCGACCATGGGATGCCATCCTGCGCTCCGACGCTCCTGATGGTCATTGCCGCAGCTTTGTTTGCGCGAATGACAGCGCTTTTGATGTCCCAAGTCCCTTTGGCCTTTTGGCGCAGGTAGTCTGAGGAATAAGCCCCGGTGAAGGTGTCCCTGTTCAGATCAGCACTCGTACGGAGGCACCGAGGTGGCTACAGGGGTCCAGCTAACCCTGCTCCGGTGGTGTCCTTAACAACAACCTCATACGCAGGGCAGTGAGCACTATCGTCTGCATTTGCGTAGAACGCACCCTTTGCGCCTAGTGTGATGACCACATTCTTCACGCCACGGCCCAGAAACTCCTGCGCGATGGCCGACCAGCTGTCTTCGTTGACCTCGTCCCTATCCCGGCCCGACATGATGGCTGCTTCTGACTCGTTGACGAGCAGATGCGTGAGGTGCCTGAATAAGCGCTTGCCGATGGGGGTGGCAGGCGCCGCGTTGAGGCAAAAGTCAATGCCTGCCTTGCTAGCAGTCTCGATCATAATCTCGACCACATCCTTGCTGATCTCCATCTGGGCTACAACTAAGTCTGGCCGCGCCCCGCCGCCAAGATTCTCGGCGTTGCTGAAGTGCTCCTTCTTCCAGGTGGCCGTTGCGCCCAGCGTGAACAGGCACCTATTCTCGCGTGTCGAGTGCTCAACCATGACGAAGCAGACGCTGGAGCGCGTGTCGGGTACCGTCACGATGCCCGATGTGTCGACTCCGTTCTTGTTGAGCTCGACGATGAACTTGCCCCCGTACTGGTCGTCACCGACTGCGCCAATCATCTTGACCTCGATACCGTCGTCGGCCAAGGACAGATATTCAATTGCTCGTTCGTCTTGCACCGGCCGCTTGTGGCATGTCCTGTAAGTTGCGATTGCAGAATTGGCCCCTTTGCCTCCCAGGGCCTCGATATACTCGTTCGCCAGAACACTTTCCCCGCGGTCGGGAATGCGACTCGAAATCATAATCAGGTCGGCATCTAGGCCTCCGATGACAGCGATGGTTTGCGGTGCCATTCTGAAATCTATAAGTGCCAGCGATCGATTTGGTAGAAGAGATCTCTCGTATGAAGAAGGTTTGTGGAGCATGGGCTATGGCAGGCACAAGAAAGAGACCAGGCTGAGGCTTAATATAAGTAGGAGGAAGCTGCAGAATGTCAAGCGCTCATTTTAGGTGTCGTAGGGTGCCGACATTAGTACCACCTTCACAATCCCCTCTACCTAGAGGTGTGGCATCTCGCACCCCCAAGCGTATAAAGCGCCTATGAGAGCCAGATTTAGGTGCTTGCAGCCAACGTCCTCACAGAGCCAATCAGATACACTCCATGATCCCCCCAGCGAAACATGCTGTTGTCTACATAGAGGTACCCAGGCCCTACCAAGCAGCAAGGCGGTCAATACCTTGGGCCCACCTCGTCAGACATGGAGGTGTCACAGCGCTCTTTTCCCAGGCTTGAGCTGAACAGTTGCCGTGTACAGGTATCGATCGAACCATGCCATTGTTGGCGTCTCCAGTATCGCGAGGCCAGAATGAGCGTGCTCCGGTCGCAGCCGCAGAAGAGGCTGCCACTGTCTCCGTAGCAGCACCGCCAGCATATTCGGCTTTTCCTAGGAACCAGGTCATACTCATTCTTTGCCTTGCCTCCTTTGCCGCGAGCTTCTCACCTCTTTCGTCCTTCATCTTCTTTCCGGCCATTGACGACCTAGCACAGGCCCTCGATATTTCAGTTGGAAGGGTCAACCTGACCATCACTTCGTACATGATCGTGGCCGGCCTCGCGCCGGCCATCCTTGGAGACCTGGCGGATAATATCGGACGTCGAATGGTGTACCTCTTCATGATGGCAGTGTACTGCATCGCCAACATCGGCCTTGCGCTCCAGAAAAACTGGACAGCGCTTTTCCTGCTGAGGATGCTGCAGAGCACCGGGAGTGCCGGTACGTAGCTCGCCCCTTCTGACGCACATACCTGGAGGCTTGTTCGGGTGACCCTCTCAGAGGAATAGGCTGAATGCTGACAGAGGCCAGCCACCATCGCGTTAGGGTACGGTGTCGTGTCGGACGTTGCTCCGCCGTCCAAACGCGGCGCATTCGTCTCTGGCCTCGTCGTTGCGTAAACCACATCCCCACCTTTTGCAATCGATGATACAAGAGACCAGACCCGAGGCTTACCTTACTCGGTGGACAGTCCCAACGCCGCGACGGCCATCGGGCCCATCCTGGGCGGCGCCCTCACTAGCTACGCGGGGTGGCGCTGGATCTTTGGGTTTCTCGCCATCTGGTCAAGCATCTGCCTGCTCCTCATAGCCTTGTTGCTCCCGGAAACAGCGCGATCGGTTGTTGGCAACGGATCCGAAAAGGTCTCGGGCCTTCGGCGGCCACTACTAACCTGCTTCAGAAGCCCGGAACAAGTGCTATATTCCCCAGAGAAAGACGATGGCTCAGGCACCGAGCCGGTTTCGCTGCCCGAAGACGGCAGGGGAAGTCGCCGCTTCAAGTTCCCCAACCCGCTGGCTAGCTTGAAACTGCTTTGGGCCAAGGACAGCGCTCTGATCACACTGATTTTTGGCATCTTTTATATGAACCTCAGCTCTCTCCAGGCGTCCACATCGACGCTCTTTGTTAAGATTCACAGCATCTCCGGGGTTGGGCTGGGCCTAGTGTACCTGCCCTCGGGCATTGGGTCTTGTATTGGGGCGTATTGTGCAGGTACGACGACCGGCCAGCCACGCGTATCTCCCCCCAGACTCTTCCCTGTTATATACACACACAACCTGCCCCTTGCTGATCTCGTTAGCTCAAAAGGCAGCTTAATGGACCATGACTATCGCGTGGTTGCGCAGAAAAACAACTTTGAGATCAACAAACAAGCAGGTGATGACTTGGCCCATTTCCCTATCGAGAAGGCGAGGTTTCGAAGCATCTGGTATGTCATTAGCGCTGCAGGTCTCTCCATGGTAGGATATGGGTGGTCCTTGCAGTTCAAAGTGGTTGGTTGTTTCCCGTACCAGTTTTGAGATAGGTGGGCTTCAAAGCGACTGACCACGTCGTATACAGCACATGGCCGTTCCTCTTACGCTCCATTTCGTTATCGGTCTGTCTACATCAGTCGTGTTCAATGTATGCAAAGACCCAGATCATTCCGCGCAGCCTTTCCCCTGGACCGGGCTGACGGCTCGGTCGGAAACAGATGAGTGGGACACTTCTAGTAGATATTCACCCAAAATCACCTTCGACAGCCCAGGCCGCAAACAGCATCGTCCGTGCCTTTCTTGCCGGCGGTGGCACCGCTTGTGTCCAGCCTTTTATCGATGCCATGGGTGTTGGCTTGACATTTACGCTCTTTGGCAGTCTGGGCATGGCTTGTATGGGCATCGCATGGCTGGAGTGCACGTTTGGCCAGCGTTGGAGGGACAAGATGAAAGCGAGCGGTGTTGAGCGTTGAGAGATGGTACAGTAATACGGTCCTTGGCCACGGAGGTAAATTGAACTAATTTTGGACCTCATCGAAGCAGGGTAGACTGACGCTTGACCCCTAAGTTCGTCACAATGTAAATATACCCCTGGTATCGGTTTGGCAACCCCCCTCTCCCATGTGTCGTTCCAAATATCAGTGAAGTTTTGCACTGTGGTTCTGTTCAAGTAACTTCCAGGTGTAAGCGCATCGCTAGTAGCATTTAATGAAGTCCAAAACTCATGTAGTCTACAAATACGCATCTACGCAGCCACCGTCCCCTCAGGCAGTGGTCCGACAGGGAACTCACTCGCGACGACATTACACTGCCGGAACAGCCTGACCTCATCCTCAACAAACGCGCCCACGAGAAAATGCAGCGTCCCGCGGCTGTAAAACAGCGCAAAGTCGCCCTCATCCCAGTCGTGCGCATACACCCTGTTGAGGGTGGTTCTGCCCCGCTGCAAGCTATGCACGATGCTCCGCACCCGCTCCAGGTCCTCGACCACCGCTCCGTCACCAAGATGCAACTGCCGTACCGCCGACGGGTAGATCAGTAGCGCTAGCTGCCATCTCTCCGGGTTCCGCTAGCATATAGGCAGGATTTAGGTCTTGGCCGCGTCAACCTCGGGTAGCTGCGCGAGTGCCAGCTCCTTGCCCTCAGACACGAGCCCGAGCCCGTCGCTACGAGATCACGCACTAGCCATCCAGACGTATAGGTGGGGGGCGTACTCGACACGCGTGGTGCGAACGAAGGTTTGGCCGGCGGGCGTGAGGCGGTGGTGCCGAGGGGCAGAACGAGCTCGTCGCCAGTGCCGTCATCGTAGCGCACGGTTTAGGGTCGATCGCCGGGGATGCGCACGGCGAGGAGGGTGGTCACAACGGGCGGGCAAAGTCGTGCAGTGCGGACGATGGTGAAGTCGGCGTCTATGAGGGGCGTGTTAGCGATTGTGTTTTTGGGATGCGATGTTTTGGTTATGACCTGCTAGGGAGGTTACCGATTGAAACAAGGTGGTCTTGTTTACAGTAGTGCTACTTTTTTCTCTCTCATCTATGCCCTGTCATTTCATGGTCATACCTATGAGGTCTCCAATGTCCACGCCAAAGACGGTAGCTCCAAAATCGACTTGAGAGCCGTCCGAGAAGGCAATGGGGCCACAACAGCGGCGATGAAGACCGTGATTCTGCCTCCATCCCTCCATCAGATACCGTACGAATGATTCGACAAGGCCTCGACCGTCTCAGTTCAATATCTTCACGAGGAATTTCTAGTCTAGGCCGCCTGCTAGCGATGCACGGGAGGCTATCCATCGTTGCTCGCCGTTGACGATGTTTATCTTTGTATTGTTGGAGTGGTTTAGTCGCAATGGGCAGTGGTTGTTCCTCTCCTAATAACGGTGGAGCTCCTCAGCCGCAAGGGGCTGGCTGTTCTGGGGCTCTTTCCCGTTCTACAAGTTGTGATTGGATCCGGCCGGATAGCATCCGGGCAGATAATTAGGGTTGTATAATAATTGCTCCAATGCTCCAAAAGCGGCCGAGAATGGCGTAGGTGGGTGTTTTCGAGAGAACACTCGTACAATTTGGACGACGCGGAGCTCAATAACAATGGCACAGGAAAAGGTTTTGTCAAGCTTGAGCCATGACCGACGGCCAGCTGGCTTGTTGGTTACCAAGTACTCCATCCAATGGGGCGGGGCGGCGTATGCCCAGATCCCGGATGCCTACTGAAGAACTCCGCCGGGCGCCTGTTTGGTTGTAGGTATTATCGGGTATTATCGAGCAAATGTAGTATAACTGTGATTAATTGTGTTCTGTCTCTTGGAGCTATTTCCAACCGACTTAAGCCACCTGGGGGGGAGCTAGGCTCCCTTCTGGGCCATGCATCGGTTGGATGCACGCTAAGCGTCAAGGCTGATATGACACAGGTACCCACACGGTACTTGTAAGAGACTTGTGCGCTTGGTGTTAAAGTCGCCGAAAATGGCACCATGCGCCAGCCAAATTCGGCCGCCAGAACACCGCTTTCTCGGTTTTAGATGTATTCTTTTTTTCTGCGCGCATGGATGTAGATATATATATGTTCATATTTAAGCAGCATCTCCATCAGCCTGCCTGCCCGTCGGTATTCGTCAATGTTCCAGCTTCACCACGCTGGGGAAAAAAAGGGGGGGCACTATATAATAGTATGTGCAGCTACCTACCGAGATGGACCGATTTGCCAGAGCTAACAGAATAAATAATAGTAATCTCATTCATTTTTACTCGTACGCTTCCCCTTCAAAAAGGGCTTGTCTCAGCCTGTCTGGCCGAGTCATTTTTTCATCATAAAATAGTTTATAGGGTTGAGGCTGGTTAAGAAGCAGAGATCTTGAGAATGGACACGTCCAACGTCTCCGTGTCCACCAGCACAATCTCGCGCGTGGCCGAGAAGGACGGGACCAGGATCAGGCGCACTACCTGCCCGTCGGGGCCTTCGATGATCCTGGTGCCGAACTCGGGTTGCGAGCCGACGAAATACAGGTGCGGGCACTGCTTCATGACGAAGGGTTCGTCTTCTTGGAACGGATATGACCCTGGCAGCAGGTTGGGTTAGAAATGGGTTTCTTTCAAGGAGAGACGCGGGAGCATGTGGGGGAGGGACTTACACAGGGTGTCAGGGGCTGTCGGCGCGGAGCAGCGCCACCTGCACATGGCCTCCATCATGCCCAGCCTGTCGTCGCTATCGACGTACTTGAACACGTCATCGAGGTTCTGCCCGCCCGTGCCCAGCACCCTCCACCCCTCGACCTCGGCCTCCCACGGATTCGTCACCGAGTCCAGCCACCCGGACTCGGCGGTGCCGGGTATGGCCGTGTATGTCCTCGACTTTGGAAGCATGGCCGCGTGGATGGGCTGCTGCGGGTAGCTCGCGTTGGCGGGGTCGAGCACGCCCGGCAGGAGGGTGACGGGCATTGTCGGGAGCAGCTCGGACAGGAACTCGTCGAAGAGCTGCGACGGTATGGGGTTGTACGAGCGGCTGTCGTAGCCGTACTTCTTGTGCGCCTTCTTCTCGGCGCTCTCCTCGGCTGTGGCCTTGTGCTCGGGCGCAATCGAGTTGCCGGCAACCACGAGCCGGCTGATGTGCGCTAGCTCCTTCTGCGCCGCGGGATCGAGCGCCTCGCCGAGCAGGTACTCGAGCAGTAGGTTCAGCTCCATGGCATATGATGTATCCTCTCCCGAGAACTCGAGGCCGGAAACCAAGGCGATCTTCTTGGACCCCAGGCCGGACGACGACGAGGGGCCGTCTGACATCTCCACGTCCTCGTCCTTGTTGAATTTTGCGTTTGCCTTCTTCTGCTGCGTGGAGACACTCGAGTTCTTTGGCTTTGTGAGCTCCCACCGCTCGGGCTGCGGAGCAAGGTCGGCGAACTTGAGGTCAATAACGTCAAACTCGCCGTTGGCGTTCTCGGTGCCCATGACGGCGATGATACAGCCCGTCACCATGAAGAAGGGCTTGAGCACGTCGCCAATGAGCCGGATGCGCCCCGAGTCGTCTTCGAGCATGACAGCGTCGCGGCCGTCATCCGAGAAGTACTGCTGCATCGAGGTAGGGGCAGATATCCAGCGCTGGAGAAAGGGGGCGGTCAGTCGGTACAGGTATCGCATTGTAAACAATGGCGGGATAAGCACCCACATCTTTGGCCACATCCTCGAGAATGTTAGGCTTCAGAGGCATGTCTATGTAGACGGTGCCCGTGACCCAGCACAGCTCGCCCTGCCGGACATCCAGGACGCGGTCAACCTTCTTGGCCGTCTCACCGCCAATGACGGTGCCCTCCCATGCCGTGGTGGCGATCTCCTCGATGGCGGGCTTGATCTTGGTCAGGCGCAGGAAGTAGATGTCGGCAAACTGCTGCTGGTATGGCCGGTCCTTTTCGAGAGCGAAGGTGTGGAGCGACTTGTAGTTTGACTCGCTGCGGTCGAGCACACCGCCGGCGACTTGGCCTCTACGAACGCATCGTCGTCAGCACAGGAAATAGTAATTTTCTAGGGAGTGCATTCCGTCCAATGCCTAATCAAGGTCTAGACGACTTAGACAAGGAGATGGATACTTACGAGGGCTTCTGCAGCAGACTTGAGTCTGCAATGTCTTCAAGCGTCACCATCGCGACGTCGGGTGGGGGCTATACAATTGCAGACAACTGTTTGACCGCGTCCATGGAGTGTAAATGGGTACTTTGGTATATTGACGTGTCTTGGCTGTAGAATTCTGGAATATGACGCGACGTGCCTTTTCGCGACAGCTGCAATTACCTTAATGACTTGGGCGTGGTACTTGGGGACTTGCCCCGCTACAAGGCCGATAAGATAACTATCGTGGGGTGGTGTGTAGGGGAGAGGTTCAGAAAAAAACGTCGGGCCAAATCCCTGTCGCTTGAAAGTTCCTATTCCGTAGCAGCACCAGCAAAAAAACACCAGCAAAAAAATACCAGCAAGTTCTCCTGCAAATTCGAATTATACGCGAGAAACGACCCAAACCACACTCTACCTGGCGCTTGATATCCAATTGGCACTTTTACTACACCGACACGAGACGGGCACTGCACACGGTGGCGCCGCAATGGAGCAACACACAGCGGTCGCCGAGCATGGCGCACAGGTCAAGGTGACCTTCACAACCACCGAGGAGGACATCCAGCTCCCCGAGGGCAAGCGACAGCTCCTCGTCCCCGCCGACATCCGCCGCTACGGCCTGTCGCGCATTCTCAACTCCGAGTCCATGCTCGACACGGCGTCGATCCCCTTCGATTTCCTCGTCAACGGCAGCTTTCTGCACACGAGCCTCGAGGACTACCTCAAGGCTAACGGCCTGTCCATCGAGTCCAGCATCACCCTGCAATATGTCCGCAGTCTGACCCCCCCCATTTACGAGGCTAGCTTTGAGCACGATGACTGGGTTAGCGCAGTCGACGTGCTGTCGGCCACCTCGGCCGCCGGCCGCTGGTCGGGCGACTCTTTCCAGCGCGGCCAGGACCGCATCCTCTCCGCCTCGTACGATGGTCTTCTCAGGATATGGAGCACCTCGGGCCACGTCATTGCGACGTCGCCCTCGGGCAGCCACGGCGGCCACACGGCCAGCATCAAGGCCGCCAAGTTCCTGTCGAGCACCCAGATCGCCTCGGCGGGCATGGACCGGACGGTGCGCGTGTGGAAGTACTCGGAGCACAGCAGCGCCGCCGGCGACCACGTGTCGGGCGACCTGAAGCCGACGCTCGAGCTGTACGGACACGCCGGGTCCATCGACTCGCTCGAGGTGGACGGGCAGTCGAAGCGCATGCTCACGGCGTCGGCCGACGGCGCAGTCGGCTTCTGGAGCACGTCCAAGACGACGGCGCCCGAGCCCAACGCAACGCTGCTGCCCGGCGCCCACACGTCTAAGCGGCGCAAGGTTTCGTCGTCGGTGACGACTGCGCTGCGCGGCCCGCTGGCCATGATGAACATCCACAGCGCGCCGGCGTCGGCGGCCGTCTTTGACCCGCGCGACCGCACCGTGGCGTACTCGGTGTCGCAGGACCACACGATGCGCACTATCGACCTGACGACAAGCGTCGTGGTCAGCACGCTGACGACGTCGCACCCGCTGCTCTCGCTGTGCGCGCTGGCGCGCTCGTCGTCGGCGCCGCTGCTCGCCGCCGGCACCTCGGCGCGCCACGTGACGCTGGTCGACCCGCGCTCGAGCGCCACCACGACGTCCGTCATGACGCTGCGCGGCCACACCAACAAGGTGGTCGGCCTCGCGCCGTCGCCCGACAACGAGTACTCGCTCGTGTCGGCGTCGCACGACGCCACCTGCCGCTTGTGGGACCTGCGCAGCGTGCGCCCGGCCACCAAGGACGAGGGGCTTGGCAGCGTCAGCGAGCCCGTCTACGTCATCGACCGCGAGAGCCGCCAGGGCAGCAAGAAGAAGGCGACGGCCGCCGGTGACGGCTGCAAGGTCTTTGGGGTCGCCTGGGACAAGCTCGGCATCTTCAGTGCTGGCGAGGACAAGAAGATCCAGATAAATAGGGGGAAGGACGTGGCGGTGTAGAGTTGAGAGAAATGAAAAATAAAAAACAAATGCACTAAAAATAAAAATAAAAAGGGAAATCATGGGAAAAGAGAAAATGAAATTGGCGCTTGTTGAGTGAGCATATAATACCCCCCCGTTGGCATAGGTAGACAGACAGGTAGACAAAATGGATGATTGTCACGCTCTCTGCGCTGTTATTATTCTTCGGTTCTTCATTTGATCTTGCTTGAAACAAAAAAATGTCATTACCCGCGCAAGGTGTCCATCTATGTGTGCGCATTTATTTCCATGTAATCATTTTCATGACCCGACAGGTAGGTATTCAAAACAGGAAGAAAAAAATCGGGTTTTTTGTCTATTCTGTCGCCTTATTCCTCAACCCTCTCAGCCGAATTCGCATCATGATTTCTGACCCCACCCGCCTGCGCGCACGCCTGGACGAGGGCCCGCAGCCGCCAGCTTCCGAGGCTCTCCTTGGGCAGGCGGTCGAGCACCTCGTTCCGCAGCCGCGCCTTATCGTACGGCAGCTTCTCCAGGCGGATGGCGTCGGTGATGTACGACGTGACGGTGCTGAACTGCAGCGGCGGGTCGCGCAGCACGGCCGCCGTCTGCTCGGGCGTTAGGTCTGCGTTCTTGCGCCATACGTAATAGGCGCGTAGGCTGGACGGCGCGGCGCGGGCCTTGGGGTTGGCGAGGCGGTATTGCGAGGCCCAGAGCTCGGCCTCGGCGAGTCTCGCGTCCTTGGGGCGGGTGTTATCGCCTGGGGTGGTGGTGGTGGTTTTAGTAGTGAGAGCCGCACTGGACTTCTTGGAGGCTACAGCAGGTGTGCTAGGGGTAGAGGCGAAATCTTTTGCAGAGACCACAGCTGTTGATGGTTCATCAACGCCGGCACTGGCATCGTTTTCGACCTCGATGTTGATGCTGTCGCCGAAAGAAGTCAGGTACTTGTCAGACAGCACGGGGCCGTCCAGGGCGGCGGCGCCGTCTTCGGCCTCCGGCTCCAGCACTTCGTCTGCCGTCGGCAGATCAACCCCCGAGGCAATCCGAATGGGTAGGTTGAGCTCGGCGTGGTAAGGCATCGGGGGCACAGGATCTAGGTTCTTCCGGTGACGGTCCATGATTGCATAAAGTTGCACAGCAGCATAGGCATCGGACGCTGAGTCTATATCGAAAAATGTGATTAGCTAAAATCCGCACAAGACGTACGAAAAGAAAAGCAATGGACATACAGATTATCTGTTCCATGCGCAGCGGCGACGACCAGTCGCTGGCGCGAACGTCGTGCCCCTTAAACAAGGGCAGGCGGAGGTATTCTTGGACCTGGCTTGCCAGGCCTACCAGTTTCTTGTTCAGGGAGCTGTATTCGCCGCTGGCAGAACACTTGATTAGTCTGTAGAGGTGGCTCAGCTCGAAGATGCCCCGAGCACCAATGTCTAGGAATCGTCGCAGCCGAGTGCAGTCGCCCTTGATCCAGACACCAACCTTGGTCACCTCGGGGTCCTCCATGATCTTCTTGAATGACGGTGCGACCAGGTCGTCGTTCTTGGGATACAGGGCGAGATGGAAGAGGGCGATGCGGCTCGGGGACGCGATCTGGGCAAGGCACACGTTCCTCCGAGCGCCTTGGAACTTGGTGGCGTCGGTCGCCCATTCCAGATCAAACCCGAGGATCTTCTCGTGCATGAAATACTGTTGTAAGACGCGCTCGGTCGTGTGCTTGCTCGTGCAGTAGTGGACCTTAACCTTGGGGCCGGGTTCGGTGCTCCCGGCCTCGGCAGGCCCGCGGTACAAGCTGTAAGACCAGAACGACTCGGGCGTCCCCTCGGCCGCCTGCTTTGCTCCCCGGAATATCTCGTCCGGGATCTTAAAGTCAAGTGGCGTAAACGGCGGCTGGACGTCGGCAGCATCCACCAGCCCGGATACCGAGGATTCGGCCTTTTCGGTCTTCTCCTTAGTTAAAGGCTCAGTGGGGCGATCCTTGTCGGCGGCAACTCGGCTATCGTCCACATGTGCCTCGGGTGCGTTCCTGGCTGATGAAGCTGGTAATTCGGCCTTGTGCTGAACAAAGGCCGGCGAGGTGTGATAGCTCGCCGGCGGCAGCCGCGGGCAGACAACACTGCTGGTGCCGCTTGCAAACACGATGCCCCTGCTCTGGTGCCACAGCTTGTGCGGTCGCGATATTTTGGAGCCTTCCATCCCGAAGCCTTTTCTGAAGCGTCTTAGACGAGAAGGGAACGAAAAAGGGTCAGCTTTCGATGCATGGGAGTGAGAGGTTGGAAAACCTGAGTTGAGAGGAAACTCACAATCTACATGCGAATGACGACCTCGGTGACGATGCTGAGACAAAGCAGCGACGACGGCATTGGGTCCGTTTGGCTATGGCTATTGGTGTGATTTTGCCACTCACACGATACCACGACCACGGCCTACGAGAGATTGGCAACGATGCGGTAAGGGACCGACTCGCGCCATGGCCGACGCTCCAAAGCGTCATACCAATGGCGGAATAGCGGGCCAGTGAGGAGGCATGCCCACCTAGTTTGAAAACTATGTGATATGGGAAATACCTTAAGGGTTGGGCTGGTATTATTATTTAGGCAGACGCGTCGGGGGTGTGAATGGAGGCTGGTCAACCGGGGGGGCTGGCAGCCTTTCCCGTCGTTTTCGATCCAAACCCACTATCCGCCACCACACTCACAGGCGCTGCAAGCCCCAGCCCACGTATCCATCCAGGCTTTACGTGCTACGCGATGTCACGGGACCTAGAGTAACCCATACAGCCACGCCTGCTGCTGCACAGACCATTCCGCTTCTGGAAAGCAGCATCCCCGTCAATAATAACCACGCCAAAACCTCAACCAACAGACTATCCTTTAAAAAAGAAAAGCCATCACTGAACGACGAAAATAAATAATAAGATGTCCCAGCTTCTCCCCCTCGGTAAAAGATGACCATGAGCCCCGTTTTTAAATCCTCCGTGACAAACAAACATCGCAGACTTGCTGACATGACATGAACGCACTCTGCCAGAGCTCATTGACAAGTGCGTCGGATCGCGCATCTGGGTGATCATGAAGGGCGACAAAGGTGAGCCATCACCCCCCGGGAAACCGCCAAACCACTGCATGAGTACACACACATTCTGGCTCGTTGCTCACCGCGCCGCCCGGCCGGCCCTCTGCAGAATTCGCCGGCACACTCGTCGGCTTTGACGACTACGTCAGTACGTTTGTTTCTCAGATACTGTTTTCTCTCTCTCTCTCTCTCTCTCTCTCTCTCTCTCTTTCTCTCTCTCTCTCCGCTATCACTCATTCCCTCGATGCTAACAAACACCCCGGCAGACATGGTTCTGGAGGATGTCACCGAGTTGTGTGTCAACTTCTTCCCTCCCCCCAACAAATCTTTTTTGCCACGGGCCCTCCTGTTGCTGATGAATTATTGTTTGTTTTGCCTTCAGTGACTACTCGGGTGACCACACCAAGCTGAAGAAGATTCTCCTAAACGGAAACAACATCTGCATGGTGAGTGACAGAAGCACATTTTGGAATTGTCATTTCGTTCCTTGTTTATTGACCCTCTCACAGCTGATACCCGGCGGAGACGGGCCACTGGGCGCAGCTTCGCCATGAGCAAGCCTCAAAATGAGCTACGGTCCGGGTATGGGCCGTGGTGTTTGGGAGGCAAAGGGAGACCAGCCGGTGCGCCACGCTTTTGTTATCTCCCAGCAGAGCGACTCAAGAGGGAAAGACACCATGCAAGTCTTGAGCACTAACAAAAACAAGGAAATAAACAGTAGCCCAAAAGTCATCATGTCACGATGATACCAAGGAGCTGTTTTACTGTTTTCATGTTTGGGCTGGATAAACTAGAGAATTAGCAAATTCGCTGAACAGCAGACCCGTGAATACGAGGCACTCCATACGTCGAGTGAACCACCTCTACCAATGCCAACCGTAAACCAAGCCGAGAAGTGTATTTGCCAGCTGATCCAGACGCCTGCCATTCATGCATCTGTAGACGTACTAAACATCTCCAGAATTCTGTGCTGAAAAATGACAGAAGCAAACACAGTTTTCCTCAACGCCGCCATTCCCAAATCGTCCAACCCACCTAAAAACGCCGAGAAAGCACTCCTGAAACTTCCCTAGACGGAAGAGGGAAACCCTCAAAAGTCACCTTGCCCATTGTTATTGTTGGCGTTGGTTTGGCTTCCAGCGTCGGTCAACTGGCGGAGGGCCAACTCCTTCTGGAACTCCTGCTTGAGCTGGTGAAACAAGAACACCAAATCTTCGCAGGCTTGGATCAAGGCATCGCGTGGCGTGATAGTTCCGTCTGTTTGGACTCGGATTAAGACCTCCGGTACGTTAGGGTGGCCGACTGAAAACCAGCCGTTAGCCTCAGACAACGAGAGAAGCTGCCCTGGCGGTAAACTTCTGATGTCTAGTGGGCGGCTGCTTACTCTTGTATCCGGCCATCAGGACGTTGTCGTGCCCCTTGAGCCGCTCGGCAAGGAGATTGCCGAGAGTATGGTCTTCCTTCAGGAGAAGAAAGTCCGACGTGTTTGACATGCCTAGGTGACGGCGAATGTGAGTCAGAAGCCACAAGCACCCCCATCGCAGCTTCACACCGAGACCCCTTCGACCAAAACCGAAACTTACCAGTAAAGACAGTCTCAGTGATTTTCTTCTCGCCATCGCCGAGAAGAAATAGCTCGAATCTAGAAGACGAGAAAAATTTCAGCACATGCCTCGCGCACGCAACGGGATGTGGCTCCCAAACTCTTGCAGGTTAAAGTGCTTGACATTGGTCGACGCCATGGCCGCTGGGCCGAGGGGCGGGGCAAGGCCGCAGACAACAAGAAACAAGTAGAGCAGGGTTGGGGCTTCTGCCGAATAGAGAGAAATAGATAAAGCTTGGCCTCCCGAGTCTAGATATTCCTCCACCGTGGGTTGGGCGGAGAGAGGTGGTTTTGCGAATTTGCGGTACGGTGATGAATTTCCCAAAAACCGCCCCCTCTCCCACAAGAAATTTATGAACTCTAGTAGCGGGGGAATGAAAGGGGAGGGGAGGAAACCGCGGTCTGCAGTCGCGACTTCCCAACATAGACGTCCATCTTTCGCCATGGGTTGCCGAAGAAGACGACGACGCAAAGACTCAAGGAGGGGTAAAAAGGAACGACAACAAGAAGATATCCCCATCGAGAAGGAAACACTTGTTCGGCGTGCGCCGGGCCCTGAAATCGCGTGACAAAATGAAAAAAGAAAATAAATCAAGAAATGAACTGCGGAAAGGATGGCGCGAGGGGGAAGCAGAAAAAAGAGTTGCAACCTTACCTATCCGGTGCGTTCATTGTGCGTATGGCCGATAGAGGCGAGCTGTAAGAGTAGTAGTAGCACTAGTGATTGTATCCAATGATCGGTATCGATGATGCCAAAAAAAGCAAAAAAAAAAAGCTGGTGTGTATGTGATGGAGCAAAGAGTTGTCGCGATGAGCAAAAAAGCGACGGCGATGGTGAGTTGCCTGTCTCGTCTTCGAGAACAAAAAGGTATGGGGGGCGAGGAAGGACAGTGGGGCCGTGCGCAGCCTTAAAAGCTTGAAGCCCCTTCCCCTCCCCCACACTGTGGCCATTCACGCTTTCATCAAGAGCTCAAATGGACAGTTGCTTTGTTCCTTCCAAGGGGATTAACAATAAACTTGGGGTGGTATGAAGAACTCGAATTGGTCACCGCGAAAAGCAAGCTGACTTCAGAGGGGATGTCTCGTCCGGAATACGGATAATATTTCCGACTAGCTTCGCAGAAAATGTGCGCCTCATACACTCACTCATCAGCTATCCGTAGATTCCCACATAACCGAAAAGTAGACCGTGGTAAAGCAATGTAAACATGAACATAATCGCTAACAGAAGATCCATCGGATTGACAATTGCCCCTGAAAACCATCCATCTACTAGGTACGCTCTCCAAAATCCATACAGTGGCCTTTCCATCGCGGCGGCGACGAGCCTCGGCCGTCTTCGCAAGCAAAGTCAAAACGCTCTCAACAATCAATCTCTTCTAAGTCTCGCTGTCTAAGACACACATCTTCGCAGAGGCCTCTAGCAAACCTACACAAAATGATATCAATCGCCCTGTTGAAGATGCCCCCAATATGCTATCCCACTACTAACTAACACTAATTCCAAGCACCCATGCTGCAATTATGTAACTTCTGACGCTAATTATGACTTTCAAAGGGTAATGCAGGAAGGGAGAATGGTGTCAAGCTGAGTCTTTCATCCCTCCGGGATTACTCGTCGGTCAACTTCCCCTTTTTGTCGCAATAGCTCGGCAGCCCTCCGCCAGACTCGTTAGCCCAGCTCATGATGGTCAAGCTGGTCGTATACGCCATGGCAATGAAGCCGAATATACAGAGGAAAACGTCGGACCATCTCCGCACGGCGCTCTTTGCCACGCCCTTGTAGTGTAGCATCGGCTGGCACACCCGTGTTAGCATTCTATGGGACATATCACGGAGGGGAAATAAAGGGGCAGGCTCACAGGATAGATGTACACCAAAGGGATGCAGGCAAAGTTGCCGACGAGCGCAACAAACTTGTCCAGGTTGTCGGCACCGCCCCAGGCAATAAGGGCGCAAACCGCCACGAGAAAGAAGCGGTATACGTTCTTCTGCCACTTGATATACGGATTATACTTGCCGCTCTTTGTGAAAAGCGCGTTTTCTGTAATCCTGATGGCAGGGAATATCTGGAGCGGCGTCGAGAGGAGGATGGCAAGCGAATATAGAAATTGCACGCCATTGACAAACTTGTCATCCTGGGGCAAGTTTAGCAGCACAACCGTCTCCGTCTTTGAGCCGTATGCAGCGTAAGAAACTGCGCCCATGACGATGAAAAGAGTGGTGATGATGATCATGACAACAAACATGACCTTGGGGAACTTCTGTGGCTGCTTCATAGACTCCTGGATGGGAATAATGAGGCCAATGCCCTCAAAGGTGAAAATGGCGGTTCCGATAAAGAGAGTCCAGTTCTTCTCGTTGAACATGATGATGTCTGCCCAGCCCTGGGTCTTGAGCGTAAATATGTCATACTGAAAGAGATATGCCAATCCAATGACGATGAAGGCGTCGGCTATGAGCGCCGTGAATCCAAGCTTTTCGATGTCGCGAAGCAGCGAGAGGGGTAAGAGTATCACCATCTGTAAGATGATCAACCAGCTAATGGGGACCATCGTCTTACAGTCCGACACAGCGAGTATAAAGGCCTGCAAGTTCTCCGACGTGAACACCATGTAGGCTGCAACAAAACCTATCTGGCTTAGCACAATGGACGTCAGAATGAGGGTCCTCATCCATTTTCCGTATAGGATGCCGCCAATATCGCCAAACGAGCCCTCAACCTTCAATCGGGTGGTGACAAGGAGAACGAAGCAGTAGTAGCTCAAAGCTGCTACAAACAGCAGAACCAGGTTGCTGAACAGCATGCCGCCATTGAGATACGCGCGAGGGAGGAACAGAACGCCAGTGCCAACAAAAGATTTCAGGAGCAGCAGCGCTGCGCTCATGGGGCTGTTCTGGCCACTTCCTCCGCGTCCCTTCCTCCTCCTCTTCCGGCGGGAAGGAGTAAGGAGGGCGCTGTCTTCCATTGGTTCTCGGTCGTCTTCGGAGCCTTCGCCACTGGAATAGCCGTCTTCGTCACTGCCCGACATGAAATACTCGCCGGGCTTCAAGGCCTCATCGTCTTCCTCCAGCTCTTCACCTGCGAAGTGACCGTAGAGAGACAGAAACTCGAGAAAGCTGCTCGTCAGCAGCCGAGGGTGGGATGCGCTGTGGCTCGTACCCTCGCCGTGCTCCACGTCGTCATACGAGGGCGAAGTATCTCGGGCAGCCCTCCTCAAGTAGTTGCGCCTGAAGCCCCCTGGGACCTTGATGGTGCTGATGTCAAGAACTTCGTTCTCGGGCTCGGGCCTCGCGGCGCTGAAGCTTTTGCTGCGCTGGACCTTGTTCCGCTGTTCTATCTCCTCGGTCCACTTGTATATCGGGCGCGTGATGTCGCCGCCTAGCAGCTTTAAGCTCGAGAACTCCTCGTCATCAGATGGCGACTGCGATCCGTGGGCTTTTTGTTTGCCCTTGGACCCAATGCTTGGTTTTCTCCAGCCCGCATCTTCGGGCGCAGCGTCTCCTGGCTGGACCAGATGTCTTTTAACAATTTCCGGATCCTCGTAAGCTCCAACGCCACTCTGAGACACGTGCCGTGACCTTGTATCGAAGGAGCCATAATTGGTGGGCGTGGCCGAGGCAAGGAAGAGAGCGTTAGCCGCGGCCGGGGAAAGCGGCCGGACAGGTGGGGTGCCAAACCGGGGAGGCGACGTTCCAATCGAATGTGACAAAGCTGCGGCGAGGGCAGAGATTCCGGGGCCTGCGGCGTAGGAGCCAGGACCGGGGAGCGGAGTCAAAGGGGCCGAGTCGACGTCTCCGCCGTCGGCCTGGTTCGCTGCCCGGAGGCTGGGAGGAGTACCGAGGGCATGGTATGGAATCGGGGATACGAGGCGTGCGAGGGACTCGGCGCGAGGCACTGAATTAGAATACGAGTAGGCACGAAGCGAGCCGGGTCGCGATTGCGATGGCGGCTGTGATGGTGTTGGCACCGCTTCCGCGGGTGGAGCAGGTGAATCTCTCCCAGAGCTCGACATTGTCGACACAGTGGTTTGTTTGCGTTACGATGAAATGCAAGCTATCTCATGTCTTGTTTGAAAGATTGGCTAGCGAATATCGGCGGTGCCCGAGGGGGGGCGGGGGAGATGGAACTATAACCGGTGTCGCGCCACTCTCTAGAGGGCCGAGACAGGAGCCGCAACCAACCGCCTGGAACCAAAGATAGACTTCAAGGCCAGAATAAACTAGCCACAGCAAAGAGAATAAAAGAGCGACGTTGGGATGTTTGCGTAAACTCGTTAAAGCGGTTGATAGAGAGAGACGGCGCTTTTGCAATTGCAGGCACTTGCGGGGCGTGTGACGGCGACGACACGAGTCGAGTCGAGGTGGCTAATAAAAAACGGACCCGGTCTCCGAATGTCCAGCTGACGATAGGGGATTTGGAGTTTCCCAGGGCTCAAGTGTAGATTAGCAGCCAATCAAATTCGGCATAGCCGACCAGTCAAAAACGGCAGCCCCGACAGCGACACAGGAATTCCAGGTTCCAGCGTCCCACGGGCCCCAAGAACCCACCCAATGGGCAATGAGCGATTCACTTACAGCCCCGCCACGGCCAACAACCCCCACCCTTGCACTTTCAACAGTGAAATCCAATTCCGTTCACGGATACACGTAGAGAGGAAGCCTGGGGCTCTGTCGATGTGGACAACCTGGAAGTCACGAGATCCATTTGTTGAATGAGTCTTTTCAAGGATATTCACCTGCTGTACGAGGCTGGGGTATTAGTTCTCGTCATTTGATCTCGATAGGGCTCATGGGTCAATCAACTTGGTACCTATCTTTGTCCAGCCGTCGTCTGCCTTGCGGCGGGTTAAGGCAAGTGCAGGGCAGTCAGGTGCGGGACGCCCCGAAGTGCAAACCTAAGGTGAGCTCAAGCTCCCGGCTGCGTTATACCGGGGCCTCAAACACCATTCCAAGTTGTAAGGTAAGATATTGTAATTTGTACTTAATGGCATATTTTAATTCCAACCCTATCTCCTCTCTTCGAAGCAGTGAGGGAGGCCAAGTGTTATTCTATGCATACGAAATCAGACAATTACTGTATGTATGTGGGTGCGAACTGCGCTAATCGGCAGCTGGCGGCCCCTTTATAGTTGCATTGTTGTTTGATGACAGGGGCAGACCAGGCCGTTGATGGGGTGTCCACCTCAGTCACTTCAAGCTGTGGTGAGGCAACAAGGGTGTGGAAGAATGTTGTATCGCTCCTGCCGCTCTGTCGACGGATGACGTCGAACTCTACCCTATGCAATCAAAAACTAGCGATCAACAAATTTGCCTTTTGGTCTTTTATTCCAGCGCTCGATATTTGGGCCGCGTTTGTGGTTTAGTTTCTCTTTCGACCCGGAGCAAGATAAATCGGCACGCCATCCCAAGTATCACATCGCGTTAACATCCGCCCATCTGAAGAACAGCAATTTCATCCATCACCTGTTGCATCTCGCTGCACTCTTGGCATTTAAACTGGAGTGCAGCGCGGATCTGCACGGTTTTAACCCAATGCCAACTGGTAATAAGGGATGTGCAAAGGGAGCTATTAAGCAGGTTGGAAGCTCTGATTGGACATGAATGGGCAATCGATCTCTATTGCAGCACAGTACGGAGTACAGGAAGCGTCAGCTGGAGTCGTCCTGTGCTCAACTTTAACGACGCCAACCCGGCCACCTATTTCCTACCTAGACGCCCTCTCACGAATCGTCTGGGCCGACACTTGAAAAAAAAAAAATGCCCCGTGCCAGCACTAATTCTGGTAACGGTGTTGGCGTCGTCCAGAATGGAGGCTCAGCGACGGCCGCCATCGAGCCGGAGCTCACAGGCAAGAGGCACAAGCTGGGAGTTGTGTCGGGCGTCTACATCCCCGTCTGCCTCAATATCCTTAGCATTCTGATGTTCCTGCGCTTTGGTCTCATTCTCGGCGAGATTGGATTGATTGGCATGCTTGGTGAGATCCTGCTTGTCTTGTCCTCCTGGTCGTTATCACCGTTACTTACACGCCCCAACCACGCAGGGCTCATGTTTACGGCCTACATTGTTGACTTTGTGACAACCCTGTCCCTCTCAGCCATTGCTTCCAATGGAGAAGTCAAGGGCGGTGGCGCCTACTACCTCATCTCGAGATCATTGGGTCCCGAATTTGGAGGCTCCATAGGCATTCTCTTCTATCTAGCCCAGGTGCTAAATACCGCCCTCAACGTTGTCGGCCTCATCGACTGTATAAAGCTCAATGTCGGCTCCTCGATGCCTCAAGGATATTGGTGGGACTACTTCTTCGGAACCACTGCTTTGTTCGCCTGCACCTGCCTATGTCTTGCCGGAAGCTCCATATTCGCCAAGGCAAGCAACGCTCTCCTAGTTGTATTAACCATCTCCATTGTGAGCATACCGCTGTCTGCACTGGCCTTGCCTGCTTTCAGTGATCCCGTCCGGGGAATCGAGTTCACCGGAGTTAGTCTAGCAACTCTGAGATCCAACCTGCTGCCACATGTGTCCGGCAGAGAGTTTTCCGGCCTAGACACTTTCCGGAGCCTTTTTGGCATCCTGTTTCCAGCTACTTCCGGAATATTCGCTGGCGCATCTATGTCTGGAGATCTACGGGACCCAAGCAAAGACATTCCGGTTGGTACGCTCTGGGCAATGCTGTCGACACTTGTTGCATACTTGCTAGTCATCATGTCCCTGGCATCGAGTACAGCACACAGCTCGTTTCTTCGGAACCCAAACATCATCCAGGACACGAATATATGGCCCCCGATCATATTCGCCGGCGAAATCGCGACTACTTTCTTCTCGGCCCTGATGGGCGTCATAGGCTCAGCAAAGCTCATGCAGGCCCTGTCTCGGGACAGGCTTTTCCCAGGCCTGTCAATATTTGGCAAGGGCACCAAGAGAAACGACGAACCCATACTTGCGATATTCCTAACCTATATCGTTGCGCAGCTGGCAATGTTTGCCAACTTGAACCAGATTGCCACCCTCATTTCTATGGGGTACCAGGTAAGGCGCCTAAAGAAACCAAGGAGGCCCTGAGAAAACAAAAAAAAAACAAGTCGCTAACAAAGGTAGATGACATTTTTCGTCATGAATCTGGCATGTTTTCTATTAAAGATTGGCTCGGCGCCTAATTTCCGTCCAGGATTCAAGTTCTTCAGCTGGCAGACTGCTTTTGCAGGCAGTATGCTCTCGGCCTTGGCAATGTTCTTCATTGATGAAACGTACGCCACCACCGCCGTCTGCCTGCTTGTGTTCCTATTCCTCCTAATACACTACTTGAGTCCTCCAAAACACTGGGGCGACGTATCCCAGAACTTGATATACCACCAAGTGCGGAAGTATCTGTTGAGGCTGAAGCCAGAGCATATCAAGTTCTGGAGACCGCAGATCATCCTCCTCATAAACAATCCCCGGAGACAGACCCGTCTCATCCAGTTTTGTAACTCGATGAAGAAAGGGGCTCTTTACATTCTCGGCCACGTCATCGTCACGGACGACTTCTCTACAGGAGCTGCCGAAGCGAAATTGCAGCAAGCTGCGTGGACCAAATACATATCAGAGTACTCGAGAATCAAGGCATTTGTGCAGCTTACCATGTCGCCCTCCATAACCTGGGGGGTGAGGAATTTGATTCTCTCAGCCGGCCTAGGCGGGATGAGACCCAATATCGCCGTCATGGGTTTCTACAACATGGACGACTTGCGCAGTTCTGATCCCACCATGAAAGTTCCGGATCCGCCGTTCCCTTCTGTAGTAGCCAAACACAAGGTCTTGGAGGCGGAGCCAAAGAGCCCCAAGAGGCGAAGAGGTGACACCTCTGCCCGTCTACTCGAGGGATACTTGCCTACAGATGTTATAAGGACGGAGACGATGATGACCGTTACAGAGTACCTCACTATTCTCGAGGACATGGCTTTGAGGTATCGGTTAAATGTCGCCATCGGCAAGGGATTCGAGTGTCTAGAGACGCCTAGAAAAGATGGTGGCAATTTTAAAAAGTATATCGATCTCTGGCCGATCCAGATGTCAGCAGAACTTTCCGCGGACGGAAAAAGCGTCCTCACGACGAATTTTGATACCTGTAAATGACCACAAACCTCCTTCATTTCAAAACGCAGGTTGTCTGACAAATACTAACGGCAAATAGATACCTTGATTCTCCAGCTTGGATATATTCTTCACACGGTCCCGGCGTGGAAGAAAGTCTACCGGACACGAGTTTTGGTGTTTGTTGAATACGAGAGCGAGATCGAAGAAGAAAAGGGGAGGGTCCTGGCGTTGCTGGAGAAACTTCGAATTGATGCAGAAGTGCTCGTCTTTTGGCTAGCGTCTGGGGCCCTACAGACATATGAATCCATCATACACGGCAAGCCCGGCGACTCCGAGACTGAGGGCATTGTGAGCGATTGTCTAAAAGACCAAGGCTGGTGGCAAGATCTGCAATATTTCAGAGGGTCAAGTTCAATGACTGCCTCTCAGGAGCTCTCATCGATATCAAAAGTCATTAACTCAGCCTCTGGACGGTCTGGCCCTTTTATCCGACATTCCGCTTCGGTGGGCGCCGCAGACAGGAGACGTCCTAGTTGGGCGCAGTTCTTTGAGCTTCCTAAGAAGCCGACAGTTTTGCAGGTGGCAAAGATGGGGCTGAGCGTCGGAATCCATACACAAAGTATCCCGGTAGACGTTTTGGACAGTTCCGGCACGGAGCTGGGCGGCGACAGCGAGAGCGATGGAAGCTCTTCGGAGAGTGGCATGGATGTCGATTTCAACGAGTCAGACAGCGTCGCGAGCGAGGCAGATGCGGAAGACATAGAGCCGACAAGACGTCCGCTCTTGGAAACCGCCCGTCGACGGAAGAGCTATGGCGATTTTCTTGGTCGCCCAAAGAGCCCTTGGAAAGACCAAAGGTCCCAGGTGTCACATCCGCGGATTCAGCAATCGTACGGAGCTACCGCATCGAGCCAGCAGGATAGTAGTGATGAGCAGAGAGCAGGTTCGACCAGGAGCAGCATAAGAGCCGCCAAACCCACTACCCTTAGCACCGATAGGGGGGATATCGACGTGGATAGGCCATCAAGGTCACGACATGGCTCAGCGGCTATGAAGCCTTCCAGCCCACTAGTACCCGAACCAGTAACCCATGGCGAATATGTGTCGAAGTCTAGGCTCATGGTTTCTGAGGGCGAAACCCAGAAAGGCCGTCCAGGATATTCTCGTCAGTCATCTGTTGGACGCTTCTCGAGCAACCTGGTCCCGGAAACTAGAATTACAAACGACGAAGGCGGGAGCGGTAGAACAGTTTCCTTCGTGGAATCAGGTCCAGGAAGCAAGACGCCTATCAGATCTCGGAGGAATTCGATGTCACGGACTCTGAGCACCGGTGCTAGCAGCGATGCTCTTGTCGACATCCCCGAGGTTTTGTCTTCCTACCGGCTACGCCAGAGCGAAGACGACACCCAGGGTTCAGGCTATTCCTCTCAGGGGCTGGCGCTATCCTTCAACAACCTTCCCAGCCGAGCCCAGCATCTGATACTGAACGAGCTGATGCGGAACAACAGCAGTGACACGGCTGTTCTCTTCACGACGTTGCCGCCACCAGAGGAAAACACATGTCAGAGCGAAGAAGCAAGCCTGACCTATCTCTCGGACATAGAGGTTCTTTGCAATGAGCTGCCCCCGACATTATTAGTGCTGAGCAATAACATGACGGTCACCGTGAGTCTTTAGGACCTTTGTAGGTGTTTTTGTACTAGTTTGTTGAGCTATATGGGGGTATATTTCATGGTTAAACAGCAGAAGATTGTATTTCATCATAGCTTTATAATACCATTAGCTATTAGAAATAGCGTCTGAGACCTATCGATTGAAGCAATGTGATGGAAAGATACCGAACAATAATCATCGAGGGATGATCTATCGGACCGATCGAGTCTTTGTCAAAAGGTCGGCCAAAGGGCCGAAATGTATGTAGAAACAACCTCTTTGAAAAGTCAAGATTCGACACAAAGAACCCGCGGGTGTTCTCCCCAAAGTTGCCTGACCCCGTCTTTATGTTATCGAAAGCCCTCGCCCGTTTCGCCCCCTTGCCCCTCGAATGATCCTGTAGCTTGAATAAAAACGCCATGCGAGGGAGATAGATGGATTGAACCACCACACCTTTTTGGGTCGTTGAATATAACCCCAGTTAAACAAAACTCTCGAATCAAAAATGCCAACCGAGTCAAAGAGATCCAGCAGCAGCCGCTCGTCCCGGGTTTCCCAGAAACTCCGCGACCTCAGCCGGCTGAAACTCTGGGCAGCAGCGGCGGCAGCAGCAACAGACGACAAAGAACAACAGCTCAAGACCCCGCCGCCGTCGGCCGGATTGTTCCAGCCCGTCCACACGCCGGACCGGCCACTGCGGTTGGTGACACCCGTCGAGGCCCCGACCGAAGAGGAGTGTCTAGCCGAGATACAGGCATGGCAGCGGGCTGCCAGCAAGAGGGGAGGGCGGCGGAGGCCGGTGGCTGCTGACGACGAGCAGCAGCTGAACATGGTAGGTGACAATGCCCTGCGGAAGCGGCGTGAACTGCGGGATGAGAGGAGGGGCAGGGACAGACGCCAGGGAGATTCTCGAGGAACGCGCGCTAACGGGGGAGCCAAGAACACTCTTGTGATAGGGGCTACTAGAGACAGAGACAGCGGAACTGCTCGCGACGAGAATGAATACGGCGCCAGTGACAGCAAGAGAAACAGCAGCCGGCTTTCGGCCGTCGGCAGCGGCGGCAGCAGCAGCAGCAGCAGGAGCCCGCGCCCGATACGGGGTCAGCGGCAGCAGTTCCACCAGCTACAGCACTACATGCCGAACCCCTTATTCCAACAGCAACAACAACAGCACCAGCGCCAGCCTTCCTCCTCGTCTTCTTCTCCCTCCGGGGACAGAGACGAGACGAGCAACGTGTCCGGCGCGGCGGCACGGCTGAGACGCGTCACGCGCAGGATCGCCGACGAGAAGCCGTTATCGTCGTCGTCGCCGTCGCCGCTCGGAAGATCGCCGAGCCCGCTGTCTCTTGGCGACGCTAACGGCGAACGGGAGGCCCACCAGGGGCGCCATAGCCGCGTCAGTAACGGCAGCGGCAGCCAGAGTCCTCCTAGCTGCATAACCACGAGGACCAGAGAGGCGCTCCCGCCCAGCAGCCTGGGCACGGTTTCCCAAGAAACGACGTCGCTGTTCGAAGACGATTCTAGCGACGACGACGACGACGACGATGACGCAGCCCATGTGGTGGACAAGCAGCAGCTGTACAGGATGGAGGTGCTGCGGCGCGGGTTCTGCCCGCTCTGCCAGCAGCCCGGCCAGGAGCCCGACGCTCTATGCTGCTGGCACTGCGGCGGCGACTTTGGGCCCTGCCGCGTGTACCCGGCGCCGAAACCGACAGCGGACGGCGGCACAGCAGCGAAAGCAGTAGCAACGCAAGACGGCGGGCGGAACGTGACCAACCGCCCATGGCTACCCCTGACGAGGGAGCGCAGCCAGCGCAGCGACTTCGCGTGGCCGCCACAGTCGCTCCCGCGGTTTCTCAGCGAGCGCGCGTACATAAGCCCCGCCCCGGGGCAGGCAATCAGCACCGACCGACCTCTGGGGCCACAGCGGCTCGGGATAGGAGAGGACACTAGGGCGCGAGACGGCGCGACCCGACGCACCCATCCCATGGACGAGGAGCCGGCTGCTGCACGGCCCTGGGGCCAGCGGCTGAGCTGGGCGGATCTGGAGAAGGTGACTGCGTTGTCCCCGCCATTCTCCAGATACAAAGAACGCAGACGGGAGAGCAGCGAGAAGGGACATGCAGCCGCGAGCAGCGGCAGCGGTAGCAGCAGCAGCAGCAGCACGATCCGGCACAGCAAGGCCGACAAGACGCAGCAGCAGGCGCTGAGAATGTCGTTCCTAGAACAGCACGCCGCAGAGCCACCACCGGCAACGCCGCCAGAGACGCAGTCCCCCGAGGATGGTGGTGATGCGGGCGAGAGCGAGAAGCGGCGCGGCAAGCGGCCTGACCGGTCGACGATTGACGTTTCCAAGTTCCACCTGTGGCAGACGCCGGAGCAGCGGGCCGATATCGAACGGCTGATCCGCAAGAACGGCGACGATGCGGACCTGTTCATGGACATCTATGACAACTACTGACTGTGTTGAAAGCGAAGTGGCCGAACTGTTGGTGGTGGCCGACAGGGATAGCGACGGCGGGTAATGGGTGTGGCAGCTAGTTAAAGCCCCCCTTTTTTTTCTCTCGGTAGGCGAGAAGGACGACAGAAAAGAAGAAATTGATAGGAGAGAATTAGAATGAAAATGAGAATGAGATCCAATTTCTTCCACAAAACAGGAAAAGAAAAAGATCAGTGCGCTCTCGCAATGTAAATGAAGGAGTGATATCAACAAAGAAAAATTAAACAGAATAGAAAAAAAAACGAACTCTAAATATGCATGGTATCTATCTATATGCCACACCACTTTTACAATCAAACAGTCATCATCTCAAGTCTTGATCCTGTTGACAACCAGCGTGCCTCTATCGCTGCCGTCGAGCACCAGCAGCCCGCCGGCCTCGAGCTTCTTCTTCCACTTGGCGCTCTCGTACCTGGCGAGGATCATGGTCATGCGCAGGACGGCGCCGCCGGTCGAGGCGTGCTCGGCAGCAGCACCTCCGGCGATGCGCGTCGCCGTCCAGCGGCCAAAGGCCCAGTTCAGGATATACCTGTTCTTGCTCTCGGGTGTGCTGTTGTCGTCGTCGTGCGGGGGTGTCGGCACCAGTGGGACGTCCTCTTCCGAGTTGCGCAGGGTCTCGCCGCCTGCCGCCGTGGTGAGCACGGCCTTGATGCGGTAAACCTCGTCCTTGGGGGCCGTCTTGAGGAGCGTGACGAGCTTCGCCACGTCGACGGCGCCCGCGCCCTGCAGCTCGATGGATAGGACCTCGACTTCGGACTGGTGGTCGCGGGCGTGGTTGTGCTCGTGGTTGTCGCAGGCGGCGTGGTCGTGGTCGTCACGGTGCTCCTCGGCCAAGCCCTGGGCCAGGCCGCCGTCGATGCCAAAGACGACGTCCATGGGGACCCAGCCCTTGTCGCTCTTGACCCAGGCGGTGTCGAGGTCGAGGTCGCCGAGGCGGTCGAGGCAGTCGTCGAAGCGGCGGCCGCCGGCAGCCTCCCACTTGTTGAAGACAACAAGGTCGGTGTAGCGGGCCTGGATGCGGGCCGTGTAGCTGGTGTCGTCGTAGCCCTTCCAGTTCTCGACGTCGAGCACGCTGACGACGCCGTCGAGAGCGTAGGCGCCGCCCGTCTCGCGGGCGATGCGGTTGACCTCGAGGGCCAGCGTGGCCGGGAAGGCGGACCCGCTCGTCTCGATGACGATGCGGTCGGGCGGCGGCGTCGTGGCGCGCAGCTCATCCAGCGCCTTGCCCAGCGCGCCGACCAGGTTGCAGCAGATGCAGCCGTTAAGCAGCTCCTGCACGCCAGCGATGGCGCCCGACGCGGCCAGCTGCGAGTCGACGGCCACTTCGCCGAACTCGTTCTTGAGCAGCGCCAGCCGGTAGTCGGGGTTCGCCGCCCGCAGCTGCGGAATCAGGCTGAGGATCAGCGTCGTCTTGCCCGATCCCAGGAATCCCGTGACAATGGTGATGGGCAGGGGTGCCGCTGGTGGTGTTGCCATGTTGTCTGATTTTCTTTTTTTTCTTCTCTTTCTCTTTCTTTGCTGTTCTCTATCTCTCTGCGTCTCCTTTTCACCACTGCTCTCTCCTTTTTTTTTTCTACCTCTCTTGTTTTGCTTTTGGTTTCTGTTCACTCGCAAATAAAAAGAACCCAATAAACAGATGTTTTTTTCTTTCTTCTTTGCTCAATACATGTTTCTGGCTGAGAGGTTTTTGTTTCCCGCCACTTACCTTGAGGTGATTGCTGTTTGTGAATTAAATTGGCTTCCACTCAGTGGCTGAACAGCTCGTTCGCAGCGACTCGATAAGCTGAGGGGTAGCTCGAATTAAGGTTATCAGCCCCCTGTCCAGCGTCCTCTCCCCCTCCAAGCCCCTGGCGTCGGGGACGACATCATCGTTTGAGGTCAAGCCCGGCTGTCTTGGGTTTCCTATAGAAGAATAGAAAACACGGCCTTACTAAGAGATCTCATCCCAGAATGCCGGAAGGGGGTTTATTAGAAGAGCAACAAGAAAGAGAGCTGGGCTGAAAAGGCGCTGGCGAGAATCACTGACTGCTGGGTGACGTCATGTTTGCTTGAAGATATAAGGCACCATTGCCCGAACGATTGATCAGTTACATGAGCCTAGCTATTAAGCCCTGTTACCTCACATATCTTAGTAAATACCTCACTTACTCGCCTCCCTACTTATTTTAACCTGCGCACATCGCCGTTTGAAACGCAACTAAAACGTCACCAACCTTCCATCATGGCTTCACAATCTTCCGCACCGCTCAGCGGCAGCAACCCCGCTCCCAACAACGAAAGCGACAAGAGCAACACCACAACTGATGCCGACGCCAATGGCAGCAACACCGACCCCAACTTCCCCTACAAGTCCAGGCTCGACGACTACGCCAGGAGCCTGAAGCACCCCATCAAGCGCGCAGGCGCCAACCCCAGCGGCACCACTGGCGGCACAATTGTCGAGAAGGGTATGTACGAAAAAGGACACCCCCAGCCGACACTCCCGCCTCTCTCTCCCTAGACTGTCGCGGACCCCTACCTAATGTTCCTCTCAGAGACTAACTAGCGCGCACGCCCGCAGTGTCCGATTACATACCTGCCGTGGGCAAGGTGCTCGGCGCAGGCGGGTCCAAGGGGGCGCCGGAGCCTGCTGCTGCTTCTGAGTCCGAGATAGGCGGCCCTCCGAACCGGCCCGACCACGACCCTCAGATTGCCGAGTTCGTCCGCGACCAGCATCGCAGCAAGGGGGTCATGCCTGAAGCGGAGACGTGATGTCCGGGCCGGAGAGCAATCGCTAGTCGTGGAACGGCGCGGTGATAGCAGACAGCTCTGTCGACCCGCACGCAGGAAGAGCGGTGCAATTGGTAATGGCTTCGTGCGGTTGGCGTTTCCCAGTCTTGTTTCTACTCAATTGCAACACCATTGCTTGGTCCTAGTCTTGTTTAGGTGGTGCTTTTTATTACTGCGAATTCCACTAGTACATTCTCAAGATTTGCCCCTACTCCGTCTATTTACTAAAAACGAAAGCGGACAACGGCGAAAAAAGAAAAGGCCGTGAAAAATAAGAGCGAACCAAAAAGGAAAGACGAGATGACCAAGAAGAAAAAGCAAGAGAATTAGGTCATACCCGGGGTCGAACCGGGGTTACTGGAAGGCAGAGAGTTGTTTAGACTCAAAATCCAGAGTGATAACCACTACACTATACGACCTTGCTTGTTGTGTTTTTGGTTGAACCTTGCACAAGGTTCAACCGCATAAGAAGGAAAGGGGCGGGCAACGTTTCTTTTTTTTTTCCCTTTCCCACAAGACCCAAGGCTGTGTGTTCTCTGCTTCTGCCACTGCTGGATACCCGCCCTCTCAGCGAAAGGAAAGGAATTACATTACAAAAAACGATTCCACAGTCTCCTCATCTTGGTATGAATGATTTGTGAGGAAAATCCACGCCGACGAGACAAAAGTTGAGAAAAGAGGGACAATTTCGTTGAAGATAGAAAATATAAGATATTCGAACATGAACTCCAGGCAACAGAAAGAAACACGCACGCACGCACGCACAGCAAGGAAAATTCTAAGCCAGCACAAGGTTGGCCGCTATGGCGCCGAAACCCATAAACATCATGAAGCCCATCTTCAGCTTCAGAGCTCGCGAGGCGCCCGCCGTGACGACGGGCTGCTTGGCCGTGCCCGTCGCCGACGGCGTGCCCGCGTGCGACCCCGGCCCAGTCTTCTGGCCGCCTCCCGAGGTGGGGCTCTTGTTGTTGTCGTTACCGGCGAAGTCGGAATGGGGCCAGCCCTTGTGGTCGTTCTTGGGGTCGTTTGGGTAGTAGTTGGAGCCGCCGGAGCCGGAGCTGAGGTCGTGCACTGCAGCAGTGTTAGGCAGGGACTGGGCGGCGCCGTTGGCTTGGGGCTTGGTGGCAACGTTGAGCTGATGAGAAGTAGCGCCATCCTGCCCCGGAGCGGGGGAGGAGCTACCGTCGGGTTGAGAGGCACCGCCATCGCTTGATGAGAAAGCACCTTCGTGTTCAGAGACAGTAGCAGCATTCTGCCCAGATGAAACACCGCCAGACTGGGGAGCGCCCGAACCGCCATTAGGGTCAGCCATTGCGTTGTATTCTCCATGATCCTCGTAGCCGAAACGGTCGCCGAACCCAAGGCCCTGAGAATCCCCACTGGGACTGTTGCCTCCGTCCTCGCCATGTCCGCCGTTATCATAGTCATCACCGGCGGAGCCCAGATGAGCGTCCGAGTAGCCCGGGGCGTCCATGTAGCGGACACCAGGCACGGTGGCCGTGACACCGTTGCCCTCGATGCGGACCCTGGCGGTGCCCAGGGCGTTGGGCGCGGTGATGGTCTGCGTCTTCTGGTCGCAGACATCGCAGCGGACCGTGGTGACGACGAAGTTGGGCGGCGGCGTCGGCTGGGTCCACCTGGCCGGGTCGCCGGTCCCTACCTCGTGGACCGTGTACGTGGCCATCCACTCGCGCGTCTTGCACGCCGCATGGTACGTAACGCAGTACGACTTGGTCCATGGCTCCCACGTCACCCTCGCGGGAATGCACGACAGGAACGACGACGTCGTGTATCGAGCGTCATCAAAATCTCCGCTGTAAATATGAGACTCTTGTCAGTCAAATTGATTCTTGATTCCCGGATGTATATCTTGTCAATACGGGGTATAAGTACTAACCCCATCTTGTCTGTTTAAGGGGTGGGATGCCGAAAACAGAGGTTATATGCCCGCCGTCTGGATTAATGATAAATGGTATGATAGAGGCAAATGATGGGAGACACTCGCGGAAAAGAAAACGACAACAACAAATGAGTGTGTTGATAATTATTGCTCTTGACTTCAAACGAATGACTGGCCTCGGCGGCAGGGAAATGAGCGGAGAAACGAAGGAAGAGGGCCAAACTAGGAACCGAGGGCATCGACAGACCTTGGCTTAGTCTTTTATCAACAAACCTACGGCGACATCAGCCATTAGACTGCGCCGGCGCGTCCCTTCGCGGTCGATTCTTCACGTCGAGATTAGAGACATGGCCAATTATGGCCAGTTCGCGTGGCGGCGTGGAATGACTGAATATTCCGTGCATTCCAGGCCGTTTCTCGCGGTTGGGGGTATGGGGGATTGCGGTACCATGTTAAGATTCCACGGCGACGCCACCGGTCCGACAAATTACCTGGCGGCTGGGATGCGCCGCTGGTCAAATGCAGCATCTGAGGACGGGATTTTGCAATGCAAGAGCGAGAGGCACAAGATGGATGGACAAGATATACTAAAAGGCGAATGACAAACAGCGATCGGTGACAGGTGGCGCGATGGTAGTAATGTGAAAAGGAGCAATTAAAGCCGTCACATTCACACACACATTAGCGCGCACCGATCGAACGGAAAGTCAAAATCGCGGGCAAGTCCACATACAGCCAGCCATCACACCTGCGCCATTATCAGCAAGACACACCAACGCCACTATGTACTGATTCTCTAGAGCGGAAGAAGAAAAGAGCCCTCGAACCGACAGCCAAAACCCCAATTGAGTCTCTGGGCCAACCTCCCAAGAGAGAGACGGCGAGAGAAAGCAATCAGAGCCAAGGCAAAAAAAATAAAAATGTCTCCAATCATTCAGCATCTCAGACCCATTTGGTGCAGGGAGAAAGACTTCCTATCATGGAGTTTTGAGATTTAATCTCCGAAGGGCGACCCCGATTGGGGTCAGGCAACGCGACACCGTAGAGGTTCTAGTGAAGGTCGTGGCATCTTCGTGAGCTTTTTGATACAGAAGAAAAAAGGGAAAAGAAAGTAAAAAAAAAAATCGAGACCGACTGTTATATACACCCAACGGCAGCCGGCCCTGGCCCCACCAAGCCCCACCTTTCTGGCTTTTCCAGTGGACCTTGGAGCAAATCAGAGTTTCGTTGGGTTGTGCGACCCTCGAGACTGGCATGTCCTCCTTTGATGCATATCAAGCGGCAGCGCACCGCTGCGCTGACGGGACACAGCAGTGCCAAACCGGCGCGACCTCATCGTTGTCGCTAGACTTTAATAGGTGCCGCCATACCATAATAAGGATATTAATCTTTGCGACCTATAAACACACCTAGCGGCGTAGCTGCAGCGTCCAGAAGCGCCCGCCGCCGCCATCGACGAAAAAAAAAGGCAATCGCAACGTCGTGCCATTCTCCAAAGACAGTCTACACAACATAATCTCCCTTTCTGCACGAGAGAAAGAAGACGAAGAAGCCATGCCGGCAGACGAATACGCGGCCGTAGCGCGGGGGCCGCTGAAGCTCAAGGGCGTGGTGGGGAGCAAAGTGGAGAAATCGAAGAAGAAGAAGGACAAGAGCAAGCAGAAGACGACGGCCGAGCAGCTGGAGCGGGCGCTGTCGGCGGACGGGGGAGGAGAAGAGGGCCGGGAGTTGGAGCAGAAGCGGCGCAACAAGACATCTCTAGACGGCGACGGCGACGGCGACGACACAGCAGCAGCGCAATTACAACAGCAACCCCCACCACAACAAAACCAAGACGCCGAAGACGACTCGGAAGACGACTCCAAGACCGAGACGGAGCGGCGCTTCCTCGAGACGAAGCGGAAGAGGGTACGTTGACCCTTGCCCCATGCCCCGTGCCTTATGCCTCGGAAGACCCCTTGAATACGACATGCTAACAAGACACGGCCTAAACAGTTAAAGGAGCTGGCCGAGTCCGGGCGGGTGCGGCCCGAGCTGCTGAAGACGCACAAGCAGCGGGTCGAGGAACTTAATTCGGCCTTGTCGCGACTCAGCGAGCATCACGACATGCCCAAGATTGGGCCTGGTTAGTCAAGTGTCGACGCGATTGGCCGAGAAAGGGAAAAAAAAAAAACCCCCCTAAGAAAAGAAACAACCCCCCGAGGACGAGGAATTGGCGGCTTTGCGAGGCACGGGGACGTCTCATAAGTATCCCTTGGCTGGGAGACGCGTGGGCACGCTGCCGACATCTCACCTAAGGCTACTCCAGGCCATGCACTGTACACCTTCAATTGCAAGCAACGCTTGGTCAAAATTATGTAAAGCTAGTTGTTAGCTACCTAGTTTTGCTCTACCGTACCGCATCTAGTATTGCCTGGTGTCGTTACAGCATATTCCTCCTTCGACCGCTGCACACTCATCGTGTACTGTTGCAGGCCATGTTCCATGCCCCCCAACTCGTGCCCCCAATAATAGCCTGTGCCAACCGCTCTTGAAATCTCTATGTTCATAGATACCCGCGTGAGGAATGCGGATATCGTGTCGTAACCCCCTCAGATGTATGCGCGATGAATAAGACACATAAGCCGCTCCAAATGACCCCATAATGCAAAGGAATGTGTGGGTATGTCCGTCCCCGCGCAATGCAGAACAGAAAAAAAAAATAGGCCGGACCAAAATAGTCTCCGGCCGGAAACTCGTGGGCTCGTAACTTCTTACTCTAAACTTTTCGAGAACAAAGTTCTTCTCTCTTTGGCTCGAGGATTTTGCTTTGGCGAGCTTATATTAGCCCAACCAGCCCAATCACTGCCCCTATCAAAGCGAAGAGAGCCATTCCGCGGTCTTCTTGCCGCGGGGCTGCATTCTGAAGGCTTGGATTAGGCCTTCCGTCGCCTGGGGAAGAAGTCACTGCCGGATCGGCGTCCACGTAGCTCGTCGAAGTAACAGTCACGACTCTTCCACTCGACGTAGACGTGTAGGTTTTAACCACCATCTTAGAGGAATGCGAGGTTGACGAAGACGAGTGCTTAGACGATGTCGACAACGTGGTTCCTGTTCCGCATATTAGCATCCCAGTCAAGGTAAAACAAAAAAAAGGCAGGCAGAAGCATGTGCAAAAATAGACGACAAAAAAGAAGAAAACAGAGCACAAGGACAAAGCCAACATACCTCCGTCGGCCGAGGAGGAAGAAGATGTCCACCATGAAGTAGGAGATGGGAAAATGGGGGTCCCAGACAGAAAAGACGACGGGATCGGGAAGAGTGTGCTTTCACTTGGATCCAAAGACATACCGGTAGATGAGCTGGATTTTGATGTTGACGAAGTCACCGAAGGGGAAAATGAGGAAGTGCTCGAGGTGCTTGACGTGCTTGAGCTTCCCGAAGGTGTTGTAGACGACGTGGGGTTCTGTGTGCTGCTCGGAGTTGTTGTCCCTTGGGACGAGCTTGGAGAGGGCCCATCGGTGGTTGTGCTTCGACTTGTGGTCGGCTCCGAAGTTGACTGTGAAGTTGGCTGGGAAGTCGGCACCGAGGTTGGCTCAGAGGTCGGCGGGGATGTGGGCTCAGATGAGGTTGAGTTTGCATCCGCACGCTTCGCAAGTTGCAACAGCGAAGCTGCCAGCGCGGCATCGGCTCGGTGAACAGCCTCGATGGCTTCTTGTTCCGATAGCCAAACCCCAGGCCGGAAACGCTGGGGGAAGTATTTTTGCAGAAGCTCATGAAGAGCTTCGGGCGAGGCCGACTCCAACAAGGCTGAGAGCGAAAAATGCTCGACTTCGGTAGCAGCGATCTGGTCTGTGGCACCTTTGTCTTCACAACGTGTTGGGCCACGCCATGTCCGCGAAGGACTAGCCGAGCATATACCTAGCAGAAGTAGGAGACAGAGCCCAATGGCTAGCAGCATCCGTCGACGGGACGCCATCTTGGAGTCAGAGTCTGTGTGTTGTTGAGCGGGAGGCGTCGACGGCACTTTGTGGTCTAGGCCCGGGTCCAGTATTGTAGCCTTCTCCAGGTCGCCCAGATGGAGAAAGGCTGGAGTTGAAGGTGCGTCGGCACTTATTTGGTGGTCAGCCATGGCGCCGGTTTGTCCTGCCGAGATGACTGCAAAGTCTTGACGATATCGGGGGATGGCTGCGAGGGCTGATTCGAACTTCTGCCGCCAAGGTGGGCCTCCAATGCCTTGGGTGCAGGCTTCAACGCCTGCATAAAGCCAACGAGACCCAGTCTAGTGCTCTAGTGTGATGTATGTACTATGCGTTGCGAAGTAATTCGACAAGTAAGGTAGTCTGCGGCCGATTGATGTTTGATGGGGACTCGGCCTTGGTTTTGAAACAAGACGAAGTGACGAACAGATGCAGACGCAGGCCCACCACGAGAGGACAGGACAGAGCAAGCAGGTGCGATATGACTAATAGTACGAAGATGCAACACCAGGTTCTTCGGTTGCGTGACGAACTTCGATTCCGGAAGTTGTGAGGATACCAGAAGTAAGACAATAAAGGATGGCCAGGACGGACAGCAAAGCAACGTAAGGTCGGGTTGCCCTTACCTCTGCTTCTTCTCTCCCCACTACCACTACCTGTTTGGGCTATGATGGATACTAGTGGACCTCTCAACTGCAACCCAGACCTGACCCCTCGTTTCCCCCCAGAAACAGTATTCGCTGGGCGTTCTCGGCGTCTGCAGTCTTTCAGCTTCTGAGAGTGGCGTATTGGGGACGCGGCATGAGTGTGGGAGCTACCTAGCTAGGTAAGGTAGCTTGCGGGCGCTTGAATCTGGATTTCCCAGCTATGGATATCTTGGGTACTTTAACGTTCACCCCAACTAGTGAGCTATAAAAGCCTCTTCCAATACGGATAGATAGGTCGTACCTTGGGTACCTAGTGGGGGGCAGGTGTGGTGGCACTTGCCAAGTTGCAGCTGCCATCCTTTCCGGAGCAAGCTCTCTTCAGCCCTTCATGGTGATGACGCTGCAAAGCGAGCAGGGGTGCCAGGAAGCGGCTCGTTTACCAAGGCCCACTACAGGGAAACCAACAAGGTTGGGAAAGCTTTGCGATTTCTTTTTCTTCCCTCGGGCCCGGGCACACGGCAGCTTGTAAGGCAACACGACCCCACACTTTCCACCCTTTTTTGGGATTGGAGAAAACTTCCCGGTTTGCTGGACGCAAGTTGAGCCGGAGATCGCAACATTGGACTTGAAATCGGGTTCCCTTCTTCAATAGTAAACAGCTGGCGATAATCTTCAAGTGCGAGTTTTGTTTAGTCAGCAATATTTCCTTGCTCGCAAACCTTTAAGAGACTGCGGGCAAGAAGTGTGGATATAGTGCCAACCAGCGGGGCCACCGACAGCGGGTTTAAGCGGAGTCGCAGACCACCAGCCATTCGTTTTTGTCGACAAGTGGTGGTTGGAAACGGGCAGCGGGGTTCCCGATACGACAACGGATGGGCTGACAGAGAGCAAAGAAGGTTGTCGGATGCGTCTGCATAGCCCCGCTTAGACTTTAGGTACGTAGACCAGATCCGTTGCAAAGAAGTTCCGAGACAGAGGGACAAAGCTCTCCTCGGAATCCTTCTAAGATTCTGTCTCAACCTGTGAAGCCACAAGTTTCACCAATTTTGCCTCTTTAGCTCTCAGCAACGAATGCCTTTCAGTTTGCGTCCCAGAATCCGACGGAACTGCCCTTCCATGTTTCCGAAAAAAATAGACTGTCTACCGCGTCTGTTAGATGAAGCACTGTATTATCTGCAGTTGGCTCGATCCTGCCTGTTGCCGAAACATTTCAGTCAGGAGGAAGAAACTGAAGGCGGCCAAGGCGGCGGCGCATTCCTGAACGCGGGAACTCTGGGATATACAGGATTGGGTTCTCGGACTCGTGTCTTGAGCCGCACTTGTTAGACCGTTGTCGTCAAACAGTTTACGGATATTTACCGTTCGTGAGAAGCACTGGGTCCGCCGCCGAGTGTTAACGTCATTGTCCCACAAATAGGCGGAACTGAGCAATGAGTGATCTCGGGCGGCGTTATCCATACTTACTTGGGTTGATATGAACCGACAGGCTTGGCGGTTCCATCGAGCCTGTGCCGAGGCTCCCGATCGTCTCGGGCGATCATCCCCGGCCACCCATATGTGTGCAACAGCGGACTAGATCTTGAGCGAGCACATCGCTGGTCAATACGAGCGTGACGAGCCGGCCTTGATGCAGTGGGTGCCCACTGACGATGATCTCGTACCAGTAATCCGACAATGTTCTGCTTTTGATACGTGTACATACTCCGTACACGAGGTCGAGATGTCCAGCCCCTACGCTGTGAGCGAATCAATGAATTACTTCTGTTTGTTCTCTGAATAGGTGGATACGAGAATGTGTGTTTCATACACTAGGTCGACGTAATCCCTTGGCTTCTTTTGAGATTTGTCCTAAGAGTGAGGGTTTGCACACCGCCGGCTCGAGTTCGACAAGTCACTTACCTGCGCCCTTCTTGGATTTTCACCTTCCTTCACCGTGAAGCAAGCGTCGTGAGAATTAAGGTAGCTGTTTAGATGTGTTATATTGTCATGAGGACAGCGATGATAGCTGGGCAAATGGCAAACACACGCAAGAGCTAATGGTTCGGGTGCTCAACCCCAACCCCACTTTCAACCTAACACAACACAACCCCGAGCCTATGAACAAAAGGTCTTTGTTTGGGACGAAGGAGGAGCTCGAGACATCCTTTCCTAATTCCCGCTCGCGCCGTAGCTTGATCGCGAGAGCTTTACAGGCGATAAATCACCCTTCTGGGCGGTGTGCGCGGAGGTCTATCGCTAGGTAAGGTAAATTTCCTCAGCTTGGGTTTTGAGCGAAGCAGCGCAGCTCGACCAACTTGCCCCACTTTATGGAACGCTTACAGTTACACGACGAACTAGCCACGGTGGCTTGTGTATGTATGCACGCCTGTGGCGTGAGCGCCTCGCGACGTCGCCCAGCGTTCCTGCTGCAGTTTGTTGCATGACTGGCAGTGGCATCGGGAATGCGCTGCGGTTGAAAGAAGGTATCCGTACCTAAATGTCCACCTTTCATGTGATATGGATCCGACATCATCTCACGCACGCACTACCTACGCCCGCACTTGTTAATACCTTGCCTTGCCTCAGGCGTCCCGCTAGAACCCTGAACGATTGAACCATGCAGCTCTCTGTAGCCCCTGAGCCGCCTGTCAATATCAATTGGTGATCGATCGACCGCCGCAACTTTCAATTTTCGAGATTCGGGTTTCCGCGGGTTTCGGGCCACAGCGTTGAATTGATCGATACGTACGTTTGGCACAGGGCTAGCTGCTGCCTCGGGCGCATTCCGTCCAACCCACATCATACAAGAATCACATGCCCCATGTTGCGCCAGATCGACTGCAAGACCGGCCATGCCCGAGCATCTCCTGCCCCCGGCTCTGACCACGGCGAGCGGTGCCTACAGCGGCGACGAATCACCGTCCCCAAACATCCGCATCCTGTCGCGCTCCCCGCACCCGTACCACCGTCGTAACTCGGAGCTGCTCGAGCCCGCCGACCGACTTGTGCACACAGCAGCGGCCGCCCCCTTTGCCTCTACTGCGGCCGTCGATGGCGCTGCCGACGCGGACACCGTGGCCAGGGGTCTGCCCTTGCTTCTAACCCCCAAGGACTCGACCCCCGCGAGCGACAGCGGCACCGACGCCGATGATGAACACTTCCTCAAGGGGCTTCCCGCACCCAAAACACGGTTGCACAAGGGCTTGCGGGGCAGGAACGAGCCTCTGTCGGGATCTTCAACACCTCAGCTTTCGCCAGCTGTTTTGGAGGAAGAGGGGCGCAGGACGCCGCTCGGCCTGAGCCATGGCAGCTTTGCGCAAGACAAGAGAAGCGCTGCCGAGAAGGTGCGCCGCCGCAAGGAGCTTGTTCGGCGCAGCACCGAAGTTTTGCTCCTGGCCTGTCTGGCTGGCATGGTTGCCTCCAATCGCGACGTCCAGCCTTTCCTCCGGCTATACCAGAGAGGTAGGGATATATCCGTCTCACGTTCCAGCACAACTTGCTCCCCTATCTTGCTAACATATTTGCAGAATTTCTTGTCCTCGGACAGGTAGCGCTCGTGCTGCTTGCCGCCTACCCCCTGAGACTAGTCACTTGGGCCTATGCTCAGGGGAGTCCGTCAAAATTGGTGCCGATTACTATTCCGTCGTCGTTTGATCCAGCGCCACTGTTTTATCCCCCATTGATACCGGTACTTGTGTCTCTTCTTGTTGCCCAGAATGTCAGGGCCGCTGTGCTACTAAATCTGGCCCTCGGTCTCTGCGCCCTGCCCAGGTCGCTGGTCCCCAGTTCCAGATATTGGGAAGTTTACAGTCCCGCTCACTGGCTCCTGTCCTGTCTCCCACTCTTCGTGGAGAGTTACCAACACTCAATCTCGCCCGTCGAGACCAACGAGACCTCGCAAGAAATTTTGGCTTTGCTCTACCCCTTGCACCAAACACTATGTTTAATCCTACAGTTTCTCACGACGACGAGCCTGTTGACCGCCGAGTTGCAGCTACTCTCGGTTGCTCTTATCAACGTCCTTCTACTCGCCCAGTCTCCCCAGGCTGTCATTCTCAATGGCTTACTCTGGGGGGGCGGTCTTGGCATCATTGTTTTCTGCAGCCAGGTGATCCGATGGGGGATTGCTCTGGCTCGAGTGCCAAAATGGCGATTTAAGCGTCTTTCCATCCCATCAAAATGGGGGTCTACTTTCCGGCTATTACGCACACTCTGGTCGTTGCGGCGGCCTCGACTTGATATTAAAGTGGTTGACTACGGAAACACATTTTCCGACACTGCGAACTCTTCTGACGAGTACTACGAGGGTGCAGGGCTGAAAACCCGTCCGCCGCCCCTGAGAAACCCGTTCCGGGCAGATAGTGTCAGCGATACAGACATGGTGCCCGGTTCACACGTGAACGCACTCAATGTGCGTTTCAACTTACCCGAGCCGATGCATCAGCTATCAGCTCGGAGAAATACCCTACCCTCGCCTGGCAGGTTCGGCAACGACCGATCCAAAACCAGCACTCCTTCGGGGCGCCGGAAACGCTCGGCCTCGTCCAGCGTGCGTGCCTTTTTCTCGCTTACGCAATCCCAGGCCGTGATGAGGAAGTGGCTGTACGCAGGCTACGTCTACCTCTGCGTGCTTATGATCGTATTAGTCGGCATCAGGGAGTACGTGCAGAGGTTTGCTCTGGCGGGATACGAGCCTATCGGATGGGCCCTGGGCTACCTGTTTGGTGACTTGCCACGCTTCCGGCTCGAGGTTGTCAAGGCGAATATCGAGAGCTGGATCTGCCTGCCGCCCCGGCCGGACCACGAAGACGACGTTGCGTTCTGCCGCCAGGGCTTAGTTCAGCACCTCCGCCACAGCTCGTTTGGCGAGGCTAATACGCGTCTTGTGCTCGCTGCTTACTGGCTTGCCATGATCGGCGTCGGCCTTGCCGTTGTCTTTCGACTATCCCCCATTTACGAGGTGGACACGCGCCGCAAGGTGTTTCATTTTATGATGGTGGCCATGTTCCTCCCCGCCACATATATCGACCCGACGTTTGTTTCCCTAGCCCTGTCCCTCGTGCTCGCTATATTCTTGCTCCTCGACCTCCTCCGCGCGAGTCAGCTGCCCCCCCTCTCCAAGCCCATCGCCTCATTTCTCACCCCCTTTGTCGACGGCCGCGACCTCCGCGGACCCGTCGTCATTTCCCACATCTTCCTGCTAATAGGCTGCGCCATCCCCCTCTGGCTCAGCCTCGCCTCCCTCTCACGCACTGGCTCAGGCGCTCTCGCTGGCTGGGAGGTGCCTACGCGCGACGTCAGCATGGTGTCGGGCGTCGTGTGCGTCGGCCTCGGCGACGCGGCCGCCTCTCTCATCGGCCGCCGCTGGGGCCACCGCAAGTGGCTTTGGGGCGGCGGCAAAAGCGTCGAGGGCAGCCTCGCCTTTGCCACGGCCGTGTTCGTGGGGCTGATGGCCGCCAACGCTTGGCTGCACATGGGCGGCTGGCCCCTGACGACGCCGACGCTGTCAATGACTGCGACGCAGACCAGCCATCTCGGCGGCATGCTGGCGAGCCTCAGGAGCCTGTGGTCGTCGGCATCGCTGCAGAAGACCGCCATCTGCGCCTCGGTCGCCTCCCTCACCGAGGCTGTGCTGACGGGCGGAAACGATAATGTAGTTGTCCCGGTGGTTCTGTGGACCTGCGTGAAAAGCCTGGGCGTGTAGCGTTGGCCTCGGCGTTTGTTTACGATAGAGGATAGATCTGTGTTTTTATCTTGGGGCGTTTTGGAAGAACTGGGGGGGACGGCTTGTCAGAGTATAAGCGTACGGAGTACCTTGAGTCTAGTCTAAAATTACACCGGTTGCCTGCTGTATAGATACCCATCTACATACTTGGGATTGCTTAGCTACCTTAGGTGAATTCGTTCCATGCACACGCATACTGTGTTCTAACCTTGGGAAATATGGCAGAGAATATTCACTATAGAAAGGCCTTTCGCTCCGCAGAGTCTACAGCATTTACCGAGGGGATTTTTTTCCTTTTTGAAAAAAATAAAAAAACTATGGATGAAATCAGGTATATATAGATGGTACACTTTTTAGATATTTGATATATATACACGTAAATAAAACCCGGACAAAAAAAAGAATTACACCCCACCCTAAAACGCTACATCACTCACTCTCTACACTACACTACACAACACAAGACACGGTATCTTTTGCTTTTTTGTTTACATTGTCTCTATTCATACAGCCAAGACGCAGTATTGTCTAGGGGTGAGGCGGCCGTCTTGCGGTCGAGGATCTCCTTGACGACCTCCCTGACGCCCTGCTTGAAGCTGCGGTCCTGGAGGAAGTGGTCGAGGACCTGCTTGCGGGTCATGTTGCCGCGCGAGACCTGGTCCTCGACCTCGCGCTCGGTGGGCAGGCCCAGCTTGCCGTAGGGGTACTGGGCGTAGTCCGTGTCGTTGACGAGCTGCAGCGGGGGCGGGTAGTCGTCGACGCGGATGAAGGGCTCCGAGATGTTGCTGTCCGGCAGGATGTCCTCGAGCGCGGCGGGCTTCCACTTGGGCGCGCGCTTGTCGATGAGCACGGCCGTCACGCCCTCGTTGAAGTCGCGGTGCGCCATGAACTTGGCCGCAATCTGGTGCTCGCGCCGGAACGTCTCGGCGATGGTCCACTTGCGGCCGATGCGCATCTGCCGCAGCGCCACGTGCACCGACGTCGGCGACCGCTGGTGCAGCATGTCGAGGACCCCCTGCGCCCACGCCTTGGCGGGCCCCTCCTCGGTCTCGAGCGCGCTGATGATGTCCTCGACCGAGTTGTGCCTGAAGCACCGGTCGATGGCCTTGCGTAGCTCGCCGCCCATTAGTATGGGCTCGTCGTGCGGCAGGCCCGTGCAGTACTCCTCGATGGTGGCGTTGACGACGGAGAGGCGGTGGGGCATCTCGTCGTAGTCGTTGAAGCGGAGCTCGGCCAGCCGCGACTCGAGGGCGGGCAGGCTGGAGGAGTGGAGGTAGTGTGTGGCGAGGCCGGCGTAGAAGACGTTGGCGCCCGTCAGGCGGGCGCTGGTCAGGGCTAGGAAGGTGCCCGTGGCGCCTGGCATCTTGGGCAGGAAGAAGGAGGCTCCGACGTCGGGGAAGAAGCCGATGGTGGTCTCGGGCATGGCGAACACGGTGCGCTCCGTGGCGATGCGGAAGGGGGCGTGGACGCTGAGGCCCACGCCGCCGCCCATGGTGATGCCGTCCATGAAGGCGACGTAAGGCTTGTTGAGGGTGGCGATCATGTGGTCCAGCTGGTATTCCAGGGCGAAGTAGTCCATGGACAGCTTCTTGCCTTTGGGGCCGCGCTGATTCCACCTCGCCAGCTGAGCCACGTCGCCGCCTGCGCAGAAGGCCTTCTCTCCTGTGCCCTTGATGACGATGACGTTGGCCATGTCGGACTGGGACCATTCGATGAGGCGCGGGCCAATCTTGCGTATCATGGAGCCGTTGAGGGCGTTGAGCTTCATGGGGCGGTTGAGCTCGATGGACCGGAGCCCGTAGAGGGAGTTGAAGAGCACATCCTCGGGTTCGTCTCCCTCGACGGGCTTGAAGAGTTCGTGGGCGGCCTGGGTCGACATCTGCAATGGGTTGGGGGTCAGTATGTATGCAACGCATGTGCAAACAAATTGGCGGATTAACAGAGCGTTGGCTTGCTTACCAGGAGTCGTGGCGCTGCTTGCCGCGACAGCACCTTTGCTTTTAACGGCATGGCGAAGGTCTGTCTGCTGTAGCCGCGGCACGCAGCAGCGGCTGCCGGGACGGCTCGACTGGCAATGGCCTGAGAGAACATCTAGAGGAGAGTAACGTTGTGGAATCCCCTAGACCATTGTCATGCGCCGAGAATTCGCGACGTCGAGGGTACCTCTGTAGCTTATTTTTTTTCTTGCTTGCCGTCAACCGCAGACCAGAGCCCAGCCACTGGAAATGCATGCGGCTTCGATGGGTCCACTGCCTGCTCTGAGCGCCACAGCTTTCCGCATTGGGGCCCACATCCAAGCAAGAGCCAATCATGACGACCCCTACTTGAACCTCAAAATATCCTTTTCGCATTCAACACCGGACTACCTCGTCATATCTCGTCCTTCCGACAGTTCTACCCTATTTGATTATGTCCGACGCGGCGGAAACCTTCGGCACCACGAATGAAAGGGTCGAGGCCGCTGCCAAATACGTACAATTTATCGGCCCCGTATTCTTCGACGTCCACTCGCATTCCAGGTTTGTCCCCAACGCCCTTACCAGACTTGCCCACGATTATAATCTAGTATCCATTTATCCTTGTTCCACATATCCAAAATGCCTAGTGCGGAAGAAAAGTGTTTGGATACGTCGTAGAATTGCTACCTACGTAGTCAAGTTATATAAATGCACTCAATTTTTCCTTCTCTCCTGCCCGCTACCCTTCCCTGTCTAATCATCCTCATCTTCGCCCTCACCCTCATCGCCGCTGCTGCTATCGCCATCTTCCATGCTCCCGTCTCTCTCAGCGCGATCGATCGCCTGATCCACGGCCACGTGCACTCGGCGTGCTGCCTCTTGTGTCTCCTCATCGGTTAACTTCAATGGAGAGTCGAATCCTTGATCCTTGATCCAGGATTCGACGACGTGCATATCGGCCGTCCCAAAATGGGTGGCCAACGCGAGTAACATGTTCTGTCGTATATAGTTACCCGGTGTGGGAAATGGACGTTGCTGGTAATATCGGGCCCAAACATCTTGCCATCCATATCGCTTGACGTCCTTGATACGGACCAGAGCCATGACGAAATGGAAATACATGAAGCGTGAAACTGAACCTCGACGCTAAAGATCTATAACTAGATCTTAACTTCCGGTAGACCGCCTGTTTGTGAAGCTCGGATCGCGATAGCGGGCATAGCCGGGTCGATTGATCCGAGAGAAATACCACTTCCCATGATGGGTGATGCTACTGATGGGTGATGCCGCCGATAGATGATACCGTTGATGGATGATACCATGGACCGCCAATAGAAGATGCCGCTAATAGCTAATACCCAATCTATGGATGATGCCGCTCATAGATGATACCGCCTATGGATGATGCCGCTGGTGGGTGATGCTGTTCATGGATGGTACCCCGGATAGATGGTGCGGCCGATAGATGATGCCGCTAGCGGGTGATGCTGTTGATGGATGGTACCCCGGATAGATGGCGTCAATACGGCGCTGGTAATCCGCCGCACGTAAGGCACCTGTAACGTCATTCTTGACCTGGATTTGGTCCAGGGCAAAAGGAACGTTAAACATCAAGCCCTATGGACTAGTAACGCGTAAGACAGCGACATAAGTAAGCCCTGAAGAGAAATCCCGCTCAGAGATATCAAGCACAGCCTATCCAGCGTAGCTCCCTGTGACTTGTAAACCGTGATGGCGTACATGTAAGTGAAGGCAGGTACGCCTGATCAAGGTGGTCACAATGAAGGTGCTGAATAGAACGAGCAATGACTGGTATTGGTAAGAGACTTCAACCTGGCCCTCGCAAAGGAAGGGGCGAGGGCCACTGCTTATATACATGACAGAGTGCAGGGCTAGCGGGCGAGAGGCCATGACAAAGGAATGAGGTCTTGGCCCGCTCGGTACGCGTGTGAGTTGGTCGTGTGTGTGGGTTGGGGCTCTTTCCTTACATGTTGTTGGTATCAACCATTAGCTTTGTATGTACACAAGGACATGGATCTTGGCTTTCTCAATACATCAAGGCACACAGCTAAGAAACAGGAAAGCTTGAATATCTCCCCCAGCTTTTGGTCCTCCGTTTGTGGGTCAACTGTAACTGCATACACCTCCGTCTTATGTGTTATGGTACCAGTAGTGTTAGTATCTAACATAACTATGAGTGAACGCCGGATTGTGCTCCATTTAACTGGAGCAATTAACCAAAACCTCCTTGGACCTCGCGAGCTTGCCCGACGGTAAAGCTCGGGTCCAGTGGTTACATTAATTGCATGACCCGTCTTAAGATTCTTTGGTTGTAACACTGTGTAATATATGGCGTTTCCGTCTTCCTGTTGCTGGTCAAGTCCGATGCTGCTATTGCCACGCCTCATTAGGATGAGGGTATGTGGCTCCAATTGCACTGCTTTCACCATTGCGTACTCGCCCGCTCCGGCCATTGTGTTGCCACCTGTGATTCTCGAGAAGCTGGAAACAGTGAATCCGCTCTCACCACTCAGCTTCGGCTGCCAGCTAGGTCCGTGGCCACTTGCAGCGGTCAGTAGACTGGTGTTGAGGTGTCCTTTGTCCACTCAGGAGGCTGGCGGCTCGGGGCAGGGAGCGGAGGATGGAGGGCGAGGCGGCGTCCAGAGGCCGGCGTGGGCCGTCCGGGGAAGTGACGAAGGACGGCGTGGGAGAGGCGGCCCGGGGGGTGTTTTGAGGCGAGGCCTCCCGGGAGCCGGGGGCCGGGGGAGCCGGAGGCGCGGGAGTCGGGCCCCGGGACTGCGATTCGGCCGGCGGGGGCGGGTTGGTAGTGTTGGTGGCGGCGGCGGCGTTGCGGTGCGGCGGCGGCGGTGCGGTGGTCGTCATCGTCGTCCTCTTGGTCGTCTGGGAGACCCCGCCCCGCATGATGGTGGTGGTGGTGATGGTGGTTGTGGTAGTTCCACCGCCTCCTCGTCCTCGCCCTCCACCTCCTCGTCCTCCTTGTTGCCCGCCTTGGCGGGCCTCTCTCGTTCAGCTTCTGCCTTGTCGTTCAGCTTCTGCCTTGTCGTTCAGCTTCTGCCTTGTCGTTCAGCTTCTGCCTTGTCGTTAGACACCACGAGACGATCCTAACGCACGGTTTCATGGGTCTACTTACGGAACGCCTCAATCTCCTCGCCGGAAGCCTGGGAGGCCACGGCCAGGTGGCTGGGTTGGCCGCAACTTCTGCATCTTCGCGTCATCTAGCCATCACAAGGCATATAAGCATCTCCGTCAACAGCATGGAAGGATGCATTGTTCCTCTTACGTTGCTCGTCGGTGGTGGTGGTGGTTGGGCCCGGCGACGCAGAGCAGCTGAGATGACTGCAATACACTGGTAAGCCCTTATATCTTCCTTTCATAGGACTTGGCCATTCATGGGGTCAAAGCTGGATGGCCGAGGGATATGAGGTTTGACATACGTTGCGGGTGGCTTGATAGCGTTAGGGGAAGAAACGTGGACGGTCGTCGTAGGACTTGGCCCTATAGATGGGGACGTACCGTTGCTCTGGCACCCATTTCGCTGTCCGTTCTTTCCTAATAGTATCTCTGGCACTTGCCGCGACATCAACAACATGCCCTTCCGCACCTCGAGCAAACCGACTTCACCGTAGAAACAGCAGCTTTCCAGATATACGGGGGGCTCTTAATGTCCCCCGGGGTCTGCCCTGCCGTTGAAGTTATTCCTAAATCTACCCTACCGCCTAATACGTCATAAACCGACCTAGCCCACTCGTCCAACGCCTTTACCGATAGTATACTATTTATCGCTAAGGGCGGAAATATCGAAGCCACAACCCTCGCTGGGCACCATTCGGGGCGGGGAATTTTAAGTCCCCTATATGCTGACCCCGTAATGCTTTTTTCATGGGAAGCAAAAAGCCTCACGCCTATGCGCTTCACCTTAACTCGGTAAAGTGGACTGTCATATGGGTAACGAGACCGAATAGTCATCCCTATTGAGCGAATCGAATATGGATATTTGGCCAATTGAACGTATTGGGCAAAAGATATATATGTGTACGCGAAAATTTGGCCATCAACCAAGTTGCCCCTTACTGTTCACGTTCGCCTGGCGTTACGCAGTTTCTGGGTACGTTTGTACAGTACTAACTAGCGATAGAAATGGACGCCCTTGAAGATCTAAGCGATCTGAGCGACTTTGGCGATCTCAGCGATGCGCCCGATGAAAATGCGCCGCCGGCACCACCACCCCTCTCGAACCCGCCTATCGGCCACAAGCTTCTCAACACCAAATATGACAGCCTCGATGATCTTATTAACGATTTAAACGAATGGTCCGCTTCTACACGCTTTAACACGTACAAGATACGAACCTCCAATTACGCCAAAGACTTTGGCCACCCCCGAAGGTCATAATTACCGACTTTGAGGCCGCGATGAGGGCTGCAATTGCCCGAGTTTACCCTGAAGCTAAGCCTCAACTCTGCATCTTCCACATCAACAAGAATGTGGTCCTTCGATTCAAGAAGAAATGGAATACAGCCGCTACAAAGGAGGTTGCCCGGGCTCAGGCACAAACACAGGCACAAGGCAGGCAACAAGGAGAGGAAAACAACGAAGATAACGACGATGAAGATGAGGAAGAAAACCAGGTTGTTTTCCGTACAAGAAGAGTGCAGGATGGCCAGCAGCCGCGCCTGGGCGCCCTGCCAGCCGAGGTCCCCTACACAAAGGCAGGAATGTATGTCCTCTGGGAGTATATTATGTACTCGGCCACCCTCGATGGCTTCAACCAGGCATAGGAGATGATGAAAGCCGTATTTTCCGCCCAAACGGCTATACTGAAGTATCTCGAGGAAATATACATGCCACTTCGAAGTCAGTGGGCGACTTGCTACACCAACAAGGTACAAAACTTCGGCCAACGTACCACATCGCCAGTCGAGTCAGTTAACAAGCTCTTCAAGTCATACGTTATTACCGGCTCTAGTTCGATTGATCAGACTGTTAAACAGAGCCTGAATATGGTGGAGGGCATGAATGAAGCTTGTGATGAGGAGACTCAGAACCAACAGAACCGCATTCGCTTCGATTACCTAGGAAAGTAGTGGCTAGGCGAGGCTCCCTTCAACGTATGTTATGAAGTCCTCGATCGTGTTGTTCAACAGTACAAAAAGATGCAGCCGGCCCTGGAAGACCGCCCGAGACCCCTCGAGCCTTGCACCGGCAGCTTCCGGGCGCAGTATAGCATTCCTTGCTCTCATGAGCTTCTCAAACGTCATAATGTAGGTACTCTGAAGCTTCAGAAGGTTGATTTCCATTTATATTAGTGCCTGGAGGAGTCATTACTTGATGAAGATGAGTACCTACGGTACCAAGAGTTTGATAGAGTCTAGCACCTTTAGGGCCGGCCGCGCAATACTACTGCCTTTGCGGCCGAGCCAAATGCTCCCCGGGTCCCGACTACTCAGCCGGGCAGGCAGTCCGGGCTAATGCCCTCCATTCGCCGGGCTCCCTCGCAGTGGGAGGGCGTCTCTCTTGACGATGACGACGACGATGTTGACGATGACATCGATGAGCTCACCCAGGCGCCTGCGGAGCCTGCCCGCCGTACTGTCAACAACTTGGACCCGGTTCGCCGTAGTAACCGGGGCTCAGGGAGCCGGGGTGGCCGGGCAACAAGCACTCGGGGTAGCCGGGGCACAGGGAGCCGGGCTGGCAGGGCAACAAGCAGTGCTCAACACCAAGACACGCAGGGTGTTAGCCGGGGAGGCACAACATCACGGGCTTCACGTGGCCCTGCAGCCTCTGCAGTGGCTGAGGGCCGTGTTGTCAAGCCTACACGAAGTGGAAGGGTCCCGCAACCTACTGCCCGGGCATTGGAAGGTATGGATCAGTGAGACTGTCAGTTGCATGCAGTTACGAGTAGTTGTAAGCAGGCCTGCAGTTTTTAGTTGCATTTTTGGCCCTGTTACGTAATCAGAATCAACGAGGCCAGCTTCGCTTTTTATCGTAGATTTGAACGATTTGAGCGAATCTACGGCCCTGAGCTGGAATTACCGCATTTGGAAGTGTGTTGACGTTGGCGACGGCGGCGAGGTCCAATTGCGTTGCCAGCGCTTGGAGCGGTGCAACCAGCGAATGTGGTAATTTTAGCTGTAAATTGTGGTATTTTCATGGGCGGTGAGCTGGAACGCTTGGCGGCCTATGTACCTACAGTATATGGAGACGTTTTAACAGTCAGAGGAGACGCACTCTAGAAGTTACATGGAAGTTTTCACGGCATGGTGGAGTAGCAGATCTGGAAAAAGTTTCAGAGATTTAGGGAGGAAGGTATAGTATTCTCTGATCGCCCTTAGCGGTTCTGCTCGGAACTCATATTACATCTGCGGTACAAATATGCCTGCGGTCAATAACCTACGGTGGTGCTGCACGACGCCAGCGCGTGTTCTCGGCCGATCAAAGAAGAAGTGGGGACTCCTCCGTTTGTGAGCACGACCGTTTTTTTTTTACAAAGTAAAAAAAAAAAAAAAAAAAAACGGAATACACTAACAGGAGGGAAAGAGGGACCCGTTTTTGGATCCCAAGAACCCCGGTTCCTGACCCCCTCTAGGGATTGGAGTGTACAAACTGGAAACCTCAGAACCTAATAATATCCCTAAATCGATGGGAAGCGGGACGAGATTGGCCTCTGCGCTGCCACTAGCCTGGTCTGGGTAGATCGATTCCTTTGGCTGGTAACTCAGGTTACTGCGTAAGAAATCCCCTCTCTGTGCCCCAGACGACGAACCCTAACGATATCCATGTCTCTCCTGGCCGGCTGAAAGACCCTCTTAAACTTGCGGCAACTTGATTCCCACAGTTCGCTTGGCCCGGGAAAACTGACTTGACGGTTGCACAATCAAAACTAAATATTAGTTGGCTTCATCAGTCTTCGTCGGTCTGCAGGACAAGGCAGCCTCGACGCATTCCCGATTGTGTGGGTCCCTCGTTAATCGAAGCGCGTCCAGTGTTTAACTCCCTCCACTTTACGTGCCCCGTCCTCCGACTGTTGCCAAGCACCTGGCAGTCAGAGCACAGCCTCAAAGCTTAGTCCAAGACCTCCCTGGGCCCCTGGGCCACTGACCGGAGGCACTGAGCAGCAGCAGCAACAGCAGCGACGTTCTGGGTCCCTGATGCCCCGTGCTTTGGCCTTCCGTCCTGACACGCCCGACGGCCTTTTCAGCCACTTCTCACCGCCCGCGGCCCCCGCAACCTCACTATAAGCCTAAGCTGCCGCGTGCTGAATTGTGTCGTCAACAACCTAACAGCCCCGGCCAAACAGCCACAGTCGGATTTAAGAGCCGCGACAACCACACAAAGGCCCCGCAAAAACACCGGCATCCTGGAACGTCAGCCCAAGCATCCATTTCCCCCAAGCTCCCGACGGCTCCCAGCACGCAGCACACTGCACACCCATCCTACAGCATTGCAGCCGATATTCTCAGTCAAGTCTACCGTCGCGACGGTCTCGACGGACCCGCTCGCGATCCGCATCGCCGGCGTCAATCCTGTTGTCGCGTCCTGCCCTGATTAGCCAACGACTGCAACCACAACCATTCATCCCTGCCTACCAACCTTAGGTTTCCTCTCCACGTCCAGCTCAAGGGCCACGACCCGCCCCCGTCTCTCGTCCCGACTGCGCCGCCCTAAGCCGTGCGACTAGCATCCATTACCTCGTCAAGTGCCGTCTGGTCGCTGGCCTGCTGTTGCAACCGTCTCCGACGCGCTCTCGAAGCCCGCCATCGACCCCCGCTTTTGGCTCTGACCGACGCACGCACAGGCCGACCTCTTGCACCGACATCGACTCTCGTCCGCCGCCACCACGTTGCCCTTGCACAACACTCGGCAGACAATCCACAGTCAGCTACTTAGCTTCGTGAACGCGTCAGAGTCCCGCTGTCATCGTGCTTTGACACCCCTCAAAGGTTGAGTTGGGGGCCTCTAACCGCCCCACGCCCAGAGAAACTGCTGCCTTTAAAGATGAAGCGGTTCGGGCAGAAAGTGGTACGTCTTGTCGTCCGCATTGGACACGCTCCAACCCTGATTTGTAGATTGGGTTACATTTCCCTTCATGAATCCCAAGTGGCTAACGCGACTGCCCTGTTTCTTAGCTCCAAAGGACGCAAAGCAAGTCCTCGAGGAAAAAGGAATTGAAGGAGGGAACAGCATCGCCAAACTCTGTTGGCTCATCGAGGGAAGCCACTCAATCACCAGTCCTGACCCCATCGTCGTCTACATCGACCTTGAACGACATTCGCAACAAACCCTTGCCGCCCAACAACACATCCCACGATGAGCACTCGAACGCCGCGCTCGGCGCTCAGGCCGGGCTGGTAGGTACTGCCCAAAATCCCGGCGTGCCGGACAGATTCAGCAGCATAGGCGGATCGCCGCAGGGCGCCAATGGAGGCGCCACGCCCGCTAGGCATGGCCCTCTTCCCCCAACAGTGATAATTAGCCCAAGCGCTCCGGTAAGGTTTCCTGGGTACGCGAGCAGCTCTCTTGATCTATACTGACGCATGGTCCTGTGAAGCATATACCCCCGCCTGGTGCGGCCGAGACCATGCCGCATGATCTCGCTCCTCCGAAAGCTGGACAGAAGTCGCTCATATACGATCGCCTGCATCAGGGTCCCAAGGACGTGCTCGAGGGACCCAAGACACCGAGGCGGCAACACTCGTCGCGCTTCGACATCTCTGTCCACCGCGAGCTAGAAAAGCTCCCAGGCTTTCACGAGGTGCCGCCAAATCGCCGGCAGGAACTGTTCATGCAGAAGATTGAGCAGTGCAATGTCATATTCGACTTCAATGACGCTAGTGGCGACATGAAGTCGAAAGAAATCAAGAGACTGGCACTCCATGAACTATTAGACTATGTCGCTAACAACCGCCAAGTCATCACGGAGTCAATGTATCCCCGTGTTGTCGAGATGTTTGCAAAGAACCTGTTCCGTCCCATTCCGCCCCCCATGAACCCCCAGGGCGAGGCGTTTGATCCCGAAGAGGATGAACCAGTCCTGGAGGTTGCTTGGCCGCATATCCAGGTCGTCTATGAGTTCTTCCTCCGTTTCATCGAGAGCCAGGACTTCAATACCAACATTGCGAAAGCATACATCGATCATAGCTTCGTCCTTCAGCTTCTTGAGCTGTTCGATTCCGAGGATCCTAGAGAACGAGACTTCCTCAAGACGACCCTGCACCGCATCTATGGCAAATTCCTGAACCTCCGGTCCTTTATTCGCCGCTCCATCAACAATGTATTCTTCCAGTTTACCTACGAGACGGAGAGATTCAATGGGATTGCTGAGCTTCTGGAGATTCTCGGCTCCATTATTAATGGATTTGCGCTGCCCCTGAAGGAAGAGCACAAACTCTTCCTCACGCGAGTTCTGCTCCCTCTCCACAAGGTCAAAAGCCTGAGCATGTATCATCCTCAGCTGGCGTACTGCATCGTGCAGTTCCTTGAGAAAGATGCATCCTTGACAGAAGAGGTATGTTTGTCTGAGCCTTCTGGAGATGCCATGATACTGACACCCGCCTTAGGTTGTGCTTGGTCTCTTGCGCTATTGGCCCAAAGTCAACAGCACCAAGGAAGTCATGTTCCTCAACGAGGTGGAAGATATCTTTGAGGTCATGGATCCGGCCGAGTTTGCCAAGGTCCAAGAGCCTCTGTTCCACCAGCTCGCCAAGTCGGTTGCGAGTCCTCACTTCCAGGTCGCAGAGAGAGCTCTGTACTTCTGGAACAACGAGTATTTCTGCAACCTGGTCAGCGACAATGTCGAGATAATCCTTCCCATCATGTTTGCGCCGCTTTATGAGAACTCAAAGGGTCACTGGAATAGGTATGTAGCCCCCTCGGTACGCTTGCTCGGGGTCTTGTCACTCATGATTTGGCAGGACGATTCACGGCATGGTCTACAACGCGATGAAGTTATTTATGGAGATTAATCCCCAGCTTTTTGATGACTGCTCGCACGAATACACGGAACAACAGAATAGCGCGGCATCAAGAGAAGCTACACGGGAGAGAAAATGGGCTGCCATCACGGAACAGGCCAACCAGAGAAAGCTAAATGGCTCAGCCAGTGCCCCTGGTCCGGGAGCGACGCGCTCAACTCCCAGTGCGATGCCCAGGGTTGACGAAGTCGATACTGCCGAGGACAATCAGAAGAGGCTAGATTCGCTGAAGCTTCAGGACAGCGATCGCCGGGAGCGCCGACCCATAATTCACGAACGACAAAATTCAGTAGGCTCGTCTAGAAGCCAGCGGTGATCCTTGTTCGACATGTGTCAACACATTCCTCTGGCATTTCTTTGATTCTGGCGCACGACTAGTTATATCCCCGGGTCATCGGCAGCGCAGTATTTTATCTCCAAAACTCGGCGTCATCACTTGGCCTCCTCAAGAAAGGATTACACCACCCCCGAATACCGACTCTTTCCTCACGACCCACGCTCGTTCAGATTTTTGATTTCTAGGATTTGTGTGGGAAAAGGGAGACGAAGTTGCGGGCGGGGCAGCTCAAGAAGGTCTGATCAGGGGAAAAAGAAAAACTTTGGCAAATTCGGCTTTGATGTTTTAGATCGCGGCGGCCGTAATCGACGTCGCCCAACCCTACGTATGTGTCTTGTGAATTTTCATTGTTAATATTCTCAAATTCTTTTGTCTTTTAGTTTCTCTTGTGTGACAGGGAGAGGGTATATAACGACCTTGAGGATGCCATTGGGGGTTTATCTTTCTTTTCGACTCTTCCATGCCAGGGATGGGCAGTGCCAGCGGCCCGCGGCTGCAGCTAGTTGTTGCTGCTGCTGCCGTTTGATATGTCCTCACGCGCGCGCACCACGGAACCCTACTGCCCAAGCCTCTTTTACAACCAGTTAGATTTGTGGGCCCGCGGAAGTGGGGAAGCGGAAGCGGAAGGCGAGAAGGGAAGGAAGACTATTTTGCTTTCCGCAAAGAAGTTATCGCCCATAAAAACTTGACGAAAGAAAAGCAAAGTTGCCATTACCGGCGGGGATTTGATTTGTATGGTGGTAATGGGGGTGGGGGTGGGGGATTGACTGGAACTGATGGGACGAACGTGAAGTGGAAACCTCCCTCAGGGCGAGAAGGAGTGGAAGGGCAGGGCAGCGGTGCGAGGAGACGGACGGTCAGTCAGTCAGAAAAAGGGAGAAAGGGAGATAGAAGGAGACAAGAGGACTAGAGGGTAGTGCTGCGAGCGAACCGGTTTATTTGTCTCCATGTCTCTCTCTCTCTCTCTCTCATTTTCTTTTTGCCCTTATTATTAGGTATTCTTTTTTTTCCTTCTATTATTATTATCATTATTGTTGGTGATGTGTTTCGTCGACGGAGTTTTTCCACCCCCTTTTTCTTCTTTTCTGCGCCTGATTTCCGTTTCCTCTTTCTATAGCTGCTCTTGCTGCCTTTTGCAAGTGAAATGGCTACTACTTTTTTCTTTTCTTTTCTTCTTTTCCCTCCTGCCTTCTCCACCCCGCCTTCATCTCGGTTCATTATGATTGCGGAGTGTTCGGTGTGTTGTTATCGATAATGGTGTTGGTGTTTACCTAATTTGCTGTTGTGCTTTTGCGTGCTCGAGTGCTGCCGCGCAAAAAGACTACAGGAGTGCCTTTTTTCATTACCTTAGCTACTCTCTACGTACCAAGCTATAGATCTCCCTTCGGTAGTGTAGCTGATGATGAGAACAACACACAATCAGTGGCAGCACTAAATAAAACGAGCAACAGCTGATTAAATAACTGATCCATTGAGAAGCAAACCGAATCTTGAATACTTATTCTAATCCGTACAATGTTGTTTTGCTTCATAAGCGAGAAGTGGCCTCCTCTAAAAGGTTCGGATAGCCGTTGCAGGGGCAATAACGCGAACCTGCCGGTGCTGCCATCATTTGCAAATTACAAGATGTACAAGTTTATACAATACACTATTCCCGTCACGGATTTGTTGCTCCTTGAGCCTTTTCACTGTAAATTAGTCATGGTCATACTCATACACTCGTACTCGGGACGGGATATGTTTACCGGCGCCGATCGTTGCTCGCGCGGTGCTGGCCACCCTGGCCACGGTGACAACGCTGGCCGCGCTGGTAGCGCTGGCCACGCTGGCCACGCTGGCAGTTCTGACCACGCTGACGAAATGAAGGGTCCGAAGGGGGTAACGGGGAATCCGAATTCTATTACAATCCGCCCGAACCTTGACCGGACCCTCTGCCACCTCTGCCATAGTATTGGCCTCGGGGGTTTCCACCCCCACGTCCTCGGTTGTAATTGTTTTGCTCTGCTGGATACAGAGGGGGTTGTGGTTGGGCCCATCCACCAGTGAAGCCAGGTGCAAAACTCCCTGGGCCAGTCATCTGCTGCGCGGCAGGAGGCGGCGGGGGCGGCCAGGCGCCTTGGAAATTATGAGGCGGCGGAGGCGGAACCGATGAACCTCCCCAGTGGTTGTATTGCTGTGGGTGGTAGCTGGAGAAGGGGCCTGGCTGGTACGGCTGAGGCGGGTTTCGCGGAACAAATGTGTTCGTCTGCGTGCGAAACTGCATTCCTGGATTCCCAGGAGCCGGGACAGGAGCCGGTGCAGGAGCTGGTGCAGGAGCCGGTGCAGGAGCCGGCGAGTAGGATCGGCTCCGAGAGCGGGAGCGGGAGCGGGACATTGAGCGGCTATACCTCGAGCTCATTGGTCTAATGGTCCTGGACTGCGACCGCGACCGCGACCGCGACCGCGACCGCGACCGCGATCTTCGCTGCCGCTTGAATGCGGGTCTTGTTGAGCGCCTGCTTGAGCTTGTGCTGCGCGTGTGGGATCGGTTGCGACGATGAGGTACTCGTGACGAGCTACGCGACAGGCTATACGATCGAGGCGACCGCGTCCTTCCGCGCTGTTCTCCGTCGGGCGTGTTGTCGCCTCGTGCCCGAGCCTTCATCTGCTCGCAAAAGTTTCGGGACCAGCCATAGTACGTGTCTCCAACTGTAGATCCGGCCGTCTCATCATTTCGAAATTCTTCGCCCATCTGGTTAATGTCGGGCCGGGTCTCGTTGACATTGACCTCAGTTTCGTAGATTTTATCCACATCGACAAGAAGTTTCTTGACCGCGTCTACAAGATCTCCTGGGGGTGGGCCTGTTGGAAGCACGGTTGCCTTGATGTCTGATGGGTTCATAGGCCTGTTTGGCCGTTGTCTGAGCAAGCTAATCATGTTGCCGGCAGGCAGATCGAACCACGGCGTGGACAGGTCTCCATGTGTGGAGGGGAAAACGAAATTGGAGGTTTTGGCGGCCTTGGCCACGGCTGTCCCTTCGCTGCTGAGATCATGCTGCCCAGACAACGGACTGTCAAGTGCAGCCCGAAGCTCTGCAATAAAGGCGTCGGAGAAATACTTTCCCTGCTCCCAGAGCCCGATCAAGGCCTTGATCTTAGCCACATGCTTTGGGCACTTTGCAAAGGACGAGGTGCTGCTGAAAAGGGACGGAATGACTGGACCAAGGCTCTCCAGATTCTTGGCGAACGATTCATCGCTCATGCGGACCTTGGTGTGGTAAAGAATGTCGTTCAAGATGTACAGAAGCGAGAGACATCTCCGCTTTGCTGAAGGCTGACGCACCCGGCCTGACTGCGGCTGTGGCTCGGCTACACGAGCAGCACCGCCGCCTTTCTCTGATGCAAACGAGCTAGCCAAGGCAGCCAGGTATTTGCAGAAAAGCGCGACGAGCTCAGGCGAGTTAACAACAACGCGGAGCGCCCACTGCTTGCATTTCTATACAATACCGCAAAAATGACGTTCAAACGACGTTAGCAAGCAATCCATAAGAGTCAACATGAGTTAGGGGGAAATGATTCAAACCTGGATGTTGGTAGGCGAGCCCTGCGTGAAGGTGGCATCGAGGAACTTGAGTATCTCGTTAAGTTCAGCGAGGCCTCTGGCAGGCGGAGCGTGCGCGCGGATCAGCGCTGAAGTCAACGCCACCTTGGCCTTGCCCACAACTTCTTGTGCTTCTTGTGATGCCATTGCGACTCCGGTACAACCTGTATGAAGAAAAAGGGGAGGTTGCGGTAATTACGCCCACGAGTTTGGGCCAAATGGTTGTAGTCGAATGAGAAGCTGTACGTCGTGAACACGTCTGAGGTTCGGTGATTGACGCGTGCCTTCCTGAGTTCAAGTACAGTGAAGGAAGCCCGACCCTGCACTGTTGACCAGGGTGTGGGGCAGCTATCCGTCGGCACGCTAGTACGTATTAGAACTTGGTCTTGTGCAGAGACTCTACCCTTGATCGAAGCTTTGGAGGGTGCCACAGTCGCCCCACTTATTGAGAAGCTCTGCATCAGCATCCTGAAGGTGAACTGATTGACACGCTTGCGCCCTGACATAGTTATGGAAATTATTACCTAGCAATATTCCATGGACGTTGCATCTGTCAACTCGAGTTGCATTGGATCGGCTCTTATTGATCAATCTACTACTCGGTAATACAAAAATAAGATACTGTATTTTTGGGGAACTCAAGACCAGCAAACACAGTAGTTCAGAGACATGATTGAATAACGATACCAACACACTGAGGGGAGAGTAAAAGTTTCTGTTTGAGAACGCCTCTTGGTAAACAGTTGCAAAGAAGCCATCCACAACCGCCGACAGCAATATTAGGTCCAGGACACGGAGTTCGAGGTTTACCGAGATCAGTCTACCCACCTCCCACACGAACCGAACCAAAATGCCTCCACACACACAATCATTACACGTAACTCTTCACAGTTTTCTCGCCGCCCCATCTAGCCCCTTAAGAAAACCGATCGCCCTTTGGGCTTCGGAACGGCGTGCTGCTCTCGTATTTGCTTTTTTCGAATACCCGCTCGCTCTCGGTGGCGGGGGCATGCCTTGTAGGGGCAGGGTCGCTGCTGGATTCCTGGCTGGGCGAACCCGCCGTGTCTGTCCGCGCTGGTCCTCCGTTGGCGCTAGATATGGGAGCGGCCGAGCCTCCCATTGCTGCTGAGGATAGCGGCCGGGTCGGGATGTTGTCCGAATACTCGAGCGATTCAACCATGCGCTTCTTCTTCCGCTGCTCTTCCAATCGAGATTGGCGATCCGCATTGATGCTGCGCTTCGCAAAGACATATGCTCCGGCACCCGCTGTGCGCCGGCCGAAAGAGCTTGTCAGTCCAACCACACGACGTCAGGGGGGATTCGAAATCGGCGGCCATATCATACCAACACACAAAGACCCCCAACCAAGCCTGCAGGGCGGCGTTGTCATCAGCTCTCGAACGGAGCTCGTGATGTGGGCGACGGTCGGGATTCGTCTTACCAGAAAGATTTGACCTGCGTGGCACGTAGTGAGCATGGGATGATGTAATGAACAAAACCTGGCCACATTGCTGGGCAGAAGAAGAGACCAGTTCGGGCGGGAATCCAACTTACCGTGTTCATTTTGGCGCAATTGAGCTAGCGACTGCTCGAACTACGAATCTAAGCAATTGGGATACGTCGACGATGGTAGGAGAAAGAAAGTGCGATTTTATCAGGATCGAGAGAGGTCTTTCGCCGACTTGCGCGAAGTGGTTGTGGTGTGATGTCGACGTTCTAGAAGAGCTTGGTTCTACTATTATTCCGTATCGCTATCGGTGCAACGACAAACTCCAGCCGAAGGCGGGGCCCTGGGCCCAGTGAAGACCCCACAGGGCAAGCGAATAACTGAAACGCAAACCCCCCGTCAACAGCCAGTTCCCACATTTAATAATAATGTTTTGTGAGATGATGGCTGTAAATACGAGTGAAAAACTACCTTTTACGGAACAACATACCAGGTATGACCCGGGAAGTTAGCGGCTCATTAGCGGCAATGTGTATACAGTCCAATCCCTACGAGGGAGAGGGGGTCAAAAACCGGGGGTACTTGGGATCTGAAAACGGGTCCCTCTTTCCCTCTGTTAGTGACCCACGGACCTGTGTAAAACGGTGACTTCCGTTTTCGAACAAGCTGCCTCCCACCCATAACGTTGGCTCCGCCCCGCTGAAAGAGACCCCAGCGTGCATTGCACTACAGCCAAGAATGGAGGGCTCCGCTGAACGGTCCCTTTCTTGCTTGTATGGAAATCACAGCCATAGAACGTCATGAGTTACATCTCGCCTTCTCAGCGTATATCCAACCAGGCCGGCCCCTATCATGCCAAAAGTGAAGTATCGGATTTCCGCAGGGCCCCTGCTTGTGGGTGGCGGAAGCTGTGGTCCAGAGAGGCGGAATACAGTGAGTATTCCAGTACAATAGTAGGCTTAAGGGAAGCAAAAAGCCGTGATTACAGTGGACTCTGCACTGTAACAAAGGTTCCTACAGAAGCCGAACGCTCCAACCCCCAACGTGTATGCCAACACGCCGACAGGCGCTGGCCGTAGCAAAGCTCGCCCTGGTGGCTGAGTTTCTCCGACGGCCAGATAGTGGGTTCTCAAGCAAGTGGTGGAGCAAGATGTACCGCGACCGGACCTCTATGGGCAGAGTCTGGTTGCCTGAGAAAGCGGCGGGGTATTGAAGTCCAAATTTGAGGGCAATTGATCCTTAGTACCCATCGTCAAGCTAGTAATCCTTCCATCAGAATATCAGAATATCTGGAAATAACGTCCACTTTCCGCACTCAATAGCGTAAATGAAACCCAAAGACGCCTTTGGTATTAGCAAGGAAGCACGACTTTACCGACTTCCGAAGAAGGGACGAGGCAATAAGGGTTACTAAATAATTACAGACTAATAAATTAGAACGATAGGCCCCGGTCTTCGGAAGTCACCCGCTAACATACATCTAGGGATTGGATTGTATGGGTTGCCGTTCATACCGTGGGTTGCCTATACCTAACGCTACGCTACTCTGACTGAGGCTAAAAGTTGTTGCCTACGGCAGGTACCTTACCCCAGTATCCGTACATGTGTGTACCTACCTTATGTATGTACCTGGGTGCACAGCAACCCTAACTGCCGGCGAAATCTTCCCTGAGGAGCCTGCGGAATACACATCCCTTAGCAACCTCGCTTCTTCTGATTCGCCAGCTCTGGTGCACCGCGCCACTGGTCAGGCCACTGGCTGTTTTTTCACTGTTAGTCCAGTGTTCCTTCCGCTCCTCGACCTTCAGAATACCTTACCTAAGGTACGGAATACAGATACCGAGTCCCCACTTTTCTTAACCTTGCGACCCAGTCCCTTTGCATCTTTCATATCGGAAGGCAGGTGCCTTGGGAGAGGTCACTTACAGCAGCCTTGAACCTTCAATTCTCACTTGCGGGGGGAATTGCGGGGCTACTCGCTACGGCACTTTGCGAGGGCTAGGACAAGCGGTCCATATACGAAGTATTTCATTCACGAATAGCCAAGGTATCTGGATACCTGACTGACTGGACACAGTCATGGCATCTGCGTTTTCCCACCAACAAGATGACGGTAGCGCCGGCGTCACAACATCTGGCGACGTCAACGTCGATGTCGAGCATGCACCAGCACCCGCCTTCACGGTTCCTGCCAGAAGGCTGGGTGCCCTAGAACACCCCATGGTAGCCCTGAACGTCGACAAGGTGCTCAAGACATTTGGCCAAAATTATGCGCTCGAGGCCGTGAGTACCTAATTTGTTGTACTGGACTATACTATGATTCAACAGCTAAACAATGACAGATATTGGACTCGGCCAGTCCCCATGTCTCTGTCCCACTGTATATGCGCCCTGACAACCCAACCTCGAGACCGTTGACGTCGCACAATGCCTTGACCCACAACATTGTCATCAAAGTCACGGTTCCAAAGCGGACTGGGCGGAAGCGCAAGCGAGGCAGCAATGATCCCTTCGAAGGCCCTACACAGCCTGCCGACCCTGCCACCATATCCTCCCGGGATCGGCTTGATCTCCCACGGAGCGTCAGGCGCAAGTTGTGCGACAATGTTGGCAAGTACATTGTCGAGCCAGTCGGTGTCATTGCCAACACCCACCGGTACAGAGGTAAGCGATGCCGTACCTGCTCCCCTTTTGCGTGCTCGTTCCCCGGCTGGCTAACAAGTTATTCCAAGGCCTCGCCGATTTCCAGTATGCGCTGGGGAACTCTGCCTTCATGAGCCGGTTCTGCGAGAAGATCATTCCCGGCGATGTCGCAAAGCTCAAGGAGTTCTCGTTGCAGCCCGGTATAGAATCTGGCAGCAATATTGACCTGATCCCGCCTCCCAACTTCACAAACATGAATCTGCCCTTTGGCTACAACTACCAACAAAACCCCTACACCAAAGAGATCAGTCCAGGAATGTTGTCGGCGGACGAAGGCATGTCGGAGGATCAAGAGTACGGCCGCGTAGTCAACGTTACCTCGCGGGTCCCCGCCGCCGGCTACTTTATAGCCCACGACGAGTACCCGGTTCCGAGCGGGCCCCGACGGCAGCCCAACATGTCCGACCCTCAAGTGGCCATGATCATGACGGAGATGCGACTTGCCATGGAGGAACGCCCTATCTGGACCCGCCGCAGCATGTGGAACCGGCTGGGCTCCAAATTCGAGGAGCTGCCCAAGAGCGGCAGCCTTGTCCGCCATTGCCTGCAGTATGCGGGATATCAGTTCAAGGGCGGACCGTGGCGCGACGCGCTGGTGCGGTACGGTCTAGACCCGCGCAGCGATCCCAAGTATCGCGTGTACCAGACCTTGATCTTCAAGCTACACAAGACGCGCATAGGAACTGTCGGTCGGTCATGGCAGAGTGTCAGGCGCAATGAGGTCGGCGTCACCAATTTTGGCAAGTACTGGCAAGAGATTGGCGACGACCAAGCGCTCAGAGACACGCACATCTTTACCGGCGAGGCATTCAGCACCGACGGCAAGGTGTGGCAGGTGTGCGATATCACGGACCCTCTCCTCGCCCAGCTATTTTCCAACGCCGAGGTGCGCCCAGAATGCGATGTGGAAATCAGTGGCTTCTACCATCGCGTCCTGTGGTCTGTAGCCAAGGCCATCATGAAGTGCAAGATGCTGGCCATCAGGTTCAATCGAAGCCTCACCGACGACGACTTCCGCATGACCCTCGAAGCCGTCCAAGGCCCTAACGATGGCGGGGACGGTGGTGGCGGCACAAGCATTGGCATCAGCCTCCCCGACCTCCAACTTACGGCCGCCGAGTGTGAGCAGCTCCGAGGCAAGAAGATGCGCCCCGGCGTCAAGCCAGGGCGCGACAGGTGGGTGGAAAAGAGAAAAAAGACGCACTACCGCGTCCGCATCCCCCTGAAACAGGCCGAGGAGAGAGAAGCCGAGAAGATGATCCGCCTCCTCTCTAGGGGCAAAGGGGGCGGTGAAAGCACGTCACTTCCTGGAAAGAACAAATCCGGCGATGACCCGGAAACGGCAACACTGGTGCATCCCACGGTGCATCCAGTTACAGATGTCGCTCGACTTGCCAATAAAGAGAATAACGGCGACGTTGCCAGTGAGACGAGCGGTGGGAGAGAAGACGAGGACGGAGACGAGGCGTCGGGCACATTCATGGAGCTCTTTGACAATCTCGATGACGAAGGAGACAGCGAGGACGACGAGGACGGCGATAGCGTGGAAGATATGGACGATGACGAAGATGAGGATAACGACGACGACCTGGACGATGACCTGGACGATAACGGCGAGCCAAAGACATTTGGCGCGAGCTACCACGCCAAGGTCAGCACTGGAGCCGGAGGCCAGGATCTGATGGGCTATGGCTGGTTCGCTGTCGAGGACGGCGAGGGCGGCCTCGGCGACGAGTACGAGGAAGAGAACGACGAAGCCGAGGGGAGCGACGACCTGGCAGACAGCGCCGAGGGCGAGTACGAGTCGGCCGCGGAAGAGGACGAGGCCGGCTACTACGAAGGGGATGGCGATAATATCCGCGGCCTCGGGGCAGGCGAGTGGGAGGGCGCGGACGAAGAGGAGGACCAAGACCTCAGCGACGCCGAGGACCCCGACGCCCATGTAACGTATCCGGCATACTAGGACTATGTTTGGTAGGATCCCGCAAGGATATGCGGAATCTGGAATTTTGTGGCCCATCGTGGATAGGTAGCATAGGGTTTGTATATCAGTGTAGAAGTACCTCACCCCCGGGCTTGGCTAGTTGCCGTCATTGTCATATTGGCCACAGTAGATGGTTGATATTTTGACCAGATAATGGAACCAGATCTCTCATCACTGACACACTTCTGGGTGCTTCGTTTTTGCGTAAATCTCGCGTGTTTGGGAATTAAGAAGAGTAAACTAAGGCACCTATGGTGTCGTTCGTTTTTGAGGCGTGCTCGAAGAAATACAACCTCCCCTTCTTGCTTAGCTGATTTGCTGCAAGATGCATCTATCGCCCATCTATTCATTAGTTCATGTACGGAAATTCTAGTTAGTAAATACATAAGAAGAGAGAGTACCAATAAGAACAGTAAAAAATAGTAGGAACAGCAATAATGGAAAGAAGACGAGGAGAGGAAACGAAGCCACCTGTGTAGAAAAGAAGGAGTTCGCTTTTGTGATAGGCAGGCAGGCGTGTCGAAATCACGTTCTGAGGAAACCGGCAGAGGAATAAATATATAGGTACCTAGATAATATTTTCTTTTTTTAATAAAAATAAATAAACAAAGAATGAAAAGATAACTAAGTTGCATGTGTGCGCGAGTAGTGTCAGTCTTTTGCTCTCTCTTTTTTTCCTCTTCAGAAGGAAATGGTATCTTGTATCATCCATCCACCCCCTCAAACCCGATCCTTATTCTCTGAGCCTCTTTCTACCCGCGATCCTATTAATCTCTCCCCGTTAGTATGATTCTTTCGTTGGTGTGCAGGCATGTAACTAAATTTCCAATTTCCAATTATAGATTCGAGCACCCCACATCCTTCTCTCCCGAATCCTCAGAAGATAAAAAGTGAGAAGACGAGAATGTGGCCATGCTGGAGAAATGATTCGGGGATTATTTTATTGTTTCCAAAAACTTGTTTTTGTAAGGTTATTTGTGTATCCATGTCTACCGCATGCCATGCATGCTGTGATAGATGTCTATGTATTGGTTGATAGGTAGGTGTTTGAATGTGTAAGTATTAATTTGTCCGAACTTGTCCTTGCTTTTTTTTTTTTTTGGTTGTCATTCTATTTTCACTGCACCTGCAATAGCCTCGTCCTGTTTGCTTTTTGCTGCACGGTGGCCTTGACCCAGGCGTCGACCTCGGCGAGGGCGCGGCGGGGGCTCTTCTTGCGCTTGAGCAGGAAGCCCTGGATCTCGGCCGGGCTGAGAAGCTGGTTGGGAGGGATCTTGGTGGCGAAGGCGACCGCGATCAGAGAGAGCTCGGTCGGCGTGAAGGGGCTGCTGTCGTCGCCTTTCTCGCTGATGTCGGTAGCAGCGGTAGCTTGGACGTCAAGAAGCAGCTGGGGCCGTTTCGTTCCCTTTTGGTGTAGTAGCTTGGGATCATGGGCGGCGGTCTTTATCGCCGGGGCAGCTAGGGGCGCCGCCCTTACTTCCTCGAATATATCTTCCACCTCGGTCGATCCGTCGCTGACATAGTTCATGTCTTTCTCGGACAGGGAGGGCGACGATGGCTCCGTGACTAAGACCGGGCTCTCTACTGGCGTGGCTTTTGCTGGTGTGTGGGCGGGGGACACTCGGTGGTCGGCCTCGTACATGCGCTCGAACAGCTCCCTGGCTTGTTCTTGGGTAGCGTTAGTGAAGCCGACCTGCAGGTCGACCCGGCCGGGACGGATGAGAGCCTCGTCGAGGGTCTCGGGCTTGTTTGTTGTCATGATGAGGACGCGGCCCTCGTGCGAGGCCACGCCGTCGATGGCGTTCAGCAGCCCCGAAAGAGAGATTCCCTTGTTTTCCTGGGACGGGCCACCGTGCCTCTTGAGCTCTCGAGCGAGATCCGACACCTTCCAGTCATCTTTGCTCGCCTTTGTCTTCTTCTGCTTCTTCTTGCTGTTGCTGTCGTCCTTTTTGGCGGTTTCGTCGTCATCGTCGGCGTCGGAACTGTCAGCCTCGTCGGCGTCGAGACGACGGGCCAGCCCGGCGGTGTCGATATCCTCGAGAAGAACTACACAGCGGCGCGGGAGGGCGTTGAAGAGAATGGCAAGGTCTTCTTCGCCTAGGGAGGGGTCGAGAAGCGAGATGACGAATATGTCGAGGCCGAAGACACCGGCAAGCGCAAACGACAAAGAGGTCTTGCCAGTCCCCGGAGGCCCATGGAAGAGATAGCCGCGTCGCAGCGGGATGCCGCGATTGGCATACCATTGCGGCGTCATGGGGTGGAGATACTCGTTTATGTCGGAGAGGACGTGGACCTTTTGCTCTGCGTCGAGTACAACGGTACCCATGGGACGGACGGGGCGCCTAGCCACCTCGGTCCATACGCCATGACCTCCGTAACGGCGCATGTTCTGAGAACTGGGCCGCTTGACGGTGGTCATGGCGTGGTGGTCGAGGTAGTACTGCTCCTTGGCGTGCTGGAGGAGCTTTTTGATGGGCTCGGGAGAGCGGCCGAAGCAGGAAATGACTAGGTCCTCCTTGTCCTTTGTGGGCGTATAGCTGCCGTGGTAGCCGCCCATGCCCCCGTTTGGCGCAACAGGTTCCTTCTTGCGGTGGATTCTGAAATAGCGGCCGCCGTGCCAGAAGCCGTGGATGCCGATAGCGGGAATGAAACGGGGCGGGGCTTGTGCCTCCTTGTTGGAGAAGTTCAGGTAGATGCCCGAGTCATCGGGGGGCACATGATCGGCCATGATATCTGAATCCTGGTCTTCGGCGTCCCAGGGAGTCATGTAGGTGCTCTCTGCGGTAAGCGAGCGCGAGTTGACTAGTTCGGGCTGAGAGGACAGCCATTTTATCAGGTGCGTGTAGATGTCGTCGTAGCTGTTGACGTGGATGTCGGCCATCCAATACTGGCGGCTCAGGCTGAACAGGGTCCCGTACAGCTGCTGGCAGAGCTTGCTCAGGGCCCACGCAAAGCCGCCGATGGCGAGGATGACGGTTGGATCGAGGCCAAAATGGGTGCCTGTCAGCCTGTGAAGGACCATGAAGATCTTGAGCAGTGGGTTGAACTGCCAGCCCAGAAGCGGGGCGAGACTCTCCATGAAGCCCTCTGTAAAGCCTGCCGTGCTGTTGTTACTGCTTGTGTTGCTGCTTGCCGCGAGCGTGGGCAGTGCGCCCATGAGGAGTGTGTTTAGGTCCATAGCGTGGCTCTGGATGAAGTTGATGCGATGCAGAATGTGATGGTAAGGGAAGAAGAGAATAAATACAAAGAAAGAGTTGCGCGCGCTATTGCTAGCAGAAGGTTACGACTACTACGTCTACCAGTTTAGGAATGGGCAGAAGGAGAGTATATTTATAAACAAAGGCGAGGCGCTCGTAGGATTCAAGAGGCCTCGATGTTGATGGTGGAGCTGTCTGTCTTCCAGGTTGGGTGTGTTGCTATCTCTACGCGCGGGGAAAGTGTGAGGCTCTTGGCTGGCCCATCAGCCTCGTCCCAAGTTTGTCACGGTTTTTTCTTTCCCTTGGGGGTGAGTGACTGGGCGTGAGTGAGGCAAAGAGGATAAGTAAGATGGATGGCAGACGGGTCGGCGGCCAAAGTCTAGACCCGACCTGACCTGACCTGACCTGGGAGTGAGTGGGTGGTCTTGGTCTTCTGGTATTTGGACGGACGGGAACTTAGCTGCACGAAGGTGGAACCCAGCGGTCCCAGAGCAGAGTTAAGGCCATCATACAGGCCGCCTGTCACACTCAATAGGGCGTATCGGCTGGGCGGTTCATACGCACGACATTCCTTGAACGACCAAGACGGCATGTTATCTGTCCCCACCGCCGGCTCCGTGCGCGGTTTCGAGCGGTTTCCAACCGGGCGAGCTGGGCTGTCAGGTCAGTTCAGTTCGGGTCAGCAGGCGATACTACGTCAGCCATGGGTCAAATGGGTACCGCAGGTACTCTCTGATCTGCTCGGTGTGTTCCCGTCTCCTTCTGGGCTCTTACACGCGGAGTGCTTGGTACCCGCGGGGGTGTCTTTAAAATCCGAGGGCGGTAGCAAAAGCCATGGCTGGCCGTGGTAGGAAGCATGTGTGGTCAGTTGGACCCAGCTTATGCATGGCCGCTGCCTTCCAAAGCGAACGGTACTCTCGACCAATCAACGTCTGGTCCTCTGTCGGATTAGGAAGTTCCCAAGTTTGGGTTCGACCCATGACAGCCATTCCCGGTGGGAGGCGAGGCCGCCGACAAAAGCCGCCCACGGCCCTGGGAGATTTGTTCCGCATTTCCAGCGTACACGTAGTACAGTGCCTATCTATCCAAGTATATAAATTCCGTAGTTATGCTGCCTGCATCTTGCCGGGCTGAACCCCGACTGTCCTTGAACTCGTCATGGGCATGCGCCTCACCGAGGCCCAGAGATTGGCATTGGCTTGGCCTGGTCTGGAAAAGGGTCGGCCTGGCCTCAGCTGAGGGGATTTGGCAAAGGGCTGGAGGGACGGAGCTGTGGATGGGCGCGGAGCATGGAGCCGTGAGTAGCCAGCAATGGAATAGAATAGCTGGAGAAGCAAAGTCGACTTAGTAGCCTTACGGCGACGCGGCTCTCGTGCGCCCGGCGACCAGGACGACTCACCACCTCTCACACCACACAGTTTGGAAGAGAGACCCTGTTGAGGGCTTGAGGCTCTTTCGAGAATTGTACATAACGATGCATGCACCAATGAGGGGGCGAGTCAAAGTGTTCTTCAGCCTCCAAGCCTTGGCGTGCAGAGCGCTCTTTAAAAGCAAGGATTGGATGCCGGCAAGAGGCGCAGCAGCAGCAAATGACATTCAATCCACCTGATGTGCCCTGCGCCAAACCCTTTCTGTTTGCCACTAGACCCAACCCGGCCAGGCGTCTAGCCGCTTTTGCGACCGCGCACTGTACAGGTGACCCTGACAAACAACAATCAACAACAAGGAACCGAAGAGGGCGGGCGTTGCAATCCGTGCGGTCCGTACGGATAGCCTCGCGCAAGGTCGCGAGGCTCGGTTGTGACACTGTCGCCGAACAACATATGTCCGGACCGGGCAAGGCAACCACTGCGAATCAGCTACCAAATTGACTCACGTCTGCCTGCCCCAACCGTGTTCTCGTACAGTATTGGAGCCACCTCCTGTTCTGTCCTCTTTCGTCGGCCTCTGTACCCCGAGTTATAATAATTGGGCATCAAAAGATAATTGCTCGCTGCTGGTCAATCCGCTGCCACCGGCTCCGAGATTAATAATTAATTATCTGCCAACTTCCCGCGTGGTCTTACTCTGACCTTCGAGTAATTCTCTCTCTAATAATTAACATACGGAATACGGAATACGGAGTACTGGACGTATGAAACACATAGTCCTACATGGGGCTGTGATAGCAATACCTGGTGATTATAACTCTTAAAGCTGATGTTTACAATGGGCGTGATATTGGGTCATATAATAACTGGAACGTCCATGTCTATCTGGCCACTCACTGGTTTAAGAGAGCGTTTCAAGAAACAAAGCAGGCACCGTCTCATTAGAATTCGGAGCTCAGGACGGGCTCTGTTTTTAAGCACTGGAATTTAACAAGACGCCGTCTATTCGATTTAATCAGTGTAGAGGCTACGGTAGGTAGGCAGTGCCTATATATCATATCTAAGCCTGTTACACTTGATTCGTTTCCAACGGGCCAGATAATAAAGAACAGTATGATAATTACGCTAGCGAACTTGTGAATCTTTGCGAGAAGTTTTTGCAACTGCTCATTCATTCCGGGATATCTATGGGAGAGCGGACAGGGTCCCGAGATTTCTAATGAGTGTGATCGTATGTCTTATTAAAAGAAATAAAGAAAAAGCGAGGTTAAGAATAAAAGAACAAAACCTTAATCTTTGTAAGAGAAGGCAAATACGCCGGATCAAGGTGGTCACGATGGAGGCAACATAGAGGGCGAGCAATGACTGGTATTGGTGTAAGACTTCAACCTGGCCCTCGCAAAGGAAGGGGCGAGGGCCACTGTTTATATACATGCTCAGGGGCTCAGTCCTGCGTGTGCTTGTGAAAGCTTGTGGGGGTGTGGCGCCATAGTGTGGCTTTAGTGGCTTTAGTGGCTTGTGCCAACGGGCAGTGGCCTGGCCAGTTGGTGCTTTTCCTTACACCTTCAAACACTGCTTTCCACATATGTACCATTCTGACCGTCTTAATCTCCTCTTTTCCCCAGTATCATTGGCTTAGGTCTACGATAACTGTGGGCCCACAATCACTCTTCGAAGTACTATAACTTCAATAAAAATCTTTCTGGTACTTGTACCTATATCTTCCGACATATAGAGTCCTAGACTCTACCACAGTACTGCCTTATAGGCACTTTTCATCACTTATATTGATGTTCAGTCTAGTCTATACGCTCACTGTGCGGACAACTTGGCGAGGTTTCTTCTCATCGGAACCGAGTCACGTTATGCTTATTCCCTGCTTCGGTGTCTCCTAGACGTAGGACGAGAGTACCTCTATTTTGATTATATTGAATAGCGTTTCGGATTTGAAGTCTTATGAAGCCAAATAAGCAGTGGGTTAGAGTTGATGAAAGTGCCAGTGCTTGAAAGTTGAGTTCGTTCTGGCCAACTGGGATTTCTCTTCTGCATGATATCAGTGGACTTATTTGGTGTAAAAAAAACATAAAGCACAATTACCATCTAGAGAGAAATTGCATGTCGCATTATATATGTTCTCAATACAGAATGATTGATGAGATTGAGACGTGAGGCGTGAGATGAGGCGGCGGACCTGAGAGTGAGATATGCACGAGTCCCAATCCAGCCGGCCCCCTTTGCCCCTCCTCTAAATAGCACCGCCAAGACTGTTTCGACGTCTTCTTGTCTTCAGAAGGATTTGGCTTGACCGAGCAACCCGGAAGCGGAAAATAGGTACAACAATACATCCCAATCCGAGCTATGTCGCCGAGGATGCGAATGCGAATGCATGCTACCTCCTTTCAGAACTCCGCCAGGCTTGTAACGCGCGTGCGTGCGAGTCTCGGAGTTTCTGCTGTTGTTGTTCTGAGATGATCTCTGACCAGGACTTCTCACCACTTTAAATGGCTCTCTCAGTATCTCCCCTCTCTCTTCCAAGGCCACTGGGGAGAAACACCGAAAAAGAGACGAGACAAGAAAAAACAAGAATGGCAACACGACGCCCCCAAACGCTCGCCAAGCACGCTATCCTGGCCTCGCCGTTCCTGGCCATAACGTGGCTCTGCTTCAAGCAGATGGACTTTGCCAAGCTGGGAGCGCACCCGTAGCCGGCGCTGGCGGCGGGCAAGATCGAGTGGAATTCTGAGGGGGGCGGGTCGGTGGTGCTCCGGGAGCGCTTCTACGGGATCGCGGCCGTCGACAAGACGTTCCGCGGCGTCACCGTCATCTTCTCGCCGTCGGCGCTCGGCTACGTCCCCGTCAGCGCGTGGCAGATGCTGAGTTTTTTGAGCGATCTCGGCCCCGTCTACGCCGTCTGGACGCTCGAGTCGTGCCGCGCCGGGAATGCCTGGTCGCCTGCGGCCTTGTGAGTTCCACGTCCTGAGTTTTGAGTGAGACCTGCCAGGAGAGGGTTTGCGAACACGACAATAATGATAGAATGCAATTCAGCGCAACCTTCTGGACCACGCCCTCGCAGCTCGTAGGCATCGGCAGCGCCGGCCCCGTGTTCTACTTCCTGCTGCTCGTATTCGGGCCGACGGGGAGCGATCTCGCGTGATCTCCCTCTGCTGCAGTGGCGCTGCAGCCGGCGTACTACGCGCTGCAGCTCCCACTGATCCTGGCGCTGCACAACGCCGAGGTGCTGGCGGCGTACCTGGCGCCGGACCTCGCGACGCGGTACTACTGGACGTGGGCGTGGCAGCTGTCGCCGACGTGGATCGGGCTGGCCAACTCTGTGGGTGCCCACACGGTCGTGCCGCTCCTGCGCTGCCGCTTTGCGGGTAGCAAAGCATTGCTGCCGTCGTCGCCCCGGATGGTCCTCGCCGACATCGGCCTCGTCGCCGCGGGAGTATGGGTCTACACGCTGGCTTTTGCGCCGTACAGCGCCGCGCAGATTTTCGTGCCGGGAAGGGCTGCCGAGACCGACTTCATATCCCACACGCGCCGCGCGCTCCAGTTCGACGAGCTCTGCTCGTTCGCGGCCGGCTTCTTGTGGCTGTCCTACTCTGTCGGCGATCTCTACGCCGCCGCTCTGATCAAGGGCGGTCTGGACTTGGTGCCGCTGGTCCTCCTCCCAATAATAGGGGGGTGTGTGGGCCCTGGAGCGTTGCTGGCGGTGACGTGGTGGTGGTGGTGGAGGGAAACTAAGTTGTCGACAATCAAGGTAAAGAGGGCCGCCTAGATGTACCTATTTGTTCTGTGTCTTCAGTGTTTGCTCTTCATCACATAGACAAATAGCAACTTGTTTCTGTTTTCGCCAAGCACTAGTTCGCCCAAAATGAATAATGCTAAAATTGTCGCTTTTCCAAGATTTTGATGACCACCGCAAACCGCCCATGCCCGCCGCTCGGCCAGGGCAGCCTTCTTCAGCCGTTAATATAGTCAACCTCGTGCCTGCCCATGCGTGCCTAGTTGGTCTATGTTTTACAACCGTTGAGCTTGCCCTAGACTTCCACTTCAACGCCCTCGTCCAACTCAACATCAGCCACTGAAGACACCAAGTCAGCGGGCTCCGCTTCGCTGTCAACCTCAACGAAACTATTGCTCGCTAGATCGCCCGCATCGGACGTCTTCGCAGACGACTCTGCCTCCCAGAGGTGCGCGCCAGCTTCTCTCAGCAGCCTGACGCATTCGTCGTTTCCCATCTTCTCCGCCAGATACAGTGGCGTGTTGTTGGCCCGGTTACGAGGGTGGACGCTTGCACCACGTGTCAGGAGGACGCGGAGAATCTCAGGCTCGGGCCCAACAGCCGCAAGATGCACTGCTGTGTTCCCGGCGTAGTCCGCTCGCTTGAGAAGCTGGTAGTTGACCTCGTCGCCCTCGAGAATTTCGCGCACTGTGCGGACATCGCCGTTGCGGATTGAGTAGCCGAGTGCCGTAAAAGCGGATTCTGTGGGCCATGAACAGAAGCAAGACATTAGTCTGTGGTTGATATGTAGAAAAAGGTAGAAAATAAAAGAAGACGACTCAGTAACATAAAATTTGGCACCGGCCATAACACGCGCTCTAGAAAACTGAAGATAATATACCTGCCGAGGTTAAGCGGGCCACAGCTGAGTCGATGCTGCCTGCTGGGTGCGAGAAGGACGGCAACGTCATTTCGGTCATCTCGCCGCGTAGAGAGTGCGACATCTGCGTCGTGATTTGAGTGTAAGTCATGTTGGGGAGGGCTAGGAGATACGACAGCTTCGTCAAGGCGGCTTCCGTCGTTAGATCATGGCCAAACACGACGCCGGCCCGTCCCAGAGCCGTGCCCGGCGCGTAGAGCGGCGAGACAAACCCATTTGTGCACTGGCTCACGTTGACAATGACAATGCCTCGCTCGACCGCCAGCCTGATCACTTTGGTTAAGCTGCCGTCCACACCGCCGGGCGCGTTCCCCATGCCAAATGTTTCTAAGATGAGGCCCCGTAGATTTGGCACCCCAAGCACAGAACCCACCATTTCAGGCTTGATACCAGGAAAGATACGCAGGCACGCCACATGTGCAGTATCGAGATACTTGGTGACTTGGAACTCGGCAATCCGGGTCGGTCTTCGCACGAGCGACCAGTTGACGTCTACCCCAAGGCTCGTTACCTTTGCCAGTGGGTCGCTGTTGGGGCTGTCGAACGCTTCGAAAGACGAGGCCGAGACCTTGGTGGTTCTGTTACCACGAAAGAGCGTGTGGTGAAAGAAGAGGCAGACCTCAGGGATGACAAATGTCCCCGCGATGATGAGCGAGCCTAGTAAGTTGTCTACCGCGTCCGACTGCAAGGCAAAGATGGACGCCTGCGACCCAGTAAGAATGACCGGCTTCCCGAGATCAGACATCATGAAAGACAAAGCGGACGCGGTATATGCCAGCGAGTCGGTCCCATGGAGGACCACGAAACCGTCGAACAGATGGTAGTTCTCCTTGATCGTCAGGGCGATCTCCGTCCAGCCGATGGACGAGATGGAGCTCGAGTCAAGCAGCGGATGGAATTCCAGTATTCCATAACGTATATGGCGCGAATATGCGCTGGGAGGAGTTCTCAGACTGTCCAGGCTGGTCCTCGTTCCGTTCTTGTATGCGTGGATCTTGACTTTGTTTTGGCAGAAGAATTAGCCAGGGCCATTGCTGAGAAACGGCATTAAGGTTGAAGATTCGACTCGTGATGTTGGTCAATTTCACAGATAACACAAGCACTCGACCCCTTCGGCCGGTGCTCGGTAGATTTGGGGAGAACGAGGCTGAGGTCCTTTTGTGAATCTTGGTATAAGGGAATGTGCCTCGTAGCTCCGGGCTCCAAATGGTGTGCATGCTGGGAGATAACTTGGTATTCCTGGGCTTGACTTACCCGCGGGAGTTGAACTGTCATTGAAGGACGGCCGAGGGGCCATGGCATTCTCTAGGAAGCCCGTCATGGGGACCAAACCATCAGCAGATGGCTGCATGCAGATGGTCCCGCCTGTCATGATGATGAGCACCCGCGACTCTGGGTAGCGAGACTCAGGGTTCTCCCGCTCCATGAAAGTAACACCCCCCATTCTGTCGGCGGGAGTGTCGGCGGCGGGAAGAATACCGGATATGGCAGGCTATTGCTTGATATGGTTCTGTGTTTTTTAGTAGTTTAGTTGTCAAGTAGACTTCCGTCGAGTTCCCCAGATCCAAGGTATTCAGGAAAAGGGACTGGTAGGTATTGATTGCCACTTGAGCAGCCCTTATTCAGCGGAGCTTTCCCAAGAAACTCTGATCGGAACGGTTCCGGTTCCAGGATGCCTGGGCCGCTTTCCAAGCAAGAAAACCACGAAAAGAAGACTAGCATCCGATCCGACACTACAGCCCACGCAGCCGCTAGACGAATAACTTGGTTGTTCCTACAGCCCTCGCAGCCGCTAGACGAATAACTTGGTTGTTCAAGCCCGAGCAAACTGTTGGCGTTGCAGTGTCATGTGCGCTTGATCTAAAAGTTTGTTAAGTAACAGAAAGCTAGCGGTGGATCCGACTGGACAAAGAAAATCGACGGCCGCTAAGGTAAGGCGGAAGCCCGACTTCGGGCTAGTCGAGTCCGAGTCAGCGATGACACCACTGATTGATGCATGGCTCCGACCAGGCCAGTTCCATGTCTGGAGATAAGGGAAAGGACGAGAGCATCCGCGGTCGGCAGTTTTAGGGATGGAAGGAGCGGGTGGTGAGTCCGGTCCTGATACAGAACTTGCGCAGCGCACCACAAAAACGCACGCAGCTAGCATTTCTGCTGCAACGGTCTCGAGGCCGGAAGGCCCTGGAATGGTTCGTCGCCCGGCCGGAACCCCCCGATAGCGGAAACGCGTTTGCTCATCATGTAAGCAGGTGTCGGGCGGTTCGCGTCGGGAAGATTCGTAGGTTGCTGGTGTCGCAGCTCAATTCTTTCCAAACCACTGCAAATGATCCCGAGACTGAGACAGCAAACGGACGAGGTTGAATCCGCGAGGGTTACCTGCCCACGATTGCGGCGACGAGGCCCTTTTATAGGTCCCCAGTACAATGGAATGTAATGGGCACGAGCAAGCACGGGGGGTTCCTCCACGTTTTTGCAGCTCGTGGACATCAGCCAGTTGCCCCGAACAGGGGGCATCCCGCGCCGTGTGACACTTTGGGCAGACAGGCACAGAGCTTAACAGATTGCTTGAGCCACCATGCATTTTAGCTTAAGGGACGAACCTGCGTATTAAGTCTAGTACGTACGTAAGGTGCCTTACGTCAAATAGGTGCGGATCAAGTGAGTCAAGTGACCTTTTATCGGCAGGGCCAGTGACTCTTGGAGATTTCTTTTCTGACAGCTTCTTGCTCAGGGTACGTCGAGGCTCGTGGTCTGTGTTCTGTGTTCTGAGCGTACCCGGCCTACATGTAGGTTCCGTGTGGGGTTTTGTTACACAATGTCCATTGGAGATGTATTCGTACATACTAGTAAGGTACTGTACCTTCCACTAGCCTTTGCATTTACGGTTGGATGGCGTCGACGACCTTTCAGGCAATGCAATTAATTTTCTCAATTATAACAAAATTGGGTTGATTGCGACTCAGAAGCCAGGAGCATACGCAGTAGGCATAGGCGACGTATTGGCGAGCTTTTATCCAAGGAGTAAGGTACAGTACCTACACTCCAATCCCTGAATGTTTGTTAGCGGGTGACTCTCCAAGATCTAAAGGACCTCAATGTCTTGCGACTCTGTAAAGGTTTTTTGCTAAGGGAGCTAAAGTCATTTGAGTCCCTATTTTAGAATCCTAGAAGCCTGTCCATTCTCTCCTATTAAAGACCTCAACCAATTGGTTTATTTATTATTTTATTTTCTTTCCCGCGTACCACGCCAACAATACAATCATTCAGGGATTGGGATGTAAAGAGCTCGGACCGAACTCTGGCAGAGGTCCCGACGCCTCCACTGAAATCGTCCCCCAGATCTCACCGCTCGGCGGCCCCAAATAAATCGACCTAAGCCAATGACGTTTTCCGCGCGCCAAGCCCTCTCACAAACTTATCACATCGGCTGAACCAGCCATACTACGAACGTAAAACAATAAAACCATTCTACCTTTGCGCCCTCACTTCTACTAGTCTTCATTCCAAAAGAACCAGGCCCTTGTGACTGGCATACCACAAAATGGCGTCTCCCGCCAAAGAATCGCCAATCACGTATTCGCAGCTAGCCGACCTCGAGAAGGAGTTTGACGATGTCGACAGGGAAATAAGTGAGTTTCTTCTGCTTGCCGCCGGCCAATGCGCAATAGGCGGCCTCGCCTGGTCCTCTCAAACATCTGCTAATAGGTTCAATTGCAGTTCGCTACCAGGCCGAGCTGACGCGGCCGCTGTACGAGAAGCGCCAGAAGTTCGTTGACCAGATACCAAACTTTTGGGCGCTGGTGCTCGAGCAGGCGCCGCCCGAAATTGACGGGCACATCCACCCTTCAGACTCGCAGGTGCTGCTCACTTCGCTCACCTCGCTGTGGGTTTCGCGCTTCGAGATTGAGAACGGCGGGACAGGCAACCCGCGCAGCGTGGCCATCCGCTTCGAGTTCGCCCCCAACGCCTACTTCGAGGACACGGTCCTCGAGAAGAAGTTCTGGTACCGCCGCAGCAAGGGCGGCTGGGGGGGACTTGTCAGTGAGCCCGTTGACATCAAGTGGAAGCCTGGCAAGGACCTGACGGGCGGTCTTCTGAGTATGGTCAAGGCGGTCTGGGACGAAGAGCAGGCAGCCGCCGAAGGGTCTAATGGGGCCGCCAAGAAGGGGAGCGGGGAGCTCACGCCCAAGCAAAAGGTTCTCAAGAACAAGATTGAGAATACCGGGGTGGGAGGACAAAGCTTCTTTGCGTGGTTCGGCTACCGCGGAAGGGCTGTCTCGGCCGAGGAGAGCAGAATAACAGTGGAGGAGGAGAAGCAGCAGCGACAGCTCAGGGCGACCAGCAGCAGCTCGGCTGACCAGCAAATGAAAGAGACGGCGGAGGACGAGGATGATGACGACGAAGATGACCTCGAAATCTTCCCAGACGGCGAGATGCTCGCGCTGGCCATATCGGACGACCTGTGGCCGGGGGCCCTTTGGTTCTTCAGTGAGTCTACCTATTCCTCGTCTCCACTTACTCCCTCCGTCAGCGGCTGGACCGGTCTAACATTCTATAGCACAAGCGCAAGAGGAAGAAGGGGACGGCCAAAGCGAGGACGATTTTGAGTCGGAGGAAGAGGGCGACGACGAGGGCGATGACGATGCACCGCAAGACGGCAGCCCCGGTGCGAGGCCGGCCAAGAAGAGAAAGGCATGATAGGTGCGGGCGGGCCGTTGCATCTCATTCAAGTATCGCAGATGATGTTTAGTCGCGACTCTTATGTCCGGCACATTTTTTACGCATCGCCATTCACATAAGCCGGATATCCTATATAGCTCGACTGATATATAAAACGGGGGTTTCTCAAACCCCGACACATATTTGACCTAGATCTAGCGTCGTTATCATCTCGCATGTTTTCAGTGGCAAGGGGCCTTTTGGAGGCCGGATCCCCACCACAGCAGACGGCGAACGGGACACTGATACGTAGCGAGGTTGACACCGCGGGAGCGTCCTAAGGGATTTAAAGTATCCGCCGCCCTACACGTGTACAGCGGCAAAAAAACCCTGGAAGGGAGAAAATACCAAAGCAACTCTCGCAAAGTCTTGGCCCGAAGATCCCGAGCTAGCCGCTTTGCCATTAGGTATACCCACCATTTCAGGGGCTGCCGTGAGGTTTGGGATATGCTACCGGAGAGGGGGCGTTCCCGCTGAATGACGTCGGCCCGCCAATCAGGCGTGTGGCACCGATTCACGCCCTGGAGAACTTCAAACTTCGCCCAGCAGGCGACTAAGGTCGATCCCCAAGGTTCTGTATTGCATGCATGTTATGTAGATGCCAAAAAGTTTAGATGGGAAGACATTACAAGTTTGCGTTTTCTGTGCAATACCGAGAGATATCCGGTATTGGCGCATTCGTATAACAGTGCAGCAGAGTCTCGATCGGGCGCGCCGTATTCATTCATTGAAGCCTCTTTTTCATGGAAGGGTTAAGGTCTCTGCAGGTATGAATCTGGCCCGCCCCGCTTCTTCTTCTCCGCATGAGATGCTGCGACAGGGGGCAAGGGGCAGGGGGGCAGCAGGGGTTGGGTACAGGCAGGCGGGGTGTGGTGGTTGTCTGGTTGAAAAGGGCTCGGAACTCAAACCGTTTCATCCTCTTGGCAAACCTCTGCTTTTCTTTCACTTTCAACCCGCTCAACCGTCGAGCAAAGAGAGCAAGACAATGGGTGTGTGCACGACAAACAAAACAAAGGGAAATTGCAGTGGCCCTCCCTTCAGAGGCCCTTGCGGGAAAAGAGGTAAAAATGCCTTTTGGGTAATTTGTGTAGGTAGGTTTCTTTTTTTAAACACGAGCTTCTCCGAGACACACGCGAGCGTGGCTGTGCTTGTCTTAGTTTCTCTTGTGTTTTTTATGTCACTGCTCCACCCCGTGATCGATCCCCTGGGGACTCGACGCGAACGGACAGGCTATCGAAGTTTCATCCCATCTCCTCTCCTGTCCTTGCCTACATGTCCTCCTGCCCTTTTTTCCTCTTTCCCTTCTGTTCGTCCTTTGGGGATCTTCGCATCTACAGCTCTCTCTTAGTAGGGCTCGTGTTTGTTTGACCACGAATTTTTTTTGTTGCCCTCTTTCGTATCCCTTCTCGCCAAATGCCCTGGACGTAGGCATTCGTTATTTTTATTTATTTTACTTTTACCTTCTTTTGTTCTACCATTTCAATTTCGTTTCCGTTGAGCGGGGGACAGCCGACCTTAGCTTCTTGGTCATTGTCTTTATTTCTCGTATTGGATTCGAATCGGGTTCTCGGGGTCCGCCTGCTCACTCCCTATTACGCGGCCAAAATAACGGGTCTCCCATCGTGTGTGCACCGCCCCGAACAATACGGTCACTACCAAGGAATCCTGCCTGGGACAAGTCCGTATTCCTTTGGTCGTTCCCCGCTCGCACCGAGAACTCCAGCTTAGTTGGCTGGCCCTGGAGACACTTCGTTTTCAGCCGAGTTTGCTCTAGTTCGCCGCTGTTGACAGCGCATATCTTCTTCTTACAGCACAAACCAACTGCTGGACGGTCCACGCTTCGCTCCGAGTCTTTTTGACGCTTCTTTGGTCTCTCCGAGGTTACTCACTTCGAGCATGCGGGTTTTTTCAAGTTGGAATTCTTGAGTCTTGTTACCATCAAGACTTTCGTTCTTTCTTTCCGGTCGACCTCGCCCAGGCACCCCGGTCACGGCCGCCACTTTCCGAGGCGATGAGGTGGAATCTTGGGGTTGCGGGAGCTGCGAGTCTTCTACTAGCACACTCAGCAGCAGTCGAGTTGACTATTGGGGATGCAGGTCAGACTCACTCGTCTCCTTTCGTTGGTTTCTAAAGACGCAACCATCTAACTATCGAGTCTAGCCTCCACAAAAGCCGCAGCTGGCACAATTGCCTATGGGTTGATGAAGTACTACACGGGCAACAACACCGGAGATACGCCGGGGAACCTCCCAGATCCATACTTTTGTATGACACTCCCATGCTGAACTAGCTGCTTGTTGCCATTGCTGACACACACCCAGGGTGGGAAGCTGGAGCCATGTTTGGCACACTGATAGACTACTGGGCTCTGACGGGGGACGCAACATACAACAACGTAACATCACAGGCCTTGCTTCACCAGGCTAGCGGCACGAGGGACTTCATGCCGGCAAACCAGACCAGGACCGAGGGCAACGACGACCAGGGCTTCTGGGCCATGGCGGCCATGTCAGCGGCCGAGAACAACTTCCCGAACCCGCCGTCAGACCAACCGCAGTGGCTCGCCCTTGCCCAGGCCGTTTTCAACCAGTATGCGTCGCGATGGGACGAGAGTACGTGCGGAGGCGGGCTGCGGTGGCAGATCTTCCAGTTCAACAACGGCTTCAACTACAAGAACACCATTTCCAACGGCTGCTTCTTCAACCTAGCGGCGCGGCTGGCGCGGTTCACGGGCAACGAGACGTATGCGGACTGGGCCACCAAGATCTTCGCGTGGGAGGAAAGCGTGGGCCTCATCACGCCGCAGTACGACATCTACGACGGCGTCACCATCAAGGACGGGTCGTGCAACGACACGGACAGGATCCAGTGGAGCTACAACCACGGTATCTTCATCCACGGGGCGGCCGTCATGCACAACGTGACGGGGGGCGCGGCGCTGTGGACCCAGCGGGTGCAGGGGATTCTCAAGTCGACGCAGAACCTCTTCTACAACAACAGCACGGGGGTCGTGTTTGAGCAGTTCTGCGAGATGCGCGGCTTCTGCGACAACGACCAGCGCAGCTTCAAGGGCTACCTGACGCGGTGGCTGGCGGGTACGGCGCAGATGGTGTCGGACACGTTCGACCCCATCCAGAAGATGCTGCAGGCGTCGGCGGCGGCCGCCGCGCGTGCGTGCTCGGGGTCGCCGGCCGAGAACCTGTTCCGCGGGCTCCCCGGCACGGCATGCGGCTTCCGGTGGGACCAGCCCTTCGACGGGTCCACGGGCGTCGGCGAGCAGATGAACGCTCTCTCGGCTGTCATGTACACACTCGTTAGCCGCGCCACCACCACCGTCACCGCCGAGTCGGGCGGCACCTCCAAGGGAGACCCCGGCGGCGGCGCCCAGGGCCCCGGTGGCGGCGGCCTGCCCTCCCAGATCCTCTTGCCCATCCCCCTCAGGGAGCGCGTTGCCGCGGGCTTTCTGACCGCTGGCTTCGTGTTTGGTGTTATCGGGGGCAGCGCTTTCGTCATGTTATGAGAGCGCCTTTCGTCTTTTGCTTTGCTTTCCTCTTTGGTCTACCATCGAGGTTCATTCTTCTTTTTTTATATACTGTTTTTTCTACTCGGCATCTTGGCTTCCTCAGGGACACGGCGTTGGTTGATATTGCGATGAAAATATTTTTACGACATTTAAAGGGCTGTTTGGGTTGGTATGGATGGCATGGATTCTGCGTTGCTAAAATACTAGCATGGGCGGGTTACTGCATATATGGGCGGCACTACTTTTTGGAACGTGTTGGATGGATATCGGCGTAAACAATTAGTCGCAAATGGCTGTTGTGAGAAATACTGGGAACAAAACGAAATAGGGGGCCCTTGGATTACCACTCGGGATTAGCGCGGGTTTGGTCCATGATGCCACGACGTCGTTGAGTACTTTACCCCTTACCTTGGTGCAGTACTGGTGTATCAGTCACTTCGTTATGTACGGAGGTCCCAAGATAGTGCTACGATCTATACCCTAGTATATATATATGCCTATATATTTATATATATTCCATCTTCTTGCTGAAAATAGACGAGGAGCAAGCACATTTTCGCCGTGGCACTACAATGCATCTTGCAGATCGCTTTGACACCCTCAAGTCATGTCGTCGGTGCTAGGGGGGTGAAAGGGGACCCACCATCCCCTGCGGCCGCTTCCCCACTCTGCCGTCATATTCCATGTGCTCCATGTCGGGGAAAAAGCCGTGGATAATTAAACAGTGAGGAGGTGCACTTCACTGATTTCTTTATCCGTTAGGCGGTGACACATGCCGGGGCGCGACGCATGTTCGGTCAACACTTTTATTGCGGCCCCTAGCGCCGGGCGCGAACCGGGGCGAAGAAGCAGCACTCTCGCCGCCCCGCTTCCCACAGTATGTACTACCCCCCCACCTTTGCCTTTGAACCTCGTCACTGCCGTCGAGGTGGGATGACATCGGGCAAGCTCTCCCGATAGGTAGAACAAGGCTGCTTGCTATCTCACCCCAATTGCAGGTGCGGCGCTATCGACCAATTGCTTGTACTGGCACTTTCTTACGTCTCCTGCGTTGTGATGCTTGCTTGCTCTGAAGCCCTTCCAATAGAAAAATAAATTATTTCTTGGGTATATTGCCCAAAGCCATGAGCACCGTCTCGACCATCTCTCGTCTCCTTTTTTAGCCGGCGCGTCTCTTGTATTTCCCCCGCGGGATCACCTGTCCGCGTTTGATACCCCAAGACCGACCCTTTTACTTTCTAACAGTTGACTAAAACCGGAGCTGCATTCAACTCTGTCGTACCGCCTCACCTTTTCTTCACCTGACACACTGACTTGGAAGCCAGAAAGCTTACACTCACCTCTCTATCTGGCACTCTCTCTGCCTCGCCTTGTCTTTTGACGTGAAGAGTCTCGCCCACCATGTCGGCAAAGCACTTCATCAACGACCCCACACACCTGGTCAACGCCGCCTTGCAGGCTATAACGCTCACCAACCCGAGCGTGGCGCTTGACGCCGCTAACAAGGTAGTGTACCGGCGGCCTGGCTACGGCAGCAGCCAGCAAAAGGTGTCCATCATCAGCGGCGGCGGCTCCGGACATGAGCCGTCCTTCGCGGCTATGGTCGGCACAGGCCTCCTCAGTGCCGCCGTCGCCGGCACCATCTTTGCGAGCCCGAGCGCCGAGCAAGTGCGTGCCGCCATCATGGCGCGGGTCGACAACAACGAGCCTAGCAGCTCGACGGCCGAGTCTGGCGGCGTGCTGGTCACGGTCATGAACTACACGGGCGACGTGCTCAACTTTGGCATGGCGGTCGAAAAGGCGCGCGCTGCTGGTGTCAACGCCGAGATGGTGGTGGTTGGCGACGATGTCGGCGTCGGGCGGGCCAAAGCCGGCAAAGTCGGCCGTCGTGGCATTGCCGGCACCGTCCTGGTGCACAAGATCAGCGGCGCCCTGGCAGTGCAGGGACGGAGCTTGGCCGAGGTTGCCAAGGTCGCGAGGCTGACGGCGGAGAATCTGGTGAGCGTCGGCGCAAGCCTCGACCATGTCCACGTCCCGGGGCGAGCTCCGCCAGACCTCAACTCTGCTGAGCACCTCAAAGACCGTGAGCTTGAGCTGGGGATGGGTATCCACAACGAGGCTGGGTCGAGTCGCGAGACGGCCATTGAGCTGCCGGGGCTGGTGCGCAAGATGCTGGCACAGCTTCTGGATCCGAACGATGCGGACCGAGCGTTCGTCAGGGTCAATTCGAACGAAGTGGTGCTCCTAGTCAACAATCTAGGCGGCGTCAGCGTGCTGGAGCTGGGCGGCATCCTGACCGAGGTCGTGACGCAGCTAGACAAAGGGCACGGCATAAAGCCAGTGCGTATCCTGAGCGGGACTTTCATGACGAGCTTGAACGGGCTGGGATTCAGCATCAGCCTCCTGAACGTGGTTAATACGGACATTGGCGGCCCAAGCATGATCGACCTGCTCGACTACCCCTGCGAGGCCACGGGCTGGTCCACTCCCATCAGCAAGCTCACATGGGAGGAGAAGAACACGGCGACAAGACAGCAAGACGCATCAGTCGGGTTTAACTCTGGCCCGAGCGGCCTGAAGCTCGACCCGAAGGCGGCACAGACAGCACTAATCAATGCTCTTGAGAGCGTCATCGCAGTTGAGCCCGAGGTGACCCGTTATGATACCGTGGTGGGAGATGGCGATTGTGGAATTGGACTCAAGCGAGGTGCCGAAGGTGAGCTTATCAAGCAGTTTCCGTTCATACAAGTCGTACAATCACGCTAACAGCCGCAGCGGTCCTAAAACACCTCTCATCGCAGCCACTGTCAGGGGATGCAGTCATCGATGTCGCCAACATCGTCCCTGTCATCGAAATGGAGATGGACGGCACCTCCGGGGCGCTTTATGCCATATTCCTCAATGCTCTAGTGGCCGCTCTGAGATCGGAAGCGGCAGCACAGAGCGAGGCATCGCCCCAAGTCTGGGCCAGCGCACTCGATCAGAGCTGCGAAGCACTCTCCAAGTACACGCCAGCCCGCCCAGGTGACCGCACACTTGTGGATGCGCTGTACCCATTTGTCGAAGTCCTTGGCAAGACGGGCGACGTGAAGCAGGCTGCCGAGGCGGCCCAGTCGGCAGCCGAAGGCACAAAGGGGATGAAGGCCAGCTTGGGCCGGACAGTCTACATTGGCGGATCCGGGTTCGAGCAAGTTCCCGACCCAGGAGCTTGGGGCCTAGCGAGCTTCTTTCTCGGGCTTGCCGGCGTGAAGAAGGAGAAGGGGGACGAGGAGTGGGAGACGCTCTAGTCCTATCTTAATACAGTGCTATCAGGGATAGAGTAGCAATGGAGCAGAATAAAGAGAAAGAAAAAAAACATACAACACCGCGGATTCGCTGGTCGTCACCTACCCAACTACTAGTGCGGCGGCCACGATCTTAGTTATCGGAAGTGCTCTTTCCTTATAGGTTCCTCAAGCAGGACGATGTTGGCGACATCGATGACTGCATCCCCTGACAGTACCACATCGTACTCCAGCCACCTCGAGAACATCCGGAGCTAGATGCCGTGCTTTGGCACCGGACAGACCGGCCGGCTGTCTAGCGCAACTCCAGACATTGTGCATAAAGAAAGCATTCGCAGAATTGACTGTCCGATTTGGCACCCACGAAGGACCGTTGATTTTATCTAGAGATTCGATGCGGCAGTGTTGGAGCATATCGAGACGCTGAACGGCGTCTGTGTAGGCAAGAAAGGCATCCCTGTACACGTGCGAAGTAGCCTTAGAGTATTCCGGCTTGATCTGATCAACGATCGATGGAGCTGCCAGGCCAAGTATTCCATACGCTCTATCGCGAGGATCCGTGCAGTGCCGAGACTAGGTCCACAAAAGGAGGCGAAACAAGCTCCAATGCGACCTGGGAAGAAGGTTACCTCGGTAGGTGTCCGTCAAATTGCGCAGCTCTTGGGGCAGCTCTTCCTTCTGGCTCATGACAAGCACGGCTTTCCGGAATGGCGGCCAAGGGATGAAAGCATCGCCGCACTGAATGATAGTCTGGCGGCTGCCGAGAAGAGCCTCTTGAATGACCCACACCCGGCTGAACCAGGGCCGGGCAAGGAGTGCTGTCAATAGATGACCAAGTTCTGGCGTCGTATGGCATTGCTGTGACGGATTCCACCACATCGGCTCGCTTGCTCCGGGTGCGTCGGCGAGGAACCCTTCCACGGTGAACTCCACCTGCTCCCCGAAATCGGCAATGGTGGACAGCGTATGTGTGCTATCCTCCGCTTCCGAGCCTAGCCAGATGACGACTCGAGTAGCCAGCGAATAGGTGGCTCCCATGCGCATGACCTGTACGTTTCGCTCGTCGATGTCGTCTTGGTTAATGCAGACTGCATCTACCCACAACCTGCGAGGACGATTGGAGTACCGGAGCTGCTTCAAGGCAGAGTGGAGATTGCGACCAAGCTGCATCGTGGCGGACTCTCGGCAACTGGGACTGTCGACCACTTTGACTTCCACCCGGTTTCCCGAAGATCCCCACACATAAGACAAGGCTTCGTACTTTGGTTCAAACTCCGGTGTTTTCTCTTGATGAATGTCATATAAAGAGCGATCGAGCTGTGGGTCTGGGTGGTCTCACGAATTTGGTCTGCCAAACATGCCCGGCTGAGCGAATAGGTACCGGCCATCATGTGTTACTAGGACCTGCCAGTCGTCTGGGAGCGCTTTCTGAAGCTCTGGCTTTGGCAGTCTGTTGGACTTGATACCAAGGTTCCAGGCCGACTCATTCAGCGCGACGTACGTGATGCCCACTTCAATGTAGTCATCTACATTCCCCGGCATCAGCGTTAAAAGTCGAATTTACTCCGTCTCGAGACTCCTGTAGACGTACGGAGCCATGTCAGGCTACAGGATCGTGAATAGAATAACCGTGAAGGGGCTGTTAAGCGCTCATACGCTCTGGTAAGTAGAACAAGACAAGCCGTTGAGCGATTCCGGTAACTTACCACCTACGGGGTGACTGGCACCGTTCGTCGCCATAGGTGACACGACAGGTATGAAGAAGAGGGAAGAAAAAAAAAGAGAACACCACCGCACCAAAAGACACGGGAAGAACAAGATGGCGCAGGATACATAATCCAGCAAAGCGACCCGGAAAAAAGGGAGGAGGGGGAGCCATTAGACGTCTACCTAGTGCCCTCATCCTCCCACCAAGAGTCAACAAGCCAAAAGACCCATTTATCTGAGGCCTTAGATATCCTGTTACAGGTCCGCGAGGAGACACTGGCTTGCTGCGAGGAAGCAGTCGATGCCCCGCCTTGTTTTTGCACTCTGAACCTCGACCTCCACTACCTCTGACGATCATACCCTAAGTTCATCACTATTTTCGAAGAATTTAAACTGTCTGTAAAATCAAATTAAAACTCTTGCATTGAACAGCACAGTTTTCATTACAATTCCCAAGATTCAGGCCTTCAGTATACAAATCCAGGGCCAACCTTCTCCTGTAGGAGTCCTGCTGAGTTTCCCACGCATACCAGACCCGTCAGTGCCCCACGAAGTCTCGCTAACAACCTTTCAGTGGTTAAACTGGATTGTCGAGTGTTTTGTTTGTTGGAAGGGGAAGTCCTTAGAGAATCGATGAGCGAAATCCAACCACCAACGCGGCAATTATGATCTTCCATAGCGAAACCAAGACACCCCTGACGGAGTGGAGGGGTTGGCCGACGTGCTTGCTGTATCATTTGACTACCGAATAGGCAACGGCCGGGAGCGGTACCCGCTAAGCAGGTCCTTGGCCAAGTTGGCAATGGTGTCGAGCTGGTTGTCGGGCCCGTCGTCGGCCAGCCTCCTGGCACAGGTGCCGAAGATGTCGTCGACAACGATGAACTTGTTGAGGTTCGCGCCTGAGTCCTTGCTGGTGCCGATGCGCTCGCAGAAGATGCGGCTCAGGATGTTGCGGTTTCTGACGACATCCAGGTCACTGGCCACGAGGGCGCTATCGTCGGTGCGGCCCTTATTCAGGTTGTGAGCTAGGCCGATACGCACGATCTCGAGTACGAGCGCCGCGAGGCCTGCTGCTAGCGCCGTGGCTACGCTAATGCCCGTATGCGACTCGAGCTTGTCAGATGTTTCGGCCTGCCGTACGGGGTCGTCCTCGAGGAAGACCTGGTAGCCCGGCAGGGCGAAGTCGAGGCTACTTGCGTCGGGCACGAGATCAAACACCTTTCCCGATGGCAGCGCCGCGCCCACGGGGAACGTGATGTTGGGCCTGCAGGCGTGCGGGAACGTGCGTTCGCCGAATTGGCCACGGTCCGACGCGCTGCAGAACATCAGGATGCCTTTCCGCGCTGCCGCGTCGATGGCCCCCTCCCATTCTTTCTGTACCTCGGGCTTCAGGGCACACTTCCACGACATGGAGATGATGTCGACACCCTCCTCTACGGCATGATATATTGCCTATTTGTCAAGGATACCTAAGGGATTATGTGTCAGCCTCGTCTCCCAGTATGAAGGAGTTGAATGAATGGATGGGTGCGTACACAAGGGATAAGGGATGGCTGGGAAACGGAAGTGAAGACAAACCTTTATGGCGCTCTTAGCGTCGATGAGGATTTCGTTATCGGCTTCCGTTGTTCGGGTCTCCAGCTTGATCACGTATATGGCAGCCGTGGGGCAGATGCGGTGGATGAGGCGAGCTATCAAGGTCCCGTGGCCGGCTGCTGAATTCCACCACGGCCACACCCTGCGTCCGTAGTCGTACGCGTGGAAGCTCTCGCTAATGAAGCTGTGGTCGGCCGATTCTTGGTGAGGTAGATCCACGCCGTCGTCAATCAGCGCCACGACCACAGGGTTCAACAGCTTCAGCGGCACGCCAGGCCCTTGCTGCGGCAGCTTGAGGTAGCGGAAGCGGCTCACAAAGTCGCCGGAAACGAGAGAAGAAAAAAAGAGCTTCCTCCATCTAGCCGGTAGTATGTAGGTTCATACTCGTCATTTGCTACAGTAGGCGAACGCCCGTGGTATTCCCTTCCCCCCTTCCTTCCCTCGCTTCGCCAGCCCAGAGTCCCATCCGTGCCCCGACGCGCGGAAATAGCTCGCTCGAAGAAAGCCGGAAAACGAGACCGAAATGAAGACTCCAGATCCCCAGCGCTGGGAACCAACTCTCTGGATCGAACTCACAGGCCAAAGACGACGCGCTCCCACTTGATATCCTCCTTCCGCGGCTTCGTGTCGTCGTACTTGTCCGGCAGCACGGCAAACTCCTTCTGCCACCACTCGTCCTCGCTCGGCGCGAAGGGATACCGCGCCTCGCACGACATGAAGGCGTCGATGGTCTCGCGCCCGCTGCTGTCGTCCTTTTGAATCTCTATATCTCGAGCCGTAGCCGCCGTTTAAATCGTTAAACCCCAAGCCGCCGCCTTTTAAGCCGCTATTTGTTACGTTGCTACCCCTAGGGTTGTTATAGCTTAGACTGTTAGGCCTTAAGCCGCTACTTTTTAACTTACGTCTTCCTTTTGACTTATTTTTTCTCTTGGGCTACTACTTTTTGGGCTATTGCTTTTTGGGTTGTTACATTTTGGGCTATTACGTTTCGGGTTATTACGCCCCAAGTGTAAGGAACCCCAACCCACATACACACTATACGCACGCGACAACCCACTCCTTTAAAGCAGGCCCGACTTCACTCCTTTTATCAATAGCCCGCCCTACACTTGATTATAGATATAAGCAGAGCCCCCCCCCCCTTTCCTTTACGAGGGCCAGGTTAAAGTCTCTTCCTAATACCAGTCATTACTATCTCACTTTAGTACCTTTATTATGACTACCTTTATTATGACTACCTTAATTAAGCGTACCTACCTTCACTTACGATTCTTTAACCTCCCCACCTCACGTAACAAGTGTTTTCGTCTACCCTACAGACAATAATATCCCTGAATGCTTCTTAGCTGGGGACTTTCTAAAATCCGAATTGCCTCATACCTTACTCCTCGCCCTGGAGGACCTTTTATCGAGGGAGGCAATAGCTATTGGGATCCCTATCATCGAATCCTAGAGGTTTATCCTCCCCTAAAAAAACCTTTTAAAGGCTTCTCCAAGCCGGTTTAACTGCTACAATCTTCATTCTACCCAACTACTCCGTACCAGGCCAATAAACATTCAGGGGTTGGATTGTATGTAGGTACGTGCGGCCCGGAGGATCCACGGACTTGTTATTCTACACAAGTGCTACTCCGTATCCGTATGTACTACTGAACAGTACGTGGAAAGTGACTCCTCCATCTTTGTCTTGCCACTGAACTGTGCTCCAGCACCTCGCTTTTCTCCGCGTATTGGTGCTGCCTCCGTGTCGTCGCACAGGATCGAGAAATATCGTGCAATAGGAAATGCGGCGTTCTGTGCCTTCTGCAAGAATGCTTGTTGGGTTTCATGTTGGCTGTTTGAGTGTTGAAGGGAATATTCCTGTCGACGATATTCCGTATATAAATTCAGTGGGCATGCGTGACAGTAATGTTCACAGCCTGGAACTAGGTTATAGTCAAACATGGGCGTTGTGTGCATGGGAAAGTCAGAGGTCTTGTGCTCAACGCCATGAGCTATTCCGTACCGTAGGTATACAGGAAATTCGATGGAGCGGGGCTGGGCTCCCATCGGGGCGGCCTGCCTGTCCGGTTCACAACATTCCATGTCACAGAGGACCATGCTTTCTAATTGCATTGGATAGGAGCAGGCCAATTTATCGCCTTTCGAACCTGATGAAGGCCCGGTGCCTAATTGCACTGCTGCTGTCGGGTGAGACGTGCCTGAGTCTCTGCAAGGTTTCGACAGCCATGAGATAGCATAAGGCAACTCTGTCAATTACGGTTATCCTGCACCACTTTTAGCCTGCTTTGTCTGGCAAACCTTCCGAGTTCTCTGACATTTCTCATCAGTTTGTTGTCCTGCAGATGCTCGGATGTCGTCCTGCCTCGAACCCTCAAGGTTAGGTATATAAAGCACAAAGCCCGAGTCGGCCTCGCGTGGCATTGCTGCGGCGTCTAGCAGGCTGTCCACTAGAGGCGCCTACAAGACGACGATTGGAGGCTGATGCCATGACAAAGAATAGATAATTACACTTTAGACTGATAAGCTTGGGACACCTACTAAGTATGAAGAGGCAAAGGCGTCGAATCTATAGGTTGCCCTTACCTAAAACATACGAAGCAGGTACGGCGTATGTCATGGTATGTGTGTACAACACACCGGCAATCTGGCCTGTCCATATAGTGTACTAGGTGGATGCACCTTACCTCCAAGTTTGCTTCCGTAGCACACGCCATGCCATTTCCACAGCTTCCAGACCTTCCGGTTGGTTACCTTAATTTTTTGAGCCTAGAAGAAGCAGAAGCAAGCCATATCGTCATCTGGCGGCCGCGTCTTGCTGCGTGTCCCACCTTCCATTAGTGCAATCCGTAATCCGGAGGTGCCATTTAAGCCCCAACATCCACGGAAACCGGGCAATTACACAGCCCCTCCAGGCGGCTTTTCCCCTGGCTCCCCCAAATTTCCCCCACCTTCCGGCGCGCATCCGAGTCGTCTCATCTCTCCCTTTGGACACTGCGAACTTAACGAAACTGGGAAATTCGAACCACGAAACAAGACAGACTGCCCGCCCTCACGAGGGCACTATTCCCACGATATTTGCCACGGCTTGCCAACACAGTCACCACGACCTCGCATCACCGACACCGTCGCGCCAGGTCGTGCCTTCTCGTACGGATACATAGCATACCCCGTGCGCGCGTGCACTGCCCGTGGCTAGCATAGCATCGACATCGACGTTTGCTGCCTGCATGTACTTGCAGCTGCTCATGTCTTCAACGTCTCCAATATCTGGGGTTTTATGAGTGAAATCGCCGGCCGCGGTTGTTATGGACACAGCACCTAGGGACCTGCTACTCGCCGATCGCTGCCGCTGCCACTGTCGCTGTCACTGCCGCTGCTATGGACCCTCCCGCCAACGACGGGCCCGACGGCTCCTCCATTGTAAGCCAGTGCTCTATACTCTCCATCTCTAACTTACCTGCCTGCCGGAAATACTGACTTGCGCGCCAGAGACCCGTCTTGTCGTTGCTGGCCAAGTTTGAGAACCTAAACAAGGCTGGCGATGCCTCAACTAGTCACCCACCTCCCCGGGCCGTCTCCCCCGCGCCCAAGCCTGAATGGTTGCGAGACGCGAACGCGAACCCTCCAGCACCATCAGCAACAGCGCAAGCACGTGAGCCGCCCACCATCCCCAAGACGAAGTCCAGGGACAAGCCCAATCTTGCGAGCCTTTACCCTCGAAGCACAAACAACAGCGGTGCCAACTCCCCAACCCGCCTCGGCCCTCCACCCATCAGCCCGCGCCCTGTACATCCTCCGTCCCTCCTTGTCGAGCCGCCACAGTCACCACCCAAGGGAGCCCTGGATTTCGTGGTTGGCGACCGCCCTGGCTTCCTGAACACCGACTCACTGATAAAGTCGATGTCGTCGCCTGCCGCCTCGCCGAGACAGTTCAAGATCCCTAGCCGTCCTCACACGCCCGTCTTCGAGCCTCGAAGATCCCCCAGACTGGCCGCTTCCCAGCCCCCGTCCCCTCCCCCTCCGCGACGCTCGGGAGAACTAAGACGGGACCGAGAGGTCAGAGATCTCATTAGGCCGCTTCCACCTCCCGTTAACCGGACAGAGAAGCCCCTGATACCATCCCGTCGCTCCTCGTATATTGCCGATATGAGTCAAGCTTTTGACTTTCGCTCCCAGAGCGGTGATAAGGTCTCCCCCTTTCACAGCCCACCCAGCAGTAATGGTACCCCCGAGGAAGAAGAGGCTCCCCCCATGTTGCCCACGAGGCCAAAACTCCAACCGCAACCTCTGCAGAGAGCAAAGACGATGCAATTGGGCCCAATAGGAGCGGGTCCAATAGGATTTGAACCGCCACCTGTCCACCATTCGCTGGTTAACAAGAGGAGAGAGAGAGACGAGATGAACGGGACCACACGCTCTCCCATCACGCCGCAGCTGACCGGCGAGCAACGGCCAGCACTTCCCGCCCGGCCACAGACCACTATCGAATCGCCCCGGTCACTGGAGATATCGATTTTATCACCACCTCCACGACCTCCAAGGCCGGGAGCAAATGCAAATATTAACGAGACCAATTCAGTGGCCGCGGCTTCGCAGAAACGGGTTGTCTCAACGCCGACAGCGGCCCAAGTGTACCAAGTGCCCCCGCCTCACATAAAGACCCACGGCAGGTCTATGACGGTAGACCGCTACCCGAACAAGGCCCCAGGTGAATTCCGTTCCACAGCAGCCCCAGTCATGGCGGCAGCCGAGAAGCGATTGACCGAGGCCCCGACAGAGGACCAGGCCAAGGCGGATGGCTCGCCACCCCTCTCGACAACGGCATATCCGGATGCTTCGAGCACAAACCGTAGCAAGCCTTACATCGGCAAAGGCGTGCATGAAATCCAGACAAAATACGATAGCCGGGTATTCGATGTGTGTGGAGAGCTAGTTTGCACAACTGGGCTCTACACGCGAGTATGGAGCTTTCTAGACGGCGAACTCCTCATGAGCTTGGCCATGGGCGAGGGCCAGAGAGGGACGTCTGTAGCCTTCAAGCCAGGGCCAAACGTCAACGAAGAGGGCAGAAGGGTATGGGTCGGGAATAACTATGGCGAGCTCCTGGAGGCCGATGTAATCAGGCAAAATATCTCCTGCACCAGGCCAAACGCGCATGGCCGGTATGAGATCATCAGGATTTACAGGCATTTCAATGAACTCTGGTCGCTAGACGAATCCGGGACACTTCACGTCTGGGGTCCTGACGAGAGCGGAGTCCCCACACTCGTCAACGGACCGACCCAGTCGTACCGCGTTCCAAAGGGGCATATGTTCTCGATAGTTGTGGGCGACGAGCTGTGGCACGCTACAGGCAAGGAGATACGGGTATTTTTGCCGACCCTGGATGGCCGGACACAGTTCCAGGTACTTATCCGGCCGCTCTGCCAGGACGGGGCCGGAGAAGTAACCTCGGGCACTACTATCACGTCTGAGCCAGACAAGGTCTTCTTTGGTCATAACGATGGGAAAGTGAGCATCTACTCTAGATCGGACTACTCTTGCCTGGGCGTGATGAATATCAGCCAGTACAAAATCAACTCTCTTATTGGAGTTGGCCAGTACATGTGGGCAGGATACAACACTGGCAAGATTGCCGTCTACGACATGGGCCAGACACCATGGGCTGTTAAGAAGGACTGGCAGGCTCATGACAACCCCGTCGTAAGGCTGATTGCCGACCGGGCTAGCCTCTACAAGCTTAACCGATTCCAGGTCGTCTCCCTAGGCGCAGATAACATGCTGCGCAACTGGGATGGGCAGCTGCAGGACGACTGGCTGGAGGGTGAGATGAAGCGCAAGGATGCGGAATACTGCGACTTCCAGAAGCTCAACGTCCTTGTCTTGACCTGGAATGCGGGAGCTTCCACGCCCAACAGCCTGCGCTACTCGGATTCGGACGCGGCCTTTTTCCAGAATCTTCTCCAGAGCAGCGACTCGCCGGATATTATTATTTTTGGTTTCCAGGAGCTTGTGGATCTAGAGGACAAGACGGCCACAGCAAGTGAGTATTTTTTTTCTGCTCCCGTGCTTAATGAACGGCAGAACCACACCCCCTTTTCCCTTGATTGGGTATTACATAGGCCTGCTGCGGGCTTGCAGCTGAACATCTTTATTAACTCGCGAGACAGAACGCTTCCTGAAGCCCAAGAAGAAGGAAGGCTCTGACCAGGAGCGTATGAGCCACCAGTACCGCGACTGGCGCGACTTCCTCGTCCGCTGTTTGGACGACTACATGTCGGGCGATCTATACCATCTCCTCCACACCGCGCCCCTCGTCGGATTGTTCACTTGCATCTTTGTCAAAGCGGATCTTCGAGACCGCGTAAGCAATCTCAGCAGTGCCGAAGTCAAGCGCGGTATGGGCGGGCTACATGGCAACAAAGGGGCCATCATTGTGCGCTTCATGTTGGACGACACATCGCTCTGCTTCGTCAACTGCCACTTGGCGGCAGGCCAGTCTGGCGCAAACCAACGGCATAACGACATTGCCGCCATTCTTGAGTCGTCGGCTTTCCCAGCTGAGCGCGACCTGACAGTGCGCATGGACAGTTACGCCGGCGGGGGCGATGGCACACTGATCCTCGACCACGAGCTGTGTTTAGTAAACGGTGACCTCAACTACCGCATCGACACAATGAGCCGCGACACTGTTGTGTCAGCGGTAAAAGCGGGCAACCTTAGCAAGCTACTAGATCGCGACCAGCTACTTGTTGCACGACGGCGGAATCCAGGGTTCCGGCTCCGAGCATTCGAGGAGTTCCCAATCACGTTTGCTCCAACGTACAAATACGACGTGGGAACAGACAACTACGACTCTAGTGAGAAGAAGCGTAGCCCGGCGTGGTGCGACCGCATTCTATACAGGGCGCGCGCTGGCAGGATTGAGCAGCTCAACTACCGCCGGCACGAGGTGCGCGTCTCGGACCACAGGCCCGTCAGTGGCCGTTTCTGGTTCACAGTCAAGCGCATCAACCCTAAGAGGAGGGCGGTTGCGTGGATGGAGTGTCAACAGCGCTGGGAAGACCTGCGGTCCCAGGAAGCTGTTGGCGAGAAGTACGTGCCATCTTTTTACCAAGCACTTGAATGTTGCATATTCACTGAAGCTGACTATTGGGGTGCTATAGAATCTTTTACTTGACCCAAACTATCGGGTACGACGCACCAACGGCCACCAAACTAATCAACGAGCGGTCATCCAGGAGAGATCATCGGAGCCCGAGCCGGAACAAGGACTAAGCAGACAGGCTACTTCACCCGTCTGCTTGTACGAGCACTTCACTGTTTGGCAAAAGTCATGATTGGCGATGATGATAATGACGGCAATCTTGATGACAATGCCTGGGCTTTGAGCTTTTTTTCCCCATGCGTACACGCCATGCACATAAATGCCCCTACAATGATTGCAGCCCTTCGTGACCAATGTTACACCCTTCGAAGTGCAAAACAATTCTCCGAAAAGGAAAAAAAAGAAACGAAAAGAAAGAAGTATAGATAAATAGATAGACAGCGCGTGTCTGTTTAATTATCGGCTTGTTCTTAATTATGTCCCAACAACCGTGTATAGAGTAATGTTTTCCTTCCCAGTATTAGACGACTGAATGGTCAATGGTTGAGGATGGTATGTGGTGAACAAGGAAGGAAATGGAAAAGGAAAGCGGGAAAGGGCGGTGCGGTGTAACCAGGCAAGGTACGTTAAGGGATGGCAGGTACTTTGGAGCTTTGGATGGGGGGATGGAGGGAGAGGGGCAGGTTGAATAGAGATGTGGTGCTCAGGCAAAGAGACACCAAAATAGGGAATCTCATATAAAATAAAAGAATAATTAGCAAACCCCTGAATACCGTATGCTGTACCCTATATTGACAGGATTGGCGAGAGTCTGCGAAAATGGTGAATTTGTAGTATGAAACAGAGGTCGTGGCTGTTTATCCGTTTGCACCACTAAATGCAGAACGTGAGCTCTCCTTGTCGTGCAGGGGTTGAACGCCAATTGTACCGGTATTGGACAAAGCCACGCAGATCAAAAACCACAGCGTCGTCACCTGTGTTTCAATACTTACTCCCGCAATACTGTATTCAGCCCTCAGCCCAATATAGAAATGACATTCGAACCCTGCAGAGCACGTTGAAGACGTCTTGGAAACCTTATTGCACCATCGTCTTTGACTCGACGACGTTTTGGTCGAAGCAGACGGTGGCGAGAGATAATTACAGCGGCCGATCTATTCATACCAGGTGAGGCACATACTGACGTAATTACAGCGACGATCAAGAGACTACGAGTTTGTCAGCCAAGTGCGAGCTGTTCGGAAGTTGGGAGCGTACCGAGTACTTGCTGCCGCGACTGTTTATTATATCTACTAGGATACCGAAATCAGACAGGACAGGATTCAAGGTGACAGGATTCAAGGTAACAACCAAGCAGGCAGGAAAATAGGTGCTAGAATAAAAACAACTTTAGGGGAGGGATTAGGCCCTAAACCGAACGAATGCGCTGTTTCGCCGCCACAACGGCATCAAACCCAGCAAGATTGAGACAAGCCTGCCGATTTGGAACTTCAACCAGCAGAGCCAGAGTACAAACAGCTCCATTAACAGCTGCCGGTCCTGTCTCTGGAGCTAGTATCCAAAGTCGCCTTTTTCGCAACAAACAAGTATCACTCCGAGTAATGGCCACAGCGGCGACGGGTGCGTCTTCACACCGAGTGCACATCGCCCCCGACAACAGCGGCCTCTGGCAAGTGCCACAGACAGAAGCCGCTGCCAAAAAGGCATCCGAGTTGCTGCAGGAAGACATGGAGGTCAGTGTGCTCACCTTGTACGACACTGTGCCCCCTTTTTTATTGTTTATCAAAAGAGTGCTTATCGATAATACAAACCCCCCATCTATCCGTCCATCAGCACCTCCTCTTCAACTAACACGGCCCTAACTGCAACCGACTAGAAACACCACGTCTTTTTCAACAATGACGGATTCCACAACCATGTAAGTGCCTTTAATAACTGGAACCGTTAGTCCCTCTGGTCTGACACCTCCAAAGATTCCCCACCACATCCTCGCGCTCTACGGAACCGGCGCAGACGCGTCGGCGCTCCAAAAGGCCTACGACGAGAACGTGTCGTACCAGCGGCCAGCTCTGCCCGTGCACGCCGGTGACCGCGTCGTGGCCGACTTCAAGGACTGGGACCATGCCCAAAAATACCTCGGCAGGGCGCAGTACTACCCGGACTTTCTGCGCTTCTTCCAGACGGAGATGGAGCAGCCCGGCAGCGGCTGGGAGGCCGTCCTGGCCAAGTACCTGTTCCGCCCACGGGACAACAACAGCAGCTCGCCCGCCGCCGCCGACGACATGCTGGTCCGGCTGTACTCGGGGTTCCTGCACCCGCTGATCCAGCTCATGTACGGCATGGAGTGGCAGCAGCCGGCCATCGTAGCCGAGGCGCTGGCGCAGACGGCCGTGCACGGCAACGACATCAAGGAGTTCCTACTGGAGTCGGAGAAGCGAGCTTATACGGAAGCAGAGAAGCGGCCGATGCCGCCCAGCGCGGCGCTGCTCGACGCCGTGCGCGCCGATAAGGACCTGGCCGCCGCCGCACGCATGGAAGACGGTAACAAGATCCGCGACGGCGTGCTGGCACGCGCCAAGGAGGCCATGATTCGCATCGCGGCCCGGGTGCGCGTGGCGCCCGACGAGCTGGACGAGCGCACCGCCGAGATGTTCAACGCCTGCGTCTACATGGGCGCCGCGGCCGCCGTGCACCCGCCCAAGCACCCCAAGTTTGACTTTTTTCTCATGTGAGTTGGCCGTGTCTTCTATCCCTCTCCCCGCACATAACCCAAGTTGGAAGAAGAAAGGACATGATAAAAAAGTAGAAAAAACACCTGCCCAAAACTAACACCCTCCATCCAGGCACCACATCAACGCGAGCCCCATCTTCGCCACCATCAACGCGCAGCCGTGGATCGCCGCCACGACCAAGGCGCGCGTGCTGGAGTGGAAGATCCGGATGGACCTGATCCAGTACGCCGCGCGGGGGGTGCCAGACCTAAACCTCGACAAGATCGCGACGTACCGGCCCAAGACGACCGGCGCGCCAGCAGGCACGCCCATCGGTACGTACAATCCAACCCACCCTTTTCCCTTCCCTGTGTGTTTCTCTTTGAATTACCTACCTACCGGTATCTTGAACACCAGAACAAGCAAACAAACAAAGAAGGAGGGGAAAAAACTGACACTCAAAAGAAACCATCATCGCCCGCCTGCACCAGCAACCCGACGACGGCCACGCGATCAAGCTCGGGCGTGCAGCGCGCGTGTGCCGCGACCTGTGCAAGCCGTTCGAGGACGCGTGGGCCACAAGCGCGAGCACAAACACAAACACAGTCGTCGCCGGCGCGGAGCAGTGGGCCGCGGTGGCGAATCTGATTGTAGATTCGGTCGAGGCGCCGGGGCCGCGGTGGGTGCGGTCTTGTGGGTTTGAGGAGGCGTGGAAGGTGAGTTGAGCGAGCGAGCACGTAACCCTTCTTTTCTCTGACTGCCCATTCCCCCCAAAAATGCCTACCTATCTTAGGTACCATACCCCTTGTCTATATGCTCTTGTTTTCTGACTTGGTGTTGCCTACACAGGATGTCCCCGACGCGGCCGACGCCAAGTTGTGAGATTATTTGATCTTTTCACGTTAGGGGGCGAGAAATTCTGGTGTCTTGTGACAAATACACGTATGGAGACGCAACTTTTGCTCAGCCACGGCACGCGAGAAAGGCATGTTCGAACGGCAGATGGGAGAAACAATGACTTCGTCCAAGCAGAATCTGAAAACCAAACCGGGGGGCCGTCAAAATGGTATCAAAGTCATGTATCCGTATTTATTTTTGTTCCTTAAGTCGCTTATTCTAAGCCAATCCACTCATCCTCGTTTTCCACCACGGCGTCGCCCTTGAAGATGCCGTTCAGGTCCAGTTCCTTGGTGGACGAGGGCAGAGCCTTGACCTCGACGTCTTTCTCGTTGGTCGTCGCTGTCCACTCGAGCATTTTGGCGTTGCCCTCTCCGGGCCCCGCCTTGTCACCCCCAGCTTGGCCAAGCAGGTAGTCGACCATGTACACATTGTCATCCGCGAGCCTCCTGATATCGTCTCTCATCTTGGCCACGGCGCGAGCCACGACGCGGAGTTCAACATCAATTTTGCCTCGGTTGGCAGTCAACCATGCGCCGTGCTTGTCCACCAGCGCCTTGATCCACAGCATACAAAACTCAACGTGCGGTGACTGCTCTGTCTGAGCGGCAACGTAACGCAAGAGCCTGGCCACGTACACGGTCGGGAACTGCTCCACCACGAGCGGGATATCTGTGTATGGAATGGCCTGGAAGACGCGCTGGATTAGGCCCGCCTCGTTCAGGCGGAAAGCCATGACGAGGGCTTTGAGGTAGTCCTTCTGCTGCAGCACCGCGAGAGTCGATGCCGGGGTGATCTCCATGTTCAGGTCAAAGGGGTCGAATTGGATGGTATTGTCGAGGCTGTAAATCAATAGTCCTTCTGTAGAAGCGGCGCAGAAAGACGTCCCACTCGGTGAGAAACCCACGCTGCTTACTCTTACTTCCGCCGTTCTTTTTCTTGCCGAAGGATCGCCCCGCTTTGAGCCAGGTAGTGACCTATCTATCCGATCCTCAAGGTCAGATGCCTCGCCTTGGTCGTCAAGAAGACTAGCGGGTCCTGTTTCCGTGAGAAGTTTGCTGTTGAGGAACTCTTGAGTTCCCGAGAGCGACAGATTGACACTGGCTGTGAACTTCTTGAGAAGAACCATGGTAGTGACCGAGTACAAGCAAATGTACTTGCTGTTTCCGCCTGCAAGAAGGCAGCTCCCGTCCGTGCTGTACCGGATAGTATTGAAGCTTTTCGTTCCTGCCACGTTGGCGGCAGTTCTGCGGTCTGTGATTTTCCGCCCTCCAGAAACGTCGCGCCGACCATCCAGACCCGAAACCTGCTCAGCCTCCGACACGGCCCAGAACGACAGTTGACCGTCCAGGGTTGATATCGCTATCTGTAGAGAGTCGGGCCTGAATGCAATGTCGAGGATGTCCGACTGAAGCTGCAGGGGTTCGCTGGTTTGTGTCCGGTTGAAAATAGACCATATCCTGGCTGTCCGGTCCCAACTGCCGCTGACCAGGAGCCCACCGTCAGGCGCAAATGCAAGCGACGACACTGGCCCTTCATGTCCAGACAGCCGATCAAGAAGCTGTCCGGTCTGGACAGACCAGATGTGTATCTCGAACGAATCGATCGAGCCTGCTGCAACGATTTCGCCACTTGGGTCCACCGCCATGCACGAGAAAGATAACCGCTCTGGAGCTGTGAAAGTCCTGAAGTTCCGGTATCTAATGAGATCCCATGCTCTGATTGATCCGTCTAAACTTGACGTGAAGAGAACACTGCCTCTCTTCGCGAATTCGCAGGCTGTAACGCCGCTTGTGTGCTCGGTAAAGGTCACGATGCAGAACCCCGATTCTATATCCCACACCTTAATCTTGCCGTCGTCAGCTGTAGTGACGATGCGTTGACCGTCAGGCGAGTACACCAACGAGTTCATGGCATCGAAGTGACCTTGCTGCTTGAGGATGTAGGACTCGGACTGCCACTCCCACACAAGTAGCTGGCCGAGTTTGGATGCCCCAAAAGCTAGCCACTCTCCAGACTTGTTGATAGTGACAAAGTCAATCTCGTTTTGGGAGATGCTGAGCGTGTGGATCATGTTGAAGTCGGGCATCTCGTATAGCCCAAAGATGCCATTGGAGAAGCCTGCCACGAGCAAGTTTGACTCTGGGTGGAAATCGGCACACCGGAGTGTAGCGCTATTCTGGAGGAAATAGTGCCGGTTGACAATCCTCCACTGCAAGTCCGATTCATCGTCTTGCATTTCGTCGTCGTCTTGGTTGGGTGGGGCGACATACTGCCAGTCGAAAACGGCGCCGTCTTTGCTGACTGTATATATCGTCTCTTGGTCCTTGGAGAACCAAGCACCCATAACCCCCTGCCTATGGCCCGATAGAACTGTCGGCGTGAACCCTTCCTCTGCGTTTAGACTCCATATCCTCGCCGTAAGATCCTTGGAGGCGCTGAGGAAGAATCGCGAGTCGCTAGACCATTCAATGTGGCGAACGTCGTCGAAGTGCGACGTATGGGTATGGTGGCGCACAAAAGGTGCAAACTCGAGGCCGCCTTCGGTATTCGAATCCGGAGTTGAAGGCACATGCCAGACCTCGATTTTCCGGCCTACCCCTGCCACGAAATAACGCCCAGATGGCGAGAAAGAAAGAGCTGTCACAGCGGACTTAAAGGAAAAATGGTACAGAACAATGCGCCGTGGCACATTGGTCAAGATAGCTTGGCCATCTTCGTCAACCGAGAGGAGCAAGTTGCCCTGGGGCGTAAGACCTATCCTCGAGATGTTCTTTCGGTGAGAAAATGGGAGGGTGTAGGATTTGTTGCTGAAGACAAGGCGTTGAGTTAGCGCAAGACCGCTGTATACGATGCCGCTGCCCGGCAAGCAACCAAGAAGGCTTACTCGACAAGATTGAACACGGTCACTCTGTTGCCGACGGGGGAGAAAAGATAGGTTCCGTCTGGGCTGAACAGAAGGTTGGCCTGGCAGTAAACTGTTCCCAGTAAATTGGAGAACTAGGCGCAAAAAATAAGTAAATGTACTAGATCATATTAGATCCAAGTGCGAGAGGTCCCATACCTTGTAATCTGTCTTCATGGTCACCTCTGATCCATTTCTCAGTCGACTGCCTCGACTTTTACTTTCTCCGGCTTCGTTCGCTGCGAAGCCACTGAAGTGGACTAATACTCGAAGTAAGGTGGTATGCGACGAGATGCGCGAGGCCGTGCTCTTTCTGGCCAAAAATTCTTGAACTTTTTGGCGGGGTCGGCGAATTCTTTCTCCTTGGTTCCGACGCACTAGGATGGGACGGGACCTTTAGCGTGCCCAATTCAGCTTGGCAAGGTACCCTTGGCAGGCACCTCGGTGGAGAGCTGTCAGGGCTGGGGAAGGTGGGAAAAAAGGGGACAAGGACCCACCCATTTTCTAGCCAGTGCCCAGTTGCTCTGCTGTCGCGCCCCGTGCGTTCTCTCTGGTTTGGAAATTTGACAGCGAAATTCCCCTGAGGCACGAGCTCCCATCTCCTCATCACCGTCGCCCTTCAAACCCATCTATCTTTCTTGTGCACAGCGCGATCTTCTTTCAATTGCCCTCATCTGCCCTCCCAGCAGCGGATATCTTGCCAAGACATACGTATAGTCTTCGTTGCGATCCTTCTTCTGGCTCAAGATGGCTCCTACTGTCGAGAGTGCCTCGCCGATTGGCATTGCCAATCTGCCCAACCAGCGACACAAGATCGTCGCGAAGAGAGGCGCCGCTTTTACTATCATGGTGAGAGTCCATCGACTGCAGGGCCGTCTGCAAAAGCTCTTTCTGACCCTGACCATTTCAGGTTGCTGGCGAGTCCGGACTCGGCAAGACTACCTTCATCAACACGTTGTTCTCCACCACCATCAAGAACTACGCCGACCACAAGCGTCGGCACCAGAAGCAGGTCGACAAGACCGTTGAGATTGAGATTACCAAAGCTGAGCTAGAAGAGAAGTTCTTTAAGGGTATGACACCACCAAGGGACCTGGTTGTACAAAAGCTCTGACAAGTTCGCAGTTCGCCTGACCGTGATCGATACCCCCGGATTCGGTGACTATGTCAACAACCGTGACTCTTGGATGCCCATCATTGAGTTCCTCGACGACCAGCACGAGTCCTACATGCTCCAGGAGCAGCAGCCGCGTCGTCAGGACAAGATCGATCTCCGCGTCCACACCTGCCTGTACTTCATCCGCCCTACCGGCCACTCTCTCAAGCCGCTCGACATCGAGGTTATGAAGAGGCTGTGCTCACGCGTCAACCTCATTCCCGTCATTGCCAAAGCTGACACCCTTAGCCCGGCCGACCTGGCCAGGTTCAAGTCGAGAGTAGGTCGAGACCGGTATGATCCATGTAGCAAAAGTACGCTAACAGAGCGGCTAGATCCGTGCTACCATTGAGGCCCAAGGCATCAAGATCTACCAGCCACCAGTTGAGGAGGATGACGAGGCGGCCGCCCAGCACGCGCGGAGCCTGATGGCGGCGATGCCGTTTGCCGTCATTGGCTCGGAGAAGGATGTTAAGACCAGCGACGGACGCATCGTGAAGGGCCGCCAGTACTCGTGGGGTGTCGCCGAGGTTGAGAACGAGGACCACTGCGACTTTAAGAAGCTCCGGTCAATCCTGATCCGCACTCACATGTTGGATCTTATCCACACCACCGAGGAGCTTCACTACGAGGCCTACCGCGCGCAGCAAATGGAAACGCGCAAATTCGGCGAGGCCCGCCCGAGAAAGCTTGACAACCCTAAGTTCAAGGAGGAGGAGGAAGCCCTGCGTAAACGCTTCACCGAGCAGGTCAAGATTGAGGAGCAGCGATTCCGGCAATGGGAGCAGAAACTCATTGCCGAGCGTGATCGCCTCAACAAGGACCTCGAGCAGACTCACGCTCAGATCAAGTCGCTTGAGTCTGAGCTCGACAATTTGCAAGGTAGCGTCGCCCGTAGCCATGGCCGCCGTTAAGTCCCCATCAAACTTCGTAATGAGTCGTCTGTTGTGTCGCCATTGCTTTGGCGGCTCGGCATTTTAGCTGTTCGCTCCGCCTCAAAAGTTTATCCGGCGGGCGATGAACTGCCAGGAGTTGTTTGTTTTTCAACGGCTTTAATGGATATGCCATGCCTAGCTCCTAACGACATGGTGGCGGCAGTGATAGTGGCGGTATGTGTTGAACGGAGGTAGTGGTGTTTGGCTGGAGATCACACGTTCCTGAGGTTGGCCTTTCCTATGTTTCCTTCACCGATTATCGACACCGACGGGGAAAAAACAGTGCAAATCTCGGAGGTTCGCCAATTTCGTTCTTCGTACCTTTTTTCAGTCTTCTAGGCCTTTTTTATTTTGTCTTAGTCACGATGTAATTCAGCCCCCCCTTTCATGATACCAGATAATGAGAAAGGCTGCCACATTCAGAGAAAACGAGAAACAGCACATAGCGAGCGTCTAGACTAGCCCAATTTCTACTTGAAACTTTTGGTTTTTTATTGTTGACTATATGACATGCGGAGGTCAGGTCCCTGAGTCGAGGGCGTTCGCCGTATCCCGGGCCAGGTTACAGGAGCCCTTCTGGCTGGCAATCTGATTACTGTTGCGTTCGCGGGCCCACTCAGAAGATTGGTCTCTAGACAGCATCCATGGTGGCCCGCGTCGTCAGCTGCTCGTTCTTATTGCCCAGTTTTGATATCTGCAGGAAGACATCGACGCCATATCCCTCTAGGCTGTGCAGAGCTAGGCTGCCGGCCCAGTACTCGGCATATACCCTGCTCAGGGGTAGGCCCATTCCGAGCCGCAGGTTGGGGGGCCGACTGGAGAGGGTTGCCAGCGAGTTGCTAGGACCTAGCTCTTCTCTCTTGACAGTGCGGCTTTTGCCGCTTTGATCTGCCTCTAGTTGGAGCTCCTGCATGGTCGCAGCCATCTTGGGCACCTGTCCTAGGTTCGCCAGAAGCTGCTCGCTTGCCGGGCCCTTGCTGAAGGACCACAGGTAGGGCAAGATATCGCGGGGGATCCCGCCACCCTTGTCCGAAATGCGGATAATGACGTTCTGCGGGCTTTCACAGATGGTAATCTCGACGGGCGGCGGCGGTGCGTTTTGCGGGTTCGAGCCCCGGTCGCTGTCCCGCTGGTGCTTCTCCACCACCCCCTGGACCGCGTTGCGTAGCAGCTCGCCAATGATGTACTCGAGGTGGCTAAGGATGAAGGGGAAGTTGGCGTCGAGATGGCCGTCGATTTTAATCTCGGGGACGGCAACATCTGGACCATACGCCCCCCTCGCGATCTTTTGCGTCATCTTACCGCAGCGTTCAATGACCTCCTTGGCCACGCACTTCAGAAACACCTCTCCAATAAACTCGGACTCTGACAATTTTGCGCCGGGCGAGAACCATGGTGCGTGAAAGGTATCTGTCAGCGCAAGATGCTGCTCGGCTATGACTCGACGGGAAATACGCTGCGTGTTTTGAACCGGTTAGTAGCGAAAAGAACTAGTTGTGATTCGAGATCAAGATTCCAAGGGCGGGGGATGGGCAGGCAGTATTACAGCTCTCAGGATGGTGTTCATAAACTTGTCTAGGTCGTCGGCCGCCATCAGGCCAGTGCACTCCAGGATGCCCCGGGCCAGCTTCGGTATGACCGTGAGATGGGCCTTGAGCATGGTGCGAATCGTCTCGCAGAACCTATCATTGTCTTCTAGCGTCTTGATCTCCTTCACTTTTCGGAAAGTGTCGAAGGCAGTGTAGTACAGGTCATACACCTCGTTAATGTGAGCGTTTGTGACAACAACATAGGGCAGTCGCTGCATGTCTCGAATACGGTGGGCGAGCCTGAGAAGCGGAGGCAGAACAATGTCAGCACAAGCCCCCTTCCCTCGTGTATACACACAGGCGACAGAAATGAACTTGCCTAGTGGGCAACTCGGTCCGCACGTAATTGGCAGAGTTCATGAGTCTCGATTCGGTGAGGGAGCGCCCGAACACCATGAGCTGCCGCAGGCTGATAGGCCGGGCTTCTTTGGCAACCCATCTGTGCAGTTATTTAGGTGGTGAGTGTGGAAACATGAAGCCTTGACAGTTTAGGTAGTTGGATTTGGGGGGGGGGGCATACTCGTCCAAGACAGAGACTGGACGCCATTTAGGGCTTTGGCTGTGCGAGGAGAATCGCATCTCACGCCGCCGATCCTGGAGCAGCTGCCCGCGTGCCACCATGCCCAGCTCTCCCGCTCGCTTCATCAGCCGAACGGACGCCGTAGCATTGTGCAGCGAGAATCGCGGCATGCCGCCGGTGCCATGCGAGAAGGTCGGTCGTTTTTTCTTGCGATAGGTTACAGCAAAGAGGCGTCGATAGCTCCAGCTAGGCAGGTTAGGTTGTTGGGAGACTCCAACTACCCACCTAAGTCTACCTTAGGTATGTAGGTAAGGTCGGTTCGTGTTTAAGAACCACAAGGCCAAAGCAGTGGGACACTGCTGCTAGTTCTCAGCTTCGGTGCCCTGCTTTGGGCGCGCTGAGAAATCGCCCATTGTCGTCCATCCACCTGGCAGCTTTTCAAAGCACAATGGCCTGCTGTGTTGCGCATCTGGATACCTACCCCACACTAACCTAAGCTCAGTCTCCACTCGAGCATGAAGGGAGGGGGGCGGGGGGAGGGGGGCGATGATACTACAGTACGAGGACTGAGGCTCTACGTACTGTATACGTGTATGGAATTCTTGCCTCTCACGTTATTACAGCACCACGCACTGCCCTGAGTTGGTACCGGATTTCTGAAAAGAAGTATAATATCTAGAAGAGATTGGCCATATAATTATATTCTCGTTGCTGAAAATTATTTAGATTAAACATTGGCCTGTAGTACCTAAGGTTAGTAGACCCAGAGGTGTAGCTGAGAGGTAATCACTTGTGCTAGCCTTGGCAATGATGAGTTTCGGCCTGCCTTCGACGGAACTTTCGTTAATGAAGACGGGAGGCTGTCATTAGACCACTAGAAAACATTTGTATATATATGTATATCTTAGTTCTCGTATGAAAATGTAAACTGAGATTCCATACTGTCTAGAACACCAGCAGTTGCGGGACAAATTGTGAGGCGTCAGAGCTGAAATGGTAGAGTGGCAGGATGAGACAGACCTGATGATCAGCCTACCCAGCAAACACCAAAGGATGAAGGCGAAACCCCAGCATAAGACTCTACGACTAGGGCATACCATACCCGGCACTATAATTATATGCACAAACATAACACATGGAAGCCTGCTCGGGCTTCTACCTAGCGGGATCGAAAAGGGGATGATTGTTCCACAGCCTTGGCTGCTGGGGGAGGTTTGCTTGAGGCATGATGAATGTGGGGCCGTGTTGGTGGACTGTGGTTGAATAGCAGGCGGCCAGCGCCCCACGTCATTGGAGGGGCCCAGGGAAAGGCCAGCCATGTCGTATAGTAGCGAGAGTTGATAAGCGGTACATAACAGAGGCTAAATTTGCCCTTATCCGGCTGCTTGCGGGAGGCTGCAGTAGGTACCCGCTGACAATCCAAGCCTCCAAGGTACATGTCTTCAGTGAAAAGTAGGCTCGAAAGCCGCGCTGCGCCTCAGGGAACACCCACCTTGCTCGTGGCTGGTGGTCTCCTTCTGCACCGATTCTCGACAGACCTCACCGTTGCTGTCCCAGTACTGTTTGCGGTTCATCTTTCCTTGCTTCAAGAGGCTGCTCACTACATCGCATTGCTGTCCTGCACGTTTTCAAGACAGCCTTTGCCAAATCGTGCACAGGCTCGAGACACGGCACCTGATCTTCCCTTGTCAAGAGGGCAGGAGCTGTCGAAACCTAGCCGCCGGAACCCACGCCTTCCTGACCGAGTCCCCGTCTGTTGGTGAACATGGTAAGTCCACTTTGCTCTGCTGTCGCTCGCGTAACCCCCGAACTTCCTATTTATCACTCTATTCCCTTGCGATTCGTGTCTCGGCCCTACCGACTATTGCTCCCTACCGACTATTGCTCAACATAATCTCGCTGTGCTGATTCTTTGAGTCGCAACATGGAGGGGCGCGGCGACCTTTCAACCCCGCCAGCCAAGCAGTTCTGTATGCTAACTTTCTACGAGGACGCCAACAATCCCGAGGCGGCCTCGCCAAACGCCATGGCGGTAGACCCCCCAGAGGAACACATTGTCGAGCCGAACGGCACTGAGACCGGCGATGTCGCCATTATCACCCCCGATAGCACCGAGAACGCTACCGTTATGCTCGCTAACGACTGTATATCAACCCCTTCGAACCACTCGCTATTCTTCCACGCTGACCTCCGTGTAGTTGTTGCTATGAAGGACCACGTTCTCCCGCCACTGGTTGAAGAGCCTCACGTTCTAGAAGACCAGATTTTCACGTGGGAAGTTGTGAGCTGGGCGAACATGACCAAGAAGGAGCATGGCCCAGCTTTCCAGGCCGGTGGCTTTCCATGGTAAGTCGAGATGATCCCGACGCCATTCTTATTTTCAGGAGCTAGTTGCTAATGCTGTTCAAGGCGGATACTACTGTTCCCTTTCGGTAACAATGTCGACCAGTGTTCCATCTACCTCGAGCATGGCTTCAATAACAACGAGGTTCCAGAAGACTGGAGCTGCTGTGTGCAGTTTGCGCTCGTTCTCTGGAATCCAAACGATCCTTCCATATTCTACCACCACTCGGCCCACCATCGGTTCACCAAGGAGGAAAGCGATTGGGGATTTACACGATTTCTAGAGAGGCGTAAGATGTACGCCCCATGGGAGAATTCAGAGAGGCCTCTCGTCGAGAATGAGTGCGCAAACATCACCGCGTATGTACGAGTGGTTGAGGACGAGACGGGTGTCTTGTGGCACAACTTCAACAACTACGATTCTAAAAGGGAGACGGGGTTTGTCGGCCTTAAGAACCAAGGCGCAACCTGCTACTTGAATTCGCTTTTGCAGTCGCTCTACTTCACCAACGCGTTCCGCAAAGTAATTCTCGTCTTTTCCCACTTGTCGCGTGATCCAGGGCTAACATATACAGGCTATCTACCAAATTCCTACACAATTACAAGAGGAGAGTATGAACAACAGCGCGTACACCTTGCAACGGCTTTTCTACCAACTCCAGACCTCCAATACGGCTGTAGGAACAGCCGAGCTAACCAAGTCCTTCGGTTGGGAGACACGCCACATCTTTGAGCAGCAGGATGTGCAAGAACTGTCCCGGAAACTCATGGAGCGAATGGAGGAAAAGATGAAGAATACAGAGAACGAGAAGGTGCTGGCACAAATGTTCAGCGGCAAAATAAAGACGTACATCTCCTGCATCAACGTCCCCTACGAATCGAGCCGCGTGGAGGACTTTTGGGATGTCCAACTCAACGTTAGCGGGAACAAGAACTTGCTGGAAAGCTTACAAGACTACATACAGGTTGAAAAGCTAGACGGGGAGAACCAGTACTTTGCCGGCGAGCAATATAAGCTGCAAGATGCCAACAAAGGCGTCATCTTCCAGAGCTTCCCAGACGTTCTACACCTTCAGCTCAAACGGTTCGAATATGACATCCAACGCGACACAATGATGAAGATCAACGACAGGTATGAGTTCCCAGAAGAGTTCGATGCTGCACCGTACCTGGACAAGGAAGCAGACAAGACGGAAGCTTGGGGATACCAGCTCCACGGTGTGCTAGTTCATAGCGGAGACCTTAACGCAGGCCACTACTATGCCTTTCTTAAGCCTAACAAAGATGGCTGGTGGTACAAGTATGACGACGACAAAGTCACCAAGGCAACGAGACGAGAGGTTCTGGAAGAGAACTTTGGAGGCCCGTTCAAGACACCAAACGGGCCCACTCGGACGCCTAGCCAAAAGAAGACGCCCACTATGCGACCTAATAGCGCATACATGTTAGTCTACATTCGGAAATCGAAACTCGACAAGGTTCTCTGCCCTGTCACGGCGGAAGACACTCCTCAGCATCTCCAGCAAAGATTTGAGGAGGAAGTCGCTGCCCGCGAAGCTAGACGTAAGGAACGAGAGGAACAGCATCTGTACCTAGGAATAAAGGTCATCACCGAGGCGACATTCCAGCAGCACAGCGGAACAGACCTCACAAGTTTTGACGCAAACCCGGAGCAGGACCCTGCAGCACCCCGGTTCTATCGCCAACTCCGAAATTCGACTATGCAAGAGCTGGTGGATACCATCGGAGAAGATACTGGACTGGATCCGAGACGTATACGGCTCTGGATCATGGTAAACCGGCAGAATAAGACGATCCGTCCTGATCAGCCAGTGATGGATCTGCGCCCAACCGTTGAGGACACTTTTAACAGAGCTACCGCTCACCGTGATCAAGCTTTGCGAGTCTGGGTTGAGGTTGCCGAGGACATCAACGCAGACGGGGAAGCCGTATGGCCGACATACCGAGGGCAGGAAAATGGCGTCATTGTGAAGAACGACCTCATCCTCTTGTTCCTGAAGTGGTTCGACGTCGAATCTCAAACTCTAAAGGGGGTCGGTCACACCTATATCAGCAAGGAAAAGAAGGTAGAGGAGCTCGTTCCTATCATCATAACGAAGATGGGATGGAGGGATAAGCTATCTAGCGATGAGAAGATTCAGCTTTGGGAAGTAAGTTCACCTGAATTCTCTCGGAAGACCGAACATATGCTGAATCCTATCTAGGAAATCAAGCCAAACATGATCGAGGGTCTTAAGGCGAAGCAGACGCTCAAGGCTGCGGAGCTTCAAGACGGAGATATCGTTTGCTTCCAGCGAATGCACGAAAAGAAATCCAGGCTTGGGCTTGGAGAATCTAAGCCCGCAGAGGAAGCGTAAGTCGTCTATTCTTCAAATCAGAAGCCACTGCTAACAACTTGTCCGTATAGAAGCAAAGTATCAGACCGATTCGACGACGCTCGAGAATACTATGATTTCTTGCTAAACAAGAAGACGGTTAAGTTCCACGCCCATCCTCAGAAATGCGATCCTCAGCAGTTCCCGTCATTCGAGATGGTTTTGAACTCAAAGATGAGTTACGACAAACTGGCCGAGAAGATTGGTGATAGGTTAGAGGTTGATCCGACCCATCTGCGTTTCTACACGGTCAACGCCAGTTCGTACAACCCGAGGACCGCAATCAAGCGTGGACCAAACCAAACGCTGCTCAGCATTCTCAATCCCACCGGCTATGGTCAGTTGAATATGAATCAGCGACCCGACGCTTTGTTCTTCGAGGTGTTGGACATGAGTCTTGCCGAGTTAGACACCAAGAAGAGCATAAAGATTACGTGGCTCAGCGAAGGCATTTCGAAAGAGGTAAGATAGCCCTGCAATACGTCTAGTCACATTACATGATACTAACTTGGTATTTTAGGACCAATACGACGTCCTTGTAACTAAGAGCGGTCAAGTAGAAGACCTGATTGCGGCCCTTATCAAGAAGGCGAAGCTGGAGAGTGAAGAGGAGGGTGGGAGAATTCGCGTCTACGAGACAAGCAACCACCGGTTCTTCAAAGAGCTTGAGAGAGCTTACCCCGTCATCAGTATCAACGACTACACAGCAGTTGTTGCCGAACGGATACCTGAAGAGGAACTTGAAGTGAAGGACAACACCCAGTTCATTTCGGTCTTCCACTTCCACGGTGAGCCCAGCAGGGCTCACGGGATGCCTTTCCGGTTCCTGCTCAAAGAGGTGAGTGGTGCCTTCTCATCTAACTTGTGAAGCTTCCTGTTCTAATTGTGTGTACAGAACGAAACATTTGCCGAGAGCAAGAAGCGACTGGAGAAGCGGACTGGTCTGAAGGGCAAGAGCTTTGAGAAAATCAAGTTCGCAGTGGTCAGAAGATCACAATACTCGAGACCGCAGTACTTAAACGATGGTAAGCAGTGCCTTAATACTTGAAAGGTTTTAGAGGGTTTAGAAGCTAACATATGCGGTAGACGATGTGTTGTGGGACGTGGCTGCTAACGAGGACGACTTCCTCGGCCTTAATCACCCTGATCGGACGAGGTCATTGCGGAACGGTGTTAGCGACTTGTTCCTCAAAGGCTAGACATGCGTTGAGCGTGGGTTTTCGGGGCTCTAGATAGGTGGTGTTATCCTGCGTGTGCGCTCTGTGTCTTGAGAGTTGGCCGAACTCTTGTTCTCAAAAAGACAAAACAGGCGAAGAGGGAGTCGGTAGGAGGCTTCTGCTTTTAATGCTTGTTATATGCACGCAGGGATCTCTACCATATCATAGAGGGAGTACATCGTCCATAGGGGCAGGATCATGGATAACAGTTAGCGAGCGACAGCTTTTTTTTGGGGCATATTACCTGCCGGAAGCGATATGGATTGGTATTTGCGGCTGCAGAGCTGTCTGCCAATGTGCTGAGCAATAGGGAATAGAATTAATGCTGCTTGATAGGTACTCTGTATATCAATTTAGGGAATCTTGTTGGCGTGCTTGTAGCATGGTTGTATGCCGAAGTTTTATAAGTACATTAGGTACTATAATTTCTGACTGAACAAAGGCAGCTCTTATGTAAGTTGGTGGCTACTGTACCTGTGGCAGTCTCGACGCTCTCCAAACTTTGGTGCATAAAGAACCTCGGTACTACGTGGCATCCAATATCCTAAGAGTATAAATTAGACGGCCTTTAAAATATTTCCTACTAGTTGATAACTGTTATATAGACATTTTGAGCATTTCGTGAGAGTTTGGAGTTAAAGTCAACCAAATACATGCTAACAGAACATGAAGGCCTAATTGGTTCTAGCTGCAGTGGCTCTTTTTACTGACTGTAATTACCCGCTCAGGCGGCGAGGCGGGGACTTGTGGGAGAAAATGTAACGGCGGAACCGGAACCATTCTGAAAAGTTTGGCGGTGAATGCTGGCAGAAATTATCGTCGATAAGATTCACGGCTGGCTGGCTCTCTTTGTTGGGATTGGATAGCGATCAAGAAAGGCGACGACGGCGATCCATCTCCCATCTTTGTGACGGCGACGACGACGACGACGACGGCAGAAAAGATCTCTCACCTTCGAGAGCGACGGGCCCGAGCGCGCGAGTATTGACATCACCACCCACCCGCCAACTGCCGCTACGATGAACTTCCCTGGTGCGGGTGCTCTGGGAGGTGCCTCCCCGGGTGGGCAGCTCGGTGCCGGCGACCCGAATATGAAATGGGTTCGTTACTTAGCTACCAGTTAGCCTGAAGGGCGTTTTACTGACATCTCTTTATTTGCGTGCCGTGCTAGTTAACGAATGCCATGGAGTCATGCTATGTCAAGACGGCCATGAGCGGTGTCGCAGGGTTCGGGCTGGGCGGACTGTTTGGAATGTTTATGGCATCTGTATGTCCTTTGCTCCTCTTTCCTTTACATCTCATCTCTATTCCTATAAATTTTGGACTGTCTCCCCCAGACCCAGACACAGGACAGACATGCTAATACCCCTTTCCTTGTCGGGCAGATGGCCTACGACACGCCGTACCACACGGCGGGGGCTGCGGTGTCGCCGATCAGCTCGATGCCGTGGCGGCAGCAGCTGTCGACGGGGTTCAGGGACATGGGCAAGCGGTCGTACAGCACGGCTAAGAACTTCGGCAAGGTCGGCGCGCTGTTCAGCGGCGTCGAGTGCGGCATCGAGGGGCTGCGCGCCAAGAACGACATGGGCAACGGCATCGCCGCCGGCTGCTTCACGGGCGCCATCCTCGCCCGCAACGCCGGGCCCCAGGCCGCCGCCGTCGGCTGCGCGGGGTTCGCCGCCTTCAGCGCCGCCATCGACGCCTGGATGCGCATGCCCAAGGACGAAGACTGATTGAGTCCAGTCCTAGTTGTTATGAGGAGGGAAGGTTTAACGATTCCTCGTGTATGAAAGAAATGGAGGGGGGTTGTATAACACGCGAGACGAGGAAAAAAGAAACTCTTTCCCACCGGCAAGCCAACACCATAGGCCTGCATAATCGGCGGGGAGAGGAAAGGGGTTCTCTCTGGCTAGGCGAGAGAGAGAGAGAAGCGAAACATGCATTGCATTGGCGTTTTTGGCGAGGGGTCTGATTTGATTTGCACATATATCTATACTTGTTCATATAAACACGCCGGCAGGAGACTCGAGGGACGGTGGCCATACTCTTTTTTTTCTTGTTGGCATACACATTTAGAAAATAGAATGGAGGCGGTCTGTCAGGGTCGGGATATAAAGGGTGTCTACCTACCTTGGGTAGTCTTTAGCGTCTGGTCTGCTAGTCTGTATGTACATACTCTACTAATCACTCACTTATAGCTAGCTACCTTACCTATCTGCCAGAAAGGAGAAGAAGGGTACAGGGAATCTCCACACAGTTTGCTCTCTTATCATGAAAGCTTCTCCATAGCCGCGCAACTTTGGCGTGCAGCGGTATTCTGTTGACAGCTTCCAATATTTTCCCCCCGGAATTTAGATACGGGAGGTTGCACGCTTAAACTAACGCTCCTAGTGTTGGGAACAGTCTAGTCTAGACGGAATCCCCCAGGTCTGTTCGTTTTCCTTGGACATCAAGAAACGGCCCCCGGAGTAAAAACGCAATAAAACCAGAGCCAACGTGCCAATCCTGAGAATTACATATATATATGGACAATCGGGTCCGACCCGGCCAACCCCATCAGCCACCTTCCTTCAGTCGTCATCTTCGTCATCCACCCGGGACCGTTTCGGTTGTCGGTCATCCTCGTCTTGAAGCCCAAAGCCGCGCTTGGACGTTGAGCTCTGCTGGACCTCGGACAGGAACTTGTCGACATTGAAAGGGTCCGCCGCAGCGACATCCTTCTCAAACTGGACAGGCCCCTCGCGCGCCTCGACCTCCTCGGTGCCCTTGAAGGTACCCCGGCCGAGAGCCTCGCCGAACCTGTTTGACTTTTGAATCTTTGACAGCTCTTGGTCGCCGTCGGCCTCATCGTCTTCCTCAGCGTTCGCACGTGGTCTGTAGATGCTGCTGATGGCGTCCTGGGCGGCGAAAAGTGGCTTGTCGTAGGGGTTGTCCTCGTTGAAGCCGCTATCGAATCCGCTCGACTGGTTGAAAAGACGCGAGTCGTACATGCCTTCGGCGGACTGGGTCGGCTTGGCTAGACCGAGGGCAATCTTCTCCGAAATGTCACGGTTCATTTCCCGAGCCATGACCTGTGCTCTTCTCTCTGCACCCATGCGTGACTGGCGGAGTTTCCGCTCGTCCTCGCGCTGCCGCTCTTTGCGAGCGTTTACTCTCTCTTGCTCTGAACCGTCGCTGTCTGAGCCCGACTCGGACCCACTGTATGATCGTGATCGCGATCGCCTTCCGCCGCCTGCTCTCTCAGCGCGAGCGGCCTGTGCTAGTTGGCGGAGATTCTCTTCTTTCTGCGCCTTCTCCTTCTCTGCCAACCTCTGCTGCATCATAGCCCTCTGTCGAACCTCCTCTCTGGCATGCCGGTCGGCCATAAATAGGGCCTCTGAGAACTGGGCGAACTTGTCATTGATCTGAACGTCTTGCAGTCCACGACCGTCGGCTGCCAGTCTCTTGTCCAGAGGCACTGTGAAGCCTTTCGAGTTTTTCCACAGCGAGACAGGAGGTGCTAAATTCGTAGGCCATAAGCAGTTGCTCCTCACATTAGAAGAATTACGGGGTAACTCACGAATCTTCCACGCCTCTTGGTCTTCTGCTGTCAGTTTTCTTGGCGGGGAATGCATGACCTAGGGATATAGATTAGCAAGTCGTATTCTCTGAAATTCACAAATGTTTCGGCGTATGATGTACATACCGGTGGGGGGGGGGTCGGAGGCCCTCTTGGAATTTTCTTGTGCTTGAACTTCGGTGGTTCCATAGGGTCTAAAATTAGTTAGCCAGGTGAAAACAAAACAGCAATCAACATGGACGTACCTTTCTGGCGCTCGATAATCTTCATGATGCGGTCCTGCTTCTTGGTATTATCCCCCATCTGCGCCGAGGGCGTATAACGAACAAAGGTCGGCTCTCTCCGTCCGCCAACATTCAGAGTCTTGGGCTTCTGCGCGGCGACGGCACCGCTCACCAAAGTCGCCAGCGCGTTTCTCGTCCGTTCTGCCGTGGCCTCCACTTCCTCGCGACTCGGTCGGGAGAGGTCAAGGTCGCCTGCTTCGGCCCGCTGCCGGAGCGGGATGAGATCCTTGAATGACGTGTGGATGATCCTGTTCTTGTCGTGGCCCTGGCGCGCGATCGCGCTGTAGTCGACCTTGCCTTCACCATCGACTTGGACGACTAGTGCATTCGACGAGGTCGCGCCCTTCTTTCCCCAGACATACTGAGCGACGTGGATCTCGGGAAACGCGCCGCCATCGCCAAAGTCCTCGGGGGCGCGGGGACGCCAACCTGCTCTGTTCGGATACGGCGGCGGGCCAGACCTCTGGAAGTCACCAAATTAGTCACTGTCCCGGTGCACAGGCAATCGCAAAATCGTAACTGACCTTTAAGACGACTCGGGTCTCATCGAGCTGCCCCGGGCCGACAATCCTAGGGCCTCGCTGTTGCGTCTTTTGCTCTTCATATTCCGAGTTGTACTGGGGCTTTGGCAGAGACCGCGCAAGGCCGGCCGCTATCGAGGTCATGGTTGCCGTCGATTGATTTGCGCACGAAGATGCAGTGTTGGGGTTGAAGGTGAGGTGAAGTAAGTGGGGACCTTAACGCGGGTCGTCTTGAGAAAAGTTACAGCTGCTTTCGTAGTAACTCGTGGCTGGGCGCAGCTTCTGTAGCGCATGCTCAGTGCTTATCGGGCTTATCGGCACCTACACAGTCGCCCTTCAGTGCTGAAGTGGGTACGTAGGTACCTACCTAGTGCGTTAAAGTGAGGTGCGCTAAAGTAGCCTGCTTTCTGAGGTAAAGTTCAGGTTCAGAATTTGGATTTGCTCGTTTCGTCCCAGTTTTTACTCAATCTTCTTATTGGAATACTCAATATAAATTCAGTACTCGTGAATCGTACATTGGGCTCGAAACCTCGGCCGGTTTCTGTTTCGTGGAATATCTGAGCACAACATGGACGCTTAAACATAAACAAGGCACCTCCGCCTCTACTTCCTGCGGTACCTGGCGCAAAGCAGCACCACGATTTGGCATAATCATCATGTTTGAAACCCAAATAGGGACAACCCTATATACCAACCATCGCCGAAAACTAATAGGCTTTTGCTGTTAAGTGCTTCATGCAAGACCCGCCCCATGTGTGCAGTACGCCTGGTCAAAACCACCATCTTAACAGCACAACAAACAACATACTCATACATAGCCCTTCCTCGCGCCCTGAAGATGTGGTTGTCAGCGACGCTCGTAGACAAGCCGGACCGGGGAGCGCTTACCTGGAAGAAAAACCTGACGATAAAGACCTGCAGCGCACCCATGCATACGACCAATGCAATCTGTATCAAGCTGAAGTTAATGATCCTCTTCTCTGTGCTGCGTACAGTGCTGAAGTTTCGGTTCTCGCGCGTCCGGAAGTATTTTTGGTTTCGTGTGATGGTCGAAAGCTGCCCCGACACCTTGAAAAGGGATTCCTCGAGGGCCGACGTCTGTTCCGGCGAGGTGCCCTGCTTCGCGGGCAGGCTCACGCGTGCCTCGTTCTCGACCTAGGTGTGTTTGCGTGTCAGTGACGCATGGTACAACCACCGGAAGGGCAGGACATGGCTAACCGCAATCTCAAAGTCGACAAACTTGTCTGTATAGGTGCTCATCTCGTTGTTGAAGCAGAACTTGTATTCGCCGACCTCGTTCGCAGAGAAGACGAAGTCGCCCTGGCGCTCCTTTTGACCATCCATGATGTACTTGTTGTTAGGGCCTGTGACTTCATAGTCGATATCGAAGGAGCCGCCCGATTGGACCTGGAGCCCAGTGAATCGTAAGTCAGTCTGACGCCATGGCAAACCGCAGTCTGGGTCTTTTATGTGCGCCTACCGCAAAGTAGAAGGCGATCTTCTCGCCCTTGGCCTGTGTCACTGTGTAGAAGCAGGCCTTTTCGTTGGCGGTAAGCTTGTAGGTCAATGCAGTTGCTGATACCTGGGCCGCCAGGTAGGCCAAAAGGCAGCATGCTATTAGTGGCAGATGCATGGTGTGGGAGTTGTGGCGCCGACGTCGTCGAGGGATCGTGGGTTAGAGGTGGTCTTCAGGATAGCATATCTCAATCGCGAAACTGATCGCCTGCAGGATGCCAAAGCGCTGAGCTGGCCTGACTTTTAGGCGGAACAACCAAGTTCCAGGCCCGTGGGGGCTCTCCCGCAGGCTGCTCCTTGCCAGCCGGGGCCTGGCTTGGCAGCTGGGCACGGACTGGCTCGAGCTTCTTGTCGGATGTGGCCACCCCTGCTTTGTCCATGCCGTGACATCGCTCCAACTTTACCGATGAGCCTATGACGGGACTTGCATGACCTCAGCTCGATCTTTAGGCGGGCATCTTGCGGCGCCCAATCTTCAAATCTATCAAGCTGTCAAAGTAAATCACGCTGGAGTTTTCTCCATAAATAGATTATCCTATTTTCATCAAACAACTTTTGAGTCTCGAGAAACTGTGTGCCCTAGAGCCTCGATTCTCTCAGGTTCAGGTCGTTCCTTCCAACTGAGCCGCTTTCATTAGCAGACTGTGCCTCCCATGCTATTTTAGCACTTCATCTGCCCTGAACTGTGTCTTTGAACTTTCTCCTCCGATGCGTCATAGTTCTCTCTTGAGACAAATTTGAGACACCGAGGGGAGAATGGCGACGACACAGACGAAGGTCGCGATCGCGTCCTCCACCGCGTTGAGACTGTTCAGTTACTTCTTTCTACGATGGGTAAGTCCGCAATCTCATAATTCTTACAATCGAGTCACTACTAATACGCATATTCTAGATCCTCCTCCCAGTAAGCAGCCGGACCGAGACTCTCTGAGCTATGGTCGGAAAAGAACTGACAAAACGCAGTGGTTCGCCGCAACCGTTTTTACTTCCTTCGCCATTTTCGTGCCTTCTTTCATCTGGGGCTGCTTTAACGAGCCGAAAAAGGAGCTAGTTGACGAAGTAGACGTGTTTCTCACCGAAACCTCCGTGGAACAAGACGGCCCAGGGAATGGGAAGTTAGCTCACCCGAACGGCGTCGGCAACAAAGACGTCGTTGCGCAGAAAGTCGATATCGTAGAAGCCATATCAGTGCAAAACCGACCGCTGAATCGTCTGCGAACTCTACTGGCGGGAGCTCCAAACCCGCGTAGCTTGTTGCTCTCGGGTTCTACACTTCTCATCAATGCGCTGTGTGTTGGCCTTGTTGCTGATCGGATCTTCCGCGAACATGGCTACACTGGCGATGATCTCTCGTTTGTCAAGCTGGGATATGTTTCGGAGAACGAAGCAAAGCTGTTGGTGCGGGAACCCGACCAGTCAAAGATGCCTGTTACGTTGCAAATTCACCTCAAAGACCCTCACCCGCCTTTCGACAATCCGTTGTGGCAGGAAGCCGGCGGGGTCCGGTGGACGACAAATGAGACCGACTATACAGCTCTCCTCACAGTTCCCCTGCGACATTCGAAGCCACGGACTTATGAGTGGAGAACCTCGAATAACCACTCGGGCGAGTTCACAACTCCTCCTTCGGTCGGCGATGCTGCCGAGATTGGCAAGGGCCCCTTTACGTTCCTTTCGACCTCCTGCATCGTGAGCCGGTTGCCTTATAGCCCGTTCGACCATCCCCTTGCCATCCCGGGTTTAAGGCATCTGGTCAAAGTTCTCCCGTCTTTAAATGCCCAATTCATGCTCTTCCTCGGCGACTTCATTTACGTCGATGTGCCTCGCTGGTGGGGCAAGGAAGTCTCGGATTATCGCCAGAAATATCGACAGGTCTATGCCTCACCGGACTGGCAAGCCGTTGCGCAGAACCTCAGCTGGATTCATGTTTTGGACGACCACGAGATTGCGAACGATTGGGACGCCAATTCTACGGGCATCTATGCGAGCGCGGTCGACCCGTGGCATCTCTACCACGCTACACCAAACCCGCCACCAGCCAAAAAGGCAGGTGCCCTCAGTCCTCGGCTACGAGCAACGTACTTTAAGTTCACTCAGGGCCCGGCCAGCTTCTTTCTGCTCGACACGCGCTCGTACCGCTCCAGCAACAGTCTCCCTGCCACGGACCTCGAGAAGACCATGCTAGGTCCGGAGCAGTTGGAGGACTTCATCGACTTTCTCAACCGGCCCGAGCCAAAGGGGGTCAAATGGAAGATTGTAGCCTCCTCGGTCCCTTTCACTAAGAATTGGCATTTTAATACTAGGGATACGTGGGGCGGCTTTCTAACCGAAAGGAGGCGGATTCTCAAGGCCATGTGGGATGTCGGAAACAGAGGAATTGGAGTTGTAATTCTATCTGGAGACCGGCATGAGTTTGCAGCGACTAAATTCCCTCCCCCAGCGGACTCCAAATGGCCTGAAACCTCGGCTGTGTACGAGTTCTCGGCCAGCCCGCTGAGCCAGTTCTACTCTCCCGTCCCGTCATATCGCCAGACCGACAACGAGGATATCGCGATCAAGTTCGTGAAACCTCCGGTTCCTTTTTTCTCCAGATGTTCTGTCCTTTTACTAACAATTTCCGTAGGTACATTCACAAGGGGAACTCCAAGTTCGGAGCCATAACCATCGAAAACCTCAAGCAGGATAGCCAGAGCAGCCTTAAATATCGATTGTTTGTCGATGGTGTCGAGGTTTGGAACACGGTGGTTTTGTCTCCTCCGCCTATTTCGGAGGGCAAGTTTACCGGTTCATTCTGGGACAGACTGAAGCTCGCCTAAGAGGGCAGGGCTTGTATAATAGTACTTGAGCTTCGCATTAGGCAAGCTTTGGCAGGAAAACACCGAGATGGGGCGTTTGCCAGGTTGGACCTGGCCGGCAGGTGATTTGGGGGGTTAGGTAAATAGGGACAGCGGCGCCTTGAAGGTAGAGGATACAGGGGAAATACACTACGATGATTTGCTGTGTCGAACCCCTTTTATGAAGACACAATGGACCCTAACCCTAGTGAGCATCGATTAGCACCCCGCTCTATCCGTACTTAGCCGGACCGAGATTCATTCCTTTAGAGCAACCACCAGCAACACCTGACCCAAAAGTAGGCAAAGAGGGCAACTAAGACAGAGATACGGACGAGAAATAGCAGTGAGCGTAACAATTGCCAATTCTAATTTAATTCGTTTCACGCAGCCTGATTTGGTGCAGTGCGGACACCTACATAACAAAGCCGGCTTACACAACTTCCTCCACTACCAACACGATGCACTTTCTGCGTGCTGTCCGCTCTGCCGCCATTCCCAAGCGGCAGTTGCAGGCTCGGCTGTCTTTCAGGTCAGTCATCAACAACCTAGAAGGGTCAACTGTGCCAGCAAGTGACTTACACTGTTGAGCGTTTGGATCAAACAAGCATTGAAGCAGTAAAGTTCAACCTAACCATGAATACAGGCCGCTTCCATCTCGAGCTCACAGCTTGGCAGCACACCGTCATGCCATCGCCCCCTTTTCCTCACAGGGTCATCTGCAAAGGAAATTGGAGGTTGAAGCAAGCAATAAGGGGCTTGCGATACGTCCTCCCCAAGCTGCCGAGATCAAGCGTCAACACCTGTATGCCACTGCTGTTCCCTATCTCCCACATACTTGGAACAGGCATCTGACCCACCCTCTTCTGGGAACCTCTGTAGTCCTTACCTGTGGCTGCGGTGAGTTCTGTATCCCCCCGCATCTGGCCATGGCTGCGAGACGGATCTGGTTCTGAGTGTGGCCGCTAGGGACAACTGCCGCTGCACCCAGTGCGTGAACCAAGACACGATGCAGCGCAACTTCAACACCTTTGAAGTGAGTATGACACGGCTGTGCCATGTGGACAGTTCCCGTCTCCATGCCAACCAAACTCCATATTGCCGTGCGTTACCTGGCTCACGCCTCAGCTAGATCCCTCGCGATATCTGCGCCCAGAGCGTCGAGAGCACCAGCAACGCCGTCAGCGTGACATGTTGGTCGAGACCCAGCCGCCGCAAGTTTCGACGAGTATTACTGCTGATATCCCGCCGCCCTAGGGTCGGATGGCCACCAGAGCAGCTACGACTGGCAGTTCCTGCAGTTCTATCTGTCGTCGGACCATCGTGAGGACGAGGTCCGCCAGTAAATATTCCTCCCCTTTTTCTTTTTCTTGTACAAAACATCTGGTGGTTTCCCGTCTGACACGCTTTCTCGTGCAGGTCGCTGTCACTATGGGGTGCCGAAGCCGCAGATAGCCCTCCAACAGTCTCGTACGCCGAGGTCATGGCAGACGACCAGGGTGTCGCGAGGTTGACATCGAAAATTGTCCGTGTTCTCTCTTCCAGTCTCCCACACAACACCCCCCACGCCACATCCCACATTCCACCTAACAAAAAACCCCTATCTAGAAATCCCACGGCTTCGTCTTCGTCGACGGGACACCGCACGACGACCCGGACGCGACCAGGCAACTACTGGAGCGCATCGCTTTCGTCCGCATCACGCACTACGGCGGATTCTACGACTTCATCCCCGACCTCGCGCTGGCCGACACGGCGTACACGAACCTCGCTCTGGCGGCGCACACGGATACGACCTACTTCACGGACCCCGCCGGCCTACAGGCGTTCCACCTGCTATCGCACCATCCGGCGCCGGGCGATGATGCTAAGGCAGACGCTGCGGGGGGGAAGTCTCTGCTCGTCGACGGCTTCCACGCGGCACGCGTGCTCCAAGCCGAAGATGCGCGCGCGTACGAGATCCTGAGCACGGTGCGGCTGCCGTGGCACGCCAGCGGCAACGCGGGCATTGCCATCGCCCCCGACCGCCAGTACCCCGTGCTGGAGCTGAGCGCCGACACGTGCGAGCTGCACCGCGTCCGCTGGAACAACGACGACCGCGGCGTGGTCCCCTTCGGTGGTGGTTTCACGCCCGACGAGTGGTACGACGTCGCGCGCAAGTGGGACGCGATCCTGCGCAGGAAGGAGTGCGAGTGCTGGATCCAGCTGCAGCCCGGCAAGACGCTGAGTACGCTGTCCTTTGCTTTCCAGGAGCTGTGTGTGTCCTTGTATGTGTGTTTTGAGCTGGGTTTCTAACAGTTCTGTTCGGACAGTATTCGACAACTGGCGTGTCCTTCACGGCCGGAGCGCGTTCACGGGCATTCGGAGGATCTGTGGAGCGTACAGTAAGTGCCGCTCCTCTCTTGGTCCTTACATCCCCCGGTTTTTACAGATGGTATGGTTATAACCCGACCCGCCGCTGACATTGTGCATTAGTCAACAGGGATGACTTTGTCTCGCGATGGCGCAACACCAACTTCCCCCGGAGCAAAATCCTCGAGGCAGTTATTGGGTAAAATGGGTCAGGTGAACAGCAAGCACGAAAGCAAGTCTCGGCCCTGCCATTACCACACGTTTCCATGAAAATGTGAGAACGTCACTGTCGATAGCACTTTAGCATGATAGGAGTCGCTCAGCACGTGTTTACTTCATTTTCCGCCACTTTGATAAGCGAAGTCGTAAAATGTGTATCCACAATAGAGATAAATTATATGTTTCTACTCGTCACACATGTATAATAAACATACCAAGAAAGTAGCACAACGTCCCACAGCATACTTTTCTTTTCTTTTTTCTTTTTTCTTTTTGTGGGAACTACCAGTCAATTAGAGGATGCAGTCACACGTGATTGGCCAACAGGCTGCACAGCCCCAGTGGCTGACCAGCGCGCGGGCCGCTGTGCGGCACGTGCGTGAGGCGCACCCCTCACGTGACCTCCGGCATCGCCAATTCCAACGCGCATCCTGTCCCCGTAGTTCGTGACCCTTTTGAGATAGAGCAAGACCAGAATACAACCACCACAACCACCCCATTCGCATCGGTTACTGCAGTGACTATGGAACGAATGACCTTGTCATTCCAACACTTTTAATCTAGAAACTACCAGTGGCTCCCAAAAAAACGAGCAACTTACGGCCCACCAAAAATACGGGCGCAGAATGGAACTTTCCACTTATCCATTAACGTACATACAACATGTACAACGAAACCGCGGAGATGTAACACCACAGTCCGTCTATTATTCTATTGGCTCCACACACTGCAGCCAGACACGTTTCGACCCGGCGGTGGCTCCTTAAAGATCGGGAACAAAAAACCGACTTTGGGCATCAATGCCGAGAATAAGCGGCCCGACTGTCACGAAACCATACTATAGGTACCCACCTACTTTAATCGGCAAAGTAGAACCTAAACCTATCTAAGCATCACTCTGGTAGATATTACCTAGGTAAGGTAGATAGGTAGTGCAATGGCAAGAGGAGCCAAGGCTTATTTGGCTACGTCATATGCCTTTCTTGCTAGTTACCTACCTAGGTAGTTTCCATATTTCCGAATGGGCAGTATTGCTAGGAATAACAATTGAAAATGTCGTCCTATCGGGGCCAGCTTGTTGCCTCCCCGGAAGTAAGGTGCTGGTTGGAGATTGGGTTGCCGTACCTAAATGCCGTTCCACCACCGCACGGCGGGAATGGCACTAACACGCCCCTCTCTCTGGGGATACTGTTTGCCTTACTCCGGAACCGGCCTGCTATCTGCCTGCGGATGTTCCCCTGCTGTCTTCTCGGGCAGGCTACGTATATCTTCTTCGTTTTCTGCTTCTTCTACTGTCGGTGTGCCGTGTCGGCAACATCCACGGTCTCTGCCCACGACTAGACGCTTGAGCTATTCGACTCCGCTCGGCTCTCGTCCTCTCCTCTCCGCCGCCGCCATGGCTGAGAACATGATTGACGGCAAGTTTGCACACGGCAGCACGCGGCCACCGAGCGGCAACCAGGTCCTGCCTCTATTCTCTCTCAAGGGAAAGACGGCCATCGTGTCAGGGGCCGCCGCCGGCATCGGCCAGGCGATTGCACAGGGCTTTGCTGAAGCCGGCGCGAACGTTGCGATATGGTACAACAGCAACAAGAAGGCGATCGAGAGGGCGGTAGACATCTCGAGGACTTATAACGTTAAGTGCAAGTTGCATGCCCCACTTACTACAACTTCTCGCCCAGCCTGCCGCGAAAGACTCTCCTGAAACCCTAGCAGAATCGATGTGTTGACTCAGCAAGCACTACTGCTCCCAGAGCCACAGGCAAAGCATACCAGGTCAACGTGACGTCGTACGAGGCAGTGCAGGCTGCCGTTGACAATATCGTCGCGGAATTTGGCGGGCGGCTCGACATCTTCGTGGCCAATTCAGGGGTAACATGGGAGGACGGCCCGATGCTCGACGGCAAGGTCGAGCACTACCGACGTGTTGTCAATACTAACCTTGACGGCACCTACTATTGCGCGCGGGCGGCGGGGACGCACTGGTGGCGGCAGCGGAAGGAAGGGACAACGGTCGACGGCCAGGAGCTCGGGGCCAGCTACCGGGGCGGCAGCTTCATTGCGACGGCGAGCATGAGCGGCCACATTGCCAACATTCCGCAGCTCCAGGCGCCGTACAACGCCTCCAAGGCCGGCGTCATCCACCTTTGCAAGTCGCTCGCCGTCGAGTGGGTGGGCTTTGCTCGAGCCAACTCGGTCTCACCCGGCTACATCAACACCGAAATCTCGGCCTTTTGTTCGGCCGAGACCAAGCAGACCTGGCTGGACAAGATTCCAATGGGGTGAGTGAGAAAAGCGAGGCGTAGGAGGCGGGAGGTGGGAGGCGGGATGGGAGTGCGGCCAGACCAACAATTGGGCGTGATGGTTTCTTTTCCTTTCGATGCTAACCATGTGTGTTGGGGGTGAACAGGCGCGAAGGTGAACCTAACGAGCTCAAAGGCGCATACCTATACCTCGCCTCAGACGCGTCGTCTTACACCACGGGCATCGACCTTCTCGTCGATGGTGGCTACTGTGCCCCGTGATGTCAGACAGTTGGAGCGAAAACATTGGAAGAGAAAAAAAACAAGAGATTAGAGAGCCAAGGAGGATTGGGTATGAATGGGGCGGAGGGGGCAAAGCCGTTTGGTGGTTGTCGTTGGCTTGGCTTCAGAACGAAACCAACTCTCCGAACGAAACCCCGAGCGGCAGGAAAATCCAGCGGCGGTGAATTGGCGGTTGTTGATGTCAATTATCTTGGATACCTCGTTAGGCGGCGGCGTTGATGTGGTATTGTGTAAGCCTCAGGTGGTTTTGATGAAGTAACGGACGAAAGAATAGACGAAAACTCCAGTGGCTTGACAGGAGCCGATTGCGTGCAACGTTAAATGTGAGGGGCAATGCGGGATGGGCAAGGGTAAGAATAGCGATGGGGAAGGCAGACTCAAGGGCAGATTCCATTACAGCTGTCCACACCTGTCGGCGTGATGCTGTATGTACAACCCAATCCCTAATTATTTGTTGGCGTGGTACTTACGAAGGGAAAGAAAATAACAAATGAACCGGCCAGGAAGGGTCTTTGATAGGCATTTCTAGAAAACGAATAGATCTCTAGGATTCAAAAATAGGGATTCAAATAGCTATTACCTCCCTTAGCCAAAAACCTTTACGGCGAGTCGTACGACGCGAAGGCTATTTGGATCTTGGAAAGTACCACGCTAACAAACATTCAGGGACTGGCAGTGCGCTGAGCAGTGCATTTGAACCCCCTCCATTGTGACTAAGGTAACTGTCAGGCTCTGGTGGATTTGCGACTGCCACTGTGAAGAAGAATCGGTTCTCTTTCTAGAAGAGAGAATATCGGTCTTGTGGCAGCATTCGGATCTTGCAAATCTGTGTTCTTGTTTGAATCAGTCGACCGAGAGCGGTGACTCGTTATCTGGAGCCTAGGCCCCTAAACGGCCGCCCAGATGCGAGGCGGCGGGGCAAAGAAGGCCTTGGAGTACAAGTGCTTGGTAGAGGGCAAGGGCCGCCTGGAAATGCAGCTCGAGGCAGATAGCCGCTCCTGATGCTCGAGTGCAAATACGAGTTGTCCTACGATCTCGCTACATCCTGGAGAAGAGAAGAAAGAATGATCTAACTTCTCTCAGCGTCGCAGTGACGGTATTTTTTACCCCTAGTGCACTGTGGCTCTACCAAAGGTACCTCTGGCACCACCAATAATTGGTGAAACCGTGAAGTACCCCTCATCCCGTCCCAGCTCCTCCTGAGCTCCCCAGACCCCAAATCCAGAAGGTTGCCTCTCCGACTCTCCGGCCGCCCAACTTGTTCAGCCCTACCTTCTTCCACTCCCGACTCTTCGCCATTTACTTCCCCCTCGCATAAGATATCCCTCCTAAGCTTGACGACCAGTGGCGGCGACGCTGCAAATTCCCTGAGAACCCTCGACAACCTGCACGCTGTCTAACTCGCGCGCCTGCTGAGCGACTTTGGCCGACCGCAGTTGACTGAATCTCTCAACCTTCCCCCCCCCCATCCTTGCCCCCTTGATCCCCAAGGCGCCCAGCATGGAACAAGATGGCGCTTCCGGCGCGCCCTCGTACGAAGACCGGCGCAACCAGCAGGTCGACAATGCGATCCGCGCTATACAACAGAAGAAGCCTCTTCCCGAAATTGACTTCACCATCCATGCCATGGAAGACGGCACCCAGGTCAGCACCTTAGAGCGTGTCTGCAAAGGTAATAAAAAAATAATGCCCCGCCACCACCCCCATCCCTCCAAGGCTACCCCGTCGTCCGGTCATACTATGCAGTAGCTTTGGATTTTGGCACATGTTGCTGACCTCGTCGTCACTGCCCGCCTCAGATGTGCAGGCACCTGCCATGTTTAAGCCCACCGACGAGCAATTCTTCGAGGACGAGACGCACCAGAAGCCCAATATCCAATTCCTCAAGCAGCACTTCTACCGCGAGGGTCGCCTGACCGACGACCAGGCGCTATGGATTATCAAGAAGGGTACCGAGATTCTACGCGCCGAGCCTAACCTGCTCGAGATGGATGCACCCATCACTGTCTGCGGTGACGTTCACGGCCAGTACTACGACCTGATGAAGCTCTTCGAGGTCGGCGGCGACCCGGCCGAGACGCGGTACCTCTTCCTGGGCGACTACGTGGATCGGGGATACTTTAGCATCGAGTGTGTGCTATACCTGTGGTGCTTGAAGATCCACTACCCCAAGACGCTCTGGCTGCTGCGCGGAAACCACGAGTGTCGCCACTTAACAGACTACTTCACTTTCAAGCTCGAGTGCAAGCACAAGTACTCCGAGGCCATCTACGAAGCCTGCATGGAGTCCTTCTGCTGTCTGCCGCTGGCGGCCGTTATGAACAAGCAGTTTCTCTGCATCCATGGCGGGCTGAGCCCGGAGCTGCATACGCTCGACGACTTGAGAAATGTTTGTTTGACTCACCCCCTCACTCCCTCACCGCTTCGGCACGTTCCCTCGTGTTTCTGCTGACACTGTTTGAACTGGGGAAAGATTGACCGCTTCCGCGAGCCCCCTACCCAAGGTCTTATGTGTGACATCTTGTGGGCCGACCCCCTCGAGGACTTTGGCCAGGAGAAAACGACCGACTACTTTCTGCACAACCACGTGCGGGGCTGTTCGTACTTCTTTTCGTACCCAGCCGCTTGCCACTTCTTGGAAAAGAACAACCTACTTTCCATTATCCGCGCCCATGAAGCCCAGGATGCCGGGTACCGCATGTACCGTAAGACTCGTACCACGGGCTTCCCCAGCGTCATGACAATCTTCTCGGCCCCCAACTACCTGGACGTCTATAACAACAAGGCGGCCGTGCTCAAGTACGAGAACAACGTCATGAACATCCGGCAGTTCAACTGCACCCCTCATCCGTACTGGCTGCCAAACTTTATGGATGTCTTTACGTGGTCGCTGCCCTTTGTTAGTGAGAAGATCACCGACATGTTAATCGCCATCCTGAGCACGTGCTCCGAGGAGGAGCTTAGGGAGGAATCATCCTCGACGTCGCCCGGCCCCATATCCCCGCCGCTACCCTCGGCCGAGCTGAACCAGAACCCTGAATCGATCGAATACAAGAGGCGCGCTATCAAGAACAAGATCCTGGCCATCGGGCGGCTGTCGCGCGTCTTCCAGGTGCTGCGAGAGGAGTCCGAGAGGGTCACGGAGCTCAAGACGGTCTCCGGAGGTCGCCTACCCGCTGGCACTCTCATGCTCGGCGCGGAGGGTATTAAGAATGCCATCAGCAGTTTCGAGGATGCCAGAAAGGTGGACATACAGAACGAGAGGTTGCCGCCAAGCCACGAGGAGGTGCAGAAGCAGGTGGACGAGGACCGCGCCCACGCTCTTGAGCGCGCCGTTAGAGAGGCCGACAACGATAAGAAGTTGCAGACCCTCTCTAGGAGGCTCAGCACGTGAGTACCGCCCCGCACCAATCCCGTCTCATCATGTGCCGTGGCATTGTTTTTCCTAACTAGTTGTCTTGGTAGTGATCGTAAACGGTAATCTATGTAGAGTACTGTTCTTGTTGTTGTATTTTGGTTGTGTGCCGGTTGTGGATACAAGTGAACACGGGGAAATAATGGGCTACATAAACCTATCTACTACCTAAAAGTTGCTTGGGATTTTTGTTGCCAGCAGAGAATGGAGCCAACCACATGGATACCACAGGTACGGGGCACGCGGTGTGAGGGGAAACAAAGGGGCTGAGAGAGGTGAGGAAGGAGGGAGAGACACAAATTCATGACTGGATGTGGTTGCAAGCCTGGACTTTTTTTTTCCTTCTTTGATTCTTTTTTTTAGTCTTTCTTCTTGTCTTCCCCTTGTTTGTCTGGCACCCCCTTGGAACTGGCGAGATAGCGAAGAAACTACAGCCGTCTAGACAGTCAGCCAGCCAGCCTGAAGCTCTCCCGTCATACAAACACGTCACTGTGTATGTTCCTGGATGCCCGTTGGGGCGGTCCAGGGCTTAGTGAGAGGGGTGGGAAAAGGGGGGGTGGCGAAAACAGGGAGAAGGAGAGAAAAAGGAAAAAGAAAAGAGAAAAAAGTAAAAGAGAGAAAGAAAGAGAAAGACAGAAAAAAGGGACAACACAAACTGATGGGAAATGCCGAGCTCTTTTTGATTATCATCTATTTTTTCTCCCTATAGTAATTTCTTTTTATATCTTTCCATTTTTTTTTTCCTTTTGACTGTTTTTGGTCCTTTCGTGTTGTTACGTTCTACGTGCATGTCTGTGGGATTCTTCTACCGGGAGTCTCTTGTGTGCGCGAAGTAATAGGTACATGTGCATATCTAGATGTATCTGCACGAGCAAGGGACTTAGGTATTGGTGTGGTATGTTGACCTAGTTTATTGGCTTTGTTTGTTTTGGCCCGAGTTCTGTGCTGTGTTTTGTACCTCGTTACATTTATTAAGAGCTGTAGATGGGGTTTGTCTTTATAGTACATTGTGACGTGTGTAAGCCAGATATATATGATGTAATGAGTTGGATGTTGTGGCTGTGCGAAATTATTGGATTGGGTACTATCTTCACCATGTATATGCCACCGAATATTACTTTAGGCTTCAGGTAGTATGATTAGTGAGAGAAGATGTGCTTATTACTATGCTGCGTGCCTCAGCCAATGCCAGGCCCGAGTTATTATTCCCACTATGCTCCCGCTACGCCTCCTTTTGCTGCTCAACGTCTTGTTTTCCCACGAAGAACAGCCGATTGAGACTACTCGAGCCACCTCCCTATTACCAGTTTCGCCTACGCAACCCCATATCCCCAATCACTCTCAAAACTAGTCGTCCGTGCAGAAGAAACTCGGCAGATAGAGTGTCCTCCTTGGTCAAAAGATTGCCAAGATATTGGGAGGGCTTTAATTAGACAATTAGCAATATATCGCGTGTAAGACCAGATATAAACAGTGGGGACAACGAACCTCGCAACTCCTCCCTCGACATTGCACGGCTCGCTCGCCACGAAGAAGCTCCACCGGTTCAGCCGCCTGCACTCCTCGGCCAGCTTCTCGAGGTGGAACAGCTCGCCGATCGGACAGCCCCAGCCGGACAGGAGGACCTCGTGCAGCGACCAGTCCTTCTGCGTCGGCCAGCACTCGAGGCTTGGTTGGTCCCCTGCCACGGCCGAGAAACTCTCCCAGATCCACCGCAGCATCTCCTCGCTCTGCTCGAGCCCCACGAAGCGGTGCTGCGAGAACTCGGCCTGCAGGGCCTTGATCTCGGCCTCGGTCTTGCTGGCGTGTGCGGCCATCCACCCTGTATGGTTCGTAAAGGAATTCTCTATCAGCATGTGTCTGCAATGCCGAACAAATGTTGCGCAATCTCAAGGTTTAATCCACTGACCTGACCGCACGAGTAGCACGTCCCCGAAACGGACCTCGGTGCCTTGCGCTGCGAGGCACGCCTTGAGGTCGGCCGCGGAGATGGGCGTCGTCGCGAAGGCGTCGGCGACGTTGATCTTCTCGTCGTAACCTTGCGCCAGCCGCCAGCTGTTGTAGTCGACGAGCACGCCGCGGCCGACGATGCCTTTCTCGGCCCAGGCTAGAAGATGGGTGCATGTTAGTACGTCCGTCGGCCAAAGTGTATAAGCCAGCCTCTTTTTTCTTCCCAACATGGAACAGTTGGAGTGTAACTGTCGAGCTGCGTTGCAAACCCGACCTTTTTCTCTTCCTTGATATGTTCTGACAGAAGAGGGAGATCAAGTGCCCAGCAGCTGCTCAACTCACCTTGGATGCCGTTGACTGTGCTCTTCTCGCCAGTCTCGACATCACAGGCGTGAATGTCGTCCATCGTGACGCCGTTATAGAATTTCCGCTCCTTCTGGTAGCCGAAGTGGCGGAGCCCATCCCACTGACTCGAGCACTGCGAGTTGAAGGTCCAGATGTCGTCGTTGACGGTCCGGGGCGGCTTGGCAAACATCTCCTGGTGGAACAGGCGCCGGTTGAAGAAGGACCCCTTTTCCTGGGCATTCAGGGGCCAGTTCATGGATACCCTACACATCGCGGGAATGCTGTTAGATGCCTAGTTCTCTCTTTTACTCCCCTTTCCACTTTTTGAATAGCTCAAAACTAGCAGTGACATTCTGCTGTAAGTGAGATATACGCTCCTCCACACGACGGCGACAGAAGAACGGGAATGTTGTATTCGTAGTGACTCATGATGAATGGCATAAGTGGTTGGTTCTATCGAGACACTGCCTACGCACCTTATACCCGTCCGTATCTCGCTTCGCGCAGCAGCGGCAACTCTTGCGTCAGTGAGCCGATTCAATGTCCCCAACTCATCGTTGTCTCCGTAAAGTCCCCAGGCAGCGAGCATCGGATCGCCCTTCCGCAGCGGAAGACGGTCAAAGTTCGGGATGCCATTTTCGTTTAACTCGAACTTGTCCCTTGTGTCGCTCATGTTAGCTGTAGTCTCGTCGAGTTTGTTTTGAGGATCGGGCCTCTAGCTCTCCAAACCCTCTCCTGTGAGGTGGTCACCACATTGGGAGCTCGTCGAGCGGGGAAGGCAGGAAAGGAGTCGCGGAGTCGTCAACCGGGACTGGCAACCCCGCTAAAGAAAAAGGTAGGAGGGATTGGACGACGTTGCAACTGATACACACATTTGCCGCCTGTCGTCTGAGCGTCATAATATCAGTGGAAGTTAGGGACCGGATGGTAGACAACCTATGTGCATGTGCAAAAGTTTCCCTCAGCAATATTTTCGACATTCAAACTTGGACACCAGCACATTCCCACGGCCGGGCATGGCCGGAGCTGTGTGACATACTTTTCCCCGTGGCTAATTTTAATGAGCTGGAATCGCATATAAAAACCGCCATGAATCAGGTCCTCCGGTTATGGTGATCTGGCACGCGGGCGGGTTGCTCAACTGCCAAACACGGAAGGTATATTGTACGGAAGAACAAGCTAATTGGGAGTCTGGATTCCCCCTGCCTCGGTAGACACGGTTGTGGCCTGCGATACTGACGACGCGGAACATTCCCGGAACCCAACGTGATGCAAAGAAAACTTCCATTCCCTAATGCTGCAGATGAGGTGCCTTTTTTCCACCTCAAGAACCATCCGGGACTCCGGAACCTAGCTCATAGTCATGGTCGACGTCTGGCCGATTCATATCTGTGGCCGTTGGGGTTGCTCTCCAGTGTACCCTCGCACCGTAATGTCAAATCGCCTGTCCTTACTTTACCATGCGCGTCCCAAATCAAGCCACCAGCTCAATAACACCACCGGCCTCGGTGATCTTGCGCTCCGCCTCCGAGCTCACGTACCGGGCGCGGACAACGATCGGGATCTCGGGAAGACGGCCTAATTATAGAGTATTAGTTAAACATGCGGGCTTATCGAAACTATCCAGCTGGGAAAATCATACCCTTTCCGAGCAACTTTGCGTAGCCGTGCGACAGAAGGTCGATAACAGGCGCCGAGTCGGACTTGGAGCCGCTGACGTACTTATCGCGGACCTCAAGGGGAACCAGAGACCAGCTGGTAAATGGTTAGTGACCCATTCAAAAATCCGATCTGGTATCTTTGACCTACATCTTCTCAATGTTGATTGTGGGCGCCCAGGCGTGGTTGCGAAGCAGATGGAAGTGCCTCATACCAACCTTTCCGAAGTAACCGGGATGGTCTGGCTATCGTGTCAGCGAAAATCCGGACGTGAAGTTGGGACTAGTCCATCGTGGATGCTTCAGTAGTCCAAGAAGCTCTATCCCGGTCTATTGAAGCACCCGCAGAACAATCTCGGGAACGTGGGTTCGCGTGTTGGTTACGTACACTTGTCGAGATTCGTTCGGTGGTGATGCTTTTATCGAGTTAGCAAGATCGCTCGAGCTAGGAAGAATGCTGTCGACGTACTTGACCACCGGCCATACCACGACCACCCGGATGCTTTCTGTGCTTGCCGACACGTCTGGAGAAACAGTTCGTCAATATTGCCTCGGTAGCATCGATCGGTTCGTCGTAACATACCCCTTACCAGCGGAAACCTGGAGAGAACGAGAGTCAGCGAATTTCATTTAAGGCACAGAGGGGGTCTTTTGCGACAGGGCGACGTACATGTCCGCGGTGCTTTCTTGTCTTCGAGAAACGGGTAGGCTACTTTTGTCAGCATTGGCCCAGCGTCATAAACAGATTACAATTCCATACCATGGTCGCGACTGGTGGGTGTCGTTGAGGTCGAGATTCGTCGACTGCTGATGCGTCCTCGAGACTGCTTTTTCGGGTTGGTCACTCCAGCCAAATTTAGGGCTGGGTTAATTTTTTGGTGGGCGTGAAAAGATGTAGTTCCGGTGTTTAGCCGGTTAACATCCTTGGCCCTTGGCTTGCTGCGCTGTGGGGCCCCGTGGAATCCACTGTGGTCTAACTATTTACAGCTCGGACCCACCTCACCTCTCATTCACTTCAAGGGCTGAGATCGAACGACTCAGGCCTTAAACATATTGGACACGCATAGAAAAAGCACATGGCGACCATCGATTCAAGAGAGGCCCTTCAGCCAAGAGTCCCCGAACGATATTAAACCAGCGCTGTCCCAGTCCACGATATTGCGACCTCCCTATTTCAAGACTCCGGGGCTGCGCTACTGTCGGAGACTGAATGCTTTTAACTGGCACGACAGTTACAGATGGCGCAAAATTACAGCATCATGTCCGAAGTGCACGACCCAATCCTTTGGATTACCCTCGCCTACGTCAAGGACAAGTCAAGCGAGGCAGCCTCATTCCAATCATGACATGCTTCTCGGAACAAGTATGGAGCACTTATAACTCAGCATGGTTTGTGGTTACGTTTTCCTCTGAGTACGGGATCTAAGTAAGAACCCCGAGGTCTGCAGGTTGACTCTAGCGACGCACTGGAATACGTAAGGTATTTACATATTCCACAGATACCCATTCTCTAATTTTCTTGGATCTCGGAGAGGGATGAGCGAGTCTGGCTTGTGTGACGTACACTACCTGTAAGTACCACTTAATAATTAAGCCCAGAAGCGGAGACATTCGGGGTGGCTTTATATGTCTAATTCGCAATGAATATTGAGGTCGTCGAGACTGGCCGTCCCGGTAGTTGCGTTCTGGCGTATCTGCGTCGACTGCAAGCTGGAGCATGCACTAACCCTCTTAAAGAGCGGTCCGTAAGTGTGGCCCCCAGGTCGAGAGGAAACAGATAGCAGGCTGGTGTAAATCAAGTCTCAGAGGACCTGTTGCACCAATTCAAGAAGATCAAAAAATGCCTCCCTGTCGCCGGCGGCTTTCTCTAGACCCAGGCCGAGGAGAAGTGTTCTCCGCTCCTCGGGATCGCGAAGGCACAGATGGCTTGCAATCTGGCTAGCATACAGCTGCCCCAGAGTTTCCCGATCCCCGCTTCCGAGGAGGGTCTTGGCGGTTAAATGTGTTGAAGGGAGAGCCGTCAACTCAGCTCCGGGGAGGGCCATGTCCACAGATGCCGATGATGGGGCAGAGAGCGGGACTTGCACCTCGAGGGGATGTCAGTGGACATGTGGAAGGTCTCAATCTGCCTTCTGCGAAACTCACCCACTGGGCAAGCCGGCCGCCCTGAGAGACGGTAATCATGATCTTATCGAAAAAGCTCATGAATGAGACCTCTGTTTCAATCCCGCTAACAAGCCCGGTTACTTGCTTGGACGTGGCTGGGAAGGCGTCTTCTCTCACTCCGTTTTCGGCCATTGCTGTTTTGGAGACGGAGCTGGGTTTCGAGAGGTGCTCCGATGTTTCCTAGCTCTGGTTCTGGTTCAGAGTTCTGACAAACACGCTAAACGCATACGCTATATGCCCGGGGACAAGACCTTCAAGTCTTACTGATGATGGTAGCACTAGGTCGCCGGGTCTTACGGTTCAGGTGTGAAGTTGATTCCGGACTTCGGCATGCTCAGCTGTGGGTGTAGGTGTTAGCCGCAGCGCTCGTCTCCGTGTTTTCTTCGTGTCGGTCATCGGCGCCTGCACCATATTCCCAATGGGCAGAGGGGAGTTATAATTAATCACCTGACTGAACAAAGTCTCCACCCATCCCACCCCTGCTTGCTCCCCTCCGTCCCCTCCCCCTCCAAACAGCACCCCTCCTCCAAAAGCTCGTCCTCCTCTGACTGCTCAGAGCACAATTTTTCGACCTTTATCCCTCAACCTCCCTCGAGAATTAGCAAACCTCCCCAAAGCATTCCTTACACGTACATTCTTCCCTCTTCCCTTCACGTTCACTCTGTACCGTAAAGAATGCCTGGACTCATGTCGGAGCTGGGCTTGAAGCCCGGAGTCATCTATGGTGACGATGTGCTCAAGGTATGAATGATGTCACCGCAGTCTTCAACATCACAGCAGCCAGTCCCAGAGCGTTGCTAATCAAACACGACACCAAACACAGCTCTTCCAATACGCTCGCAAGGCTGGATTTGCTATCCCCGCGATTAACGTAACTTCGTCTTCCACGGCCGTCGCCGCCCTCGAAGCGGCGAAAGAAGCCAAGGCTCCCATCATCCTTCAGGTGTCCAACGGCGGAGGTGCATTCTTTTGTGGCAAGGGTATCTCCAATGATGGACAGAAGGCCTCCGCCGCAGGCGCCATCGCTGCGGCCCACTACATCCGGTCCATCGCACCAATCTACGGAGTTCCCGTTGTCCTCCACACCGACCACTGGTAAATGCTTTCCGAAATTCCTCTCACACCTCAAAGTCCCATATAGCGTTCGCCAGATCCGCATCCTCCCAATTGGAGTGGAATGATTCAGTAAGCTGACATGGTTGGTTAGTGCCAAGAAGCTACTTCCCTGGCTCGACGCCATGATGGATGCGGACGAGGCCTTCTTCAAGGAGAAGGGCATTCCTCTGTTCAGCAGCCACATGATCGACTTGTCTGAAGAGTCCTTCGAGGAGAACATCAAGACCACGGCGAAGTACTTGGAGCGTGCCGCACCCTGGAAGCAGTGGCTCGAGATGGAGATCGGCATCACTGGCGGCGAAGAGGACGGTGTTAACAATGAGGACGTTGACAACAATTCTCTGTACACGCAGCCTGTAAGCCCCCCCTCTCTCTCTTTCGTTGTTTACTGGTTCCTTGTCTAACTGGTCGCAGTCCGACATTTGGGAGATCTACAGCACACTCACGAAGATCTCCCCATATGTGAGCATAGCTGCCGCGTTCGGAAACGTCCACGGTGTCTACCAGCCGTATGATCCGCTCTCTACATTCCCGGCCTGACTTAAGGTTTTGTGGCTAACCTTGACCCAGTGGCAATGTCAAGCTCCACCCCGAGCTGCTCGGGAAGCACCAGAAGTTTGTAGCCGAGAAGCTCCAGACTAAGGATGAGAAGCCCGTCTTCTTCGTATTCCACGGTGGCTCTGGCTCGTCTGTTGATGAATTTAAGACGGCTATCGGACATGGCGTCGTGAAGGTCAATCTTGACACAGGTATGTCATGCCAATTTCGCCCAAGATTAGCGTAGCTAACACCATTTTCAGATTTGCAGTGGGCGTACTTGTCTGGCCACCGCGACTACATCACCAAGAACCTCGAGTACCTGAAGACGCAGGTTGGCAACCCTGAGGGGCCAACCAAGCCGTACGTGACTAATTTATACTCCATTGTAATCAGTGCTAACAGACCGAGCAGAAACAAGAAGTACTACGACCCGCGGGTCTGGGTTCGGGAGGGTGAGAAGACAATGAAGACCAGAGTGGTGACGGCACTCCAGGATTTCAACGCTACCGGCTCTCTTTAAGTTGCCTGATAGAGACTTCCTGTGGGGAACTATTGTATGCCTAGTCGTCTCTGGATTGATCGTTTCTAAGTTCTCTAGACTTTGCCTAACAGTCAATTGAGTTTGACATGGAAAATTTTGACTTGCGTGCATGTTGCGAATAAATTAAGTGACCGAAGGTATGTTGCATGCAAATGTGCCCGACGTACCGTGACCGATACTGCTGCTTAGACAACGCAGAGCCTCGAAACGGGCCGGAGTAGGGGTCAGTTGAACTTGAACATAAAACTGCAGGGGTTGTACCAAAGATCAAGCATTTACCTACCTTACTTTCTCCGGAAACCGAAGAGCAGTAAACATACCTAGCGTAGTACCTAGGAGCTTAATGTACATTGGAAGATAACGCGATGCAATTCGGAGAATCTGTAGTGGTGCAATCAGTTGGCCAGGTCGTTTTTGTAGCCCTGACCAGTGGCGGGTAGGTAATCCCTGAATGTTTATTAGCGGGGGACCTTCCAAGATTTAAAAAGACTTCAATACCATAAGGCTGGCCTTGAATGTTTTTTGCCGAGGGAGGTAATAACTAAATCTATATTATTGAATCCTAGAGGCAGTCATTTCCTTGCACTTCGCCCTCAAGGTTTATTTTATCCCCCACCTATATATTTAACCCCGCCATACCCGCATTAGCTCTAGCGTATAAATTCTGCCAAGCGGACAAGATTTCATTTCTACTAAACGCCCTCGCCCCCGACGTGCCCATCCTTGCACCTAATCAGCACCGTCAAGATGCCGAAGACCTTTGTGCCGAGGCAGCGAAAGCGCAAGATCCTCGACCGTCAACGGGCACAGAAGAAGGCGGCGGCACGGGACGACCAAGAAATCGACCCCGAGGAAGGCGATAGCAACATCGTCGAGATTACGCCTGCAGCACAGGCTGATGCTGAGAAGAAGAGAGCTCGGCTCCGCGACGAGTTTAAACCCCAGGACAGCAAATTCAGCAGTAAAAAGGCGAAACGATTGGAAAAATACATCGACGCCAAGCTGAAAAAGGACGAAACCCGAGAGTTACTCGCCAAACTCGCCGCCAACAAAATCGACACCAGCCTCTTCTCCAGCAGCAAGTCAATTGGCCAGACCAAGGAGACCAAAAGGGAGGCATTAAGCCGTGCGCTCAGAGAAGAGCATGCTGGCCTTGCCTTGGACAAGTCAAAGGCTTCCACCCTTCTATACCAACCACGAAAGGTTGGCCAGGGGTCTCCCGAGGAGGACGGGCCGCCGGAAAGCTCCAGCAACGAGCAAGACGGGAGAGCTGGTGCCGGGCTGGCACAACCACGGCACCCGCTTTTGCTGGAACAGAACACTCCGGTGGCAGTTGGGTCGGGTCTGAAACGCCCGCTAGAGCGTGATGATTCAGGCCGCCCTATTCTTGCCAAAAGGCAGAAGCGAGGGACCGCAAAACCGAAGCCTCCCTCTACAGCACATGCGGCTCCTGCGAAGTCAGAGGTGGTTGAATGGGATGGATTCAGCTCGGACAACGAAGGATCTTCGGACGAAGGCTCTGATCTGGACTCGGACGATGGCGAATTAGATAGTCCGAGCTCTGGCGAGGGCTCCGAAAAGGACACGGACTCGGGCGAGGACTCGGACGAGGAGAGTTCTGGAGATGATGCAGACCCCGAGGATGAGGCCACTCGACATCAACGAAAAGAGAGGTCTTCCGCTTTCAAGGCCTGGGCTCACCAGAAAAGGAACGAAGCGTTAGGATATCAGCCAATTGACTCAAACTCGCTAATTCTCAGCATTCCTAAACCGGAAAACTTCACACCGCGGCCTTTAGAACAAGACCCACTCCCTGTAGAGCTGCAGCCGACAACCAATGTCACACGAAAGGCATTTAGCGTGGTGGTGACCAGAGCCCCTGATATCGAAGAAGCCCGTTACCGGCTGCCCGTGGTGGCTGAAGAGCAGAAGATTATGGAGGCCATCCACAACAACGACGTTGTCGTGATATGCGGCGCGACTGGTTCCGGAAAGACTACCCAGGTGCCGCAGTTCCTATTTGAAGCCGGCTACGGCTCCCCGAACAGCCGCACCCCCGGCATGATTGGCGTAACCCAACCAAGACGAGTGGCGGCAGTCAGCATGTCAAAGCGAGTGGGCCAAGAGATGGGGAACTATTCCCACGCTGTAGCATATCAAATCCGATTCGAGGGCAATGTCGACCCCAAGACAGCGCTCAAGTTCATGACAGATGGTGTTCTTCTTCGCGAAGCGGCTCAAGACATCGCCCTTCGCAAATATTCCGCCCTCATCATCGACGAAGCTCACGAGAGGAGTGTAAACACAGACATCCTCATCGCGATGCTGAGTCGTATTGTCAAACTCAGAGGGGATTTGGCTAAGGAAGACCCGTCGGTCCGGCCTCTCAAGCTCATAATCATGTCAGCTACACTTAGGATTGAGGATCTGACACAAAATCCTTCACTATTCTCAACCCCCCCTCGTGTGATTGAAGTCGAGGGGCGGGAGCACAGTGTCACGCTCCATTTCTCTCGCAAAACACGGCACGACTATGTCAAAGAGGTATTCCAAAAGATCAGTAGAGGTCACAAAAAGCTTCCCCCAGGTGGAATTCTTGTTTTCCTCACTGGCCAGGGAGAAATATCGCAGCTGAGCAAACAACTAAAGTCTGCATTTGGCGGCGGCCTAAGCTCGACTGTTGGAACGAAGGTTCGGATTTCGGCTACCGATGCCCCTATTGAGGCTGAAGATATCGACTTTGGAGACATTGACGACCGAAATGTCATTGACATGGATGACGAGGTCTCATTTGAATCGGACGACGAAGAAGAAGGCGAGTTTGATATCGAAGACGAGGAAGCTGGAACTGGTCCGATGAAGATGCACGTTTTGCCCCTTTACTCTTTGCTTCCAACAAAAGAGCAGATGAGAGTTTTCGACCACCCGCCTGATGGGTCGCGCCTAGTCATCCTGGCCACCAACGTGGCGGAGACGAGCTTGACAATACCCGGTATCCGCTACGTGTTTGACTGCGGACGATCCAAAGAGCGGCGATTCGATCCCGTTAGTGGCGTGCAGAGCTTCGAAATCGGCTGGATAAGCAAGGCGAGTGCAAAGCAACGTGCTGGCCGTGCCGGTCGTACTGGGCCCGGTCACTGCTGGAGGCTTTACTCGTCTGCGGTGTACGAAAGAGACTTCTCCGAGTTTTCGCAGCCAGAGCTGTTGCGGATGCCCCTGGAAGGAGTGGTTCTACAACTGAAGTCGATGAACCTCCAGCATGTCGTCAACTTCCCCTTTCCTAGTCCTCCAGACCGCCAAAGCTTGATAAAAGCTGAAAAGGTTTTGAGCTACCTGTCAGCTATTTCACCAAGTGGGCAGATTACACGAATAGGGTCAACCATGTCGATTTTCCCCTTGTCTCCCCGTTATGCACGGATCCTACTCGTCGGGCATTTGCATGACTGTATGCCATACACCATCGCGCTGGTTGCAGGAATGTCTGCGGGGCAGGTTTTCGTTCCAGAGAATCAGGCCATTCCCGCCGCCTCCGTACCGACCGGAGACTTCCGTACCACCGAAGACGTCATTGCCGATGACCGGCGGGCAAAGTTGCGACAAGCCTTCAATATGGTTCATAAAAACTTCTGTTTTCTCGACGACAAGTCGGACGCCATCAAATTGCTGCAGGTTGTCGGTGAATTTGCCCATGAGCCCACAGAGGCCTGGTGCGAGAGTCACTTTGTGCACTTCAAGATTCTGAAAGAGATCAGGCAGCTCCAAAGTCAAATTGTTGATCTCCTGAGAACCAATATTCTTTCCTTTGTCGGCCTAAAGGTGCCCGACAAGCTAGATGCTCCCTCTTCAAAACAAATACAGGCCCTAAAGCAAATGGTCGCTGCTGGGTTCATCGACCAGGTAGCTATTCGAGCTGACAAGTCTCCGAACCCCCCGGAGATGTGCAGAAAGCCCCGACGTGCTATAGATGTTCCTTACTTGCCCCTGATACCGCTCGAGGGCGAGAAGAAGCTGGAAGACTCGGAACGGCTAGTGTACATCCATCCTGGCTCTCCATTAGCTCACCTGAGCGTAGAAGAATGCCCCGACTACGTTGTGTATGCGTATCTCCAGAAGGTGGGCAACACGGGCGCCGACAGCACCAAGAAGCCCAAAACGCGCATGCACGCCTTGACGGCTTTGACGGGTGGCCAGCTGGCCTCGTTGGCGAAGGGGACCCCGCTCATCACTTATGGCAAACCTATCAAGGAGATCATGGCGGACAGCACGAAGAGGGAGGTGTGGGTTATCCCGTATCTGAGGGCCGAAAACACGGGCGGATTGGGATGGCCTTTGCCCGCACGAAAGGTGACACAAAAAAAGGTGGCAGGAAAAGGATGGGTTGTTGAATGAATCATTGCTATAGCAACATAACTCCATAGAAGCAGCGCCATAACAACAGTGATTTATTTGCTACTATTTTACCCTTAAATTCTCCCTGGCTATGCCCAGTCATAAAGCCTTGGAGTATCCTTTCGCTGTGAGTAGAGCTCTGCAGTATTTACCTTACCGACTGTACAGTCAGCTCCCTGAATGGCCTCAATACCTTACTCCTTGCCCTAAAGGATTTTTTACCGTGGGAGGTAAAAGCTATTAGGATCCCTATTTCTCCTCTAGGAGCACTTATCGAGGGCTTTTCTCTTGCTGATTTATGCTATAATATCTATTCTCTCCAAGTACGGATACTACGCTAACAAACATTCGGGAATGGGATTGCCAAGTGGTATTCACAAAACGGACGGATGATGGGAGAAATGCACCCTTTATTCAGTTATCACATCTATAGTTGTATGTACATGCCTTTTCCTGCCCAAACTCCCGAACCCTGGGATATCAAGCTTTGGTATCATCCGCCGAATCCGTAACGCCGAAAGCATCGCATGACCTAGAACTTAGTAACTATCGGCTGATTCATCCGATGACTGCAAGCCTGGGTCCATATCTTTCTGTTTAATTTTCTGGCAACCACTAGACAAAAAAAATCACGAAGGGGTGCTGCCGATCTTGCTCTTGCGGCGCTTAGGCTTGGGCAAGCCCGGCGTCTTGGGGCTCTTTGTCTCCTTACCCGTGTTGGCATTCTTGGCCAGGGGATTGTTGGCATTGCCATCACCGCCGACCTTGGTGTCGAGGGCCGGAAGGGCGGCGTCCTTGAGAGTGAGGGGGGCCGCGTTCCTGGCTGCGCCGCCACCTGGCTGCTGTGGGTGCTTGTCCTTGCGGCCCGTTGACGACAGGTGGAAGTCGCCTGGCTTGCCCGTGATGGGGTTCTCGTCCATGTAGTCGCCGCCGTAGCGCTCGTGGATCATGAGCGACTCCTCGACCAGACTCATGTCCGGAGGCGTGTTGATGCTCGCCATGGCAGCGGCGGGTGCTGCTTTGCTCATACCCTCAAGCATCGGCGTTCCATCCTTGGACGCGTCGCGGTTCTTGCCAGTACCACTGGCGGTGCCGGCCTGCTGGCTGGTCGGGGCCTGGTACACGCGTCCCTGGGCGGGGGTCCAGGTCTGGACGCTGTTGGCAATGGGCAAGATCTTCTCAATCGAGTTGGAGATGGCCGCCTTGAAAAGAGTTACCGGGTGCTGGAAATAACGAAAAAATAAAATATGAAAATGTGTTGTGTGATCGAGATAAAACGGTAGCATAAAGCGAAGAGGGTGGGATGTTCAAGGGTACTCACAATTCTCGAGCTGAGGATGTCAGCCAGGGTCGGGGCTATGTAGATGTTCTCGCCGTCGAGAAAATAGGTGGCATGAACGATGACCTCGTCATCCTCACCCTGGCGCTTGCGGCGAGTTTGCTTGTTGATAACCCAAATTCCCGTGCCGGCTCCAGGGCCCGTCTCAGCAGGCTCCTGGGCGACAATGAACTCGAGACCGGACATGCTGCGCAGGCGGCTCTCAAACGCCTCACGCGTCTCCAGGTACTGCCACATGTGCTGGTTGTTCAGACCCTGCTGGAAAACGACCTCATTGTTTGAGGTCTTGTCGAAAAACGGCGACTCGGCAAAGTAGTAGAGAACGCTGTTGTTGTGTAGGCCGCCCTCGGCCTTGATCGGCGCACGCCAATGGATCTCGTCCAACGGGGTAGCCGATGGATCGAAGGCCATTTTCAAAAACTCTCACTCATTTGCCTTCTCTTTCCCGTCCACGAATGATGCAGCACAAAAGCTTTGAGTTGAAATGAAGTCGGGCTAGTTCTGGTGTCTTACCGTCTTTGCTGTTTTGGCTTCGTTGACTACAAGTGGAGGGAGGGTGTCGGCTTAGACTTAAAGTGAGGTGAAAGCTCAAGGTGAATCCAGGTGTTGAATATTCGCACTGTATGGATACCTAACCGAGCTAGCCATTAAAAGCCTAGCGCCCAAGCCACCTCGCCATTCTCGACTCCCGCTCGTTGCTGCATATTGAAGGCACTCTCGCGCGGCCTTAGCACTAAACTAAATCTTAAGCACCATCTACCTTGGCAGTGAAAGCACCTTTCCAGGCTTTCTAAACAACGCTTCGCAACCCTTCTATTCGAGAACCAATATAGGCCAGCGCTACAAGCAGCCTAGTCGTACCGCGCGGCATACAACATACACACGCATTCTAGCGACGTGCCCTCAAGGCAAAGTCAACCATGGATCTCCTTTCCACCGTTAGGAAACAGGGCTCGCGGGGAGGCGTCAACTTCAGTTGGGACGATGTCGCTACCTCAGCGCACCGTGAGAACTACCTCGGTCACAGTTTAAAGGCGCCAGTTGGGCGGTGGGCCCAGGGGCGCGACCTGAACTGGTATGCCAAAGCAGACCCAACAGCGGCAGATACGGGCGAGACAGAGGCGGAACGGGAGGAGCGCGAGCGTCTTGAAGAAATCCGCAAAATCAAGGAAGCTGAGGAGGATGCGATATCACGCGCCTTGGGCCTGCCTATCGCACCACGCAACGTCACGGGCGCCAATGCCGTAGAGGTCGAAGGATCCAAAGTTCCCAGCCGTGCTGCTGCGAATGAGACTGATGACGCCGGCGTACCAAAGGAGCCTCAGCTGAAGGATTCACGCAGAGATAGACCCCGAGGGTCGGATAGGCGACATAGGAGGAGCCATCGGAGCAGAGAGCGGGACCGGGACCGCAGCAGAAGCAGAAGCCGGCATAGGAGACGAGACAGCTCAGCGGCTGGCAGAGACAGGGACAGCCGCCCTAGGCGGAGAAGTCGCAGCCCCGATCGCGCTCTCAGGCTTCACGAGAGGAGGCGGGACGGCGATCGAAGTCGCAGTCGAGACCACAAGCGGCGAGACCAGAGGAGTCGTAGTAGGGACAGACGGCCGAGACACCGAGATCAACAGCGAGATCAAGAGCGGAGTAAGGCCGAAGGTGGAAACAGGTAGTTTTGTTCCCTTTGGTGAATTTCAGGTTTGCCACGAGGCATCCTTTGCGAAGCGCCTCCAAGGCAAAATGTAATCATTGAAGTCTTAGCCCAAGGTCTAGCTCAGCGATCCTGCCTACAGCGTAACAAGGAACTTCAACTATGGGTTGTGAGTGGGCAAGAGCCTATCCATAACTGTAGCTTGCGATGTTTGTATGGACTAACAGAATACCATTCACCGTCTCACCTTATATAAGCGCAGTTTAAACGCGATCGAGAACTACGGTAGGTACCTACTGTGCCTCACCTTGCCTTACATGTCCGATTTTTCTGGCGGTATACACGTGTACTTGAGTGACATATGACGGATAGTTGGTCAAATGATACGCGTGTAGATAGAAGAAAAGAAAGAAACATGGAATGTTCTATTCGTCAAGGGACTCGTCATCTCAAAGTTGGGTTGCCACCTGGGTCTAGGTACGGATACTGATCCGCGGATATGACCAAAAAAGCCATGCGGTCATTCCTGAGAGCTGATTGGCTAACAGCCAGGCCACTAAGGCAAGGCTGCCTACCACGGCGCATCCCGGTTGTTTTCAGGGGCGAGGAAGGACGCCTGGGGCGCTTCACCCCGCTGAAACAGCCAACTGAGACCGGCCCGGCATGGATTTGCCCTGTACCTTAGGCATTCCTTAGAACAGCAACGTCACAGCTGCAGCCTTACCGGCTGACGGGAGGACAGCGCCTCGAAAAGTACAACTCAACTGCAACTAGTAGGCACAACGGAGCCTCTGTAGCGCCTCCTCGTGCTGTTTAACGTTTCCCGAGAATGTTAATAGAGCCGAGGTCCACTTCGCTCGAGTAGAAGGTTCCTCCCCGCCGACAACCGAGCAGATTGCGCACCTGGCCCCAAAAGTGGCGGGCGTCTCTGCATTCCGCCTGGAAAGAGACTACCAACCTAACATTGACCACACCCCTGCGCAAACATCGACCTCTTGCCTACTCCATTTATCCCCTAAGGCTCTTTCATAAGGCCTGGGACTTTGTCCGATTTGCGCACAAATCATGGACTACACGCGGCTCCGAGCCGCTGCCCTGAAAGATGGCGAGGACGAAGAGGCCGTCACGGTCGACACTCGGGCCCTCATCGACAAAGTGCTGGCGAGATACTCGGGCGAGTGGACGACGCTGAGAGAGCTCATACAGAACGCCGCCGATGCTCAAGCGACGACGGTCAAAATCAAGTGGGAGACGCTCCCATCAACCCAAGTCGCCCTTCCCACCACGACCAGCCAGTCCGAGATCCTCAAGCATGCCATCAGCCACCACACCCTCCGCCGCCTCGTCGTCCAGAATAACGGGCAACCCTTTTCGGGCAAGGACTGGGCCAGGTTGAAGAGGATAGCCGAGGGAAACCCAGACGAGACCAAGATCGGCGCCTTTGGAGTTGGCTTCTACAGCGTCTTTGCCGACTGCGAAGAGCCCTTCGTCAGCTCGGGCAACGAGGCCATGGCGTTCTACTGGAAGGGCAACGCCCTATTCACCAGAAAGACGCAGTTCCCGCCAGGCCAGGGAGGTCTTGACACGGCCTTTGTCTTGGACTACCGGAACACCACCACGCCCCTCCCGAACCTGCTCTCCGTCGGCCAGTTTCTTGCCACGAGTCTGACATTTGTTGCCCTTGAGAACATAGAGTTCTGGATAGACGACTGGAAGATTCTGTCCTTGCAGAAAAAGTCGTCTCCCAGCATCGAGATCAAAATCCCCCGAGACCTCGAGACTCGTACCAAGGAAGGGCTTATGAAGCTTTCTGCAGCGGATCAGACGAGCACCCAGCTGGACGCCAAGTTTATGAGTGTTCTTGGTTGGAAGCCCCAGGCCACACCGTCTTCCACTAAACCCAGCGATGCCTTCTTTTCCAGCACGAGCGCGACCGAAATGCCTTCCCTGAGGAACTTCTTCTCAAGGCTAACAGCCGGCCCGTCCCAAGGAGGACTGCGGAGCAAGGCGGCAAAGGAGGAAAAGGCCGTGCAAGAGGCAATAGCAGAGGATCTGACGGCAGTGTCCACGTCGAGCATCTTTCTCCGTGTCACATCAAGCCAGATTCAAACTAACATCCCTCCATCGTTTGCAGCTGAACTGGAGAGGGCAACGAAGAAGCCCCCGCCAAAAACAACAAAGATCGCAATTTTGACCTCGTCGCATGACGAGACAATGGCCTCGGAGAACTCCATGACATCAAGTCAAGCGGCAAAAGCCGTCGATGTCTTCTCCTCGGTTTTGCCAAGCAAGAAGCCAGGTGGGCGAATCTTCATCGGCTTCCCGACGACCCAAACAACCGGCGGCGGAATGCATATCTCGGCGCCCTCAGTTATCCCGACGGTGGAGCGTGAAGCTATCGACTTAAACGCTCGCTGGGTGCGCAGCTGGAACATGGAGATGCTCCGTGTGGCAGGCATCATGTCGCGACTTGCCTTTGCCAATGAGATGTCTGATCTAAATGACAAGCTCAGGCGCATGTCCGAGTCCGGCGACAAAAAGGGGCCAGCTATCTCTACGGTAGACATTGAAAAATGCGTTCCCGAAGCCCTCCATATCCTCAAAACGTACACCTTTGCCGACTCTACTCCTAGCGGGCATGTGGCCCAAATCATCGAGGAGGCATTTTGGACAGCTTTCAAACGTGCAAATATCGAGGTGTACTCATCACGGGGCGTTTTGCCATCCTCCAGAGTCCGATCTTCGTCCGACGAGATCGGCAAGTTCGTCGGTGGGATTCCTGTGGTTATGAAGGAAATGAAAGATTCGCCATTCATCAAGAAAATCATCGATTTTGGGCTTGTTAAAGACATCACAGTCGACGACATCTGTGAAGAGCTTGGAAACAAGGCTATGGATAAAGATCAGCTCTGCCACTTCATCAAATGGGCTGCGAAGGGTGCTGTTTCTGGAGAGCTGGACTATGCCAGCAAGAAACGAGTGCTAGATATTGCCGTGGGCACAGTCAGTGACGGGGGCGAATCTGGAGAGATTATTGCCATGGGGTCTATTAAGAACTACCTCAACAACAGGATTCCCGCCAGTCTCCCTATACCCCCGACCACTCTGCCACTGGTTTTTACAGCCAACATCCCCGAGGTCCAATTGCAGGCGTTAGGCTGGCAGCCCTTGGGAATTGTCCCTTGGCTAAGATTCCTGGTCGAGTCTGGTCCTAACAAGGACGACGAGCAAAACTTGACCAAATCGGCCGAATTCTCGTCCCGGGTTCTCGTGGTTCTTTCAAAGAATTGGGACAACCTGAGCCCTTCCTCCAAGACCTCAGTAATATCGACATTGGAGCATATCAGCGCCATCCCCACAAAAATGGGCATGAGGAAACCCGGCGAATCCTTCTTTCCAACGGTGAAGCTCTTCGGCGATCTTCCAACTGTTCAGAACCTGCAGGGAGTCAAGGACAAGTTCTTAACAGCCTTGGGGGTCAGAAAGACGGTAGACCTAGATACGATCTTCACAAGACTGCTGAACCCCTCAGCAGCAAGCAGCGAAGCTGTACACAAGAGATGGAGCCACATGGAACTGATCAAGTACCTTGCCTCTGTGAAGGACGATATCCCGACTGCCGACATGGAAAAGCTCATAAAATCACAGCTGTGCCCTGCTGAGGCTGGCCCGCTTGGGATGGAGTCAACAAAAGGCACAGAGCAGCTTTTCAAGGTGTCTCAGCTCTTCGAGCCCAGAGATTCGCTTCGTGCTCTAAAGTTGCCCATTCTTCAATGGCCTGGCCCACCGGGAAGCTTCAGGCCCAGGAGCGCAGAAGGCCAGTTTCTTTTCTCACTCGGTTTGCGTCCATACCCATCCGTGGACGATCTTGTCGACATGATGGCTTCATCAGATCTTGCCATTCAGGGTGCGGCAAGGAAATATTTCATTGCCAACTATCAGATGAACTCTTATGACAATTTTGACCTCAGCCGCAACAACAAAGACTTCCTTCCTGTCGAGGGTAACGGGAAGCAACTTGTGTCCCCATCTGCCTGTTACACCAACGAAAAGGCTGCGGTGTTTGGATATAATGTTCTCTTGAAGGAACTGCTCCCGCACGCGTCCAAGTTTGGGGTTGCTCGCGATCCTCCAATCACGGGATGTGTGGAGAAGCTCATTGCTGAGCCACCGCAGAACCGCAACCAGGCGATCGAGTTCTTTGAGTACTTTACGACTCGGCTAGGCGATCTCGGATATAGTGACATCCTGAAGCTCAGAGATGCCCCCATTGTTCCTGTGTCAAGAGCGAAGGACCATTCACTCCGGGGGTCCGATGGAGTAAACACCACCGGTGTCAACGTCCGACCTTCTAACTGCTATCTGGGATCATCTATGACATACGGGAATATATTTGACTTTGTCGATCTTGGCACGGCCGGAAACGCTTTTCTCTACAAGTGTGGTGCCAAGAGCGAACCGACCAAGATTGAGATTGCCAAGCTTGCCTGTTCAGAACCAGCACGTCTTCTGGGCATCATGCAGAGCTCTGAGAAGTACCTCAATCTTCTCAGATCCCTGGCCGACGAGTTGCAAGCGCTGAAGGCGGACAAAGCGCTTTTCAAGCAAATGAGAACATCCGCATGGCTGCTTGGATCTCGTGAGCTGTCATCCACGAAAGACGGGAAACCCGGCCTGAATGAAGAGGAAGAGGCACCCATCAAGCAATATCAGCTTGCCGCGGCCAGCCACATTGTCGTCCTCGACGATTACATCAGTTACCGTTTGTTCAAGCAGTCGCTGCTATGCGCTCCAGAGGAAGACGCCCTCGAAGCGTTCTACATCGCCCTCGGCTCGGAAACACTTGGAAGCAAAGTCGAGGAAGATGTTAGTATCGGGCCTCACACGGAGAAGCAGGATGGTGCCCAGTGGTTGCGTAAACACGTGCTGGAACGCTCCAAGCTCTTCTTATACGAGTATTCAAAGTACAAGCGGGATGCCATCAAGCATGATGACAAGTGGCTCGAGAAGAACTTAAAGGTCGAGGCTGTTCGTGCGGTGGCCCTCCGGCGATCTCTCAGAGCTTACGGCCAGTCCCATACCGAGACACGCTCTGCCGCTAGTTTCCAGAACGGCAGTTCGTGGATACTGTACGTCGCCGCCCAATCCAAGCCTGATATGTATCAGGTCGGGCAAGCCATCTGCCAGCTGCTACTTACGCGTCCCAGCCAACAGGCTTATCTATTCTTCGAGCCGTTCCTAAAGCTTGACCTATTAGACCTCCGAGCTCGTGGGTATAATGTCGACCGTATCCTCCGCGCAAAGGCGGCAGAGGCCAGGATCGCAGAGGAGGAGAGACGTAAAGCTCTGGAAGCTGAGCAGCGGGCGATCCGAGAGCGAGAGAGCGAGTGGACTCGCCAGGGCCAGGCCGCAGAGGCTGCTGCTGCTCGCGAGAACCCCAAAACACCAGAACACCGCATGCCAGGGGCCTTTAATGAGTCGCCAGAGCAAGAATCGGCTGTGGAGCTCAACCGCCAGAAGCAGCCAAAGAGGGGCCTATTCTCTAACCTGACCCGGCGCCTGGGCTTCGACACAGACGACGACTCGCAGTCACAGAAGCAGCTGGAGAACTTCCTCCCCCCTGAAGAGTCCGGAACCGCCAAGCAGCGAGGTCTAGAATCGGGTTATGCGGATCGTGGAGCGAAAGACGATGGGCGGGTGACATCCCCCGCCGTGGTGCAACAGAACTTGCTCAACGCCATCAAGTCGACTCGTGCCCACGACTCTTCGGGCTTGTTCTCTCCGCCCCAGCAAAGCCAGGTCAAAGAACAGGCGACATACTGCGATTCGACGCCGGCGACCAACATTGACTTCGCGGCCGAAGGCCCTGGAGGAATGCGCATATTCGTAGCCAAGAACCTATCGGTTGATACCATGAGCTTTCTGAAGTCAAACGCTGCTTCCATTCCCGATTTTGAGATACTTCTCAAAGAGTTAGGCGGTATCTATGGCTTGCAACTTAAGTCTTTGCACATATTCTACGATGAGCACGGTAGCACCATTGCCTTCAACAGCAACGGCAGTATATTTTGCAACCTTCGCTTCTTTAACCAGCTGCACGCTGAAAAGTTCGGCGGGGTGTCAGCCAGTGGCGAAGGCAGAGTCGAGGCGGCCGTCTGGTGGTGGGTTGTAATTGCCCACGAACTCGCCCATAACCTCGTGGCCCCTCACAACTCGGAGCATAGCTATTATACGTAAGTTGACTTACTTGAGACATCTCGCGGGGCTCCCGAGTCTGGTAACAATAACAACGATGAATTCTTTGTGCTGACGTGTTTCATTTCTCGAATAAATAGGGAATCGTTTATCCACCAGTATTTCTCAAAGATGGTGGCGCTGGCGATGACGTGGTCAAAGCCCACAAATAGCTCGGCTGCTGCTACTCCTAGGTCTCCCTCGATGTCGACCTCGGCGAGGCAGCAGAGTCTTCCACCGCCTCCGCCATACTCGTCCAAGTAGCTTGACGCAACTCGTATGTTGAGCAGATGGATGACGCGCAACGGATCCTTGAGCATTGGGGTTGGAATAACGACGCTCATGTCTTTGTGGATAAAGCCAAGACGAATAGATAGACAGATTTCTTATCTTTTTTCACCACTCTCTTATTTCTTTGTTTTGCTCATTCCTGCCTGTTTAGGGGGACTGGGGAGGGGCGTTGAGACTAAATTGCATTGCTGGGTTTTGGGTCGTCAACTGCATCTCGACTCTCTATTACTTACAGTCTATGTATTTTAATAGATGCAGATTTGTAATCACTGGGAAGAATGAGATGGCTCAGCACGCTGTGTAAAGGGGCCACTGGCTGTACCTGTTGATGGAACTATGAATAGGTCTACACCTGACGTTCTGGTTTCGACGAGAGCGCCAAGTGTGTTTTTTCCCTCTTTCTTGTTTGTACCTGGTTCTGGTCCGGAGAGTAGGTATAGAATCCCGACTCCGAGTCTTGATTGCATGCCATGGTCTCCACTTGTATTCACGGCGGTTAGAAAGGAAAGCGGTTGGGTTTTTCTCCTGCCGCGGAAGAATGGGGGTTCATATTTGGTAGTACAAGTTGGTGGCCTAGTCAATAGAAGAGGGTGGCCTTTTATTGCCTTATACTTTCTCCTTTCCTGCACTTGACCAATCAATATTTTACGTGTTGTGATTCCTGTGACCTGGGTACGAACATTTTGTCGGAACAGACAAGGTACTCGATCGTCAGGGGTTGGAAATGCTGGGCGTCATTATACAGGGGTCGGTAAATGCAGAAGAGTCTTCTCTCGCCTAGCCCGCTGGCTTTGCTTTGTATCCAAGAGTTAACCATGTTGCTATGAAGCGCAAGGAAAAGAGAAAATGACATCCCATAGGTCTGAATTCACACTTGATTGTTGTCAACTCGCTTGCGCAGTCCGAGAATCTTTAAGATTACCTATTCTCATCGCCAACTTTACCGGTGTGTTTTCCCCCATTTTCCTTCATTCAAGCCACATACCCAATACGTTGTTTGACACCTCTGTAATTCGGACTTCTCGTAGAGCAATGATCTTACCGATCGAGTTACACTGGTGTAAAACATTGGGGAAAAGGCGTGGATAATAAACACAATAGGAGGCAACCCGATGACGCCAGTCTTGGGCTCGTGGACGGAAGCGGAGAGAGCGTGCGATGGCCCGGCTGCTCCTCTTCTTGCTGACGGTTCTAGACCCTTCAACCATATGCCTCTTATTATGGATGGAGCAAGACGGCAAGCAAGGCGCCGAGTCGGGTCTGCACGAGCTGGCTGTGGGTTGATGATGGGATCGAGGGAAAGCTACCCCGCTCCAGACAGGAAAGCCGGGCGAGAGCGGGGCAAAGGGGGTAGAGTAGGCTGATTCCGAGCCAACACCGAGAATGGGCCGCGCAGAACTGAGGTTACAGGCACGCAAGCTCCGGAGCCAGAGGCAGGCATTTTGCCCTTCGGCGCCAATGCACACGACCAAGTACCGAGGGGCCATCCTGCTGCACCGACTTCCCGGCTGCTTTGCTTCTGGCGGGAGGGCGACGGATAGCTCTGAGATGGCTGATGGCCGTGTTTCAATCCATGGTGAGGGGCAGGCAGGAAAAGGAGGGGTGAGGGGTTTCTAAAGTGATGTGGTGCTGCACGAATCCAAAAACTTACCAGCCCAATGGGACGGCCTCCACAAAACCAACCAGCACTTTGACGGGGTCGTTGAGGGCAGGCACGCGTTGGGCAGCTGCACTTCATGCTAACGGCTAAACGGACTTTATTCTGCTGCGCACCGTCGACATCAGACTGAGGAAGACGAATTGGCCAATAATCGACACAGTCGTGCCAGAGCTGCAGCCCCTTGAACCGCGGCCGCAGCCAGCCCTCGCAGGCCCAGTTTCTAATTGGCCTAGCCTACACATGGGAGTTGCTCTCTGCTCTGCCGCTCCTCCATCGACATGCCCAATTCAGAAAGTTTAATAGTCTCGAGTGTGACTGAGTGCTACTAATAGCCAAGCTAAAGTCCTTGCCCCCCATGGAATAGATGATAGATCGGATCCCAAGTTAAAAGCCGTTGCGGAGACGAGACAAGCACTGCGTGAATACAATACCCGCTTGAACCTCGCTGTTTCCGGACACACACCATGCCACCGTGTAAGGTGCAAGCCGCTCCCATCGAGCAACCACTAGGACATCCAGTTCAGGTTGCTCGAGAGGGGTTTGGCCGGCTTGATGGGTTACTAGACGGCAAATAGGAGGTCATCGTCTTCGTCCTCGTCCTCGTCCATCTTCACGACAGGCAAGAAGCGAAAACAACAGTGATCTTGTTGGTTGTTATATCCAGGGCGTAAATACAAATCTGCATCTGAAACTTGACCTTTGTCCTGTCTCCGGCTTACCCTTCCTCGCCTTTCCCGTGACCCTCGCAGTGTCATCTCGCAGGGGTCGCGCTTTCCACTCCAATATCTCTCTCCTTCCCTAGTGCCTAGAGGTATCTACCATCCCATATACCCACCCTTGAAGATACCGCTCCTGCCCGGCCTGCAAGGCCGTGTTAGTCTAGCGGCTCCGTGTGCTGGTCGCGACATCCCTCATTCTCATTCTCCGAGCGAGACGCGGGTGGTTCCATCCGATCCAGACGGGTTATTGCAGCGCAGGTACCCCCAACTGCTCACCTACCTGCCTACCTTACCTACTTCACATCAGGTATATATATATCCAGCTCCCGCCTGTCCTCTCCCCCCTTTCCATCATCCCTCAACAAACAATTCGCCCTCTGATTCTCTCAGTACCGAAACAAAATACCAACACTTCAACTCTCACTCTTACAAACCAGACTCGTCAAAATGGTACTACTTCTTTCTCGTCCAGCCCCTCTCCTGTCCCCATCGTTCCTCGCCGTCTCTCGCTCCTCGTCCTGGCGGGCTGCTATCCCGGCTGTGCCATTCCGGTCCTTCACGTCGCGCGTGGCGGGCTCGGGCCGGCAGCCCCTGAGAGCGAGGAGCGCGGGCCGCCCTCGGACCGACGTCCTCTTCCTCCCTCGGCTGGGCCCACAAGGCTACTCCACAGTTCGGCTGCTAACTACTCAACGTGAAAAGGTCAAAGTACTTGCGGTTCTCTACGACGGCGGCAAGCATGCCGATGAGGTGAGCCTAATTTTATTCTCTCTGCATACTGCCACCCAGTCCCTTTCAACCAGACACACACAATCACAAAGGGGTGGGAATCCTGTGTCTGTGGCCACGTCTGCATAGGCCTTTGAGGATGCGGGCTGAAGTCTGGCTGTGGGTTGGACCCAAAGTATTGTCACAGACGGCATGGCATGCATGCTGCGAATGCGGGGTTGAGAGAGGTGTTCACTGTGCGCTATGGCCATGGTTTGCCCCAGACAACGGGTCGACGGCAGTTGTATGACAAGGATTCACCTCTCGAAATCGCTGCTGTGGCAGGGTGGGGAAAAGGGGCAAAAAGGGGCCTCCGTCTTGGCACCCACGTCTCAACATCGTCGCTCCACCGTCGTGATCAGACACAATACACACGCACGAAATGTTATGCAAGCTAACAGTCTATAATGTAGGTTCCCGAGCTGCTCGGAACCACCCAGAATGAGCTCGGCATCCGGAAGTGGCTTGAGGACCAGGGCCACACCCTCGTCACCACCTCGGACAAGGAGGGCGAGAACTCGACCTTTGACAAGGAGCTCGTCGATGCTGAGATCATCATCACAACCCCGTAAGTATCAGTGGTCTGGGCTGGCAAGCTCGCAGCGGCGAGACAGACCTCCCTGTCTTGGGGTGACTTGGGAGAGAGAACCACTCGACTGACAAAAGTCTCCCTGCTACAGCTTCCACCCCGGCTACCTGACTGCTGAGCGTCTGGCCAAGGCAAAGAACCTCAAGCTCGCCATCACTGCGGGCATTGGCTCCGACCATGTCGACCTGAACGTGGCGAACAAGACCAACGGCGGTATCACCGTCGCTGAGGTCACGGGCTCCAACGTGGTGTCGGTTGCCGAGCACGTCGTCATGACGATCCTCGTGCTAGTCCGCAACTTCGTGCCCGCGCATGAGCAGATCCAGGAGGGCCGCTGGGACGTGGCCGAGGCGGCCAAGAACGAGTTCGACCTCGAAGGCAAGGTTGTCGGCACTGTGGCCGTCGGCCGCATCGGCGAGCGTGTCCTGCGCCGCCTCAAGGCCTTCGACTGCAAGGAGCTGCTCTACTACGACTACCAGCCGCTGTCGGCCGAGAAGGAGGCCGAGATTGGCTGCCGCCGTGTCACTGACCTCGAGGAGATGCTCGCCCAGTGCGACGTTGTCACTATCAACTGCCCGCTCCACGAGAAGACGCGCGGTCTCTTCAACAAGGAGCTCATTTCCAAGATGAAGCCCGGTAAGCTGGTAGTCACCCTTTGAAGCGATCTTACTCACTAACCATGGATAAAAAAAGGCTCTTGGCTTGTCAACACTGCCCGCGGCGCCATCGTCGTCAAAGAGGACGTCGCCGACGCCCTCAAGTCGGGCCATCTCCGTGGCTACGGCGGCGACGTCTGGTTCCCCCAGCCCGCGCCCCAGGACCACCCTCTGCGCTACGCCAAGAACCCCTTCGGCGGCGGCAACGCCATGGTCCCCCACATGTCGGGCACTTCGCTCGACGCCCAGAAGCGCTACGCCTCGGGCACCAAGGCCATCCTTGAGAGCTACCTCACGGGCAAGCACGACTACCGCCCTGAGGACCTCATCGTCATTGGCGGCGACTATGCCACCAAGGCTTATGGCGAGCGCAAGAAGTGAGCTAAGAAGGGAAAGGGGAAATTGTAAAAAAAGAAATATGAAACCAACCCAGAAAAAGGAAGAAAAAGGAAAAGGGGGCTTCATGTAACTTTGTGCTCCACTCGCTGGAGAGATGGTGATCATTTAGGGGTCCGATCTTCTCTAATTCTGTAATGACGATAACGACGAATCTGATATTTGGAATGGAATGGAATTTTGGCAAGGCTGCGGTATTCCTTGGTATTCATGCCACATCTCATCTTACCTAACTACCTAACTTACCTAGCAAGCTAGGTACCTTGGCTCATATAGGTTTCTTATCTTGAGTTAATCCATTTTTTCATCTTGGAATCTTCATACCAACCAGTAAAGGGGGTTACAAGTTCCAAGTGACCGCTAAGAATGTTTGTGAATGTGTAACAAAGTATGCCCCTATAACGAAGTCTTCCGTTCTCTCCTCGCAGTCAAGAAAGCATTTTCGCAACGAGACAAAATCCGTGTACTTGGTAGTATTTTAGAATACTGCACACCTAAGCTAGTTCTCGTATTTTTTATATCAGGTAGCTAACTAACTTGACTGAATTTACGTCCTAATTAATTGGTAGAGCCTACGATAGGAACTCGAGAAGCTCAGTGAAATGGGTTGAAGGTGCCCAATCACCAAAACAGCAGATACTAGAAGGACTTTATCGAACAGCCCCCTTAAACACCAGATCCCAACTAGAGAACGCATACCGGTCTCCATGCCCCATCCCTCGATACTTCGAGGTCATCTAGCGTCTCGCGACATGCGTTGTTATTGTTATCATTATACAAGACTACATGGGCAAGGCACACTGGCAACCGAACGCTCGCTCTCTGCATAGCCCTACCATCCGTTTCGACTCGCCTTTTCGCAGGTGTCTCTGCCTGCGTTCGCCTGGGGTATTATCGTTTACCGTTATATACAAGTTACAACTCCCCAAACCACCCATTTTTTCCAAGCAAATATGGTTTTACCACCCCCTTTCCCCACTTCTTCTTCAAAAAAAGATGTTTCCCAAGAAATAGGGGGCGTGGTTCTGAAGACTTCTCTAGTCGTTAAAATAAAAAGGCCAGAAAACAAAAAGCAAAAAGCCCATACCTCCAACAGCAACGCCAGTACACGTATTAAGGTGACATAGGGCCTAGAGAGCTGACATGCTACTTTGCCTGTTTCCAGAATTTCCACCACGGAGTCGGCTCCCCATCATACACAGGGGCTTCTCGCTTGGAAACTTGATCGCGGCCGTGGATTCGCCAGAAATACACGGGAATGCCGGCAACGACAAAAGCGACGACGGTGAGCGTCTGCAGCGGCTGCGCGAACACGGCCCTGCTCAGCAGGAACAGACTGACGCAGCAGAAGATGATGGGTGTGGTGATCCAGGCTCGATAGGGCCGTTCGAGTGTGGGCTCCTTAACCCGCAGCACGATGAGGCCCAGGACCGTCAAGAAATAGAAAGTGTAGCCGGCCACGCCGTAAAAGGTCAGCAGCGTGCCGAATTCGCCGACCAAGATGTAGGCCGTAGTGAGGAGGGCATTGAGCACTAGCGCGGGGATTGGCGTGAAGAAGAGCCCCGTGTCCTCGTCGCCCACCAGGCGGGCAAGCCTCTTGCTGAACCACGACCGCGTGCGCGTTGTCGACATGGAAGGGTCTTGCTCCGTGCCGGTGCCGATGCGTCCGAACAAGGCGGGGATGTACCCCTCTTTACCGGCGACGTAGACGAGTCGGCTGCTGGTGAAGGTGGAGCTATTAAGGGCGCCAAAGCAGGATGCGCTCACGACGAGAGCGATAACCAACGCCCCAACCGGGCCAAATACCTTTGCGCCAAACAAGACGGCCACCGTGTTGGTCGAGTTGATGGCTTCTAGGGGAAGGACAAGGAAATAAGCAACGTTGGCTAACAGGTAGCTGATGATAACCAGCGGCATAGCAGTGTGAATCACGCGCGGGAGATCCCGACTAGGGTTGCGGAATTCGCCCACGACATAGTTTGTCTGCAGATAACCGAATGTTAGCGGCCGTTTATGCGGAAGGGGAGATGTCATTCAGGGCCAACCGACATTGTCCCATCCGTCAAAAGCCCAGAGCCCAGCATATAATGCCACGGCCCAGGCGGATGCGTCCAGCTTTGTCCCTTCGAACCACTCATGCGTCTTCCAATCCAGGTTCGCCGTGCCTGAGAAGGAATACCCAGTAGCAGCAACAACAATGCCAATAATTGTAACACCGATCAATGCAACGAATTTCAAAAACATGAGCATATCATTCAGCCGTGTCCCCAGCCGCGTCGAGACGCAGTTCATAAAAGTGACGAGGAACAACCCCACTAGTGCGACCGACTTGTTGATCCATGGATTGATTGTCTCGGCCTCGGCCCCAATGAAAGCCCTCACGAGGTACTCGCCCATGATGATGGCTATGATTGCGGCGCTGCCGGGCTTCAGGACGAGGACGGCCACCCACGTGAATAGGAAGCCGGATAGCTCTCCGAATATCTTGGAGAGATAGACCTGCGCCCCTCCATTGAGGGGGATGGCGCCCCCGAGCTCTGCGTAACTCGCCGCGCCGGTCCAGGCGAGGATACCCGCCACCACCCATATTATGAGCGCCGCGCCAGGCGAGCCGGCATTGGCGTTGACCTGGCTCGGCGATGAGAAAATCCCGGACCCAATGATCAAGCCAACTATTAAAGACAAGCCGTTGAGATAAGTCAATGTCTTGTGCTTCTCCAACGACCCTCCCCCGAGCCCGCCGTTCGCGTGGGTTGTCGATGTGGATGCGCCGATGGGAGCATATCCAGCGCCCGTGGTGGACGATAACGGGAAGAGGTTTGAAGCGAAGTCGAAGGTGGATGACACTGAAAAAGAGCGGCCATGGTAGCCTGGTCGACTGCCAGCGGCGGCAGGGTTCGAGCCGTCCAAGGGATCGTCCCGCTCGAGGGAGGCTCGTCGGGACGACGAGATGCTGGGCCTCGAGTCACTATCGGTGGTAGCAGCCCCGGGACTGGAGCTCGCCAGAGAGGCGAGCTCTAGTGAGTCGCGCGCATCGGGCTGCAGATTGGAGGAGTAAAGCGGCGGCATCGGATTTTGGGGGGCCCAGTGGGCGAGTTGCGCCGCCGCGGCGAGGCTCGAGATGGTAAAGATGGGACTACTTGTGTTGTTACGCCCCAGATGCCCGCGGCGAGATAGAAACCATTTCGGTGGTTACCAATAGAGCCAAGGCAGAAGGCGGTTCTCTCTCTCGGAGCCGAGCGAAGACAAGAATAAAGGCACGAGCCCAACGACACGGTTTTTCTTCGTTGGTCGGATTTGGAGACCTAGTTGCGGGAGGGGGGCCCAGAAGTTGGTCGTTCCACAAGTCCCGTCCAGACGACACTGACGTCTCGCTCCGTGTATTTATTAGTAGTTGTGTATTTCGGAAATGTCGACAAGACGGCTTCTAAACGAAGAATCAGGGGAAAAACAAAGCACCAAAACCTGCGCGGCGAGGGTGAAGCGAAGTATGACGATTCTTTTTGGGATTAATTTTTTGTATAGAAAAGTCAACAGATTGCCGATGAGAGGACGACCCAAGACTTCTGGGCGGGTGCAGAAGGCGACACAAGATCAAGGGCCAAGACAAACCCCAGTCCGAGCCTGTGCGGCGGCGGGGCCCCACATGGGGTGTCTTGGCAGATCAGATTTATGCGATGAGATTGGTGACTTTTCACCCCTTTTGGCAGCCCTTTGTTTCTTAGAGTTCTCTAAAGCTTCTAGGTCGTCAATGCCTTCCCGTTCATCTATCTCGACTTCGTTTCGCACGTGTAGTTCTTTGAGCTAATGCGTATTGCTACTTGCACGACAGGGAAGAAGGATCAAAGAGAGGGTTAGGGTTTGAGGGGAAAAAGGGCTTCCATCCCGACACCTGTACTAAAACTCCGAAGTTCTAGACTTCTGTTCCAACACATGCACGCCATTGTACAACATAATAATATTGAGGCGATTGCTGCGTGGCATCGGTTGTGTTATTTTCTCAACTCGTGTGACACTTGGTGTACACCAGACTCGGGGTGTAGATTTAATCTAGCGGGGACCATTGATGATTACGTAGAATATTTGGGCCATTCTATTCGTTGCAGGGACGTTTCCACCGCGTGAGCTCCTCCTGCTGGCAGCAGCAGCTTTACAAGCTCCAGCACTCACCACTAGCCCACCATGAGCAAACAACACTGATGGGTTCAGCCTGATTTTTCCTTCTTCTTCCAACGACCGGAAAATGTGATATGCCACAATGCCCTTGATCTATGGGAGGTCAATTGGCCGTTTATTGCCCAAGCTAGGCGGCTCAGTGCACTTTCGACCCGCGTCAAATCCATGCGCCAGTACTTTCCGCCCGCGGGGCCGTTCTGCCATCGCCCTCCAAGCTCTCGACAGCACCCTTCGAAGGGGCTACGCGGAGAGCAGGCTAGACCTGCCCGCCCTTGACCAGAAATGGCGCCAGAAATGGGCTTCACTCCAAGCGGACTCTGCCCGCCGCGCCAGTGATACAAACGACAACAAATACATCTTGCCCATGTTCCCGTACCCTTCAGGCACTCTGCACATGGGCCACCTCCGAGTCTACACCATCGCCGACGTTGTCGCGAGATTCCACTCTCTTAAGGGCAACAATGTACTACTCCCCATGGGTTGGGATGCCTTTGGGCTCCCTGCAGAGAACGCGGCTATCGAAAGGGGTATCAACCCGGCTACATGGACAAAGGCGAACATCGCGAAGATGAAAGAGCAGCTTGATGTCATGAATGGGTCCTGGGACTGGTCTCGTGTGCGTATATGAGGAATCCGACTCTCATTCTACTTGGCGTGATGCTGACCCCGGTGCCCGCGGTTCATAGGAGCTTGCCACCTGCGACCCGAGCTTCTACAAGCACACCCAGGCCATATTTCTTCGTCTCCACGAGAAGGGCCTTGCCTACCAGGCCGAGGCAGAGGTCAACTACGACCCTGTTGATAAGACAGTGCTGGCAAACGAGCAAGTAGATGCAAACGGCCGCTCCTGGCGGTCGGGCGCCAAGGTGGAGAAGAAGAACCTGAGGCAATGGTTCCTCCGCATATCCCATTACCGAGACTCTCTACTCCGGGACCTGGAGGTCCTGGAAAAAGAAGGCGACTGGCCCGAGAGGGTATTGGCGATGCAGAAGAACTGGCTGGGCAAGTCCGCAGGTGCCCAAATCAAATTTCCGGTCTTGGCCTTTGGCAAATACGCCCATGCCAGAATCGAGATCTTCACGAGCCGCCCAGACACACTTTTCGGAGTGCAGTACCTAGCGCTTGCCTCAACACACCCGATAGCTACTGCTCTGGCGGAGATCGATTCTGAGCTTCAGGCATTTCTGGACACTCTTCCGGGGCTGCCTCCCGATTCAAAGGTCGGGTACCTGCTGCCTAATCTCCGTGCCGTCAACCCCTTAGCATACCACGATGAAACACCCGAGGCGACTAAGAAATCGCTTCCTGTCTACGTGGCACCTTATGTGGTTGGCGACTATGGCGAGGGAGCGGTTATGGGAGTGCCGGGGCACGATGTTCACGATCATGCTTTCTGGAAGACCCATCGGTACGACGAGCCGGTTCGGATTGTCCTCGCCGCCTCAGAAGATGAATCAACTACGGCCCTGCCCAACGAATCCTTCGTAGACCGCGGAATACTGACTGAACAAAGCGGCATATACAAGGGCAAGCCGTCGAAAGAGGCGGGCGAAATGCTCGTTTCTTTGCTCGAGCCGGCTGGATTAGCAAAGTCGGCAGAGAAATGGCGCCTCCGAGATTGGCTGATCAGCAGGCAGAGATATTGGGGCACGCCCATACCTATCATCCATTGCGGATCATGCGGGAGTGTGCCTGTTCCCCATGAAGACCTTCCAGTCCTGCTTCCCGAGGTTGACGACCACTGGGCAGCAGGTAAATCCGGCAATCCGCTCGAGAGCTTGAAAGAGTGGGCAGAGACAGAATGCCCAAAGTGCGGCGGGCAGGCCAAGCGAGACACCGACACTATGGATACCTTCGTGGACTCCAGCTGGTATTACATGCGGTTCATCGACCCGCAGAACGAAGACGCTCCGTTCTCTGCTTCCAAAGCGAAAGCCTTGCTGCCGGTCGACATCTACATTGGGGGAGTTGAGCATGCGATTCTGCACCTCCTCTATGCTCGCTTTATCTACAAGTTTCTTATGACGTCCCCGCTTGTGTCTGACGGGTCCGAGGCGTCAAGCGACACATATGAGCCTTTTAAGCGGCTCGTGACCCAAGGAATGGTGAATGGCAAGACATACAGCGATCCTTCAAGTGGTCGCTTCCTGAAGCTAGATGAAGTGGACCTGAGCATTGCCTCGAATCCGAAAGTGGTCGCAACAGGCGAGTCGGCCGTTGTCAGCTTTGAGAAGATGTCAAAGTCCAAGTACAATGGTGTCGATCCAACGGAATTCATTAGCCAGTATGGAGCGGATGCCACGCGAGCACATATGCTATTTCAAGCTCCAGTGAGCGAGGTTTTGGACTGGGACGGGGAAAAGATTGTCGGCATCACCCGCTGGTTCGGCCGCATTTACGACCTTGTAACCAGACTCGGAGCTGTCACCCCGCCCAAGGCGGGACGCATGACAACCAAAGCCTACTTTGAAAGCGCTGCGAAGAAGCTGGACTCGACCCCAGAAAAAATGGCGCAGTGGGACGCGGATTCAGCGATCTGGCGCGACGTCCAGAAGATCATTACCTCTGTCAGCGCATCGTACGAAAAAGTTTACACGCTGAACACGGTTGTGTCCGACCTTATGATTCTCACCAACACCATAATGGCCAGCGACGGTGCAAATGCGTATGTCAAGCAAGAGGCTGTCTCGGCCTTGCTTCGCATGGTAGCACCGGTTGCGCCGGCATTCGCCGAAGAGTGCTGGAGTGTTCTCAAGCCCACATCATCCTCCATCTTTGGGGGCGGCACTGCTTCGACGTCGTTCCCGGCCCTGGATGGCACGCTCCATCTCTTCCAGCCGCGGAAGCAGGTGTGCGCGGTCCAAGTTAATGGCAAGCTCCGGTGCGCGGTCGAGATCCCGAAGCCGCCGGGCTTGCAGGGCGACGAGCTGCGCGACTGGCTGCTAGCAGAGATCATGAAGACGGACGAGTCCAAGGCCAAGTTGATGCCGACAATAGCAGCTAGTGGGTCCGGCGTCTCAGATGTTGTTGCGTCTGCAAAGAAAATCATTGTCATCAAGGGCGGGAAGCTCGTGAATTTTGTATTTTAGGCCGCTCACTGTTTCGCGAATTGCGGACCTCTCTTTGTGTCGTCGCATCGAATACGCGATGCGAGGGCTGGAAGCATTGTGTTGAATATCTGAATATAAACTTTTATACAAAGATGTCTGTTCTTATATGCGACCCTTAACTAGGGGAAGGCAGCTGGTAGAAACTCCACAGAAAGTCCATCCGTCTCTGCAAGATGGGTTCCTTTGCTTCATTTATCTTTTGTACATACATTATTGTATACTTTAATTTCCTTTCTCAGACATCACATCACATCACACATCAGCCCGACACAAATAAACAGACCGTCCCTCCCCGAACCCCCGCACGCGAATCTCGTGCCCGCCCACGCTCTTCTGCCGACAGTCGTCGGGGCGGTCGTGGCGCGGGTCGTCTCGCCAGATCTCGGCGCGCTGCAGCGGGTATAGCTCGGCCAGCCCGGGCCCGCCGCCAGCCACCATGTCCACCACCCGTGCCGCCTGCTGCATGCTGCCCACCTCAAGCAGCACGCGCTTCGGCCGCAGCCGCCGGCACAGCGCGAGGATCCGCGCGTAGAAGGCGTCTTCGAGCCGCGAGGAGAAAATGGTCTGCTGCTGTGATTCTGTTGTTGTTGTTGTTGTTGTTGTTGTTGTTGTTGTTGCTGCTGCTGCTGCTGTTGTTGTTTTATGGGATGGTAGCGGCGTCAGCGCCAGCCGCGGCTCGTGGTTCCGCACCGACCGCGCCGTGTCCCGCGCGAACCCTCGCGACGAGATGTACGGCGGGTTGCTGATGAGCACATCCCAGCTTTTTGGGGTTTGGCTCTGGTTGTTGCTGACAAGGCGTTCCTCGAAATCTGGCGCAAAGATGTCGGCCTGCTCGAAGCGGATGTCTGCGTTGTTGGGAGAAGTGGCGGTGGTGGTGCCGGGAATGAGGTTGAGCTGCGTGTTGTGCGCCACGTTCTCACGCGCTAGCTGTACTGCCTGTCGAGACACGTCTATCCCCAGCACCGACAACGCGTGCCCTGCGGACTGCGCCGCCGGCTGGAGCTGCGCATACAGCTCGAGCGCGATGCAGCCAGTCCCAGAGCACAGGTCTAAGATGTTTAGCGATGTTAGTTGTGGGCTGTCTGAGCTTGGTTGTGGTGGCAGAGTACTGAGAAGGAGGCGCGCCATCTCGTTGGTGTATGCTTCTGTTTCGGGTCTGTCGTTTTTGTTAGCATTGTTGTTGTTTTCTCTGTGCCTCCTCTCACTCACTCACTCGCTCGCTCGTTCGCTCACTCACCCACCTTGGAATAAGCACGCCTGGACGGCACTTGATGTCGACATGGCCGAACGGCTGCGACCCGAGGACGTATTGCAGGGGCTTCCCCTTGGCTCGCTGGTCGCACATAAACCACAAGCGCATTTTGGAGGGCATTGGCGATGGCGTCGCTGCGATGTGCTCGCGCATCCACCGCAGCTCGTTAGCTGCCGACGCTAGGTCTCGACATGCGGGCAGTATCAAGGTTGCCAGCGGTGAGATGGTGCGCCTGGCGCGCCAGAACAGAGCTGGCCGCAGTCGGGGCATTGCTTTGGTTGTTGATAGGGGTTCAGGGGGTGAAGTGAGTTGGGTCTGAAAAGGAGGCTATATCATTATTTTTGAACCTCGAAATGTTCAATTGGCTGAAAATCGGATAACCTAGCTCAAGAGGCAAAATATTAATTAAAAGTGCTCCAAAAGAGTGAAAGAAGAAGACCCAGGCATCACAAGTTAAGATGGGCAGCAATTAATGAGTGTTTAGTTTGCACAATGAGTTGAGTCTTGTCTTGTAAGTGAGGTGGATAAAAAAAAAAGGGAACTGAAACTTGGCGCGCAGCTTGATTGGAGCAAGCAAGCCACCTAAGCTCGGATTTGGTCACTAACACCGAGATCTCCTAGCACCATCGCATCGCCAGAAAACGATAGCCAGGTTACTTATTAATTCACAGAGACGCCCACGCCGAACTGTCTCTCTCTCCCAAACTATGCAGCTCTTAGCTAGACCCTTGAGCAGACCTCCCTAGGTACAAGACATGTTGTTGAGATGGCTCGCACGCCGGGGACAAGCGTGCGCAAGGCCTGCCGCATTCCGCCGGTCCCGGTCGTTAGCGACAGAGGCGCCGCCCGCGTTCCCCATTACAGCGAGCTGCCCTGAGCCGACATGTTCATGCACCGCGACGCCTGCCATGCCCGAGGGCCTCGAGATCGACCACAAGACGCCGCTGAACGGACTCATCTCAAACTATGCGCAGCACGTACTCGTGTGCACTGGCCAGAACGACTGGCCGTCGCGCATCGAGGAGGCCAACAGCGGCGACAACCTGGCCGCCGACCTCCGGGAGCTTGTAGGCCGGGGCGGCACATTTAGCGATGTAAGTCCCAACCACCAGCAACAAGAAATCCCAAAGCAATTCACAAAAACAATAAAAATACTCATGCCATGACCAGCCCTTCCACAACATCTCGGTGCTCAACTCGTCGTTCCCGTCGTCCGCGCCATATCCGCCGCTAGAGCTGCAGACGACGTCGGCGTACCTGCTGCCCGACTTCAAGTACGTGCCGTTCCTACCGCGCGTATCGTTCGACAGCGTCAAGGCACTGGTCAAGGGCTACCTACTGCCGGAGAAGCTGCACCCGGCGCACCAGAACCTGTCGCCCATCCACCGGGACCGCCTGCTGCGCAAGCCGGCCTACCAGAGCCTGCTGTGGGGCGTGCGCGAAGTCAACGACATCCTGGTGCTCGTGTGCGGCCACGGCGACCGCGACCAGCGCTGCGGCGTCTTCGGGCCCCTGCTGCGCGACGAGTTCGCCGCCCGCCTCCCCGACGCCGGCATCGACGTCCTCTCGGGCCCCGTCGAGGCTACCGTGCCCGCCGCGGCCTCGCTGCTGCCGTCGCCGGCGACAACTGTGGGCGCATCGGTCTCGGCCCGCATAGGCCTCATCAGCCATATTGGCGGGCACAAGTTTGCCGGCAATATCATCATCTACTTGCCGCCCCGCCTCAAGGCTGCCGGCGGAGAGGCGCATCCCTTAGCCGGACACGGCATTTGGTACGGCAGGGTCGAACCGCGCCATGTCCAGGGCATTGTGGCCGAAACGATGCTCAAGGGCACTGTCATCAAGGAGCTCTTTAGAGGGGGGATCAAGCAGGGCGGCGAGATTTTGCGGCTGTAGATTTTCTTGTAGGTTTTTTTTCTTGGCGTTTTGCTCTCTGGGAGGGAACTTGGATTTATTCAGAATATATGTATTCTACTCTTTGCAAGCATTTCTATTTGATTTATTGTATATAGAAAGTGTTCTCAGGAGAAATGGGTCAGGGGCTGCCCATTAAATGCTTAGTCGTATTGTAGAGCTAAACCCACTACCCTGCCGCCAACCGCCAAAAATCCGAGTGCCCCTGTATCGATCCTAGCTCGTTCCCTCTCAAACCCATCTCTTTTCTCCGCGCTTCTGCATTACCATATTCTCGCGCTTAGACGGGGAGAGTGGCGGAGGGTACGTGTTCGCCGGCGGTCAACATGTTAAGATGGCTCGAAATTCCATTTTTGCTTTGGCTCGGTGGCCCACAAGAGCTGCTGAAGGGACAAGCGTGAGGTGCAAGCTCGCACCCTCCCGGTCCGTCTCCAAATGCTCATCCATATCACGACCAGATGGCCATACACCCTCTTTACGCCCACATCCAAGCCTCACCCGCCTGTCAACTGCCCGAAGGGTATTGCACCTGTCTCCGAAATGCACAGCAGTGCGGGCTTTTTCATGGACAACAGAGGCAAGAAATGCGTCTCACAGTGCCCAGACAGCCCGCTCGGGGGGGGCGAGTAGAGCCAAAAGAGGCCGACTCTTCACCAGACTCGCCGCCACCGTTGTCGTGATAGGGGCCATATACCTGGTCTTCATCGACAACGACGAGGGTCTGCTGCACTGGCGCGTCGGCAACGCCCTCAACGGGCGCTCCTTTGTGCCCTTCACCATCGTCGCCCGCGAGCAAGTGTCTCCGACGAGCTTCATCATCACCGTCGAGCCCAAGTACAGCAGCTACAGGGATGGCAGCGCCGGCTTTCTGCGCCTGCCACGATCCCTCGGCGAAGCCAACCCGCACCGCGCCGTCCTCGAGCGCGCCTGGCGCCACGGCCTCTGGTCCGTCGAGATCAAGCAGCCACAGCTGCAGGTCGCGCGCGAGTACACCCCGCTGCCGCCGCCGCTGGTCCAAGACGGCGACGGCGGCGACGGCGAGGCCGACGACTTGGCCCGCGGCCGCCTGCGCTTCCTCGTCCGCGCCATGCCCGGCGGCGAGGTGTCGACATACTTGAGCCGCCTCGGGCTCGGCGACACGGTCGAGCTCCGCGGGCCGCACCTGGGCTTTGACCTGGGCGCCCGCCTCGGCGCCGGCAACGGCAACCAGCGCGTCGTGTTCCTCGCCGGAGGCACCGGAATTGCCCCGGCACTCCAGGCCGTTCGGGCCCTCCTTCTATCTCCTACGCCGGCATCAACTACCACCACTACCACCTACGAGTCAGTGCCAGTGCCATGTCCGTCCGTCTCTATCATCTGGGCCAACCGCCACCGCGCAGACTGCATCGGCTGCGACGACTCCTCTGTCACGTCTCCCGCCGGCGACAACAAAAACAAAAACCCCGTCATAGCATACCTATCCAGTGCCGCGGTAAAACAAAAACAGCAACAGCACGGCGGCGGGCTCGAATACGCCTGCGTCGTCGACGACGAGGGAACCTTCATCTCCGCGCGCGCCATTGCCTCGGCCGTATCACCAACCACTACCGCCACCGCCCCCACCACATTAACTAAACAGCAGCAGCAGCAGCAGCTCCCTCCGCGTTTCCTGTCGTCCGAAGACTGCCACTACCACTCGACACGGCTCCTCGCAGGGACAGGGCCCAACGACGATAGCGGTAGCGCCGCCCAATACGCATGCGCATGCCCGGGGGGCAGTAAGAACCTGCTCCTGGTGTCCGGGCCGGACGGCTTCGTGGCAGCGTACGCCGGCGCAAAAGTGTGGGCAGGCGGCAAGGAGCTGCAGGGGCCCGTCGGAGGCGTGGTCGGCGACCTCGAGCGGCGGTGGCGCCCCGGCCAGTGGAGCGACTGGCTTGTGCTCAAGCTCTAGGGTAGACATTGCCACTACAAGTGTTGTATCATAGTAATGGTATGTCTGTCTGGCTGTATTATGCAGTCAGGAATTAGCTTATTATACCCCGCCCTGGATTTACCTAGGTTTTAGTTGGCAGGAGTACAGCTAGGAGGATAAAGGAGTGGCGGATACACGTATGTACGTCGTTTAGTTCTTGTGCCATACACCGAACCTTTAGGATAGAGCGTATGGATAGATACCAGGGGTATATAGAAGACTGGAATATGGGTTAGACGCGGACATGCTGTATGATGATAGAAGGCCGCGGATGTAAAGTTATCATTCTTGCCGAGAAGAATACCAGTAGAAACCATAGTCTTTCGCCTCCCCACTTGAGCATTTCATTCACGATCAAAACAAGACGTAGCGGTAACATCCAAGACCAATTTGGTAGAACGTTCAACGCCCAAGGGATGTAAACGCTCACAAAGACTAAATAGTTATAAGAAGCCCCCCATTTGGATTGTATTCACATCCAAGGTGTTCTAACCGAACGAGCTTTCGAAATAACGAAAAAAGACAAGATAGGTATTAAGTATTCTCCCCTTCGCCAACGCTATCCCGATGCAGCAGAGAGGCCGGCCCACCTTGTCCCATTTATTAATACATGAATTTTGTCTTGAAAGACCGCATAGCCGAAGGCCCCTTCTTCCCTTTTCTTTTCAGACATTAAATGCCCTGGACCTTCCGGTACGAAGGGGGCTTCATCGTTCGCTGGATGAGCTTCCCCGCGTAGGTTGGAATCAAGGAAATGGCCCCGATGGCCACAACGCGCCAAAGAAAGCCTCTGTTGATGTCATATTGGTCAGCAAAAGTCGCAGTTGGTGCTCGCCAAGCCAGACGACGGGATCGAGACTTACATGGTGAGGATAAACTCCAGGTCAAAGTAGCCGCCCAGGAACGGTATGGACCCGACAAACATTAGGAAAGTGCCGACGATGGACACGACCATAACCCAGTGCCACGTCGTGATCTCAATGGCCACCATGAGCAGCTCGTTGAGCACGAGCACCGTGTAACTGACGGCCACCATCCTCGGCCCATCGACCTCGGTTAGCACCTGCGACAGACCTTGGATCAGGCAGCCTTGGTAGATGGAGACAAAGACCCAGACGAAGAAGGTGCGGTACGATAGCGACCGGCCTTCCGTCAACTCTTTGTAAAGCTCCGGGTACAGATTCGTCAGGTTTTCATCGACGTCTTTGTCTAGGACAAGAGACAGCACGGGGGCTGCAGTATAGACTGTCGCGTAGCCAACCATGAGCCAATCCTATTGGGATCGAGTCAGTAAAAACATGCCTCTCGGAATATTTTAAAACAAACGAACCTTGTATAGTCCCTCTGGCCTGAAGTTAAGAGCGATGCTGTACATTGTCTGGCACACAGCAATGATCAAGCCACGGTGAATCACAAACTGTGCGAGCTTGGCACTGCGTTTGTAGCTGTTCCGGCCGTGCCATACCAGCAGCTTGGTCAAGTGGTGGAATTGCTCGATGGAGAAGTCGGCCGCGAGACTGGCCTGGCGTCCTTCCTTGCCGACTATACCGACACCAACATCGGCCGCCTGGATCATCGAGACATCATTCCCGCCGTCGCCGATGCAGCAGACGCGTTTCTTGGTGTACTCCTTGATTAGCCTGGCAACCTCTGCCTTTTGGGTTGGCGAGCACCGGCAGGCTACCACTGTTGGCAGGAGGACGGCCACCGAAATGAATTCGCGTCTGAAGTGGGTCAAGAACAGGCTAAGACTCTCGCCGTCGATCAACAGACAAGAATCCGTCTTGCTCCTCAGAAAGTCCAACCCCTCCTGGGCGGCATCCTTCCGTCTGAGTTTGGAGATTTCGTGAATATACTGACCCCTCGCCACCAGCTTGGAGCTCACTGCAACACACCGTGCAGTCTCCACCTTGTCGCCCGTCAGCATCCATATTTTAATGCCGGCGTTACGAAGCAGCTCGAGCGAGGGTTTGACATCCTTTTGCAGCTTGTCTTCGACACCGGTGACGCCAAGAAGTTCCAGGTCACGCTCGAGATACTGAGACACAACGGCCTGCATCCCCGCATCTCGGCTGTTGATGGCAAGAGATGCGTCGCGATACTTGGCGGAGAACTCTTGGTACTCCTTTACCGACAGGCGCTTCCTCCCTACAACAAGGGTCCGAAGCCCCTCGCGGGCCATGTTGGCTGTCTCCTCGTCAAGCCAGTCGTTGGCCGAGACGATAGACCCCATCACAGTATCTGCGCCCTTTTGATAAAACCAGATCTCGCCATTCTCAAGGTTGGGAGCTCCGGGATGTAGCTTGTCGAGGAACTGAACTACGATTCCCATGCGCTTGCCCTCCGACGTGAAGGGGAAAATGTCTAGAATGCGTACTTTTACCACGGGACGACCAGTCTCGGGGGATTCGAGAACCATCCCTTTGCGGTCGCGGTGTGCCAACCGCAAGCCAACAGACTCGGACCATCGAACTATGGCAATTTCATCTGGCGAGCTCGCTTGATACGAATTTTCAACATGGCCATCTATCTCTTCAGCCGTTGGCGTTACGTTGTGGCAGAGGGCCAGGGCAAGGACCACATCGCGGACACGGGATCCAATTTCTCGACGGGTCCTGGTAGCTCCAGCGCTGGCGGCAGCAGAATACGACGACGACGGTGTTGCAAGCGTCGGGTTGGATGAGCTGTCCGCCGACGTTGCGATGTGGAAACCCTGCTTCACATACGCCGCGACCTCGTCCATGGCGTCGTTGGCATACGAGACGGTGCCAACGTGTATCTTCTTCATCTCCATTTCATTTTGGGTCAAGGTTCCCGTCTTGTCGCTGAGCAAGTATTCAATCCGGCCCAGGTCCTCGGGGATGGTGCTGGTCCGGACTACGGCGCCCGGGATCCCCGGATCTCTTTGGATGAACCAGGAGTACACGCTCTTCCCCATATCCAAGTTGACACGCAAACTGATGGGAACGATCGTGGAGAATAAGACCAAGAACCTCATGATCTTCACATACCATACGTTGTCTTGGGTGTTGCCGAATCCTTCTAACGCAACTAGAATGATGGAGATGGCCAGGGTGAGAAAACAGAGGATTTTTGTGAGCGAGTTTATCTCGTACTCTAGCAAGCCTGTCTTTGACCGAGACGGGGATGTGGACAATGCCGAGCGTGTTTGGGGTCCGGTATAGATAATCACAGCGAGAGTTGTAGCTTGTGAAGCGATGACCGTATTTGCCCATGCGGTATTGTCTATTGATAGGGGTGCAGCTTTTGAGGGACTGCCGTCATCATGGGGGTCGGCGGCGCTGTTTATAGCGTCCTGTCGCGAAGGTAGTAGTTCCAACGTGCCGGCGAACTCGTTCACCTTCCTGTCGGGTCTGCCGGCTGTGACGCGAAGACGCACCAACTCCTCGGTAGCCAAGTTCTGTGACAAGGGAGAAGCAAGCCGCAGCTTCCAGTCAGTCTCGCCATCAAGCTGATCGGTGCGAATGAATGTTTCTCCTGTCGCACTGCCTTCAGCAGCACCTTGGTCAGTCGCATCAGTAGCACCAGCGGTATCAGAGCTGCCTTGGCCAGGTTCATCGGCGTGATCCAGCAGGAGTGCTGCGTCTTCAGCTATCGATTCATCATGGGTTTTGTGCACAGACGACTCGTGAGAAAAACACTTGAGAATAATGACGTCGGCGGGCACACGATGCCCTTTGGTGAGTTTAAGAACATCGCCGACTTTGAGATCGCGAGACTTTTTGCTGATTTCGGAAACGTAAGACGATGGCCCTTTTCTAGCCCCTTGACCTTCGGTCTGCTCCTCCTCCTCCTGGATGTCAGACAGCCTGTCTCTCTCGGGAATGAAGCGCTTGGATCCCTTGCGTGCGTGCGCAGACTTCAGTTTCTTCATTGGCCGGCTGCTGCCGAGATTCCGTTCGGGTTCCTCAAATTTGACAACAGTGTATTCTTCAGAGTTAGCTTCGTTGTCTCGTCTCCGCCTCCCAATATCGTCGAAAGCTTCCTTTCCCAGCGTGATGACTAGCACAAATGCCAGCGGAGCGATGTATGTGGTAAGATAGCCGATCCTCAGAGCCGGTATTGCCTGGGAGAGGGCTACGAGAAGAAAATACATATTGAAGAAAAATGAAAACTCGTTGTATAAGGTTATTGGTAGAAAGCCCCAAGCCGTATATTTGGCATTGGAGATGATGTTGGGCGGGAATCGCGTTGATTGGGACGAGCCGACGGCCACTTGTCTGGACGACGAGGGGTCGTCTTCCCTCTCGAGCTCCTCGTTGTTGTCGTAGCCCTGGTCCGCAGCCGCCCCGAATACGAAGGCAGGGAGCCGTCTGAGGCTGAGGTTGCGGAGGCTGTCGCCGGTGAAGGACCGGCGACGTTTGCCTGTGCTCGTCCTCTCGTCCCCATGCTGGATGAGGAGAGGCGCGTCGTCGCCGGCCCTTGCGCTGCCGTCCGAGTAGCGGGGATCGTGTGCGTCGCCATCCCTCAACAGCGCCTCGGCATCCTCGTCGCCGCCGTCACGGCTGCGACCCAGCTCGCCATATCCGTTGCGTTTGGCCCCGCGGCGTAAACCACCCATGCGAAGGGTGCGCAGCGCTATCCTGGGAGCTCGTTGTTCGGCGGCGCCACGGGCTTGTGCCTGGGGCAAGAGACTCCTGCTGCCAGCTTGCTCGTGGCCTGGCAATGTGTGAGGGTCGAGCTCTTCGAGATCTATCTCGAGGTCCGAGTCGGATTCATCAACGGGCGAATCTGGAGGCTCGGCTTGGTGGTACGAGTTTGAAGGAGGCATTGGACATCGAAGGGAGAAGCTCTCCTGAAGGCGCTGGGCTACGCTGGGCTGGGCTGGGCTGGGCTGTCTCGACTGGCTCGAGTTTAAAGTTTCTGGCGTCGGGTGCAGGCCCTCAAATCGTGGTCGCGCCTGCTGTGTTCGTAGCGGTTCTTACAGCGGAAGCGTAAAAGACGTAAGAAGCCGCGCAATGCAATGCCACTCCTTCTTCCCGGTCTTCCGTCTTCCCATCCTCTGCCAAGTGCGTATTAAGACGGCGCTCGCATGACAAGAGCTAATCTAGTCGGCCGGTGTAAGACGTGCAGTCGTCCAAAGATAACGGGCTCGGGGGAGTTGCCAGGAGTCGTTCTGGCGAGAACAAAGTAAAGAAGCTAGCTTCACATGTGAGCATCAAGGCTATGCTATTACGAAGTTACGTATTACGCAAGACCTCGCTGCGTGCGCCGCCTTCAATCAGGGGTCTGCCAGCGCCGCAGCGACCGACATTAGCGCATGACTGGGGGCAAGATCTGGCTTTGTCTGTTAGGGGGAACCTTGCTTATGTATTATTGTGGCTGGCAGGGCATCATTGGAAAAGCGTAATCGGCAACCCAGTAAAGTATCTCGTTAACTCCAACATCCTGCTGAGCGCCACTCCGCTGGCCAACAAGCTGCCGAAACTAAACCTGGCTGCTGAGGGAGCATGGATCGCAGGTGAGGACAGCTTTTCCATTTTGGTCAGTGCCTGCCCCTGTCCGGATTGCTGCTGTGCCCGCGCCCGCGGCTTTTGGCAGAAGTTGGTTCCGTTCCTTTTTTGGTCTGCATCTGCATCATCATCAGTCTTTGACAGCTTTCACTTTGGCGTCTGCATTGGGAGGAGTCAGATTGGTCCTCCACATGACCAGCTGTTGAAAGTTTCCTCTTTACCTCGCCTACTAGGTAGCCTGTCTTGTATTAGTACGCGTTTGCTCCCCCCATGCCTCTACCTAGGTCCGTTCGCGAAGGCCTCGGCGACGCGATTTCGCCCCCCATCCTCGGCGACAGCCACCTGCAAATACCCGCCATCCGATTGCTAACTGCCAACCTCATTTTAGTACTTCTATTTCTCTTGCGTCGCGTACTCACGCGTCACGCTGCTGCTCTCGACAGCAGCGCGTCCTCTAATCAGTCAACCATGTTCTCCGATGCGCCAAATGCATCATGGCATCCGGCAATGATGCCTAATTCGCTTGCCGATCTGCCTCGGAACCCCCCGAAAGACGTCCCGTCGAGTCTTACAAGTGCCATATTTGTGCACCAGGACGAAAGGTCATTCGCAGCAAGTGATGCGGGCGACGAGGTTCACAACAAAAGCATCGGCCCTGATGCCTGGTTCCCAGATTACGGCACTGGCGACAGCTGGATACAGGACGCAAACGAGGCGCCAGATGCACCAGCTGCCATCTCCGGGCGTGCCGACTCCTCCGGCGAGACCGAGGATGAGGGAGTGCCTAAATCTAGCACGGCTTCAAAACACATCAGCACAATATCATTTACGCGAACTGTATCTCACGAAGTCAGCTGGAACGACGACGATGACCCTGAGTGGAATCTTCCCCGAGTTGGGACGGATCCGTTCAAGTTTATGCCTCCGAACAACCGGTCCAACTCTTTCCCGGCTGCCTCTGCTAGCAAGCGCCAAGAAGGAGGAGAGCTCGAGCTTGACGAGCCTCTTTCTCACAACCAGGCAGAAGAAGTTGTTTTGGAGGCGGCCCGAGAAGAGGCCCGCGAGAGCTTCGAGAACTCTTATAATAGCTTTACCGAGGACGACCAAGAACACAGTAGCAATGTCAACCATCAATATATAGGAGGCAACTTGGCCGGAACGACAGAGGCACTGGAAGCGCGCTTTGAGGAAGGCTTGCCACTTATATCCTCTACTAGTGATGTTGTGCCGAACAACGATGCTGGCCAAGGCGAAAAAGATTTCTTTGGAGATGACATCGCCGCCGAAGAAGACGACTTTTTCAGCCAGGTTCGCAATGAAAAGGCTGCAGAGCTAAGCGACGAGTTTCCGCCGGCCCTGGAACGCAAGTCGACGATGCAGGTCTTGGGCACTCTCGATATTGGTTTGCCAACACCGAACGGCTCCCCTTTGCACGAGTCCGGAGAGAATGGCGTGGCTATCACCGAGGTTTCCACAAATCAGGCAATTACCGAGAACACCCCAGACGCGGATGTCGTGAGTAAAAATGATGACGACTTGAAACCTGCAGATGTAGAAGAGCTCGCTGCAAAATGGCAGGAAATGTTTGCTGGCGACGAGGAAGACGAGCTTTTACTGGATGATGCTACCGAGACCGAGACAAAAGAGTTGGACTCTGCAGCATTTTTCGACAGTGATGACGAGGGTTTCCTCGATGATTCGGAAATTCAACCGGTGGCGGAGCCCATCGTTGCCCCTACAACACCCTCCGCCGCAGACGTCAGACCGTTGAATGGCCGGTATTTACCCCCAAGTCAACTTCTCGGCTCCGCCGCACCGCCAGTAAACCCCTATATTCCGGCTGCGGCATCGCCGGCGCTACCCCCTGTGCCGAGAAATCCCTACCTTCCACCGACGGTGGCCCCTGCGATTCACCCTCTTTCCGCGTCTCCCTTTCCAACGCCGTCTTCGGTCCCGCCATCTACAGGATATGGATATGGCGCCCCTCCTCGTCCGCCGCTCCGGGAAACGAAAGCGCAAAGCTTCGTCAAGGCCACGGGTGGATACACCTCGCCGTATGATCTTCCAATGGATGTTGTCGTACCCAAGAAGCGTGCGAGTATGCACAACTTGCAAAGAAGTACTGCACCAAGCGCCTCTTTACAGGCGCCCCCCGCACCACCCAGGAGTGCGAGCTTGCAATCCCACCCGCCTCCTCCAACTACCCCCGGCTCGGGGCTTCCGCACGCAGGTGTCATTGCCTCATCTAGATTACCTCCAGCCGCGAACAAGCCGTCTTTATCAGATCTCAGGTCTAAAGAGCACTTTTTTGAGGAGCTGCCTATGACAACAAAACCACGCCCTACATCCCGCCAAAGCAACAAAAGTCTACCATCACCATCACTGACCAGTCCATACGGAGCACCACTCCAGCCAGGCGCACCTCCCATGAATCTCCAGCCAGCAACACCCCAAGTACAACAGTCGGCGGCTCCCTTTGCAGCAGCAGATATTCCTAAGCTGGTAGCACCACCACTTGCCAATCCTTACGCTTCGCTGTCCTCAAATATTGGCCTTAGTCCTGCGGTTCCCCCTACCGCACCGAACCGTTACTCACCTGCGCCTCCTACCAATGGCTCTGTCCCCCCACCCGGACCAAGCCGATACTCTCCTGCTCTACCAAGCGCACGCCTACCAAGCGGTGGTCCGCCTCCAGCGCACCCAGTAACGGCGCCCCCAATCCTACCTCATCAGCCTCGTACTTCGAGCCCATTAGCGCACTTTGAGATATCTCATGAGAGATCAAGATCCCATGCCCCGAGTCATCACGCTGAAAGCGGTCCGGCCGAGAGACGAAGTAGCAGTTCTATGTACGACTCACGCCTTCAGAGAGTGCCATCCTTACCCCCAACTCGAGAGGTGGAGGAGGAAGAAGGTCTAGCCCCAGCTCAGTCAGCTGCCCCAGGATATGTACCGCCCCCTCAGCCGGCCTCGCCGCCCGAGTCGAGGTTTAGCCAGTCGCCGCAGCGCTTGAGGCGGACGCCCCCGCCAACATCTTTTACTGGACAGTCCTCATTGTCACCTCCGAAGCGGGCAACATCAAGTCACAGCGCGGCTGCCGGATCGCACGACTTTGTACCTCCGCCACGGTCTCAAACACAGTCTCCTGGGGCGTTATACGGAAATCGCGATGGAAGGCCTGTAGATCCAATCCCGCGCCCTTCCTCAGTTCACGATTCTGGTTTCTCGCGTACGACAACGTATGCAACAGCCGTCCCGCCCCTCCAAACTTCCGCTCCCCTTGCTTCCGCTTCTCGCCCTCGTAGCTTTTCGCAGAACCTCAGCTTGGTTACCCCTACTGATGGTCGGGAAAATGACGTGCTTCAGAGGTGGCGAGGGGCACCCCTGATCTCATGGGGTGTGGGCGGGACTATTGTCACAATGTTTCCGAAAGACGTTCCGCGGTATGGCATGAATCAGAGCTCTCCCATGATTCTTCGCAGTCCAGGGACTGTGAATGTACAAAATGCCAAGGATTTGCAGCCTATGGAAGAACGTCTCTCCAAGTTCCCAGGCCCACTCAAAGGGAAATCGAAAAAGAAGGAAACAATTTCTTGGTTGACCACCGGCATCGAAACCTTGGAGCGTGGCCTGCCCAATTCCCTTGTCGCTCAGACCCATTTGTCACACGATGATAAACGGGCCATGGAACGTGTGCTTCTGTGGAAAATTCTTCGTCTGTTTATCGAGCACGACGGGTTGTTGGAAGGGAACCCAACAATCGATAAGGCTGTTCGGGATATCCTTACACCGGACCTTGAGACGCCCGGCGCTCCGTCCCTCTACACGGCCGGAGCCGGTTCGCGTGGCTTCAACGATCCAGTTACAAATACGATGCTATCCGATGATGTTGATCCATCGACAGTAGAGCAAATCCGGAGACATCTTCTGGATGGCGACTGTGAGAAGGCTGTCTGGATGGCAGTGGATATGCGTTTGTGGGGTCACGCGCTGCTTCTCGCCAACGCACTTGAACCCGATCTCTACAAGAAAGTAGCCCAAGAATTTGTGAAAAAGGAAGTCAACTCTCCTGGCCACAACAACGAATCCTTGGCTACTTTGTACGAAGTGCTCTCCGGCAACCATGAAGAGAGCGTTGACCAGTTGGTCCCAGTTCATGCCCGGGCCGGGCTCCAGCTCGTGGTGAAAGATGCCGCTCTTGGGACTTCCAAAGATGCCGTTGAAGGGCTCGATAAATGGCGCGAGACTCTCGGGCTCATTCTCGGCAACAGGAGCGCTGATGATTCGCGAGCGATTAATTCGCTCGGGTCCCTACTCTCCAGCTATGGCAGGGCGGAAGCGGCTCATATATGCTTCATGTTCGCCCGGAAACATACTGTCTTCGGCGGGCTTGACGACCCGAAATCTGATTTTGTTCTTGTCGGATCTGACCATAGGAAGCAGGCCGAACAATTTGCGAAAGAAATTGAGCCTCTGCTTCTTAGCGAGGTCTATGAGTACGGTCAAAGCCTTGCCGGCGGCTCAAATGTGGCGGTGACGAACCCTCATTTAGCTGCATACAAGCTGCAGCATGCGTTTGCTCTGGCCGAGTATGGAATGCGAGACAAGGCACTGCAATACTGTGAGGCGATCTCTGCTGCAATCACAGCGCAGACTAGAAGATCGCCGTATCACCACATCATTCTTGAAGCAGCCGTAGAGGACCTCATGATACGGCTGAGGCAGGCCCCCAAGGAGGAGTCCAACTCTTGGATCCCGAAGCCGAGCATGAACAAGGTATCAGACTCGATGTGGAACCGGTTCAACAAATTCGTTGCTGGGGACGAAAACGATAGCTCAGGCCCGGGATCGCCGAAAGATAATGGCGAATCCGGGCCCTTTGCGCGCATCGCCGGAGGTACCCCTACAATAAGTCGGCCGCCATCGGCAAATAACCTGGACAACTTCGGTGCCGCAATCCCCAGTTACCCCTTGTCAACCCCCCTTCCAAACATCCCTGTTCCTATGATAGCATCGGCTCCTCCCACGAGAGCTGCATCACGTTATGCGCCAGGAGTAGCTCAGTCACCTGCGCCTTATGCGCCAAGTTCAACATATGCGCCTCGATCATCTATGGAGCGTACCTCGAGTGAGCTGAACAGAAGCTCGTCTGAGATATTTCGTCAGTCCTCAGACTTGCAGTCTGGATACTCGGATCCTTATAGCCCAAACACGACATCTTCGTCTACGCAGAACTACACCCCTTTTCACTCCGGTGGCGTGGGCCTGCCGCAGGATTTGCCGCACACCCCAATCTCTCAGCCAGACAAGCATGAGCAATCGCAGCAGTCGAATCAGCCCACTTCGGTGGCATCCGCCTATGAGCCCCATGGCTACTCGGGCCCTCATGTGAACGGAATGGCTTCTGCGGCAAATAACCAGAGCTCAGGGGCGGACGGTCAACAAGCTGTTAGCAATGGCTACCAGCCCCCCTCTTATGGATACGAGCCGCCTTCGTTCACTCCGTACACGGCTCCTGTGGATAAGGCCGCCGAAGTCGATACAGCGAACAATGGTTCCTTTGAGGCCCCATCGTTCCAGCCATACGGCTATGAACCGCCATCATATGAGCCCGAATCTCAGCCAACGAACGATGATGGAGATTCAAGCGAGGAGACGAAGAAAACCCCCAAGAAAAAGGGCATCATGTACGACGACGAGGATGACTTCCCGGTTCCAAGACCTGCCGAAAAGAGCAAAGCGGATAAGGATCGGGAAAATGCGGAACTATTCCGCAAAGCCGCAGAGGAAGATAGTCAGTATATCCCATTTCATTTGCACGAAATGCATCACATGCTGACGTTCACCCAGCCAAACGAGCTGCCGAAGCAAAACAGGCTAAGAAGGGATGGGGTTTCACAACTTGGTTTGGTAGCGGAGGCGCTGCGAAGAAGGAAAGCCACGACCCTGCTTCTAACAAGCCTATCCGAGCCAAGCTAGGAGAGGCCAACTCATTCTACTATGACCCCGACCAGAAGCGGTGGGTCAATAAGAATGCAGGCCCAGAGGATAATGTGACGAAGAAAGCAACCGCTCCACCGCCAAGAGGAGGACCTCGCTCTGCTTCCTCGAGTCCCGCCCCACCCATGGGTGTTCCGGGTCCCACGTCCGCTCCCGATACTGGACGTGCTAGCGCTCCCCCGATGGGACCGCCCCGATCCACCATGACCCCGCCACCATCGGGTCTAAACTCTTCTGCCTCTGAGGCCAACCTCATGGCCCCTCCTCTGGCACCTCCAACCATGATGCGGTCCAGCTCCAATACCAGTACTGGCAGCGGGCCGCCAAGCCGGCCGACCACAAGTCTAAGCCATTCGAGCAGCATAGATGATCTTCTGGGCGCTGCAGGACCTCGCAAGGTAGGAGCCAAGAAGCCCAGAAAGAGTGCAAGATATGTCGATGTCATGACGAAATGATTTGCGGCAGGGGAATTTGGTAAGCTGTCGAAAGGAAAGTCAAGACATTCATCTAGATCTCAACCCAAGCGGTTTTGGAGAGATCAAATATGGTGATGGTTCTTCGGAGACATGATGTGTCAACTTGGATTGAGGCTACCTACGGTGTCGTTGCTACTGTTGTCGGTTCGGTGTTGTTCTATTTCTTTTCTACCCTGTGCTATAGACTAAACTTTTTTTGTAATAGCCACTCGGCCTTGGTCGTAATTTTGGGGAGCTCTCGTTTTGCTCTTGGAATGGCGGTGTGTCGGATGGGAGTCACTATGTTCAGTTATGTGTTGTGCTAGTGTGTGGCTAGAAAGCTGGGCTTTTTGTATAGGTTTTTCTGTTCTCTCTCGATGCTATTATAAAAGAAGTTAGAGAGGACGTCGCGGGATTAATGGGCGCATCCCTCCCGAGAGGATAAACGAGAATGGAATTCCAATCAACTGCCTACCTTTCTGTCTGTCTGTCTGTCTGTCTGTCTATCTATCCCTGTCCGGTTCCTTCAAATAGAAGGCCTCGGTAAAGTATCCTGTATATGGAAGAACCAGCCCTTGTCTTGTTCGCAACACACTACCTACCTGACTGGAAGGTTGCTTTGTCAAAGCGTTGATGTGAGACTAATAGAGGTCACGTTTCTTGGTGGAATGAATACACAGTGCCTTGTAGAGGCGCGAAATAAACTTAACTTCGACTTCAGCTCTTCTAACTCGCTTTCTTTTCTTTTCTTTTCTTTTTTAAAAAAGAGGAAAAGCCTCTTCAAGAGTCACAACGCTCAGGGGGTGCAGATTATTTTCAGACGACCCTGACTCACGAACAAATCGGTCACGGCACTAGTGGCCAGTTGTCGAGACAGAATGAAGAATAAATTCGAGTAATAAAAGAAATAATTGGCCATGATACGAGCCCGTGACATGATATTCAAGGGAGACCCTCCGAATGACATTACTTTTTCTCATTTTTTTGTTAACAAATACCTAGGTAGGTTGCCAATCCACGAGCCCAACAATCCCGCCCCATGGAAAAGACACAGAAGCGCCGCAGCCGCAGCTCGCGAAGCGTTACCGTGGTCAGTCGGTCGGTCGTCGTCTGATAGTGGCGTCACACAGTTTTGCGGGGGCAGGGGAGCGGTGTGGGGGAGAAGAGAAGAGCCGGCTGCGGTTCTAGTTTATTTCTGCATCATGAGCTGGACGAACTCGTTGTCTAATAGTCCCAGTTAGTAAGTGCGAGTATTAAGAGGACGCATCAAGTACGAACAGTCGATGCGGCCATCACCATCCTGGTCAGCCTCGCGGATCATCTCGTCAACCTCATCGTCAGTGAGCTTCTCGCCGATAGAGGTCATGACATGGCGTAACTCGGCGGCGGAGATGAAGCCGTTGTTGTCACGATCAAAGACCTGGGCCAAAGAGTATCAGAATGCGCCTCGTGAATCGGGTGCCCAGTGGCTCGACAAACCTTGAATGCCTCGCGGATCTCTTCCTCAGAGTCGGTGTCCTTCATTTTTCTCGCCATCATGGTAAGGAACTCTAAGGCGCGCGTCAGCCATATGTCGCAAGCGTATTACTCAAGATTACCTCGTCATACCAGGGAAGTCGATGGTGCCATTGTTGTCAGCGTCGACCTCGTTGATCATGTCCTGCAGCTCCGACTCGGAAGGATTCTGGCCTAGCGAGCGCATAACGGTACCCAGCTCCTTGGTGGTGATTTGTCCTGGTTACAAGTATTAGCTCCCGTCTTGCCCGACATGACGCCCACCAGAAATACAACATGATCTTCTGCGCGATAGGAGGCACCAAGAGCAGTGACATTCGTCTGCTGATGTCACAGCGGAAAGGTGGTCGCAGGGTCGGGGAGCATGAACAGCGCGAGGGAGAGACTCACCATCGCCATCCTTGTCCTGTCATTAAGGCAGCGTATTAGTCCCGGTCCAGGCAGGTTTTGCGCTGGATCGCGTGGCTGCGACGACCAACGGATGCGTAGTAACGGTACAACTTACAAAGAGAGAGAACGCCTCCTTGAACTCGGAGACCTGCTCTTCGGTAAGGGAGTCGGCCTGTCAGGGCGTGGTGGTTAGCTCGCCGTTATTTTGTCGCTTCTGGACAGCAAGCCAGGCGGGTGGCTGCCCCTCAGCCGCGGGGTTCTTTCGATAGATACATGCGCGATGCAGGGCACTGACCATGGCGGCGTTTGTTCGGTCGAGAGAGGATTAGCGACGTGAGCGTATCTAGTCTCGGATGAGGATATCTTTAGTTCAGTTGCGTGGGTATGAGGAACGGGAGCGTCTATCCTCAAATGTTCGAGGTGAATGGGGTTGAAGGTTCAAGGTTGGAGGGGGAATTAAATTAGCGAGCACTCGAGCAGGCTTCGGGATCTTGAGAAGAGCGGGGACCCCTCCTAACTATAACGGTGGTACGAAATTTGGTAGCACGATCGGGGGGGCCAGGCGCCTGAAGCAGGCAAGGCAGGCTGCCGCCCAAGGTTTTCCTTGCCGTGATGGGGGGAGTGCGGACGTGCGCGGGCGGGCCGTTGCCAAGCTCCTTGAGCCCCATCTTGACACTGTTGTGTTGGTGGGAGCCCAACCCGGTATACGACCCAGCTGGCAGCAGCTGCCTGAATCTCAAATCCCGCCCTGTTTGCAATTCCGCCCGCCCGTCAATCCCTGCCATTGAATTGGCCATCGTGTCAGAGCTCTGGGTCCCGCGTCATCAATCCGCTAAGAGTCGGACGTCGAGCCGCGCAAGCGATAGGCCATGTAAAGCTTACAGCTTAAGGAACCAGGACCACCATTACGTCGAACACGAGAACAGTAACAAGTTGCTTGCGGGCGAGCTGAAAGGGAGGCTTCCCCCCTTCCGGCGTCCGCCATGTGGCGAGACCGCACCAATCTGTAAGTGCTGCCTGCCTGCATGTCTGTACTTGGCTACCTACAGACGCCTTCAACTCCGTCTGGGCGCGCGAGACCTCCCAATTCCTCTTGTGTTGCTGCGGCCATTGACATGCCCTTTTCGCCAGCTACATCTCGTACCGCCAGTCTAACGCCCACCACCCGACGCAGCCGCGCCATCGGTATGGGCCCGCGGCCGGCTCAGCCGACCGCTTCGGCGGGAGCGGTGGCGCTGCCACCGGCACGGCGGTGCTGTTCTCGGCCGACGAAGACCGGCGCGGTCTCCTATCAGCTGGCGCTTACGACGTTGACGATGGCGACGCGGTGATCGAGATGGATCTGCTGCCCCCGCGCTGGGCCGACGTGTCAGATGAGGTCTCGGAATTGCTGGCCGACATTGCGCGTAAGAGCCAGAAGCTTGAGAGGCTTCATCAGAAACATGTCCTGCCAGGATTCAACGACGAGGAGGCTAAGAAGGCCGAGGAAAGCGAGATCGAGCAGTTAACGCAGTCCATCACGCGCGGGTTTCACGATTGCCATCGCTGCATCCAGCGCATCGAGCAGATGGTGCGCGAGGGCAAGGCGGCTGGCCAAATGAGTCGCGCTGACGAGCTCATGGCCAAGAACATACGTGTCAACCTAGCCACGAGAGTTCAGGAGGTAAGCGCGGGCTTCCGCAAAAAGCAGAGCGCATATCTAAAGAGTAAGGGCCCAAACGTCATTTCCGGAGCTATATCTTGGATAATATGATTGCTAACTCTGTCCTTGTTCTGCACTCAGAGCTCAGGGGCATGGGCGGTATATCTGGTCCCGCTGAGCGCGCATCAACACCACTACCGCCGGGAGTTTACACGGACCCGTCGATTTTGGAGTCAGACGCGGACCGGTCGTTTTCACAGTCAACGATTCAGGCCACGTCGCACCAGAAGTTGCTGCACTCCAACGACGTGGCCATTTCGCAGCGCGAGCGGGCCATCGACGAAATCGCTCAGGGCATTATTGAGCTGTCGGACCTGTTCCGAGACCTCCAGACCATGGTGATCGACCAGGGGACCATGCTGGACCGCATCGACTACAATGTGGAGCGCATGGGGACGGACATTAAGGAGGCCGACAAGGAGATTAAAATCGCCGCCGGCTATCAAAAGAAGACGGCAAAGAGAAAAATCATTCTGCTACTGCTACTAATAATCGCCGCTATGATCATACTTCTGGTCATCAAGCCCAAGAAGCACCAGAATTGATCGTATATCGGGAGTGTTTCCAACGTCAGGTCACGTCGATGAGGCTTGCAAACAGCATGTCCGCCGAAAAGTGGACTGAGAAGACCAAAGAAGAAAAAAAACACAAGATAGAACGTGGTGGCTTTAGGTAGGGTGTCCGAGAAGAACCACTGTACTGGAACTGAAGCTCGTGGGAGGCTATTATGACTACCTAGAAGCTGTTTGCATCGAGGCTGGATGCTCTGTGGAGAGCGTTTTGATGCTTTTAGATTTTTTTATTTTTGTACCATATTTCCTGGGCTATATACCAATAATGCTGCTTATGGATGCCATTTCGTGCCTCGTTCGGTGTCCCATGTTTTTTTAGCATGGACGACCTGTGGTGTTCTGTGCTCTAAGTCTGGATGGCCGCTCCAACTATCTATAAAATCCATATTGTACATATCTTCTATTCGAAGGGCTCTAACTGACCTGGGGTATCAAGTTTTAGACAATGCCATACTGATAGCGTGATAGAACAGTCGGAAACAAGACAGTGGAGAGAAAAAGAAAGAATCTATAAATATACAAGAACAAGATATCAACTATAAATGATATACTACACCGTATAGTTTCTTTACTAGGTCCGTTATCTTCATGTCTAGATTATTAGGTCTTTTTGATAGAGTTTTCAACTCCCAGTCCGCAACCTCCTTGGCCAGCTGAAGAGAGGGGCCACGAGCTGTAACGTGTCTGACTGACAGGTGGGTGGCGCCCCGGTTTGTTTCTTGCGTTGCTCGCCGGATTGTCTTTCGTATTGTTGCTTCTTGGATGTTGTTGGCTGCTGCTGCTTGGCGGGATTTCAGGCGCGCGTCCAAGGTCTTTCTCGTTTCCGCCTGTGCCTGCTCGACGCCTTCACGGAATCTTGGCAATTCTGGAATGATTTGGTAACCCCAACCCTCATCACATGCGATTTTGGCCTCCTTCAAGGTCAAATTTCCCTCTTTTGGGGGTTTTGCGTAGATGTCGGCAAGCCGCGACACCACACACCACACCACCTCTTTCGGGGTGACAGGCACCCCTAGGTCACGGAGTTGTGCCAGGAGCCGTACACCAGATGCAAAGGCTCTACCATTCGTCGTGCCTTTAGGTTGGTGGATGGGAAGTTGGAAGAACCCGCAATAGAGGATTGACTGTTGTATCCTGCCACTGAATACCAGCCGCAATGGATGCAGGGGGTGACTAGGGCTTAGATCTTGGGGCAAAGACTGGAATTCGTCATGCCGCTCAATATCGTGCGACACAGCGGGAACGTCAAGCTTGTGGACAACCAAAGCACCGTTCTCTGAATGTTTTGGCTCGTAAAAGCGGTTGGCAAAACTCAACGACAAATGCTCTACATCATCAAAACGGCCCGCCCACCCCAGTCTAAACAGGATGGTCTTCAATGCATCTGTTGCAATAGGGAACCGCATTGACATGATCTTACTGCACAATGCAGCATAGAAGTCAAGATCAACTGGGCACTCCCCTCCGTCAGGCGAAACGTGCCGTAAGATATGAGATGATATAGTGTTACTGGCTGTCGACGATAGCTGAGTGCCTCTTAAATTCATGGTGTCAAGAACTGAGAGCATTCCCACTCTTGCGCCCACTCTCAAGCAAAGTAAGACCAGGTCGTTGGAGATGGCATCACTCAAGTCTAGCGAGACGGCGAGCCTGACTGTTATGATCGTTCGAGAACGTTTCAATGTCGTCAATATGTCGGATCGTTGGTTAAAGACGCAGGCGTCGACATCGTTTGATATGTTTGGTAAAATATCAGAATCAATCAAATCTGCCAGTGAATCCCAATCTTCAACTGTGGAAAACCTCTGAACGGCCCGCTTGAGATCCGAGAAGCCGCCACGGAGCTGAAGAGCTTCGTTGATGCGGCGGACCATGCGGCGGATGTTCCGTTTTTCGAGTCGTATGGGCCGCAGAGAGAGAGAATCAGCCCAAGCGCGCCAAGGTAACTGGATTGGATTCGTCTCGGGGTCGGCTGGGGCCCCAAAAGTTGGTTGAAGTGACTTTTGTTTCGTCTGCGTTAATTTCCAATCCGCCGCCTTTTGGCCCACTTCCTTCTCAGCCACCGCAAGCTCTGACTTGGCACTAAGATGTCGAGATAGGATGTTGGCATCACGCCTAGAGTATCCCGCAAGAAACCGTAGAAATGGTAGCGAGGCATCCGAGGAAGGGACATCCTTATGAAGAAGGAGTAACTCGCGCCAGTTGCGGGCAAGGCGCGACAATCCTCGAGCGAAGAGGAACGGGACCAGCTCGTCATGAAGCCCACGGTGAGGGCTCAGAATGTACAATGCTCGTAGAGTTCTGTGTGTCTTAGGTCTATGATCAAGGAGGAATCGTTTAAGCACCCTCGCGAGGCTCGTTGCGTCAGTGCCCAATGTTGCACTTATGCGAAGATGCCACTGTAGACATTGCTTCGTCCACCCCCGGTCAAGGTAGAAACAAAGAATGCCCCAGTATAGGTCTGGCCAGCGGATGTGATGCTCATTGAAGAGCCAAAGAGCGTAAGCCCACACGTCTTCCATGTATTTTCTGTTGGGAAAGGGCACACTGAGCAGCGTCCGCCAGAATATTTCCGCTGCTTCTCCTTTCGTTTCGTACAAAGTCCGGCGCCTCAACAGACCCTGTAGGACAGCTTCGGCCCCGTGGATGCCATCCCTTTTGTAGCGAAAGTGGAGTATGCATAGCCAAAGCTGGACATCGTTCGCATTCTCTGGCAAGTCGACTAATCGGATTTGATTGTCGGTGGCGAGGACATCGGACTCGAGGTCCATCCGCCTGGTTGCTGCACTCATGTAGCGCCACTTCCCATAAACAGCAGGCCTGGAGCTCGGTTCATATGGCTGGATAAGAGAAAACCCTTCAATGTCCGTCGCTCGATGCGACTCCCCACGGGATGGTGTTGGAGTCAACAGTCCTGCGTGTAGTTGAATGGGAGCAGTTCGTAAACTCGAAGCGGTCGTGGAGGGTAGAGGCCAGTTGGTGTTATAACGTTTTTCCTGTCGAGTGCCTAGCGAGGTGTTCGAGATGAAGCACAGAGAGAACCAGGCTGCAAGCCGGACGGTGGGAGACGCTCGCGGCCATTTTGGCGATGCTCGGGCCGTTTGACTCGATACACAGCGCCAGGAATGGGGCATTGCACTGCCCTATTATAATTGAAAGAGGTCGCTTTGCAGGAACCATGTCGAGCTTCAGTTTCAGGGACAACTTCCAGCACCCCTAGGCTCTCCCGGCCGTGTCGGTGTATCGCGTTTCCATGAGATTTTCGGCGTGACCTAGAATAAAATAAAATAAAAACGGAGCTGCTTCATAGAAGTTAGCCGTTCGGCGGAGCTTTGCTTGCCTTGCCCGACCAAGGAACCTGCTTAGTCACAATTTTGCATTGGCCAATCCCAGCGGAATGGTCTCCAAGCGAAGCTACAACGACTCAATCCAACACTCACCTCACCACACTCGACACTCCGCAAGCTTTTCCCGGCGCAGAACCCAACTACGAAACTCATTCTGCACCTTTCAAGATGGGGTAAGATAATCACGTCCCGAGCTGGCATGTCCCGAGACACCCGCGCGACGGGATCATTTCCCCCGCTGTATCGATTACCAACTGGGCCGCCATGTTTTTGGTGCTATCGTACGATCTCCAAACGAACCTAAGCTGACATCTCTCCGCCCTCAAAAACAGCATGATGGACGCGAAGAACAAGGTGCCTGAGCTCCAGCGCGTGTATCAGGCAGCATACCGCAACCACACCCGGATTTGGAGGATCGTGAGTTAGGACAGAAAGGAGTTGAAAAGGCCATACAGAGGACCGACGTTAATTCAAATGACGCAGAGCCCTCGCAGCCGCATGATGCTTATCCCCTTCAACATCGTCCTGTATGGATCTCTTGCAGGTGCGATACGGTTTCCAATTTCCCTCACCTCTTTCACCGAGGTGCTAACTCTGTTCTAGCCAACATGTACGCGATGGGCCGCAAAATCCTGGGGTACAATACCTGGTTCAGCAAAGATTAAGCAGGAGTACATATGGGCAACTGTGATGGTAGCCGGTGTATAGCTCAGAGGCAGATATGGAGCGACAGGGTAGTAGCTCTAGAACACAAGAGTCATGCCTTAGAGGCCCTAGTTCCCTTTGTACATTCCTTGACTAACATTTGATGGCATTCTATGTGTGTTAATTCCGGGTGTGATCAATTACTCGCAATTCAGCCCTTTGCTACCAAAGACCCAATTCATTTTGCCCGCGAACAGCAAACATCATGTACAATTACAACTCATGCCTCTGAACCTAAATTCAAGGGTCAGCGCATGTATCGGGCAACATGTTGCAGGCCCTTTTCTGTTATCAGCCTGTAATTTTTACGAGCACGATGATAACCCCTAGTATCCCTCAGCACCAGGTGCCTCCGCATCCTTCCGTAAGCTGGTCAGCAGCTCGCGGAACCGCTCCTTCCCGGAACCTGCAGCACCGCCCTTCGCACCCTTCCCGCTCACGTCGACAATTTTTGAGATGCGCTCCCAGCTCGTACCGCCAGAAGTGGTGTCCTCACGGTTGGCAAGGAACTGCTCTGCCTCCTTGCGGGTCTGCGCAACCGCCTTCTCCTTCTTGTTGTTGTAGTTTTCGTAAAAGTCGTCGATGTTCTGCTGGGCCTCCTTGATGGTCTCGGCCTTTTGCGTGGCGAATTGCTCTGCCCGTTTCTGATTCTGGGCTTCTCGCTTCTCGCGCCAGTTCTTGATCACCTCTGGCTCCTCCTCTTCGCCAGCATAGGCCGCATAGCCCGAATTGTAGCTAACCGACGGGCCGGTGACCGTGCCGCCTGGTGCAACTCCCTGTAAACTACATTAGAACGTACAGTAGAATCTAATGATCTTGGCCGAACATACCTCGTTGCCACTGGTGATGTCCGGGAACTGGCTCTCGAACGCGGCATCGCCGCCCGTGGCGCCGATACCACCTCCAAGCAAATCATCGTCGTCATCGTCAAAGCCAGCATCCTCGACCGTTGCGAATTGGTTGGCATCGTCGCCGAGGATCGCCTTCTCTCGTTCAAGGAAGTTGCTAGCGGAAGGTGCGACTGATGCATCCTTGATCTCTGTCTGGGCTTTAGGCGGGGTGTCAGTGTGCTGGCACGATCGTCAAGAGCACGGCTGAAGCCGCATCCAACTTACCGCCGGAATCAAAGTCGTCGAGCGAGGGGAATCGGTCAGCCATGGTGACAGATTATATTTCAAATGCGGGCGGGTTGGTGTCCTATCTGGCACCGAAGTGAAAGTCTGCCACTAGAGAAATAGTGATTGGTGTTCAAGCCTATAATTTATTGGCGTGCTGTTTGATCGCGTCAGGTTGCGAGGCTACGCTGTACTGTACGCGCTAAGTCAGCTACGCCAGCCGCTGCAGGTGGAGATAGAGGAACGTTATGCGACAGTCGGGGTTGGACTAGCATTAAACATGCAATTAGCCGCCACGCTGGCTCGGAAGCAGAAGCTTTTTGATGTGGCTAAGAAAGCTCCAACCTCCTTCAAACTTCCATCTCTTCTTCGTCCTCCAATCTCTAGGTCTCTCACAGCGCAGCCACATCGCGCATCATCACTCTTGTGTATGCTGCTCGGCAATTTCGCTGGTGATATAGGTGCGAAGTGCAGATACCTTCGTACTTTTCATTGCAAGACTGGATTACTTGGTTCGATGTGGGCGGGTCTTGACGCGCAATTGATGCTAGACTGCCATATTCAAGACGCTGCAGGTTGGACCAGTGTTGACCACCACGGTTGTTTGGCGCCGCTCGTAGAGGAGCTTCCATTTATGGTGTGAGCCATCGATCTTTAAAACAACAACTCTCCACGACCACGGGACTTCGCCAAGCCGTACCAATTCCCATTTGCACAGCTCTCTCGTTTCTTATTCATCCATCTTCTTACGTTTTCATCTTCATCGTCGCCCCGCACGATGTCTTATAACGATGATGCGGTGCTCTCCAAGCTCTCAGCATTGAATGAGAGCCAAGAAAGTATCGCCACCACTGCCCAATGGATAATGTTCCACAGGTAAGGCCAGAGATGGTAATGGTTTGTCGGTGCTTGAACTAATCACTCGACTAGGCGACACGCAGCTCAGACTGTCCACCTCTGGTTGACGAAGCTTAGGGATCTTCCCAGCCCTAAGAGATTGAATATGATCTATCTTGCAAACGGTAAGCGCCTGTTGCTGGGCCGGGTGCTTGTGTTCGCCTTCTCCTTATGACCCGCATCCCAAAGGCCTTTGCAAAACTGGTTGAAATGCCGGTGCTCTAGTACGGTCTATCTCGGCTCGCAATAGCAATGCTGATCTGCTACTCTCCAGAGGTCGTTCAGCAATCCATAGCTCGTCACAAGGACGACTTTCGGACTGCCTTCTCTCCGTTTATTTGCGATGCTACATCCACAGCGTACAAAGGTGCCTCGGCAGACATTCAAAACAAGCTGAAAAGGGTCGTAGACATTTGGAGAGAGCGGGCGATATTCAGCTCAGAATTACAGGGTGCAATGGAAGCCAAGTTAGAAGGTAACACACTCCGGATCCTGCATCTCAATCTCCAGTTGATGCTGATATCAGCGGACAGAACTTGACAGGTCCCGCACCTCGACCAAAGTCGGGAGTTTTGGAGCATCCATGTTTGGGTCTCAGACGTCTTCCATCCCTCCCGAGCTTAGCCCACTGGTTGCGCCGCAGCAGAGTGTGTCAAAGAGCATAGTACCCAAAAATAATGCTCTTAAAATGGCCAACACTGAGTTCGACAAACTGACAGACCTGACGAGCTCTCCGCCAGCAGCCGCAGTTTTTGCAGCGCGACTCACTGGTCTACTTAAAACCCTTGCCAATGCCGAGGGTGCCGTCACAGAATGTATCAGAGCTCACAGAGAACTTGTTACGGCACTGGAGAAGATTCTACTGACCAACAAGGAAGAGCTGGAATCGGAGGTGACTCATCTAAAGAAGTTAAGCGCTCGTAGAACTGCGATCGAGCAAAAGAAACAGGAGGTCGAGCTCGCCATCATGGCCGGCTTGCCCTCCGGAAATTCGGAGCAATCTTCTCACAACCGTCCTTCTGGGAGCCCCGTCCCGGAGCCCGACCGCCCTCAAGTTGAGGCATTGACACCGCCACAAGTTCAGGACCATGATGACATGTACACCAACTCCCCCGGGCCGCAGAACGGACAGACAGAAAGTGTTGCAGGATTCATAAATTCGCCACCTGTTCCGCCTCAGGCGACTTTCCCATCAGCTCCTGGCATTGAATTGCTCTCGCACCTTGCATCCCGGTACCAAGCTGTGCCGGTCAACGGGTCCAAGAAGCGCAAGATCGATGCGTCGGACGACTCTCCGGATCTAGGAGGCGATGATGGAATCGATGCGGAAGTGTCTGAGATGCTTAAAAGGGAAAGCCACTCTTCTTGAGCACGTTGCGCATTTTTGATACGATTACAGGCTATCTACATATTGGGACCTGCAGTGGAAATGGGTTCGATGAGTTCGCCCAAGGCGGCGTTATTTATGACCGAAACGGTTTACCGGTGTGATTATATTGTGTATTACTTTGTAAGATGTGAAAGTGGCAGTGTAGTCGTTGAGCGCAACCGTTGAGGTTGCTGGGCGTGGCGAGCGCTTTGTAAGTATCTAGATTTATAGCCTTCTAAGTCGTTTGTACCTTAACTTGGAAGTAAAGGGGAAATTATCTCCATGTGGTGATCGAACCGCCGTTTCAGCTATGTGCTCTGGCTATCTGTATTTTGTCTACCTTACTTCGTTTGTGTCTTGGTCTTTGCGTGTAGAAAATTCTCGAGACCGAAGACGGCCTTGACATTATTACTGTCATGTTTTCTTTATTTTCGACAGGAGCTCGTCAGAGGTAAGATATCTGCCTAAGGTACTTAATCCATACCTTGCCATAATGGAGCTTTTTATTGACTAAAGAATCAATAGTCGAACACTGGCGTATCTCTGTATTTGGGCTCAATTGCTGTTACATTCTCAATGATCAGGTTCATTGACAGGGGTTGCACAGGCTCCCGCGGCTCGGCGATTGCGGATGACGAAATATTACCAATGCGTGTATTCCGTACCATACGGAAAAGTTGGTGTGTATTGAAAGCTCGTTAGAAGTTGAGGAGATCCCGATCGTTTTCGCGTCCCAAAATTTTCTCTTTCTTCACGGACATAACGACATTGGAACAAGCGGTCGTATGCATAAACGGTAGGATTTGAATCATTCGACATGACAGACCCGTGGCAACGGTATTATCCCTCGAGATAGCGAGAGCGACAGTAAAAGCACGAATCGAAAATGGTGTCAGGGGCAACAGCAGTGCGCCTCCGCGCGGCACTGCTTCAGCAACGCGGTCTCAGCCTTGCATCAACAACAGCGCCTCCACCGCCGCCGGCTGTGCTTAACTTCCCGCCCCGAGATCCCAGGATTGGCGCCTCGATTAGCTTCCGGTCGAACACAGTTGCATCGGCGTCCCAATGCCAGCCATTTGCGACCGTCGTTCCCCAGCCACCCACGTCGCCAACGATATCATCGGCTCAGCGCTATCCTTTGAGCTCGCGTCACTGGTCCGAAACAAGATGGCAATCTCCTTTCGGCTGCCTCCGCCAGCTCTCGACGACTCGGCCGTTGCGGCGGGAGGCTGAGGAGGCTAGCAAGGACCCTGCTAGGATAAAAACTGAGGAAGAGCAGCAAGGTATACAGAGGGAGCTCGACCACCTCGAAGCCCATGGCTTCCAGAGAAGTGCAAAGGCAGCCAAAGCCGCACATGTCAATATGAGTGCCCGGTTGTCCAAGGAAGGGAAGGGCCAGGAGGGCAAGCCTGGGCTCTCTGAGACTTGGCGTCTGATCAAGATCGCGCGCCCTGAGCTGCGATGGCTAGGGGTAGCCTTCGTCTTGCTACTGATATCGTCAACGGTTACCATGTCGATCCCCTTTTCAGTTGGGCGGATCCTAGACCTCTCGACGAAGGACCCGGCCGAAGACGCCACGTTATTTGGCCTAACCATGAACCAGTTCTTCACGGGTCTTGCGGTCGTACTCAGCATCGGCGCGATGGCTAACTTTGGGAGGATCATACTTCTACGAATCGTCGGCGAACGCGTCGTGGCTCGGTTGCGAACTCAACTCTACCGCAGGACTTATGTGCAGGACGCCGAGTTCTTCGACGCGAACAGAGTTGGCGACCTCATTTCGCGACTAAACTCGGACACCGTCATTGTCGGCAAGAGTATCACGCAAAATGTCTCAGACGGCCTCCGATCGCTTGTTAGCGGCGCGGCTGGATTCGTTGCCATGGCATGGCTTAGTCCTAAGTTGACGTCCATAATACTCGTCATGTTTCCGCCTATCGCACTAGGTGCATTTGTGTACGGCCGCACCGTCAGGAACTTGAGCCGGCAAATCCAGAAGAACGTGGGAACCTTGATGAAGATTGCCGAGGAGCGGCTTGGCAACATCAAGACGAGCCAGGCTTTTGCTGCCGAAGTCCAGGAGATTGGCCGTTATAACAAGCAAGTGAAAAAGATCTTCTCCCTAGGGACAAAAGATGCCGTCATCTCAGGAACCTTCTTTGCGTCGACGAGCTGGGCTGGCAATATGACCATCCTGGCTATGCTCATCGTGGGAGGGAATCTAGTCCGGACGGGTATCATGACATTGGGCGATCTAACATCATTCATGATGTACACTGTCTTTGCGGGATCCAGTCTATTCGGTGTGAGCGGATTCTACTCGGAGCTCATGAAAGGTGTCGGTGCCGCGAGCCGCCTCTTTGAGCTCCAGGACCGGAAACCGGCGATCCCTTCGACGGTGGGGCTCAAAGTGGTCTCTGCACAGGGTGCTATCAAATTCTCCAACGTCACGTTTGCTTATCCCACAAGACCTGCAGTGGCAATATTTAACAACCTCGACTTTGAAATACCGTCTGGAAGCAATGTCTGCATCGTCGGGCCTTCAGGCGGCGGAAAGTCAACAGTCGCCTCGCTGCTTCTGCGGTTCTACAACCCCACGAGCGGCTCCATCACCATCAACGGAGTGGATATTTCCAAGATGAACGGCAAGTCACTCCGGCGGCGCATTGGCATGGTTTCTCAGGAGCCGGTGCTGTTCTCAGGCACAGTCGCAGAGAATATTTCTTACGGAAAACCCCTTGCTACCCGCACCGAAATCATCGCGGCAGCGAAGAAAGCGAACTGTGGATTTATTAGCGACTTTCCGGACGGTCTAGAAACCCAGGTCGGCGCAAGAGGGGCCCAGCTCTCCGGTGGCCAAAAGCAGCGCATAGCCATCGCCCGGGCACTTCTGAAAGATCCCGATATTCTACTGCTTGACGAAGCCACATCGGCCCTTGATGCGGAGTCGGAAACTTTGGTGAACGCAGCGCTCGGCGAGTTGCTGAAGGGACGAAGCACCACAATATCGATTGCCCACAGGTTGTCGACGATCAAGCGGTCTGACACCATCATCGTCCTCTCGGGCGAAGGCACCGTAGCTGAAATCGGCAGCTACACGGATCTTAGCACGAACACGGACAGTGCATTCAGCAAGTTGATGGAATGGCAAATGAGCGGCGTCGATGTCCCACCCGAACTTCGCCCTCCTAGCACTCCTCACATAACGGAAACTGATGAGATCGAAGAGGACCTGGAAATGGACGACGACGACGATGTTCCAGAGTCCGGCGAAGAGAAACGGTGAGAGGGAGTGGATTAACCAGCCAGGGATTGCCTATATTTTATTTTTCAATTTCATATGTTCGGAGGCATGTCAGAAGACTTCTTTTTTTTGCATCTGAGGCGCATGGATAATGTATAAATCACGCTAGGGTCGGCGCACTCCCCACTCGATAAACACCAAACAAGCATGGACAAAGCATTTTTTTCGCGAGCAAGTCTGAAGAAAGTTCGGCCGGCTTCAGGAGCTTTCCTGGGTTGTACAAGGGGAACATGGCACTGTTTGGGGCTGCCATAAAGAACGACTCTGTTCTGTTCTCCCTTCTCCCTCGATAATACATACCTAATATCCGCGTCCCTACTTACCTATAGGTAGGTAGGTAGGTAGGTAGATACGGTTGAATGCCTTGCCACAAGACGGGAATCTAGACTTACTAAGAGTGATATTTGCATCATTGCCGGGGTTCCTCTACTCTCTGGCTCGTCAGTGCATTCTCGGGCTTGCAGATGTGGCAATTTTGTGTCATTCATCTTTGAGGCTGCTCTTTGACTCTCGAAATTTGCCCCCAAACCTTATATGGCGGTGTGGGATGTCATCCAATCGCCCAACATGTGCTCGGGTAATACCAGTCAATACGCACAGTTATGAGATCGTTCGGAGATGAAGCTTGGCGATGGAAAGCTGCAGGCCACAACGAACTGGACTCGCGGATTCTATGGGTTTACATATGACACAATTAAGTTACAGAGGTTTTGCACCAAGGTTTATAATCTCTGTTTTAGAACGGGGAGTTACAGGTAAGCTATAAAATTATGGCGCGTGTGTGCTGGTTTGGGGCTATCTCAGACAATACTCAACACAGCAACTTGATGTGAATACGACTGATGTAGGGATTTACTTCTGTCCCATTAGGCTTTCCAATTAAAGAGTCGCATTCAGATACACTATACCAGTAGTTAACATGAAATGCTGCTCGAATATGAGGTTGGATGGAATACGCCTTGGTAGTCCTCATTTCACGTCACGAAATACTAAATTACAACCTGACACTTCGAGAGACCGACAACCAGTCCTACTGGCCACCTTCCCTCTCTACCTTTGCAGTGCCAGGGGCGAAAGAAACCCCACTCTAGGTACTTTACATCATGGTATACTCTATACAGTACGTGTAATACGGAGGCTGAAACTTCCCGATCAAACGCCGTCAGTCGCCCCCAAACTGCCCGGGGGCGGTTAGGCCATCGCCGCTGGAACGAACCGCCTGAAAAGAAGGCCGCAACGAGATGAGAAAACTGTTAAACGGCATCTACTGTGCCGCACGGATCACATGAGATGGCATGTGCCACGGCATTACGCTTATTTCTTTCCTCGGACGACGTGTAAGTATACGTGTAAAGGCTTCGAGATAGGTCAAAGTGTGCCCGGATGGGCCTTAGGCCTCAGTTAGGACGTCGCACGTTGAGGGTAGCGGTCTCGGTCTCGACAAGTGGATAATCGAAGGACCGCAAATCAGGTAACAGATGTTGGTGGTCAGCACTGCAAAATGTGTTATCGATCTGGAACCTGCAATAAGCTGCCCCGCCAAAACGTCAGACGGACCCCACTCGCCATACGCCCCGCCGGGATTTGCAGGGCGGCCCACGCCGATGGGCCCTGGGTTTGGGTCGCTTGGAAAACCCTGCCTCCGAAATAGGGACCGAATCTTGCGGGTTGTGACTCGCCGCAGCGTGCGCCGAGGCCCTCTTGTGGTCGATGAAATGGGCCTGCTTTGCGCTTTGTTTCTCGTCTCAACTGGCCCGGTTTCGATTTGGGCGTCCCGGTACGGTACGCCTCACCTCGCCTCGTCCCCCCCCAAAAATTACATCCCACGCTCTTAGGTCTTGGAACCCCAAAACCGTTGCTGTCCATCTCGACTTGTTGTAAATCTGACATATGCTCCCGTCCCTTAAATCAAGCGCCCTCCCCCGCATATTGCTGGTGTTGATCTTCCTCGCGTGAGGACGGACATTCAACGGAAACATATTCCCATTCGAGGCCAATTGGGGAACCCACAGTCGGATGCTCACTTCATCTACTTCAGTCCTTCAAAGCGAGTATCGGAAATAGAATATTTTCCCCCAGGCTTGTTATTGGCAGCCTTGTCACACCCCCAGTCACTCACCGTTTCTTGGATACACAAGAAGTCCTCGTGACTCATCCGCCCCCATGGCAAGGGAACTCGTCAAGAATTCCAGTAAGAATGGCTGGGTGGTTCAGAAATTCGGAGGCACGAGTGTGGGCAAATTTCCAGACAAGATCGCAGAGGACATCATAAGGTAAGATTTTGCATCCCTGGTGCAACGAAGGCGGAACGAAGCATAGAAGCAAACGATTGTACTAACACGGTGTTGCAGAACACACATTGAGAACAACCGGCTCGTCGTGGTGTGCTCAGCCTTGAGTTCTGGCAAGAAGTCCAACGGAACTACCAGCCGGTGAGTGGTTGTTCTTCTCCCCGTTAGGCAATTGTCTTGTCTTATTACTGCCCCCATAACCCCCATCAACCCCCTCCCCCACTCCACCACTGTAAAGCCGAGGCCGCCACGATTTGTCAAGCTTCGCGGGATGATATGACTGATTGTCGCACACAGATTATTGGAGGTGTTCAAGAAGCTACGGGCTATTCTCGCGGCGCCCACCGACGAGATAGTCCAGAATGAACTGCTCCAGGACGCCAAGCACATCGTCCAAGATATCTGCAAAGACCATGCTGCCTCAGCCGATTTGTTTGTCAAGGATCCACAACTAAATGCACTTCTCAAAGAGGAGACAGATAAAGATTGTCAGCTCCTCATTGACTACCTCGAGGCCGCCAAGCGCTTCAACCTTGAGATAAATTCCAGGGCCAAGGACCGCGTGGTCAGCTTTGGTGAAAAGCTGAGCTGTAGGTTTATGACCTATCTGCTTCAGGATAGAGTAAGCTTGCCCATGTTCCTCCACTGTCTTAGTTTCTAATTTGTCTTAAAGGGGGTGGCTGCAGAGTACGTCGACCTTGTCGATATATTGCATAGTGACAGCCCTGGGAGTCTTGACGCGGCCTTCTACCGGTCCGCCTCGGCCGTCGTCGCCAAAAAGATACTGACCTGCCAAGACCGAGTGCCTGTTGTGACTGGATTCTTTGGCAAGGCCCCTGGTGGTCTTTTGGATGGAGACATCGGCCGAGGGTATACGGACCTATGCGCGTCGTTGGCCGCCGTAGGGCTACAAGCCCAGGAGCTCCAGATCTGGAAGGAGGTGGATGGGATCTTCACTGCTGACCCCTCCAAAGTCCCAACTGCTAGACTTATCCCATCCATCACACCCTCCGAGGCAGCAGAGTTGACCTTTTATGGCTCGGAAGTCATCCATCACTTGACCATGGACCGCGTGATTAATGCCGTCCCCCCCATACCCATTCGAATTAAGAATGTCAAAAACCCCCGTGGAGAAGGAACAACTGTCAAACCAGATCCCCTTCTAGCCGCAAATCAGCAAATTCAAAAGTCGAGGCAGAATTCAGATCCTTTAAAACGAAAGAAACCAAAGCGCCCTACCGCCGTCACCATCAAGGACAAGATCTCCATCGTCAACATCCACTCAAACAAGAGATCGATAGCCCATACATTCCTAGCACGAGTGTTCGCCATTCTCAACCAGCATAAGATTTCGGTGGATCTAATCTCCACTAGCGAGGTTCACGTCTCGATAGCAGTCCACACGGGCAACTCCGAACTCGATAGCTTTGATGGTGCCATCAAGGACCTGTGGGAATGCGGGGATATCAGTGTACTGCACGACATGGCGATTTTGAGCTTGGTAGGTGCTGAGATGAAGAACATGATCGGTATTGCAGGAAAGATGTTCTCGACCCTAGGAGAACATCGAATTAACATCGAAATGATCTCACAAGGTATGTCTTCAATGCCCCAATCCCGCCCCCAGAGATAGTACGCACTAACTCCTGCTTCTTTTGTCCTTCAGGTGCCAGTGAGATCAATATCTCTTGTGTGATTGATTCTAAGGATGCCGAGCGAGCCATGAACATTCTGCACACCAACTTGTTTACATTCCTCGAATAGAAGACGAAAAGGTTGAGTTCTGCCACTTGCTGACTGTCTGTGGAGCGCTTTCTTTGCAAAGACAAGAGCGAGTTATCAAGAATTGCATTGCATCGAGCTGGCGGGGTTACGAAAGCTAGCAGATGATTGAAATGGGTTGGTTTTAGAGATATTTTAAATACAATAATTATAGAGCATGATATTAGGCACTGTTGGATGCATCAAGCTATTTTATCTCATTTCCAATGTGGAATTATACCGAAAGAGAAAGTCTTCGTAACACATGATGTAACCCGTGGTATTGTGCCCCTGCTCACCCCCACATTTCAACCTATGTCGAGTGTAGCCCATGAAGTGGGTTGGCCCATGCAACGGCCTGTGACCCTTTGTCAGCCCCCGCCACCACACTTCACAAGTTCGCGATTCTCAGACTGCTTCTCACCCGCATCCTCGAACCTGCTCCTTTTCTCCTCGTCGCCCGCCATCCTTGTCGCGCTTGACTCCGCGTAGGAGTCCACAGCGACACAATGCCGAAAGCAGAATTCGGGAGCACCAAATATGTCTCCAATCAAATGAAAAGCCGGGGGCTTAATAGACTACGGTAAGTTTGACCTAGCCGCTTCCACCTTGCAACTAGGAAACGAGGACTGATTCTTATTCTTCTAGGTGGTACTGCCAGCTATGCGCCCGGAGTCTCAGGGACGAGAATGCGTTCAAAATGCACAACAGTTCCGAGAGCCATATGCGCAAAGCCCTCGAGGCCGGCCAGAACTACAAAGCGGTGGAAGAGGGGTTTTCTAAGGAATTCCTGCAGTCCTTCCTCGCTCTCCTCAAGACATCCCACGGAGAGGGCAGAAGCGTGCACATCAACAAGTTCTACAATGAATTCATTGCGCACAAAGACCACGTCCACATGAATGCGACAAAGTGGAGCAGTCTAACAGCTTTCGCCAAGTATCTGTCGAGAGAGGGTCTTGTCAGGGTGGAGGAGAAGGAAGAGGAGGGCGCCCAGCCGGGGTTCTACATTTCTTGGATCGATGACTCACCCGAGGCCATGCGCCGTCGCGAAGAAGTCCGCCGAAAGGAACTGCAGGACAAGGGCGACGAAGAGCGTGAGCAGGCGCTGCTGAGAAGCCAGATCTCGAGAGCCAAGAAGGACGCCGAGGCGCGAGGCGTTGACCTCGAGGAATCGGAGACGGCAGGCCACGAGCTTAAGCGACAAGTTGGCGAGAAGATCAAGCTATCTTTCGGAGCAGCTAAATTAAAGTCTGCAACCGGCGACGCACCGAACCCTCCTCCGGCCCCGGACCCGACCCCAGCGAGCACAGTTGCCGACGGTGCGGCGCTGAAGGTTGTCCCGGAATCAACAAACGAAGAGGAAGGGAAGGCGGAAGACGAGAAACCAACCGAAGAAGTCACAGCTGATGGCACAGCTCCTGCACTAAAACCGGCCCCCATGAAATTCGGAATAAAACCGCAGCCCAAGAATGTATTCAAGAATGCGTTTTCTAGAGCTAAAAAGAAGGTCATGGCCACTCCGCCAAAGAAAATGAGCGAGGCTGAGAGAATCATGAAGGAGGAGATTGAAAAAAAAAGGGTCCGCGAGGCGACAGGAGGCCCGCCAAACAAGAAGATGCGGTTTTAGTCTCTTGTCAGCGTATGCGGGGAATTCGGGAGACCCTTCGGATGAGGCTACAGTTCCTTCAAACATGTTTAGGCGTTTAGGCGTTTAGGCGGAGTTTTCTTCACATTATACAGAGACAGGGAATGATACCAGGGCTTAGCTCACATAGTAAAACAGGGGATAGGGCTCTGGAGGGAGCATAACGGTTTATACTCTTTTGTTTAGTAGACTTAGTCACTTCACACACCAAAGTCGCCAACGGCAGCCAAAGGAGATGCCACCGACACCAAGACGGAGGGCGCAAAAGCCAAGTCCAAGTCTCCAACTCCCCTAACCGTGGCCGTCGCGATAGCACAGCCGGCCCAAACTACCCGGGCATTAGCGTCTGCCACATCACAACGCAGCACAGCGGGTACTCCTACCAATGGCGAACAGCAGATGCAGCTCGCCAAGAAACGGCCTGCCGAATACACTGCGGAGAATCCCAAGATACCCAAGGCCCCTAAGGCGATGCAAAAGGCACATGAAACCCAGCAGCAGCAAGCCATGATGGAGCAAATGATGAGTGATATGAACGGCATGAACGGAATGAACGGCGGATACGGCGGCATGCCCAACGGCAACGGCATGTGGGGAGGCTCGGACATGGGCATGGCGATGAACCAGGGCGCTGCCGGCAACGGCGTCGGTCGTTTATACTCTTTTGTTTAGTAGACTTAGTCACTTCACCCACCCTGAATTTACATTTTGACCAAAAATATGTGCCTAATACCCCGTAATTGCCCAAAAAACGCCCCGAACTCCCCGGTCTTTGCGCGAATCGCCGATGAAGACCCATCACTTTATTCACCACTAGTCTGCCTCCGTAGCGCTGCCATCGCGTCTTTGATAGCGAGTCAGTTGCGCTGTCAGGGCCCCAAAAGGCAACTAACAAGGGAAAGTACGTACGGGATATACTGAATACGGTACTCCTCTTCTATCGAGGTCCGCACGTCGTCAGGTAGTTGGCCTGATACCTTGATCGCATAAACGCCTCGTACATATCCGTCTAGTCGTTGCCACTTTGCGACCCAGGACTTGTTGGGGTTGGCAAGCGTGATGATCCCCTCAAAGACTTGTGATGTGCAGCTCTCAATCTGATCCGGGGAGCCTTGAAGGTGCAGGAACTCCTCGCAGTTTGGGCAACCCTCGTCGCGGAAGCGCTAATAAAATCTCACCGTGTTGAGTAACATGCAACAGAAGAGGAAGGCTGCTTGGGGGGGTCCCTCAAGATATTATGTAAGGTAGGGGGATGAGGGGGAGCCAGCGCGCCGGCGACACGTACCGCAAATGTCATGACGATCGAGCATACCATACAGGCCCGCAGGTATCTCTGCTGGTTAGGCGCGACATAATTCTCAGACATTTTCACCGTATATCAAATGTAAATCGATGACGTTAGGCGGTGCGCGAGAGAGTATCTCGGGGGCGGATCGTTTGTGGTTTTGAGTTGATGAACGAAAGTTGTTGGTATTTCATGAAAGGCGGCTTGATGCGGCTGATGCGAGGCCAGAACCACTCTTCAAAGGGGAACCAGGAGGTGCAAGGGTGGCACGGTCCAGTTCAGCTTCCCTAAGTGAAAACGGAGATGGTGGGGGAGTGGCCCCGCTCCCCGTCCGCCCCTTATTGAAACGTACCTTATTCAAGACTTATCGATCGCGCCGAGTGGAGGACCTCACCTCCTCGATTGCCAACGGACGTTGGATAAGGTTTTCGTCCTTGCATGGGCCCATAAACCTAACTACACTAAATACGTGTATCCTATCCCAGTCGGAGGCTGAACTGCAATGCGACTGCGTTATCGATTGCCTCCACCGTCCAACCCCGCCCTCTCGAACAGGCTCCAAAAGACGTGCCAACGCCGCGACCCAAAAAAGGTGTATGTGTTGTGTCTCGTCCAAGCAGGAAGCAGCAACAAGAGCAAGGCCATATATCCCTATCAATTCCCTGCAATTGAAAATGGGGAACAACCCCTCTACCTCCAAACCCTCGAACCCGTCCAGCCAGCAGCATGAGCCGCCCCGGCCTGGGAGGCGCGATATCAACAAGCATCCCATACCGGTCCACCACCAGCGCACTGCCGCCCCGCCCGAGCCGTCACTCACACAAGCCCAGGGCACTGCCGTGCAGCCGACATCGAGCAGCAACCGCCCGAGGTCGCTACAACACCGGGCCGCGCACTCTCTGAGCAATTCGCCCGCCAGCTCCGTGACCTCCTCTACCAAACCCGTCGACGTCAAGGCACCCAGGCCCAGCTCGAGCCATGAGCCTACCAAGCCAGTAGCAGTCCCCAATTCGCAAAACTCGCAAAACTCTCCCTCTTCGCCCCGGCCACCTAGGTCAGATCCATACGAAACCGCTATCATGCCCATCAGCAGCCTGCAGGACGTCTCATACCTCACCCGGCCGCCCCGCCTACCCCTACCCATAGAGGAAGAGGTGCACACGCCCGGATCGCCGATAATTGCGCCAACTGACGTTGATGACCCGATTGACAATGTCGACGGCCTGGACTCTGGCGTACTGCCTCGGCCGTCCTCGACCCTGAGTAACAACTCAACCATTGAGGACGAGGACCTTGAAGAGCTGCGTGTTGATAAGACGAGACCCACGGTTCCTACGAGACTCGAATGGCTACGCGGCGGTGACAAGGTCTATGTGACTGGAACCATCTTTCAGTGGAACCGCAAGACCCGCCTACATCCAGTGTGAGTCCCTCTGCGCTCCTTTCATTTTCTCCTGGATGCTCGGATAGGAGACTTTTACCTGTCCGTTAGGAATAGTTTCGTCCACCCCCAATACTAAATAAATAGAGACGTGTCCACTGTAGACCCTGCATCAGGGAACATATGGTTGCTAACTCGGATCCTACTACAGGGAGGGTCGGCCGGGTGCCTTCTCGGCCACGGTCAATATTCTCCCAGGAACACACCATGTACGTTTTCTTGTGGATGGTCAGATGCAGACCTCGCCCGACTTGCCTACGACGGTAGACTTTGGCAATAACCTGGTCAACTACATCGAAGTGAATCCCGACGACCTGCTGTCCGATGCTCCAGAGACATCTGGCGCGCCCGCAGGGACCGATGCGCAGCAGGCTGCTCAGATAAATCGTTCCGCGTCGTCTGAAGACCAGGCAAATAAACTGCCAAAAGACAGGGATGTGCCTCCAGTGGACCAGTTCGCTGACAAGATTCCCAAATACCTCATCGATTTCGACCAGCCCGAAGATACGCCAGCGTATCATAATGCTGTCACAGCTATCGACAAGCTTCCAACCCCGCCTGCTCTCCCAGGGTTCCTCGGCAAGCCCATACTTAACGCTGCCACTCTGATTAAGGACGACAACAGTGTGCTAAACATGCCAAACCATACCGTTCTGAACCACCTGGCTACCAGCAGTATCAAGAACAATGTTTTGGCTGTTTCGGCAACGACAAGATACAAGAGCAAGGTTCGTCGTTGTCTAGGCTACCTCCCTGACGATGTTTTGTTCCAGAGACTGACCACTCCCTGCGCAGTATGTGACTACTATCATGTATAAGCCAACGACTATGGAAGGTATTTGAATTAGGTATTCGGTGTTTAGAACGGCGGCTTCTCTAAGCTACTGGGCAACGCGGTAGAAGAGGGGTCAGGAATAAACTGTCCAATTTAAGCCACGAATTACAGGATTTACTTTGGTAGGGATGTCTTTTGGGGTTTGATCGGGGCGGAACGGCAGCTTGAAAGGTCCGCGATGAATAAGGCGTTGAGCGAGTGCCGACAGACGCTGGCGAAGAGGGAAAAAATTTGCCCGCCTAGCCTCACGGTAGATTGATTCTCATGATTACCTCCTCCATTTAACGAAGACCTCGTCGGTTCTGAAGCGCTGTGTGCAGGTGCTGTCCTCTAACGGGGTCCGGAAGCCCGTCTCGTAAGCTAGGAGACCCGCGTGTGCAATCATTATGCCATTGTCTATGCAGAACCGCTCGTCGGTCGCATAGACGCTCCCGCCTCGTTCCGCGGCCATGCCGCCCATCATTTCCTGCAGGCGCTCGTTGCACCCGACTCCGCCTACAATGAGGGCCTGCTTGCTGCCGACGTGCGCCATGGCCCGCTCCGTTATTTCTACCAACATGGCAAATATCGTCTCCTGCAAACTAAAGCAGAGGTCCGCCGCCGTGATGGGCTCTCCATCCGGCCCCACCCCGCCGGCCTTCATCAGCGCCGCCAGCTCATCGGCCCGCGCCAGAATGCCGCTGAACGAGCAGTCCATCCCCTTGACCGTGTACGGGAGGTCCAGAAGCACGCGTCCTCCTTTCTTGGCCAGCTGCTCGATGTTATAGCCGGGGGCCGGGTCGTTGCTAATCTCAAGAGTCCGCGCGAAGCGATCCAGGCAATTGCCCACGGCGATGTCGAGGGCCTCACCGAAGATGCGGTACCGCTGCTCGGCGTAGGCGATCACCTGCGTGTTGCCGCCGCTCACGTAAAGCACCACGGGGTTCTCGGCGCCCGTTATGGCGCGCCCCATCTCGATGTGGCCGACGCAGTGGTTGACGCCTACTAGCTCCTTGCCCCAGAGCAGCGCCAGCGTGCGCGCCGCTATCGCCACCGAGCTCAGCGGGCCCCCCATCCCCGGCCCGCGTGTATAGCACACGCAGTCGACGTCGGCTACCGACACGCGCGCGTCCGCCAGCGCCTGCTTGGCCACCCGCACGAAAAACGCCCGGTGGTGCCGCGCCGTGTCCTTGGGCAAAAACCCCGTCCCCGGCGGCGACACAAACGTGTGCCGCACGTTGGACAGAACCACCGCCTCGCCCCCATCCTCGTGCGCAATGACACCGATCCCTAGTTTGTTGGCCGACCCTTCGCACCCCAGCGCGATGCGTCGCTTTGTGTTGCTGCTTGAGGGGGGGTTTGGAATGGCTGTCGCGGCCATGGTTGTGAATTATAAGGTGCGAGCTTCGATTCCGGTTCAGTTTCAGTAAGTGGTAAGTCTTAGGCTTGCCGTGAACGGAGGCAGTACCTAAAGTCGACGAGGTCCTGAGCGCCGCGCCCGCGTTGGATGAGGTAATGAGGGGTTGTTTGTATGTATCAAGGTCGCCCAAGTCTTTCTTTCACCTAGTCTTCTAAACGGTTCCAGCACTGACCAGACCGCGTTTCCGTCTCTTAAAATAGAGGAGGTTATTAGACAAAACCTTGAGTATGGATAAAGGAACTCAAGCAGGTTTCGTTACACTCAAAGACGGCAACCCGGGGCCTGAAAGGCGAAAAACGGAATTCACAACAGGCGACTTTTTAGGTGTCAATTGTAGTGAAGTATTTCGTCAGCGGGATCCCGCTGAGAGGGTTCGATCCGATGACAGACACTGAGTGGAGGGGTACCTCCGTAATGTATCTGTAAGTAACAACCCAGATGGCAAGGGCCGTGCGCTAGCGCCACAAAAAAGGCTGGGGGATGCCGATTCAAGCACCAGCGGCGCGCAGGGCTGTCGCAGACCCGACCCGTCCCATAGCTTGGGGCTTTCTTGACCCCACAGCACCGAGATCCCAATACCCATTACATTCTTTCCCACCGCACACCACCAACCCTACACCCGGAACATATTCTTCTTCGCTCGTGGCACCAGCTGGGCGCACTCGTGGATGCCCGGCGCTATTTACTTCAGCTGTTCGTGTTGTCTTGAGACTCAGATACCGCACACAATGGCCTCCACGAGCTTCCGCCTTGTTCTTGCAGCTGCTTGCTGTCCCTGCTCCTGCTTATGCATCGAGTCTCGGCGTCCAACAACCCCATCGGGGTTCGGATAAGCAACATTCTTTTCATACCCGGCTATCCACCATGTCCCTACTCGAGGTAAGACCATCCGCATGTCTTGCCACTTCGCCGGTATATCAAGCTTCCCTTGCCGCGCGAGAGTAATCACTCGGTCGTGCGCCCCGAGCTGGCCCTGGGCCTTGTTCCTTGGCGCTTCCATGGATGGAGAGCTCAGCTGACCAGATCACTCTTAGGCGATTAGGGCTTATTCCCATGATACCCTCAGGATACTCGGTTGCAAAGTCTCGGTCAGCTTCCTAAGAAGGCGCCTAGTGCTCCGCTAGACCCTCAAGCCGCCTTGGCTAGCGGTGTACGACCAACCTCGTTGAAACCCGTGGCGCGGGTCTCCTCACCGGGCCGCCAGAGTCCGCCAACGCATAAAAAAACATCCATGCGCTTGATTCAAGGCTGAAGCCGCCTTTACAACAACATTGCTCGGGAAAATCTCTTTGACGGCATATTCTCGCTCTGGTTATTTTGGCCGGGCACCTATCGTCAGCTGTTAAACACGTCCCGTGCATTGGCGCAGCTTTGCGTTCTCGGACAGCCGGAAGATCGAGGTTCAGAGTACGCAACAGAGGCGAAAGCACATTTGCGCTCGGTCCCGGGGCTCTTTTCTTGGCCTACGAGCATGCCCTCCTAGAGGAACCGTTGTCCCCTTTTCGGCTCGTCTGCTCGGACCGAAGAAGAAAAATCCGTGGCTGTCCCCTAGGTACAGAATATTCGCAATTCGCGGTCTTTCCATCTGGTTACCATTACAAGCCCCGCGCCCAGCAAGCCATAGCAAGAAAAGCACGAGAACCTTTTTGCCAGCCCACTCTACCCGCTCATCCGTCGTCAAACCATGCGCACAACAGAGGTGACCCGAGCAACAAATCGGCAAGACTATGCCTACAATGTCCTCGACAACACACAGCAACACATTGTTTTCGAATCGTTTAGGTGATCGCTTGATCATACACCCACCCCAACAATCTACACTAGGTCCAGGTCGGACATCCGCCACGCAGATAAACTTTCAAGGTAATATGGGAGACTTGTCGATCTTTATTTGCGCGCATCGCGTAACACCACTTCAATTCTTCCATCCGTCACGACGGCCCAATCAGATTCGGGCCAATGGTGTCCCAAAAGCTACTTTGGTTTAATTATACCATGGCTCGGGTGCGACAGAGCAGCTATTGGCTTCCCATATTTACACCTATCACTCGGTCCCCTCCTTCGCCTATATTCTACACAAAGCCCCACAACCCAAACGCCACGCCGGGCTGAACTCCCTTTTACCAGCCAGCCATCGCTAAATGCATAATCGAGAGTTGAGGGTATACATGGAAGAGCTCTCTGCTCTCGCGCTGACCTCATCTGACGGTTAAAAAATGGAAAAGAAAAACCAAGCACACACATCACAGCGGCCACATCATGAGACTGGCTGCCTTTGTGGAGATGGTTGGGGAAGAGGTTGTTGCTGTGGAGGTGGAGGCGGTGGTGGTGGTGGGAGGATTGCCGACCGAGGAGCAGGAGTTTGCGCCACACCGCTTCGGCCTGTCAGAAAATTCGGTAGGCCTACTGACACTCGGAAAGCCAGAGCAGGCGTGTCGAACGGGTCTGCCTCATACATCGGGGTGTCTTCTTCATCGTCCGATGATTGGTCATATTTCCACCGGTCCGACTTTTCGTCGCTACTTTCCCGTGGAGGACTCACCAAACCACGACGATCGATCCATAGGCGGTTGAGTCGACCTATCCGCCGCCGATACGCCGGCGGATTCTCTCTCGAATCCTCATCCTGGGTAACACCCCTGAACTTGAATACCGGTGGGGCATACTCTGGTCTATCAAGATCCATCGGGGCCGGTTCATCTGCGGATGCTGAAGACGCCGATGCTGGGGGTGTCATCAAGTATTGTGTCTTGGCTGGCCTAAAGCTGAGGTCCGGGCGCCGCCCCTGAACCGGAGACAGTGGTCCCAAAGTGAGGTCCACATGGTTCCTGTTCCATTCACTATGGTTCGTGGCCTTCAACTGGACAGCGAGACGAAGATCCATCTCCTTCTCAGCGAGCCGATCTGACAGGTGCACGAGGTCTGCTTCTCCCTGTCGACCATCTGGACGAGGAGGCAGACGAAGCTGTGCAGGCACGGGCGCCCGCTGGATGGCAGGAGCATCGGGCGCCTTTCTCTTTTGCGGCTGCAAGCTGTCAGCATCAAGCGAGGTAATTTGAATTGGTGTTTTTGGAGCGCACTAACCTTTTGGTTGATTAGGTCTTCGTCATCTGTCTTTATACCTAACCTGATCTTCTGCTCCTTCAGCTGAGCTCTTTGCTCAAAGATGGCGCGGTCTGTCTTAAGCATCTCTGCTTTGAGAAGTTCTCGACTGTGCGCAGCCAAGGCCAGCTGGCGACCCTCCTCGAGCTCTTTGCGCAGCCGTTTGAGTTTATCTGCAACATGTGCATCCCGAGTCCTCGTCTTCCTAGTCTGTCGGACTTCCCGACGACGAAAGCAGACATATGGATCCATGTCGTCGCTCTCCTGGTGAAGTTCGAACTTGATGATTGGATGCAGGGGCCGGTTGCTCAACGCTTGCCGCCTCGACTTCCAATACTCATGGATGTCCTTGGCATGGGGCATGACCTTGCCTTTGTCAAGTTCCTGTAAGCCCTGGAGCATCTCGTCATAGGCAACTGCAGTCTGATCTACCGCCGCATAGGGAGCTTTGATGTATGCGGTGTCTTCATACACCTCCATGATCCTCTCAAAGTCATCGTCGGAAAGCTGGGCCGAAGCCGTTCGCTTCTGATTGTAGGACTTGAGGAAGGCTTCATCGTCCTCCGTCATGTCATACATACACCCTATACATTCTTCCACCGTTTGGGAGAAGCGAATGTAAGTGGACGTCTTGGAGAAGCGCTGGGAATAGAGCTCATCAAAGTTGAGCGTGCTCTGTTCTGGAGGCGGCACAGGGATCTCCTTGTCTGCCGCGACCCCCGCGCCTTGCAACACGGCCTGAAGATGGTATTCCTGTAGCGCAAGGGGTTAATATCAAGAGTTTGTCTGGCGGACGCAACTGTGGCACGTGCGCGAACACGTGACAAGACGCGTTCAATCGAGGTAGGTTTTGACTCACATTTTCCTCAGCCTGCTCGACTCCGGTCGAGATTTGGGCCTCGTTTGTGAGTGATTCATACTCGGTCGGATCGATTTGGTCTTCTCGGATAACTGGTAGAGGTGTTTTCACGCTTAGTTTCTTGTATCGGACCTTCCGAGTCGCCATGGCAGCCGGAGGAACCAAGTCCAGCAAAACCTTGGGGAAACCCCGACGATTTTTTTTATTTCATTCAGAGCCCCATGCGAAAGCGATCGGTAGAATTTTCCGATGCGAAACCGGCGTCGTTGTTGATATTTTGATGGCTAAAGTCTGGTCACTGGATGGAGTGTCGTTGAGGTTCTGGCGCAGATTTTGCTGTTTTGGCGGCTGGTCAGGATGCACATTCTGGCGATTGGCTCCTGAAAGGGACGTGCCCAGTGACCGATAAGCGCGCCCACTATTATGTAACCACGCCGCAGGCACATCGCTTTCGCTCAGTGTTGCTCCTTGTTCCCAGCACGTCGCAGTCTTGACGTCAATAAAATTCGGCACGCGCAATAAAAAAAAAACTGCAGTAGGTGTAGAATATCATATGAGTTAATGGAAAGTTTGCATCTTAAATTTTTTGCACCCGTGATGTGGACAAGTGCGCCTGCTTTACTCTTTTTCCTGGAAGTACCAAGGTGCAAGGGGGCACACGTGCTTCAAAGCTAGCCTCGCATTTGGGAAATTTGTATGTTGGCCTGAAGAGGGGCACGGTGGCTGATTGACAACCTCAGTGTGGCGGACCTCGTCCCCACACTCCCCCACATCCTCCTGGTTATTATCGTACCTCCTTCCCCTCTGCTTCAGCCTTACTCGTGAGTGAGCCTGATGAACCAAACATCGTTTCCCCCCCATTTGACGCACCTACCCAACTAAGACACCTTAACCTATCTACCGGCCGAAATCGCCCGACCTAGCTGAAGCGTATCTTCTGCTAAAGAACGACGCAGCTTTGTGCTTCTTTGCGCAACGCGCCCCGACATCTCTGCCCGACCAACATCCCCGCGGCCCGCCTCGTTGACTGCTCGCGCCGCCAACACAATGGGCAACACTACCAGCGCTGTGCTGGACAACATAGTCCAGGGGTCCAACTGTCGGTTTAGCCTCACCTCATGATTATTTCCCTCGTCTGTTTCTATCCACTACACTTTGCGACAGTCCCAGTTTTCGTTATACTGTAACCCAGATCCCGGGAGTGGGGAGGGTGATGCTCCCCGTCACTTCTATTGTTTACGACAGGCAGCCAGAGCCGTGCTGGGGTCGGAGCCGGGGTTGTGGTTAGGGCCGGCGACTAGTAGCTCCTGTTGCTATCCTAGCTCCTACATCGTATACATACACACACACACATACACTAGGCTCCGCCGCTAACGTATGCTGGCTTTTTTTCGCATCTACAGTCGATAGAGAAGAAGTCGACCGCCTGCGGAAAAGGTTTATGAAATTGGATAAGGTACCGTTGGCCCATGTTCCCAGCTATTTGTCCCTGGAGCACAGGTTCGATCGCGCCGAGTTGGAAGCGGTGGAGGGGAAGGAGAGACACAACTTGCGACCATTGGAAGATACACGAGGACTAGAGGACATTGATCACTGACAATTATTGCCCCTGTTTCTGTACAGGACAATTCCGGCACCATCGAGCGCGACGAATTCCTCAGCCTCCCGCAAATATCTTCAAATCCGCTTGCTACCAGGTTCGCAATCCCCCCGATTTTCTTCAGACCTGTTCTGTTTTCTCCTTATATATGTACATATATACCTACCGGTCTTTCATTTTGTGCGCTCAAGACCATGTTGGTGATGTGTCTAACGTATGGGATCGGAGGGCGTGGTTTAGCATGCTTTGACTGTATCCATGTTGATCTTGCTGACTGGGAGTTACACACAGAATGATTGCCATCTTTGATGAAGATGGTGGCGGCGACGTTGACTTTCAAGAGTTTGTATCAGGGCTGAGCGCTTTCTCGAGCAAGGGCAACAAGGAGCAGAAGCTCAAGTTCGCGTTCAAGGTATACGACATTGATCGTGACGGCTACATCAGCAACGGCGAGCTGTTTATTGTGCTCAAGATGATGGTGGGCAGCAACCTTAAGGATCAGCAGCTGCAGCAGATTGTGGACAAGACAATCATGGAGGCAGATCTTGACCGTGATGGCAAGATCAGCTTCGAGGAGTTCACCAGGATGGTCGAGCATACCGACGTGGTGAGCATGAGCATGATGACTCTAGGTGGGTATCTTGCTTTCTTTTCCTCCTTGCCACGCCCCCACCCCCATCCGTTTCTCAGACTATATTTGGACAGCGGTAGTTCTTTTGAAAGGAATGGTGGGCGGGGGGCGGCTTGGACGAGAGAAAGACAGATGCAGCACACTTTTTTCGCTAACTCGTTACTCTCTTGCAGACCAGTTCTAAGTATTTCAGCTTCCTGGAAGATACCATGATATGAGCTCCGTTTTCCTTTCTCCTTTTTCTTGGCGGACACGAAAAAATTGGCCTTTTCTTCTGTGCCTTGGTTTTCGAATTGGGATGGAGAGACTCTTTAGGATCGTCATGGTGAGCCAACCAGCCTTTGCATAGTGTTCTTGCAGATCAGGAAAGTTTGCTCATAGATAGGAGTTATAATAAGATACGCTATCGGACTTGATGTCTAATCACTGAACAGACACTTACCGCTTCCTTTGTGTCTGTTTTTTTCTCCTTTCCGTTTTGACTTCTTCGTTTACTCGTGTTCATTTGACATGAGCTCTTCCATAACGACCATAGGCCATAGGGACCAGACTGCAATTTTCGCCATCGGCACCGCACGGGCTATCTTTCGGCGAAGTCGACTCCTAAAGTGAGGCTCGGCTGTTGTCACGAGAGCAGGCATTCGGCCGGTCAACTAGCGTGGTGCTCGGGTATTTGTCTCGCATGCAGTTGTCCTATTACTTTGGAGAGCAAGCAAGGGGTTGAGGTGATCGACATCCGGTGCTTGCCCACCCACCCAGTTCCCGTTGAGAAACAGGCGGAACGGCCCAACAGATAGGTCCTATCGCGTGGATTAGGTTACTGCCGAAATGAGGTTGATACCTATAGGCAGTCTAAGACACACAAATACCCAAGGTAGGTTGGTAGGTACCGAGTACCTACTTGTGTCAGGTCAGCTCGGCCCTCTGCACTGGCGGGACCTTGCCGTCGTCAAGGGGAAAGCGCGAAATGTTCCGAGACATTGGAATCCCCCCTCCCGGCGCTGACGGAGAAATGCGTGGGATGAGATAGGGTTGGACGCATCTAGGCTGGTCTTTATATTGCGCTAACCATACATGATGGACTGGGCTGAGCACGACGAGGTCGAAGACATGGCATTTATAAATAGATGTACCGAGCAAAACAAACCAGTGCCGTTCAACTGTTTTGACTTTTTGCTGTACCGCGGCAGATGCTTCAACTGTGGCCAATCTAAGTGTGTGCGTGGTGATGGGTATAAACCATTTCACTGTTGTGATAAATCAGATCCAACTGTGAAAGTCCCTCTTCGAGCAGACGAAATAAAATACAAAAAATGTAGCAGACAAGCCGAAAAAGGGAGGGTAGGGGCTTTCCTGATCGTATCCGCATCCGCCAAAATCCCACATCCGCGGCGGGGATCTGAGTCTTCTGTGTAGGTGACGGATCATCACACGTAAGAGTAAGGCGCATATGTACACCTACCTACCTTGGGTATACCGCAAACATGAAGCCGCCGTATCTCTCTCTCCCTCTTAGCTCTTAGATAACCGGGGTGGCCCGCAATCTGGCGAGGATCCGGAAAGTGGCGCAGCCCTCCCCTCCCCCCATGTGGGTTGGCATCGTGCAGCCCTGGATGGACTGACTGACTGTCTGGACGGGCGAGTTAAAGTGAGTGGTAGAAAGCTGACTAAAACTGACTGACTGACTGGTCACCATCCGAGGTCTCCAAGGTGTGTGTTGATGTACACGCGGGCAAAGACGATATGGTCGCCGATGGCGTAGAATATAACGCCACAAACCCAAAACAAAGTCTGACGAGGTGCCCGATGCGGGAGGAGGTTGTCTAGCGGCACTCTCTAAGACTCACCGGTATATGCCCTTTGACAAAATGGGCAGCTTTCTGTTTTCTTTTCTTTTTCCCCTCCCATAGATACTCTTCCCTAAATATGTCACACCGGTTTGTTCTCGTTGTGATGGTGGCAATCCGGGCCCCCTCCCTTTTCTTTTGCCCTCTGCGTGGGGGGTTTCCGTTTGGTGCTGGATCCCCCGTTCAGCTGGTGTCGTTCTCAGTACCGCCGAGCGCAATGTCTTGGCAGGCGCTATGCGATGTTGGATTGCTGTGGCGTCTGCGAGAGAGCACATATGTCACGGTATGTACATACATGGGTTCCAGGAGAGGAAAACCAACTTAGGGGTACGAACCGCCCAGTCCAGCTGCGTGCAACAGAGAGGAGCAAGCCACTATCTTTGCCGGCATTACGAGCGGAGAAGGGGAGGTGAAGTCGGCAATACTACTAGTGTCTTGTGCGACGTGACGAGTCACATACATCTCGAGGTGAACAAGATTGAGTTCTCTAGATCGCCATGGAACCCGTACACTACGTATTGGGAAAACGTATGTAAGGTACCTTCTTGTTTAGGCAGTGAATGTTCCTTGTTCTGTGCTAGGATTCATCCGCCCGCCGAGCCACCCACCCAAAGTCCACATCCCTTTGCCGCCCAGTTTTTTCAATCCATGGTACTGGAACTCGGCTGTGGGGGTTACGTAGTGAGAAAACCACAATGCCAAGGTATGGCCTATGCACGGGCTCTATGACAATGGGTGTGATGATCCTTCCGACCAACTTTTTGTTCGTCCCTTTTCCCGAAAGTTTTCGAGCATTGATGACATGAAGGACATGAAGGCTGCAGTGTACATACACATGCAGTCATGTCGGCTGCCGTAGATCATGACATTCCCATCAAGCCAAGGACGACACAGGGGGGGTTGAGAATGAACGTGTCTTGGAGGGCCGGAGGCTTGTGGCATAGGTAGTGAAAACATCCGCCAGTGAATCAAACGGTAATCACGCCTCGCCCATCTTCCTGACAAACAGCTATTCGCCGGAGAAGTATTTTCATGTCCCTGTAAGACACGCGTCAGCCCCATTCGAAGGTAATGGGCGGTTGTGGGTGGGGGGCCCGTTCCCATGAGAGCTGGAGTCCAAAACCCAAGACGGCGACTGGAGTCGTCGTGCAGCGAGGAGAGCAAGCGAGGTCGGCGATGCGTTAGTTTAAACAGCTGGGCAGGGTACCTCGTGGTGGTAACATCTGTATTGCCTGGGCTCCCTTTCTAACTCGATGTGGATAGATCGGCAATGTGAGAGCTGGGTCTTGCGTGTGAGGCGCGATGTCTTGCAGTAGTGCAGAAGCGAAGTCAGCTGAGGCGGGCGGGTTCTCCCTCCATTCCTTTCACGCGTCAGTTAACGACACCTGGTGCGCCCTCGGGTCTCTATACGGTTTTCAACCTAGGACCCCACTAACACCAAATGGGGAGAGGCCAGAAAAGAAGAGAGCGCAAAGGTATTGCGTATGTCAGGTTTAGTCGCTTCATTCGTCTTACGACTGTTACATACACGGAAATCGAAATAATACGGAGCGGAATACGCAGGTAAAAAGAAGCTTTCATGATTGGTTTGTCCGGGGAATTTAATGACCCAGCACGCTGGTACCTGTGCTCATGTGTCACCTATCATTGGCCAAAGCTGTGCCTCCACTACTATCTGGCGGGGTCTTGGCACAGACGCGGACGTACGCTAGGTATTCAAACTGGGGCTGGTGTGAAGTGTAACTTTCACGGAACTACCCGGTGAAGCTGCTTGCAGATTGGAATTGCTCTCAGTAAACAAGAAATAGCCAACTTGTTTCCATTCCTCATTACATTTCATACAGCTGGGGGTTCCACACACCCGACACCGGTCTTCCAAATTCTTCCTAGCCGCGCTCCTAACGTCATGGAGTATAGAGTATGGAGTGTAGGATCACCCTTTCCTAGTCGTGGTTTAGTATTGCTCTGCTACCTCCTTTCGGTCCAGCCGACTCGAAAAAAGAACAAAACTACCACGAGGTCGCCTCCCCAGCGCCTCACTTTTGCGGTATGCCAGATTGCCATACGTGTGTATATGTGGTGGGAAGCCAAAGCCGATATCCACCGTTCTACTCGGAGAAAGAACTATGTACAGGAAACCCGTGTTGGGAGAGGAGTTAGACCAGCCAACATGTTTTTGTTCCTTTTCCTGACCTGCCAAAACCCATGCAATATCCAATCATGACCCATATCCCACCCATCCTTTGATCCTATTCCTTCGATGTGAGCGAGTGCCGGGAACAGTTCAACCTCACTCGCAGACCTGCTGAAGCCGTAAACTGAAAAGGTCCACGCTGATCTCTAGCTTCAAGCTGTCTGTTCCGCCGCCAGAGCCTTCGAATCAGGGGGTTTTTGCTCCCTATTCCATTCCCAACCCGGAAAAAGTACACCGGTTCACTTCGGAAGTACCGCTGACCGCTTGCCATTGTCTAACAACTGGCGCCTACTGAGACTTCTCAAGTTCATCCACCAGGGTATCCCGTGCTGCCGCCCAGCCTCTTCCCAGATCTTCTAGGAAGAAGGAATCATAGCCGCATTCATTTCATTCAGTACGCCAGATAGATAAGAAGAAAAATATTCATGCCACATGACCTCGCATCAACGAGTCCAGTCTGGAAAGGAATATACGACTAGAGGATTAGGAGGAGAGTCCTGGACCAAGGCTGAACGTGAGAGAGAAAAAACAAGCAAAAATAGCAAAAAGAAGACACAGACAAGTACTGCAAATTCGACCCATGCATAGAATCCAGACTGTTAACGGACACTTCCTTGCTGAGCTCAAACAGGCTGCCAGGTGCCCGGTATCTTGATGAGTGTCAATGACGTTGAGAGGCGGATGCAGCCGCATCGCTCCCGCCAGCACTTGACGAGTTGCCAAGGTCTAGGCACTCTTCCAAAACTGGTTCGAGCTGTCAGCAAATATTCCAGGTTCGGAGTAAAAAAAGGATCGTCTACTTACTTGCGATTATCTGTTCTTCCCAAACACCATATTGATAATCGACGAGGCCGTGGCGCTCGATTCCATCGCAGAGCCTTACTAACTCTTTGCCCATCTTTACCATTTCTTCCTGCGCGATTACGCTTTGCGAACGCTGTAACTGGTGTCCGGACTCCATCATTTCCTTTTGGCGCTGGAATATTGCCAGCCAAGCATGATTGAAGTCGTTCCATAGCTTGATTCGACCGCTATGTAAATTCTGGTCATCAGAAGTGAGACCTGCCAAGAATAAGCTTTGTCAGGACATCCAGCTTAAGCAAATACAAATCAGTCAGAGCATCATACCTAATTCTGCAACGTGCGACAGGAGCCAGTCCGAGACATTGAGAAGAGAATCGCTGGCGGCGGCCAATAATCCACTTCGTATGTTCTGAAATATCTCTTTCAATGCCGATTGGTATGACGCGTACGCTTCGTCCAAACCCCCTGACGGGGGATACTCTTCCTCCATTCTGACATCCGAGGCGGCGGTGGATTGTGCCGCCATCCCCCCGATGCTTCCGATACCACTAGTCGAATAGTTTTGCAGAGAAGACTGCTGATATACCTGGGGGGTGCTGGACGACGCTGTCTGCGCCTGCATAGCGGATGCAGCGCCAGTGTTGGTTGGCTCGCTAGAGAAATAAGGGGCTGCAACATCCGTACTCATCATCTGCAATGTTGCGGGTTGCCGCGAGGGAAACTGCTGGCTCGCATGGTACACGGTAGTGTTCTGCGGCCCCGCAGCCTGCGGCACATTGTACATCATTGCCGTTGGGTTGTACGTGTTGGCAAATGTCTGTGTTTGCCGCGAATCCGGCTGGCCGTAGTCGGCGGCTGAGTTGTGATAGCCCATCCCACCTTGGGATATGGCAGTGGTAGAGAAGGACGTTGCTGTCGGCTCCTGATAGTATCCACTGTAGCCAGCCGAACTGCCCAGTCCCCGCGCTGCCCCCGAAGGAGACGTGTTCAGGGGAGCAGGCCGAAATCTCTCCCCCGTGCTCGGGAAAGATCGTCGCTGCTGCTGCTGCTGCGATGCCTCGTGCATCGACTGGTGATAGCGTGGATTGGAAGAGCCGTGAATGGGCGGTTCACCACCCTGCCTCCTCTGGCCCCTATTGTCATCCATCCCCCTTGTGGTGAATGGTATGTCTTGCCAGGCGGTGGTGATTCTTGCTCTAGGGACTCTAGTTGTTGATCTGACCTAGGTAATTGGTGACTGGCCTGACTATCGACTCGACGACTAAATCGTCTGTTGTAGATCTTGACGTAGCAGAGATTTCAAGATGCTAACACCCCTTCGACCTCTCCTGCTGCTGCGAACTATAACCTGCGCAAGGCGGTTGGAAGTTGTTGAAGAAAGGACCGAAAGACCTCTAAGAATTTCTCTCAAGGGAATCTTGGAGAATGGTGGTGAGGGCTGAGCTCGCGCTTGAAGTGGGGGTGAAGAGACCAGGTAGAGTGAGAGGACTCTGTTCTCGAAGGCCGATAAAAATTGCTTTATCGTGGACAATTGTAGGGTGCTAGGTAGCAACGTAGACAACTTGCCGGCAGTTGACGCGCCTCAACTAGGAAGATCCTAGGCGGCCAGGCATCGAAGCACCGGGGAAGCTTGGAAACATTAGAGATGCTCGGCTTGTGATCAGGTCCTGCCTGAACCACATAAAATGGACTAGATCCTGAGAAACTGGGGAGTGGGGCCTGGTTCGCTTTATCTCGACTCACTGAGCTTTGTGGTGGTGGTCGAGACTGGTTGTGTCCTGAATCAGATACAAGGACGAGGAGGGTTGGCTGGGGTTTTGAAAGGACCTTCCAAGGGCGTTTAGGTTAGGGGAGCATCGACTTCGGGAGAGTGTGGGGAACGGGTAAGGTCTTATATCAGGCAGGCACTAGGCTCACTAGCAAGCTTTCCGTGGGGTTTGGGTGGCAAGGTGAGTCGAGCTGTCTGCTAGAGGTGAGTAGGGCAGATGGAGACAACGGCTCACAACCTAACGACCCGGCAGTAAGATAATGGCGTCGACGGCGGGATGGGTGGGAATCTAGCTAGCCGAAAGAGGCGAAGAGACGTTTGTGGGTCGTGGGGTGAGGAGAGGTACCGGTATGCCGCACCAAGGCCCGAGGACAAGACAGATCGGAAGAGGAGGAAACGCGCTTGGTCGGGACTGCGTGATGGTGTACATGGGAGGCTACAAATAAGACGAGGTACCTTCAGATTGTTAGTCCTGGCCGATCGCAGGACCTTTGGCGCGGCTCCACAACGAATCGACCGTCTTTTCATTGGCATACGCACCTGAAGGAGGCTGAATCTTGGCTTAGAGACATGGAGGCGTGTATGGGGAGGAGAAGGCCGTAATGGCTGTGCGGCCCTGGACAGGGCTGCGAGATCTACTGCAACCCCCAGAGAACACCCTCGCACCAGCACCAGTGCCGGATGGCTTGCGACAGGGGATGCGGATCTTGGAGAGGGCACTCTGCCCAAGCCGGCGGTAAGTGGCGCCGTGGTGACGGTGGGAGGAGGAAAGCGGGCAACTTAGCGACTTTGGACGCTCCGCGTCGCCGCTAAATGCGGGCGTAATGCTGACACTCGAGACGGCTCCTCTGATCCCATATCATGACTACAGAATCGCGAGCGAAAAGAAGGGATATGAATGAAGTGCGACAGCCACGTGCATTCCCAGAATGCGGAGGATGGCGCAAGGACAAGCGCGTTTGCAGCTAGAGGCAATGGTGGATGGCCCAATGCCTCGTCTCTCTATCTCAGACTCCGTCGTGGCCGCGTCTTAGCTTTGCCAGTCAATTAGAGCCGCGCAGCTGGCGATGGGTCAGACTGCCGTCAGTCCACTCTCTCTCCCTTTATCGTCAACCGATCGATCCCTTGCTCAATTGTCCGGAAAGCTGCTCCGCTAGGAGTTTCGGTTGGGTTCCCAGTATAATAAAAGAACGAGTAAACCCCAATTTATACTTTTCGTGTACGAGAGGGGCGTATCGTTTCTCTGCAGACCCGCCTTGTTGCGTTGCCGTTGCGTCTCAGTCTGTAGGCGGGCTGCTTTCAAAGCGATGCGAGAGAGGACGGGAATATCAAAATCAAGGATTTGCGGGACGCGAGAAACCCTGACAGGGCAGAAGGAGGCAGCGCGTTGTTCAAAATACAAGGGAAATGGCAGGCGTAGGGCTTTCTGGGCAGGTTGCCGGTTGGAAGGAACGATCCGATGTTTAAATCGGCCCCCCATGGGTCAAGAGTGAGAAATGGGGAATGGAAGGAGGCAAAGAGCGAGGCCAAACAGCCCAGCAACACCAGCACCGCACATCAAGTCCTTGGCACGCCCGTTCGTTCCGCCCGGCATCGCGCTTCAGAGCCAATTTCTGACCAACATTACTTGAAGCTCTATCGATCCCCGGCCCAATGCCCACCAATCCGCAGGCATCCCAAGGCCGTTGGTCGGGGGGTTGTTTTCTCCCTAGGTCAAACGGACGGACTCAGCTCGTTCGGTCTTGCTCCCGTCCTTCAGCTAATGCCTAGGCCCAATCGCCTGGGCAATCCACCTCGAGAGGTGCAGCGGCAAGCGTTTTGTGTACGGAGGTGTGTGCTTGGTCGCTTCCCATTTCTCTGTTTGTTTGAGACCATGTTGTTGCCTTATCTGGCAGGTGCACCTGTTGTGCTGCCAACCTACCCTCTTGCCTTCGAACCAAGGATATAAGAGAACGGCCAATGTTTCACTGTAAGCCGCCATTGATCCTGAGAAATAAAATCAAGAATTTTTTTTTTTTAAAAAAAAAAAAAAAAAAAAAAAAAAAAAAAAAAAAAAAAAAGTAAGACAGCAAGATTGCTAGGGTTTACAGAGCACGAATCAGAAACAGGACAGGGGACCATTACGGCGGCGTTGGCCCCACGAAAGACTTTTGATAATACGGAAACTTAGCGCAAGCCCCCTCTCGCCAGCTTGGCAACCGCTAGTCACAAGCTAAACAGCGAGGTCCGTTGTCAAGTGAAAGCGTGCTCTGCTGCCGCTGTCGCTGAGAACAGGGGAGGGAAAAAAAACCCCCTATCGGCTCGTGCATCTGGGCCGGACCGACGTCCAACCAACGGGTTGAATGGGTCGAACCCACTGTCAGAGCGTTGGAAAATTTTGTTCTATGGGGAACTTCCATTCCTTCGTGCCTCAGAACGACCGCTGTTGACATCTGGCTCGGACAAGATACAGCCGGTACTTGGTTTTCTGGGCCCAGGTACAGGTACCACAGTGCTTTAAGTTAGTATATCTGTTATGATGAAGGAGGTGCGTTGAAAGACCCTAGATCCATGTCGTTGACTTAGAGCCGCCAGGGCAATGGAGGCATGTCGTCAAACAGAGGCCCAAATCTGCGAGGTAGATCCCTGTCCGTGCTTGCGTGGGCTGCGTCGTATTGACCGGGGTTTTGGCTCAAGTTTCCAGATTCCCGTAACCGTCGAATTAGAGGCGCTCTTTTGCTAGCTTCTGGAACCTATTTGCCGAGAGTGGGAAGTAGCTCTACTTGGTGGGACTGAGACTTTTGGCTGGTTCCCCAGCTGACGCGCATGAAGTGCGGGTTGCGGTACTCAGGATCACGGTGCATTAACTTTAGCCGACGAAAAAGTACCTGTACGCCAGGTTCTCACAACCATGGGGGCCGCGATTTTGAATTCCTGGCGCGGATATGCCTCGCATCTCACCCGATTCTTCTTGGACCGACGTCGAGCTGCAATTCGTCCTAGACGGCGGACTACACGAGGAATTGTCCTCGGTGTGTCTCGGGTGATGCCCTGTCCAGGACGCCTCCGCTCGGCCGTTGATTATTTCGTGTAGGTACGGCTTCCGATTTGGAGATGTTATGGATTCTCGCCCAAATCCCGACCGGGAGTCGGGACACGGCTTCGTCGGCTCGTTCGGCGGCTCGGAACTTCACGACACGCGCCACTAGGTGCTCCGTATTCCATTTGAGCTTCATGTTTTTTCTCTACCGCGGACCATGGAGCCGACGTTTGACTCTACGAGGGTTTGACCTTGAATCGTACCAGCAACATGTCCGGATCCGTACAGGTGCGCGGAACAGGGATCTGGAGACGTGCGTCCGAACTGGCCCTGGAAGCCACACAGACCATTCTCGACCGGCCCAATCCCCTACCGACCTATTCTGTAGGTACCTGCACCACAATTTAGCGTATCAGATCGGACAAGCTGCCGCGCCAGATACCTACCTACAGTTGCACGCCGAGCGATCACTGTGGGTTGAGAAAAGCCCAGTGCACACGGAAGACAGCTCGCCGATCTCAGCCTCAGAAGGACGACGATTTGTAGATCATCTGAATTGAGGCTGTTGCGCAACCTTCAACAACTGAAAACCCGGCGGGCAAAGGAAAACCAATTGCTTGCAACATTGGCCACCGCCTTCAGCTGCCATTGACGAGTGGCAATAGAAGGGCTCAAGCATTTTGTGATACTTGGCGGGTTACCTCCTTCTCCTTACCAAGCTGAGGTTTGCGACGATCTCCGGTTATCTGTAATTACGCGTACAATACGAAGTACATACAACACAGACCGTGAGGGAGCTGTCGGTCAATTGATTGAGTCCGAGTCGTGAGCACCCTCATCGTCGAGCGTTTTGCCTTTGAGTTCTTTGTTACCCGCAGTCCCCTTGCGGCGCGCGAATTGAAATTGGCTGGACGAACGCTCCGAGGGTGGTGGGGGCCAGTCAAACATTGGCACGGCCGAAAAGACCTCGAAGATGAACGGAGTCAACCCAATGTCGGAGATTCTTCTCGAAAGGTTCTGCGACCGCCAACGAAGCCATAGTGTCTGTGCGAATTAGCTCCGTCACCTTCCTCACTCCTAAAATCAGGAAATGAGATTCAGCCGAGCTGTCTCCAGGGCAAAGTTATACTCGAACCACTACACAGCGTGCTTAAGATGAGATTTAAACGTGGTTTTGAGTCTGGGCTCGTTCAAAGGGGTCGCCGAATGGCCACGCAAATAAAAAAGGTAGCTATAAGGCAGGTCCCGGGAGGGCTGGCAGTCAACTCAGCTAGACACCCAAAAATTACTAAAGGAGCCGCAACGAAACTCTCCCCCGAGACGGGAGAGTCATTATTAGTCAGATGTGCTGAGGAACATCAAACACTCTCGCCTGGCTCGAGGTGCTCGATGAGGGGTACGACGGGCCAAAGGGGACGAACGAGAAAAAAGAGCTGACACGAGTTCATGTCGCGTCTTCTTTGGAATACCTACCTACCTATAGTACAATACCTATACCTACCTCATTTTCTCTCCTTTCAAGCCTCCAAAAAGCTCGGAGATGTCTCCGCCATATTTTTCCCGCCCGTCTTTGGGAGTTTTTGCAGGGACAAATGCATTCATGACGAATTCCGCATCCAATTCCAATTCGCAAGTCCAGGCATAGATGCTCACTCTCACCAGGTCCCGAAGCTCTGGAATAAGCCTGTGCTATTGGCAGGGACAGCGTGTTCAGTGCCCGCGTGTCTACCCGTCCGTTCTCAGGTCGTTTCCTTCTGCCCGGGCATCTGCTCGATCAACTATAGCGACCAACCATCGCAAGTTGCGGCTCTGACGTTTTGCCAGTCTCGTCTCGGCCTCAATCCGACCGGTTACGCGGCACGTTCCCGCAACTGTTAGTCGGTCATATGCTATACGCTCTACGCTTTTAGATTCATGCCGTTTGAACCTGCCTGTCCAATTATAGCCAGCGACCAAGACATAAGTTGAAGATCGACAAACTACGATACATTGTATTGTACAGTTGCGGCGCCCATATATGTAAGGTCTGCCTTCGTCCTCGTCTCCGCGATGGGTCGCTAGAAGGACACTGGAAAATAAAGCTTACAGAAGAAACTTGGGGGAGGGGGGGACTAATCACCCCCAAGGACCGGTAATTCATGCACAACTCAAGACTGTTAATGCCCAGCCGGGTTTGAACTATCTCTTCACCCAAGTTGGCATCTTTCTGGCCTTCACACGGCCGTGTTTCTTTCTTTCCACTCTTCTCATGTCGCGCGTGACGCAGCCAGCTGGAAGTGATTGGTTAGCATGATTCCTGGAACTTGGGCGTCGAGAGGAGCATGCGGCACTCACCTCTTCTTAATGCAGGCTTCAGAGCAGGCTCGTGGGCCATCAACCCCTTTGCGATGGCAAGCGTGAGAGCTTCTGCCTGCCCAGTCGTGCCACCTCCAGCCACCAGTGCCCAGACGTTGTATTTGTCCAACCGATCAGTCGCGCGTAGAGCCCACACAGCGCTTTCGCGATCGTGAACCCGCCCGAAAGCATCGGCTAGTGTCTTGCCGTTAATCAAGACTTCGCCGTTTCCTTCGATGACATAAGCCCGGGCAACGGATGACTTTCTCCTCCCTATTCCCAGGGCCCGCCCAACCCAGTCAATGCGAATCGGGTTCGGCTTGTTGGTGAAGGGCTGGATGTCGCGCTTGAAAGCCTGGAACGCCTCTACGAAGATAGGAGGCTTGAGCTCGGGGTGGATTCGGTGAAGGCGCTTGATGATCTCGAGGCACTTGACGTAGTCGGACGCTTTCACCCTCTCACCAACCATCTGCCTGAATTCCACCAGGCTCTTCCAGGCAACCCGCTCAACTTCGCCCGTAGAAACCACTGGGAGCTTGCCATAGCTCTGCATCAATTTTTGGAGGGCGAGATAGCTGTCATTGAACCGAGGTTGGCGTGAGAAGTAGGACGGTGATACTGGCACCGCGCGTGCGTAGGAAATGTTCCGGAAATCCACGATGTCTGCCAGATTGATTCCTGGGGCCGCTTGGATTGCCTGGTCTTGTTGAGTCTTGAGAAAATCCTCGAATGAACCAGCATCTGTGGAGAGACATCTCGTGCTTTTAGGGTCGTTGAAAAGCTGTAGGGCTTGAAACTGTTGATCAAGCGGCCGCCATTGTCCTCTGGAACTGGGGCGGACACCTCTCAGAGCAGTGCTGATGCCTAATCTCGAAGATGCCATCATTGCGCGCCTATTTCTCTCCTCATTATTCCGTATCGCGTCGCGTCAAGGAGTCGTCGGCTCGCCAATAGTCGCGGATGCGTTTTTCGGCTGGCAAGGTTCACTTGGAATAATGTCGCAGGAATTTTCCCGGAGCGGAGCTCGGACCACTAGAGAAAGCCACCTCGACGCATCGGATTGGGCTAACGGCCCAACTCACTTGCAGCTCCCAATTCTGGCAGCGGGGTTGCCTAGCCACCCCCGCCGCCAAATGCTTGCCCCACCTGATAAAATTTCCTCTCTGAATCACCCGCCGCACAGTTTGTCCAAGTCAACTGTCCTCAACCACTTCTCATCATCTTCCTCTTTCCGAAAATCAACTTCTACCAGTCGTCTACATACCAAGCAAAATGGCATTCGGAAAGCTCTACACCGGGCCGGTAAGTTAATACAGCCACGCAAGGCCTTTGTTCGCTTTTGAGCAGCAGCTGACAGATGTCCTCCAGGGCAACCCCCGCTCGACGGCCATTCTAGCCGTTGCGAAGGCCAACAACCTCGACCTCGAGACCGTCGATGTTGACACGACCAACCCAACCCCAGAGTACCTCAAAATTAACCCTCTTTCCAAGATCCCGACGTTCGTCGGCGCCGATGGTTATACTCTGTCCGAGTGCATTGCCATCGCCATCTACGGTATGTGTGCCAGGTGGGCCGAAATCTTCTTCAGCCCCGCCTTGCGCCATCTCTCGGCCCCCCTCCCCACGATATGATGATATAGACATTTTTTAACAGTTATCCCTGTCTGAAACCATGGTGTTGACTTCGTTCTAACTTCTGATCGCTCTTTTACTTATTCATGCATCATTAAATGCCGTGTTGTCAATGGACTCTAGGCTAACGCAACACAGTCACCTCCCAGAACGAGAAGACAACCCTCCTCGGAAAGACCAAGCAAGAGTAAGCTATATCCACATCAATGTTTTCATGGACCTTTCAAGCCGTCTAACCGCAATTTCAGCTATGCTTCTATCCTGAAATGGATGTCGTTCTTCAACTCCGAGGTGCTTCCTAAGCTGGGTGCGTGGTACCGCCCCATTCTCGGCAAGGATCCCTATGTGAAGAAGAGCGTCGAGGACAATCAGAAGGCTGCCCTCAAGGCCATCTCTGTCGTTGAGGCGCATCTCCTGAACAACACGTACCTCGTCGGCGAGCGCATCACCCTCGCGGATCTTTTCGCCGTTGCCCTAATCTCGCGCGGCTTCGAGTACTTCTTCGACAAGAAGTGGCGCTCTGAGAACCCTAACGTTTCTCGTTGGTTCGAGACGGTTTACAGCCAGCCTATCTACTCTGCGGTCGCTGCTCCTTTGTCTCTTCTTGATACCCCCAAGTTGACAAACGTTGCCCCCAAGAAGGTGGAGGCTAAGAAAGAGGCTGCCCCCAAGAAGGAGGCCAAGAAGGCTGCCAAGCCTGCTGCGCCCGCTGAGGAGGAGGATGATGCGCCTGCAGAGCCCAAGGCCAAGCACCCCCTCGAGCTTCTGCCCAAAGCTATCTTCCCTCTTGATGAATGGAAGCGCCAGTACTCCAACAAGGAGACACCAGAGGCTCTCAAGTGGTTCTGGGAGAACGTTCCCTTCAACGAGTACTCGATCTGGAAGGTTGACTACAAGTACAACGATGAGCTCACAATCACCTTCATGTCGAACAATCTAATCGGTGGCTTTAACACCCGCCTGGAGGGATCCCGCAAGTATCTCTTCGGATGCGCGTCGGTTTATGGCGTCAACAACGACTCAGTGATCCAGGGTGCCTTTGTCATCCGGGGCGACGACTACAAGTCTGTGTTCGACGTCGCTCCCGACTGGGAGAGCTACGAGTTCACCAAGCTCGACCCGACCAACCCCGCAGATCGGGAGTTCGTCGAAGCTCAATGGACCTGGGAGAAGCCCGTTCTCGTCAACGGCAAGGAGTACGCTCATGCTGCTGGCAAGGTCTTCAAATAAATAATGACAGGGTACTGGGGACGCTGGGGACAGGGTGGCTACGGAATATGACTGACGACAAATCTGAACGGGGAAACGAGGAACGAGCTACAAGCCCGCGGTTCATGCCCTTATGTATCGATGGTTAGTTGAGGATGAACGAGCCTACAAACAAAGACTAGCCACCGTGCATGGTAGTTGTAGTGAAGATGCTTCTCCTGATTTGGGGATAGAGGCCGAAGAGCCTGTGTGTCATGATGTAGTTTTGGTTTCCCTTACAGTTTCCTATTTCTCGACTTTCGTATTACCTACACAAACAAAATATGGGATATGGGGTATCGGACCAACCAATTAATTTTATTAAATCTCCCGTGCCATTTCATTCACTGACGAAGGAGTTAGGTCTTCGTCATCAGTGCCTGCTAGCTTGGCCTAATTAGCCTTAAATGGAGTTGTCCTGATATATGTGCTAATGTCAGCCTGGTAGACTAGTGTGTTCAGATAGTCATGGACCAACGGCAACACTCTTGGTTCCTCGTTGACATCGCCCGCGAACTCTGGGAGCGTGATAGCATTGTATGGCTCGCTGCGTGCCTTTTCCTCGCTATCGTCGATCAAGACCGTGTTCCCTTGGTCCCAGGACTCGCCGTCGGGGTGGGCTGCCTTGACGACAGGGTCCTCCCATAGCTTCGTCAGCCGCTTGTAGCACTGGGTGCGCTTGTCGTAGTCCTTGGCCGACAGGCCAAACTTGTCGCGGCCCCAGACCGTCACGACGCGGCCAAGCTCGTCTGCCGTCAGCAGCCGCGCGCACATGTTCCGCACGTTGCCGGGCCGAGCCGACGACCAGACCACCACGTGGAACGTGTTGATGCAGTACTCCATGAATTTGCGAGCGTGTGGCCGCTCCACGAAATCCGTCGGCTGCTTCTTGGACGGCCGGTACAGCAGCGTCCCGTTGAGGTCAATAACCACAAGAATGGGCTGCGGCGTTGGCGTCGACGCTGGCAAGCCTGACGCTTGGCTTAGGTACTCCTCCGTCGGATTGGGGATGCCTCCTGACCGGGCGCTCGGGGCTGAGATGGGGTCGCGCCCGGCAGCGTTGACGCCTTTTTTGCCGACAGTGATGACTTTGCCAGCTTTGCCTGTGAGGCAGTCTTTCTTCTTGCGACCTTTTTTCTCGTTTTGAGCAGCGGCCTTGGCCCGTTTCACCTCTGCTTTCGTTGGTTCCGTGACATTGGCATTGTTGCCAATGACTTGGTAGCCTCCAGTGTCGATGCTGTGGCTGTTTGCGTTGTAGTTGGCATAGCCGTTGTTGTTGTTGTTGTCGTTGGCATAGCCATTGTTGTAGTCGCCCTGTGGGCCAGAGAACATGCCGAACGGGGGGGGAAAGGGGTTCATCATGGCGAAATTCTGTTGTTCGCCAAAAGTGCCTCCCATTTGAGACGTTTGTGGCGGCGGGTAAGGCGACGGATCGCCTGGCAGTGCATCTTCCGATGGCTGCTGCCAGTCCTCGTCGGGGTTGGCATTTATAGCCTTCCATGAACGAGACATGTTGGAAAGCTGGTTGGTCCTTGTTCTTGAGTGAAGGCTTTCTTGACCCTGGTCCTGGTCCTGGTTCTCGGAATTCGACGGTTCTTGGTTTCCAAAACGAGAGGAAGAAGACGCAGGGCCGCCTGACCCTTCGCCTACTAGAGTGATAGAGCGGGTGGCATCTGTCTCCGCTTCCTGCCACGTGGCGGATTTCATCCTGTCACGCCTCGTAGATAACAGGACTTGAGGCGAGTGTGATGAACGAGTGAGCTTCGTCCCAGCTTTATTTTTCCAGTTGAGAACCCCGTCAGATTCTGCACTACGACGGTCTTGCTGGCAGGTGGGAGGAGTGTGGGTCTCGAGTGAATTTTTGTTCTGAAGGTTGGATGAAATTGTGATTGATCTGTAGCCGAACAGATAAGGAAGATTATTGGTGTTAAGTCGATGGGGGAAAGCCCCTGGAACGAACGGTTGAGAAGTATTGCGGAATAAACGCAGGAGAAAATGCCCAAAAAGAGAGGAACCGTTTATCATGCTGTTATATAACGAACAGCCTTGATAACCCGGGGTTTCCTACTCAATACATTGATTGTTATAGCCACTCAGTCGTCTAATAGATAACCTCCCTTTTGCTCTGCTTATCGCCTTTCCTCCGAATTTATGTCGTCTTTCATCAAGGAAATGACGAGAGGCAGGATCGAGCTGAAATTACTCGCCACAAGCTGAGAGGAGACCCGTGAAAAATTGCAGTTGCGAATATATACGTCAGAATATAAGACGAAAGAGTGAAAGACTTTTGAGTGGAAAATGAAGGTCGGCGGAACAACGTTGCGACAGTGAGGCCAGTAGCACAACCTCGTCGGTACCGTTTGGTGGGTGAGCATCGCCAGATCAGGTGTGGAAATTTTATGACAGCTGGAGAGAAGTGGGTCCATTTATGTGGGGAAAACTGAGAGCTGCAAAGTATTGCACAACCGGGGGCAAGAGTGATAGCGCCTACACCCTGTTAGTGAATTACCTACTAGAGGACCTATTTTCCCATCATATTCTAGTTTTCTTGACGCTTGCGAAACCGCCACATTCAACTTGCAAGTCGTTTGTACAAGCTGATGGGCTTTATGGTTCTTTTTTAGACTGGATTATAAGTCTCCCTTTGCAGTCCATATTAATACAACGGCTGAGGGCCCTGTACCATCTTTTAGGCATCCACCTGGCAAACTACTACCTCACCCAGCCCGCAGAAACGAACCTACTTAAATTTGGCTCTAGTCTCTCCAAAAAGCAACAACCTAGTCAGCAAGATCGACTGGGATTCCTACAAAACTCATAAAGAATTCTGCGAGTGGACCGATTATCATGTCATCTGCTCCAAATAAGCGGAAAGCCATCAGTGGCGGGGCCAGCCTCTTACAAAGGCGCGTGCGGCCGCGAGTCGAACCAGAGCCTGAATCCGACGTGGCGGAAGACTCAGACGCGGACAGTCAGGCGCTAAGTAAAGAAGGGATTGATTCATACGACTCTGAGAGCGATGGTGATGATGACGCTGAGAGTGGCAGCGAATCGGTAAGCTCAATATCTCCATCCCAAAATGAGAATGGCAGACCAAAAACCCCCGCACACCTGTCAGAGGAGCACCCATCCTGATTTTGTTTACAGGGGTCAGAAGAAGAGTCCGAGGAGGAGGAGCTTAGCGGGTCTAAAATAGATGCCTCGCAGCTCTCGTTTGGAGCGCTAGCTCGGGCGCAAGCTGCGATGGGGGCGGCAGCGTCGCGGAAGGGACAGGCGGGGAGCGCTGCCGGCTCCAACGAAGCCGGCGACGGCAAAGAGGAGGAGGAGTCCTCGTATCGGCCGCCGTCGGCAGCAGAGCGGGCCGAGCAGAAGAAGAAGCAGCAGCTCCTCCGGCACCGAGCCAGCAAGCACGCGCCGGCCGAGATGACGAGCAAGAAGGCTGTGTCGCGGCGGCGCGATTTCGTCGCCATGCCCAACGTGCAGGCGCGGGACCCGCGCTTCCTGCCGCTGGCGGCGAGCAACAGCATCGGCAAGATCGACAACGCGAAGCTGCGCAAGGCGTACTCGTTCCTCGACGACTACGTCGAGGACGAGATGAAGCAGCTGCGCGCGGCCATCAAGAAGCTAGGCAGCAAGGACCCCGAGGCCAAGGAGAAGCTGCAACGCGCTCTGCTGTCGATAGAGTCCAAGAAGAAGGCGCAGGTGCGCAAGGACCGCGAGCGGGCCGTCATCGAGGAGCATCGTCTCAAGGAGAAGGAGCTGGTCAAGGACGGCAAGCAGCCCTTCTACCTCAAGAAGACGGAGCAGAAGAAGCGTGTGCTGGTTGACCAGTTCGCTGGCCTCAAAAAGGGCCAAGTCGACAAGGCCATCGAGCGGAGGAGGAAAAAGGTTGCCGGCAAGGAGAAGAAGCTGCTGCCCTACGCCCGGCGAACTGCCGAGTAGATCTTCACAGAATACAGAGGGAGGATGCTTGCATGTATCTGCGGGCCGATATTCTATGTACAGAAAATTGGTTGGCCTGCTGCTAGCCTATATCCAAACTCTTCTTCTAATTATAGATGGTGATGAACTTTGTGCTCCTGGCCATAATGGCTCTTTTTTTTTTTTCAGGCCAGACCTGACCCTTCAACGCCATATTCTAGCTCACTCCTATTCATACAACAGAATCTTACAATCATACAACGGTCTAACTTTAGAGCGGCTACCAACACCAACTAACACCTACTTCCCATTATTTTCCATTAGTCCGGTTTTATGTTGGTGTCCATCTTGGCCAGAGCATGCTCAAAAAGCTCCCGGCACCTCACCTTGCTGCCAAGCCTGGCGCAGAGCAGGAAGGCACCGCTGAGTTTGCGATGCAGACTATACGTCTCTTCAGGAGGAGGGGCGAGACGTTCGTGTATCATGACGGGGATTTGCGCCTTGACCCTCTCCGTGATAGTCTGGTCTTGGAAGTCGTACAGCTCGGGGGCCGACTGTAGGAAGGGCTCAGCCAAGGTGGTGACAGAGGTGATGTGGGCATCGAGCATCGCTCTGCTCTCATGGCCCGTCAGATAGCCGAGCTGCTCCGAGAGCGTCTTGACCTGCTCCCGGTCGGACCGGGAGGCGGCCTCGAGCAGCTGCACGTACTGGACAATAAACTCGTCAGGATACTCGCGAGACGCGCCAAAGTCGAGCAGCTCTAGCGTGTTTCGCTCGGCGTTGTATAAAAAGTTGGTCCAGTTGGGGTCCGTCTGCATGAATTTGAACTCGGTGATCTCGCGCAAGCACAGCCGCAGGATCTGGGTGCCGATCCAGTCGCGCTGGCCCTGTGTAAAAGACTTGACCCGCGTCACGCCCACGCCGTCCATGAACTCCATGGTCAGGACATGCTTGCCGCAGGCCTCGGGGTAAATTTCAGGGACCGAGAAGACACCATCGTCGTTGACAGCAAGAAGCTTCCGGTACCGCTTGGCGCACTCAGCCTCGCGCTGGTAATCGCACTCCCACGCTAGCTCGGTGCGGGCATTGTCAATCGTCTTGTTGAGGTAGAGGCCCTTGGGCAGCAGCCGAGCGGCTGCTAGCAAGACGCTGATGTTGTCAAGGTCTGAGTTGATCGAGTCAGCCACGCCGGGGAACTGGATCTTGACGGCCACACGTGCCCCATTGGATTTGAGAGTCGCTCGGTGGACTTGTCCAATGGAGGCAGCAGCGATGGGCTTGTCCTCGAATTCATCGAATAGCATCCTCCACTCGGCCCCCAGGTTGGCTATAAGTACTCGGTCGCGCTGCCAGGCCGGCATGTAGTCGGCCCGGTCCTGCACGCGCTGCAGCACTTCTTGAATAGGTGCTGGCAACATCTTGGCGTCCTGGAAGCTCATCATCTGCCCGAGCTTGAGGGCTGCACCGCGCATCCTTGAGAGCTTGGCCACGAGCCTTTCCATGTTTCCCGCACTGAGCATGACTGACCCCTGGCTGCTGCCGCCGCCCACCGCGCGGCTCAAACCCTCGCCGATAGCCCCCGCAAACATGCCAGCGGCCAGACCACCGTAGTTCCAGAGCCTGCCTATCCGCGTAGACGGCACCTTTGACTCACGGAGTTCGTACGTAGCAGTTCCGGGAGCTCGAGCCGTCAGTTCAGCAACAAGGACCGCGTCTTGTTCCGAGAGTGGCCCGGTTGATCTTGCCCCCGCAGTGCCAGTATCGGTGGACAAACCAGCCGCCGAATTTGAGCCATCCAACAGCGACGTTGCCTCGGCCCTTGGCTCGAGGGCATCGTCTGAAGCACGTGGGGTTATGTCTTCCGAGGGCTGGCGCAAAATTGTACCGTCGGTCCTGTTGACGACAGGCTGGGTGATTAGTGCCGGCTCTGGATCATGCCGTTTGGTCAGAGCCTCTCTCTTCATAGACCCTAGGATACTTGAGCCCCTGCCGGTTCGAAAGACGTTAAGATCGACCTCGGCCGACGGAAAGGCGCCGGCCTGGTCTACGAGACTCTCTACGGGCGTTTTGGGTGGCGGTGATGGCCTCGGGAATTGTGGAGGTGGACGGGGCTGTTGAAAAATTGCTCTAGCGTCTACCCAGGGTGCAGGCTCAAAGTCAAGCCTTTCTCCAGTGTTGCCTTCTCGCGGTGACGTCGCTACTATTGTTGACTCGGCTCCAGAAGAAGGAAGCGAAGAAGGATTTACCTCATGCCGGGCCTGATCAGCCCGCGTGTGCTTTGGCTCTTCGTGCTGGGATTGCGACGCATGCTGCCATTGTTCCTCTTGCTGTGTCTGTGGCTGTTGCTTTTGCTGTCCAAGACTGGACATGAGACTAGACGTCTTGGTGAAACGGTCGAGTTGGCGGGCGCGGAGTGCGACATGCTTGGAGGCGACGGCACGAGAAGCACTCGCAACCGCCGCCAGGTCTACAAGGACATCTGCAAGCCTCATTTGGGGAGAGTGAAGGATGCAGAAACTGTATCTCTGTCACCTCGACAGTCCCATCATATTCCAGGCAGCGCGCCCTGGCCGTCGAGTGCGTTTGCGGTAGGGAGTGTCGGCGCTTTCCAGGCCGGGGGACAGACAGTGTGGAGTCACAAGATTTTTGGGGCAGAATGCCACCCTCATGCACGGCGGGCAAGGAGAGCTCGGGTAATAAGACTACCCCTGCTAGTTCCCGGGCGACCCAGCTCCCCGGGAAAGGCCCCTTCCCAGCTCCAGATCCCGCAGGAGGTTACCTCTATCTTGGATGGGTGGTCAGCCACATTCATATCACTATTTATCGAAAAGTCCGCATAATATTTATCGGCAGAATATAGTGCGATTTGTATGCTTGCTGATCGCTGATTTTTATTTCTTATTAACATCTTATCACGATGATCCTAGGTATCATAAAGCAAATACGCCCCTGTCCTCACCAATCCGTACCGGTTATGCATTTCGTTATCATGGAACCCCAACCTCGCTAACGCGCAGACTCCCATTTATTTCATGTCGTAATGTTGCGTAGACCTGATGCTCTCCCTCGTAGCGTTGCCTTTGCGCCGCTGAACGGTGAGTCGGATGCCTTTCTTCCGGCACTGTCGATCTTGCCCCATAGCCTCTGAGCGGCAGGCGTTAAGCCGCCCGAAACCCGCGGGCTACTGGGGAATTTGGGCACCGGGGTTCTCTCCACCTTTCCCGTGACTCCAAGCCGAGCTGATGTCCGCTTAGATTGCGAAATCCGGTCCACCATGCGGTGATGGAGAGCCTCGCGCTTCCCCTGCTCTTGAAGCTGGAATGGGTTTGGCGTCGCGTCCCCCACACCAAGGTCGATAATCGGTGCTGGAGCTTGTGGCGAGGGCGAGGGTTCCTCGTCGTCCACAAACGCGTACCCATTGATGCGTGGTGTCTCATTGCCGCCACCAGCTAGGCTAGACTCTTGATCGAAAGGAGAGCGCTTTCCCGCAATTGCGCCCCTTATTTCTGAGAGCGTTGGAGACGACGCCCTGGCGGCTCTAGCGGCATGGGGCTGCGGTACTCTTGTGTTCTCGTACACGATTGATTTCGGCGGAGCCCGAGACTCTGCTTGCGCTCGCTCGGCAACTGATTCCAGCAAGTCATCCACACCTTCGGGAGGGAACATTAACTCGTTGTTTGGCTTCGAGTTCCAGTGGTTTGGAGCCGCGGGTCGGTCATCCTTGTCTTTGATGGCTAGCCTGTCCTTTTTGAAGCCATCGTCAACCAGGCTTGTTCTGATCTTGGCAAGTTTATTCTCGACCTCCTTCTGCTTCTGCTGCATTTTGGACGGCAGTTTGTTTCCTGTCCAAAGCCATGCGTATTTTTCCACCTTTTTCTGGTTTTGCTTGTCTAGCAGCTTATAAAAGCTCTCGTTATCCTCGCTTGTATATCTCGCCTGAAATGCGCCAAGGTTCATGTTTGTGTCGATCGCCACTTTAGGGTCGAGGGTTGAAGAGACGATTGAAGAGACGGCCGTGGACATTGGCGTGTCGCCCGCATCACCAATGGGCGTGCGCCCACCGGGATGTACTGATGAGATGTATCGTGCTCGATGCCGACCGGGCGTCATGACGCTTTGCAGCCGTCGGCTTGCATTGACAATCCATTCCTGGTCCTTCGAATCGAGGGCATCAAGATACTCTTGCTGTGTCTCGGCCTCTAAGAGGCCCGGGAAGAAGTCGCGAGCAATGATTTGCGACAGAGCCTGGGTGTAACTGTCTTCGTCAATAACCGTCTTAGGCCGTTTAATCCGCTTCGCCGGAGGCGGCGGTGGCATCAGCTCGTTGTCCACTCGCTTGCGGACGAGGGCTGTTGATTGCGGCGCCTCCGAGTCCATGTTGTGGCCGTTAACGTCGCTTTTCTGAGTCAAGATTGCCAAAGAATGCGAACCGCTTGAAAGTGGCGTGAGACTGGCTTGGCATTTGGAATCGTCCTCGCACGGACAAATTACTGGATAAACGCGCACCAAAGTATGCACTAAACAAGAGTATTCAAATACGCGGTAGTGGGATAAAACCCAATACCTCAATTACCTCCTCCGTATGGGATCCTTGGAAATCCATTCCTTACTGACTGCTCCATCCAGTAACGAAGGAGGGCTACAATCTGGGTTCATAAAACTACGAATTTGTCGTTCACTGTCTGCAACTTGCGCTATGTACGCACACGATCTCTTCATATTCTGTTTAAAGAGTCTGAGATAGAAATCTCATATACAAACTTTTACCAGTCTTCCGAGATTTCACCATAAAAGTTGAGAGGTATGAATGGCTTTCGACTACTGTAAACTCACCGACAAGGCCTCAGGGTTTCTAGCCAAAGCGAATGGATATTTCTACCGAAGGAATGGCGTGCATTTCTATCTCAGGTGGGTGCCGCGAGTTTGAGGCACGTCTTTTGATGGAATGTCTTGCGTGATACCATTCCGTTCGATGTCCCTTCTCTTCAATAACAACTCAAACCCAACCGGCACTGTATCCCCACTTTCACAATCTGTCTTGCTTGTCCTTCAAGTCAATCACTGTCCATATCAGTAAATATTTCCTGGCCGGGAACTTGAATTGCAGCTCGGTTCTACAATATACATGCTACCTTTGACACATACCATGCAAGTTAGACACTTCCAGCCTTGCGCAACTGTAAAGGCAACCCAAGGCGACATAGCTGTGTTCAGGCAACATCGGTACCTACCAAGGTTAATACCTTGCTGGCCTAAGAGAGCCGGTTGGTTGTATGTACCACGGCCCAGCCCTTCAAATGCACGTAGCATACAAACCTCCAGCACCACCCCCTCTAGGTCCTGATCCGGGCGATGCTCCCTCTCAAGGGGCAGGTCAGCAGCACACGCCAGCTGTGCCGTACTGACCAGTTGTTGGGCAGCACAACCGACCTACTTTCTCACGGATGGCTCCTTCATGGGAAACCTAGCCCATATAACAGAACTCGATACTATGACAGGATGACAAAAGGATATTTTTTAAAGTTCTCTGCGGGACGTTAAGAAAGTGAATTTTATTCTGACCAAGGGCTCAGCCCATGCCATGACCTGCAGTTGGTCCTACCCACTGCCCAGCCCGACCTGCCCGTCCCTTGACTCTCCTTCAAGCCTAGGTGCCGAGAGCTGCCTATCGCCTTGATCCTCTCCATCTCTCAGCCTCAGGCTGCATGCGGCAAGGCGTCCTGCCTATGGCCAGCTCCCATCCTCGCCCGCACCCGGCCTCCCCTCCTCCCGTTGACCCCTACATACAAACAGAACCGAGAAACAGGCTTCTCACTGGCTTCCCATTCGATGCACAAGCTCGCCCTCCAGTTCACTCTGCCCTTGTTAGCCACTTTTCGGCTCCTCGTTGCACCCATCTCCCGTCTCGCCTTCCGGTTTCGCCTGACGAGGGGGCTTTTCTTGATCTATGCTATTATCATGAGCATCATGATGAAACAAAAGGCTCGCTACTATTCTGGCAAAAAGGACTCGGCCATTGAGAAGCAAAGCGCTAAGGCCGAGGTTGAGGCAATATGTCCCATTTGCCAGGAGTCCATCGGCACCCGCAACGCCGAGGGCATCGTCGAAGGTTGGAGCATACTTCCCTGTGGTCACAGGTTTGGCAGCTACTGCATCAAACACTATCTCAACGTCGTGGCCGAGGACCGCCCATCGTGCCCCGTCTGCCGCCAAATCGCCTACCACATTTGCGGACACCCTGTCCTGCCCGCCCTGCTGAGACCGAATAGCTCCGAGGGCGAAAGGATTGTTGAGGTGTCCGAGCTACTCATTCAGGAACTACAGTCTTCTGATTGTGCATACTGCCAGCTTGGGAGAGCAAGTCGGAGAAGAAGCAGGAAACCTGCGTCGAAATGGAAGGCGGCAGTCGGATTGCTGCGATACTTAAAGCTGCGTCCAAGCCAGCTGCTTGGTAGGCATCGTGCCCTTGCCGGGCCCCAGACACAGTCCGACGACCGGGAACTTTCTCAAGGTCAAAGGGCGGTTTTGTTTGACAGGCAAGGGCCATGGATCGATCCGTTCCCCAAACCCAGGGATCCTGAGTGGGAGAGATGGTGGGTTACCCAAGAACCCAGCGGGGCATAGGAGGGGTAGCTTTGCTGGCTGGCAGACTTATCAAACCATATCCGATCTCACTACTACCAGATGGCCAGAAATTTACGCACGGCGACGGCTGATAGAATTTCATTATTACGCTGTCCACATTTTTTAATCTTATCTTCACGATACCTCACCACTTTTCACGGAATATCGGATGCATTTGGATAGGCCAGAGACGGGAACAGGAGTCCCGGATGGGTTGAACTAGGACAGCTGCCAGGAAGCTTGTTGGGTCCGCACCTGCCTCGAGACCACTGCTGATGGAGACTTATGGTGGGGGTAATCGTTGGGTCCGGCGATAAAGATTACCGGGGTCTGTGTTAGGTACCCCGCGCTAGCTTGGCTGGAGCTTGTCACCCTTGGAAGCTTTGGTTCGGCCATTTGGTTCAAGTTCACTGCGTGCGTATGGGCGAAGTACTGTAGCATCTACGGATACAGTAATACCTGAAATACATGATCTATTCCGTATCTTCATCAGTATTCCCTACGAGCACGGGAATGACAAGATCAACGAGGCGGGCAGTTTGGCGTTCAATGACGGACGACTACAACTTTAAATCCAGATCATCTACTGATCAGCGAAATGCGGTTCAGGACAGACCTCAAGAATATCCGAACATTCTCTAGTGAGCCGTCACAGTCAACAAGATACCATACCTTGAATGTCCCAATTTCTAACGTTAGGCGCCTTCTAATTAGAACTGACAGCGGCTCTCAATTCTCTTGAGAGAATCGCGTGGTTGCGCCTCGACGATGACACGGTTCGGTTCACGGTCATCCCGGACACGGGGTCCCAAGTCTGGGCGTACGTTTTCCCTCTCACATTAGCGGGTTCGTCTAGGAGACTAATATCTATCTACGTCACAGTTCTCTTTCAGCAGAGTTGATATTTGATAATTACCATCTCCAGTCAGCCGAGGCAAACAACACAATCAATCTAGAGCTTCCCTTGGGACCGCTCCAGCGCGCTCTCAAATCTGCGTTTGGTAGTAACCAGGCCAACCTACGTCTAACCAAGCGCGATGGCGTGCCGATGCTCTCGATGACCATCCATACCATGACTAAGGACGGCGCACAAGACACCCGGAGCGGTGGCGGTGGACAATTTGGAGGCGGCGGTGGCCGGGGCCATGCTTGCGTTGGTGGCCATGGCTATGACGAAGATCCCGACCCATTTGACGATGCTGCGGAACTGTTCCAGCAGGAGTCGCTGGAACTTACAATGAAACGTGAGCGTGAGAAGGTGATTACGCAGGACATACCCGTGCGGGTGCTGCACCCGGACTCGGTCGAGTTGATCATGCAGCCCAAAGTGCGCGAGCCCGACGTCTACATTCAACTGCCCCCGCTCCTTCAGCTCAAGGCCATCTCGGATCGCTTTACCAAGTTGGCCCTCACGACCGCCACCACGGGAGGCACCCGCGCCGCTGGCGCATTGCAGAATCCCAAGCTAGAGCTATCGGCCAATATGCATGGCTCGTTGCGTTTACGCCTAGTCGCCGAGACCCTAGACATTACGAGTGTGTGGGATAAACTCGAAAACCCCGAGCTCGACCCGGCACAACTCACAGTGCCGATGAATGAGCATCCCAGCACCATATATAAGAATGCTGGCGCAAACAAATGGGCGACGGTCCGCGTAGATGGCAAGGACTGGAGCAGGGTGCTAAGCGTTGGCAGACTGGAGGGGAGGGTCATTGCCTGCTTTACTGATGAGCACGCTCTGATCCTATACGTCTACGTGCCTCACTTTGATGATTCGTCCTCGGAAGATGTTGTCACGGTGAGCAATTCCTTTGGTGGCACTCTTCATTGGGGATCTTTCGCTAACGCACTTGACATAGTATTATGTGACCTCATACAGTACTTAGCATCACCGGTTCTTTTGGTTTGGCGTTATAGTCTCTTGAAGCTTTCTCTCACCCATAATACGAAATGGGTCGTTATATATGAGACTCGGGTGTTGATGCTTGCTTCGAGCCTGGGGCGTAACATGGCCTCCAAAGGCGTTAAGGTTGGGGGCATCTCAGCGAAATACTGGCTAGGTTGCTTTCAAGGTGTATTGAACTTGGAGAGGATGGATCTTATCGATCTGGAATTGCACAGTCACCAAGCATAGAGAAACGCTCTCGTCCGATATATTTGTGCTGTGATACATATAGAATACTAGTGTCTAGAAGTGAAGCCTCCAATTTCCTTAAATGATTACGGGTGTTCCGAAGTCCCTCGACTTCTCCAAGAGCATCGGAGCTCCAAAGAATGAGAACTTCATATGCTAGTCTGATTCATATATAATTCTGGTTTAGAAGTTAAAGCGCTCAGAATTCGGGTTGCTATTTGAGCTTGGTTACCTATTGCATGGGAGTTCTCGATTCGAAGCCGGGCAACGTTTAAACGGTCAGAGATGGCAGGGTCCACTTTCCTTTCTGAAGCTACTTTAACTGTACCAGGGGTTCATTTAGGCCCATGCCAGGGGGTTTCTGCCTGAGGCACTGGCTGGGTAACCTCTCAGCGACGCTAGGACTTGTACAATTGGGGGGCCACATCACAGCGATGTGCGCAGCGAGTGAGTGCATTCAAAGTATTTGCACAGCGACACCACGCGCACTTCATCGCTCCGTCCTGGTTAGGATCCTCTTCTAGGCCCCCGTGTAGGCGCAGAATATATTACCATGAGCTCCCGTAAGTTCAGCTATCCCCGCTCGCGCCTGACGATTGTTTAGCTTCGTGCCACGCCCAGTGCAGTGGGAAACGGGCTCCATTACTCGCTCGCTCAAGATGGATGCGCCTGGCCGCTGGCTAACCTCTTGCCACGCTCCCAGTCAAGCAGTTCATCCGCAACGTGCGCGCTGCCAAGACCATTGCCGACGAGCGAGCCGTGATCCAGAAGGAGAGCGCGTCAATCAGGGCCAGCTTCAGAGAGGAGAGCGGAGATCACAGCGTCAGGTACCTACCTGCCCAGCACCTACCCAACTTCTCCGTGCCTTGCATCCATTCGGCCGATCAAGGGGCAATCCCCCTTCTAGAGATAAGGAAGCTGCTGATCGATTGCGCTATACAGGCGGAACAATGTGGCCAAGCTCCTCTACCTCTTCACCCTTGGCGAGCGGACGCATTTCGGCCAGATCGAGTGCCTGAAACTCCTAGCCTCGCCCCGGTTCGCCGACAAACGGTTAGGGCATCTGGCGACCAGCTTGTTGCTCGACGAGAACCAAGAGGTCCTGACCTTGGTTACCAACTCCCTCAAGAAGTACGAGCAAGGCAGTCTCAGTCAATGGCGCCCCCTAACAAGCCTCCGAAATTGCAATGAGCGGTCTGCTGACTCTGCCCAACCAGTGACCTGTCGCACTCCAACCAGTATGTGGTCGGCCTCGCTCTTTGTACCCTAGGAAACATTGCCTCGATCGAGATGTCGCGAGACCTGTTTACTGAGATCGAGACCCTAATATCTACGGCGAACCCCTATATTCGCCGGAAGGCGGCCCTCTGCGCGATGCGCATATGCCGAAAAGTCCCAGACCTGCAGGAACACTTCCTCGAGAAGGCAACACAGCTGTTGTCGGACAGGAATCACGGCGTACTGCTGTGCGGCCTAACTCTGATGACCAGTCTCTGCGAGGCAAGCGAGTCTGAGGAGGCCGAGGGCGGCGATGAGGCTATCATCGAGAAGTTCAGGCAGTTCGTGCCAACCCTCGTAAGGATCCTAAAGGGGCTGGCATCTTCTGGCTATGCTCCCGAGCACGATGTTACGGGGGTTACGGATCCCTTCCTGCAGGTTAAGATTCTTCGCTTGCTCCGAGTCCTCGCCCGTGGAGACGCCCAAGTCACGGAACAAATCAACGATATTCTGGCGCAGGTTGCTACAAACACGGATTCGTCCAAGAACGTTGGCAATTCGATTCTTTACGAGGCGGTGCTTACCATCTTGGATATTGAAGCCGACGCGGGCCTGAGGGTCTTGGGTGTGAACATTCTGGGGAAATTTCTAACTAACAGGGACAACAATATTCGCTACGTTGCCTTGAACACACTAGTCAAGGTGGTCGCCATCGATACAAATGCTGTTCAAAGACACCGAAATACGATTTTGGAGTGTCTGAGAGATCCGGACATCAGCATCAGGAGGCGGGCACTCGATCTCAGCTTTACACTCATTAACGACAGCAATGTTCGCGTTCTACTAAGGGAATTACTAGCCTTCCTAGAAGTAGCCGACAACGAGTTCAAGCCGACCATGACTAGCCAAATTGGCATCGCCGCCGACCGGTATGCTCCCAGCAAGCGGTGGCACTTCGATACCATGCTGCGCGTTTTGACTCTGGCTGGCAACTATGTCAAGGAGCAGATTCTCTCGTCTTTTGTTCGTCTCATTGCAACTACGCCTGAATTGCAGACATATGCCGTGCAGAAGTTATACACCAACCTCAAGAAGGATATCACCCAGGAAAGCCTTACCCAGGCTGGTGCTTGGTGCATTGGTGAATATGGCGATGCCCTGCTCAGAGGTGGCCAGTACGAAGAAGAGGAGCTTGTTCAGGAGGTCAAGGAGAGCGAGGTAGTTGATTTGTTTTCAACCATCCTGAACAGCAGCTATGCCAACCAAGTCACAACCGAATACCTTATTACGGCTCTCATTAAACTCACAACCCGGCTGTCGGAACCCGCCCAGGTCGAAAGGATTCGCCGTCTCCTTCAGAACAACCAGACAAGCCTCAATGTCGAAATACAACAGCGTGCGGTCGAGTTTGGAAATCTCTTCTCCTATGACCAAATCCGGCGTGGCGTGTTGGAAAAAATGCCGCCCCCTCAGATCAAGGAGGAGTCGCGCGTCCTCGGAGAGGCGGCAAAGAAGTCAACCAAGGCAGCCAACCGGAAATCTAAAGCCGTCAAGCCCAAGGAAGAAGACCTTCTGTTTGACCTTATGGGCGACAGCAATGTCCCAAGCCCCTCGCCAGTCAACGGCTCCCAAAACAACACCGACCTGCTAGCAGATATTCTCGGAGGGACCAGCTCACCTCCTCCCTCCGGCCCGTCACCTCCCGGACAGTCCAATGTGGCGTCTATCATGGATCTGTTCTCCCACGACCCTATCTCAACTCTGTCTCCTGCTCCAGTAGCCGCTGCAGCCCCAGCGAGTGTTGACTTATTCTCCGCTGTTGCCCCTTCCCCTCCTCAAGTGAACATTGCATCCCAAGCTCCGGCTGGCCACCCATGCTACAATAATAACGGCCTCAACGTGATTATTCAAATGCAAAGAAATGCAGAGGGGGCGATCCAGGCAGTAGCTCGGTTCCGCAACACCTCTCCTGGCAGCGCTTTATCCAACGTCGGTCTTCAGGCGGCTGTTCCGAAATCCCAGAAGCTTCAGCTGCTCACCATCTCATCTACGGACATAAGTCCGGGGGCTGAGGCCACGCAAATGATGAGAGTAACAGGGTGTAAAGGGGTAGGTTTTTTATCTTCCACAAGATCACCACAATTCCAATTCCGCTCTTTTCGTTGCTGACTCTTTATATTCCCAGCCTTTGCGCTTGCGCTTGAAGATAGGCTATTCGCACCCAGCTGTAGGCCAGGTTATGGACGTGGTCAACTGGACGGAGCCGTCTTGATTACCAAGGGTAGATATTAAGTAGATGATATCAAGGCCAGGGTAGCGTCGAATGACAGGAAAAGAATGAGCAAACAGTGAGACTATTACAGGTTATTACTCCACATCCAAAGGCGCGTCAAGTGAGCGGGGTGACTACCCCCTGGATCGGACAAGAAAATAAAGAGGGTTATCAAATTCTACAGTCAGTGCCACCCCGTGGTAAACATGAAGCAGGAATCGGGAATCAATGAGCGAGTTCTCGACATTGAATTGGCGATCCCAAATCATCGTGTTTTTGGCCCCGCCATCTGGCCTCTCGCCGAGTTTGGGGCCGGTGTGTCCATATCATATAGGCCAGTAATTTCCGCGTCCTTGTCTGTCTGTTCGCTCCAGAAATACAATCTAATCACTGAATGTTTGTTGGCGTGGTACTTCGTACTTCGGCAGAACAACCATTATAGCCCAACAAATAAACCAGCCAGGAAACCCTTTTAATAGGTAAACTTAGGGAATAAATAGGCCTCTTGGATTCTAAAATAGGGATTCCAATGACTTTTCATGTCCCTTGACGAAAAATCTCAAGGGCGAGCCTTAAGGTATTGAGGTTTTCAAATCTTGGAACGTCCCCCGCTAACAAACATTCAGGGATTGGATTGTAGAGACCTAAATACCCTGCCCCCTCTCCCAGTCACAACATCAATAGACAATAAATTTTTTTCTCGCAGCGAATGTTTAACTTGTCGGCCAGAGGCGCGCATATGTATGTGTGGTGTGCGTACCTACATGCATGCGTTAGTGGGTGGGTGAGTTACTGAACGTGCGTGTGTCGGTGGGTTTAGTTTCTTAGTTGAAGCTCGGAGGGGGGGAACGAGCATGTTGCGTCCAGTGTCAACTCGGGCGAGGTAAATGACAATCACTCGCTTTGCGGGTTCGATGGTTCATGTCGTGTCACACGTCACAAGCAGCAGGATGGTCAAATGACTATCTGCTTGATAGCATGTGTATTATACTATCTTGATTTCAGGCCTTACTGTCAGCCTGAGGCCATGATAGTATCTCCCTTCTTCCCCCATTTTCTAGCTCCTAGCAACCCAAGCCGGTGAAGGATCGGTCCTGCGGAGACCCTGAGATGATATATTATGTATGCGAGGAGTATTGTTGTGAGGTCAAGGAAGATAAAAAGAGACTCAAAGTGTTTATGCATCGAGTAATGCCCCTGGGAAGTTTTCCGGCCGTTCATGAAATTAAATACAAACAAGCGAAAGAATAAGGCGATATCGCCGAGCGCCTACAAACGCCCGCACGCCATGGTATGTGCAAAGCAAAATGCCCTATTATACAGTCTTCATGAATTCGTTTCGGATTTGTTGCTGCCGGCATGCCGGAGAGCTGCCTTTACTTCGCATAGAACCAATATCTGATGAATCAAGTGTTAGCGTACTACGTATTGAGCTTCATACGTTCAGGAATAACTTACTGTGCTGCATATTGCACCTCGAAGGTTGGTGTCAACCCCTTGCAACTCGCAGGAGCGCTGCCACCCGCAGTCTCAACACGGTAAACTTCTTGAAGACCGCCAGAGGCGCCAGCCTTGGCCACGAGCTTCAGCCACGGAACGGCTGGCTCTCCCTTCTGGCCCTTAGCCGCATTTGCCGGGGCTGGAGTGTTGTTGGTCTTGTTGCATTGTGCCTCGCCAAGCTTCAAGTTTTGGCTGACATCAAGGTTGAAGAAGGGAGTTGTGGTGGTGGTGAAGTAATGCAAACCGCTGACACCGAGGTTGGAAGGAGCAAGCTTCGATTCGTTTTCAGTCAGGTTAAATTGTATGGCAGCACGAGACAGCGAGCTGGCAAGATCCGGGTAGGTCGAGGCTAGGCACGAGGCGTTGAACAGGGTGGCCACTGCGCCGTTGGCGACCGGAACGGCGGTTGCATTTTTGAGATCGCATGTGTAGTTCTGGGTACCACGGCCAAGTGCAACATGCTTAAGGTACAGACCCGCAGTCGGCGGGGGGAGAGGGGTCGGTGCTATCTCAGATGTGAGTCTTGTTGACCTGAACGACGGATGAGGGTTTTGAGGAGAGATCCATACCAGCCGGGAGAAAAGCTTTGGAGAGGTCGCAGACGGGCGCCTGGATCAAGATCTTGCTCGCTTGAACCTTGGATGCCAATAGGTTGAAGTACTCGGCCACTGTATCTATGCCACCGGGCAATGCAGCGGCCACGTTGAGGTCTGGGAAAGTGGGAGCCGCAAAGACCGAGGAGCCCAGCGCTGAGAGGATGAATGTTGAGGCACGCATGGCTACGGCTGTGGTTGTGAGGAGGTGATATCAAGGCTGCCGTGAGTCGGGGCGGGATGTCAACTGCGCGGTCTCGAGAACGCGGTAGCGGAAGCGGAAGCGGTGGTAGGGATGTGAGCGATGTTATAGGTATCTTGGATGGAGGTTCAGAAGATGCGCCGTAGACCCGAGACCTAGTTGGCCAGAAACCGAAAGCAACCTGGATATGCCGAAATAGGAAAGGAAGAGGAAGGGAAAAAGCAGATACCGTCACAGGGAGGATGAGGGAAGTGCCCAACCAGACGGTATATAGAGAGAGAAGAGAATGGGATGAACGAGGAGGGGAGGTCAAGTGCCGATCTCAAGTCTACATTGTCTCTTGAGGAGCACTGGGGAAGGCTATAGTTATAGCACGCGTGTACGGTACGACCGACTGAGTGGACGAGAGCGCCCAGCTTCTACCCGCAGCCGGGCGGCACAAGTAAAATGGCCAGCCGCGACGCCCCGCCTGCAGGAACCTACCTGGGTACCTCGCGGAGGATATTATCCCACTGGGGATATTCGACAGATGGAGAGAAGCTCCTGCCCGAGAGGCGCCACTGGGCAAGCCCTCGAGAGCTTGGTTGAGAAAAAGGGCGCCGGGCCAGCCGCCGACAGGGTCGCAACGGCGGCGGGAAGGAAGGTGGGACAGGGATTACATGGACCTGTAATTGGAAAGCTGCTATCTGACTGGTCAAACCAAGCGATCTCTTTGCAAGATGGCGGGGAGCCCCCTGTCATCCTATTCCGGCTCCCCGCTGCAAGCGCCGGGGCCGTGCGTCTCCACTGTGGGTCAAATTGTTTGGACGAATTTCGCACTTCCAATGCATAGTTGTACCTGTCCCACGCCAGAGTATCTCGGTGAGCGCTGTAATGGTGGCGCGCACCAGCAACTTTGGGAGCTTGGCTGTCAAACTTGCCAGGTGTGAAGAGTTGTTAGCTTGCAGTCTGTCAAACCTAAAGGCAACCCCGGGTATCAAGCCTTGGGTAACTGCAATAGCGACTGACGAATGTGCGGCCCCTTGAGCGAGTTTTGCGACTCAACAAAGGAGGCTATAGAGACGCTTGTGCTTCCAACACCTCGGGGACGGACGAACCTGATTCACCTCCCGTCTGAACTCTTCACTAGACCTATGACGAACGAGGCTCGGGTTCTACATGAGCTCGCTCTTCACTCAGGAGATGGGACCGGGCCAACACAGGCAAAACATCATGGTTCAACGCGAACGTAGTAGCCGGCTGGTAGAACAGCCGAGTCGACAATAAAAGGGTGTAGTTCACTTGTCTAGCCGATGGTATGCCCTTCACCAGTGGTGAGGTTTGTACTGTTTGAAGCCCGTCCACAGACGGGGATCGAGTTAGCGCCAGCGGCTAAAAAAAGAAACGTGTGTGGAAGCGCGGCAAACAATGTGGGCAAAAATAGACATCTGGGATATTTACCCCCTCTTTCGCATCGTAATTTTGCCCCGCCCTCGCTAATTAACTCAGTCAAAATGGAGAAATTAGCCCGAAATTGACTTGTGTTTATCGGGCAGGAGTGACAGGACGGGCATCTCAACTGTCTCCGAAAATCTGTAAACAACGTAACTATCATGAAGCTTTTAGACCTATACATACCTTACTTACCGATGTTTTTAATAAAAATATTCAGTTCTCTCTTGAGTTGAGGGTCATGGGGAAGACCTGATACGGCGAAGAGATATTTCTAAAATGCCATTTTAGGTGTCCATTTTCCCATGTCGTCGTCGTCATCGTCATTCCCATTATCACGATCGCGGCTCTCACTACCCGTCTGTCCTAGTCACGTTCTACAAAACTACCTATCTATGCGCCCGGGACGGGGGACTTTGCAGCGGCCAAGAAGCAGCCAGAGCAAATCGACTAAAAAAACACCCGCGTGGTTTGCAGGGGGGTGTTGTCTGACACCGCTGAATTAGACGCTGGCCGCCCGTCGTAGCCCTCCAAACACATCTCCCTCCCCCCACCATCATCCATGACTGTGGACTTCCATGTTGTGGATCTCCCGTCCATCCAGACCCAGACACCCCCCAATGGCGCCCAAAAAGCCCGCCCAGTCCCACCATTGGAAGCTCAAAGGAAACCCCAATATCGAGATCTGGCCGGAGATTCGCTCGACGTCAGATCGACTTCTGCAGCAGGCGGGAAGCAGCAGAAGCGGAGCGCCGAAGGTTCTCAACCCGCCACCGGATGCAACTCCAAGGTCTTCAAAGGCATCGTGGCAATGGCTGCACATGAAGCCGACGCCTACCTAATCTTAACGCTCCTATATTCTCTTGATCCGAATTACAATTTCCCGCATGTGATGATGTAAAATTCGTGGCGGGATTGGTCTAATCCCTGAATATTTGTTAGCCGGAAACTCTAAGATTTGAAAGGCCGTAATAACTTACGGCTTGCCCTAAAGGTAGGAAAAAGCTATTAGAATCCCTATTTTAGAATCTTGGAAGCCTTTCTCTATCTTAGAAATACCTATGACAGGCTTTTCCTAGCATTTATATTTATCATGATCATTACTATTTATAAGTATCTAGGTACCACGCTAACAAACATTTAGGGATTGGAGTGTATGAGAGGCCTTGGAAGTCACCGACAAGGCCTCAGAGTCGTACTGAATTGATATGTATTCACCGTGCAAGAGTCTGCGGAGAATAGTACGATCGAGAGGCATTCCCTGGAAAAGTGTCAGTGTACCTAAATCGATTACTTGTTTGCTCTGCTCTTCCCCATATTTTCCAAAGACTATGATGTGTGAACCAAGATTATCAAACTCCTCCAGCTGCTACGCGATAAAACATAGGTACAATACAACACACACAATTTTGTGTGGTTCAACCGCCGGGCACTATTACAGACCATGGAATATGAACAATGGTAAAAGCAGGAAACTGAGGTGGGCGGATAACGGATCGAGCGGCCGGCCACCAGGCATTCTCGGAAGAAGGATGGCAACTAGTCCGCCCGATGCCGACTACGTAGCCGCCGAGGTCTTTACAGACGCCTTGCAACCGCCTTCCGTCTTCAAACCCGTCCCACAGGTAAAATATCCCGGTGTGCAAGAATCAGGATGCTCTCCTTGCTTTGCTATACCACCATCAGCAAGCAAAGCCTCCTTCTCGGATGAATGGCCAGAACTGATACCCCATACCACACACCTTTTTTAAACCCACCCCCCCCTCTCCTGTCGCATTATACACAATTACACGCAACGTCATCATCATTGCCCATGTCGAACTTTTCATTGTCCATTAAACCCTTCTTCTTGCCATTTCCTATGATCAGCAGTGCCAGCTTTGTCGCCAGCCACCGCCGCCACACCTCCATTCGCGGCGGCAGCAGCAGCGGCTCCCGCAGCACTATGACTCAAGTGGCTGGCGTGTGTATCCACGTTGATGGTGCCAAGCCAATAAAGAGAGAAGAACACGAGGAGGTGCAACGCAACGCAGTAGATAGCGAAGAGATTCCTGCTGGTGCGGCTGGCCAGCACCATACGCGTGACCGAGTATACTATGCGCTCCGGCAGGCTCATGCGTTTGTAAGCACGTGCCGACTCGCGACCCCGGAACGCCGCAAAGGGCGAGATATTGGACTCATAGGCCTTGCGGTACCGGTCTAGCACGATGCCCGGGTTGCCACTACTGCCCCCGCCTACCGAGACAGTCGAGGGGTTAGGGTTGGAGGCGTATGCGGATGACGACGACGACGAGCTAGGCGCCGCGCGGTTGTACGTGGACACGTAACGTGTCTTCTCGTAGAGATTCAGATTGTCCTTTTGGAGCGCGGCAATCTCCTGCCGCAACTGTGACATGTTTTTGTTGCACTCGGACAGCTCCTGCTCGAGCTGCGCGTTCCTCTTCTTGAATCGGTCGCGCTGTGCTGTGATCATGGGAAGGATACCAGACCCGCCGCCCATCAGTTCGCTGCTAGAGTCGCGCGGGCTGAAGCCGCTTATGATTGACGAGGTGGGTGACGTCCTCCCTTTACGTGTTGGCGCCACCGATGGGGCGTACCGACTCACGTACGTGCCGGCCACGGAGGCGCCTGACGGAAAGGCATTGGGCGCCTCGGCTTGGATTGTCGCAAGCTCGTCCTCAAGCTTCTCATTGAGGTTCTGAGACTTTTCAAGCTCAGCATTCGTCCTCGAGAGATCTTCTTGCATGTTTTGCAGTCTGTTCTGGAGATCCTGATGCGACACACGCAAAATTGTGAGCTCGTCGCCCAACTTCTTGTTGCGTGCTAGGAGAAGCTGCTCCAGCGTGTCTCCCTTGCCGTTAACGACTGTTGCGTTCTGATCATCGGCAGGATCCCTCCCGTCGTCGTCATCTCCGGTCGAGAATTCGATGCTCTTGAGCACCTCGAGCTCCTGCTTGACGTCGTCGTAGTCGCTCCACCTCTGTACTTTCCCCTTGAGAGTGTCTCGTTCTTCTTTAAGCAGTCCGACCTCTCTCTCTAGACTGCGGAGCCTCGTATCAAGATCCCTCTTTAGCCCTTCCTTCTCAACCCTCGAAACGTCCAGTTTCCGGATAAGCGAGGAGTTCTCAGACCTCATCCTCGTATAACCAGGATCGTCTTCCAAGACGAGCGCAGGCTGTGCAGGCACCTGCGACTTGGCCTGCGCTAGATCCAAGCGTAGCTGCTCGTTCCGGGCCTCTACCTCCGCAAGTCGTGCACTGGTACGCTCTAGGTCCGAGTGGACCATTTCCAGCTCGGCACTAGTGAAATGCCCCCGCTGGCTGTCCTCGGCATCTTCGGATTTGCCTAGCCGTTGGTTGACCTCATAGCTGGCCTTGATCTCGTTGAGTAGGCGTTCTTGGTTTTCTAGTTTGTCCTCTAGGGCTTTCTCTTTGGCCGCCCAGTTGTCCTGCTTTTCATCGAGGACACTGGTCCACGAGACCTCAACCTCCTTTACTTTTCCCTCGAGGTTTTCCTGTAACTGCTTCCTTGCGTCGCGCTCTGTCTGTAATTTGGACTCCGTGTCCTCAAGTTGGGATGTTAGCCCGGCAACTGTTTCCTGTAAATGCTGATTCTCCTGGCTGAGCTTTGGTAGTGTGTCCTCGGACACGAGCATTGAGTCAACCGAAGCCTCGAGAAGAGGGTAGGGATCTGGGGCTTCGGAAAGCGATGTGTAGGCGTGAAGAAAGGCCGAGTTTATGGATTTTGAGTGGTTAGCCAGGAGGTCGATGAAGGTCTGGTAAGCTATTCCTCGGCGTTAGAACATATTTCCACATTTTCGCCTAGTTGCCACCGGATGTACCTTTTAGTAGGCCCTTGATTTCCGACAGCTTGCTTCCATCGTCCAACTTCCTAAAGTCCTTGGTTTTCTGCGCAAGATCCTTCCTCTGGACCGTCGAATCGCGTTGAAATGTTACGATCTCGGACGCCGTGTTGTCCAAATTTGAGACCAAGGATGTGAAGTCGAGGCCTGACGAACGCGTCGGTCAGCTCGGCGCACCCAGTCAGAGCGCAAAGAGAGTACATGAGAATCAGCCTACTTCTCCATTGTGAGATAGCGCTCTGGAACTTGTTGGCCACATCGTGGCCAGTTGTGGGCGCCGGTAAGTGGATGCTCGCTCCCGTTGTTGGGGTGTCAGGGGCGCTGCCGTCGGCCATTGCCTAAGAGACGAGTTGGTCGTCGGAATTCTTGGACTGGGGTAGCGGAGATGGCAAAGATCCCAACGGTTTATTGAGGTAATAACAGCCACAATGACGCTGTGACGCCTTAATGATGGAACATCGGAAGTTTGGCTGTGAGTCTGTGTGATGATGAATTAATTGTAAGCGTTCGGAATAAGGTGGCTCGAAAGTCCTGCGAGACGGCTGGCGGTTGGCCCAAGCGGATGGGTCCGCGGCACGCGTCCCACTGGTGGCTCAGGGTCTAGCCTAGAAGACCCCTAAACCCAATTAGACCTAACGCCCTAAGGAGCTAATGTATCCGTACCTAGGTATCTTTCAGCCTTCCCCACTGCCGTATGCGAATGCGTAACCACACGAGAGCTTCCATCCCAGCCTTACCTAACGCCGCAGCCTTCGAATAGCCTCCTCAACTGGCCAGCCGCGCGTCTCCGAAATAAACCGAACAACGCCCTGCTGCTCCATCCAGGATCGCCTGTGAGCTGTAGGAGGTCCTAGTGATGATGGTGTGCGGTGTACAATGGCATCTGATGCAAGGAGAAGGCTGCCGAAGGCGCTAAGAAGCCCTGGAGCTGGCCCCTTCGTACTACGACAGCTGCTCCACGACGTTCCTCTGTCTGCCGATGGCGCCAATGAGGATATCAAGATCAACTGCGTCGACTATCTAGGTATGAGCTCTGGTGTTTCTCGTCCGCAGTCGGAGTGTAATTGGGATGTTAATGGGCTGGCGCATAGATGGCAACCTCTACATCGGCACCACGGCGTCTGAGCTGCTACATTTCTTCCGTATCCCCCCCGACCCGCATGATCCGGAGAGCAGCGCCTCCTTTATTCTAGCCTCCCGCCGGAATCCCGAATATTCAGCCGCCTCCGCTGCCACCAATGGCCCGCGCCCCGGTGTGCAGCAGATCCTCCTGTTGCCACGCGTTGGCAAGCTCTGCGTCCTGTGCAACTGGACCGTGACCTTCTACTCCCTACCCGAGCTGAGTGAGGTCTTCAACGGAACTCAAGTTAAGAACTGTAACTGGATTGGCGGCGTCGACCTGAACGATGATGCTGGTGACGCGGATGATAGATCAAGGGGTGTGACTATACTCCTCTCGCTCAACCGCCGGATACAGGTAGTCAAAATAGGGGCCGAGGATGCTCGCGTTATTAGAGTACGTATTACTCTGCCAGGCCTGCCAAGAAGAAGAAGAAAAAGAAAAGGAAAAGGATGTCTAATGTTTTCTAGAAAATCGACTTTGCCGGCAGCACCCTCTCGGTACGCAGAGATTCAATAGCATGTGTAGCCGATTCCCAAAGCTATTCCTTGTTGGATGTTGAGCGTCAGCTGAAGATTCCCCTCATGAGCATCTCATCTTTGGATGACTCGCAGCTGGGGGGGACTTTTGGTCAGGCCCAAGACATTGCTGGCGGGCCAGATGGTGGGCTGCTAAGAAGTTCATCTTCTGCCACCGCTCGTTCCCTATTAGCACCGCACGATACACAAGGCCATGGCCGTAGTACGAGCTTGGGTGGCTTCATCACCGGTAACATACGCAGAAACGATAGGAGGCCGACAGAGGCCGATGACGTTGTCTTCCAAGACGCTGAACCGCCGCCGCCTTCCCGAAGCCCTGCTCCTAGAGCATCGTCTTCAAGCCGTGCCCAACAGGACTCAGACAAGCCACTCCCTGCCCCTCCAACAGAATCCGGAGGAGAAGCGGCCGCCCACCCTGAGAGCGCCCAGGTTCCGGCGCGGACAGTGTCACCTCCAAAAACAGGATCGGCATTCCTGAGACCTCACATCCTGTCGCCTGCCTCGGAAGAGTTTCTCCTTGTCACAGGAACAGGCCCTCTTGATCCAGGCATTGGCATGTTTGTGAATCTAGACGGTGACCCGACCCGACCGACCCTGGAGTTCGATAGATATCCCCGCGAAATTGTGGTTGATGGGGGAGCATCAGACCTCTCTTCATCGAGACCGTCTCTTGGTACCGAGGAAGAGGGATATGTCCTTGCTTCCATGGTCAGAGAGTTTGAAGATGGCCTGCACCACGGTCTCGAGATACAACGATTTGACGTGAATGTAGGAGAGGATGAGCCTGAAAAGTTCTGGCTAGAGGTCGGAAACACGGAGACAAAAGGTTCAATACCCAACACCCCGATAGGCATCCGATCATTGATGCAGAGCGAGGAGACACTGTTCGAAGAGGTGGTAGATAAGCTTTGCCAAAGACGGTTCTCGCCGTTTCGGGGCAATCCCGACACGCCGACCATGTCCCTGAGAAGCATGGATTCCCGCACAGCGCTGTCCATGGAGAGGCAATCTCAAGAGAAGGAGTTATTTGATAGAGATTTGGAGTCGGATGATGAGTCACTTCCTCCAAACTGGGAGGCTACAAGGAACAAGGAGGGCAGGGAATTCGTACGAAGGCTTGCAAAGACTTCTTCACGTGTGGCTGTGTGGGCAGGAGCCGATATTTGGTGGGCTGTTCGGAATCCTTTACTCTTGCAACTAGAGATGGCGCTTGAGCTTGCAACCTCTGGAGGCCAAGATGCCACAGTGGGAAATACGGACGAGAGGCACCAAATTCTGGCACTTCTGGACACAATCAAGGGCCGAGATGCAAGAACAGAACTCGAGTTTATGACTCTCGGCTATATCCGGCAAAGAGCCAGCATTATGCTCCTGTCAACATTCCTCAGCTCGCCAGAGCCGCGATTTTCCGACGCAGAAACAAAAGCAATGGAGGAGAACCTTCTAGGCGGGGATCTGGACGCCAGAGTTGTCCTTGCACTAATTCCAGCCCTTCGAAACGAAATTGTGGTGAATCGGAAAGGGATCTGGATTTACGGCGGAGTGAAGGCTACCGTCGAGGGCTATATCTCAAGCGAGGAGATCCGTCCGAGTATCCAGACAATCAACTCCTTGGACCACCACGTCCTCTTGTTCTTGAGGCGTTTCCTCACAGCATGGAGGAAAAAGAAAGGATTTGGCAGCATACCGGACGAGGTCTTCCGGACCGTGGACGCATCCCTACTACTAGTTCTCCTAGAGCTTGACCAAGACACGCCAAAGGGTCAGGCTGCCAAAACCGGCTCTGTCCGGAAGGATCTGTACGATCTAGTCGATCATGGAGTCGACTGCTTTGACAGAGCTGTGGACCTTCTTGAGTCGTACGGTCGCCTCTTTGTCCTCAGCCGGCTCTACCAACACCATAAGATGGCGGCGGATGTTCTCGCAACGTGGCGACGTATCGTCGAAGGCGAGGAAGACAGAGGGGAGGAGCTTGGAGACGGCGAGCAACGGGTCAAAAACTATCTTCCAAACATTAGCAACCAGGCGCTAGTGCAGGTATATGGCGTGTGGCTCGCCGCTCGCAACCCCAGGCTTGGTGTCCAGGTCTTTGCAGACGAGAAAGGCAAAGCCCCGAAGTTTGAGCCCACTCAAGTTGTGGCGATACTGAGAGAGGAAGCGCCGGACGCGGTGAGATATTACCTCGAATACTTGGTCTTTGGGAAAGGTAGTACAGCCTACGTCAACGAGCTGATCAGATATTACCTTGACATTGTCATTGGCGACTTGCAGTCTTCGCCAGCCTCGCGCGCGACTGTCATTGCGTCATATGAGGGATATCGCGCCCTCCGCCCACCGAAACCGACGTATGTGCGGTTCCTGACAGATAATGCCCCGCCCAACGACGAAGCCTGGCAGAGCCGCCTGCGCCTGCTAGAACTTCTCGGTGGGGGCCACGACTATGATGCTGCGGCTATCCGTGAGCGCATCGACTCGGCTAACCTAGCGTTATCGGAACAAGACCAAAACTCCGGGGCTGCCCAGCAGCAGCTTCTCGTCCCCGAAGCCATTATCCTTGACGGACGAGCCAGACGCCACGAGGATGCTCTCCGTCTTCTGGTCCACCGGCTGGGCGATTACGACACGGCCGTTTCTTATTGCCTGCGAGGGGGCTCGTCCTTGGCGGCGTTGGCACCAGGCCGTCGCGACAGTCTCCCGACGCGGGAGACGCAGGTACGGCTCTTCCGCGTGCTTCTGGCCGAGTTCCTCATACTAGACGATGTCAGCGACCGCGTTGAGCAGACAGGTGCGCTGCTCAAGCGTTTTGGTGGCTGGTTCGACGCCCTTGAGGTGCTGTCCCTGATCCCCGACAGCTGGTCGGTCGACGTGACGGCGGGTTTCCTGATGGCGGCTCTGCGTAGGCTTGTGCGCGAGAGGCACGAGAGCATGCTCACCCGGTCCCTGAGCCTCGCCGAGAATCTGGACGTCAACTATGATCGCCTCGTCAAAATTGACGAGAAAGGGCCCGTGGTAGATATAGAGACATGATGAGCCCAAAATTCGCGGCAAGTCTTTTGTGGTCTTTTACATCTAGACATGCCAGCTAAATGAGATCATACGATATTTTGTATACTATTTCATCCGCTACTATCGGCATATGGCGTCCGAGAAGAGGGCGGTTCTACGTTTTGGAGCTTATTTCTAGGGCTTATACTCCGTATTTTAGAGATTCAAGATTCATAAGATACCTAGGTACCTACCATTGTAACGTCTAATAGGGCGTCTAACATTGTTGTGAAACTAGAAACCCGTCTTGATAACAAGCATCCAGAAAACAAGTCCAGAGGGAGTGCGTTAGTTCGCATCTTCATAGTAACATTTTTCCACCCAGTGATGGAGAGTCTTCAAGTGGTATTCGGCTCATCTTGTCATCCCCTCTACAGTTTCAAAACCTCTATGTACGACACACCAGTGGTTCGTACGTGAGGTAGAAATGCGATTCTTCGGCGGAGGTTTAGGTGCTATCAAGCAAGCGTGCAGATTGGGAATTGCACTCGTGTTGCACAGTCTTGTTTCCTGTATAAGTGATGTAAGCAGGGCTCACGGCTATGATATTTAGATCACCGCCTCCTAATTTGGGTTATTACCGGAACTTTTAAGATGCGAGCTCCGGCGGAGCCGAAAGCTATGGCTTGTTCATGGAACTCTTGAGATCCGTCATCTCTCGCGTCTCTCATCTCCCGTATCCCGTACCTTATCCTCGTTTGGCAATTGTTCCTGAATAATTACCAAAGCCTAGCAGCAGTAACAGATAATCAACACTCACTCGAGTCCGGGGGCAAACCATGTGTGGGAATGGAAGTACCTCAGAGACATTCGAGTTATTGCACGGGCTCCAATATGTCGAGTTTCGTCTCTTTCAATCCTACTTCCCCCTTAACATATTTCTTATCGACTTTCGTCAGCACCGTCTGCCAACATTCTTACAAGTTGTCTGTCAGCTGTAGGCAGTTAGTTGTATGGTTCTGCAAGTAGCTCGTGCACGATTAGAAGCGGAAGGATTCGAAACTGCTGCAAGGGCCACGAGAGCCAGAAGCAAAAGAAACGCCCTCCACCGCCCTGGGATTCGTCGTCGCTCATCACCAGAGAAAGGCGTCCCATGGTTCTTGAACCTAGACAACCGAAAACCACCCTTGGGCCAACCGCTTAAACACTAGGCCGGTACAGGATGGCGTACCAGAAGAAGTTGTCGTCGAGAGCGGGGCACGTCGAGATCCTCCTGCTTGTCATCGTCCGAGCGCAAAAGGACATGGCAGGCACGCTGCCGCCGCCCGATGGTGGCTGGCTTGGCTCCTCTGTTTCTCTGGCGCCCCTTCCACCAAAGCAAGGTAGGGCCGTTTTGCCGGTGACGATAAGTGGGTGGCATAAGTTTTGGGGGGGAGGTCTAGACACGTGGTTTTGCTATCTCTCTGCCGCATTGCCGCCTACCCTACCCAACAGGGCTACTATCTTCCGTCCTCTTTTGAAGACGGCGCCTAGGAGGTTGCTAGCGGTAGCTCCGGCTGACGCCATCGAACTACACACAAAGTTCCAGACAAATGCCCTCTCTGATTGAGATGCGGGAGATAAGAGGCTAGGATTCAGGGGGCTGCCCATCTCTGCATCCGCAGGAACACGTAAACTGACCTACCCAGACTCCATGAGAATCCGAACCCGAGTATAGTATCTCTGGTCAAATTCTGCTCATCTAGTGTCCCGGTTGTCAAATCCGAAAACACTGCTGAGCATGGCATGTGCTGTGTGGACTGCGTAGATATGCCAGGTAGGTACGTCAGTTGTATTGTCGTTGTTTCGAGCTACTCGTAGAAGTGATACGCCTGCCCATTCCTTTTCCCAGAGATGTCTTGTGTCTTTCTGTTTGTTTCCCCCATCCTTATCACAACAACAATGATCATACATGGATTATAGTAGCACTAGAAAACTCCCCATTCCTTTGTTTCTCCCTCGCCATGTGAGAATCCTCTTAAAAAGAATTCCTGGGCAGGATTGTTGGTGCGCTGTGAATGATGCGAGCTACGCCTATGCATACCCCCAACCAGAACTCAGATTTAGCGTTCAACTTCATGCATGAACGATCTCGACAACTTAATGAGCTGCGGAGGCCCGGGTGGCCATGAGCGCAGAGTTACCTGTGTTTACAATTTGGCTGAAATTTGATACGAGAGAGGAAAAACTGGTTCTGTGCTTGTCAAGGAAGACAATTTGACTAATAGCTATAACATAAGCTAGTACCTAACAAAGGGAGTCATTGGGTTTAGACTCTGTCTCGCTGTGTAGACTGCTAATGGTTATAAGTCTGAGCTAAAATCTGTGCCGCTCTATACGTCTGATCTGCAGCTTTTACTCGGAAATTTGGATCGATGAATATTCCGTATATGGATACTTTTAACACCGGTACCCCGTCAATAATTACGTACAAGTGCAAGGAGATCTTGTAGATAGGAGTTTGAAGAGCCGGGAAGGCCTGCCACCTCTCATCTTGCGCAGATCGACTGAGCGAGGAGTATAGTGCGAGTGTGATCTAGGAAAACAAAGTTGCATCACAAATTCTTTCTCAGAACATCTTGTTGAAGCCGCAAAACAACAGCGCCGGGGTTAAGGCCTTTGCGTCCTGTTGCCTGCAGTGCCTGTCACGCTCCTTCGTGCCATCGTGCAAACTCGATGGCTGGGACTGTATGTAGGGTACCCAAGTTGGGTGTTGTAGGGAGCTCTCACGGGCCATGACGGAGCATTTGCCTCGTTTTGGAACACGAAGTCACGGGCATGGAAACCTCCACGCATGTATGGCAATGTGTTCTTCACTCGCCACACATGGCGCAAAGAATATTAGGTAGTATCTCTCTGAGCGGGCTCGAGCCGGGCTCGTTGATGGTGGGGGAACCTGGCCAGACTGGGTCGGCGTAATTGATCGACTGGTTCGGTGAATCATGAGTTGCACAGACACACACCGAAACAAAACATGACCCCGGAATTCACGTTTAACCCCCAGGGATAAGGTGCCAGGGTCCAACAACCAGCTGCAGTCAGGAGGCCCAGACAATCTACCTCTGCCATGCCGAGAACTCTTCTGCAACAAGGGCCCCTGTTGAAGATGGAGGGGGGTTGTGTGCTTGTCCTCGGCATCTCTGGAGAGCCGCAAGACAAGGAACAACCAAGATATCTGCCTATTGAGGTTTGTAAAGATTCGCGGGGCGGGCGGGCTGACACTCGTTGCTGCACACCACTAGAAGTGATGCAAAGAAAGCAAACACGGGGAGCATCTTGCTTACCCAGGCAGTAAATAGGGGTAATCGAGCTGAAAGATGAAGTTGCAGTGGCCGTCGTCGTCGGTGAGCCTAATCTTGAAGGTGACCTTTTGCCAAGCGGTGGCGGACAAGAGACGGGCGACGCTAATTGGGGGCAACATTAGATCTGGTGTTGATCGATGGCGAATGTAAGTGGACGAAGCGAGATCTCGGTAAGTTTGCCCCTTGTACTGTACATACAATACCGATATCCACGCGGCGTCCTGAACCATACCTATCCAATTGTAGGTAGTGGTGGCTAGCAGCTGAGTGCGGACGCCTCTGCGCCTTTCAATTTGGCGACGTGTTTGACCAACTCCTGGTGGATGATCTATGCAGACCTTGAAACAAGATATTGTTGGCTCCCTAAAAGCGGACAGTGCCATTCTTCAGTGCTATCCATCTGTTAGGCAGTTATGTTTTGGGGTCTTGGACGTGCTTCGAAGAATGGCAAAACACCAAAAAAGAAATCGAAACAGGCCGCTTGGAAGTTGCTCGGACAGCTGGAGCTGACGTGGCAAGTGCGTCGGTTGTGTCTCCCAGATGGCTCCTGCTGTCAACTCCCTCACAGCGCACAACCCAGTGGGAAATACCTCACGTCCGCCAACTCCTCCTCCAACAAACCCAACTGCCCCTTTCGCTACTTAACCTTAACCGAAGCTGTAGCCATCGCACGCATTAGGAATTAGCAGGCGCCGATTGTTGAATGATGGCTGTGGTGAGAGACGGGAACAGAGAGAAAAACCCGGATTGCAATTGAACAGCAGCTACGGATTACCACACACCTACAGAGTACGGACACCTGAGGCCGAAGCCAAGCGCAGGTTGGCGAACGGACGGACCTCCTTTCGGAATGGCCGCTGAATACGGCGCAAACGGCGCTCATCTGCCCGGGGGGGTCAACAGCGGGGTTAGGGCGAAGCCGTCAGGGGACCCTAGTGGGCCAGGCTACTCTCCACGTGGGAGCACCTCCACCATTTCGGTCATTCGTGCCGTCGACCCTCTCCCCCGCCCCCGTCAATCACGACTCGCAGTCTCCAACCACCAACCATGGATATCTAAAACCCTAAGCAACACCTCCAACTTTTAGCAACTATGAAACCTACAGCACCCAATCTCGACCTCGGTCTCTGCCCAGAAGGCACACCTTTTTGCTCCATTAGCCATGGGCAGGATCTCCGCATCAACGTCTTCAGGCTGCGCTTTGACGTATTTTATTTAGCGCACTTCGGGGTCATGTTCCGTGCACCCACGATCTTTGCGAATCGGGGCCAATTTTAGCATCTGGCGTTCTAGTATGACTCTCTGACGGCCAGGCACGCCGGTAGGCAAGTATCGGAATGGTATAAGGCAACCATTCAAGTGAGACGTCCTCGACGCCAATCGACGAATTGGAGATGCAAACACCCGCCACAGGGCCGATGGCATCCCGCATGGGGTTTCTGATGACGGGCTGGCCCGGCCTTGTCAAACACCCTCGACACCAGAAGCGCCAATCGGTCCGGGTATTGTGTGGCTTGCTGCAAGACCGCTTGCCGGCAGTTTGCTTCAATGACAGAACACCACCACCTAGTTCTCGATATTTTCCGGTGCCAGTTCGCGCACGTACACGCCATCCTCGTGTCACCCGTATAAGACGACGATGAGACCGATCATCTCGACTTGCTTTGGCCCCAGGGTATGTATCGTACAGCACCTACCTACCACTTTCGGCAAGCCAAGCCAGGCCAGTGAGGAACCATGGAGGTGTGCTCAAGTTATTCTAATTAACAACACTGCGTGCCAAGTTGGCTTCGCTCACGTGTACTGCACATTGGTACCATACAAAATTCGTGCCAGTGTTTTGGGCCATTGCCAAATGGGGGGGTCAGAGAGATATTATATCCTCGCCTCTCTGACCCTCAATTGCCACGGCGTGCTGTATTGTTTTGTTGTGCAATACAAAATGCAATTAAACCCGTCCGGCTGTTAGAGACTGCCCCCCCCGATAGCCGTCCAGTTCAAGTCAAGGCACGTTGCTCGGCTTGGGGACATCCTGTTGCCGGTGGTGGTGGTAGCAGCTTCTAGTACTGTACTTGACTGGACACCCACACCGCGTTTGATACCTGTACCCAATCCCAGAGCCGGCATCCCTGCTCGTCGCCACGCCCGTCCGCTTCTCCTACAGGCTCTTCTCCCCGGCCTACCCTGGCTGCATTTTGCCGTTGGGAGGCATTTTACGGTTCAAGTGTTTGTCGTGCACCCCTGCTATCCAAACTCGTCACCCTGTTCTTGCTCATCATGTACCGTTTGCTACGAATCCGGACGGACAAGCACTTCCTAGCCTGCCCTCTGTCCCACATATCTACCTCAAGAAATAACCATCGACAAGAAGATCCCCCGGGCCCAGGATGCTTCTGTGTGCCATCCTGGTCAGGAGCTGCATGAGATCTCTTGGATATCTCTCTTCCCATCCGCATCTTTCAGCAACCGTCAGACTAGCATCCCCAGTGTCTCTTGGTCCTGTTATTAGTTGGAGGATGGTTCTCTGCACCCATCCCGCCTAGCCCGTCTGGAACTTCCTATTACTCCTTTTCAGACGTGTCACTGTTCGTGCTCTCTTGACGTCCTTGAATACAGAGCAGCGCTGGCTCAACCGACCCCGGCCCCGGACATATAACCTGCCGTGGCTAAGTCGACGCCGCGAACGAAGTTGCCATCAAAACAGCGAGCGACCTGACTACCGCCAATCTCGAAGTCTAGCTCTTATCCCCAGCTACTGACGACTTTCATCGGCGAACAGTCCCCGGTAGGACGCTTCGAAACTCAAGATGGATATTCTAGACACCTCAAGGTCGCAGTTAGATGTCTTCAGCATCATCGAGAGGGCCTGCTCCGTCTTCTCCCTGCTCGGATGCGTCATAATCATCACGAGTTTCTCTCTTTCCAAAGCCTTCCACAAGCCCATCAACCGTTTGGTGTTTTACGCTTCCTTTGGCAACCTTATGACCAATGTCGCAACTCTCATGGCCCGCTCCTTCATCAATGATGGAAACTCTGCAGGTTGCCAGTTTCAGGCCTTCCTCATTCAGATGTACGCTCCTAACCGTCACTATCTGAAAGCCTCCGTCTCGGCTAACTAACACGTTCGATTCAGGTTCATGCCCGCCGACGCGTTCTGGACATTGGCCATGGCCGTCAATGTTTACTTGACCTTTTACTTCAAGTTTGATGCGCAGCAGCTACGGAGGATGGACATCCCTTACATCGTGTGCTGCTATGGGATCCCGTTTATCGTCGCTTTAACCTTCATCTTCGTGTCGGCGCCAGACAAAGGCCGCATGTACGGCAACGCCTCGTTGTGGTGCTGGATCAGTTCGCCATGGGACATCTTCCGCATTGCCACGTTTTACGGGCCCGTCTGGTATGTAGTCCTGTCCACTAGCGCATGTAGAAGGATACAGATAACTAACGCTGAAGCCCCATAGGATCGTGATTCTCATCACCTTTTTCATCTACATCCGCGCCGGACGCGACATATACAAGAAGCACAAGCAGTTGCGCGAGTTCACGAGCTACAGCCACCACGACCCCGAACCTCTTCCTCCCATGGACGACACCTTCAGCTCGAGCAAGACGACCGAGGTCTTTGTTACGACCGAGGTCCTCGACAGGGAACGCCGCCTCGACGTGACGCAGCTCGGCGCCAGCGGCCGTCGCCCGTCGACATCGTCAACGATAGCGCCGAAGCTCCCAAACAATGCCGCGTACTCGGTGACCATCTCGTCGAGCCGGCGCGCCGCCGAGCGCATGTCTTATGGCGACGTTGTCTTGCCTATTCAGACCAACGTCACCATCGAGTCCCGAGCCGCGCCGCCGCGTGCCGCGAACCCCATGCGCCGCAAGGCCGCATTCGAGGCGAACAGCGCCACCTGGTCATACACCAAGTGCGCCATCCTCTTCTTCACGGCGATGCTGGTGACGTGGATCCCGTCGAGCGCGAACCGCGTCTACTCAGTCGTGCACAACAATCGCGCGTCGGTGCCGCTCGAGTACATGAGCGCCTTCGTGCTGCCGCTGCAGGGGTTCTGGAACGCCATCATCTACGTCGTGACGTCTTGGAAGGCGTGCAAGATGCTATTCGAGGACACCCTTGGGTCGTCGTCGTCCCGGCGGGCCAAGGTGCTGCCCGCGCGTGTCGGCGGCTCCTTCCAGATGATGAGCAGCGGCCGCAACGGCTCAAAGGCCAGCGGCAAGTCGTACGAGAGCGAGAGCATGACGGAGCTCGCAAACAGCCGCCCCAGCTCCAACAACGACCGCAAGTACTCGGAGTACCCGAAGTCGCGCCAATAGACGCGCCACACCCTCTACGAGATATCGAAACTGAAGTCACTAAACTGTTACGATAGGGAGCTCTTGTACATCACGACCAACTGGTGCGGATTGACGTCGTTAATTCGGCTGTTCAACCCCCTTTTTTTTTCTTCCTTGCAATGATTTTTATTACGCCTATGTAATTCTATGTATGGGCTGGGTTTTTGAGACTGGGTCTCAAGGGCGGCGCATTGTTTTCTTTTTTGGGTGTTTTTTTCCTTCTCTCTACTCCCCAATTGAGGGAAACATATACCCCTTTCACTGATCTTTTTTTCCCTAGGGCCCCTAGTAGCGGTCCCGTGACCGCGCCGCTTTGGCGCATTTTTGGGAAGATTCTGGAAATTGAAGCTTATCTTGGATTCTGGGGACAGGAGGGACGGAAGGACACACACTTCAGGCAATGGGGGGGCACAGCAACTGCTTTACGGGAATAGGTCGGTTGGGAAAAGGGGGGATGGGGGTTTCCATTTCTCCATCCAGTTACGGATACGTGAGTGTAAAAGTGTTATGGAAATACGGGACGGGGGCCCGGGAGAATCCAGCAAGTCCATTGGACATCGGACATTGAAGATATCCCATATCAAAATTTTGCATGGAAGTACCTTAGGGCTAACTTCCATGAAAATAAACTAGTTGTCAATCGTGTCTAGTTTTTTTTTCTCCCGTAATGAAATGCATTTCTTGGTTTTTCGACGATCCTCGATTGACAGTCCTCCTGTTGAATTCTCAAAGCAATCTGGCAGCCTAAGTCCCCAAGGCCGGTTTTAAAACCCGCGACATCCAAACACGATTTCTCGGGGTTCTTTTGCATTTTATCAGTGGGCTTCTCCTCTACAGGTAGGTAATGGACAATAGCTACAATGGGACGGGGGAAGAGAGAGAAGGCGTTTGATCGTGCTCTCTTCCCGAGACTGGGGGAACTTGGGGGTTGTCTCGGGTTCCACGCGGCACCACACGGCATAGAACCGGCAGTTTGGGGCGACCTCCTTTCTTCTTCTTTCTTTTGTTCAGTTGTTCTTTTTTTCTCGCCCCACGATTTATTATACGTCTGTCGAGATCCCCACGATCTACGACAGGCGATCTATCGCAAATAATGACGTGCCAAGACCCCGTGGCGTCAGGTGGCGTTGATGCCCACTGGGGACGACCCGATGACGTGCAGCGGCTTTCTTTTCTCTTTCGCCCGTGGAATTGAATGGTCTTCGCCCAAACCCTCCCCCTAGTGGATTTCTTCATCATTTAGGCGAGTGGCCGTTTTGAGTCTCGAACAACTCAATCAGCCAGTCGCCATGGCATTGCGGCATAGCAAGGGATCTGCCAAACGCACATCCTATGTATTACCTTCAGACGATACCCGCTTGGCCCGGCCAGCGGCGCTTTATCGACCGCTGCAACTGCACTTGGTTTTCTCATCGGCTACATGTTGCCTAGACTAGATCTGCTGCCAGAGACAGTGGAGGGACGTCGGTCCGATCGTGGTGCCAAACACCACACATTGCCAACGCATACAATTATAGGTCAGCTAAAACAAACACTAGCCTCCCCCCCCCACACACACGTTCTTCTGTGGAGTTGGAGAATCATGGAATCCCTCGCTTGTGCTCATCCCGTTCAAGATTCGCCTCCCGCTTCCCGCCTCCCGCCTTCCAGTTTGCTGGATCCCCTTTGGCGGGAAGTGGGAGGCGCTGGTGCAGTAGCAGTTAGGTGAGGTATCATCAAGACTAAAACCCCATGTTTCGGTTTCTGTTATTGCGACCGACAAATCGGTGTGGGCTTCCCCGCAAATTGCCAGCTACAAGATAGCGGCGGAGAAGGCCCCCCTTTCTCTCCATTCATCTTACTTTTGAGTGGAGGCGATCTACGCTCCACAGTCTCCCGAGCGTTGAAACGGTCCCGTAGTTCCAACAACACAAGTCAAGCGGAATATAAGATTTCACCGTTTTCTATCGGCTTCCATCCGCCCAGGCCAGAGACCTAATTGTGACCGCGACGCAGCACTGCTACGTACCTAGGTCGGCAGGTAAGGTAGGTAGGTACCCTGCCGTAAAATGAGACCTTGCCCTCCTTTAAAGGGTGTGTGGGATTTCGAAAGGCCGAAAAGGGGTGGATGGCCCGGGCAAGAAGAACAAAAAGGCAATGACTGCATATGCACAAGCATGTGGTCTTCAAGCCGCTTCGAAAAGAAGAAAGAAAGAAAAGAAGGAGAGAAACCCCTCAAGTAATTCATTGCCTTCCTGGAAAGAACGGACGGACCGGAAATGTCGCGTCTACTGCCGGTAGGGGATATCATTGCACCCTCTTCTCACTCTCATTTCTTGTATTCGAGCCTTAATGGAATAGATTTCGGATTCCTGTGTGAGTTATCTACCGTCTACCGCCGCAAAGGCGACGCGCCGAGCCGTCTTCCCAGCCGTTTTGCAAGATGCAATACCTCGAGGAGGGGTTGTTTACCGCACTGGGGGCAAAGTGCAGAGGAAGGAAGGTCAGGGGAAGTGTTGCATTGCCCCGGCCGCTCTCCTAAGGCTGCAAAAGCTCCGGGGCCTATCATTATCATCTCGCCGTCGCCTCCTATTCTAGATTCGGCCGCCAGCAACAAACAAGGCAAACCGACCAGTCAACGCTCGCGCCAGGAAAATGGGAAAAGTGAGAACCGGTTGTTATGTATGTATGTATGGATGTATGTACGCTCTGACCCTTTCCGAGCCGGAGCTGCGATGCGACCGTGAGCAAAAAGGACCAAGGGCACACACACCCGACCGGGCGAACCCGGACAGCGGGCCACCTACGAGCGGGCGCGGCGGCCGAAAGCAGGGAGGGGAAGGAAAGAAAAACAAAACGGTGGGGACGGGGCAAAGGACGGTGTTGTGTTACGCCGGAAACCCCACCCCTGGGGACCAGAAGAGGAGAAAAAGAATATTCCTTTCTTGCTTCTTCTTGTCGTTACATCCGGCACGTCGATGGATAGATAGGCGGGCAGCTCTCTTTTTCTTTTCCTGGTACAGCACTGTGTTTGCCCCGCGGTACTCTAAATACCACCTATTATAGCCCGTTTTTCTTGCTTCCAGCCATGCAGGGACAGTTGTTCGGTGTCTCTCCCTCCTTGTCCTCGTCTATCGTCCCGCCTCTCGAACCGTGCGGCTTACTAGCTGTACAGTATTGGCAGAGGAAAGGGGCCGGGATTTTCTTAGTATGGCAGTATAAGCGAGCTGTCGACGACAGAAGTCGTATTGGCTCGCTACCGTGCCAGAGATGGGATGATTGCGGCCTGTGCCACCTCGGACGTCGGCCCCGGAAGCTGGTTCTGCCGTCTCTTCCCATCCACTCCTCCCTCTCTTTCTGTCCCGCATCCCGTTGCCATTCGTACCTTTTGGATCTTCTGTCTAAGCCTGGCCAAGAGAATAAATGACGACCATGGCCAAAACACCGACAACTCTGGGGACTAAATCGTCATTTGTCAGTTCTTATTTATCATTCGTGCTGCCTACAATGGCAAGTGCCGTTGCCAGCTTCAGTCCTCTGAAGAACTACTTACAGATCCGAAAGTCTTCCCAGATATGTAGCCTGCTCTACTACCTCCCCCAAGGAGGTCTGAGTCGCTCGGCCGTGACTCCGAGTTCTTGCGGATGTCCAACTAACATTACAAAGTGGTGGTATACAATAAACCTGACAGGTATGATCTCCGGTTTTCCAGGCTGCTGAGCCTGTATAACTCCAGAGAAAAGGTCCAACCCCCGTTGGGGGTTTCCATAGCCAACCGCTTCCAATCCCAGATGCCAAAGTAGACCATGATATCTGTGCTCCCATCATCGAGGTGCTCCAGATAAATCGCCAATTCAACGAACATCCAGGAATTCCCCCCATATTCTAGGGTGTCTGCAACTCAAGGTTGGGAACAAGATCAAGTCCAACATGGCAGTGAAGCTGAAATATCCCTCGAGATTCATAGCCAAACCATTCCAATATGAGGATGTGGCCAATGTGAATCCAACATGTCTAGACAAAACCCTGCCGGCAAAGCACGGCGAGTTCCAAAGCACATCTAGAGAAGATGCCCATAGTTTAGTCCACCTCTTTGACTGCCTCTATCAGCCAGTACTTCCAGTAGGTGCCGATTTCGTCGCATTCTTCAACGCATTTCTTGTCGTCCCACCACCACAAATTTCCACGAACGAAAGGCCCCCAAGTATCTTGCCATAGTTTTCTGCCAAGGGCGGTTCGAAGCTCGGCATTGGGTGCGTTATCTGGTTTCTCTCGATGGACGGCCCGAAACTTCACCGTTGTTTTGATACTATCGTATCCACGTAGTTCAGCGTCCGCCAGCCACTTGTTGAAGAACCTGATAATGCTGGTTGACTGGTATTGTGGCTCCAGATTTGCCACCAAGTTCTTCTCTAACCACTGTCTCATCCGAGGGCCGACAGATTCAGCGGTGGGAGTCGGGTCGATGAGGGCCAGATGGAGCACTCCATTCGGAGCGAGACAGCGGTAGATGTTCTGTAGCAGCTGAGGAATCTCCCGACTCGGTATTTTGGATGGCAGAGACATGCAGTAAACTGATGCATACGAGTCTGGTGCGACTGGGGGTGTCGCATTGATTGAAGAGAACAATGGTTCCACGTTTGGGAAAAGTGCAAGTGGCAGAGGTGAGGGGGCAATGTGAGTTACAATAACCTCCGCGTGACGAGTAGCCAGATATGACGCAGTTGCTGGTTTGTTTTAGTTAGTAAATTAGACTCAACGAGGCATTTGTTTGGGGGGGGGGGGGGGCTTACCTTCTGACTCGAACAGCGCCAGAACCTTTGTACAGTCGACCGAGGGGGCTTTCCTCTTCTGGTCCTTGTCCAGGTTACGTAAAGCCGAGAGCAACCATCGTCTCTTCTCCATCTCGAGTTCTTTGTACATTAAGGGGCTGTTGGAACTTCCCCATCCTTCGTTGAGCTTGGCAACAATAGTTGCAGGGCTTGCCGCATCCATTCTCTTGATTTCGCCCTGCAGGCCTGTGAAGTCTAAAGACATCGGCTGGGCTTCGGCATGTTGGTTGTCGGCATTGTGGCTCGACGTGGGGGGCCGAACCGAAACGTCAACAGTTGGGCTGCGATCTGGGGCGCCATGAGGCTTCCAGTTATTTGGATCCCCTGTCGCGAGGCTGTTGACCCGAGCCTGAGGTGCTTTAATTGCCTTTCTAGGCCTTGGTTTGTTGGCCGGAGTGCCAATCAAAGGATTTTCTGAACGGGGGCGGATAGCCAAGGGGCGGCTTCTGTCTTGAAGGCCCCGTCGGGGGGGACGCAAGGGACTATTTGGATTGTGAATAGCCGTATACCATTGATCAATCATGAGAGAAACTGACCTGTCTGGGTCAGAGGAAGTAGATGGTGTGGAGGATGGGGGGGATGGGAGGGATGACGGAGTGATGGTGGTTTTGGGTTGCGGGGGCTCGGCTGCAATTGGTGTTTCGTTAGCCACAACATTGCTGCTCGTGTCTTCCCTGAATTTGGGTGTCGTCTGGGTAGCTTCAGGAGCACAAGTTTGCGGTGCTGAAGACTGAACGACCTGGCTGGCCGAACAACCCGAGTCGATAGCCGATTCATCAACTGGGTTCGTGGTTGATGGAGTAGTAACGTCAGTAAACTTGGACAGTTTTGAGATCTTCGAAAACATTGACTCTAAAGAATGAACTGTCAAACGGGTGCTAAGGGAGCGCGAGAGACGTTTCAATCCCGTACCCTTAGATGACCTATTTGTAGAGCCTTCCAACTGGACATCTGGGCGATCATGCTCGAAGGTGCTGTCGTCGTGGGTTTGCGACAAACTCAGCGTTGTGCGTCTAAAACCTAATATGGAATCATTATTGCGAGTGCCTAGTGAAATCGCCGTCGGCGCAGTAACTATCGAATTCCGGTTCGCTGTGCTGTCGTCTTGCATGGACTGGCCTGTCCCTGTCGTCGTTTTCTTACTCTTTACAGATTCGCTACCCCTCCTGAGTCCAATGCTGCCCAGGAATCCTGAGGATTTCCTTGCGGGCAAAGGCGAGGAAGTCTCGGTCGAGATAGGCTCGTGGATACTGTCGGAATCATCTTTTGTCTCATTGTCTCCGGATTTTTTCCGGACCTTCCTTTGGCCAACTAGCTCGCGGGCGTCATCCGCCCAGTCGATCTCGAACATTTTGGGCGAAGCGTGCCGAGCATGCTTTAGCCCAGCGAGAAAACGGGCCAGAGCCGGCCGCCTCGCGTTTGGCGAGAGCGGATCAATCCTCGAGGTATAATGAGATACTCTTGATTCGCGCTGGGTAGCAAGGTGCAAATCGGTGCCGTAAATACCGAAAGATGCTGAAATGAGTATCAAGAATGCCCCGCCGAGGTTTGACTTCGGGTGAGATGAGAGTGAGACCGAGTCCGCTATAACGGAAGATGAGCGGCTAGACCAACTTGCCCAGGTGTAAGTTTACTATAGGCAGAAGAGGGGGTAGGAGGGGGAGGAAAAGGCGAAAATAGCAAAGTGAATCGGTGGAACTATGATGTCGCAGTGAAGAATATCCGAGACTTTTGAGAGGGGTTCAGTGATTCTTTTTTTTGGGTGAAGTTGGAGGCGAGACACGGCCCGGCTGGAGACGTGACCCGTGATGTGATGTAGGGAAGGAGCGAACCTGAGGCACCGCAGCCTGAGATTGGACTTTTCCGTCCGAACAACCTGGAAGGTACCTGTTGGGAGTTACCGAGTGCACTTGTACCTGGTGAGGTCAGGCAGAAAGTACTGTGAAAGAGGCAGTACCTAGGTTGGTCTAAAAATTAAAGGAACTGAAGAAGGCAGGTTTGGAGATGAGACGAAGTGAAAAGGTGTATTTTTTGGAGGGGAGGGGGTGACGGAGCTTGCGCGCTCAACTAGCTACGATAGCCGCAGACAGTCTCACCCGTAGCGCAAGATATCTCGGCCGTTAGACTGCAGGTGGACGCCTAAGGCCCGTTGATGGCTAGGCTAGGTTGCCTTGGTTGCTCGTTTGTGGTGAAGCAGACGGCAAAAGCAAACTACACCGTGACATTTCCCTATACCTTTTTGTTGCAAGTGCGAGTCCCCAAGCTCAGGTGGTAGAGCACCCGAGCGAGCCGCGGACTGTTTTTGCGATATGCTATGAAAAATTTCCCCGACAAGGAGAATCACCTTTTTACTTGACTTAAGCTGCGTCGAGATGAAATACTCACTCAGCCTTGAAGTTCAAGCCGAGACATCGAGCCAATCCCAGAGGCGCCACCAGTTGCGACGGTCGACCATGGTTGCAGAAGGGCCATCGGTCGATACGACTGGAGCTTAGTCTTTTCCTACCATAAGCATCGATCCCATTTCGTCCTGTCGTGTGACGATTTGATGGGTTCGAAGGGATGTGGTGGCACCGTCTGCACAGGACCGATAACATGCAAGACGCAGCCAGAAGATCTCGCTCGACAGACAGGTCCACTTACATCATCAATTCCCAGGTGGCTCTTGCCATGGGAGGCCTATGACGATGTTTGCGATATCTCCCGCCGTCGTGAATATTTCTTCCTCGGCTAGAGGATTTGGGCGCTGAAGGCCACCCTCCTTTGGTCCCATCATTCCCCCGTATCTTCTCTATCACTGGATGTACCGACTGAACGCGATGACTTTATATAATTGGAAGAAATAAGTCTCATATATCACATTCCATACATCACTTTCGAGCTCTTTAAGTCGCTTGAATGCCACTTAGCTACTTCTCGGCGAGCTTTCTCTCCCTGGTCAACATGGGGATAAGCATGACACTTGCCATATCAACTTCCGCAGTCATCTAGATCGTGGAACAAGCCCTACGGGTGCTATTTCCGGTATGAGTGGAGGCAAAGGCGGTTAACACAAGAAACTTGGTGGTGTTGGTCCTCTCATCTTCACTTGACAGGACTCGCAGACTCGAGACTTGGGTAGCGATACTCAAGGTAACTTGACTGGTTTCTTGAAGACGCGTGGATGCACTACCCTTATGTGCACGGATGGCCGACGAATCTTTGGAATGCTCAATCTCTGATGGGAGGTTCTGATGGGATGTTCTGATGGGATGTTGGGGAAGGCGTGAGGAAGAAACGAAAAAGCAGCCTTGTCAATGCTTTAGGTTTTCGTCCATCAATGGGCTTGAGAGGCTTGGGTGGGTTTCGCCCGAAGACGGCAACAACTGTGGGGTAATCCTAGGTAGGCTAACCAAAGGGACCCAAGCGAGCGCCATGTGATATGATTGGGCAGTGAGTTCAATGAGCTTGAGCCTCAGTTGGTAGTCCGAACTTCAACTCAACTTCAACAACCTGGGGTCTGCAGTCTCCAGTCGGCAATCCTACCGATGAAGCCCGATCCCACCCCCGCCTGAAGAGATGGGCTGTGACTGGCTTCAGACTAATGACTAATGGATCCATGTTCTCGCCTGGCCATGGGGGAGTTTATTACCTACCTACCTGCATTTTCTGCCGTAGATGACGAGCAAGCGGCGCTGTCTCAGATCTCAGAGTCTCAGACGGCCTTCCATGAGCCCGCGGCCTTGTAGGGGCGACTCTACCGACGACGGTGGCGCAATATTCTGCTGCTCGGTTACGCCCGAGCATTTGTCCTACAGCCAGAAGGGCGCCTGCAGCCAAAGTGACCAGTTTGTTCCCAGGGGCTCACATCGAGACACGGCAGATGGAAGCTTAAAGGGCCGGCCGTGGAAGCACAGCAGCCTCCAAGTCCGCCGGGCAGGGATCGACCCGTGCAGCTCATGCCCGCCTCCCGGATTTCAACTCGTGTCTTTGGCTGCTGCCATCATTGATTTTATGTGGCCAGCTCCCCACAACAGTGCCCCCTTCTGGGCCCGTCATCCGGGAACCATGCACTGTTTATTGGGATGAAGCAGGGAGGAGATGGATCTCCGGTCCTCACTTACATCTGGCTTGGCCAGAGCTGTCACACGTCAGTAGCGTGGGTTGCAGAGTACGTGTCCTACGCATTGGTATAACCGCTCCTTGGGACCGACCCTCCCAGCCTTGGCTCCGAAGAATACATTTGGGGTCCTGTGCCGAGCCACCGCGCAATACCATGAAACCCGAGGAAGGTGACGCACCAAGAGGCATGGGCCCTACGCGTCACCCAGGACCATAATCGAGGCGGCCGATGCCGCTGAGTAAGACAGGAACATGTTCTTACGGGGGCAGGCCACCTATCTTTCTACCCCTATCCGCCATAGAGACTCTAGCTTCGGTGATACAAGGCCCGGCCGCTTCTTGTTTGTTCTGCCGTGTTGGCTTCTTCCTTGCTGCAGCTCCCCTAATTATCTTCTTATCTTAGGCGTGCCAGTATTAAATTTGGCGCAACGGGTGTGACATTGCCAACTTTGGCGCCCCTTATTTATAGTGGGTGTGGCTTGTCCCTTTGTGGTTGGGTATGTCTACATGTGCTCGCGGAACGGGTTTGGGAGAAAATTCAAGACACCCAAGTCTTGGAATCTGGGTCATGTCGGTCACTCCCAAGCGAGTGGGGCAAGGCGGACATGGCCACCATCAACCTGATAGGAAAGTGAAGACGAAGTGAGTAGCCAGTCGACTGTGTAATTACCGTGTCCGGTTCATATCAGTTCACCTCTGGTAAGGTAATTTACCGCGCGTAAAACTACCTACTTGCCTTACTTTCTCTTAGGAGCAGTCTCCTAAAACTCTTCCCTCACTCACAATACTCACCCAAGTCACTTAACAACTACCACCCTCCTTCCTCACTGGCTACCGCACGTGGAACCTAGACCTACCACTTCCCAAAGTGGTGGAACGGATTTTCCAGCCGCTGTCACTAGAGAAGTTTCCTTGCTGCCAAATCGTCCAAGCCGTCGACGCGTTTCGATTTGTGGTCGCAATCGTCCTGCGTCCTGCTCAGGTCAAGTACTTTGGGCAGGCACTTCTCGTGGCAAGCAAATCCGCCTGGTTTCTCACCAACCACAAAGTCACAGAACCCGCCCAGAGCCACTCACGTCGCGCATACCTCGTCCGCCTGAGCAAAATCGCCGAAGATGGACGACGACGATATTATAATGAACATCGGCAGTGGCGGCGGGTAAGATCTTCGTCTTTCTAGCACCATCTTTTCCTAGTCGCTCGCTCGCTCTCTTATCTCTCCCCCCACTCCGCCTCCATCGCCGGGGCAACGCTGCCTGCCTTGGGCCCTTGTTTCAACTCACTTATTTTCCGTTCCTTTTCTCTTGTCACTCGATCCTCTCCCGTCAATCACTGTCATCCGGCCACAACCTCCACGTGGGTTTCAATACTAACCCGAGCAGGGAGGTATACGAGATGCGAGCCTTGGGCCCCGATGTGGGGGTGGGCGTTGGCAGGCCTGAGCCAGCTCCAGACGAGCCAGCTCCAAATGAACTCGTTCCTGGAGAACCCGCTCTAGATGGACCGCGCAGCTTCTACGAGAAGTATATCCGACCAGTCGGTCGGTTTGTCCGTTCCATCAACGACCGGATTAACGGGTCCCTCATTGGCCGGTTTTTCCGCCTTCGGGGGTCTGGCCATGTCAGCAATTTGCTTTCGTCTTGTCATGAACCTAAACATTCGGCTAACGGGCTGGGACTCACTACCCCCATATGCAGGAGGACGAAATTGCAGACGCCGATTTCTTGACCGAGATTCGAGCGGGCTTAACGACGTTTGCCACAATGGCATACATCATTGCCGTCAATGTGAGAGACACCCTGGTTAATCTTGAGAATTTTATACCGCCCGGGAAGTGGCTTCGCGCCTTCTATGTCAATGTTATCGGGGATTTGGGGTTTGGGATCGGGGATCTCCATTCTCAATCCGAAGGCGTTGAACGCACACTAGATTGGCCAGGGATGATGTGCTGACGTTATGGCTCCTGCAGGCGGCCATCCTTGCCGACACTGGCTATGATTGTGTCTGCGAGCAGCCCGAGGACCAGATGGGGAATTGCGCCAACCAAGACGATTATTCCAAGTGCTACAATGGTCTGTTGAAAGAGAAGCCCCAGAAGTTAGGGTGGTTAATGAACTCTGACGCCCAGCGATTCAGAAATCAAACTCGACCTCATCACGGCAACTGCAGCCATCTCGGGCTTTTCTAGCATTGTGTTTGGCCTCCTGACCAACTTACCAGTGGCCCTAGCGTAAGTCCAGCAGGCTTGCATGCAGCATATATCCAGACAGCTCACAGAAGAGGACAGGCCGGGAATGGGCCTCAATGCCTATTTCACATACCAGGTCGTGGGAGTCCACGGCCGCGGCGAGATGCCCTACCAGATTGCTCTGACAGCTGTCTTCTATGAAGGCTGGGTTTTTGTGGTTTTGGCCCTGACTGGATTGCGTCACTGGCTCGTCAGAATCATTCCTGGCACCATCAAGACGGCCAGCGGCGTCGGTATTGGATTGTATCTCACGTTGATCGGCATGTCGTATTCTTCCGGAATCGGGCTCGTTACCGGGGCAACTAGCACGCCCCTTGCCATCGGCGGCTGTGCCAAAGAGGATATTTCGCCAAGCGGAATGTGCGAGAGGAATATCATGGGAAACCCAAAGGTACGTGTCTACTGCTTGGCCATGGTTGTTTGCTTCTGTTACTAATAGTTGAGGCTTATAGATGTGGATTGGCATCGTCTGTGGTGGTATATTCACGTCCTTTCTCATGTCGTATCGAATAAAGTCAGCCATTGTGATTGGAATAGCTCTTGTCTCAGCCCTTTCATGGCCGTGGGTTCACTCTCCTCATCCTCGAGCATAGCGTAGGGCTAACCTACTCTGATAGACGAAACACCGCTGTGACGTATTTTCCCGACACGCTCGACGGCAATGAGAGATGGGACTACTTCAAACAGGTGGTTTCGTTCCACCCAATCCAGCACACTTTATTCAAGCAGCAGTGGGATCTCACGGGATACGGCGGTCGCTTTGCCCTTGCCATGCTCACGTTCCTCTACGTCGACATCATCGACTGCACTGCGACTCTCTACTCGATGGCTCGGTTTAGCAACAAGGTGCAACACAATAGAAGAGACTTTCCACGATCTACCCTAGCCTACTGCGTGGACGCCGTCTCCATTTCTATGGGAGCTCTCGTTGGAGTCTCTCCCGTCACTGCTTTTGTCGAGAGTGGCGCAGGCATTGCGGAAGGCGGACGTACAGGACTCACAGCGATTGTCTGCGGGTTCTGTTTCCTTTTGTCGCTATTCTTCGCTCCGATCTTTGCGTCTATCCCACCCTGGGCAACAGGGTGCACGCTTATCCTAGTGAGTATTTGGCCATCTCTTCCGAAACCTTGATGTTGGTCTAACACGCGTCCATAGGTGGGCTGTCTAATGGTCCGTCAAGTTACCAAGATCAATTGGGCATATATCGGCGACGTCATCCCCTCTTTCGTCACAATGACCTTGATCCCCTTTAGCTACAGTGTCGCCTACGGACTCATTGGGTAGGTGCTATCTTGTGCTTCTGCTTCTTTGCTAGGGGCGCGCTGAGGACATCTGCATTATGGTTTAGCAGATGTGCCGCCCCAGTCAAACTCCCCACCTGGCAATTGTTGAGCAAAATTTCTGACCAGATTTGCAAGTGGTCTGTTCACGTACGCTGGACTGAACACACTGATCTGGATCGTTATGAAACTGTCGGGCGATGCCATCGTGCCCACCGATTACGAGCTCAAGGAGTACTGGACCTGGAAGCCTGCAGGGAAGAAGCCCTGGATTATTCGAGTCTTCACCAAAAATCGCTTTTGGGACGACAGCCGGGAGCTGAAGCGGAGTCCCGGTTTCTCCCTCGGAAGCGATAGCTCGATCCACAACAGGTCCCCTCCAGTCCCCCCAGACCACCCAGACCAACCATACAAACCGGACATCACGCCCCCGCGCTACCAGGCCCCCCCGGACTACCCTGCTCCCCCGGCTCCCCCGGCTTCACCGGTCCCCCCCGCGCCTCCTGTCACGCTTCCTGTCACGCCAGCAGCCCCGGATGGGAACAGTGAACCAAGAGAGCCGGGCGCTTCCTATTGGCGCGCACCGCTTGGCTAGTAAGCGGGCGTCTTAAATTTTGTGTCGCTAAGTGGGAAAACTGGTGGGTTACTTTCTAGGCGTTGGAGTTTTTTCACATTTCTGCTCAGGTCGGCGAAGGCAGAGGGGTGTTGTTGATAGCTCAGGTTAAGTTCTTGGACTCGTCACCCAGCAAACAGCTCGCATTTCAGAGATGTCATTTCTTGAACTTCGTTGTTTGTGGGGTTGGCATTGTACGGTAGCGACGCGTATGCTGATGGAAATGACGAGGTCGAGAACTGGAGGAGATTTCTGTTCGTTGGGGCCAGCCCAGCGGTGCAGAATATGTAGAAAACCTGAAGAAGGCAGACAATGCCAAGTTTCTTCGATGTGCGCTGTCTTTAACTGAGAGTGGACCCCTGATAACAGCTCTACTCCGTACCCGTACGTAGTTGCAATTCAACAAAGGTCCAGGGGCAGCCACTTATTACTTACACCAAACCAAGCAGATGTAAACCTACCGATCACGGGTGGCTTATACACCGGCTTCTGGGGTCTAAAACGGTAATTACCGGGCATTTGAGATTGTTCTACTACATTTCCCTTTTTATTATCACGGCGCCTTCAGTAATCTTTAAAAAGACGGTTACTTTTTGAACAAATGAATCGCCCAAGAAGTCTGCACCACCATTGCCGTTAAACTTGCGGCAAGCGGGCAAAACCCACCTTATCTTATCAATGTTGCAATCCGCCAGCTCTGAGAGCTGCATCATCACACCGAAATTTTGGGCTGCACCCAAAAGCTCTGGGAAATCGAAATCCAGACCTTCGGCGACGTACTAACTTCCACGCCAAGCTTTTCCGCCTTACAAACACACGAAGAGCAATCCACCCTTGCCCCGGACGGACATAAAATAGGATAAAAGGCTTTTCCACCCTGCGAGCCCATTTCGCCTCCGACACTGTCTGCTCCACAAGCCGCTGTCACTAGGTAAGGTACAGGTGCCTTGGCAATCGCCGCGAATCATCAACCACCTTCCGCGAGCGAACACACAGAAACCTTTCCCAGCACACCCAACCGCCGTTGCCGGCCGCCAGACAAGATGAGTACTGGTTGGAATACAAGTAGGTTGGCCTCGGATGCGGTTCCTGGAGCTCGCAGGCGACGAAGCTAGACAGCTGACGGGCGAATCACAGTCGAGTCCGATGCGGTACGTGGAGACAGGCTTGTTTTTTTCCATCAGTGAGCAGCGCTCGAAAGAGTGTCGCGCCCTGCTAGTGCTGGGCCTATGGTCGCCCGCGACTGAACGGTATCTGATTGGGGCGACACTGCGAAGCCGAGCTTGTACTGATACACGCCGGGTCGGTTAGGGCGTCTTCACATACCTGCTTGACAACCTTGGGGTCAAGAACGTCCAGTTCGAGGAGCTGCTCTCGCTCGACCCCGACGCCCTCGCCCAGCTGCACCCCGTCTACGGCGTCATCTTCCTCTTCAAGTTCCCCACCGACGCCCCTTACCAGGCCGGCGAGAAGCCGCTCGACGGCACCTTCGACAGCGATGCGTCCGAGCACCTCTTCTTCGCGGCGCAGACCATACAGAATGCCTGCGGCACGCAGGCGCTGCTGAGCGTGCTGCTCAACAAGACAGACCCGTCGGCGGGCGACGACGCGGGCTTCGTGGACGTGGGCGACGCGCTGCGCGACTTCCGCGAGTTCACCATGGAGCTGCCGCCCGAGTTCCGGGGCGAGGCGCTGTCCAACTCGGAGCTGATCCGCGACGTGCACAACAGCTTCGCCAAGAGCAGCCCCTTTGTCGACGAGACGCAGCGGCAGTCGGGCGAGGCCGAGGACGCCTTCCACTTTATCGCCTACACGCCCATCGGCGGCACGCTATACGAACTCGACGGTCTACAGCCCGCGCCCATTAGCCACGGGCCCTGCGCTCAGGACGACTTCCCCACAAAGGTCATGGACGTGCTGCAGCGGCGCATTGCCCGCTACGACGCCACCGAGATCCGCTTCAACCTACTGGCTATGGTCCGCGACCTACGCATCCGCGCCCGCGAGATCGGCGACTCGGAGCTGCTGGCCCGCGAGCAGCGCAAGCGCAGCGACTGGCGCTTCGAGAATGCACTGCGGCGGCACAACTTTGTTGGTTTTGCGGGCGAGATCCTCAAGGGCGTCGTTGCGGCAAAGCTCAAGGAGGGAGGGCCAGCCTACGACAAGTGGATCGACCAGGCAAAGGAGAAGATGCAGAAGAGGATAGAGGAGCGCAAGAAGAGTAGCGGCGGTGGAGGGGGAGGAGACGATGTAGATATGGAGGGTTGATAACAAAGAGAAGGGGCAGGAGTTTGTAGTCGGAGAAAGGAGAGTCGACTAAGGGGATCTCTTGCACTATTGAAAGCGTGTTATAAACATTCTTCTACCTATTTGCCATGGAAATGCAGGAGATTGAAGCCGCCAACAGAATCAATAATGTGAGGCCAACGGAATTTAGACTAGATGAGAATGAAGAGCGGAAGCTTTTCATTAACAACTAGCCGCATAACGAATACAATCCAATCCCTGAATGTTTTTTGGCGCGGTACTTACAGAATAAAGACTAGTAAATGAACCGGCTAAGAAAAGCCTTAGATAGGTGTTTCTTGGGGAGAGATAGGCCTATAGGGTTCAAGAAAAGGGATTCAAATAGCTAATACCTCCTTCGGCAAAAAACTTTTAGGGCGAGGAATATGGTATTGAGGCCATTCGGACCTTGGGGAGCCCCGCTAACAAACATTCAGGGATTGGACTGTATATCCGTGACTATAGATTTGGCGAGCGAGGGAACCAAGTGCTTCTCCAAGTCTCGCGAATTAGTCGTGTCAGAAATGGAAGTGTTCCGTGAATTTGGGCATAAGAAACAGTGGAAAATCAAATGACTCCTTGGTATCTTGTTGGTGTTCTCGCCCATCCGCTAGCACACCTAGTCAAATCGTCACGCTAGATTGGGGCTTCGAAAGGCTCAGAGGACGGACAGGTGGTCTAACGGTGAGCTCAGCTAATGAGTTCATCGCGGCTCGACACTAAGCACCCAGGACCCGAAATTCCCAACGCCTGTTATTTCTCAATGATTTTTATTGAGTGTTCATGGCCGACTCCTTTTTGTTGGAATCGTAGCCTTGACCCGTGAAATGCCATGCTCGCGTACACCGTCCCGGAAGAATGTCAAGCCCTCAGTCCGAAGATCCCCAACCCCAATCAATTTGCCGCCACCTATCTACGCGGCCGTAATAGCCTGGCGCAGACGAGCACCACGCTGTCTTGAGCTCAGGTGCTCGCGGCCCTCAACCGCCTCAGACTTCTGCACAGCCTCCTCGGCCTCTGTCAGGATTAGCTCGATGTGGCACGGGTTGGACATGTAGGGGTTGATCTATTCCGGTGTTAGCTCCTGTCCTACTAATCCATCCCGAGAAAGCCGAAGGGAATACGTACGCGACCGTGGGCACGGTATGTCCGGCGGCGCTGCTTAGGGGCCTGGTTGACTTGAATATGCTTGACGACCAGGTTGCCGGTGTCGAGACCCTTGGCATCGGCGTTGGACTCGGCGTTCTTGAGGAGACCGAGAAGAAACTCGGCGGACTTCTTCGGCCAGCGGGCACGAGTAACACCCCACTGCTTGCCTGTTTTTGCGAGCTGATCAGTACGGCCCAAAATGCCAAAGCAACCCCGATGTCCCACGGCGACAGGAACTGGCCTGCACCACATTCCCGTCGAACGTGCTGACCGAGCCCCTGGATCGGGGGATCTATCTCAAGCCGTACCTTGCGAGGCACGGCCAGTGCCACCAGCGTAGCGTCTCATGGGGACAGCCTCGATCTTCTCCATAACGTTCTCCAGGAACTTCTGGGCGCGCTGCAGCTTCCAGCCATTGATCGCCTGAGCGGTTTCGCGAGTGTTCTTAAAGGAAACGCGAAGATACGACCCGCGGGAGCGAGCCGACTTCGCCGGAGCAATCTCAGTCGCTGCGTACCGAACCTAGAGGCCGAAATCACGTCTGTCAGTGTCCATTACTCATGGCGCCCGTCCGTCCCCTCGAGATCTCGGTGCACTGCGGCGGCGACAAGATTCCTCGAGAAAATACGTCGCTCAATTCGTGGAATATGAGTTTTTGTAGGGGTTAACTCACCATCTTGGCTGCTTGTCGATGCGAATATGGAATCGACCAAGGTAGAAGTTCAAGATTGATGATGGTTCCAAATTTTGGCGGCAAAACCCGATTTTCGCGATTAGGGCTCTGTGGGCAAATGCTTGTGCGGCAGAGATATCTGCCTCAGGCAAGAGGACGGGAAATCTATGTTGGGGTAATTAATGATAGTATTGGTAACGGCTTTAGCGGGTACTCAAGCTACAGGGAGTTAGTGTCAGCAACAAGTATGCAAAGGTGCTCGATTGCCCCACTACGATGTCGGAACAATCGCCCGCCGAGAAAATCGAAAGTTCTTGGGCCCCGCTTTAATTTTCTGGAGGCTTAGAAATTTTGCGTTTAGCTTTGGCAAGCTCTTCGAGCACCTTGAGAACGACACGCGAATTTTCACCAACTGTGTCTCGACCAAGGCTCTCTCGTACACCCCACCCTGCTTTTGACAGACCTGCTACCACGGCGGGTATTACTTATACGCGAGCACGAAAATCAACATAATGGGCTTTGATCGCGGTGGGAGAGGCGGCGGTGACCGTGGCAGGGGCGGCGGAGGCTTCCGCGGCGGCGATCGCGGCGGGAGCAGAGGAGGCGGTGATCGCGGTCGCGGTGGGTTCAGAGGAGGCGGCCGTGGAGGTTTTGGTAAGTCGCGATGCTATTTCACACTTTGGTTACGTCTACTTCCAGTTTGCATGTGTCTGCTTCAGCGCAAGCAGGTTCTATCTCTGGTCCACCATCTTCCCTTCCCTTAGCACCAGCCCCTTTCTCTCTATCTAGCATTCCCCATCGCTGGTACTGTTCCCGAGTTTATGCTGACAATCATTTTATAGCATCTGGCGGTCGCGGTGCCCCGCGCGGTGGTGGTCGTGGTGCGCCATTCAGAGGAGGTGGCCGTGGTGGTGACCGTGGAGGGTACGTCTCCTGCTGCAGAAACTCGCCGTTTCCCTTTGACTAATATTGAATCTAGTCGCGGAGGCCGTGGCGGCGCCGCCGGTGGAGCAGGAGGAAGAAAGGTGAGGCTCGCATCAAGCCCTGTCTGTCGCAAACCCTTTTCTGACCGTTTTCTCTAGGTTATTGTTGAGCCTCATCGTCACAAGGGCGTTTTCGTCGCACGCGGCGGAAAAGAGGATCTCCTCGCCACCGCAAACCTTGTCCTCGGCGAGTCTGTCTACGGCGAGAAGAGGATCTCAGTAGAAAACCCTTCCAAGGGCGAAGATGGTGCGGCCGCAACAAAGACAGAATACCGAGTAAGTGTTACCAACCTGGACGACGCCCAAGAAAGCTGCTAACGCCTAACTCTCGCAGATTTGGAATCCTTTGTCAGTTCATCCATCCCACGAGTGACTATACTTCATCCTAACCGATTTAAAAACAGCCGAAGCAAGCTTGCCGCCGGTATTCTTGGTGGCCTCGAGACCATCTATATGAAGCCCGGATCCAAAGTACTTTACCTCGGTGCCGCCTCTGGTACATCAGTATCTCATGTTGCTGACATCGTCGGGCCAACTGGCGCGGTATACGTATGTCATCTGATGCCCACGCTTGCCATGTCATTTCTAATACTGATTCCTAGGCCGTCGAATTCTCCCATCGCTCGGGACGTGATCTTATCAACATGGCGGTATGTTGACTTCCCTAAATTGCTTGCCACTTTTTGAATCGAACGATTCTGACTCCCACTTCCTGCAGACTCGCCGAACAAATGTTATCCCGTGAGCAGTCTTTTCCCAGTGTGCCACATTGATACCGCATAGCTCACATTACAATAGTATCGTCGAAGATGCTCGCAAGCCTTCGGCCTACCGAATGCTCCTGTAAGTTGACATCCTCACATCGATTTACTCGGTTCAATTCAATTTGGGACAAATTCCAGTATTAAGTCACTAACTTTAATAGCCCAATGGTGGATGTTATCTTTGCCGATGTTGCGCAGCCTGATCAAGCCAGAATTGTTGGAATTAACGCCAGGCTCTTCCTGAAGCAGGGTGGTGGACTTCTGATCTCTATCAAGGCCAGTTGCATTGACAGCACAGGTAAGCCGACATTTCGACAGTTGTTTCCCGAGTAGAGTCTAACTTTCCACCAGCACCTCCCGAGCAGGTCTTTGCCAGCGAAGTACAGAAGCTCAGAGAAGACAAATTCTTCCCTAAGGAACAGCTGACACTGGGTAAGTTCACCAACAAGACATCTGCCCCTGACTATCAGTGTACTAACGAATATAACAGAGCCTTACGAGCGTGACCATGCTATGGTATCCTGCGTCTACCTCCAGAGGGAGTTCCAGGACTAGGATACAAGTTCGGATCATGGTATCGTCCGTTGCCCTACTCGAGGGCCCTCTCACATTACTCGGTGTTCGACTAGCTAGATGGAGTTCTTGAGTCGGGAAAGGCGAATGGCGTTTGGACGTGCTTGTTGTGTCTGCATGTGTGAGTAAGAGAATGTAACCGGGGTTGAGATTTTATCCTAAAAGCGCAGGCTCAGTTAACTCGCGTCGCGATTCTGTGTCTCAGTGACCATACAGCCATCCAGACCCACCTTGAGGCCTTGGATTTGCCGTGGGAATCGTGGAGGCCGTGCAAGCTGCTTCGGGTTCGTTATCTACAATCCGGGCTTCGGGTATGGAATCGATGCATTGGAGCTTCTTGGACTCGGTATATTTTTATTAGGGTGGTTATCGGTTCGGGAAATAAAAAAAAATTCACACCATGTGCCTTTCATCCTTCCGTCACTTGCGAACTAACTCGTAAATTCTGGATATATGTCGACTCTTGAAAGCGGTTCCAGTGATGTTTCGGTACTAATCTAGTCAAGTCGCCCCCTGGGTTGCCGGAGGTAGTATTACTTGCCACTTATACAAAACAGACGCAGTCTATGCTGTGAAACGAGGTAGATAATGTCGCACCGTTCACAATGATGTCCTTCAACTGCAAGATGACATAGGATTGTATGATGTAACATAAATACCATTCTTACCGAGCCGTGTGGAAACTGGTCTGTAGTTCCCGTTGAACATATTCGATACATGGATGTGAGACTGATTAACTAAATAAAGCTATCTAGTAAACAAGATGGGGGGATAACCTAGCAGAATCAACAGGATAATTCGAGAAGACTTGCGTCTCTTATATCTTGGAAATAGGATGAGTATGTGAGGCATCGAGTTGCCAGACGTGGAAGGTCTTTTACAGGTTTACTCGACCCTCCAGTTATTATTCCTTAGCCACAGCCTACACATGAGCTGACATCGGTGGTTTTGAGGGTTGGAGATACCTATGCTTGTTTCTCTGGGTCTATCTTTCACGAATGACTCAGGGGTGCTGTGTTGCTTGTAGAAGCGGCCATTCTGAATTTACATGTATTCTAGGGTACTTTCTCCTAGGTCATGTCTAGTGTTGCGTCAAAGAACCCCGGTTGTTCGTGGTTGCCTACGTCTAGAATCCCCGAAAAGGAAAAACAAAAGTATATAAGCTGTAAACAAACAGCCATCTAGCAACCAGTGTCTTCAAAATTTAGGTCTCATGTACTGGTCGTGAGACGGAACTATCCTTCCTTACCATGCTCAAAGAGGTTGGCAAGCGGTATTAATGGTGTTACACCAAACGTCCAAAGGGTATGAACTGGACACTGGTAACAGAGCCAGGTCATGGGTTATCTATCTGTCCTCTATGGATAATTATAACTCTTTCTTGGTCGAGAGAGAGATAGAGCATCACCATACAAGACAGAAGAGGTAGTTTACTCTCTGCCATTTGTACTACATGTCAGAAGTTCACACAGAGAAACCACGAGCTTCTTAACTAACCAAACCAACGCAGCAGCAATATGCCGAAGTCTCGTATTCCTTCTTTTTACTATTGCATACGGTGACGGGTATAAGCTATATGTAGGCTTAACATTGCACAACTTTGCTCTTTACAAGAGTGGCGAACGATCGGATAAACAAGGTATCACTCAGTTTACTTTAGTTATTTGCTAGGTGTCTCAGTCGGTACCACATGGCAGGTCTTAAGACATTCTTTTGTAGTGACTACCGTTTCTAACAACTTCCTAGGGGACTTTTTAACATGTTCCACCAAATGCGGTGGGTATCTTGACACCTGTGGGCTGCTGGACAGTAGACACTGATAACAGACAACTGTGAAATAGCGTGTGAAATATTCTTCTAGCCTAAGCTGTGTATGCATATACTTGCGATCACGACAAAGGTGCATGGTATCATCCAAGGTGACATCCACAAACAAACATCGCGATGATCATCAGGCAAATCCAAAAAGTGGTCGGCGACCAAACCTGCAGGTTCAATCTCGGATACGCTCGACCCGTCCCGGGAAGGGCAATGAGTGGTCGAATCAAAGACTTTTCCTTCCAAGGGTGGGGGTCACTTGGCCTGGCCTGGGCCTGGCTGGATCTGGATGCGATGGAAGAAGCACACACCCACATTGAACGGGCTACCACACGGGCCTGGCGCGGCACTTGCCGCGCAGCCAAGCCCCGACCCCCCAGGAAACCAAGCCACTGATAAGCGGTACATAGATGTAATGAACAGTATCCCAAACTCCACAAGAGCGGCTAGTGCCGTCGCGTTTTTAGCGTTTCTGGATTGCATCTACACTGGAAATTGCCGCCAGGATGTTTCTCTGGACTCCTGGAGCCAACCAAGGGTTTGCTGTATAAGCGTATGATATGTAAAAAGGGAATTCTAGACCGCCTAAGCGCGCTCTTCAACAGATCTCGGCAAATCCGAAACAAAGAGAGGAAGGGGTCGGACGACCAGGCCGGCTCCGACCCTTGAGCCCCGAAAAAAGAAACGGAGAACCCTCGCGCGCGAAAGTACAAAGTATCGCCTTCCAAGGGACTCTACCCGAGGGTCTGGATACATTCGCTGTACAAGAGGGGCGGTGTGAGGAGAAGAATAGAGCGTAGAGACCACCACCTGGCTTGCACACTGGGGTACGGCGGATGGGTAGGGCAAAAGAGAGGGACAAGAACGCTAGCATGATTTGGGAAGATTTAGGCGGCCGGGGTAACGTTCGCGATGGGGGGGGCGTGGCGCTTCTGGGCCTAACCCAACCCTGTCTGAAGTTCTGAACCCCGAAGCCCCCATCATATGGAATGACAGATGAGGAGGGGGCCGGGGAAAAAGAAACTACAAGGTGCTACGGACACACACTAGTATCTCACCTCCCAGACTGTCGGGATTCTGAGAATCCCGATGGAGACATGCACGGGCACAGAAATTGGCAGGAGGCGTCGCCGGTGGGCTTGCCAGACCGAACGCCGCGAGGCTTCCATGGTCTAAACGGGACAACTAGGAGCTTCCGGGGTGTTGCCATCATTCTCCCCCATCTGCCCTATAGGTTCTAGATACGATGTAACTGGCTGGTTAACGGAAAAGATGGCTTGCTCCCTCGGACGCCCGCACGCCATATCCGTCGTGGGAGGGCCAGAATGGTCTGGAAAGTGTGCCCACTATCTGTACCTATTGAGTTGATAGCGAGGGAAATTGGTTTTTTGCCCGGATGTCGCCGTCAATAGAATCCGTTCTTATCGGCCGCAGAACCGAGATGAGAGGTTTGATTCATTGTCCACCAATTTGACAGAAGCGCGTCACTGTGAGAAGTCGACGGGCAAGTGCATGAAGTTATCGACCTGCCCCCGAGGAGATGGCGATCCGCCGTCTGGGTACCACGCTACTGCGTCGATGAGCGCGCTCGGGCGCCCTTGCGCGCTGTGCGGTGTGGGACTGGAGATCCCGAACCACTCTGCTGGGAGCGGCCCCCAGACCTGCTTGAGCCTGTTCGTCCTGTTGGCGGCGACCTGTTGGCGGGAACCCGCTGGTGTGATGATGAGCCGGGAACGTAGCATGATTGCCAATGCTAGCAGCATGGATTAATCCCCGTACCAGGCCAAATACTGCCTCATCTCACTAGATTAATTGTTTATTATGTCGCGGGATTTTTGCGCGGAGAGGACCCTAATCTGCTTACCTGAGCAGAAGTGCTTGACACTGTATCCTAGAGGATACACTCGTCTTAGGACCCCACTTGAAGCAGCTTCAAGTTGCCGAGAGTTGCGGTTCAGATACCTAAGTCCCAAAGTGAATTATCGGGGCCACATTTGGTGATGCTACATGAGATATTGGACGAATGGCTTGGCATTTGAAGGCGAAAGCTCGAACAGCACAGTCACAGCCTTCAGTGATTTGCGTTGATAGTGATACACGTGAACCCTGCGTACGGCCTCATGCACAACGTTGAACTGTGAAAGAGGAGATGATTCAGTACAGAACTCGGCAGGGTCTTACAGGGACTGGCACGTGAATGTCAATTTCCAAGACACGGAGGAAAACGCAGAGATCGTAAAACAGGCCAATTCTAAGACGAGTTGGAGCGGGGAAAAACATTTGAGACACGCAGGAGTGCTAGGATACGAGCACTGACTGACACATGGATCAGAGGGGTTCCAGATACCCCGTACTGTGTATCAGTACGACAATGCTACAGCAGTGAGGTTGTAGGTATTAGGTAAGGTATATGAGGTATGCGATCGCGTCTCCCCCTGTCCTTCTGGGACCCGAGGTGTGACGCCAAGCAAGGTCTTATAGCATGCACATGCGTCGCATCTGGATAGGAAGTAGCAAGCGAACAGGAGCGCGCTGCGGTTTGGAACCTGGCTCAAGCTCAAGGCTTGGTTGACCTCCTTTCCCGAGCATCGACCACTGCTTGTCTTAGCGGCCGCCATTGGCCAATGCAACAACGGCCTACATTATCAGCAAGCATCATCTGCTATGATCCGCATTGACAGGCAGGCTTGGATTCTCGCGCCAGGTTGCCAGCCACCCGCCATCGATTGCATTCCCGCGTCTCAATTCTCAAAGTCTGGGTGCCTTGAGAGAGAGCCGAGCGCGCGCCCACGAATCTGGACGCGGGGGTTATATTTCCATTTGCTCTTTTGGCGGCGCCAATATACCCCACCTTCCGTCCCCCAAAACTACCGGCGGGCCCGAGGCCTGGAACGTTCTTTCCATGTCGAATAACATGCATCGGATGGCGTAAACAGGGGACGCTGATAGGTAGGATGAAGGCGCCGGAAACTTGGCTTTCCGGCGGGGGGACTGGCTTCTGGTTTGGGATGATTACGAACGGCTAAGACGGTTTGGGAACGCCCTCCATCCATTTGGGCGGGCATTCGGTCACGCCACCGATCATGATCATGATAGTGTAAACATGTCTAGACCGTAGATAGTTTGCCCTGACACTCTCCCCACGAAACCTCGTGATATGTTGTCTTGCTTTATTTCCTTTGCAGATTTGATTGACGGAACCTTGGAGCAGCAGTCTTGTCGCCAAATATAGATCAGGTCACCACAGGACAAGAATCGTGATAATTGTACTTCATAGGTAGGTAGGTATGTATATGCACTGCCTAGACATTGACGGGCCGCATGCGGTGCGAGAGAGCGCTCAAAGAGTAGCCGGTGACGGGCTGCGATGCGGGGAGGCCTTCGCCCAAATGAAATCATGTGGTACATCCGTTACGAGGCGATAGTAGAGGCCGGTATCCGTGACTACAAGGTACGATAGTTGCCGTTAATGCGGGCACCCGATGGAATTTGTGGCAGGCGGCGGGGGTGTTTTGTTGGTTGCCTTTGTTAGTGGTGAAATGGGTAATGTTCCATGTGTGGACCTGGGCACATAAGGCAAGTT